TTGTCGTGAATATTGGCTGCTGAATATATGCCGTTAGCTCGGGAGGCTTATAACCCGGGGAGAAGATATCCATGGTAGCACAATTTTCCCTGTTGTAATTGGTATCAAAGGTCCAATGAACGCTCGACACGGCACATAATTTATCTTCCGCTTCTCCTCGCCAACCATATTTCAGCCATTATTGGAAAACATGGGGGCATTGAGCAATGAGCAATATAACTCAATTAATGCCGGTGAGACGCAAATGCATAACTTTTCATAGTGCCGGAGCCCCAAGGCTGAGAAACAACTCCGATTGTATTTTCGACATCCAAGGTTGAAGGATTAAAAAAAAGGGAAAAAAGAGAGAGTCAATGCGCATCGGAAAAGCGGACCGAGCACTACTATTACAATACTAAATACTGTCATTGCTAGCGCCATCGAAAGGTTTTTAACATACTCAGTACTATTCCGTACCGTGCTCGAGGCTCGGAGAACGTGCGAAACATGGCCTGCCCATGTGGGTAATTAGAGCTGTACCCCCTATCATTGTCCGGCCCGCGTCTACTATCTGCACTAGGCGTCATAGGCCCTACGGTTCTCATCCTTGCCCCTGTCCGTGCCCAGCACTATTGCATCAGAGCTTCCAATCATATTCTGGCAACACTGTTCTCTGCTACCCACAAACCCCGTAAATAAAGTTACGAAGCTACTTGACCAAGGGTATTATTTTTATGTGCATGTATTTTGATTATACACAAGGGTTCCAGCTATGAATAATCAGAAACCTCCTGATTATTGTCCAGAGTATTGATCTTGAGCGCAATGTACACGAAAATTTCTTCAAATAATACATAAGTACCTAACCGAATGACCATAGGAGGCTGTAATCCCTGCAGGAGGCACCCCTAATCAAAGCTTCGTTTCAGCGGGCTTTTCCCGAATCGCGCCTCATGCCTAGATAGTTGACAAGCTATACCTTGATCGTTAGTGAAACAGTGTTACCTGTCATGATTATCTCTTCCCGAGGTTTTACGCGCTAGCTAGTACATAGGTCACCATTAACATCCATGTACCTAGCCACTCAAAATAATCGCAAGCCCCGAAAGACTAACAAAAACAAATATTAGCAGATACCCCTCCAATACTCAATCTCCACAGTTGCAATACTTTTATAATTGTAGATGCACAGATTCCTGCAATAGGAGGGGTGGCATTGCGTACTCAGCCTTGGAGCACACATGCAATCGAAGCATGTGTAAATAGGCTAGAACCCTGGAAGCTCAGATGTCAGAAGCTTGAAGGTTTCGAGCTGTTATCAGACTGCGCTAGGACCTCTTCACACCCCCTGACGTGCTGCAGGATTTGATGAGAAAGATTTTAATAAGTAGAACCACGTTGCCCTGTGCGGGACCTTGGATGCAGATACCATTGGATGCAGTCACTACCTAATTCATTTGTGGCCGCTTTTTGGGACTCGAGCCAGAAAACTAAGGCAGCAGTGCATGTCCAGCTAAGTAGTTATTGTATGTTGAGGACCTGCAACATGTGATTTTCTGGTGCCGGTGCTTTTGTGGAACCTTGGAAGCTGGTCTGTAAATACTGCAGGACCATTGGAAGCCCAGACTTTTATATTCTTGAATGATGGCATTCTGTACATGAAGGACGATACTTTTGAATAATAATTTTATTTCGATGTTAAGGGCCCCAAAAGTCATGTATCAGGGCTCTAAATTCTAATTGGACCATTTCTCAAATTCCACCCAAACGCCAATAGATGAGAACAAAAGGACTGAAAAAAATACATAGATGGCCCTACGTATCATGAAATTGCAATAAGCGCTCAATTGATGAGATATCACAAATCGTAGAATTGCTTTAAAACTTCCAATACTTCCGGAGTATGAAATCAGAACTGAAACGGGTCCAAAGAATATTCCAACTTTGAAAGGAATAGAAAATTGGTGAAAGTTGATCAATTCCTAGCAGTTGGGTACTGGGTATCGATTGTTGAAATGATGTTCACATCGAGGTGGTGATCGGCTCAGAAGAGCGGCTTTTGAGGCGCGTATAGGGTGTAGCCAAATGAATAGATCATGTTCAATGCTAACGGCGCAGCTGCAAAACAGGCCATCGATATACTCGGAAAAGATTCAATTTCTCAGGAAAATGATGACATGGACATTGGAGCTCTTGACTTTCACATATGTAAAATGGAATAGAATTAACGTGATGTACTGCAAAGTAGACATTTGCCTACGACGACGATAAATCGGTCGTGTGGACTGTCAGAGCAGCGACTGTCTTTGCTGCCATCTAAAGATGTGCGGAGGAAATGAGAGGCTGGACTCGAGCATGAGCTATAGATATAATAGTTTTTGAAATAGTTGCACATCTTGATCCTATGTGAAAGTATCCACGTTCCATGTAGTCGAGTTTTAGACGTAGAAATAAGGAATGCCAACAGATGCAGAAATTGTACGACAGCATATATAATTTTTAATCCATAGCACAATTATGGAAATCGGAGAATTAATAGACAAAGGAAAAGTTCAATCGGCCGGGTGCTCGGATCAACAAGGTTGGTAAAAAGCATAAGAAAAAATAAATGATTAAAGAATAAAAAATAAATAGAAATAAAGGGATTGGGGAAACACAGTTATTCAATACGTGTTTTGTTAAATCGCAAACTATGAGAATTTTTAACTCCGTACTCCATACATAAGACTATGTATCTACGAAGTACGTCAACTCTGCATGACCCACCCGTCTTTCCTCAGAACAAAAATACCTAGAACAGAGGAATACCTAAATTATTTACATTAAGCGGGTCCTGGTTGTGGCTTTGATCTTGCCTTAAAGACTGTGGACTAAGGTAGGCTATAATGCTATGACCGTTTAGAAAGACGCCCGAAGGCCATAGTTCGGAATTTTGGCTAAAAGTATCAAGGATCAGCCCCTTCCCCTCACCCACCCCTTTTTTCATCCCGACCAAAGCCGACTTCAAAACTTCATGACCTCATGAAACAAGCATCTAGGTATATCTTTGGAAAGAGGGAGATCGGCGCGGTTCCTCGCAGCCGTTGATGCTTCTTCCACTTACACGTGGCGCTAGTCAGGATCTTCATGCACAACAAAAATACGTTGTAGATTTTGTCAGTTTTAACAAGTGAGATTCTTAATTGATAAAGCCTCAAGCCTCTTTTGGATCAAAGCCACCCGGCAATGTCGATTCGGCACATATGGGCCGACGTCAGGCGATCAGGGGCAGAATCTTCCCACTCCAAAAGTCTAGTGACGGTTATAACAATGTCCGCTGCTAAGCAGCCTGGCAAAAAGCTGGAAGCACAACGTCTTGGGCCGCTGGACAAGCAATATGGGTTTTTATGAAGTCGAGGTTGGCAAGATAGAAAGAAATCGGAGATTTTGGTGGCCTCTGTCCCACTTTAACCAAATAAACCCCTGTCAATTTTTATGCAATGATCCCAAGGTCATGTGGAGCCCATGTGGATTTACTTGTATTACAAGGTATATCCCTGGAAGAAAAAAACACCCAAAAACAAGCTTACAGCGTGGTTAGTATTGAAGCTTTAGCATGTCATGGGCGTTGAAGTAGACTAATATATATATATATATATATATATTGGGTCCCCTATGTAGATATTCATGGACTAAACTACATAGGTAGTTAATGAAACTTAATAACTTAGTAGCCTACTTACCAGAGAAAAGGTCTAGATCGTTCAATGTGAGCAAAGATGACAGCTAGACCGGCTTAACCCTGCGTCCTGGTTCTCAGATCTCTGGTAATTGGCGGTACGCGTCTTTACCTGCATCTGGACCGCATCTCACGGGCTTCTACTTGCATCTCCGCGATTCAAAAACAAGGTCCGGCTTCTTCTTGGTATTCTCTATTAGATCGAAGCCTTGTAGAAGAACTAGGTTCCCCACCGAGAACTTTGCGCTAATTGTCGGACCATGGTATCATTAGCTTACTTGGTGTCACTCAGTTATCCGTAAATGGGACCAGTCATAGTCAAAAATCGATCAATGACCTTATCTTCACCTGATTCATTCACGCAGAGTTCCGTCTTTGTGGTTTATTGTGTGATTTCTTGAACACAGAGTTAATCATGCGCAAATTGAAAAATGCCTTCAAAAATTGATTTTGACTAAAATTGAGAAAGTATATCGAAAACGGAAAAAATGAGATTGCACAACATGCAAGCCAAGTTTCGAGTGCAAATAAAAGGCACATCCACATGTCGAATCGGACTCTAGAGTTCTATTCGAGGGCGTTTTCGAAACGCCTCAGTGGTCCACAGTAAATAGCTTACATATTAAATGATATCTAATTATAATGCTGTCGGACTTTTTATATCCAATGGCGTATAATGAGGCGATAAGAAGCAGCAATATCCTGGTCTCCGCTGAGTTTATCGGTATTGTGGAGCCAGCGAGAATAGTCTCAAGCCAGCTTGCCGGTGGCTGGTAACCTAACGGTACACTAGGAAATCAATCCAAGGTAGGAAGGTGGCTAACATTTAAAGTCTGGAGGTGACCACTGACAGTCTTTGCCTTGGGTATTCAAGATAAAGTCACGTGAGAATGATATATATGTGATTACTAAGCGGCTGTCGGATAACTAACTAAAGTGCTACAGTAGTCCTAAAGTGGAATCGGAAAAACAACCACCGCGAGACATCCCGTGACCTTGAACCCCCAATGAGCCAAAAATAAACCTCCTAAGTTTCTGGTTCGCCAGCGCTCTTTCAACGACCTCGACTGATACAGCCGTACAGCTGAATAGATGAGCTGAAATAAAAGTGGACGTAGAACAAGAAGTAACGCAAGAGGCAGAGTCAGCAGCAGATCACAGTCTTCAATCGTCGCTCTCTCTCCACTGTTCCACCCTCCCCGTCGTTGTGGAGACAGCCGTCTAGCCCCCTCGCGATCGTGACCGCCCCAATACAACAAGTAACAATTTGTTTGTTGTCGCACAACTTGTGATCATCAACATAATGACTTTTGGCAAATTCGACTCAATATGCGAGAAAACACCTATGCCGTTGTGCTCCCTCGTGGGCCCGGCTTCGACTATCTCCGGCGCCACAGGCATTATCTCCAATTGCTATGCGCGAAATATTGAGCTTGCGAACACGATTATCTTCCAGGGCGCTGCTTCGTTCATGCACATCATTGCACTCGGTATGACTGTGATAATGATCTTGCATGTTCGGTCCAAGTTCACGGCCGTCGGTTCGTCTTTCCCTTCTAGCTGATGGTTGGGGATATATACTCACCCTTTTATGCTCAGGTCGTAAGGAAATCATCACTCTTTTCTACCTATATCTAGCTCTCACTATATGCTCGCTCATCATTGATGCGGGAGTTGTTCCTCCTTTAAGTGGCCCATTCCCCTACTTTGTGGCAGTTCAGAGTGGCTTGGTATCGGCTCTATGCGGCTGCTTGCTTGTCAATGCCTTCGTAGGCTTTCAGCTGTACGAGGATGGAACAGCACTTTCTGTATGGCTAATTCGGCTCCCATCTGCTGCCATGTTTGCCTTGACGTTTGTCATCTCCCTGCTGACCTTCAAGTCATGGGGTGGGCTGGGACCGCAGAACACCATCGGCTTATTTGTCGTTCTCTACATCTTAAATGCCATATGCGTTGCGGTCTATGTTTGTATGTCACTTCTTCTGGTAGCCACTTTGGATGACCGCTGGCCTCTTGGACATATTCTCTTCGGTACGTTCGTTTTCATCATTGGACAAGTGATCCTCTACGTCTTCAGCGATATTATCTGTGTCAATGTCCAACATTACATGGATGGTCTATTCTTCGCTACCTTCTGCAATTTGTTGGCCGTCATGATGATCTACAAGGTGAGTCGATCTATTCAAACATCAAACATCAAGTCGTGAACACTAGACTAACGTTTGTCCAGTTCTGGGATTCGATTACGAAAGAAGATTTGGAATTCTCCGTCGGTGTCAAGGCGAACACATGGGAAGTCAAGGAGCTACTGGAGGACGACAGAAGACAAACTGTTTATCAGGATACCAACGACTACGACGCAGGTAGCATGTCTCACCAGCGCTCCCCTCGCTATAACTACTAGGCCTTGGACCTCAGCGACTTGTATATGTGACGATATTTCACGACACCTTTTGTTTTCTTCGTTACATTTTTTCCCATTCGTTCCTATGTTACAGCCCAGCAGAGGGCTGTGAGGGTGCTTTCAAAGTAATTAGAGCATGCTGATAATTGGCGATTTTTTTCCAGAATTTACTGAAATCAGGACCGATTCTTTTTGGTTATTTGGAGTTATCAAACATACATATGCCAATCTATCAATCAAGGAGATTTTAATCTTTGGGCTTGTCCATCCTGATCAGTATGTTGGCACGAGATTATCAACACCATCACAATCCGTGGATAGTTTACTCACTCGGTAGAACCGAGCGTGGATGCTTTCGATCAGTAAGCATTCGACTGATTCTTGGCTTGCTCGTTTAACGCGACCATTTGGCAATAGTTCGAGTAAATTTGTAAAGTACCTAGTCAAACTACCAGTTGGAGAGGAATTGGCCGTATTCAACAGGTAAGTACTATTGTTAACCTTGAATAGGAGGAATATAATGCATCAATACTTAAGTATCCTTGGGGGAGATTCAAAAATTCTGCGCATTTCAAAAAATGTTGGGAGGTAAGATATTTTTCGAGGTCAGAGAGCTCCAGTGCTTTCTCTCGTATGCACGGATACATGGAGTACTGCCACCTGGGCATCCATGGATAATTTAAAGGTGATGTCACTCTGGCTCATGCAACCTTGGAAGCGAATATCTGATTTCTGCTTGAGCAGATCTCCATGTAATAGAAATCTGATGTCTAATCTGTGTTAGGGAGATGGTACATAGAAGATATACCATTAGGTACTCCGTGTTGTAGAGAAACAAGGTAGCGACCTCATTCATTATCATTCACAACGACGACATCGTCAGTCTCCATAAAGCTGTCTTCATTTCTGGGGTATTCTTTTCGAGGTTCGGCCGGCCCAGTCGATGAATTGTACCAACCCTGGTCGATCGATGCTACCAAATTTTTGCATGTGTCGCCAACCAGGTCATAAAATGCAGGGTTGTCCTTTGGCAAAAACATACTGACATGTGCCCTGACTTCATCGGTAACCTGATTGTTGATGGCCTTGATCCATTGAATCCCAGGTTGTATTGAGCCCTCGCCATGTTCAACTTCCTCTGGAAGGGTACAGAAAGTCCTGTTCTTTGACCGAATTATCTTTTGACTGAAAGACGTTTTTCCCGTGACTGAATTATCGACCAGGGTTCCTGCACCTTTTCCGAGGCATGTGTAAAAATTGAAACATTTGATGTCTCGTTCCTTTTGCACCACTGCCAGACCATCAAGGCGTTGATTCAGATCTGGTCGGCGTGCTAGACAGCCAATAAACTCCAGGTGTGATGAAACCCAGCTGAATCCAGCCGAAAGATTCTGTCGCTGGGAGTACAGGGCGGCAGCGCCTCCAGCTGCAGCTGCACCTGCGGCACCTGCGAACATGGCATATTTACCCCAGCGTTGCCAAGACGGTATTTCTGCAGCATCACCTGTGGAAGGGAGAGACTGGGTAGGTGCCTTAGCAGATGCAGTACCAGCTGCAGCAGCAGGGGTGGTTGTTTTTCCACCATAGCCAAAAAGTCCGGCAACTTCATTCAAAGTATTGTAGGCAGTTGTTGCATTGCGATAGTGGTTTTCTGCCCCATACGAAACCACTCCCGGTGCAATACCAAGATACGGAGTATCAAAGGCAAGCACACCTTGAACGTGAGGGAACATGAATGTGCCTGGTTCCACAACAGGCGTCTCTGCGTCTGCTTGAGGTACAGATTGTGCGTCTGATACTGGGTCTGATGCTGGGTTCCGATGAATTGGCTGCTCAGCTGCTAGTAGTAGAAGCACATCTGCAGCGACAATCCCACCCATTGAGTGTCCGACAAGAAAGACATGGACTGATGGGTCGACAGTTGGTGAAGCTGTTTGATTTGCAACCTCCAGATCAATAACGGTATCTTGCAGCCTGCATATGATCAGTTAGACTCGGTTCTAGATAAATGAGCATACACATGTGCTACAGTCAAGGATTCTTTACCAATCCCGGAATCTTCCCACGCATTCTTTCAGGTCGCCTTTCGTCTCATATTTGGGGTACACAGCCTTTACAACTGTGACTGCTGGCAGAGCCTTACCAGCGACTATTCGGAGGCTGTCAGGAAAATTGTCGAATGTATCATCACCACCCTGAGTAATTTTTCAGTAAGGATTGATCAGATTATTGTTCAAGAAACCAACTTGACTGAACAATTCACCGGGAAGTTTATACCTTAAAGCCATGGATGAAGACTAGGAGAAGTGTCTTCCGCATTTTGAAAAATCATAGCCAGTCATCAAATTATGGGTTGTTTGCGTGCAGAATCCAGACCACTACTTCAGACAATTACCAAAACAGAAAGTGAGACCAGGTAGACAACGACCTTGTGCCCACATATTACGTCATGGAGAAAACACCTGGTCACGTGATTCATAGTTATTGTCAAATGGAGGTCTGACCAAATGAATAGTGGATTCTAGTGGGCAAATGAGAGTGCAGTATGCGTATGTGTGTATGTGTAGCTATGGTGGGAATCCCATGGTGGGATTCCAATGCTGACTAAAAATAGACTAACTGTAAATGGAATCGGGCCTTTGACATACCCCTTCAGTTTTCACCCCTTCAAGGTGTAAACTGGCCTTAACACAGGGCCGATTTGGGCTGTTGAACCGCCTTAATTCCCTCTAAAACACAGTCTATGTCCCTGATTTAGGCAGTTGATGCCCTAAATCCTCTAATCTAGGGGTAGATGACCCTAGGTTAGATCAAGTCACTAATATCCTCTAAATTGAGAAGCTGGATCCAGGCGTCGAATCTCTGCTTCGGTAGGATTTTAGTGAAGCCGTCTGCCACCATCGATTTTGTAGGCACCCATCTGATCCTAATACGTCCCTGTTGCACCTCCTGGCGTAGCCAGCTACGGTGTATGTCGATGTGACGTAGTTTGGTCTTAAATGCTCCTTCTTTGGTGAGCAGGTCAACTGTTTGTTGGTTATCGCAGTCGAGAGTTATATTGTCGTATTCCATCTCTAGTCCGACATGGACTAGGACTCTCTTTGTCGATCAACTACGTTGAAAGGACAGGGTTCACACGTTGCACTATATACACTGGAAAATGGTATGGTTCGTCCTAGATTCTTAGTATATACGTTGTGCAAAGTGGTGTGAAATGTGTTCGATTCATGTAGCTACTTGAGTTCCTAATATAGTCGTTCCCCCGTGACTCGGGGGTCTGTTTGTTCCGTTCCGGGTTTATGGTATTGCACGATTACAATATCCATGTTCCGACACTAGAGCAACTTTAAAATCTCGAGTCGCTATATACATGGATCGATAAAATAAATGAGAGTGGATAGGTGCACGACGTGTCCCCGAATGCCCTGCACATTGTATCTGGTGGGTGGCTGATTTTGTTGAAGAATCAGTCTTTGTGCGGGGTGAAGAAAAACGGTGAGTGGAAAAATAAACAAAAATGAAAAACACCAAGGTGGGCTTTTTCCTAGAGAAGCCAGTCTCTATTTCGTCTTCTGTCCGTGGTCCTCCTATTCTAGTATCGCTTATAGGGTTGTTGGCGATAATACTAGGGTGGGTGCCGCTGGTATTGGTGCTCCTTATATTTCATTTCGTTTTCCTAGGTGGTTATCGACGTCTGCATTCCGTTGATGAATCCTGGGAGGTTTGGTGGTAGGTATGCCAGGGTCATTCGGCATGCTTCAACTCCTTCGTATGCGGAAATCAATTTTTCGTATAAGTATTCATCCGTTCGCCATGAGGGATTGATTACGTGTCGGAGCTTATAGAGCTCATTGAGTAGTATCTTGAAGCATTGGTGAAGGCTCTTATCGGGGTTCTTTCGGATGGTTGTTCTGAGGTTTGGGCTATCCTATAGTTGTTTCTGCCTTCTGTAGAACTCTGGTCCTTCGAAGAATTCCCTAAGTTTCTTGCACGATTCCGCGAAGGTTTTTTCCCGAAGGGAGTTCGTGAAATAAAATTCCAATGCCGGTTCTTTAAGGAAACTGCCAAATGCGTCCATATACGAATGTTCCGGGAGTCTCACACATTGGCAGATGTCAGTGAAGATCTTGATTTTGAAGTCAAGGCTGGTGCTTCCATCGTATTTTTGACTTTCGGATATCGACTTCATGACTGCTGTCGTTTACCTTACATAGTTGTCCGAGGTAAGGTCGGGGGTAGATCGAGGTGTCCGAGAATGACGACTGTTGTCTGGGTCGATGTTGTTTCCTCTTGGAGTACGGTCGCTCTCGTCGTCATCATTGCTGTCATCACCTGGATCGTCTCCTGGGTTTCCGGTATAGATCGCGGGTGGTGCGCCTCCGATTAGTGTACCCTACACTCATCCAGCGCGGAGTTTATGTGAGATGGACACCAAAACTGGCCGACTCCCTGACGGAATGCCTTATAAGGGAAGAAGAACATGAATGGACGGACGCAGAAATCAAAAACGCCTTCAAAGACATCAATGGCGCTATGAGAACTCTAGCACTCCAGGACAAATTGAATGACACACTGGATGGTCCAAAGGGAACGACCGCCACCCGACGCCCACAAGATCCGGCCAATCCAGCCAGCCAGCTAAACCAAATGTCGATGGAAATACCCCCCGTCCAGCGCAAGGCCCAGAACTGGACCTCACATGTTTTCTCATCACCTCGGCCAGAACCACACGCGTATGCAAGCGTTCCAGACAACCGAGGGTATATGCGCAAAAGCCAAATCGGAGGCGCACCACCCGCGATCTACACCGGAAACCCAGGAGACGATCCAGGTGATGACAGCAATGATGACGACGAGAGCGACCGTACTCCAAGAGGAAACAACATCGACCCAGACAACAGTCGTCATTCTCGGACACCTCGATCTACCCCCGACCTTACCTCGGACAACTATGTAAGGTAAACGACAGCAGTCATGAAGTCGATATCCGAAAGTCAAAAATACGATGGAAGCACCAGCCTTGACTTCAAAATCAAGATCTTCACTGACATCTGCCAATGTGTGAGACTCCCGGAACATTCGTATATGGACGCATTTGGCAGTTTCCTTAAAGAACCGGCATTGGAATTTTATTTCACGAACTCCCTTCGGGAAAAAACCTTCGCGGAATCGTGCAAGAAACTTAGGGAATTCTTCGAAGGACCAGAGTTCTACAGAAGGCAGAAACAACTATAGGATAGCCCAAACCTCAGAACAACCATCCGAAAGAACCCCGATAAGAGCCTTCACCAATGCTTCAAGATACTACTCAATGAGCTCTATAAGCTCCGACACGTAATCAATCCCTCATGGCGAACGGATGAATACTTATACGAAAAATTGATTTCCGCATACGAAGGAGTTGAAGCATGCCGAATGACCCTGGCATACCTACCACCAAACCTCCCAGGATTCATCAACGGAATGCAGACGTCGATAACCACCTAGGAAAACGAAATGAAATATAAGGAGCACCAATACCAGCGGCACCCACCCTAGTATTATCGCCAACAACCCTATAAGCGATACTAGAATAGGAGGACCACGGACAGAAGACGAAATAGAGACTGGCTTCTCTAGGAAAAAGCCCACCTTGGTGTTTTTCATTTTTGTTTATTTTTCCACTCACCGTTTTTCTTCACCCCGCACAAAGACTGATTCTTCAACAAAATCAGCCACCCACCAGATACAATGTGCAGGGCATTCGGGGACACGTCGTGCACCTATCCACTCTCATTTATTTTATCGATCCATGTATATAGCGACTCGAGATTTTAAAGTTGCTCTAGTGTCGGAACATGGATATTGTAATCGTGCAATACCATAAACCCGGAACGGAACAAACAGACCCCCGAGTCACGGGGGAACGACTATATGTCGGATGGAGGTCTGACAAACCAATTAAGGTGGATACGAATAGGCAAATAGGAATGGAGCAAATTGTAGTCAAATTATGTATGTGTGTGTGTGTAAACCTACAAGGTGGAACGGCCCAAGTTGACCATTCCAAGCTGACTAAAGTGCACTAAACTAAAACAGGAATCGGGCCTTTGACATATCTATATAAATCACGTGATATGAATCAATACCATGAGTAACTAGGAATCCTTCAAACCCGACGTCTTTGATTCCATTTATGGGTCTCTTCCAAGTCTCCAGTCGAGCTGCAAGGTTGGAATTATATCCTAGGGTCGCTGTATCTAGCTATGGATTTATATTTTATCACTTTCCGGGCCCGGGATACACTGCGAATAATCAGAGTCTATGGAACTGTCCAGATCACTGAAATATATATCATGACTTCAGTAGGTCACACTCATATTTACTGACTATAGCAGGTGCGAGTAATCAATGTTTATGGCAGATAGTGAGTGTTCTCTTCTTGTTCTCTAAACTATATCCTGGTACTCAAGTGTAGCATGTTTGACGGCAATTTTTTGGAGATCTTCGGAATCAGACATGTTTTCAGATTTTTAAACTTGAACTTAGGATGAGAAGTATGCTAGGACAAAAGGATAGATCTGGGGGTTAGTTGTCTTTTGGTATACAGAGTAAATATTCAAGGGCAAGGAGAATATATCATTTAAAAAAACAAAAACATACAACAGTCAGGATTCGCATGTGGTCACTGTCGACAGACTACGTCTGAAGGACAGTGCCATGCGTTCCACAAGTCCAGCTTGAAGGGAGATTTACTTGACCAAGTCAGTATGAATACGTAGTGGAATAGGTGCATAGAAGTGTGTTCATTCAAGTCAGAGTCTATAAACGCTTTCCTAATAGTCTTTTAACATTAAAGGATTATTGCAGTGGTCATGGTTATGTATTAGCTTAGTCTCACCCCAATCTCATCCCAATCCCATGGCTCACCCGGTGCTCACCTTGGCTTACCCGATTCTCACCCTGTTTATTTTGTACTCACCCTGCTCACCCCCGGTCGCGCGACGCTAAAGCAGCGCTCACCCATTGCTCACCCAGGCGACACCCACCCGACTACTGGCCGCGTTTAAGCCACACGCCGGTCAGTTAGTAGTATAGTGGGTGGCCACATGAGAATCCTGACTGTTGTATGATTTTTTTTTTGGTCTTTTTTATATCTTTTAACCTAGCTCACCTTAAAGCAGCGATATAAATATCCTTAGAGTGAAGGTAACTAATTCGAGTGAGCTTGGAGTGAGCATGAATTATAATGATAGTAGTTTACGGAGAACTTTAGCAAACTATCATGATTTTGATAAAGATAGGTCCAACCTAGACGCCGCAAATTCTCAGGATTTCCCTTATTTATTCTATTCTGTCAATTCATGTGAGGGACAAAGAATGTACTTGATTTCATTCACTCGACTCTAAGCCCTCACTTTCTAAGAAGATGCGCTCCATCTCATCAAACCTCGTAATACCGTCACCATTAGCATCTTCCAGACAAACGCTATATGGAAGCCAGAATCTAAACGTGTTTCTCTCCGGCGGAGTTTTACCATCTGGAGACATTACTCCTTTATAGTCTAAAAGAATTTGAACCAGGACGTTGTCTCCATAGTACTGCTTTTCCATCTCAAAAGTTGCTGAATCAAATGTCCCTAGGTACCCGCAGTCTACAATTCTCTGGGATATATTCAGGAAGTCTTTACCACTCCTTATGATGACGGTTGCCAGCCTATCAGGAAGATTTAGTAAACATGTGGTATATAAACCCTGGAAGATAGGATGAACTTACCATGTGAGATCGCTCTCCCATGATGTTGTCTTTAGGGGGATTTTGCCGTTGGTGATTGAGATTGTATCACTTCCGACAAACGAAAAGCAGTCCAGAATTGCCAGACATGACCGGCGGAAGTAGGAGACCAAAGATTCATTAGGAGAGTGAGCGCACTCACACTCACAAGCCCTTCCTTAGCATCAGATACACATCCTAGATTGTTGACTGACGACGCGCTCGGCAGTATAAATTCCGGATCAAAGCTCTCCAGTCAGGCGTCGGAGTGTAAATCTCGTCGAAAACTGGCATGTCGGCAGGGCATCTGTCGGAACGGTGACGTTCTTACGGTGCATATGCAACTAGTATTCTCGATGGAATAGATCTAGGTGCGTCGATGCAAAGTTGTAAGAGGTGTGTTATTCAATCTTATCCTCGCTGTAACTAAATAGACAAAACTCGCTAGATTCACTTCATGTCGAACCAACAGCATCGGAACCATTGGTCCTGTGCCCCACTTTGGTCTAGTGGTATCGACAGCATCCCATTTGGGTATTGCAAAGTTGCATTTCCGAAAGAATGAAGTCTGTTACGGCCTTTGGAAACGACTGCTTGGAAAGATCTATCGGCTTACCAAGATGTTCGCGAAGGGATAACAAGCTGGTAGGCCATTCCACCCGACGACGACCGGACGATAGCTGGTCCGAGGAAACATACACTATGTCTCTAAAATAAAGATCCTTCAGCGGCAACATTGGGTTTCTGTCGTCGCTGGACCAAAATAGAGGTACTGTGGCAAGGCCGTGTAGCGTAATATTACGCGTCATTTGCTGGAGAAGGAAAGATTCGTGTTCATGAACAGTTCATCTTGGAACACTGTCAGGGGGTTTCGGAATATTGGAGAGAGGTTGTAGGAAGGCTTTGACACTCCTCATGCACCAATCAGCATCTACTCCACCCACGTATGCACTGGCTCAGTTGCGATACAAAGGCCCAGAGGCAAGTGTAGCCGTTCTCGCATTAGTTTGCTCAGCCTAATATCCAGTCTCTCTTGGGGTGACTTGTACCGGCTCTCTAGCCGCTGTCTTGGCTTCTTAATTTCTGGCCCTGGATTTTAGGACAACGCTGTTTGGCGATTTGCGATTTACAATTTGCACTGCACTGGCTCACTCCCGCGTCGGGGATAGTCCTTCCTTGCACTGGCTCACTTCGAATGCTCTACATTAGGCAATGTGTAAAGAATCTTGACGACAAGTCTTGAAGAGCTTCGGTGAGTGAGTGGCATTTGGTGATGCACAGGCTCAACCGAGCGCCAGTGTCTAGCCAGTTCCCGCGCATTGTGTCTAGCTGAACCTGAGAGCTTGAAATGGCGGTATCGTGGTGAGCCAGTGCAGAAGCCTAGTGAAGCCAGTATATAAGCAAAAGGAGCCAGTGTAGAAGCTAAGTGAAGCCAGTGCAGAAACTAAATAAGCCAGTGTAGAAGCCAAGTGAAGCCAGTGTAGAAGCTAAGTGAAGCCAGTGCAGAAGCAAAGTGAGTCAGTGTAGAAGCCAAATGAAGCCAGTGCAGAAACCAAATAAGCCAATGTAGAAGTCAAGTGAAGCCAGTGCAGAAACCAAGTGAAGCCAGTGCAGAAACCAAATAAGTCAGTGTAGAAGCCAAGTGAAGCCAGTGTATAAGCAAAGTGAGCTAGTGCAGAAGCAAAGTGAAGCCAGTGCAGAAACCAAATAAGCCAGTGTAGAAGCCAAGTGAAGCCAGTGTAGAAGCAAAGTGAGACAGTGTAGGGCAATACAAGGGAGCTAGTCTATCTTGACGACACAGAACGAGCCAGCGCAGGGCAAGCCGAGTGAGCCGTCGTCTCTGCTATCCAAAAATCAAAGAGCTGGTCCCAGCTCAGTTAATTTTCGAGATTCTGATGTAATAGCACTGGCTCAGATCTTGCTACGGGTGATTCGGCCTTCTGCATCAGTTCAACCGGCTCAGAAGACTCTCAAGGCACAACGCGGACTGCCATTCTTCTCGGAAACCGCTGTTCGTATTTATACAACAATATTTTAGCACCCTTTGAAGAATTATATATAAATAGCGGCGTACTTCAATCCTTTTTATGATTAAAACGAGCCCTCATCCTCAGCTAATTCAGACGCGACTCTTTCTGATTTATGTTGTCACGTCCTCCCTCCCGACTCATATTAAATTAGCTCGCCATGACTCCTAAAGTTATCTGCGCGATCATCTTTGGCATTATAGGCACAATGCTAGCCCTCATTGGAATCACCAAAACCTTTCTTCAACATCGAACTCATAGTAAGTTTTCTTAAATTTTGCTCTGGAGACTAAGCTCTGACGCTCGCTAGTGACAGACTTAGAAATTGAATCTCAACAGCATTGAGACGGGCAAATTCCATCGAGCGTCCGAATGCTACTAGCCAATCCAGGCTAAGTCTATAGTTGGAACCTCAGACAGATTCCAGGTGCAGACCTAATGGTCACGGAGCCAAACTTGGCATACTTGCCTTATCCTTGATGATCCTCATCTCGACAGCTTTCACCTCCCTACCAGATCTTTCTTGTGGCTCGAAGGTCTCAGTTGACTAGGTTGGTTGGATCACAGCCTGGCTATCAGTTGACGGTGTGGGATTTGTCATGCGGTCTCTTTGGTCACTCGGTCAATTTGAGCTTTGACTTTTTCCAATTTTTTGGTGTTTATGAAATAGTCAACGAAAGCTTTTTGAATGTTCAGACATTTTGAATGTTTTATTAATCCAAGATTCCAATATTTTTTGAACTAAACCGGTGAGACCTTTTCTCTTTCAAGTTACAGGGAGCTGCTAAAGATGGATAGAGATTAGAACCTTGGAATCAAAACACATCTTGCAACCCACCTGGGCGCTCATATAGACTTAAAATTCTATAGTGGCACCAATTGCGACGTAATAGTAGCACCGACAACTATTTATGGACAGACAGCTATAAAAAATCAACCGTTTTCCTAAAGAGCGGTTCGAGCTTACCAAGATCAAATAATAAATGCCACCAAAAGTGTGTTGCTACAATCTGTCCACGAATAATTCAACATCAACAGTGACAGGACGGTCTAGAATTCAGCGATTAAATTATTACCGGCCAGATCTTAACCACATGTTTACATGTACCTAGATAGATCTATTATTAGCGGGGGTGATCCCTGCTCTGGATCTGAAAATCAGGTCCCGATACACTGGTCTTTCTGATCTACTCTGTATACTACCATTGGTATACAATTAATCAGGCCCCAGATCCACAGATAAGTGGACCCTTTGGTTTCTGTAAAAAGAATTGATAGATAGAATTGTCCGCCTGCGACTACATGCACCCATCATTTAGATTCATCGTATACGTATTTGGCGACAAGGTTGGACACCTTTTACCAAGATTAGTTAAAACAAATTTGATTGCTGACAGGATCTCCACACTTCCCCTTCGTACTGTTCCGTAAATGAGAGACAAAGCGATAATGTGACACAAATCCTTAGATTTAACTCGTCTTCTCGGCCCAATTTATGCCGAAAGTGCTCAACAAGTTGCCCGGCTCTGCAATAAAGAGTACCTTCGAAATCATCCAAGAGACAAATTAACTCAAAATAAGACAAGAGTGACAGAAAGGTAACAAAATGGGGTCGTTGATTGGGAAACTGCTGGGCTTTTTGCTCTTCGTCAGCCCTTCTATCACTAACACCAACGATCAAACTTCGGCACAGATTGACTGAGGAACATTTCTCAATCCCGCTGCGCGACTCTGTCCACGCTTCAGATACTGGCTTCCCGACAGAATTGTCTAACCTGAGATTGTGAGCGATAATATCAATCGGCTGGTGAAATTGGTGCTGGTGGTGTTGAGTTTCTTGGTTTCTATAACTATGGGGGTCAACTGAGTCCGGAACCTATAGGAGCTAATTGGAGCGAGTACGGATTTGGAACTCTTGCTTTCGCAAATTTTTTCAAGGCGGCTCTAGTAGCTCATAAGGAGGCTATGGACTTTGCTCTTGGTCCAAACCAGGGACAGGGTGTTCCGGCCAAGTCGGATGACGAGGGACTGCAGTGGGATCTGGTGTTCCCCACACCAATGTTGCCTTATATAATAAAGTCTCTGCCACTGACATTAATCTTTCGACATTGTACACTTCAAATGACTTGATTGACGCAGGTAATTATGTGTCCCATTTGAGATCTGGAATTTCAAAATTCTGATGCAATTAGGCTATACCTACTCTTATCTTTCACCAGACAACTTTGCTATTCCTGAAGCCAGGGTATCAAAGGGTGGACTTGGTCCTGACGGTCCAGCTTACAAGGCCCTGGTGATCACCAGCAACAGCAGCCTCACACTGGATGGTGTACAGTCTATCTTGAAATATGCGTGTGCGGGCCTGCCAGTTATTCTAAGTGGCGGAGATCCCGGGACTTATTTAACGAAAGATGGAGGAGAGGCAACTGTCATAGCAAGAGTCATCCAGACTCTAAAAAGGTCTAGAAATGTCTACTCTGTAATCTCAGCACAGGTTGCTGCGAAGCTCCAAGATCTAGGTCTGCAACCATAAGTTGCTCTACGAACTAACAGCACATGGTACTCGACATGGCGGGAGGATAAACAGAGCGGAATGGACCATGCGTTCCTATTCTGTGATACTCACTTCTCCACGGGGTTTGTGGATATCATAAGTTCTAAAACTCCATTCTTCCTTGATCCTTGGACAGGAACTGAGAAGCCAGTGCTTAACTACCGGCGTCTAGGAGATCGCATTACCATTCCTCTCAGTCTCGCTGGTAATCAGACGGTTATCATAGGATTTTCTGACAATAAGCAGGGCCTCAGCGGGCACGTCACCAAGCTTCCCTCCACGGTAATTGGCTATGACTATTCCAAGACCGGTACAAATTTGCATATTGCCTTTAGCTCGACAAATCAATCGCTTAAACTTGCAATGGAACAAAAGTCCGCCTTCCAAGCAAGCGTATCGCCAGACCATCAAAGATTTCCAACTAGACACTCATCGCCGAACACTGGGAAGCACCAGGTAATCTATCTGACGCAGCCACAATTGCGGTCAAGTACAACACTACCCACCATCTTTCAGCTCTAGTCTCGTGGACCCAAATAGAAGGTCTCCAAGACGCAGCAGGTCTCGGATACTACACAACGACCTTGGACTGGCCGGTAAATGGATTGGTAGATGGGGCGTACCTGGACATGCCAGAAATTATACATGCTGCACGAATTTATGTCAACAGAAAAAAAAACCTTCCTTTGATCTAAAAGCTCCCCACATCGATCTGAGACCTTTTTTACAGCGCGAGCCAAATTTTGTTGTTATTGTTGTTCCAACGATATTGTGAAACTATCTTCGAAGTATTTCTGGGGATATCAAGAGTGCAGATGTGCCGGTGTCCAATATCCAGGATGTTGAGCAAGAGATGTTTGGGACGAACGCACTTCCGTCTCGGGGAGAGAACGGGCTAATTGGGACTGTGAATTTGGTACCTTACGTGAATTTTCCTTTATAACTAGGAATAAAACCTGGGGAATGTGTTATGATTCCGCCACCACTCAAGGGATCCGGTGGGATGTAACTAACTGCTCAATTTTATACGCGTCATATTCGCGGTCTAGTTTTCAAGCCGCCGAATACATGGAACACTTTATCGCGCTAGCCTATATGCGTATTCATAAGTTGACTTTAAATACACGTCATGCCCTAATACGGAAGAAGAACGCCAAGAACTAGCGTAGAAAATCTGGTACATAGGTACGTATGTAAATATACCTAGTAATTGACACTATCTTGTCTATAATTGACAAAATCAAAAAGGAAAAAGGAAAGCTCCAAGATGTGGCTCAAGAATCCATGACTTCAACACTCAGCTATAGATTTCCCGCTCGACCAAGTTTCTGTAGCCGAAGCATGCTGTCCTGTAAAGATGTTGCAATTAAGGTGCCCTCTGGACTCCAAAGATGACTCTCATGGACAGCCCTGTTCTCTCCAGATTGAGGTGTCCAACCTTCTTGGATGAACCATTTCATCGGAAGTTCCGACTTATCTTCAGTAACTCCATCCCAGTCAATCATTCTCAATGGCTTGCCATGCGTATGAACAACCACCATTAAAGTGAGACTTGACATATCTGCCCAGCGCTTGATCCCCAAAGCACGCGGGATCAGAAAGAGAGAGTTCTTATCACTGGAGTACATATGAGCACAAGCGTAGAGGTTATCATATTTTCCAGCAAATTCCCTCTCTTTGACCTGGGCCAATGTTGCTGTGCAATCCTCATCTGGTGATCCCTTGAGTCGGTACTGGGTCAACTGTCTATATCGCTCGGGATTTTGTTGAATGCCAGTATTATTATTGTAGTCCTCCATGTTGACCTTCCGCACATCCAGTCCTGGGAACATCATTTCTTCAAACTTCCCTTGCTTCACTCCTTCGATCCAAAAATCTGCATCAATACTCGGACTCATATCCTGGTCTTCTGGTCGTTTCAAAGAGAGGATTTTGTCAAAACGCTCCTGAACAGTCGGTGGTTGGTGGTGGAAGGTTTGCTGTCCTTCTCCACGCTTAAATGAGCATAGACAGGAAAAGCAGATTTTGCCGTCTTGTCGAGCATCAACTGCTCTTGTACAATACATGAACCCGTCCCGAATTCGCCGAACACTATAGATATATGGAATATCTAATCGACCACCCAGAATGAATGACCCAGTTATATCCTATGGACCTGGATTCAGCAAAATTCTGTCAAGTTGTTCCTCGGGATCATGATTTTAATTAAGACTGACATGAATCACAAACATTTCTCCAACAGTCTTGGATGCTGCATACGCGGATTGAGCATATACATGCCCCCCAAAAGAACGGCTTCCTTGGCCAGGGGGATATGGTGCAGCAAGCGAGCGAAATTTCTCAATCTCCTCAGTCCCGTCACCACTGGAATGTGATTTGTCTACACCAAGTGATTCCAGTGCCATCAACTCCACGAACGACCATGGTAAAGATAGCTCTAATGATTCATCGCTTGCTGTCTTTCGTGGGGATGACATGATTGATCATTTAACATGGAGTATACCAACTTGAAGCGTCAAATAGCAAATAAGATGTGTTGTATACGCCGTAATCTTCGAGTATTTGGTGTATTTAGATCGCAAAAGTGCAAATGTTCTAGGGACGCGTGTGGCCACAAAGGGAGGAAATCTCAGATGGATAAGAGATTTTATATATAGATATAAAGTCCCAGCACTTGTCGCAGTATCACTTACACTCAAATGGAGAATTTCTAGTAAGAGATTTAAGTGTCAAAGACGCAACCCTAGATGGAGATGGGAGAAATGGGGAACCTCGGTACCGACGAGAGTCACGTGGTATATCTTCAGCCAGTAAAAAGGTGCATGATTGTACACTTTCGGCATTCCCAAATAGACAAGAAAAGAGATGATATCAGATTGAAATTTTATACAAAATGCGCCAATCGTACTGACAGTACTGTGTGGTTCTGCCCGATTCCCCATGCGATAATGATACATATAAAAAAGATTAAAAGCCGTTTCTGAGACAGCACTTCGACAGACCCTGATATCTCATCGAAAGCAAGCATATAAATCAAGGGTTTTCCGCTTAAATTCAGCTAGATGGAGTCACTGATATTTTTGGTGTTGTTCCATTCGACCTTTCCGCTGACGTCCTTGATGTCCTCGAGCTTGTCACCAAGTTTGACAACAGAAAAGTTGATCATACGCGGATCCAGACCGAGAGTGCGGCGAATAGAGGCCTGAACAGGACCGGAGGAGTCGAAACGCATGATGAAGTGGTGGCCTTCACTGTATCGGGCTTGGTGTTTGGTGGTGACCTTGGGCAGACGGAACGCGCCCCAGTTGGTGAAGCCACGGACAACACCGCCGGAACGAATGACCTGAACACCGGCATTACGGGCAATTCTGTTGTAACAAATTAGTATACGGGGGAGGAGGAGGAGAGCCGGTAATGGTGAGAAACATACTCCCGAACCTCGCTGAGGCTGCCCGGGCGGACCTGTAGCAAGCGCACGTTAGCTTTTGAACTCAATTCATGTGGATCTGGAAGTAGAAGAAAAGGCACATACAATGGCAATTAACTCATACAACATAGCATCTAGCGGTGGTGCAAACCTACGATAAATAGTGGAGAGATTGACGATGGCTCCAGTAACGCAAAATCCGACGAGGTTGGAGCTTATCAGTGGGTCTTGGCATTTTTGTTATCAGTAATTGATTCCGCCGGGGAACTCGCGCTTTCCATTCCTTCTTGAACATTTAACCACCTTCTTTCCTTTCTCTCCTTTTTACTCTTCTCAATACCTCCCTCAATTACTCTCTTCCACCTCCAAAATGCTTTCTGTTACCCGCACCATCCGTCCCTTTGCTTCCCGGCTCTTGGCCCAGAAGCCTCTCATCTGCGCGTCTGCACCTGCTTTCCGCTTCCCGCGGGGAACAAAGAGCTTCTCGCAAAGCCCGCTTGGTAAGTGATCCTGCCCTTTTGGAAGGTCATGTCACTTTTGAAGCTGCCGGAGATAAATCTGTGTCTTTGGAATATATCGTATAGACGTAACTGAGTTCATTGAGATCTATGGTTGCTGACAATTGGCTTTTCTAGCTCAAATTAAGAAGTATACCGAGTCGCATGAATGGATCGAGCTTATTGAGGGTACCAAAACTGGTTAGTTCTATTAATAATTCCTGCTTGCGGGATCCAGCAATATTACTGAATATCCTCGAGCTGACTGAGATCCCCAGCCAAGATCGGTATCTCTGACTACGCCGCCCACGCTCTGGGTGATGTCGTCTACGTCGAGCTCCCCGAGGTTGGTCTTGAGGTCACCGCTGGTGAACCCGTCGGCGCCGTCGAGTCTGTGAAGTCTGCTTCGGATGTTCTCTCCCCTGTTGACGGCAAGGTCATCTCGGGCAATGAGAAGCTATTGGACGAGGCTAAGTTTATCAACGAGAGCCCCGAGGGTGATGCTTGGATTGCCGAGATCGAGGTCAGCGACGTCGCTGCACTAGAGTCTTTGTTGGACGAAGCTGCCTACAAAGCAACCCTCGAGGAGGAATAGATTATTATATATGGAACGGTCGTCATACTATTAAATTTGAAGGCTTGTGACGGCTGATGGTAATGGCCTTATTATATGCTGCTTTGTGATGTTAGATTGATTCGATCCGTCCAACAGGAAACTGTTCTCTTCAACAAAATAATAGATACCTGTCAAGCCCTTCACGGCTGACAACCCATCAAAGAAGAGGTCCGCCATCAGAAGCTTCCCTGACCAAATCAAGTGAATAAGAATTCTTGACAGTAGGGCTTAGTCAATTGGTGAATTTGGTTAACTGTTAGTTATCCAGTGCTTTGGTCGAAGCCTACTTCACAAGTAGTTTTTTGTCCGAAAGCTCCCCGGGGCCCTTGAATGAAGAGCTCTCAGTGTTAGCCTCAAAATCAGGTATTTTCCAAAATCATACGATCTTTCAAGGACTTACGCAAGAACGACGTATGTAGATACACTCCTAAAGCTAAGCAATAAAATCACGTGATTCGATAGAAAGATCCAGCACCTCGGAGACACTTCCAGCCAATCAGAGAAGCTTCTACATACTACGAGAAGTAACTCGCAATTCAAGATACATGTCTGTACTTTCGTAGACATTCAGCCTAGAACGTCCTGGAATTATCGCGTGATTTGGATTTGGAATGTTGCATCATCTAGGAACATCTCAAGAGATGGTTGTGAAGGTATATAAGGGTCTCTTGCGACTGCCCAACTGACAGTTCTTCATCAAAACCCTCCAGTATAAAAGCCTCTCAAGCTTCCAACATCTACCATTCTCAAACTTCCAACTTATAAGTTCAAAGTGCGAACTATACCTACCATCAACAAAATGTCTCTCTTCCGCAACATCAACCACAACGGCGAATTTGCCCCCCTGTTCCGTCTGCTCGATGATTATGATGTCCACCGCTCAAACCAGGGCCAGACCACAACTCGCTCATTCGCTCCTCGATTTGATGTTCGAGAGAGCGACGATGCTTACCACCTTGATGGTGAGCTTCCTGGAATTGCCCAGAAGGACATCGATATCGAGTTCGCCGACCCGCAGACTTTGGTCGTGAAAGGCAGAGTCGAGCGTGAGTACACCACCTCTGAGCCTCCAGTCGAAGATAAGAGTGATGATCAGGTTGAGAAGACCGAGAAGACTAGCAGCAAGGAGAAGCCACGCTTCTGGGCCAGTGAGCGCTCCATTGGCGAGTTCCAGCGTAACTTTGCCTTCACTACTCGTGTCGACCAGGACAATGTCAAGGCTAGCTTGAAGAACGGCATCCTTTCCATTACTGTGCCTAAGCAGACCGCTTCTGCCACGAAGAAGATCACTGTTGAGTAGAAGACCATCAGTGCTTACTCCCCAGAGTCTCTTCACTTCCACTTTTGACGATTGCCCACGATACACGAACATTCTTTCAGTTTTGCATATCAATTACACCTGCTCCAATGTTACTAAATATGCATGATGTGGATGGAAGTCACCTCGGACTTCAAATATTGCCTATCGTGAATTAGTTTTAGTTTAATCAATATTATATTCATTGACAAAATCTATTCAGTATATGGTTAGAGGGGAAAATTAGAATTATTTAAAACTTGGCTTAATCAGTCGTCGACACCTTAAAAATGGCACTAGTCGAAACAAAGCGTAATCGATTTAAACATTTCACTGGTTTAAACTTTCCCATCACATTGAGCTAAGTCTCTTACAAGTTGTTTATTTGCTTTGTAGTGGCATAAATCCGCCGCCTATATAAGCCCTGCCGGGCTAGCTCAATCGGTAGAGCGTGTGACTCTTAATCACAAGGTTGGGGGTTCGACCCCCCGTTCGGCTATTCCTACTACGAACCTTCGAGTCCTTTTTTTTTTTTTTGGCTCCACTTCAAAAAATTATATGACAGTGATACTTTTTTTTTTTTTTGCCACGTGTGATAGCTAGGTAGAATGAGATACACGAGTAATCAACTTCTTATTACTAAGTCAATTGGTGCCCAGAGATGGAGAGTTTCATCTGAAGTCTTGGGAAGTTACAGGTGGAGCTCTGAAAAGTTTAGAATTATGCAACTCACTATATTAAATCAATATTTCATGTATCTATTTACCGGAGTTGAATATCCAATCCCCCAAGGCTTTGTAGGAAGAAAGCAAATCTACACAGGGGGAATAGAGTCACGACAAATTGGACATTGAAGTCGCAATCGCATCCAGCTCTCTAAGCAGGCAGTATGGAAGATATGCCGACAAGGTGTTACCATGTAGGCCCGTCGACTTAAGATACTCGTAGCCCCTTCTGCAACGCTACTTCCGATCACAGAAGAAAGAGCGGGAAGGACAGGGACTTCGATATCTTGCATACAGATGGCACAGTCGAACATCGCTCTCTTGCGTTCCTTCCGATTAGTGCCATCTTCTTTGTTGTCACTCACAACATCACGTTCATCAGCCCGAAGCGATGCGATAGACAACGAGTCTCCAGCTTCAAGGTCATCGTCCGCACCGGCCTGGTCACGAAATGTAGGATGATAATCGTACGCATGTGGTGCCCAGCCCCGAGGAACAAAGAAGCGCGGACCTAGGATATCCTGGCTGGCTAGCAACCATGCTTGAATCCACATCCATCCAGCCATTGCGAAGGCAGTTGTCCAGTCGGGTCGAATAAACAACACATTTCCACGAGCCGTTAGGAAGTACATGAATGGAAGCAAACGTAGTATACTCTGGCCAACGACAAAGTCCCATCGCAATGCTTTGCGGCAGTTACGCATAACGTTGCGGTATATCTGTGGAACCCAGAATGAGAGATAGATCGAGGACAACAGACGGGCATAGATCGATCCCAGTCGCCGAGGTAGAAGGAAAGCCCAGGCTGAGATGATGAACAGTACAAACAAAAGAAGATAGAATCGAGCATACATGGCACCGACATCGCTGCGTACCTGTCCCGGCGTAGGTGCAGTTGCACGATTGTTCGCAGGTGGTGCTGCTGGTGGTGTTTCCAACTCCTCAAGTGGAGGGTCTTGATCGGGTGTCAAGATAATCGGTGGCGCACCAGAGTCCCGGACTGTAGCAGTGACGGGAGGGGGAAGTGTCGTTGGACGTGGAACAGGGGCTGAGGGATTGGTAGACGGATCCTCACGACGTTCTGGCTCCTGAACTGCCCAGATATCCATCATGAACTTCATTCCAATGTAACAGACAGAGAGAAACGATAGGAATGAAACCGTTGCCAGTACTAAGAAGGAGACCGCTTCGAAGAGTTTCAAAACGATAAAGAGAATGACAAGGGCGTCTCCGAGCGCCATCGATGAAATAGTATAGAAACTTATCCGACTCCGAGTGGAAGGAGTTGAGGCATCTTTTATCTGACGCAAAAGCAATGTGATTTGTGCAACAAATACTCCAGAAACCACAAATATAAGTCGAGCCGCATATTTACTGTACTCCTCATACTTGGGTCCGGAAAGGTAGAGAGAGTCAGAGGGTGGGTACTCTGGGGTCCCCTTGGTCTCCAATATGTAGCCACAATCAGGGGAGAAGACCACCGCTGACATGACTGTAAGTGGAGGCTCTGGAATCGGAGCTCCTATAGGATATCTAAGCTCGTGCTCGATTCGCTCTAATGTTAGGCGATCGGCAACGGCATCGTTGATCATCACTGGATGTTGTTGTAGAAATATAACATGCTCGCATCTGGGTGCAGGAAACTCGATTTGTTCTGAACCGATCAAAGAGGGCCATGGGAAAATGGTTGAAGGCCGATTTCGCTTCTCTGACATGGTGTCCGCAAGAGACTTCATTAGAAGACCGCGAGTTAAATCATAGGTATCAGCAGAAAGGGCAAAGTGTGGCAGAGAAAAAATTCCGCCAAACTTTTCGCTTGAGGTGCTCAGAATGATGCCACCAGTCTCCGGGAAATGCACACCAAATAGTGAAAGATACCAGGTGCTTCCCCAAAAGTCCTCGCTTTCAATCGTTACACTGGCTCTGATCTCTCGTACAAGACCCTTGCCGACCTGGATCTCTCCATCGTCTACTTCTTCTAGATTGAAATAGAATGTGCCGCCACTACCGGTAATGTTAGAGCCGAAATGCTCGGTAAAGTATTCATGCTCGTGCGCGATGGACGATGTATTAAGGGGGGTCCGACGCTGGGGATTTCCTGTGCTCCGTACCCAGTCCCCTCGAAGAATTCCAGTTGTATTGCGATATGCCGGCAAGAAGAAATCCGTTAAATTGAGAGGCGAGGAGGTGTTGTCCTCTAGACCAGAAGGGAGCTCAAGACCAGCGTTTGAGAGAGCAGATTGAAACTGATGGCGTGCACGACTTCGAGCATATGGGAAAAGGTCCCAGGCAAAGCTATCGTTCTTCCTTGTCCCTGAATATGGAAGCCACTTATCCGCTGGTGGATCAAAGTCGCCATACTTTGACTCATTCAATAGCTGGAGCACATGCTGCTCTCGGTCGAGCTCATACTGGCGTTCCCTGCCCTCCTCAGGCAGTGGGGGACGCGACTGAGAGCTAAGAAGAAGGTAGAACACCAACAGAAGGAAGAAAAAAGAACCACGGTTATCCATCAATACGACCGGGGTTGTCTACATCGGACGACTCTCAGATGAGGATGGTGAGCATCTCGAGGAGAAGGATAAGAGAGCGAGCGTTAGATTATAAGCTCGTGAAGGAGCATAAAAAAAATCAACGCTGGTACAATGAATGACGAGGATGAGGTTGTTACCTGGGCGATATGGGCTGGACCCTGCAGTTGATGATGTACTCGACCTTGCGGGTCGAGACCTCTTGGCCCCGCCCGTTCCGCCCTGATATTTAGACGCCAGGATTATCAGGCGCTAGTTTTCCCCATATCTCCTTTTCCTTCCCCAGAGAAGCTCAAACACATCACAATCTGGAATTTGTAGCAGAATTGTTCTCGCGGAAATATCGCGATGGCTACAAACCTTCCACTTCCATTACCTCCGCGCACCCCAACCCCTCCTGCAGATGATTATACAGAGCAACATGTGCCCCGAACTGTCGACCGCGATGCCTTGTCGCCACTGCGGGAGACATTCCCGAAAGGCATATCACTAGATTCAGAATACCAGGATCGTCTCAGTCCTTCGAAGGTTTCATTCAATTTGAGCCCTGGACCTTCAAATTACTCCGTGTCGCTGCAAAATGGCTCAACCGATTCTACCTCGGCGGCGGGGCCGTTCAACTTCGATACCACCGTGATGGCAAAGGGACCGGTAGCAAAGTCGGTAAGTGATCGGAAATAGTAAAATTATTTAGTCCATTATTAACAGAATACCTTCAGAACATTGGACAGCGTCGTGGCCACAAATACAAACACTCTAGTATCTCACATCAAATCTTCCTAGAACCTCCTCCCCGAGCTCCATTGGCCCTGCCCAATTCACTTCCAATCCCTACTCTGAAGGAATACCGTGCTAGTATGTCGAAAGAACAGAAAACACGGTTTTGGTGGAGTGTGTGCCACATGTTTGTGGCTGGATATACTCTCTGGACAGCACACGGGTCGTTGGCTATAACTGCGTTGTCCCATTTAATATTGTTCGACTCACTGGGCGCCATGCTATGTGTTGTTGTGGATGTTCTGAGTAATTTCGAAGTCTGGAAGCGATCTAGTATTCGTCATCCATTTGGCCTGGAGCGGGCTGAGGTACTTGCTGGGTTCGCGATGTGTGTCCTACTTCTATTTATGGGCATGGACCTGATCTCTCACAATCTTGAACACTTCCTTGAGAAATCTGGTCACGAGCCACACCATACACACGCCCATGAGCGGGTTTCGGTGGGAAGTGTAGATGTTACTGCCGTTTTGGCAATTTCGTCTACCCTTGTTTCTGCAATTGGGTTGAAGAACCATGCTCGCATTGGAAAAACGATGCGCTTTGCATATATCGAGTCTCTGCCATCAGTCTTGAGCAATCCCTCTCATTTCCTCACCCTTTCATGCTCCGCTCTCTTACTATTTCTGCCTCTGGTATCGATCCGTATATATGGCTGGCTTGATAAGCTTCTATCAGGCACTATCGCTATCTCGATGTGCGTTTTAGGGGTGAGCTTGGTGAGGACATTGGGCTCAATGCTTCTTATGTCTTACTCCGGTGAAGGAGTTTCTGATGTCGTTAAGGATATTGAAGCAGATCCATCAGTCTTTGGTGTGGATGATGCTCGTTTCTGGCAGGTTCACTATGGACTTTGCATGGCCAATCTCAAACTCCGTGTTTCTGGATCTGAGGATAATGTATCTCGGCTGCGTGAGAAGATTTCTAGTTTGATTCGGAACCGACTCGGTGGGGGATATGGTAGCGGAGGTCAGAGGTGGGAAGTTTCCCTGCAGTTTACCATTGAGCGCGATTAAAGAACTGATCTTGCTTAGCTGCCCCGGTGGCACTAGCTGGATCCATAAAAATACAATATGATACATATCTAGAGATAGGGATACTCAATTGATTAACATCAGGGGTATCAATTCATGTTTATGTCCGACCCCGGGGTCAACGAATTATAGAATTAATTGACTAGCCCATACCTACATAGGTAAAGCAACAGCTACGAACTGGTCACACATCCCATTGGCCATATACTTTACCTGTTCACACCTGAGGTAGTCACCTGCAAATATGGGAACACAACCAGTTGACTCGAAAAGACAAGTTGACAGAGCTACTAGGTACTAGTTGGCTCAAATCAAAATCTTGAAAGTGCGAAGAAGAAAATCCAAATAGTCTTCTACAAAAAATGTAGTTGGTATAAAAGCCCACTTCATTTTCCACGGCATGCATTACTGCCGTATACATCGCCTGCGAAGAATTCGCAGATTGAATGCCGATATCAAACCATTGAATTTTGGTACATGTAAAAATATTGAAGATAACACGCAATGCTGATCCTCTACCACGTCATTTGAATCGATCAAAACCCTTTATGCTGTGGCCTCAATGCTTCCCTCGCGCTGATCTCGCCGCCGGCGCTTCTCGAGAATAGCCTCACGGCGCTGTGCGAGAATCTTGAGCTGTCGGCTCTCAACACCCTGGAGCCAGTAGCCGAAGCTGCCACCGACACCGGCGAAAAGAGGGTAGACCCAGAGAGATTCCTTGGCGAGGAGCGGGCGCATCTCGATTCCGAGTTGCCAGAAGCGAACGGCAATGCCTGTAAGAATGCGACCATGTTAGACGAATAATTGTTCCAGTATATTTCTGAAGTATATCCACAGTATAGTATGGTATTTGCATCGAAGTAGGGCGATTGGATAAGTCACGTACCGAAGCCGCTCCAGAAGAGGACTTTGTGGACCATGATTGAGGTCGGCTGTGGACGGATAAAGATAGGTAGAAAGGCCGACGGGTTCCGAGAGAGACTTAGAAAATTGGTGACTCTGCTCAGGTGCAGTTGTAGGCCGGAATTGATGTAGTCGGGGCTTGAAGTCGCGGAAGGAGGTCGATATTAGCAAATCAGCAGCCGGCAGTTCTCAATCATCGGAACAATATTATTCCCGACAACTTCAGTGTTATCGCTTCGCTTATCGTTGTTTTATATTAGCTTCCTCACCATCAGTTGCCCTGTACAGCTGTACAGCGATGGCCACTTCAGAGGCTATGGAAGATGTGCAGAGGAGCACCCAAATTCCCTCGGTGGATATTGAGAGCGTCAGACACAAGAAGTTTAGAGCCGAAGATTTACCACTATCTTCAGCCCAGCACACGGCAATTGACAAACTCCTACATTCATTTAAGAAAAAGGGCGGATTCGACAATATTCGAAAACTGATTTGGGCCGAGTTTAATAATGGGGTCAGTTCTTTTAGCATCCAATTACGCAAAGTTGCACGCCTTACAATTGCCTTTGGGTGTCTAATGCATACCAATAGGAGCCTAAGACCAAATTCACTGAGCAGTTACTCGCATTAGCGGAATCGGAGATTGAACGTGAACCTGCACACCTTTCTCGAGAAAGAGGAAAAGCAGCCACATTGATCGAGGGCGCGGTGGACCGTGGTGATGTATACAAAAATGTCGAGGAATCCATTTACGAACTCGCATCTAAACATCTGGGAACGATTCTCGATTCAGTCCGCACCATTCGCCGCTTAGAGGTCGGTGATGAGGCTGCGGCCAAAGAAGAGGCATCCGGTAGCAAGACTAACGAAGAATACGAGGCTCACGTCAAAGTCAAGCGAGAAGAACGTGAGGTTGTTTGGAGGGAGGAAATGCGCAAAGAGCAGGAAATTGAGGAGGAACGACGACGGGTAAAGGCCGAGGAGCAACGCAAAAAACGCGAAGAAGAGCACAAAAAGGAAGAGGAGAAGAGGATACGAAGGAAAGAAATTGACGATCAACGACGAGCCGAGCGTGAACGCATGCGAGAGGAGCAACGTGCCCTCGACGAGAAGCGAGAGCGGGAGCGAGAACGTGAGCGCGAGGAGCGATACGAACGACGCAAACGCGAAGATAGAGAACGTTTCCGTGATCGCGATCGCGATCGCGACCGTAGTCGCACCAGGGATCGAGAGCGTGATCGATACCGTACTTGCTCCCCAGCCCATCGCTCTGACCGCGGCTTGTCTCCGCGTGGTCGAGATACCAAGCGTGAAAAGTCTACTTTGTCCAAAGATCCAACTCCTGCCCTAGCTCTTGATGAAAAGTCGCTCGAAGAGGCAGCTTTACAATTACTCCTCAAAGAAGGTCAAGAGCTTGCCGCTAAGGCGCGCCAAAAGCCTGAATTTGATTTTGAGGCAGCCGAGGCGATTGAGAATGGACTAAAACCACCAACAACAGAAAATACTAGGGCTTCCGCCCAGTCAAAGCACTCCAGACTTTCAATTAGACCTGGAAGCCCATCTCGAGGTTCAATACGTGATTCAGCAACAGACCGAAGAGACCGGAGCAGATATCTTACTCGAGACCGCAGTCGCTCTCGTCGACGACACACATCGCGGTATGATCCAGATCGCCGTCGCGATCGATCCCGGGATGCCTCTGTGCGATCCCGAGACCGCGCTATTGATGATCGCCGTGGCTATCACGACTTTCGAGATCATGGCATCCGAGATGCGCAAAGCTATCGACCAGGTCGCCGCAGCCGCAGTCGCAGCCGAAGTCGATCAGTTCTTCGCCCAAGGGACAAAGACAGAGAACGCAGCGCCGACCGGGACAGGGATAAGGACAGGAACAGGGTCAGATCTCGCGATAGAGACTCTGACCGGCGTCGTCATGATCGCAGTCGAGATAGGAGTCGAGTTAGAGATCGTGATCGTGACCATGACAGTGACCGCATCCGTCGCATACGATCCTCCCGCTCTCGTTCTCGGTCAAAAGCTGGCAGGCGAAGGTCAAGATCTCGTCGACCGTCTCGAACCCGGAAACCTTCCCCCGGCTCTCTTGATATCGACCGATATGTTCCTGCTACCAGTCACCGTAGCAAGTCACCCCGACGTCGAGTCCGGTCACCAGAACGTGATGAGAAACCTCGTTTCAGTGAGGCTGATCGTTATTTGCCCGCTTTAGAGCGAGACAAAGATACGCCCAAGGAAACCCCCAAGGTAGCCAAAGTCGCGGCCAAGGAATCGAAATCTGAATCTACCCCTCAGAAAAATAAAGAGACGGACGACCTTCGAGCTCGTCCTCCGAGTCATGCCCGACGAAGAAGTCGCAGCCGAAGAAGAAGTCCTAGTCGCAGAAGAAGTCCTAGTCGCAGAAGAAGCCCTAGTCGCAGGAGAAGCCCTAGTCGCAGGAGAAGCCCTAGTCGCAGGAGAAGCCCTAGTCGCAGGAGAAGCCCTAGTCGCAGAAGAAGCCCCAGTCGCAGGAGAAGCCCCAGTCGCAGAAGAAGTCGCAGTCGAAGAAGAAGTCCTAGTCGCAGACGAAGTCCACGCCGACGAAGGAGTCGAAGCCGTTGAAAAGTCACGATAACAAGCAGAGATTTAGCTGTTGACGAGCAATATAACCCTTAATACTGTGAAGGCTCTATATTTTATAAAAAATCAATCTTAAACTGACCGTAACTAACTACGTAAATGTTTATTTCTCCGTATTCTTATCGTTACTTCTCCTATCGTTATCGCTGATAAGCTCCACTAAAAAAAGTTGAAATCGCGAACTCCTCTCATCTCTTTACACGGATTTCATCAAACTCTTATGGAATATTTCTAATCTGCCCTGTTCTGTCTGGACATTTACTCATCTACTTGAGACCTAATTTTATTTCCATGCGTATTTTGGACTAAAAATCGCCCCATCTCCCTCATCGCAATCAAACCTAAGCGATATCACTGTTTCAGTCGCGCCCCATCATCCAAAAACCCGAATAGAAGTACCAGTCACGGTATTTAACGCAATCCGACAATACAAGATGCGAGTCACCGCTGCAGCAGAAAAGAGCATTCATGCGCAGACCGTCCCCGACGACGATGACTTCACTTCATCCTCGGGCTCGTCTTCGGAAAGCGACAGCGAGAAATCCTCCGACGATGAAGAAGATAACTCTAAGCATGAAGAAAGTCTTACAAATTCCACAGCGAAATCCTCAATACCTAGCGTCCCTGCCCGTCGGAAACCAGTCATTCGCAAGATGAACACGAATAAGGACTTGATGTCCCGGTTGAGTGCATTTTTGCCCGAAATGAAAAATGCGAATGAAGAGCTGGAGAAAGAGATCGCTGCTGGACGAGGCAAAGATCTAGTTTTGGATGATGCTGATGATGCTGATGGAAAGGAATACATTGAGATGGTAAACAAGCCAAATTTCAGTCTAACAGATCAATATTAACCATATTTACAGAATCTTGGGCTTGGAGTCCTTGAAGAAAAAAAGAAAGACGACAAGACAAACTTCTGGAGCAACGTGGAGAGCGATGATGAGATTTCCACAGAGTTGAAAAAGAAGTCCGAGCTCAAGCCAGACTCGGATGTCTTGGACACACTTATGGGCGGTATACAGTCGAATGGGGACAAACCCTCGATTGAGGAGGTTCACCAGTGAAATATGAACAATTCGAAGTTGAGAATTCATGACAATTGGAAAATATAACTAGTGTGAAAAAACCTACCTAGTTATGCATCCTCAGGATCGAAGTCCCTGGGTGCAGTGCATGCTATTGTTGAGACCTTACGCCCCTGAACTATCCTTGTTATCACCATCTGAATGAGATCCCTTGTGATCTTCATCTCATACTCATTCCGTTCCAAATGCGATGGCATGCTCTTCGAATTACATGTTCAATTGATACCCATCATGTATGTAGCTGAAGCATAACTCAGCCTGCGTTAATCGTTGCCCCCCTTGATATTTCCTTCATTATCAAGCTGGGACACGCCATAAAACAAGACAGTTTAACATGCCAGCTGCTGCTTTGTCACATGGCGTTTCGTTCATTCGTCACATATCTAGCCTAATCATGATTCAATTCCAAGGTTTCTAATCATCTTGACGCGTCACATTCTCTCATTCCTTACAGACAAAACCCCTAGATTAGCCATACGATCACCTAATACACCAGAGAGTTGATGTAGTAGCCCTAGAGTCCTCTAATTTCCACTTCATCTGATCAGTCGAGTGACAAAACTGGCATCACTCAAGACCTGTTTCTTACTAGGTAGCTATACGCTCACTCCTTAACAAGTATGAGTCGTCTGCTGACTACCTCGAAACCTTGGAACAGCCCTAAACCCACGCTTTCATTAGCACAGCAATAATGAAGTTGACTGCTTTCCTCACCGCTCTCTCCTTCTCTGCTATCATTGCAGCAGCCCCCGTTTCAAACAACTCGCCTCGCGGGTTTTTACCAACTGCAGCCGACATTCTTGATAAGATGTACCCACACAATGGTGTACCACGTCTTGCTCAGAAGCTTGACAAAATTTTGAACGTTTGTCAGTACACTTAATCCCGATATCTGGGCTGTTCGGGAGCTGACAGTTTATAGAAATGACGACAAAATGCATGCCTGGACTGCCCGTTGCCTAAGTACATCAGGGTTTATGTCCCAGTCAGATGGAAACCTCCCAAGGCTGATTGATAATTAAGAGAATAGGAATCCAAAGCGAAGGCATAAAGTTGTCATTTATATCAAGTTCAGAATCATGTCGATCAGACATTGCTGTCGCCATATTTCCAGTAATACATCAAAGAAGGCGGGATCGGTCTACCTAGGTAGTCGGCTGAAAAGACCCCAAAGAGAATAAAAACATAAACATATCGAAAATCTATTTATATATGCATGGTCCCATCACATTATAATTAAAAGAAATGCTAGAAACGGTCAAGAAGTTGCATCAACGTCTATGAGACTTCCTTGACACGGCAAGTCCAGCCAGATTCCTGGCTAAGAAGAGGCAAGCTAGAAAAACAATGTCAGCATACATCAATGGGAATCAGAAAATATAGTGAGGGACTCACCTTGCACCGAGACACCAACCCAACTCATTGCCCTTGATCTTCTTGGCGATCTTGACCTCGCGGGACAAAGGCATCTCATAACCACTGTGCAACAGGCCCATCATGAAGCTCAAGTCCATACACCATTCGGGGCGGTCAAGAAGTTCCTTCATGGCACCCTCAACGCTCTTGAAGATATCCCAGCTATCCTCACCGGCACAGACAGTCGCAGTGAGATCGTGGAGCTCCTGGAGAGTGAATGAGGAAGGCATACCCAGAGGGTCAGTGCGGTCAAAGAAGTAAGAGAAGATATAGACATCCTCACGGGAGAAAGTCTTCGCCAGAGAAGGCTGGTGAACACCGTTGAAAGAGCAGGGGGCTAACTTGCACTCGGCGTCTTTCTTAAGAATCTTCTCGGCGATAGCACGGCACTGGGGGGCAGCGGACGAATCCTTAGGACCAACCATGGTAACAGTGACCTCAGGGGCAAGAGCATGGCCTTCGGGGAACTTTACAGTCACCTTACGCTCCATGTCAGGACCGATACAAGGGTTAGAGATGGGAGCTGCAAGCCAAGATCGGTCCTTAGGGTTATCAGCCAACATGGCCTCCAACACAACGGTGTGCATAGCCTCGCGAGCAGACATCAATCCATAGCCAAGGTGAGAGTGCTGGTAAAGCTCAAACTCCCGTCCACCAAACTTGAGCTCGTACTTGTGGTCACCCTCAGCCAAATGCTCCGGCATGCCGCCATTCTTCGCTTTCTCAAAGGTGGGCTGGAAGACGACCTGAGTTGAGCCACCACCCAAGTCGAAAACAGCAGCAGTGGGGTTCTCGTCAGGGCCACCAATCTTACCCAGGAGGTAGTTGGTAGTAATCCAAGCGTAAACACCTTCGTCAGAGCCATCCATGATCTGCACACCACCCTTCTCCTTGGAAACAACGGGGAAAGGATAGGAGGTCTCGAGACGGTGACGAACAGCATCCAAAATGTTGTTACTCAGCTCAGGGCCCAACAGACGAAGCCCGGCAGTGGCCTTGACGGCAACCGGGGAGCACGACCTGTAAGCGTCGGGTACGTTTTGCATGGCGACCTCCATTAGGGGATCCAGACTGCGAGCAGCACCCTCAGCATCCTCTTTGTAGGAGCTGAGACCTGAGCCACCACCGCCCTCCTTCTTCTTGGTCTGCTCGAAAACCTCATTCTCAAGTTCTGGGGTAGAGCCGCAGTTGTTGAATCGGTAGACGTGAATGCGAGATCCAGTACTACCAGCATCGATCATAAGCGCGTATTGAATCAAAGGTTTGGATGGATCAGAGGACTTCGTGCACTTAGTCGTAACACCGCCGGCCGCAGGTGCTTGTTCTGTTGAGATAGTATTAGTTTTGTCGACAAGATGCCATTCTCGTGGGGAAAGCGCATACCCTGAGGAAAGCCGGACACGGCAGAATTCGATGGGAACAGCCAAATAACGACCAAGAAGATGAACGCGATGATGGCGCCGGTCTTCAGGTATCGAGACTTTTGACTTTGTGCCATGTTGACGGTTCGTTTTTCGAATTCGCGTACAGATTGGACTGGCGGAAGAAGAATTGATCCAGCGCTTTGTGAGGCCGAACGTTGGCGAGGTAGTAAATCCTGATCTATGAGATTGGTTGGATATGATTTATTGTCAACTCCTGTCGACATGCGAGCAATCGGGAAAAATAAGTAGAAAAGACAGAGCGGCAGCGACTAGACGGGGTTGAAGATGGTGCGACTGAAATCAAGAAAACATTGAAACTCCGATAACAACGAGTCCAAGAAAGGGAATCGTGCTGTAGATTTAGAAAGAAGAAACACAGGGGAGAAAGGAGAGATTAAGGGTTTGAGTGGTGTGGCGCAGATGTGGCGGATTCACTGAATCCGGCTACTTTCCCCATACTTATTCTTCCGTCCGCGAATCGCCTTCAAGCTCTTCAGGTTCTCATCCTCATTCCACAGGCGACTGTTTTCGGCGTTTAATTCAACAACATCTTCAAATCTCCTCTCTCCTATTTTTCACGATGAACCATATGCGTGGTCTCGTTTCCAGCGCGCAGGCCCTGCGTCAGACATTCATCTCAACTCATATATCCTCCTCCGCCATTGGATTTGTACAATTTCTTTCTCCACTCCATGTTGTTCAAAAGAGATACTTCCAGCCCTCTTTCCGCCTCGCAGCTCGCCCTGCGCCAACTGCTCGCAAGATGTTGACGGCTGATGAGGCTATACGGGCACCTTATGTCCAAATAGTCAACGACGAGGGAAGCCTTAACGAACCTGAAAGGCTCCATGATATACTTGATTCCTTCGACCGCTCCAAGTTCTTCCTTCTTCAAGTTTCACCAGGGGGTCCGAGGGAACCCCCAGTGTGCAAAATTCTGAATAAGATGGAATATCGAGCTAGTGAAAAGGCTAAAGAGAAGGCGGCTAAGGCATCTAAGGTCCAATTAAAGCAGATCGAATTAAACTGGGCTATTGATGCACATGATCTTTCTCATCGCTTGAAACAATTGGCCACCTTTCTGGAGAAGGGGCGGAAGGTGGAGGTCATCTTGATCAAAAAGAAGCATAAGCGCTCAGCGACAGTTGATGAGATCAAGCATGTCATACAAAGTGTCATGGATGCCACAAGAGAAGCTGGAGGTACGTTGGTCAAGCCCATGGAAGGGGAACCTGGAAAGCAAGTTACTATCACGGCGAAGAAGGACTGATGGATAAGCTTGAGTCTTTTATCCCTTGTATATTGCTTAGGTATCATGATCAGTATACCTACCATCTGTATAAATATTATGAATGTAATTCTAGCTTCCAAAATCGATAAATTTTACAAAGTTATAGTGCCCACCCAGGTGCTCAGCTCAAGCAACCCAGAAAACCAGACATGAAAAGCATGAAATAATCATAAGCTTTCTTATAACAGAAGCAAAAAAGAAGATTGGCCAATCTGGATCATTTTTCATTACAGTTACTAGGCACTTTCTCGCTTTCTCAGGGCCGACTCAGACTTCCGTTTATGCACTTTTGTAATTACTGGATCATCCCTGGCCAAGTTGAATAGAAAAAACCCCAGACCGAACACCTAAGAAGAGAGACTCAATATGGACATGGTTGTTATGAATACAGGAGGAGAATGGATGATTGGTTCGCAGCGACCGAAGAGGTATAGGTTCGATCGCGTTGATAAATAGAGGAGGGGTTTTAAGCGAGAGCCTTCTGCTCAGTCGGGGGAGGAGGAGGGAGCTATTATGTGGAATCTAGTTAGCAAACACGTCTCTATTTCAGACATGTGAAAACCGTTGGTTCAACGTACCTCGAGCTTTGTGTTTTCGGCCATCATGCGTTGGAAACCAACTCCGACACCCTCGATCACTGCGAGGAAGACGGCACACATAATAGCGGAGTTCCGGGCAGCCTTGAAACCGCCACGGACAGCGAGGGAGCCACCAGTGAAGAAGCCGGCGATGATAGCATTATAAGGGTCTTCCTTCTTTCTAATACCCTTGATTGAGCAATCGAAGATACTGAAAAGGCCACCCCAAGTACCAAAGTTACCACCCAGGACGGGCGCGCGCGCCTTGATGGCTGTGAGAGCACCTATCCGGCGCTCACCGTAGGGGCTGTTGCGGAAGCCCTTGACACCGTGCCACACAGCACCACCAATGGCACCCATGCAGAAGGCACCGCCAAAGTCGCTCAGGGCAACCCAGGGGCAAGGATCGCGCGAGTGATCCATGATATGTGAATAGAGATGGAAACGGGTTTGAAGAGTCGGAAAGAGGAGGGTGGATCACCGGCAAGAGATCAAATATGGCAGGCGCTTCGGTAGTCGGAAGTCGATTTGCTCGGGGAATCAGTTGAGATACGAGTTCTTAATCGTAAAGAAGTTGAGTTTTGAAGAAATATTCAACCCAAGCATCAAAGTGGTTGAATGGACCGAGCAAAGAGAAGTAAAAATTGATCAGATTTTGATGAGAGGTATGGATTATTCCAAGGCCAGCCTTGATTCGCCAGTGAATGACTAAGCGTTACGGCGCCGAAAAATTGGCTGTTGATTCCGTCCTCGATTCCCGTCCCATCGACAATCCCTCTTGCTTCTATCTGTCCAATTCATCGTTTTTGCGTTCTGATCTGCAAGATGTCGAGCATCTCTCGTTCTCTGAACATCCTCGCACGCACCAGCCGGGCATCCCTGCTGCGCCCTCGCGCCGTCAACCCTATCCAACATGTCTTCGCTGGCACCCGTGGATATGCTGCTGCTTTTGAGCGTACCAAGCCCCATGTGAATATTGGTACCATTGGTCATGTCGATCACGGCAAGGTGAGATGCTCTTTTTATAATTTCCGGCCCTCCGCGCGTCTAACATGTTCTATTAGACTACCCTGACTGCCGCTATCACCAAGCACCAGGCCTCCAAGGGTTTGGCCAACTTCCTCGACTATGCTTCCATTGACAAGGCTCCTGAGGAGCGTAAGCGTGGTATCACCATCTCATCCGCCCATATTGAGTTCCAGACCGAGGCTCGCCACTATGCCCACGTCGACTGCCCCGGTCACGCCGATTACATTAAGAACATGATTACTGGTGCCGCCAACATGGATGGTGCCATTGTTGTTGTTGCTGCTTCCGATGGTCAGATGTAAGCAAAATCAATTGCCATTGTCAAACACAAGAAACGAAAAAGAAATTTGTACTGACTCGGTTTTCGTCAATTAGGCCCCAGACTCGTGAGCACTTGCTACTTGCCCGTCAGGTCGGTGTCCAGAAGATCGTTGTTTTCGTTAACAAGGTCGATGCTGTCGATGACCCGGAGATGTTGGAGCTCGTTGAGCTTGAGATGCGTGAGCTGCTCTCCACCTACGGCTTTGAGGGTGAGGAGACTCCTATCGTCTTCGGTTCCGCCCTCTGCGCTCTCGAGGACCGCCGCCCCGACATTGGTACTGAGCGGATTGATGACCTCATGAAGGCCGTTGATTCTTGGATCCCTACCCCCGAGCGTGACATGGACAAACCCTTCCTCATGTCCGTTGAGGAAGTCTTCTCCATCCCCGGTCGTGGTACCGTTGTGTCTGGCCGTGTTGAGCGTGGTCTTCTGAAGAAGGATACCGAAGTTGAGATTGTCGGTGGAGCCGAGGTCCCCATCAAGACCAAGGTCACCGATATCGAGACCTTCAAGAAGAGCTGCGACGAGTCCCGTGCTGGTGACAACTCTGGTCTTCTCATCCGTGGTATCAAGCGTGAGGATGTCCGCCGCGGTATGGTTGTCGCCGCACTTGGCACCACCAAGGCTGCCCAGAACTTCCTAGTTTCCATGTACGTTCTGACTGAGGCTGAGGGTGGTCGCCGCACTGGATTCGGCAGCAACTACCGTCCCCAGGTCTACCTCCGTACTGCTGATGAGCCCGGTGACCTTACCTTCCCCGGTGACGACCAGGGCAAGCGTGTCATGCCCGGTGACAATGTTGAGATGGTTCTCAAGACTCACCGTCCTGTCGCTGCTGAGGCCGGTCAGCGTTTCAACATCCGTGAGGGTGGCCGCACCGTCGCCACGGGTCTGATCACCCGTGTGATGGAGTAAAAAAAAAGTCTACTCTACTCAAATGGCTAGACAGCTCCGCTGTCCAGCTTCTGTATTATGACACCTTTTTCTTTTATTGTTTGTCTGTCCCATTATATTCAGAGCGCGGGAATCATTGATCAGCACTACGGGTAATCCGGAGTTTTCGCCTGGATCTTATTTCATGTACGTCTACTATATTGGAGATGTAGCTTTTATACCATCTCCCCTCTCCTATTAAACGGAAAGAATGTATCAAAATTTAAAATCAGTCAATTCTTCATCCTTTTTTTTTTTTTAACTCCCTTTGCCTTTTTTCCCTTTTATTCTAAACGCTCTTGTCGGCGTAAGTTGTGGCTGATCGGAATTCGGATCAAATAATGTAACGGACGGACAATCGGACGAAACTGGTCCGTGTTGTGGAATTATGTGATAATTTAGTGCGTCGCCTTTGCTGACTATCACTATTAGATCCCAATGGCGTCGTCTTTTGAACCCTTAGATCTCAGATTAAAATGCCACATATATAGGCACCTGGGCCGAAGTTATATTGCCCAAACGGTTTTATATCTTGCGCTTTAAATGACTACCAACAACGATTCTTCGACATCTGGAGCCGTTCCATGATCGACCAACGCGGTCAGGATAGCTTTGGTGTTAAGACTTCCTACTAGACTGTTGACCTCTTGCTTCCACATCGTACTCCATTCTTTCAGAGCTGAGTGACTTGAGAGTTGTCTTGAATCTGGGGTTGAGAGGAGCGATGGCTGCAGTGTCAGTCTCTTTGGGGTACTATCACCTTTGAGGACGAAGCACTGGTTGTCGCCAACATCCGTAACAACCTTGGAAGGCTTTCCCTGTCAAAATCATACTGCTCCTGGACATATTATTGCTATGCCATACTATTTACTCAGAGTTGAAGAGCTAAGTAATGCAGTATAACTACTTTGCGTTTTAATGTCGTCCGCTAGCGTCTGCTCACCATACCACTAACGGCCTGATAAATGGTGCTAAGATTTCGAAGTAACTATTTCAACTACCTAGGTATCTTCTCACGTTGAAAGCATCGCAATCATATGTTTGAATATATGAATAGTACCTAGGTAATTGAAACTAACCCAACCCCATCTATAAAGGAACTCTTGGTGTACATAACAACCACGACCCATATTATTATCGGCACGCACTCAGTTACACGAATCGCGGCATCTATCGCCACATGGCTGCTTATGTCTGGCCTAACTTCAATGGTTTATCTGTAATTTAACTTAGCTTTGACAACTACTCAAGACTGGATGCTTCATAATCAACTTTTTGTACATGTGACTTCCCCTTTGAGTTGACTCCAGAATACTTCCAAGATTGAGCCCCTGGGGCTAAGAATACATCCTCAAAGTCGATGAGCAGTCGATAAACGATAATTTACTTACTACAACAACCTTCCCCATCGCTTACTGAAAGCTCAAAATCAAAATGGAGTCCTGGTCAGATTCTCAGGGCCCTCCTCTCAAGAAAATGCGAAAAGGCACAAAAAGCTGCTCCGAATGCAAGTTTCTGACAAATTCAATCTATGATTCAATCTAACCCGCCAACAGGTAGACGGCGAAAGATTCGCTGTACCTACAATTCTGATTGTCCGGATGCTTGCAATGAGTGTCGTTTGAGAGGCTCGAAATGTATCACTCAGGAGCATGGCTCGGAGGATCCGCATATCGTTCCAAGTGCCCAGGCTGAACGATATAGCTTACGGGAGCGAGTTACTTATTTGGAGAATGTGGTTAAAGACTTAGTCAAACGATTAGATGATACCGCCGGCACCAAATCCAGTCGTAAGTACAAGTGCCAGAGGCGACGCATTACCACATAGCTGCTGACTTCCTCAAAGCCGAGAGAACCGCCGCGTCTGATTTAACGCCATCCTCAATTGAATGCGACAAATTGGGACCATCTAGTGAAAGGATTGAACATGCGCCAGTCATGCAGCTGTTTGACAACTACGTGGTCAGTCGACGTGAAGATTCATCCAGTGACGATCAATTCGCCGGCGCAAAGGACATGTCGGTCAAAGCACGAGCAGTAAGGATCGAGCTTTTAGCATTGTTTCCCCATGAACAAGATATCCGCAAGATCTTGTCTGCAGGCTCGAAAATATGGTGCATCTGGGAAGAAGAATACCCTGAGTTACGACATATATTTTCAATTGGCGCAAATGCCTGCGAGAGTACAGTCGCCCCCGCTGAAATAGCCAAGGCTCTGGTCTGCCTTTGCTTAAGTCTTCTGCAATCACCGCCTGATTTCAACTTTGGTGATCTACGGGCTCCTTTGGATATTCAGGAATTCACTTCCCGCTGCATGGAAGCGGTTGACCGATTAGTTGTCCGTGATGACGACTATGCGGCCACTCTACCTGGAATAGAGTGTAGTGAGCTCGTTGCTAAGTATCATTTGAATGAAGGTCGCCTTCGCAAGTGCTGGCTAGTGACGCGCCGAACTATTGAGTTTGCGTATCTCGCCGGTATGCATCTGTCTACTCGCACTCCTCAGCCGGGAGACACTCTATTCCAAAGACGCTTGAAGACTTGGTGCTTGTTGGGCTTTACGGATCGTACTATAAGTCTGATTCTCGGCCTACCCTACGGAATCGCCGAAAACTTTTACTTGCCCCAGATTGCACGACGCTTGCAAACGACCCCATCGGCTGCTGAGCAGTATATGCTGCGCATCGGAGTTGTCACTGGCCATATGTGTGATCGCAACCAGAATCCCTCTGAGATGAGTCTCGAAACAACCTTGAAGCTTGATCGAGAGCTACAGGATGCATGGGAGGCTATGCCAGCCGAGTTCCAGGGTATGGAAACCGGTTCAAATGAAAAGATCGCAGAGTTTAATGAGCGGGTCCCGCTCCAGTTCATGCCCAAGATGCTCCGTGCTCTTCTCCACATGCCGTTCATGCTGAAGTACCCGTACGATTCTCGATTCAGCTACTCTCAAAGGGCAGCTATCCAATCTACCCGTGAGGCCTTGGTCATATACAAGGTGATCCGATCCATTACCCGGTCTTATCTTTGCAAGATATTTGATTTCATGTCTTTCACTTTGGGTTTACTTATGATTCTTCATTTGATTGGATACTCCGAAGAATCCCCCGATTATGATCCAGCACAAGATGAATGCGACTGGAATCTCATCGGTGAAGTCATTCAGATTCTCCGCCAGGCTGCATCTCAAAGCGGTGGCTCTGTCGCCGCTGAATCTGCGAACATACTCAGCCAAATTTACGAATCCAGGAACAAAGCCAGGAATATCTCTTGCATGAACAGCTGTAAGATCTCTGTGCCATACTTTGGAACTATCACCGCAAGTGCGGGGGCCAAGTTCATCCAGCGCCAAAAGATGAATGTCAACACTGGCGAGTCCAGTCCGTCAACGTCGGCTACTTTATCGTCTAAACCTACTCCTACTCAAATTTATACCCCGCCTTTGTCTAATCCAGATCTGGGATCGACAGCACATGTGCACTCAATGAAAGGAGACACCCATATCGCTAATGGGGCTGCAGCTTTCTCCACAGTCGATCTAACCCAGCCATTCGGTCAAGGAGCAAGCGTCGAGGTGAATCCATTTGCAGGTCTAGAGTCCAACGTTTTCACTGGATTGTTTGACGACATAGGACAATATTCATGGCCTAATGCTAATATCGATCTTGGCTTGGATCAAGGCTGGAATCTGAACTGGCTTGAAAACCCCAACGATGCTGCCATCATAAATGAGAGTTGGAATAAGAATTGAAAACGTCTTCAGCTTTATAATAATTAAATTCAGTGTTAGAACAAAAATGCATTAATTGGTAATTTCCATCATATTGTGTTGTTGTCCTTATATCCTTGTCGTCGTAGTTCTTCGTAGTTAGTTCGTGTAGTCCGTGTAGTTCGTGTCGTTCCCCGGGTTTTTGTTATGTAAGAGAGCTTTGTCCCCCAGCAACTTAGCCATCCCCCAATGCAAGTTAAGCCACTTTGTTTTCTGAGAGGTTGCACCATAGATAGACCTCGGGGCTTTTCTTACCTTGTGATCATCCGTTGATCCACTTCCCATCAACTTCCCAACGAAGCTCTTCCGTCACTAACTCCTCTCGCCACCACTTCTCCACAACTCCTACTCCTAGTATTACTCCCTAATTCAGGGACCTAGCACCAAGATGAGCGAACGCCCCTCGGGAATGGGTAGGAATCCAACGGCACCTTCAGTCATGACAAATGGCCATTTTGCTACGATCGGCCGCGCTGATACCGCCGCCTACGAGCATGGCGTCCAGGTCATTGATGAGGATAAGGAGTTCAAGTATGATTTTCCGACTTAACGCTCTGTCATTCTCGAGTCAATTACTCTTCTTTCTCACTAACTACTGGAATCATCTTCTAGTCCGAATCTCTCCAAGTACCTGTCCCTCGAAGATGTTACTCCCGCCGGCTTTAATTACCACCTCATCTCCGTGTTTGGATCACAGTCGACTGGAAAGTCCACCTTACTGAACAGCCTCTTCGGCACCCAATTTTCAGTCATGGCCGAGCGAGAGCGAAGACAAACGACCAAGGGTATTTGGCTTTCAAAAAATAAGAAGCAGGGCGACAAGTCCGCGCCCGAAGGACAGCACATGGCGGACAACATCTTGGTTATGGACGTCGAAGGTACGGATGGTCGCGAAAGAGGCGAGGATCAAGATTTCGAGCGCAAGAGCGCTCTCTTTGCGCTTGCGACTAGTGAAGTGCTCATTGTCAACATCTGGGAGCACCAGGTTGGTTTGTACCAGGGTGCCAACATGGGACTGCTGAAGACCGTGTTTGAGGTTAACCTGCAGCTATTTATCAAAGATAAGAAGTGAGCACCAGGAGACCCCGGTTCCCTTTGCATACCAACCAAAGACTAATGAGCTTTTAGCACTACTCACCGCTCCCTGCTATTCTTTGTTATCCGTGACTTTATCGGCTCCACCCCGCTCATTAATCTCCAGCAGACACTGTTGGAAGATCTATCCCGCTTGTGGTCAACAATCTCGAAGCCTGCTGGGCTCGAGAAATCGACTATCCATGATTACTTCGATTTCCAGTTCTATGGCCTTCCGCACAAGGGTTACCAACCAGATCAATTCGTGACAGAGTGCAAGAAGCTTGGTTTCCGATTCCGCGAAGGACATCGGGATCCCAAGAGAGATGCGCTCAAGGGCGAGTTCTCTGAGGGAGGCGTCTTCCTGCCTGAATACCATCGCCGCATCCCGGCTGATGGTTTCTCGCACTACGCAGAAGGTATCTGGGACCAAATCGTCAACAACAAAGACCTGGATCTGCCTACTCAACAGGAACTGCTTGCGCAATTCCGCTGTGACGAGATTTTGCGCGAAGTGATGATTGGATTTGACGGGGCAATTACTGCATTTGAGGACAAGCAAGCTGAGGCTGTGCGCTTGGGCGCTCCCGCGGTACTCGGTGGCCTGGGTGCTATCATGCGCTCAGCTCGCTCGAAGACTCTCAAGGGCTTTGAGACCGAAGCTAGTCGCTACCACAAGGGCGTGTACGAGCGCAAGAAGGCTGAGCTGGAGGGTAAGATTGATACTCGTCTGAAGGCACTTTTCCACGGCCAGCTATCGGCTGCGCACAAGACTGGTATCAGTGATTTCAGTGACGCTGTCACTGAGTCGGTCAAGTCTGGCCAAAAGAAGGGTGGGAGCTACGATTTTGCTGAAATTGTCAATCGCGAGACCAAATCCTCTTTGGAGAAGTTTGAGGAGGTCGCCCGCTCAACCGTAGTTGAAGGCACCCCTTGGAGTAATTACAAGCAGCTCCTTAGCCTGTACCAAAAAGAACTGTCGGAAGTCAGCGGCCGTTTGCGTCGGGATGAGATGAGACGTTTGGCCACCCGCGTCGAGCGTTGGGTTCAATCTCGCCTAGGTGAAAGCGTGGGACTCGAGTTTAACAACCTAGGTTCTGGTCATGCCGGTGCTAGTACTTCGGAGAATGGTGAAAAGCACAACGAGAAAGCATTCTGGGACCAAATCTGGAATGTATTTGTGGAGACAGTCCTTGATGCCGAGCGAAGATTCACAGAGCGCGCCGGCAGCTTTGACGCCAGCCTGGAAGAGGTTGATGTAGGTTTGTGGCGCCTGCGACGCAAGTCTTGGGGTGTTCTGCGCTCCAAGATTGACGAGGAGATGACCGAGGGCAACTTGCTCTTGAAGCTGCGTGAGAACTTTGAAGATAAGTTCCGCTACGACGATGATGGCGTGCCACGTATCTGGCGCCCAACCGATGACATCGAAGGCATTTATACACGTGCCCGAGAGTCTACCCTCACTCTGATTCCCCTTCTTTCTCGCTTCCGTCTTTCAGAGACCTCTGCCCCACCTCCACTGGACCGATGGATCGGCCACACCCCCAGCTCCGCAACAGCTGCGGACGAGGAGGACCTAGTCCCAATTGGTGGTGTTGACGAGGACGAGGGCAAGAGTTTGGAAGAAGAGATGACCATTCTCAGCGACTCAAAGCGCCAGGAACTCACTGTACGATTCAAGAAGTCCGCAGACGGAGTTTATGTCGAGGCCAAGCGCAGTGCTATTGGTGGTATGACCCAAGTGCCCTTGTACTTCTACGGTTTGCTTCTCGCATTGGGCTGGAACGAAATTATTGCCGGTTAGATTTCCCAAAATCTCTCGTTTCATCGCAACTTGCTAACCTATCTTTTTAGTTCTCCGCAACCCGGCATACTTCTTCTTGCTTTTCCTCTGTGCTATTGGAGGCTACATCACCTGGCAGCTTAACCTATGGGGTCCCATCTTGAAGATGAGCGAGGCTGCATCGCAACAGGCACTTGTGGAGGGAAAACGCCGACTGCGCGATTTCCTCGAGTCGTCTGATACTGGTCGACAGGCCATGGCCATGTCAGCTGGAAATGGTTCGGGCTCGAGCAACCGAGAGGAGTATGAGATGTCAGACCTATCGAAGCGTGCAGACGCTAACGATGATCTGGATGATCTTTAAGCTCGATTATCGCATTACGTCAGAATGTACGCTCTTAATCTGTACTCTTTTATCCCAAGGTATATTTATCATAGAATGGCAATATGCTTATGACTTAAAAGTGGGTTTAAGGCATTATTTTGAGAAAAAAAAAAAAAAACTCACTCAATTGTAAGAATATCTCGATTCGATCAAATTCAAACTGCGGGGTGCCGACGTCAACGGATTTACTCCGATTCTCTATTTATTGTTATCTCCCCCTTTTCATCTTATCATGTATGCTAGTTTGAATAACATCCCTCACAACTCAGCTGCATAACCTAATACAGGCCATAGTTAAGCGAATATGACTGAGCTTCCACTGCCAGAAAAGTATGATGACCTCCCCGACAAGCGCAGGTACTGGCCTGCACCTGCAGGATCGGAGGAGGAAGGTCTAGGCATGCTCCGCTTGTTGACTCCGGAAGTAGTCGCGCACGCAGCGCAGACTCAGATCAAGACCGGCGAGCGAGTGTGTCTGAATTGGGATCTTGAGAATCTGACACCACCAGGTATCGTCCCCAGAGAGTCCACTCTATAATTGCTCAAAAAAAAGCATCAAAAGAACGTACTAACGTGCCCCAGGATTCGGCCGCAAGTCATTTGAGCACAAAATCAAATGGGTAGCTGAGGGCGTTGCCTTCGACGACGAGTACCACTTCAACCCACAACAATCCTCCCAATGGGACGGACTCCGTCACCACAACGGCCCAGCCCCAACAACCTCAGACCCCTCACTTAGGCTCTTCTACGGCGGCACAACAGCGCAAGAAATCATAGCTACAGACTCCCCTCGCATTGGGCTGGGCTTCTGGGCCAAAAAGGGCATCGCCGGCCGCGGCGTACTGATAGACTACGTCTCATACGCAGCAAAAAAGGGCATAGCCATAAACGCACTAACCCGCCAAATGGTCTCCCTAGACGAAGTGCTCGAGATAGCACGCGAGTCCAACCTCACTTTCCAAAAAGGCGATATCTTCTTCCTGCGCGTCGGGCTCCCAGCCACATGGGCCGCCATGTCTGCTGAGCAGCGCACGACATATAGTCAGCAGAAGGTGCCGCAACATGCTGGCATTGAACAGAGTGAGCGGGTTTTAAGGTTTTTATGGGATAATCACTTTGCTGCTGTTGCATCTGATGCGGTTAGTTTTGAAGTTTTCCCGCCTTTGAATGAGGAGTTTGATTTGCATCATCATATCTTGGCTGGTTGGGGTGTGCCTATTGGGGAGATGTTTGATTTGGATACTCTGGCTACTACTTGTCAGAGACTGGGGCGTTGGAGCTTTTTTATCTCGAGTAGTCCGTTGAATTGTGCTCGTGGTGTGTCTAGTCCGCCTAATTGTATGGCTATTTTCTAGTCTGGGTTCAATACACTTTGGCAGTTCCTTGGATTGCGACTCTTCACTAAAGAAGCGCTCAGCAATTCAAGTACCTCCATATAATCTCAAGTTTCTACATTAATGATACATATGACCGTAGAGTGAGGGTTGATGATTTAGGTAGTACCTGGTGAGCTTAGGACCTCGGGTCCTCTACCCTAAATATTGAGTAGGAATGCTCAAAATGCAAATAAACCCCTAGTAGTTCTGTGGCTCTGATACTCTCATATAAATTTAGTTTATAACTATCTTTACCGCCAAACACGAACTTTCAACAAAGATCTGGGAGCGATTTATAGTTACAGCACAAGATATAGCGCTCCTTTTCATCTTCTATTCATCAAATATAGGTGAATATTCCGGTCTGGCATTTTGGAGCGGGGTATGTATATGGAGCTTGCTACTTGCGCATAATCTTTTTCAAAAGGCTCTAGTTGAGGACTGCAGGCGCAAGTGTAGGCCCTTACAGATAGTTATGACTATAGATATGAGAGGGCATATATACCTAGGTATAGACTAGACATGTCCTTTCGCTCTTTGCTGGCTTAGGTGTCCGAGTAGGTGCTTTTATTAAATCTAGCTTATATCGCTCCTCTAAAAAGTACTCATATGTTTGTCTAAATTCTCTTTCTAATAAGAAATTTACGATTATACCAATATGGATGATAGAGTATCTAGAATTTCACTTAGTGCACACTGCAGATTAAAAGCGAGAAACCGATACACTAGGTCATAATGGATCCTAAGTTCTTAAAGGCTGCGATGAGAGTATTAGCATAATCCGTTCAGTCTCTTATATGGCCCCGCTTTTCAGACTTTAATCGCAGTCCAAGTTGCTTAATTAAATTAGATTACCTGTGTCAGGCACCTTCACAACTTGCACCTTATTCAACTCTCACTGCCATTCTTGGAGAAGATATGACGGCTGCAAGCCATATTGCTTTGCTCGGGATTAGCTTACTTGTCCATAAAATGATGTTGTTTCGTTCAATGTCCTGGTGCTCTACTGGGAACAGCGGTAGAATGAGACCGGATTTGTTCTAATATCCTCAGAGCGTCTTGGGAATGGTGGCATGCTATCTTAATATGCTGAGCTGCTGAGCTAAGTTTCCTGCGGGAACTAATACCTTGGTCTGTAACCTACCATGCTCGCATAGGAGCTGGCCAGGAATCTTTGGTGACATCAACTTCTCGTGGAAGATGTAGGTGATGATAAAGCGGAAGGAGAGTCTGGAGAGGACCTCTTTGCAGGGTGAGCATTGGAGCCTTGAGCGAAGTCGAGCTCTTTTTTATCCAGTTTCTGGAATATCGGATAGTCCATATGATTAGTGACTAACTTAATAGAATACTTATATCCGCTTTTCAGGCCCGCCTCAATTGCCGACTCTATATCAAAGGATGAATTAGCCAATATCTTAAAGGATATAGCAATCTCTATTTAATCATAGCTCTTTACCTCTAATCCTACATTTAATAACCTTCCTGTCTCTGTAGTGAGCCGAAGAAACCTTTAGTGTTTGAGTATCCGAGGACACGGTGAGCGGGCCTGGAGGTGTAAAACCTGCCATGACCGACAGATATATGGGGGTACTAATATAGACTGTGACTGAGAGATGTGAGGGCCTGACGGAGATGATTCAAAGAGGGAGAGTACGAAGGGGAATACTAAACGTGTCATTAATGTACATTAGCTTATTCTACAAATTGTGTTCCACAATTTTTCATAACCGTATGAGTAACGCTAATTAAAGAGCTATGATATAGTGTTTAAAGTGACATGCTGTTGCCGAAATTCCAAAAGGTTAGTACTCTGACAAGAAAAAGAAGTGTACATTCGAAGTAAGGTAGCTGGTTTTCATTATTTCAGTACTAGACTATGCTTGTACAGAATACCTTCAACCAAAGTTTCATATATGAATATGGATGAGCTCCGTTTTCTGTTCTTTTTTGGAGGGAAAAAGGGAAAGAAAGAAAGACAAATTATGACACCATGTGATTTCCATAGCCATAGCCTCTGATGAGAATCCCATACCAGCCTGGAAGCAATTTCTGCTACCAGTAGTGAACGGACAGCGACCATGAAAGAGCTAATTAGCTCATTTATTCAAATTCTTCATGATCCACATCTCCCCATCAAAAATCCCGCCCTCAAATCCAGCGACTCCGTCCGCAGTCCTTCTGTAAACATACACATTCGACATCTCCAATTGGTCCACCTTTAGGGATAGCCAGATGATTGCGCTATTCTCTCCCACGGCCTCAACTCTATGGCCGATGACTTCAGGCAGGCTTCCCACCCTATCTAGAACCCCTGCAATCAATGGCGTAATAGGCGATGGGCCAGATAATTGTATAAGCCGTTCCTCCGTGGAGAAAGAACTGTTAGGAAGGTAATAGGTGGCCATCTTGGTAGCACGCTCAGTCGAGGTTTTAGAATCGGGCGAGAGGAGTGTGGCGCAATAGGAGGCAATGTGAGTCTCAGCAGCAGCACTGATGCTGGTGGTATCTTGTTTGACAGCCATGATGATCGATCTTGTCTTGAACGTAGTTTGACAAAGCGTAGATTAGGGACGGTGGATATGATTTGTAGTCTGTTTGTTCATTTACTTCTAGCCGAGACCTTGAGTTCTTATAGGTATCAGTTCAGATTGCCCGACATGTCGACTTTCTCTTGTTTCACCGTAACTTGGACATTCGTCGGATGAATTGGCCGATTGCAGATATAAGTTATTGTCGGTACACCTGTATCAAGTGTGGAATAGCTATTCGATAGGCTAACGCCCACTTCTGACACCTATCACAGGTAACGCTTTACGCCCCTATGATATCTGTGTGTCCTTTGAAGTGGTTGTAAAGTCTGTTTTCATTCTTAGTTTGCTATCTATTATAAAGTAATAATTTGATCACATGACTGCTTTGTTCCATATTCCAACAGTTATATCCATCCGTCTTTCGGATTCCAGGTCGGGGCAATTCGGCCGATTGCAGACTTATATTTATCCGTCTTTGGGATTTTAGGTCGGGGCAATTCGGCCGATCGTAGAATTACTTTATATATCCACCTCTTAAATTCCAAGGCACTGTTATGGTAAAAGATGAGGTACGAACATTACTATTCGTTGGGTTATGTATATTATATATGAAGCGAGGCATATTGACCCTGTAGTATTTTTGATGAATCTCGTAATTACAAATTTCAGTCTAGGGCACGAACTAGATATTCCATGTACCCACTAAATCTGAATCCAATAAAGTATCAAAGAGTATCATATCCGTTTCCTGAGTTGACCATTCACCGAAGAGAGTATCGTTCTGGATGGAAGAATCATCAAAAGGCTGAAAGTGACCCCCGGACAGCTGTAGAAACGTATTGATATTCTCAGTATAATTACCACTGCCATCACTCACTGCATGACATCGAGCTACTACCTCTTTCCGAAGACTTCCAGAGTAGACTCGAACTCGATCAAATTACATCATATGACGTCGAAAGGGACGATGACCAACGTTTATTAAACGACGAGGTTGGTCAAAGCAACCAGAAACTAAGTATACTCCAGTTTGAAGGCTGGAAAGGCTCCATGTTTTGGGCCTTTGTTGCGAGTTTGGTCGTTCTGGTTTTCAACATAGGGTTTCTGCTCTATACGGCACATCGCAAAGACACAGTTTTGTTTAAAGGCGATTGTGAAAAGGTGCATAATATCAGTATTGGTTTCCATCTGCTGATTAACATACTGGGCACTGCTGTTTTAGGTGCTAGTAACTTCGGGATGGTAAGAAAATATCTTTCTTATTCGTCATATCAAAAGTACAAGTACCTAATGATTTTCTTCAGCAATGTTTATCTGCCCCCACAAGAAACGCTGTAGATAACGCACATCGACAGGGTAAATGGCTCGATATCGGAGTGCATAGTATTCGAAATTTGCTGAAGGGACCTAAAAGGCACTCTCTCTTATGGCTATGCCTAGCGCTCTCTTCGCTTCCTTTTCATATGTTGTATGTGATTTTCTCCTCCTATTCAGTATAAGGTTGACCACTTAATAATGATAGGTACAACTCTGCTGTTTACCAAACAACAGCATCATGGGCTTATCCAGTATTCGCTGGTTCTGGGTCTTTTGCACAAACTGATTGGAAAGACATACATCCCATGGAGGGGACCTGGGGCGTGCAAACTCATGATTGGGAAAACTCATTAAAATACTTTCATTCTTCGGCAATGAATGGGAGTCTGGAACATCTCAACAACTCCGAATGTGTGACTACATTTACGCAGACTTTCGAGTCACAATACGACAAACTGCTTCTTGTGACCAATAATATGAGATTCAATGATTCTAAGTATGACTTTCTCGCTACGGGTCGCACAAATAATGGCCCAAATGATGATATTGGGAGTATTTGGGCTTCATACGAATGGCTATATGGATTAAGTTATGTTGACAGATCATATTGTCCCTTTGACAATAGTGATATATCCACCTTCAGATCACAGATCGCCAATAATAATAATAGTTGGTATATCGGTAGATCCTCAGAAACTTTGGAAATAAGGTGGAAGGTTGAGTATTGTCTGGCCGAGAAAGCGTCTCAGTATTGCAAGCTACAATACTCGTTTCCTATAACAATTACTTTGATTGCAGTGAATATCGTTAAGTCTATGATTTTGCTGTATATATGGGTGGGCTTGTATGATCCCCCGATCTTAACGATCGGCGATGCCATTGCGTCTTTGCTTCAGCGCGAGGACATATACACACAAGGTGGCTGTCTACTCACCTGGAAAGATAAAACGCGTCAAGAAATCAAGCCTAAGCCGTTTCTTAGAAAAAAGAGACGATGGGGCTCAGCTGTTTCCATTTGGAAGTGGATAAGTCTTATAGTTCCGTGAGTGATCCGAATTTCTAGGTCTTCAAGCCTAACTTATCAATAGCTGGGTTTGCGTTGCGGTCGCAAATATCTATCTCTTGAAATACGCAGAGAGTAGGATGGGTCCTGATGACAGTAATTTCTGGGAACAAGGACTAGGGACCGCAGGCTCTGAAAACCTGGTGACGGGTACCAACTGGCCTAGCTCATTTGTTCCTATTGTCCTCATCGCCAACTCTCCCCAATTGATCTTCTCCATCCTCTACTTCACCTTCAATGGCTTTCTGACCTCAATGACTCTCGCGGCTGAGTGGAGCAATTACGCCATCCACCGCAAAGGCCTCCGAGTCTCAAATAACCCGCGATCATCCCAACGAAGCAATTACTTTCTTTCTATGCCATATCGCTACTCTGTTCCACTCATGATCACATCGGCAATTCTCCACTGGTTAATTTCGCAAAGCTTTTTTGTGGTAGCGGTTGAATATTACTCCAATGATGGGCCTCGAAATCATTATTATCTGGATTAATGACTTGCGGCTGGTCGTCCATAGGCGCTGTCAGTGCTTTGTTAGTTAGTGCTTTTATGTATCTATGCCTTATTGGAACTGGGCTCAAACCATTCAAGTCAGCAATGCCGGTGGCAGAAAGCTGCAGTCTTGCTATTGCAGCCGCGTGTCACCCTGCCTTTGACCCGAATAAGGAAAGGACCGTTGAAGACAGAGAGGATGTCAATATGGCACTTATGCCTATCCAATGGGGAGCAGTAGCGGTTGGTGGACCTATTGGGCATTGCACATTCACTTCGGAAGATGTAGAAGCACCAGTGGAGGGGCAGTTATACAAGTGATATATCGCGGTATAAAAAGTGAAGTCAAAATTCTAACCCGTGGGGGTTGGATGCATTGCATCCCAATTCATTTCTTGAGTGCATCCCATTTACCTTTTGGGCTTGTACGAGGCTGGAAATTTCAGAAGTTTGAAATTACTATAAGTTCTATAATAGTTTTCAATTTCAAGGTCATCAGTTATTAGGAAAAGCTGTGGTGGCTAACCCTAATTTCGGAGATATTTTGATGGGGTGCGGTCGCAAAATGATAATATAAATGACATAAATAGCTAACGTCGGCTTCTACTTGCACTTTGCTATTTTGAAGTCCCCCCAGAAAACTCGCCCTTAAGCTCAAGCTCTGAGGAGAATCACCCGCCCATCCAGGCTATCAAGTTGCGATGCATGAGCGATGAAGAGGAAGAGGAAGAGCAAGAGGATCCTATGAGACTTTAGAAAAGTTTAACAAGCTTGGGACCCAGGAGTTTCTCATCCTTACTGAACTAACATCCAAACTCTGCGACTCATTGTGGAACCTCATCGATTGCAAATACCCGAGTCTCAGGAAAACATCTATTCCAGAATATGGGATATTGGAGCTCAAAATGCCATCGTGGGCCCATCAGAGTGTTTTGTCATGGCTGATAATATGTCGTGATATATGGTCTGAAGCCAATCTCCTTGAAATACCTGAGAAACGGGATCTCATTTTTCTTGCATCTCCAAATGTCGACCTATTAAACCCAATCCCTAATCCTCCACCAGCACGCCTAACAAGACACAAGAAGAAGGAACCCGACACTGCCACAATTTGCATTCGCGCTCCACCCTCCGCTCCTGGGAAGTCTGCCGTCCCATCAATACTTGTCGAAGCTGGCTATTCTCAGTCCTACAAAAGCCTCGTGGAAAATGCCCGCAAAATCCTTATTGGGGGTGCGCCCGCTGTACAGCTCGTCATGATCGTCAAATTCTTTAAGCGTAAACTCGGGGTCGCTGTCCGTTTAGAATTTTGGAGGCGAGATCTAGCTGGGACTCCTTATCTTGCGGAAACACACCATGTTTTCCCCATTCCTCTTACTCATCAAAGCCCCATCTTCTTCACCCGCGAAGAGCTATTTGGGACGGGCTTCGTCTTTCCACCCCGAAACTTGCAAGATCGGTTCCACCTTGACATTAACGAGCTACGGCGTCTTGCTACCATTTTCTTGTCTCATGCCGGACTTATACCACATCCTTGAGTCGTCGTCCGCTTGCTATTTCATTATAATATATCTAATGTATGATTAACTGCTGTATAGTTTCTAGGTTATCTCTGCTTACTACTTCGTCTACTGTATATTCAGCCATGGCTAATTAGTACCAATTCAATCGCGTGGTAATAAAATCACTGGCTTAAAAACTCCTCCGATCAGTTTTATTGATTCTTATTGATTTTGGACACTTCATCTCTCTCTAATTCTTGTGAACTACGCACGACTGACTCCACAGGGGCTTGCAATCCTGGATGTTGCTCGGGCTCACATATCATGTTGCCATATCTATGGAGCCGCAGAAGCTTGGCTAAAATCTACAGTAAGAAAAAACATGTGCCAATTATTTTTGAAAGCGGCCAGAGTGTTCACTTCTCGATCAGCATTTCCATGGCTGCCAATGTCACGGGCGGCGGGAAATCCTTCATATCAATGTTGATCGACATTTTGAAATTCCAAGTTCAAATTATCAACTACCAAGGATTCCCTCCTTCGCATGCGCGCGAGAAATGGCGACTCAGGATTCACGCCTCAGTGGTGATTATAACCCTTTCGGAAAACCATGGCTACCAAAGTTTATTCAACGAAACCCACGCATCCATTCTTGTATTGGCCGATGCATTGATGTGTCACGAATTCATGGAACACATCCAGGAGCTATCTAAGAGTTTTATAGCCTATTTGCAAAGATTAAAGAGCAATATGACATACTACTAGACAATATTTGGAATATGAATAAGTATGGTATTGCTCTTGGAGTCTGTACAAGTTCCTATGTCATTATAGAGCCTTATAAGAAGCATACATTTGTCAAATTGCCAGACAATCGCGAATGGGTGTTAATTATCAAGACAATAAGCCTAACTGGCTGTACGGTTTGTCCTCTCGTCATCTTTAAAGGCAAAAACCAATAGACATCATGGTTTCAAACTGATATTTCCGAATGGTTTTACAATACATCAGAGAATGGTTAGACATCATATTCAACGAGGAATTAAGTAGCTTGACTGTTCCTGCACATGACACAGATACCTCACGATTCCACCCCGAATTGTTTACGTTCTTCAAGGATTTTGTACACAGCATGTGCCTAGCTAGTTCTGAATTCAAGATTAGCTTTAGCCCTTCACAATAGTTTTGAGATAGACACATCAGCCGTTTTATTGGTCAGACTGAAAATGGTAGCAGTTCGTGCTACCATGGCCATGCAGGCATGCAAACATGTTTGTGCCACTGTACATGAACATAAATGTTGACGAAGACGATGTATGGTTCGAAGGATCTGAAGGATTTGAACGATAAGCGAGCCGCTGTTAGATCGCAAAGAATAGAACTTTTTGAACATATGGATCGAGGGTTTCAAGCTTAGATCGCAAAAAGCATAACATTTGACATTGGAGGAATCGGCTAGAATAGGGGGGCTGGTATAGAAACACCCAATAGTGGGTACTAGAGACACTCTCCAACTATATTAGGACTAGTTTCTGCCTGGTTTATGCCTAGTTTCTGCCTTATTACGCAAAATAAATATGGAAGGCATCAATCAGGTTCGCTTATTTCCTAATACGGAGAGGTGTCTTTGTAAAGATAGTAAAGTGGAACCCCAAAGATAGCTTATTTTGACTTTTTTTACTCCGTACTTACTTTCCTTATCTTTTAAATTGTCTATTACGGAACCGTCATCTTTTGATAGGCACGATCTACCTGATAAGCATAATGTCTTGAAACTCGCCATTTTTTCCTTTAAACCTCCCTAAACCGCGGTCCGAGACCGCGTTGCGTATCTTGTCTACATCTCTACAAGCGGGGTGCTTGTACTACACCTTATTTAATCCTTGCGCATCCATATTTTAACAACTCTCCCCTTTACTGGTTCTAGACTCCGTCCAGTCTTGAATCATGCGCAATTCTGTCGACGCCACTGCCGACGAGGCACTAGCCCGTATGGGCTACAAGGCAGAACTGCCTCGAAATCTGAGCATGCTAAGCATTCTGGGTCTTTCCTTTGCTATCATGGCTGCTCCTTATGGACTCAGTACTACCCTCTACATTACCCTCAACGATGGATTGTCAGTTACCATCATCTGGGGTTGGGTATTCGTCACCCTCGTCTCTATCGCCATCGCCGCTTCACTTGCAGAGATCTGTGCTGTCTATCCTACCGCTGGTGGTGTATACCACTGGAGTGCTATGTTGGCATCACGAGAGTGGGCCCCAATCATGTCATTTATCGATGGATGGCTAGGACTTGTTGGCAATTGGACCGTCACGCTCTCTATCATGTTCGGTGGTGGACAGGTCATTCTGAGTGCTATCTCCCTTTGGAACGAGGACTTCGTCGCCAATGCCTGGCAAACTGTATTGACGTTCTGGGCTGTTTTGCTGGTCTGTACTCTCATCAACATCTTCTGCTCACGCTACCTCGATCTCATTAATAAAGTCTGCATCTTCTGGACCGCTGGTAGCGTCATCGTCATCCTGGTCACATTGCTAGTCATGGCCGATGACCGTCGCTCTGGAAAGTTTGTATTTGGAGAGTATGACGCTTCCAACAGTGGTTGGCCAGCGGGGTGGGCGTTTTTCGTTGGCTTGCTGCAGGCAGCATATACCCTGACTGGATACGGTATGGTGGCAGCCATGTGTGAGGAGGTGCAGAACCCCGAGCGCGAGGTACCCAAAGCCATTGTTCTTTCTGTCGTGGCAGCAGGTATCACTGGTCTCTTCTACCTGATCCCGATCCTGTTTGTGATGCCCAAGATCGAGATGCTGCGCAACGTTGCCAATGGACAGCCTATTGGATTGCTATTCAAGACCGTCACCGGTTCTGCTGGAGGTGGCTTCGGCCTACTATTCCTCATTTTGGGAGTCATGATGTTTGCTGGAATTGGCTCCCTCACTGCTGCAAGTCGTTGTACGTACGCCTTCGCTCGCGATGGGGCTATCCCGGCTTTCCGGATTTGGCGCAAAGTCAACAAAACGCTAGATGTACCCCTGTACTCTATCCTCCTTTCCTCTACCGTCATTGGCCTCTTGGGACTCATTTACTTCGGCTCCACTGCAGCTTTTAACTCTTTTACGGGTGTGGCTACTATTTGCCTTTCCGCCTCGTACGGCCTACCTATTCTCATCCTCATGGTCCGGGGCCGTAAGGATGTTCGGAACTCAGGGTTCTCTCTCGGCAGATTTGGATTCATCATCAATGGTATCACAGTGGTCTGGGTGGTGTTCTCCATTGCCATCTTCTGTATGCCGGTCACCTTGCCCGTTACTGCCCAATCCATGAACTATGCCAGTGCGGTGTTTTGTGGATTTGGATTTATTAGTCTTGCGTGGTACTTTATATACGCACGTAAGCATTTCACTGGACCCCCTGTGTTCGATGAATCCGGGGTCATTGGTGTCATCTCAGGATCCCCCTTAGAGACTGAGACCACTTTTACGGAGAAGACGGAGGAAAAACATATCGGCGAAGAAGCCTACAATTGAGCATGTACAATATATTTAAACGTATTTTAATTCATCAAACATCTATATTTCTAACCCCAAGAGAAGAGTCTAGTAATCGTAATAAGTAAATTATACAAGGTTGATCTTATCTGGAAATGAATCACCAGTTGACCTGTCGATCGATCTCCGACAGCCGCCATATCGCATCAAACACGCCACCCTTGTACTTGAGAGACACGGGGTAAGCTTCAATATATACTGGAATCACTTTCCTGAATGGGTTAAATTGACAACTCAGCACATCTCCAACCTTTCGAATAGTTGTCGCGTGCGCGGGGAACCGCCACTTTCCCGAAGGGCTCAGCAAGAACGAAGGGGAAAAAGGGACACAATCTTCGGGTCGCGACTCACTAATTCCACTCTGATACTCCCCCTGGTCAACTCTATCTCAGCATCTCACCTTCTTCCCCATCTCGCTCTCCATGAGGCTCAACCACAATTGCCGAGGCCCAACCCCGCTTCCATGAAGACAGGGCAGACCATCGGACCGCATCTTCTAGCGTCAGCATGTCGGACTCTGTAGGTACGTTGGACCTGCATATCAACCCCCTTGCTGCCGTGCAGCCTGTATTGACATCTTTGCTTCGCCTACCCAGATCGTGTATTCGTTCATGCCCTAAATACCGTCAAGAGAATCCCCCGGACGGGCACGGCGCGCCCGCCCGCGGCGGAAAGGTTGATGCTCTATGGCTTATACAAACAGAGCATGGGTAAGTGGGCATCTCTACCGATGTTTTCAAGTCTTTTGAAGATGTAGATTGGCTCATATATCCTTATCGCAGAGGGGGATGTGGAGGGCGTTATGGATCGACCGATTGGGATTTCCCCGGAGGTGCAAGCAGAGTGTGAGAAATGGTATGTCGCATGATATGGCACTCAATAATCCTGGTACCCAGATTCGCGGGAGATCGCTAGATACTGATATGAACTAATAGGGATGCATGGTATTCGCATCGCGACCTGTCGCGCACTGAAGCTAAACGTCGCTATATCTCTACTCTTATTGATACGATGCATGCATATGCATCGCAAACACCCGAGGCTCGCGAACTCGTCGGCGAGCTCGAGTTTGTATGGGACCAAATCAAAAATAATGCTACTTCGTCGTCATCGTCAGGACCTTTAAACGCCGTTGGCGTGCCGCCCTTATCTCGATACCAAGGCAGTTCGTATGGGAGTATTGGAGGGCGGCTAGATGGGTTAGTAGACCAGTATGATAGGCCGAGTTCGCGATATGGCGGCCAGAATTCACAACTACGAGTGCTCAGCCCCGTCAGTCAGCCGGAGGAAGAAGATTACTACCGGCACCGACGACGGCGGGCGGGCCATGACAATGAAGACGAGGAACATGTCGATGACGAAGACGAGGATGAAGACGAAGAGTATGAAGAAGCCCGTGACAGTCTCTACGAAGATCAAGATGAAGATCAAGATGAAGACAACCTCAGCACCCAAACCGGCACAGACCACGCCTCCCATCAACATAAACATACATCATCCAAAGCCAGCACCCACTCCCGCTGTAATTCCCACAACCAACATAATACACGAAGTGGCCCCTGGCGCCGCAGAGTCGAGCAGGCCTTGACCAAGATGACCGCTGAAATCGCCGCAATGCGCGAGCAGTTGGAAGTCCGCACATTAACACATCGTCGGCGGTCAGGTATCCTGGCCTGGCTTAAGTGGATTCTCTGGGCGTCAATGCGCCAGTTCGCCTGGGATCTTGTTATGCTAGGCATGCTACTCATCTTAATGCGGATCCGTGGAGATCGGCGGCTTGAGCAGCGCTTGCGCATAGGCTGGTCAGAGTTCAAGGCACGGCTGGGCCGTTTTAATAGCCTCGGCCGAGTACCATAGAGACCTGTTTCTCTAATAAGATGAGACTGGTTTTGTTTCTCATTCGGTCTACACTCTTTCTATCTCGGGGAAGAGCGATTTTACTTTACTAGTCTATTCTCCTTTTTTTTGTTTTTGCATTTCTATCTCCTGTTCTGTTAATATTCATGTCCGGAGTTGGGAAATTTGGATACTTCTGGCTCGACTTATCTTTCTTTTGTCTAGTACATACGGGTTTTCAATTTGAGATATACTGGGTTTCTCTTTCAGGGTCCTTTTGGTCGTTCTTCTTTATTTCGTTCGTTACTTGGCGTGTATGATATAGAAACGATCCCGGGATGTACTTCATACCTCCAGGACTAGGTAGACTAGATATTAGAGGGAATCTTGGAAGCCCTTGAATCCTCGAGAGGCAGTAGGCTTCGATGGATTGAAGTACTTAGAACCCATCCATATACACCTGCACTTCAGATTATATCAAGCTCATAATTTGGGGGAAATTGAAGAACCAAGTTCACTTATCATATTGCCACGAGGCATTGGTATTAAACAAATGAAAGGTAATCCAAGTCAATCAAGCAGAAATCATATCACCATTCCTGATGCCAATAGCTATTTACACAAAACATACACCGGACTAAGATGTGACACGAGCGCCAGTAGCGCATCCAAGGGAGAAAAAAACAGGGAGATAAAGAAAAAAGAAGCCTCGGCCTTCAACGGCATGATAAGAGGACGCTCACTTATAAGTGGAGAGTAATTTGAGCGGAATTGTGTTTACTAATCCCATTTTCGTAGAATTTTTTTAAATTTAGAACTGCGCACCGGGGAATTGGGCGTACTTCTGTTTGGGACGCAGGTGCACGGGAACCTGGTTCTCGGGCGCACCGGGGATAACCTTCTGCAGGCTCTGTAGAAGAAAAGAAGAAAAAGGTTAGATATGACAGGGCTGTAGAGAGAAACGGCAACTGGATAATTGGGTGTAGGGGTAAAGTAGGGCTGAGAAATTGCATACCAAGTTGTCAAAAACGCATTTGTTGAGAGCCTGCTCAGCTCTGCGGCACTCGAAAAGATAGTGGTTGTTGTTCTCGAGACAGTTATAGTGAGCCTGGAACTGGCTTAGGCAGTGGGTGTTGATATCTTTGATACTATAACGCTCGTGTCAATAATCCGTCACTCCGCAAGTTCAAGCGGGCAAGTCCAAGGAATAAAGAACATACACGCTAGCAGCGCAGCGCGTCACCTTCCGGCCCTCCTTCAAGCACTCGATTTCACCACGTCCGTTCGCCTCGTTCTTGCACTGCATGAAGTCATCGTTAAAGGCCTTGCACCGGGCTCCGATGAAGTAGGCCGCGCTCATCATGGGCGCAGAGGTGGCACCAATCTCCTCCACCTTGGGGATGTGGTCCGGCATGGGGGTGGTGTCCACGAGGACATGCTGGTTGAACCTGTTCGCCGAAGGATAGTAATGTTAGTTCGGTTCTAGCGTGGCATAATAGGGAGCTGCCTGTTTTGAGGGCAATGATAAAGTGACTGGCCGTACCGAGGATCTCTTTGGGCCATTGTGACGGTAGATTATCTGAGCGGAGCTGGGTCGGGCGTATAGATGCAATTGACGGGGGAGGACTTGGTCGAGAGCTGCGGGTTGCGGTGGAATGAAAGGTCGGTTTCTTTGGCACAGCGTTGATTGGCTGGTATTGTATGCTGAGGTAATCTCACCTTCTTAGCAAGAAGTTGAATAAACAGAATTTAAGACAATAAATGGATTACAGTGAGATAAGATAGAAGAAGAAAGGTAAAAATAAAAAAATGGAAGCCAATCCATAAATACTATCAAAACAGTTTTAAATCGAGCCTAATATAGTGTTGCGTTGCCTTCATTAAGGACTTTCGATCTCGAAGTAAACGTATTTCACTCACGTGATCTAAACAAATCAGCTCTGATATCTTTCCCTCGAGCTCGAGCACCATCAGTGAATTTCCCCTCCACAACATAACCCATCATGTCACTTTTCGGACAACCAGCAGCACAGGGTGCAGGAGGAGGCCTCTTTGCTAAGAGTTCTTCCTTTGGTGGGCTTGGGTCCAATACAACCACATCTGGTTTTGGTGGATTTGGTAATACACAACAACAGCAACCTGCAGCTACAGGCTTGGGTGGTGGCTTCGGAAGCAATACACAACAACAGCCTGCAACAGGAACCGGGCTTACAGGAACTGGCTTCGGCTCTACTGGTGGGTTTGGTGGATCACTCCTTGGGGGTCAACAGCAACAGGCGCAAAAGCCACAGACCAGTGCTTTTGGATCGCTTCTTGGAGGTCAGCAACAGCAGGCGCAACAGCCGCAGACCAATGCTTTTGGCGGATCGCTCCTTGGGGCTCAACAACAACAGGCGCAACCGCAGCAGTCCCAATTCGGCCAAGCCACTATGGTCAATCCTCAACCTCAACAGCAAGAGCAATCTCTCTCTTCAAGCTTATGGTCTCCCGGTCGTGCAATCACTGGAGGTAAGACTGCCTTCAATAAATTCTCTCTGATTCCATCGTACTAATTCAACTTTCTTCTATTAAGTGCACCGAACAGTGCCCATGCAGATGACCATTGTCAAAGAAAAGTGGGATCCGCAGAGCCGTTCATCTCCATTCCGAACCTATCTTTACAACAGCGTCGGTGAAGATCAGGCTCCTTTCTACCAGCCTGGACCCGAGGACGACGAAACAAAATGGGAACAGGCTCTACGTGAGCGGAAAGATCCAAGCTTGGTTCCTGTGCTTGTCAAGGGGTTCTGGGAGCTCGGCAAGCGCGCGCAACGCCAAAAAGATTACCTCAATATGATGCAGACACGACTTCACGAAATCAACAACTGCCTGAGCGACCTTCTTTCACGTCACGACCTGAAGATTTCTCTCCGAATAGCAGACTGCCGCCGTAAACATCTTGTTCTCAGCAAGCGCTGCCTTGCCCTCGCGGCCAAGACTCAGGTTCTGCGCAACCGAGGCTACGCCATGGACGATGCGGAGGAGGAACTGAAGAAGAAGCTGTCACTGCTAGAGCGATCTGTGTTCGACCCTGCGCTGAACGGTCGCGTTGAGGAGATTTGGGCTCGTATGCTGGCTATTCACGAGACCTCCAAGCGTTTGATGGCAGAGATGAGCCGTTGCGGGACCAACACTCAGTCCAATGGGGGGGATGAAATTGACGAGGACACTATGAAGAAAGCAAAGAAGGTACGTTCTGATCATATTTCTTCTGATATACTTGTAGCTAATATTTTTTTCTGCAGATCCTTGATGATTACCATGCACAGATCCAGCACCTGCAGAAAGAGATGGAGTCAGTGAAGAGAGACCTTGAAGAGGCACAGAACTAGAATAGACTTTTGTCTAATGGCTAGTTAGGAGATATCACTGATGCTTCTAGTTGTTTTATCGAGTCTTGTTGACTCTTTTGACATTGTTCGTCCATGGGCATAGGATACCGGCGTTTTTCTGGGGAGCAAGCTAGGCAACGCATATCAATCCGATCTCGCTAGTTAAAGCATATCAATACCATTTCATTTGCGGCAAATCTAAGATTAAAGTCATGATTGATCTCAAGTTCCAATTCTATGGTGCTTTTTATCCAGATAAAACCCAGAACAAAAAAAAAAGACGTGTACAAATAGGTGGTGATACATTATGGAATTTTCCTTCATATGTCCAGATTCCATATAGTTATGGGCTATGGCAGTGAAAAAGAGGAAATATGCGATACGTTTAGAGTATCTTCTTGACGAAGTCGATGGCGAAGGGAGCTATAGGAAATATAAGTCAGATTGAGGGTTCCTAAATGAAAGCACATCCGGTTTCCGGTTGATCGTATGCGGAGCTTCGACGACATCGACTTACACAGGTAGAGGAGAATACCACCGGCAATAGCCACGTTAATGGTCTGCGCAGCCTCAATCTCGGCAGCCTTCGTATATAGTCAGTTATTATGAAATCAAAATAAAGAAATGCAGGTAGGCATTACAGTGATCTGCTCCTTGGAGATCTGTTCTTGACCTGAAAAGAATCGGGTAGTTAGTATATGTTTCACGGCTAGAATGGCAGCGGTGAGATTCTTGCAACATACCAGGGGCAAACATATTGAGCTGAGTAGTTTCTTGATTTAAAATGGAGTAAATTGAATTGAATGATTGAGAAGCAAAAAAACCGAAGCAGTTCTTTTTAAGATGATGATGCGCGAGTCCCGACTCTAGACCGCCTTTATTCTGCCCTTATGCTATGGAGTACTGATCTTGAGCTTCGTGGGTTATTTTTTGGAAAATCATATTATTCAAAGATCAAAGAAACAATGTATAAAGCGGTTTACTTTACACTATCATAATTTTACATGAAAATCTCCCCGATCAGTGGCAGTAGAAGTTATCTAAATAATCTCATAAGTGTTGAAAGTGAAGTCACGGGAGTCCGCCTCCTTCTCTCACTTCCTCACTTCCAATTCTCATTTCTTTTTCTGATTTTCATCTCATTACCCTCCAACCCTTCCTCTCCGTACCCCTCGCAAATCCCACACTCTCACTGTTATCTTCTCACTCCTAAACTTTATCTCTTGATTACACAACGCCTTTCATGTCCGCCTCGCCGGAACCACAAGTCGCCTCGCGCACTGCCTCGCCAGAACACGACGTCCCGACCGAAGCTGCCATCCAAGATCCTGCTCAGGAAAGCCATGCCGAGGACAATAATAATGATGACGAGATCTCCGACGATGAGTCTTTTCTTTCCGAGGTCGACGAAGCACAGTTTGACAATTTCGACCCTGAGAATGTCGACCTTGAGGACCGCCCGCTACCCATTGATGAAGATAACCTTAAGCTGATCGGACGCCACAAGCGCAAGCGTGCCGACGGTGATGAAGGCACTTCGCGTCGGAAGAAGGAGGGTCGTCGCCCAAAGAAGAGTCAAGCCGACAGTTATCCGGAAGAGACTGAGAAAACTCGGCGTTCTGACAACAGTATGTATCACCAGAGTTGCGGTCTTTTCTCATGGAACTGGCAACTAATAGACTGTCCTCGCTAGAACGCCGTCAGAACATTGGAGATATTATGGATGACCAGGAGATTAAGGATAAGAGGGGTTCCAAGGGACGCTCGAAAAAGAAGGCTGATAGCTTGGTACGTTGTAGCACTATATTCCGCTGCTTGCTCATAATTGACTTGCGACAACAGGATTTGGAGGCTATGCTCGATAAGGAAATTGAGGACATGCGAAAGCGCATGGCTCTTGCCGCTGAAATGGATGCAAACAGTCGACAGCAGGGCGAGCCCGCTGTGCAAAAACTCAAACTCTTGCCGGAAGTTCTCAGGCTTCTCAGCCGCACCCAGTGCATAGACAGCTTGGTCGACCCAGAAATCAATCTGCTGCAGGGTGTTCGGTTTTTCCTTGAACCCTCGGACGACGGCTCACTGCCTGCTTTTAACATCCAGCGTGATCTATTGACAGCTATTTCCAAGCTCCCGATCCATAAAGATGCCCTCATTGCGAGCGGTATTGGCAAGGTGGTTCTGTTCTATACCAAGAGCAAGCGTACCGAGAAGTCCATCAAGGTTATGTCAGACAGACTGCTTGCCGAATGGACGCGTCCCATCCTCCATCTTAACGATGATTACAGAAATCTCAACGTTCAGAAAGTTAACTATGATCCTACGTAAGTTCATATACCTTACATTGACTTCTATCTCATTTGCTAACAACCGCATAGTAAGAACGTCAAGAGCTTCCAATCCACGTCTCAAATTATTGCTGCTCATGTCCGAGAAGCTGACAATCTCCCCCCTCGTTTGGCCAACCGCGCACGTGTCGATCGTACCAATTACAATGTTGAGTACACTGTGGCTCCTCAGCAGCTCCATCTTCCGTCCAAGAACCCATCTGCTCGACCTATGGGCTCAGCTGGAGAAGATAGATTCCGCAAAATGAAACGACAGCAAGCGGTGGGACTAAGTATCAACAAGCGCAAGCTCCGTTAGTTCCCTATTTTCTGCACTTCTGGAGATGTGACACGCTCCCTTGCGTTTTGTCGCTGTCACATCCTTCCTTTCCAGGCTCGCTCTGGTTTAGTTAAGGATTTTATTGCAGTCGCCATAATTTAATCAAGAAGGTTTGGTTAAAATGTGACTTCGCCCTTGGGATTCTTCTGATTCCTCTACGTTTCCATCAATCAATGTTACATTATTTAATACTAAAGGCACGATGAAAAAGTGTACCTAGTGTTTTTACCTTGCCTTAGGGTACTTTATTTCCTGAGTTCGATATAAGTGCCCAAGGCAGCACGTAATTAGTCTAGTCTCTTGTTTCCATGAGCAGAGTATCTACCAGAGCACGTTCCTATCTAGGTATTCTCATTATCCATCATTCATTCCAGTAGCCTTTCCAAGGTTATATCCATGTTTGATAACCGTTAGTTTTGTTGGATATCACTCGTGGACCTGACTTCATCCATCTCTCCATGGCTTCTACAACCCGGGCCATTCACTATAAAGAAGACATGTTTTCCTGCAAAGTCAGCCTCTTAGAGAATTGCAAATCTTGGAATCGCCCATTAACGAAAGAGTAGATAGACAACTACACCATCACAAGCTCGACACTCGAGCCAGCGCGAGAACGTTTGTTGCGCAGATAGGGAAGCGCAACGGGGACCATGTAAGTCAGCAAATTGGTTATATCAAGATGAGTGGAGCTCGAATGCGTCATAGCGTCTTACAGTGGCATCGATAACTTTCTCACCAGGTTCCTCGAGTTTAGCGCTGCCGATATGCAGCAGATGGGACAGAACTTGATTGCCACAGACTCCTACTATGCATTATTAACCTTCAGTTCATTGAAATGAGGTATTTTGGATCCCCTGGATGCTACATGTGAAAATAGACAACGCTTTGAAGGTTGAGCATTGTCTATGTGACTACCTAGATAGTAACGGTAGAACCGAACAAGGAGAGCCCTGGAGGGAAAGGAAACGAGGCGTTTTAACTGTAACTCTGGAAGCTCTATGTTCTAATATCATTTAGGACAATTTGCATAAAAATCTTGTTATTCTTGCTGAAGTAGATTTAGGGTCACAGCATGGTGACGGCTGCCACATCTAAAACATGCTAGGATTCAAAAAGAACTCTGAGCATTTAGATGAGCGCCAGGTAAGAAAATGAGAAAAAAAAAATGAACTGACAGAAATGGGGGAAAGGCAGACAGAATAATGGGGCTAGGCCAAATCCCAAAATTCTTGTCACCGAGAAAGGGAAGGGGGTATCAAATGGATAAAATTTCCAGTGGTCTCGCTGGATTCTTTGAAGGGGGATTTCTTGCTTGGAAGTATCTAGTCGGGCATGGGGCATGAATGGGGAGATGCCCAGGCGACAGTAGGCCTGAGATATCGTCATGAGAGGAGTGCAGGGGGTAAAAAAGAGATGGAGAGGCGAGTCAAGGAGGAAAAGGGGAATTTTGAGAGAAAAGCGCACACACAGATATAAGAACTCCGGTCTAAACAACCCTTCCAGTAATAGATCGAGTGCAGAGTAGAGTTCACATCTAGTGAGAGATCAATGGGAGAACATGGGATGGGGAAGGGCAAGGTAAAATAAGGAGGAATATAAAACAAAACGCTTAGTCGTAATCAGCCCGAATCGTAAATGGGTCGTGGATCGTGGATCGTAGATCATGGTTGTTGAAACGATCGTAAATCGCGAGGCCAAAGGGGGAACAAGAAAAAAACGCCCAATCATGCAGTCGTGTCAGTCCAGAAGTCGTTACGGAGAGATGCAGTACAGTCGAAGGAGAGACGGAATCGAGAGAAAGAGATCGTATCAAGTCGCCTTACAACAATCACGACGGGGCTCTAGGGGCTAAACCCATTGAGCAGGTCATCGGGCCCGTCAAAGCCAAAGCCAGCCATGTCGACAGAATGTAAAGACCCCGGGCCTTTACTCATCGATATATCAGATGAGGCATAGTCATGCTTGAGTCGCTCGTGTGGTCCGAAAAATGGCCGGTTCTCCTCCTCATTTGGAGTGTTGCCATCACCAGCAGCCCATGGCCCATTGGCCCAGAAACGGGTATTTGCCTGCTGATCCCCAAACAGATCGTTATGATCCGGGTGGGGTTCAGGACCATGAATGGGGAACTCATTGGGCGACTGAAGCCGCAGATGCGACCGACCAAAATTGGAGCACGGTGAGTCTGCATGTAGAGGCAGGTCGAGGCCAGTCAATGGTGGGTCATCAACAGTCGTAATATCGATTGTCGGGTTTTCTGTCTGCATGGCGAGGGCTGACGATAATCTAAGATTCGACGATGAGCTCTGGCGACTATGACTGACCGACCGATCAAAACCACGCTGTACGAAGCCCCCGCATGTTTTCATGATCTTTTCCTGGTCGGCCTGGCAGAGAGAAGAAAAATAATCATTGGCCAAGGACGGCTTGGGAGGCTCATCCGCAGAAGGGATCAGACCATATGCAGTTTTAGCATACTCCGAAAGACCTGATGGCATGTCATACGGAGACTGATAAACTGTTGGGACAGTTTCTCGTTGTCGGTCGAGGAATGCATATTTGCCGGGCATTTTAGCCGCCAATACGCTATTCTGATCGATAGACTCCAGCTTGATACCTCCCGATTCTTTCTTCTGAATGACGTCTAATCGCTCACGGTGACTAACCAGCGAGAAACGAAGCATCTGAAGTAACCGGGTTACCTCCTCGGACCTCATGTTAAGGATTTGGAGAGGTAACAAGGTACCATCGGCTGCACGCGGCTGCACACGCTGTTGGGCCATAGCAAGTTCAAGCTTCTCAAGGCCATTGGCGGGAGGATCCGAGCCCCTGGGACCCAGCAGGGTGTCCACCACCATCTTGGGACTGACGATGGTATATCCGGCGAAGACATTGGCATGTTCGGTGATCTGAACAAGTCGGCGACGGGCAATGATATCACGAACTTCGGACTGAGGAACGGGAGATGGGGGGCGTTGCTGCTGCTGAGCGTGCGATTTAATTACGACCGAGGGCGAAGGGTAAGGGGAATGACGTGCGGATTGATTCGGCAAAGATCGTAAGGCCGACGGCATCGCAAGACGACCAGCAGCAGCACCAGCACCAGCAGCAGGGAGACGAGGGGGAGGAGCGAGGTACTGCAGGGGTGCGGAGGTAGAAGGGTAAGGCGGTCGGGATTGCAGGTAAGGGGCGGTATGATTCACTCTGTATGGATGTTCGTGTCGTCGTGGTATTTGTTGGGACAAAATATTTTGCTGATACGGAGGGGCAGGGGCGGTGGAAGCATGGAAATGGTGGTGGGGTGAGATCTTCGATGCACGAGTACTGGCACCACCAGCCACAAGCGACTTCACGCTATCCAGGAAATTGGACCGCGGGTTGTGGATGGGGGCAGTAGGGTTGTGTGTATACTGTGCCCTACTCTCTGTGGAGTTGGCGCCCAAGTAATACCACACCTGCTCTCCTTTTCCAAAATTGACTGTAGCCAGTGGAGCGAATGGATTATTAGTTACATCCACCGTCTCAAATTCAGCCCATTGATAGGGAGATCGGTTGTCTCCAAACGCGCTACTTCCTATGGCTGGTATTGCCGCCTCAAGGTCTTTTCGTTGTTCCGGTTTTCGCACCAAGTGGGCCGGGAGGGGTTGGATTCCGTGCGCAAGAGGTACAAAATTACTCTTGCGAACAACGAGCATCCATCGATATGGCATCTCGATTACATCACTATTGACTATTATCAGTATTTGGTAATTTTTTTCTTGGTACCGTCTCGCTCCGTGTTTCCAAGGTTCGGGAGTTCGGCTTGAGAAACACGGGATTTCGGGATCTGGGAATAACGCCCTGGTGGGGACATGTGTAAGAATTGAAACTTACCCTCGTGGAAGAACCTTGAGCAAAAGAGTTCGCTCTTTTGAACGGTTCTGAAGCACAATTGCCCCGTTAATTTCCCTATCGGCTTGGAATTGAATCAAATTTCCCGAGGTGAGGCCACGAGCAGCTTCAATCACACGGCGATCCAGGTCCGAAGACTCGCTCAAAAGACCCGATGGGCGTTTCTGGCGGTGAAACTTGCATTTAAGGTCGACGCTCGCCATGGAATAATGGACCCCATCGTCAGCAATCACAGCAATGGATCCAGTCTCAACTTGTACACCGGCAAGAATCGCACAGGTCGCATGATACGCCCGAGTACATTTGCCATAGTTGCATTGGAAGCATGCGCCTCGAACCTCGCGGCAGAAAAGACACTTCAAGCCGAGACGTGCTTTAGGGATTTTGTCGATATCACAAACCACCTCGTTTCCGGTATCATCACGGAGAATGCTAGTCTCTTCAATGTAGTCCGCGCACCGTCGATGTGCATGGCCCTTGCCTTCTTCAGTCGGTAGTAGATCCTCGTAATCGAGATCGTTAGGGCACAGTAGGCACGGAAGCTTCCGCGGTCCTTCAGGGTGGAGCTTAGGTCGTTTAGTACTCGGTCCATCGCCCACATTCTTCCTCTTTCGACCACGAGTGGATACTTTTTCAGGTACGCTGCGTGGGGGTGTGAGGAGATCCGAGGCACATTCGATGTTTTCCATTTCACTTTCATAGCCATAAAAGGGCGTTGATTCGCCCCGCAATTTGCGCTGTAGCTCATCCACATCGATCCAGACACTGTCGGCTTCGCAGTTGCACTTATGCGAAATGCGGCCGTACTCCAGCCACTTCTCGGTTGCAAAATTGACGGACTCGGCGCAGTTGTAACCAAGGTTGTAGCCGGAGTGGTAGCCATATGGGAATGTAATGACAAACTCTCCTTCATAGTGAACGAGGCGATTCACAGTGATTCCGTACTGGGATTTGAGCAAGCTAGGTGAGACGAGGTAAGTCTTGTGGCGAAGGAACTGGTCGCAAGTTTTGGCATCACTGGACCAGATACTGCGCATGGCCGCCTCAAACCGTGGCGCATCCTCCTGGGAAATGCTGTACCATTGTTTGGGGGCACCAAAGTGAATATAGTTAATGCTGTAGAGATCAACATCTTCCAGATGCCAAGCGAATGTGGCCTTCCACATTCCCAGGTACAGATAGGCAGTATTCACTCCCGGCACATTTTGCCCAAGTACGTCAAGCAAATTGGGCAGCTTTGCGACATTCCAACAAGTTGTCGAGTCGTCAAAAAGCGAGCCAGGCATATCGGCACCATACATGGGGTTGTTGAACATCAACGATTTCCAGTATGCAGTCTCAAGCTCCTCGCATCTCTCAGCCGTATAATCCGCATGATCGTTTATGCGGTAATCGAACCCTTCAAAAGCTGGCTCCTCAAACGGATCCACCGGCTCTCTTCGGTTGTTCTTTCGTCTCGATGTTACAGATTTCGGCTGCCTTCCCTTGGGTTTAGCAGCCGGAAGAGATTCACCGTCGCTCAAATCCTCAGTTTTGCTTTCAACGGGGTTCGATTCGGGTGAAACGGGTGTCGGCGGTCCTTCACTTTTGGACTTTTCGTCTTCATCGACAGGTTCCTCTTTGACTTTAACTTGATTCTGGCGTTTAGGAGGGCGTCCAGGTCGACGCTTCTGCCCCTCTGGCTTAGCAGACTGGGGGCGAGGGGTGGGAGCCGCACGGTTCACTCGTTCCTGATTGCGACGTCTCTCTCCCCGACGGGCTGGAGGTTGGTGACTGCTTTCCTCGGACAAAATCTTCCATTGCGGCAGGTTATATGTGCGCGGGCGTTCGATGTTGGCCTGGGTGTAGGTGCCATGTGATCCATGAAACTCCTGGATAATTGGGTTCTTCACACGGATGGTCTTCACTTGCTCGTCCAGCGGTTTTTGGGAATCGATCCTGTAAGGTATTGTTGAGCAAATATCCCTGTAAGCAGTCGAGTTGCGCGCTTACCATTCTTTTGGAGGGATGACTTTGACAATACCAGCTTTCATTCCGTACTTATCGATCCTCTTGACATACCACTGGAAATCACGGAATTGAGCCATTGTCTAACCAAATCTTATGTTAGCCTCGATACTCTCAACAGGCCCAGCTATTCCTATTGAACAGCAGAGCCTTTGAACTCAATCGCTGATGATACTGGATAATTACTCACGGGCTTGAAAACAGGAATCTTTCCATCGCCATAGTAATGATCGGGCACGACCTCTTCTTCCTCATGTATTTGTTCCTCTTGCTTTATTGGGATCGAATCTGAGGCAGCGGTAGCTTTGGAATCGAGTTCGAGATCTGATAGCTCGGCGGGTACAGCTTCGGGTGCATCTTTTTTCCATTTGCACTTTGTGGAGGAGTGAAGGAGACGGAAGTAGGAACGTTTGAGGCGCTTGCGACCGAGTCCATGTGGGACTTTCCGAGTGATTCCGCCATCTTTCACAGCGAGCGATAGCTGTTACGGCTAGGGGAAGATTGTTCAATCCAGGGTTGCCGTCGTCGAGTAAAGCGACCGCTGATCGACGGCGAATGGGTGTTTTTTCCCAGCGGTCGGGGAAAGCTTCAAAGACAGGCAAGTAGGTTTTAAGATTTGGTTGACTTCGGCTTCAAGTTGAGTCGAGGGTGAGGACAGGCTGAACGGGGAAGTAGGTAACGAAGTCGTGCGCGATACCTCGGCGGCTCTTTTTTCCCTAGAACGACGCAAAAAGGCTTTTAGTAATAAGAAATACCAATGAAAATAGCCAGAGTCCAGCAGAACACTAGTAAAATGCAAAGTGGGCCAATCATGCAGGTGCTGCTAGAGAAATCCAAGGGTGGACCGGCTGACGATGGCCTGACGCTGGAGGCAGGGGTAAGATCCAAAGCTGGAAGTGAGAGAAATTGGACTAATCAGAGTAGCGGAAAGTGAAAGGAAGTGTGGACATATCCCGATTGAGGAAGGTGGGCAAAGTGGACGTGGACTAATTATGGGAGCAGTGGTAATACCAGTAACTCTCATCCGGTCTCGGCTAAACGTGTATCCCAGAAGCTCGGTCCTTGCATGAGGTGAAATACAACTTTGAAACGAAGGTACTTACTAGATGAAAGAAATTTGGGCTATGTAGTTGATAAAGCAGTATTGAAAAGTATTTGCGAGCTTTCCATGACGGTCGAAACAGATACGAAGGTCATATGATGTCATGTGACCTTGTATTGAAATTCTTAGGAATTATCTGTATTGCTCTCAAATCCCGGCCCAGATGACTTCATTTGACGTGAATAATTTACCGTAATTAAAACCATCTCACCGCACCTTGTATAGTAGTTGAACTATGTAATACGAGGCCTCTTTTAACGACTTTCCTTTTGTCAAGAGTTACAAGTGACGAGTATTTGTGGAATCTATTGGGCACCTCCAAGGTCTCAAATTCCCAAAACGAGACATTGCATGCATATTCTACTTTATTGTGAATGAGTAGCCCGTACCAAAATATGAGCCTGCATATTCCACATTCTACCTGAGTGTAAAAGTCCCAAATATTCTATATGCCCAAAATAACCAGTGTTTTATGAAGCAATGAAATATTCAGGAATTCCACTTCGCCTCTGTCTCCTTGGCGAGATTCTCATCCACGTCGATAAAAGGCTGCACAACGGCTAAACCTCGGAGACGCTCCTGTTCAATGCGCTCCCATGACCATTCCTCGGAATTCCACAAGTCGGAGTTGGCCTTCTTCTCCTCCTCAAGATCCTCACCATTGGGTATTTGATCCTCATTCATCTTCAAAACTTCTCGAACGAGTGACCCATCAACAGCAGAGCTTGTAATACCCTCTCCACTAACCGGAGTTCCGACTTCTGAGAACTCAAATGGCGAGTCACTCTGATCCGAACGAGGAGGCAAAAATCCACCTGTGCGCAAGATACGTTCCGGGGACACGGTCAGTCGGCCCTTCTTCACAACGTACTTGGACACTCCAGTGGCCAGTAGAGTCTTCTCACCACCGGCCTGCTTAGCAGGCCTCATAAAGGCCGTAAGAATGTATAGCCATTTCTTGTCCCAAGAAATAACCCTTGAGTGCATCTCGTATTTTTCAAACGGCTTAATTTCACGCTTAAAATTGCAATAAACGGAGCCAAGCACGATTATTATAGGTAGCCGCTTCGGAATATGTTTCTTTCCCTCCTTCTGGCTAGCGACCAGGAACTCCTGATCAAGTTCTTTGCTGACAAGACCAACTCCTGGACTGTAGATCCGGGTGACTAGCGCCGTACGCGCCGCATCTAGGTCGCTAAAGTATGTGCTATTAGACTTGTGCAGGTTATAATCGGTCTCTAGCAAAGGTGTTCGTGATGTGATGCTGTATGGCACAAAGACCGGATGTGTCGGATTGCCATGCGGATCGAGAATTGCCTTGCCCTTGGGAAAGAAAGGAGCAGTCGGCTTTAAGCGCAAGTTTGTCAGAAAATGATACAATAGACGAAACTGCGGAAAGATGGGTCAGCGGTGTCATAAGGCATCTAAGGCAGTAAAAGATGCTCTTCGGAGGCGGTATCTCGACGTCTGTCGAAAGCAAACATAGCAGATACCAGACGATCAAGGCAAGACTCACATGCCAACCTAGGGGAAGGGTTTTGATGTTGATGAGCGCGAAAGCTAGAGCTAGTGTTTTCCATGACACCAGCGATGCCGCAGCTGACAGAAGATCGCCCATACTTCGATTGCAGAGTGGTGCCGATATGACAAGTATTGCATAGGAGTTAGTGTAGAGCTGAGAAAAGATATGGTTGTGCAGATAAGCGATATGATAAGCGATAAGGACGTTGGATGTCTCCCGGTTGAGGAAAGGAAGTCTTTAAGGCTGGAATTTGCAAATTGAGTCTTGAGCGGTATTATCAACTGATGAAAAGTTCAAGACACAACATTCTCACCGACTTCCAAGGTTGTCTGACGATCTTGATTGTGCAGGTCCACTGAGCCCTGGTTTTGTTGGGACTGATCTCAATTATACTAGGCAACTTGGTTGGAAAGTGTCTATTTGATAACATTATAAGTTACTTATAAGTTAAAGCTGGGCTAACTATAGTTGACCATGCACATTTCCATGACCCATGGACCTCAGAAGATTTCCACAAGATCAAATACCTAGCACCTGCCCAGGTGGGTATTATTGACCTTGAACCCTAACCTTGGAAGTTGAAATTCACTCAATTTACTTACCAGGCTCAGGGTTGGTTGAGAGTTCCGTATATATCATGGCCTTATACCTGGGTAATTATCTAGCACCTGAAGTGAAGTGAATAGGAGCATTCGAAACACCAATCTGCTGTCCACCATGGTTGGCTCCTGAGAAACTGGTATTGTAAACAGGCCGAGCTTGGTGTTCCGCCATAGCCTGGGAAATAGCTGGCTCCTGTACCTTCAACAGCAATTCATCGAACAGCCTTTGAGACAAACTGAGCGCATCCTGTTCTCCTCTTAGTTGACGAGCTGCATTTGAGCACTCTTCATCCTGCATCAGGTCTGGTGCATCTGCATCCTGTATCATGCGGTCTACTTCTGCAGATTGACTATTTGTAATTTGGATGGCAGTTGAGATTTCACCTTGCCTCACTGCGACAATGGTCCTGATGTCCTCAGTCATGTGGGCATGACGAATGGAACTGTATCTGTAGGCAATCACGCCGGGTCAGTCTTCACTCTGGTAAATGCTGGTGCTCAGGAGAGTCGTACAGTGTCGCTATACTAACTACGTTGGTGATTGTAGCTTGACAATTTTGCAGCTGCCCTTTCATAGACTTGATATGAGACTGCTTCCAGAAACCAAAAGTCGATCGATCACGCCAGGAGAGAGATTGTCCCTGGGAGTGACGCGTCCAGTTTTGAAGATCGTTTCTGAAGGTTGAGCACGCCGTGCCAATCATCTGAACTGTCGACTTTGCGTTGTTGGAGACCTCAGGGCCAAGAGTATCCCATTCCCCATCTTCGATTGCTCGGACAGAGGCAACGGCACTCTCTACAGAGTGGATGTCATGTTTGAGGGCTTTCAAATTCTCCGGTGCATCTTTAAGTTGCTTCAAATCGGCTAGGAGAACTCGTATACCATGCATAGTAGGCACAACAACACCTAATATACTTGCTGATACACTTAGAAGCTCGGCCATAGTGAATAATAGTTAGGAGACTGAAAATATACAAATTTATCTTTTCTCAGCCGTGAAGGCTGAATACTTAAAAGCGGGGTTGGACAGTCACCTGATATTCAAACAGGCAGATAGGTTATAGAATTAAGCCAGCATCTAGTTGCCTTCTTACGACCCATACCTTAGCCACGCAGACTAAATAGTACTCGGGCCTCTTTCAGCCCTGTATTCTAACCACTCATGATAGTGCGTTCTAGGCCGCATTCAAACTGCACTGATTGCGACGTCCAGTTCGCTCAAGTACGTATTCGAGAGATATGGAGTACTATTCGTTGGGTGAAGTACCCCTGGTCGATCTGGGCTTAACCAAACAACTGTTAGCAATGGGGTCACGGGTACTGATAAGCTTAGGGCTTTTTTGTAAAATACCTAAGTAGCTATTTATTTATCATGAGAATAGTTTGATCTATAAGAAAGACTCCGTACCCGTGGACACTTAAGTCATCTAAACTCCGCCGCTTCATTCCTGTTTATTGTTCTTTTCCAGTTCTTTTCCTGCCTCTACCAATATATTTCCTACTTCCTCCTGTTCCAGGTCTATATAATAGCTCTTTCCCCCTGTTCATCAAACGTATTCTGTTGCATCTTCTTTTGTTCCCTTTCAAGCTTCTCCAGTTGCTTTTTTGTGATATATGATACGCTGTCGTGTGCAGCGTAGTCTATCCTCTTCAACTGGATTTTTCTCGAGATCCAAGACAGGTTCGTTGAATGCTCCATTAAAAGAGACGTCGACAATGCCCAAAAGCTCCATCTCCATCTGCGGCGATGGCTTCATCTAACTCCTTTCTACGAGACATCAATACTCGCATCTGCCTAGCCGGTATCTATAGATTTGAAAGATTACTATATCTTCAAGTTTCTGGAGTCAGTTCACATATCTTGATAGAACCCTGGCGTCTAGCTAAGCAATAGCTACACTTCTTCTGCTTCGGCCCCACCGGCATGACACACTTAGGAACGTCTTTAGCCATGTAAACATATATTTTCCATCGAAGAAAGAATCGCATGCAGAGCTTTGGTGCCGAAGTAGAAGGTGGCGGGGCCCTTCACGGGTGATGAGCTATGTGACCGTGTAGTAGATGACCTTGAAGTCCAGGACCTCGAATTTATCGAACGATCGCTAGTAGGTTGTGTTGTGAAGAGTATTACGTCAGTGATCGGGTCCTCAAAGGCATATTGTAAGTCTCGAATCACGCTCCGTGATGTTCCTGAGCTTGTTGTGATGTTTCCTGAATTTGATATTATACATCCCGGAATAAATCCTGTGATTGATCGATAAATTTCCTCTCTGCCTGTCTGAGCAGGCGAATTTGTAATTGGTGTTGATCCATGATAACTATGGTTTGATTTGTAGAACGGGGCGACGGGCCGGCTGAGTCATCTCGAATGATCACCAGAAAAAAAGCAGATCCCGTATGGCACGTCATGCTCCGAAGCGGGCTTTCTCGGTCTCTGCTTTCCGGATTTTATATAAATGCCTACCCGCCCATAATTCTTCCATTACTCATTAATCCACTCGTCAAAATGAAGCTCCTTACCAAAGAAGAAGAAGATGCTCACTACAAGTAAGACTTAACCCCCTTCCCCCCAGCTATCGGCGATTAGCCCCCCCCAATCTATATCATGCCATACTAATTCGTCTTCATAGTGTTGTCGTCAAGGGTGGCGCCATTGGCGGTTTGGCCGGTCTTGCTGCCGGTGCAGCTGGAGTGGCTCTAGCAGGTCGGAGATTCTCCACCGTCCGTCATCTGACTCTTCCCATGAAGAGTTTCCTCGTGACCTCATCCGGTACATTCTTCGGTATCACCGCCGGCGATCACGCCTCTCGCAACTGGGATACTCAATTCAACAGTACAAAGCAATGGTACGAGAATCGTGAGGAGCGTCTCCGTAATGAAGAAAACCAAAACCTATCGCTCTCCGAGCGGGCTTTCGCCTTCGCCCGTCGCGAGCGTTACAAGATTGTCGGTCTCACATGGGTAGCCTCCATGGTCGGCTCTTTTGCTATTGTTGGCCGTAGCCCTTACCTTACTGGCGCACAGAAGATTGTCCAGGCCCGTGTTTACGCACAGGGTTTGACTCTGGCTGTCCTGGTCGCCTCTGCTGCCTTTGAGATTTCAGATCAGCGTCGCGTTCGGGCAGAGAAGAAGGCCTTGCAAAATGATCTTGATGACGTTCCCCACCATTCTGCAAGCAAAGATGACCCTGATATGTGGAGGGATATGGTTGATGCCGAAGAACAGCGACTCAAGGCGAAGCACCTTTCGCTGAGCGTGCAGGACTCTCATCACAGCCCACCTCAGAAGAACAAGAAGAAGGCCAAGACAGAGTCCAAGCACGATTCTGAGCCTGAGGCTGAGAAGAGCGAGGCTGAGAAGACCGAGACCGAGAGTGAGAGCGAAAAGAAAGAATAGATCTGCTCTCGCCGCGCTCTCGACAAAATATAAATATGCTTTTAGCCGGGCTTGGATGGACTCCAACAACCCTCCTATAGACTGCGGTTGACAAGAGTTTATTCTTTTTCCAAGAGGCTGGACCGTTTGGTTTTGTGTTCACTATTGTACATATGTTTGCATTTACTTGTGTCAGCGTTTTCTCACTTTCTTAACTATGCATGACCTGCAAGGGTTTGTACAGTGCCTAATGGACTTTGTGATATGAGTTCCAACCTTAATAAATGCAAATCTCCACATTTCAATCTATTTTGCGGAAGCGGGTCGGGTCGGCAACCTTCCAGGGTCTGTACCTCATATACTATTAGCCACTAAATCTGCTGAACCTTGGAATGCACAGGTCATATAGATACTACCCAGGTTCTAATCGGACGCTTCAGTAATCTTATCTAGGAAGCCTCGTCCAGGTGCAAGGAAATATTACGCAGTCGAAGTTGCTAGATTAAGCGTGCAAAATAAACTTTTCCTTTTTTTATCTTTGAAAATATCTTGTCTAACCTTGAAACACCGACTCAATAATTGATGAAAAAAGAATCCGCCAGACCCGAGAACCATTGATCTGATGTGTATTAGAGTTATGATAAGCCATTTTCATGAGTGCAGCCACTCAAACAAGGTAAGTATGAAGAAGAAAGAAAAGAGGAAGAAGTCACTTCAGAAAGTAATATATGGCTCTACTAATCTTCCTTTGGGGATAATGAAGCTGTGAGACTTCTTCTAGAGAAGAGCCCAACTAGTGGTGGCTACACACCCTTTATTTCGCAGGGAGTTTTCTGTTAGAATGGGTGGAGATGCCGAGGTACCTCCTATTATTTTTGCAAAAGGAGTAGCGAACTCTTGGGCATCTTAAAGTTGTACATACTTTCCATAGCTCCCAAGGTGTCCGTCTGAATACCTCAGTATGACGTGAAATGAGGTAATAATAATAACAAGCATAACCGTTCGCAGGACTCAAACTCCAGCGCTGATGACATCTTGGAGATAGTGTCCAAAGATGGTGGTTACCCTTGAGAATTCCTTTACACTAGAAAAACGGAACAAGTCGATTCATGGAAAGAACTCGAGATTGACATCTTCAAATATTCCGAATGTTCTCGGTTCTGTCTGCGAGACATTCATGAATCTAGATGAATCCATGTCGATCTTTTTCCTTTGCTGCTCAGTGGATGATCTTTACCATTTAGCATCAAATGTGTAAAGAGTGCTATTTTAGCATAATTAAGCTTCTTTTCACCTTTAAGGTTTGCCAGGTGTCTTCATTATTCAGACTTGCATACTGTATTTCAAATGGTTTATACCTCGGAAGTTTGGAATAACCCTTTCTCTTGTTGCAGTCACTGATTCGAGCTTACATGAGCTGCGTACGAATCCGCCTACTGCCATTGACTCTTGATCACCTGGGCAATTGGTTGCGTGAAATGCCACATAAAGTACTTGAAACTTCCTATTATCGTCATGAACATCACCAATAGATATTGTTTGGAAACTTCAAAAGGGGAGTTTCCCGATGTCGAGGCTCTGCATCAAAGCGGATCACTTTGCGTGGGGTACCCCGTATATGCACGCAGAGGCTAGCTTGTTTGATCTTCTGATATATGACCAAAGTACTATCTATTCCCTAGAAAGATACGCTTGATATGTCAGAACATTGGAGAAGAGACGTGCTGGAGGGAACGAAAAGTCTAAAGATGTAGATCCTTTACCGGAGAACAGGCGGAGAAAAGTGAAGATTAGGTGGCAAACACGGGGGTATCAGGCAGTTGGGTCTGTAACTGGTGCTCATAATCCAGCTATGAGGTACTGGGTAAATAGTTAGTTTCTATGGCTTGCTTATAACATGGGAGGTTGAAGTATGGAATCATCGGAAAAGGTATAGAACCTTTGAAGCAACGGCGAATATCTATCAATTGGTCAATTCAACCTCGTAGCTTCCCATGATACTGGCTTTTTATTGAGTAAGGAGTATTAATAAAGAGTACTCCACTAAGAATAAATACATAAACGGCTAAAAATTCAAACGTAAGACTGACCACGGTAACTGCTAAGTAGTCAGCTGACGGCACAAAGGGATAGCATCGTCCAATTTCTTCACAGTACAGAGTATTTCATGAATAATGTATTATCATGCGGAATATGAATTACTACATTCTGCAAGTGGCGTTGGACGCGGTTATCTGTGCTCGGGTTCGATAGAATCGATTCTAGATGATACGTTAGAACTATGAGCTCGTTAAATATTCCAATGTATGATAGCAAAAAGGAAGTATTGACTGCGCATAATTATCCTCATCATCACCATACAATTAGATCTTACAAGAATAGAATATCATGTGTGGCCCTAGAGTCGATCTTCTCGCGTCTTTTTGACGTAGATTGAGCATTTTGCGTTGGGCGGATGTTTCAGTTCTTTTGTATGTATTAGAGGCTTTCCCCCTCAATTTATTTCCGATTGAATTCCATGTTCCAGGGCCAAAAGATGGCGTTCATAGCTGACATAAATGCTTTTAATGGCCCTTTCTTGAGTCTACTAACTTCTGACATCCATTATAACGCAATGAACGACCTCACATGAACAAATACCATATATACACGATAAACACCAGTAATAATATGCTTGACATTCTTATAGTTTCCACTGGCCAATGTGCTCAATGGCCAAAAATCCCCTCTATCCTGGGTTCAAGAAGAGCCTCAACCTTGGAAGTCTCTATGCAACCTTGACGAAGCATCATAATGGCACATTGAAGAAGAGCTCGTCAAGGGGCTGAAACTAGCAAGCTTGAATCTGATGAGCTATCACAGCCTCTGCACTGAAGTTCCAATAGCTCTGGTAGATCTTTTGCCTCCATCGGAGTCGAAGCCAATGCCGTTGTTGGTCACTCCAGCGGTGAGATGGCTGCCACATATGCTGCTGGTGCCACCACAGCCAACGAGGCCATCACAATTGCCTATCATTGTGGTATTATCACTAAGCTACCAAAAAAGCATGAAGCCATGGTGGCCATTGGCACCGGTGCCGATGATGTACAATAATACCTTCAACCTGGCGCGATGATGGCTTGTGAAAACTATCCTTATAGAGTTACCATCGCCGGCGATGCAGAGCCGGTTGGAGCCGTTCTTTTCAAGGTTGGCTCTCACTCAGCACTAAGGAGTTCATTGAAGCAAAATCAGACTCAGCTTTTCAACTTCTCTCTTTATTTTCCCACATTTATGCGTGGCAAAAACGATGTGTATGCATTCTTGAGTGCCATTGAAACGCTGCACGGTCTCAATGTTCCCGTTGACCTAAGTAAGGTGATCACTAGCCATCCAATTCTACCAGAACTCCTGAGTTCGAGTTCCAAGGTATCAGTGCAGTTTATTGAAGATGCTCCGATAGGTATTTAGACTGATTAAGGAAAGGTGAAATCGTGTACAACAAGCACTACTAAATTGTATGAGTATCTGAATTTAGAAGTTAATCAAGCTTTTTCCCTTGTCGAATGCCGTTCTGAAGCCCTAGCCCCTAGAGTTGAAACTAAACTGACAACCCATAATCTTCAGTATTTGAGCAGATCAAACCCTACGCTGGTGCAGATTTTATTTGAGACTTATTGTCAGTCTGCAATGTGTAGATGTAGTAGGTAGTAGTATCTGAAATTCAGAACGAAAGATATTTTATTTAGAGGGTAATTTTGAGGGATTTGCGAGGCGAATTAAGAAGAAACAGGTGTTGATATTATCAAACTGCCTTAAATAGTCACTTATTTCAAGAAAGTACGCTCGTATACTAAAACCCTAAGGACTTAAACTCCCTAGATATGAAACGAATGAAAATACCAATCAATAAGAGACAAACTGCGCCGTACTCCTAACTCTCGTTCCATGTTAATAGCTTGTAAGTCGCATTACAGCTGATGATGTCCAGCATCATTATCACTAATCACACTTCCGACTTCAGACCAGGCTGGAGTAGCGATACCCCCATCTGAATGTGCACCTAAGTCACTCATTGTTCCATCAGATGATGTATCATTAAAGTCATAGATATGACTGAAACCTCCAGTGGATGCTGCAGATGAGACTTCGTGTTGGAACTGATTACCGTGGCTGAATTCGTCTAAGTCGTCGAGAAGATCGGGGTGCTGACTAGAATTTGACGCCGAGTGAGGATATTCATAGGAAGATTCGTTGTCTAATGTATGGCTCGATGCAGACACGGGTGTCTGCTCTCTGATTGGAGAGTCGGAAAATGGATCGAAAAATGGATCGCCACTCGTAACCTCGGTTTTAGGTGTAAACTCTGCAGTCGGATCGGAAGAACGGTTAGGTGTTGCCACTGAAGGTATTTCAAGCTGTAGTCGGTTGCCCTCCATGGAATCAACCCAATCGGGCTTAGCTCCACGACGAACAGGTTGAGGTGCGCCCATATCGACACTAGTCGAAATGGCAACTAAATCGATGTTTCGCTGGTTCTCATTGTTCTGGGACATACGTAGATTTCCCTCGTTGTCTACGAGCGTGTCGAAGCTGTTGAGAGGTTGGCTCGTATCCCGTCCGTTCCGTAGTGATTCTAAGTAAGAAGCTCGCCGATCGATCTCTGCACGAGCTATCCGTCTGCGTTCTTGAGCTGCCTCTCCGACTTCCTCTCTCATGGATATATCTTCCGGGGAAGCGGAGCCGCGCGGGTGGATTTCATCACCCATTTTATGCAGAGCGACGGCGACCTTTCGGCGGGAGTTGTTCATCCATTCTTGGAACTGTGGTGACTGATAGACAGCGATGCCAGCAGCGACCAGGACGGATACCGTCACGATAATGCCTAGAAGATAGTTAGATACGAGAGGCTCGAAGCTGATAAGATCGTATTCCGAGCGGATAAGCCGGGAAAAGTATAGAAAGGCTTTGCTGACCTTTAGCAAGAGGTGCAGGCATAATATAAAGAAGATTTAACACAGTCCTGCCTCTTGTTCTATATTTTGGTTATTTATCAAAGATAGAGAGGAAATGAACGTAGTCAAAGGGAAGTCCGATGATGCCTAGATGCTACTTACATAAACCCCACACATGACCCCACCAGCCCTTATCGGGTATAAACACACCGCTTTTGCCTTCGCGTCTTCAAATGTTGTCAAAAGATATTCATTGTTCACTGTTTGTATTTTCTCTATCCAGCAACTAGCTTAGAATCGGCTATGTCTCGTCAACCGATGCAGCCTCCGCGCCCGCTGTCTTTGACAGAGGAACTGGAGAAATTAGAACAGTCAATTACCTTAACACTACAAGGTACGCCCGATAATAAATAAACCCTTGAGTCAAGAAACTAAACCTCTTATCGTCAGAGATTGACCACAACTTCAGCCAAGCCCATCGCATCGTGACAACAAGCATTCTGCCGCTGGTGGAACAATATACTGAACATTCTCACGAAGTATGGAACGGCGCCAAGGTAAGAGTGACCACCGATGACCGTTGTCTGGCTACTGACAGTAATCCCAGTTCTGGAAGCAATTTTTCGAGGCCAGTGCCAATGTATCTCTATCTGGTTACGAGGAGAGGCCGAACGCAGATGATACGCAAGAGTCCACTGCAACTGAAGAGGAACTTTCTGCCGACATAACTCAGAGCACGACAACCGATCAAGACGATTCTTATGATACTCCTACATCCCGGCGAAATGTGCATCACGGTCAAGCAGATGATCTAGATCTTTCTGAACTAGCCATCTCCTCTCACAGCACTCCCCGTGCCGTTGATCAACACATTGACGATGATGACCTAACGGCTTCTTCTATCGACCACTCCCACTCGTCTGACTACGAGAACCTTCGCAAACAGATCAACGAGGCGAGTGCGCCTTTCCAAATGCCCGACTCATTCACTCTGCCGTCAACTCCGGGACGTCAACATGATTATGGTGCCGAAAGCATGATGTCCTCTCCATTCATTCCGCCCGTGTCATCGACGAAATTGCAAACCCCATCGAGGGACACCCGCTACCAAAAGTCCACGGACCCTGTACTGCATCAAATGCTCGACAAAACCTATCGTGTTCAAGCAACTCCTCTGGGCAATGGATACTATAATGCTGGCGCTGGCAACAACGCCCGCTCGAATTTCGCATCCACACCGAAGCAAAAATCTCGATATGCATTCGACGATTCGCCGCTCTCCAGTCCTGAACCTGAAGCACCAAAACTCAACGCTGAGCTTTTTTCGCCCGTTAAAGACATGAATGATACCCCGGGTACAAACCGCAAGCGTCGCACGAGTAGCAATCGCCTTCGCGAACGCCCCACGCCTGGTATGAGTGTTTTGACACCAGCGAAGAAGTACGGGGGCAATAGTGCTATGTGGGATAGCGACGATGATTTGGACAACGAAATAAGTCCTCCGAAAACGATGCACTTCCATATCCCTCAGAGTCGTCTGATGCAAACACCTGGTAGGTGGTGAACTACAAAAACTGCCAGTAATATGCTAATCTAATGTAATCTTATTTATAGCCAGAGAAGCTTCCAAACGAATTGTGACCGACTTACTGGCTACTGCTGGAGCGGACGACGACCTCAGTGACGATCAGAGCCCAAGCATTGTCCGACGTATGGAAGGCCTGGAAGACGAGATATTCTAGGGCCAACCTTGAGTTTACGTTATACATGTATTTTCTGTTCTTTATTCTCTCTTCTTTATTTTCTGCTTTAAGCAATATCCCTGAATAACCTTGAATAAATGCACATGAGAAATATGAATGAGCCGAGTCGGCAACGCTAACGGACCTCATGCTTGAAATTTCAGAAGTAGAAGTAGCAGTGACTTTAATACATGCGTAGCAGCAAGCAATGTGGATGTATCGGCCAAGTCTGGACAATAAAAAGAGCCTCGGCTGTTTGGGGTCATGCGGAGTTCATTACTTGTTAAATTGTGTCCCCTCTTTCTCCTTCCTAGCATTCTCCAATTCTCTTTAATCGAGTTATTGCTAAATTTATACCAGGATTATAACATCCAGTATCAACTAAGTACGTATATATCTTCATTTATAGCTCAGGAGATTTGTCCCGATTCTATCATTACCCCATCTTATCCAATTGCCCAGTATGCTTCCCCGCAACCGAAAGCGTCATCAAAAATAGCTAACAAAATATGAAGCAAGTCATCAGATTTGACTATTAGTTCCCTTCACAAATCATGGCCGCAGATCGTCTCAGCTCGCTCATGCGCCATCTAAAGGGCTCCAACACTGGAGTAGACGCAATGTAAGTCGGCAACAGCCAAGTAACCTTCCAAGCTAACGAATGAAAAAGCACCCAGAAGAACCCTGAGGATGTTGTAATCACCCTATCTATACGCACACCTCTGACCAAGGCGTTTAAGGGTGGCTTCAAAGATACAGAGTTAGACTACATCTTGTATGCCCTTCTAAAGGAGACAATAGCCAAGTCAAAGATCGACCCAGCCCTAGTCGAAGACATCTGTCTTGGCAACGTAAGTCAACCGTCAGATCATATAGCGACCAATCTCATCATGATGTATGGAACAGGTCGGCGAGTCCAAAGCCGCATACATGGTGCGCGCCGCAGCCCTAGCAGCCGGCATCCCGCACACATCAGGAGCCTCAAGTGTAAACCGCTTCTGCTCATCCGGACTAAAAGCCGTGCAAGACATTGCGAATCAGATCCAGCTCGGTGCCATCGACGTTGGTATCGCCCTAGGTGCAGAGCTAATGTCTGCAGCTGGTGACCGGCTCGAGAGACCGTTTAATGCCGAGGTCCTACGGAATCAAGAGGCAGCTGATTGTATGCAGCCTATGGGACAGACATCTGAGAATGTTGGGAAAGATTTTGGGATTTCGCGTGAGATACAAGATCGTTATGCTGCTGAATCTTTCCGGCGTGCCGAGGATGCGCAGAAGGCGGGTTGGTTTGATGATGAGATTGTGCCGATTCCTGTTGTGGTGAAGGATCCTAAGACTGGTGAGGAGAAAAACATTACTCTTGATCGGGATGAGGGGATTCGCTATGGAACTACTTATGAGTCGCTTGCAAAGATTCGGCCTGCGTTCCCGGACTTTGGCGATAAGTCGACTGGTGGGAATTCTAGTCAGGTTACTGATGGTGGTATGTCAATCCTTGATCACGTTGGTTGAAATGGCGATGCTGATCTTGTTGTCTACTATCAGCTGCTTCTGTCCTTTTGATGCGTCGATCAAAGGCCATCGAGCTAAACCAGCCCATTTTGGCCAAGTTCTGCGGTGCCACCATAGCTGGTGTCCCTCCTCGCATTATGGGCATCGGACCAACGGCGGCCATTCCAAAGCTACTGGGCAAGTTCCAGCTTGACAAAGATGATATTGAAATCTATGAGATCAACGAAGCTTTCGCTTCAATGGCTGTGTACTGTATTGATACCCTCGGCCTTGACCATGCAAAGGTGAACCCGCGTGGTGGTGCTATTGCCCTCGGTCACCCTCTCGGTGCGACTGGTGCGCGCCAAATTGCCACTATACTCAGTGAGGCTCGACGGACCAAGAAGAGGATACTAGTCACTAGTATGTGTATCGGTACTGGGCAGGGTATGGCTGGTCTATTTGTGAATGAGCAGGTATAATATGCAGGTACAATGCTCCTTCCTGGTCTTAGCTTATTGAAAGTGTGGCTTGATCACTGTTGATTACCAAAATTACATTTCTACTGAGGTATTTCGACAGGTAATAAAAAATCTTTGAAATGACCAATATTGGTCGGAAATGGTAAAAATCGATACTTGATTGATCTCATTTACTATCTACGTAGGTATCAATCGCCACATGAAGTCCCTTTATAAGGACGCCAGTTGATAGGTATTAGTCTTCTTCTCATTCTCATTATTCCCATAGCATTTACTCCTACGACACTTACTCCTATAACCCTTATTTTCACGACACTTGCTCTCACGAGGGCTTAATTTCACTTCTTTCTCCAATTCCCAAAGTGAACGACTTCATTGACATCATCTCGGGCGATGCAGCGGATCATACTTTCAAGCAGAGCTTTATCGCTCCCGGCTGAAGCATGCGCAATCATGGATGGCAAAGACCCAGCGAGCACTATGACCATTGGCTGAGGGAGAGTACTCTCACTTATTCTTACCTCAAGAAGTATTAATCCCTCAGTGGACTCATTCCGGACGCCTGTTGGACTGAAGCTCTATCTGTGCACCCTTTCTCCACAGCTTGAGAGTCCTAAGACTTGTGCCAAAGTGATCTACTTACATCTTGACGATGTCTTCTAACGAAGAAGAAATAATGGGCGACTGAGACTATTGGAACCTGCCCCACTAAAACAGAGATCTCGTCCAGATAAGGACTTGAGCTAGAGCTCACCCAGATGCATTTGTTGACGATTCCAAGGTTTCATACATTGGTACTCTGCTCAAGATGGCCATGTGGAATTTCGACCCACAGAGACTATGTGGTCATCGTCTATGTGAGAGTTGGCCACCGTTCGCCTGGTTTATCTGAGTTGGCAAACCATGTAGTTTGCTCGGTGAATAGAGTCATAGTGTAACGAACCTGAGAACGACTCGCTATTTGTCGGCCAAGGGTATCGCTCCTACGTGACTCCAAATCTATTGACTTCTATCCAGGGCTTGATCCTGGCCAGGCTCCATTTCCCCAAGTTGGATGAGTAACATCAGTGCATGAGTTGTCCAAGATCCTTCTTGTCTCTGAGAGTCGGCAGACACCGTCTACGAACTATGTGTGCGCCAACATGACCCATCCACTCTTCTAACTTATGAATGGCTGGAACTGCCCATAAAATTAGAGAATCCGAGCTCTGAAATCTCCAGAATATGCTAAAAGTGCTAGTGACATGTGAATGGCACGCGAAAAGGGGGCATCGGATCGTGCTGGAATCGCATCGAGCAGCTCTCCGTCCACTATTCCCACAATCCCTGCCCACAACAGAAGCGTGTACATCCCCTGTAACTTCCCTATCCCTGATATGGAGAACACTGCTCTTATAAAAGTGCCGGCTTAGTGAGCTGTGAGATGGCAGTCAACCATGAGCTACTTCAGTGACACCCGCATGGAGGCGCATTTTTCGCAGGGACGAGAGAAATTCAAGACGCACTCTGATACACAATTCGCAGACCGTGCGATCAACTCGCAACTGAGGAGTACCTTAGCTAGGGAGGAGGTAGCTAAATACGAATAAAGCTGATTTCAGATTAAATGCTCAGGGTATAAATCCAAATTAATTACAGTTACTACGTCAAAGCCCAACTATAGGGAGCCCAAAGGGGCCAGGGATTTTCTTGCTGCTTAAAAAACTGCACAGTCAAGACCTAAGATCAAACATCATCCCTCCCGTCCTTCTGACTCCCCTTCCTCAGCCTCTCCTCAGCAGCCCTGGCTCTAGCATCCCTTGTATCCCTTATATCCCCTCGACCCCCTCCAGCAGTGGAAGAGCCACCCAACACAAACTCCCCACCAGTCCAACCACACTCATCAACAAACTCCTCACCCCTTGCACTCTCCCAATCACCCGGATTATAAAATTCCTGTTCAGTAAGTCGATTCCCACCAGACTTCCAATCAGAACTCTCCACCTCGCGTTCGATTAGCGCCGTCAAATCCCAAAATGCCCTATCATGATCCGAATGTACACAATGGGCAAGCTCATGGCAAAGCGTCTTTCGAATAGTCCTGTAATCGCGATACCCATCGTACGCATCCGTACGCAGACGCAGCTCGATGACTTCGCCTTTGTTGCGATTCAGACCGAGAGTGCGCGACTCGCTGGTCGTATGCTCGGCAGGATTCATCTCTGTTAAGAGCGGGACGGAAAATTCATGCTTGGCCATCGCTGCACGAATGCCTGGGTCATCGCGGAGGCGCGTTAGGAATTGGAGGGCGCGCTCTGGATTTGGGAGGTAGGGGAGTGGGAGGAGGCGGTGGAATGTGTAGTTTGCGCTTGAGCTTGAGATTGTGTGGATGCCGCGGGGTGTTGAGGCTGTATTTGGGCGCTTGGCTCGCGCGGCAGCGATGGCTGTTGCGCGGGATTCTGCGCGGCGCTTTTCTTCTGAGGCTTGTTTGTTGAGGGTTTGTACCGTTTGCGCTGAGCTGCCCAGGAGCGTGATTTTGAATTTGGGATTCGTGAGTGGGAGGGTTGTGAGTGGTGTTGGTTGGAAGGGCGCTTTTTGCATTCCTGGTTTTGGAGCTATGAGGAGCTTCTGGTTTTCTGGTGGGATGTCTAGATCGTTTGCGATTTGGGCGGAGAGCGTTTGTAGTGTTGCTGATGTTTGGAGTTGGAAGCTGTACTCTTTGCCTTGGTGGTGCACTGTCACTACTAGTAAGTCTTCTTTGGGAGGTTCCATGACTGTGTAGATAATGGCGGAGGCCAGATAGATGAGTCTAGGATAGATAATGACGGAGGCTAGGTAGATGAGTATAGGGAATATAAAGGAAGCTGCTCAGGTGGTGAAACGTCATATAGGGCTGAAATTCGACGCGATTCGATCCTAGTTTGTCAGCACGGAGATAAGAATGATCTAACTACATAGTTTCCTGAGGCAGGCAGATCCAACGTACTTGTACTTGGTATTATCTTGAGATATCAATGATAATTGAATCGACAGTCAATTTCTAAAAAAACAATAGTAGATACACCATTTTTCACAAACCTCCCGCCCAAGTGATAGTAATATATGCCAAAGGTATAGGAACAAATTAAAAAAAATAAGCAGCAACGGCCCAGGTATACCAGCTGGTTCCAACAAAAATGCATATACAAGAAGTGAAAACGCGCAAACATGTCCAAGCATCATGTCGAGTAGATATCATCGAGTCAACATCAAACCAAAATCAGCGGTCAAAAACATTAGGTACAAGTTAAACCGGAATGAATCGGCCATGGCATCACAGCGGGCAGACCGACAAACTCCGTTCAGTCTTCCAAGGGGTTGATAGGGTCACGCAGATAAAGACGAGGAGTCCTTCTCATATGGATAGACTAAACACTGAACAGACTCGGTCTCGGTTTTTGTCGAGCTCACTCCGTAGAGTGCAATCACTCATATTGTCTCTCGTCATCTTCATCGGGTGAATGATGGGCAAATCGAGCAATAGTCTTATCAGGAACCCACTCTGCAAGCTCCGGCAACCAAGTATGACTACGACAAGTCAGTACCATCGTCCATATATAGAACCTCGGATAATATGGTGAAAAAAAACTCACTTCTGGAACTTTGTATTTGTCAAAGCTTTTCGAGAGTACTCCTCGATCAAGTTATAATCGTACTGGAACGGAACCTTGGCCGAAACGCCCTCGAAAGTTGTCCATCGTAGAGGGTATATTTCACCGATATTGTACTTGTGAAAATTCTTGCACTGCCAGATATCGGGATTTTTCTCCGGTTCTAGCCTGCTCAGTCCGGTGATGTCGATGTAGAGACCAGTGTCGATATCGATCCAGCGCGCATCGATGATATTGTGGCCTTTTCCTCGCTCGCGCTGGCGGGACCAAGGGTTGATGTCGATTAGATATCTGCGCTCGACAGCGCTGTCAGGAGCAGAGTATTCGACGAGTGTTTGGTTGAAGTGATCTCCGAGATAGGCAAGGGTGGTTTCTGGTACTTGGGTATCTACATCCCAATCCCAAGGAAGAATCTATTTTTTCCCTCTCAAATTTTAGCGATCTTATCTGATGCGACGGAAAAAGTTGGAAAAAATCTCACCTTTCCATTCCACCACCAGCCTAGTAATGTGCCGTGAGCAATCCAAGTCTCTAGATTATTCTCATTGAAAAAGTTGAGGTATGCGCGGATCATGTGGGTGAGTGTTTCTGAGCGTCTGGCGTCGCCGACAGGCTTGGTGAAGAATCTGGAATCATAGTGGCCGAGGATATCGTCCCTGCCAGGTTCATGGAAATATTTATATTCGGCCGAAGCATTCAGGCCGTATTTTAACCATAGCGGATCGGTGAGTGTGGGGTCGATATATGGGATGGTTTGGGCAGTATGGACGTTGTCGTCTGAGGAGGTCGGAAGTGCTGCTACCACTGTGGACCAGAATACAGGGACGGCGACTAGTAAGACAGGCCACTGCATGTCCAACGGACTTTGGGACGATGGACAGACGAATCCCAGGTTCTAATATATGGAAGAATCACGGATAGGGCTTCCGGTTCTCATGCTGGAGCTGGGTTGGTGGCTTATATATGAGCGTATGCACTTTTTATTCAATACCCCTGTCAAGTGATATCCAAGGGTTGAATTCAGAGGTTGATTTGCTTGTGAGAAGAAGAAGAGGATGGAAGAATTGATAGAAATTGGAGTGAAAGAAGTCAGATCCGGCAAGGTCCCAGAATCATAGACTTATCGGATGATTGACCAATCCGAGGTAAAATCATATGGAAAAAGAAGCCGTAAGTGAACCTGCTCTGGTGACCTCAGGCGGGGCGGCTTGTACCGGATATCACCTGCCAAGAACTGGGAATTTGATAGAGAAATCGGGATTTGGGCTAGAAAGGGAAGGGGTGTAACGTGAATGGGAGGGGTTGAGCTTATAAACACGTATGAGTCGTTTCAGTTGGGCACCAATTGAATATAACAAATAAGTAGCAGAAAAAAAAATTAAACAAAATCAGCGAATACGAAGAATCCGGGGGGAGATGTCAGAGTGCGCGCCCCCTTGGTCCCCCCTTATCGTGTGCCTCTTTACCACACTCGGTGTTGTACCCACCCCGTTCAACCCAGTTCACTCTAGGGGGTGATCCTAGTTAGCTTTTGTTACCTAGATACCTTGTTACAACTTACCTAGTACTAGATACTCATGATATGGAAATAGAAACTCATTTCTTTTTCCAATCGAAGCTGACAGATGTGAATAAGCTTCTAGCAAGTTACTAGTTTAGCGCCTCATCTATGCACAATTTTATTCATTCCCCACCCGCGCTGCACACGACGTGTTTCCATATATGGACTACCCTTTGATACCACCTAATATACGCGTATTTACAGTCTAATAAATCAATGTACATAGATTTCGTACGTCGTTGTTGAGTACTGTATGAATGCAACGGTATAGTGATGAATCATCAGATACAAGAACCATGAGCCGCGAACCACGGATCCCACGAGGTCATGGAAAGCTTGAAATTTACGTCACACAAAAATTAGGGTTATTTAAAGTCGTGTTACAGATTAAAGCCTTATTCTAATGGCAAGTTTCAGATCTATGCTATTGGTCGATCACTACTTCATAGCTGGCCGTTAGGTTATGGGGGCAAAAAAATAAATTGTAAATGATATCTGATCGTGTGGATCAGGTCTAGGGTGAAAATCATCTGAGCCTTTTCGTCATCATGCGGCCGGTCGCTTTACGCAACACCCCGGTCCGAATAAAAATCAACATCGAAAATAAAACGTGTGCGTTAAAATCTACTGAGCCTCATCGGCATCCTTCATCTCGGCGTCACCCTCGGGCTTGGCCTCCTCAGCCTTCTTGGCATCCTCCTCGGCCTTCTTAGCCTCGAGCTCGGCACGCTTCTTGGCAGCTGCCTCAGCCTCGGCCTTCAGGATGGCATCACGCTCAGCCTCGACCTTCTCCTTGTAGCGCTGGATGATGGGACCGGCAATGAAGCGGATCTCATCCATCTTGGCAACGTAGACGGACTTGGTGGTGTCCTCGCCCTCCTCGTAAAGCCAGTCCTGTGAAGCAAGACGTTAGTAAATAGTCATAAATGGAATTGGAGGTTGAATGCTCACCTCAATGGTCATCAGCTTGGCACGGAGCTTCTCCTTCTCGTCTTCGTTAGCGAACTCGGAGTAGACACCGTCGATCTTGTCACGGAGCTCGTAGATGGAAGCCTCAAGCTCGTTCTTCTTCTCGTCAGTCTCGGCAACAAGTTTGTCTTCCATATACATTGCGTTCTCACGCTCTTGGAGGGCGTCCTTGGTGGTCTGGTCGATGCCGCCAGTGCCGGCTGAAATGGGCAGGTCACCCTTGCGGACCTGCTTCTTCACCTTGCGGGTCTTCTTGGGCTGCTCCTCACCCTTGTCCTCGGTATCCATGGCCTATTGAGAAAACGATTAGTACGGATCAAAAACCGTGGGATGAAATAATTTGCTGGAGACACTTACATCACCCTCCTCAGGGATGGGCTCCTCAACCTCGACGTCCTCGACGTAGTATCCGGACTCGACATTCAGGATACCGTGCAAGTTAAGGCGGGCCTTGAGCTTGCAGATCATGAAGTCGTTGTTGGCATCGACCTGGACGCCCTTAACGGAGAAGCGGCCAATCCAGGGGTTGATCTTTCCGGGCATGTCTTCGGGGTTGGAGTAGCGGGCCTCGAGGTCAAAGGCCTGCTTGCGGTAGAAAGTAAGGATCTTGGTGGAAGGCATCACATTGCCGCGGTTGAAAACAGTGAGGCTGGTGTCCTCATCGGGGATCTCGGGGGATTGCTCCCAGGTGAAGTCGATGGGGTAGTTGACGATGTCGTGCACAGCGAAGTCACGGACACGGAACACAGGGGAGAGGGTAGCACAGCAGAAAGCGCAACCACGGGCAATAGCCTCGTCCTGGTTCAAGGTGAATGAGAGATTCTTGTTGAAGAACTTGGAAATAGTCTCCTTGATGGCGGGAACACGGGTGGAGCCACCAATCATCTCGACAAAGTCAATATCCTCAACAGCCAGCTTGGCATCAGCAAGGGCCTGCTCCAGAGGAACGGTAAGTCGGTCCAGGAGGACCTTTACCATGAGCTCAAGCTCCTCACGCTTGACGAGGGCGCGGACGTCGACATCCTCCATCAAAGATTCGATGCTGAGAGGGGCCTGGGGGTTGGCGGAGAGCACCTTCTTCATCTTCTCGGCGGCGGCGATGGTTCGTGAGTAAGCCTTGGGGTTGGTGCGGATGTCAACCTTGAACTTCTCCTTGAACTCGTCGGCGAAGTGCTCAGTCAGAGCCTTGTCGAAGTCACGACCACCGAAGTGACGGTCGAAAGCAGTAGCCTTGACGTTGAGCTCACCTTTGCGGAACTCGACAATGCTGACAGTGTAGTCACTGTAGCCGATGTCGACAAAGGCGACACGGCGGGGCTTCTCTTCGGGGCCGGGAAGGTCGAGCTTGGTGATACCGTAACCGATGGCGGTAGCGGTGGTGTCATTGACGAGACGGAGCACATTGAGACCAGCAATGTCAGCCGCATCGATCATAGCCCGGCGCTGGATGTCGGTGAACCAGGAAGGAACACTGATAGTGACATCAGAAATGGGAACCTTAGCCTTCAGCTCCTTGGTAGTGATATCCTTGATTTTGGTCAAGTACATAGCGACGAGCTGGGTCGCAGTGAACTTCTCCTTCTTACCAAGGTAGTTGACCTCGACACCTGCCTGGCCGTTGACATCAACGATGCTGGCGCTGGTGTACTGCTTCTCAATCTCGACATCGGGGTCGTTGTAACTGCGGCCAATGAGGCGCTTAAGAGACCCGATGGTGTTTTTCAAGTTGGAGGTCTCTTGTGTCTTGGCAGCCTCACCAATGACTCTGCTGCGGGCAGTGAATCCGACGAGGGAACTGTTGGGCACAAATTTTCCATTAGCATTTTGATGTTTCAAGTTTCTGGGTGATTTCGGTCGCGAAAACTTACGGAGTTTGTCGGTTGGAAACCTCGTTAGTAATCTAGATATTCAAGACTCTGATTAGTACTCATTCATTATGATTCTGACGCGCATATAAACGCAGGTCAGGCACGGTGAGATCATGAATAGATTCCGCGGGGCAAATCACTCACAATATCGATACCCTTGTTCCGGGCAACACCAATCTTGGTGCTCTGGGCACCGAAATCAATACCGACAACAGACATTGTGGGTAGGAAGGGAGGGATAAGTAGAGGGGGATGAAGGTGGATGAGAGAATGGAGGAAGAAAGGATTCTAATAAGAACGGAAAGAAGTTTGGAGGGGAGAATTTGCACGCCACTCCACTATTATTATTGGCGGGGAATGATAGTTAATCAGTACTTCGCCTAGGCCTTGAATTTATGGCAAGTTTTGAATAGAAACACAGACTGATTAGCGTTATTCTATGAAGTAATTACAATTCAACTACTTTTATTTGGGGCTATATAGGATCGGATTTGCCATTTGGACTGTGCGAGGACTCATCGAACCTTCCAGTGCTTGCTAGATTGATCTCTCCCTCTCACCGTCTTTTTAGAACAGGCAGAAAAATGTTCACTTACACCGCCCTTGGTGGAGAGATAAAATTGTCTGATTCAATTGGCTAAGAATTGCTTGGTAAGAAAGAAGATTCAGGCACCATTTCCAATTAAGAATTACCATTTAATAAGGGGTATCTTGTTGAAAGCTGCCAAATTCAGAGCATGGTTCCTGTCGATATCCCAGGAGAATCCAATCATAATTCATATATAAGCGTATTGAAAGACGAAACACGAAACACGAAAGAACAAGGCAGACTAAAAAAAGTGGAACTAATAAAAGAAACTGATCTTGACGTCAGAGAGCAGAAATGATATTCAAGAGACTTGACTGGCTGAAGCGGCCCAAATGGAACCTGTGTCTTGCCATTCATGTTTGATTAGACCATCTCATACGGACCATTGTGATGAATGCGCTGGAACAGGCTCTCTTGATGTTCGGAAGTAGAATCGCTTAAATCACCATGGACTGTCACAGCCGGGGTATGGGCTGTTCCTTGAACAACCAGGAAAGGATCGTCTGCAGAAGACCAGATTTCGTCACAGGTGGGACCTGCCTCATCCTCCGTATTGGCGGTGACTGGCATATTTTCCGACACGAGAGATTGGCGGGCACAATGCAACTTCCGTTGGTCTTCCAAGTTCATCAGACGTTCCACGTTAGGGGTCTGCATGAAGATTGACATGGAGAAAGCGTCTGAAGAGCCGCTAGCAAGAGAGTCTACCGAATTACTAAACTGATCTGGGATGTTCAATCGATGGACACTAGGCAGTGGTGTGTGCAGTGGTGTGAGCACGCTATTGCTGTTACTGTCAACATAGAATCCATCAAGGATCTGCTTAGCGGGTGCAAATCGCCCATCGATATGATTTGAAGGGCGAACCGGCACGGATGGTCGGCGCACCAGACTTGTACGGAATGTGTCCACATCCACGTTCAATTCATCGCCTTGATTTATTGCAATTGCAATAGCTTCCCCGGGAGTGGTATGGGAGTCTGCGGCTGCTGCATCAGCTCGAGGCCCACCCCAAGTCCGCTGCCCCGCGGTGAAAATCCCGTACATCATATAGATCCAGTTGAAAAATGGATTGAAGATGAACATCAATGGATAAAGCCAAGCTTTGTATCGTTTCAGGCAAAGGCCGAAGTAGAACATCAGACAGAAGTTGAGACCGAAAGAGATACCGATGAAACCGACTGGGATATCAGTCACTCTCTTCGAGGTTGTCATCAGAGAAAGCGCCATCATGAAGAATAGGAGTGCAGTCGTTCTAACGGTGTTCTGCATGAAACGGACTAGACAAAGCAGTGGATAACGCCTCCAAAGTCGAACGTCAGTAATCATGCACACTTCATTAGTGATGAAGCCCAGAAACCAGCGACGTCGTTGTTTCAGCAGACTACTAAAAGTTTGAACGGCTTCCGTCTTGCAAAAGGCACCTGTACACATCTGAATCTGGTATGGTTGCTTTGCGCCGATCATGAAGAGATGCGTCAACCAGCGATCCTCTCCAAGGTGACACTTTCCGAAGTCAAACAGATCATCACACAGCTCAGCCTTATCTGCGAAGTAATACTTGGCCATCTTGCGAAAGGCCGAGAATCTTAGGATTGTCAGTGCTCCGGGTAGACAGGTCACAGCTCCACAACTAGACTCAACCGAGCGTTCGAAAAGCTGACCGTGGATGTATTCCATGTCTTGAAGTATCGTGAGGATGGAATTATTGCTTGTGGTGGAGGTAATGATACCAGTCATGGCAAGCATATCACGCTTACTACCAGGTTTGAGCTCCATGTCATACATGAAATTCTGCAGACAATACCGGTCCAGGATACAATCAGAGTCAATAAATAAGAGAAAAAGATCATCGTGTCGTTTCAAATACTGCTTATAGACCTTGTCAATGAGTTTAAAAGTTTGCTTCTGGCAATGTCGTTTTCCACCGTGTTTGAAACGAGAGACTGTGATCCGAATTCCTTTGTAAATGATATCGATACTGTCAGGGTAGATTTTCATCGCAACAGGGATTCCAAGAAAGTGAATGACTCGCAAGTAAGATTCGTCAACTGCGGCGCCGTCGTATGAAAGAAAAACATGAATGCAAGCGGACGGGTAATCAGAGTTGACTACGGAATTGATGGCCTTGATGAGGACTTCAGGTCCCTCCTTGTACACGGGTATCACGACCACGGTCTTCGGGGCGGTCCGATCATCGAGCACTTCCTTGATTCTCTTCGTTCTTCCCAACGAGCCAGTGACAAGTCTGTAAATGCAAAAGAGCCATGGTCCTATGAGCAGTATCGAGAAAGCCCAGAAAGCGAACCACTGCAGAAACCACACCAAGTTTGGTGGAAAGTATTTTGTGATCTGGGGTGGCAGCGGCAGAGTCATGATCATTATCGGAAGGAAAATAAGTCTATCGGCGGGCACTAATTGTTAGTTTGAGTATTCCTCCAAGATTCCTTTAGCTTACCGAAGCACGGTGAACAAAATCAACATCACCACCGCCATAGCCCTAATTGACCAATGGTCGGCCTTCTGGTATACCTTGAACAGGCAGTAAATGAACGCACCAAGCGATAGGAACCACTCAAAGAAGGCCGCTGCCATTAACGGGCCCATAATCGACATGAAGACAATCTGTAAAACAACGTTAGATACTAACAGCAACATAATATAAGAACGTTGCACATACATCCCTAGTCGGCCATTGCTCTGAAACCCCTGGGGAAGCCACTGAGTATGCGTACTGTTCCATGTTGTCAAGTCGCGAGATCTATCATCTATCTGCTCAATTGAGAAATGGTTAGTCTGGTGAGGAGTTAGCTGATGCGCAGATTCTGAGCTCACAGGGTTGGATGAGGTGATAAGATCATTCCGAGAACAGGCGATTTAAGGATGAAAATTTGAAGATGAATAATGAAGAATGAATTATGGAGTGAAGGTCGCAAGTCAGAGGTAATAGGCAGATGACGACTAGGAAGATTGGAAGACTGGAGTCTGGTAGTGGAGAGAAGAGAGGGTTCATGTAGTCATCTACCTGAGCAGGTTAGAAGGCAGGCACGACAACCAAGCAAGTTAGGTGTAGAACTTCTAAATTGATTCTCACATTTGATTGAGAGTTAAGGAAAATTTCAGCTGTCATTGGATTTTATCCGTGGATCTGATTGTTTGAAGTCTAATATATTCAGTAATTCAGATATTTGAAATATCCAAACGTCATTTTGTAGGTTCGAAGTAAACAAACTATTGCCTAGGTATCCACTGAACAACACTTGAGCGCATGCCTTATACAAAACGAAGCTTGCGTCTATAGATCCTGTAGCTTTATTTTCATCGCTCTAATTATTCATAACTTCCAAGCCTTTTTGGATTACAGAAATCAAATTTAGGAGTCCTCTCATCTCAACAAGATACTAAAACGGTCAAACAAGAAATATGTGAACAGTATCTTCCTGGACTCCAGTTGGACTCCTAGTGCTGTCACTTCTATAAATAAATAGCTAACTACGGAGTAAATAAATAAATATTTACTTATTTAGTTAGCTAACTATCTAAAGTAAATCACATACGAGCGGCGCACACAACCAAGTGGCGCACCTAGAACACCATAGTAAAATCGAATAAATTAAATATCATATCTCAACAACCATAACTCTCATAAGAATCAATACTGGGTGAGATAAAATGATAAGAATCCTTATAAAGATCTCATTCATTTTAAGTAAATTAATTAGATGGATTATAGTGATACCATAAATTACGATGTAATTTATTTATCTTAGCTTTAACTACACTTTAATTGACGATATTATATTCCTTCTTCTATATTTTTATTTTATCAACTATAAATGATCCAAACTCAAGAGTTGAAGTCAATTCAACGGGTGGTTGTTGACATATGATATTCAATTTGTTCGAGTTTATTATGGTGTCCTGGGTGCGCCACTCGCATGTGTGCGCCGCTTGTATGTGATTTACTTTAGTTAACTACCAATGAATGAATGACTCAGCACTCATTTGAGTCGATGACTAAGGACGTCGAATGCAGAACTCCAACTTGGGTTAGTGCTTCAGCCTCAGGCATTACTGGAGCTATCGGCGTCAAAAAAAAAAAATTATTGCCCGCAGCGCTTTCTAGTTACGTCCTCTTTCAAGTTCCTTACTTGTTTACTTTTGGGAACTTTTCATTCCTTTTTTAACTTCTTTTTTTCCTCTCCATCCACTTTCCAATTTGTGTGAATCTTTTAATCGTTTCAACCATGGCTGAAGAACAGCCCACCAACGTGATTGCGGAAGCCACCGAGAGTGTTCAGGCTGTCGATGCTGAGCTCAAGGAGACTGATAATGTTGTGAATGAGACTGCCAATACAGAAGACACCGAGGAAGCCCGCATCGTTGCCGAGGCTTCTAAGCTCGCTCAGAAGTCTGAATCGGCCGACAAGGCCAACGTTACCAAGTCCGACGAGACTGAATTGGAGAAGAGTTCAGACCATGACGAGATTCGTAAGCAGGTTGAATTCTACTTTTCCGACTCTAACCTTCCTATCGACAAATTTATGATGTCGCAAGTCGGAGGAACCGACAACAAAGCCGTGCCGCTTACCACTATCATGTCGTTCATGCGGATGCGCCGATTCGGGCCAGTCAGTGCCATTGTCGAGGCACTGAAGACATCCGAGACTCTCGATCTCGTTGATGACGACAAAGCTGTTAAGCGCAAGGTGGCTCTTTCTAAGCCGCTACACCAGAATAATGGCGTGAAGGTCTGGGAAGACAAGTCTATGCCTCGCAGTATTTACGTCAAGGGCTTCGGTGAAGAGGGTCCCACGACCCAAGTGGATATTGAGAAGTTTTTTGCACCCTACGGTCCTATTCAGTCTGTCCGCCTTCGCCGCATTGCCGCCAACAAGTCTTTCAAGGGCAGTGTTTTCGTTGAGTTCGACTCCGAAGAAAAGCAAGCCGAATTCCTAGCTCTGGAGAAGAAGCCACAATGGAAGGAGGGTGAAGACCTCCTTATCAAAACCAAGAAGGAATACTGTGACGAAAAAATTGCCGATATCGAGGCTGGTAGGATGGAGCCGGCTAAGTCCACTTTCGGCGGTCGTGGAGGCCGTGGAGGTCGTGGAGGTCGCGGAGGTCGCGGAGGTCGTGGAGGCCGTGGTCGCGGCGGTCGTGGTGGTCGCGGTCGTGATCGCGAAGATCGTGGTGACTGGCGCGAGAGCCGCGATCGCCAGAAGAGAGATGAGCGGTAAGCAATACATTCTTCCTAATGACAGTGGATGATAATGGAACTAACGATTTAATTCTCACAGCGGTGTCCCCGTCTTGAAAACCCACAACAAGCGTGAACGGGAAGACGATAGCAGCGACCGCCCCAGCAAGAAGGTTGAGACTGCGGAGTAAATGGAGAACTGAATAACATCTTGCCAGTTCTGATATTTCCAGTGTCTTGCTAGAAGATATTCAAAAGCGAGTGCAATAGTACCGTCCATTTTGGGATGTGAAATAGGAGTGGCTCCTAATGGCGTTTATGGTGAACCATACCTAGTTATCAACATGTTTTTCTTAAATTCCATGAAATGTAATTCTTTTGTCTTGCAATGTTACGGTGGAGTTATCAAAGCATAGTCAATCTTATAAATTGAACTAGATAACAAATATCTCATATTTACGACTTAAAACTCCATGTCATAAGCCAGGGTATCTTCGCACAATTCCTCCCTCACCTTCGAAACTCTATAGAACGCTGTCAGTCCACGTTAAGTCATTGAATCAGGACTGCTGGACTTACTCGAGATGAGCTGGGTGCACAGCGTAAGTTGCGATATCCTCTGGCTTCTCCAAAACAGCCACAAGGCCCATGTCAAAGCCTTTAGCACGGGGGAGACAGATAGGCAGCGGAGTATTGGCTTGCAAGGAGACAAGGCCTGTTTCCACCTCATAAGTCTATGACTCCTTTGTTTCTGACAGCATGGATGATAACTGACCTGGGACTGTGCCAACCATGTTCCTAGCTAATGTAGCCCAGCTCTCAACCTGAGCTGGGGTCACGCCGGCCTTGAGGCGGAAGAGAACTAACATATTATTCAGTCGTCTAAATGAATACACCCGCACTCAGCCTACTAAGGTGGGGTGCGGGGATGAATCTGGGTCAATTCGAGGCTTACCAATGTGATAAACAGTCATTTCGGTCGAAATCCAAGGACTTGTTTTTTTTTCAATGGATATATTATCAATACTCGGAAAGAGAGGACAGCAAGACTCTGGGTGGGGTGAAACTACTATGACGCCTTAGTAATCTAGCGTGTTTACCCCACTCATATTGAAGCTTTTACCGGAGGTACGCATCCGAGACTCCGGAGTACTACAACATCTTCTCTTGACCTCCCTTGGAACCTCGTCATTCTAGCAAACATCTTTTGTTATACTACTGGCTTGTCTCAATCAAATGTTATAGGAGTGCTCTAGTGCTTCACCCTCGATAGCCCTTCCAATGACCTCGAGGCCATGATATCAAATGCGATAAATCTCACTTCGTATCTCAACAACAATAGAGAGGACAACGTCAAACTAAATCACTTCAAGCAGCGTAAACGATAACTAATTGAAATACACTAGCTACGCGACTAGCACCAAAAGCCTCCGAATCCAATTATAAAAACAGTTATCTTCCCCCTTTCAGCTCTTCTCTCACAAATGTACTATTATTTTTTTTTTCTTGTTTAATGGCATAAATCTCCTTTCATTAGCTTAGCAATGATCCTAAAGGCCAGGATTAATCGTCCGCATTCTATGGCACAGACAGATCACCTGTGTAAGAATACTCCCGGCAAAATCCTTTGCGTGAAATCATCCGGGGAATGATCTAGCGGCTTTTCATTCCTACATTGATAGCCTATATGTGCATATCTTCAATGATTATCACACATTGCAAGACGAAAGGCTGTTCGTGCTACAGTTTATGACAGTGTTGGATGCGCTACACATACTGATCCAAGACTATCTTTCGGTTACCTATGAGGTCTCTGGTGGAGTATCTTACCGCAACAACATCTCTCTTGTGAATGAACCTTGTACTGCAGCAAATCAGAAAATGCTCTTATAGTTACCAAATCATTGACCCGCCTCTTGGGACGTTGCATAGTTGGTACACGGGTTCCAATCTCATCACGCCTTCGTTGGAAGAGGCTGATTCTTATCACAACATGCATTCATAAATTTGATCATCATATAGAGGAGAGATTGAGTACTATCAATGTTCATCAAATAATACGTGAGACTCGGGATCGATGGGAGAAATTTACTCAACTGGCTTTTGGGTAGTGAATGAATGCTCCATGTCAGAGTTTAATATCTATGAGAAAGAAGAGGTACGAGTCTCTTCTCGGAATGATAGCTTCCTTTGCGAGCTACGAGATGATATCGCGTCTTACTATCAAGAGGGCTTATATTCATGCTCGAATGTCGTATTATGGAGAGAAAGTGACATATCTACATATGGCGGCTTTATATTTGAATTTGGAAGGTACAATATTAGCCTTGACGGACCATCCATGTGATATTGACCTTATAGAGATGGTGTCTGTACTTGATGATGAAGGAATGATTCCGCTGCATTGTATCTTGACTGAAGAGGAAGATTCATGGATTTTATTCAGATGAGCTTCCATCACGCATGAGTAAGATTGTCAGTTTACTACTCAACGCAAAGCCGGACACTATTGACGCGCGAGACCACAGTGGTGCTACCGTCCACCACCCCAGGGAAGAAATATGGTATTTAAGCATTGTAGTTCTATCAGATTTGAGGTCTAGCCATTCTTAGAGGTCGTATATAGCTAATCAGGGACCAAAATATCTTGAAACAATAAGGTCTAAGGATTTTTTTCCTTTCAAAATGATAGAGGGTCTAACGATTTTACTAAGTGGACTGATCTTCTTCGCAATCAATACCTATTCCTGCGATTCAACATAAAATAAGTTTCTTTCTGGCTTTGGTGAAAATTGAGAGTTGTAGAGACACTTAGGATAAGTAGTCCTTCACTTATCTATAGACCAAATATATTTAGACAGTATGTCTTATTACCCTTCAATACGAGAAAAGAGATTGTATAACTCCTAGATAGCTACTAGCTATGTTTTATGAATTCTAGACGCATCGATTTGTCTACTAAACAACTGACACATGGATCCTGTTGAATAGACTTTGACAGCCAAGCTTTTCTAATTAACTAACCTATGTTGATGAAGGACCAGTTAATAAGCGCAAGCCTTCCTGAGAATCCCATGATTCCCATCTTCATAGGAATACTATGCACTACACACATTTTTTGAGAGACTACACTACGATTTCTGAGTAGCTACCAGGTGTTGGCGTTGATTCGTATCGACGACTGGAGGAGTGGGTAGCGTAGCATTTCTTGGGATTACCTGTTCTCAACCCCGTAAGGTAGGGAGAGTGGCCCGGAGTGAGCGGACCTGTCAATGTCCGCCGGATCGTAGGATAGCCATCTCATGCGCACGTATATGAGAGGGAAGAAATCCCCAAGGATCCTGTTCAATAATCCATCTAACTAAAAATGCCTCTTAGTCTAGGGACAGCCGTTTTGATCTATGTGGGCAGCCGATGCTGCGTAACCTTGATTCGATGTTGGGGGTAGAGCTTGAGATACCATAGACAGTAGCTGCCTTTACCGAACATATTTGACCTGGTTTTAGTTCAGATATGGCAAGAGAAATTTGATCTTCTTTAGGAGGCATATTCCAACGAACGATTAGTGCAGTTACAAAAGTAAAAAAGTGGGAAGTTGGATACGCCACGCGAGGGCCCACTACTAGGGTAAGTGATTTTGCTGTTGTTATGAAGGGGCTGGTTATGAGAAGAACAGAAAGTTGGACACCGACCCTAATCGGCACATTCTCCTAATTTCCAAATGGCAATAAATACCTTCTTCTACTTATCCACCAGATGAAGACCGTGCTCATGAAAATTATCCAATTTGACGGTGCCGGTGCATCTAGTGCTCATCTCTTCATTATCCGAATATAGACTTTCAAGGGTCCAGGGGTAACTAGACAGTAGACAGTAAAATCCAGCCAATAGTATGACTTCTATATCATCTTCTCTCGCTGGAAGTATAAGAATATGGACTAGTAGTTATGTAGCTCTATGTTCCTGGATCCGCCTATGATACGACCAACGCTTTCCACGTGTCTCTCTATACTTCCGATGGAATCACTTCATTTTCACGGAACCTCCCTCCCAATGTATGGAGTATCATGTGGTATATTAATTCCTAAAATTTGCTATGTGTATCACCCCACCATAATGTATAAAGGTGTGCCCGTCCACCAAATTATTTGTGATTGTAAATCTCGCGAGTCAATTTCCACTTACTTGGAGGTAATGGTTCATCTTCTCTCCGTTGTAGCAGCTTTGGCGGCTCCGGCTCTTATTGCTGGAAAACCAATTTATCAATCTAGCGATGAGATTTCCCCAATGCAAGTGCGTCTGGCCTATGCTGGTGAGAATGGCATGACGGTCAGTTGGAATACCTACTCTAAGCTGTCTAAACCTACTGTCCGTTATGGCCGTAACCCCAAGCATTTGGATCATGTTGCTCGGTCAGATGTTTCGGTGACTTATGAAACCTCTTTGACCTACAACAATCATGTTCAATTAAATGGTCTGGAGCCTGGTACTACCTACTACTACCTCCCCGTGCATAGTGAGGACAAGGAGCCATACTCTTTCAAGACTGTCCGCCCTAAAGGAGACAAGACCCCATATTCAATTGCTGTGGCGATTGACATGGGTGTTATGAGTGCCGACGGCCTGACCACCACCGGTGGTGGAAGTCCTCTCAAAATTGGTGACCATAACACCCAGCAGTCTCTCCAGAATGAGGGAACAGACACTGACTTCTTGTGGCACCGTGAGTTTCCATGGCTCCTGTTAAATAATTCCTTCACCACACAAAATATTTTTTAATCAAATTATCTCACAGCCGGTGACCTTGCCTACGCTGATTACTGGCTCAAGGAGGAGATTCAAGGCTTCCTCCCAAACACTACCATTGCCGATGGCTACAAAGTGTATGAATCGCTTCTGAATCAATTCTACGATCAGATGGAGCCTATCACTTCGCAGAAACCATACATGGTTGGCCCTGGTAACCATGAGGCCAACTGTAAGTTACACTCGGCGCAAATATCCAACGTTATGTTCTGCAAGAAGCTGACGACAGCCAATAGGTGATAATGGTGGTACTACCGACTCTGTACACAACATCTCGTACAATGTCTCCATCTGTATGCCCGGTCAGACCAACTTTACTGGCTACCGTAACCACTTCCGCATGCCAAGCAGCGAGTCTGGTGGCGTGGGTAACTTCTGGTACTCTTTCGACAGCGGTATGGTCCATTACATTCAGTTGGATACAGAGACTGATCTCGGTCATGGATTCATCGGTCCCGATGAGGATGGCGGAACTGAGGGAGAGGAGACTGGACCTTTTGCCTTGAAAGATGCTCAGATCAAGTGGCTCCAGAAGGATCTGGAGTCTGTTGATCGCAAGAAGACCCCATGGATCATAGCCGGTATGTTTCCTTAGATTCAGTAGTCCGATATGATTACAACTGACAATTTCCATTCAAAGCCGGCCACCGTCCCTGGTACGCCAATGCAAAAAACAAGACCAGCTCCATCTGCGAAGACTGTCGCGAAGTCTTTGAGCCTCTCTTCATCCAATATAACGTTGATCTCGTTCTTGCTGGTCACAACCACTATTACGAGCGCAACGCCCCTATCAGCAACTTCAACGTTGATCCCAACGAGTTGAACAACCCCAGTGCTCCGTGGTACATTGTTAACGGTGCTGCCGGTCACTACGATGGCCTGGACTCGCTGAAGATGCCCTTGCAGCCTTACTCTCGATATGCTCAGGACACTGCTTATGGATGGAGTAAGCTCACCTTCCACAACTGCACTCATCTCACCCATGAGTTTATTAGCAGCTCCAACGGAACTGTTCTCGATACCGCTACGCTATTCAAGGATCGTAAGTGCGAAGAGCATAAGAAGCACCATTGGTGATTCTCATGAATGCTGGCGGGATTTAAAAGAATTTCAAGAGGTCGTTCCATCCACTTCGGTAGTCAAAATATCAACCCCACGTGGACATTCGAAATTGATTGACACTCTATATATGCTGAAATGAGTGGTCCTTCATTGTCATACCCGTCGTGTACTGTTTGGATATGAGGAAGGTACATACATCCATAGTAAAGAATGTGGCACTTCGGATCAGGTTACCGTAATTAGTAGCTAGTGTGCATTTCTCGTTTTTCATCTAACTCAGTGTATCGATCAACGTTTCGGGAGATGAATCGGCAAGACTGGCGTTATCCGCGAAGGTCTATAGCAATCAGGATATCGTCCACGAAGGCGATTGAAGATTGATCTAGAGTGTCACTCTGGATACTGCTGACATGACTTTTGAACACACATGGAAAGGCATAGCCCAGTATCCCAAATCGATATCGGAGGAAGATTCGTTGAATAGTGCTCCAGTGATATCAAATTCAGTAGACGGAGATAGCTGTTGAGTTGTAAGCTTGAGAAGACAATGACTTATCCCAAACCAAGTAACAATTAATAAGAGCGAAAGTAATTTTCAGTGAAAGTTGTTGTAGTGAATAGAGGATTCAAGGGCTCCAAGGTTCTGGATGCATGCCTAGCACAGGTAGGTCAACTGGTGGCAGCCCGGCAGGTGTAGATTAAATCAAACTGTAAATCTATGTATGCAGTATTTTTCCTCTTCCCTATCTTAATTTTAGTCTGAAATAGATATCACGTATCAGGACCCTAATACTTATTTACAACGTGTACGATTAAATAATCTTGAATATTGATTAACCAATAACGTTGGGATATCTGAAAATATGCATGTACTCAAGGATGCGTAGAACAGTGGATCATTCAACAAGTGTTATTTGAGTGGGTAGGCGAAGTATTAGTAAGAGGGAATTTGCTGCCAATATTTTACCAATCTCACTCTTTTCCCCTTTCTTCTCCAATTACAGTACTTAGTAGACGATGACTTGGGGGCTCCTATGGGCCAGTACTTTGTAGTAAAGAATATGATGAGCACAGACTTCTCTTCCTTTCACACATGCTAAACTCTAAAGGGAGGCTTATATAGGGTTCTACTTTGTAGATGGCTTGCCTTGGATGAGAAAAGGGGATTTTATACAACTTCACTTTACATAATACTAGATTTATTCTAAAGATAGAATGCACGAAAGACTCTTAGCGCCCTGGTCACCTGGCGGTGCGGCTGAGGGTGCCCTGAGATTTGGACTTTGCTCCAGCATCCTCAATACAAACCTAACACTTCTAATGTCTACGGTTACTTTTCAAGGTGGTCCAAACTCAGGGCTCCAAGTGGGGATTAATCATGGTTCAATTTATCATTCCCCAGGTTGGTTTCACAAGATCCCCTTAGGTTAACTCCACTGATAATGACCTAGAGCGACCGGACACCCCACCAGCCCCTCTTTCAACCATTCCATTTCGTCGCGACCTAGACTTTGTTAATCGTGGGACGCTACTTGATCAGTTAGAAGGGAGAGGCCTATTACCTGGATCTCGCATCGCACTGGTCGGTCTAGGTGGCGTTGGGTAAGTTGAAGAATAGCGGGCGGATTCGAGACTACTAATAAGTAAACAGAAAATCGCAACTTGCTATTGAGCACTGTCATCGAGTTCGAGATAGATCTACCGAGACGTGGATCTTCTGGATCTACGCGAGTAATAAAAGTCGATTCGAGCAGAGCTGCCGAGAGATTGCCGACCGAGCCAAGATCCCTGGCCGGCAGGATCCCAAGGCGAACATCTTCAAACTCCTTCATGATTGGCTACAGGATGAGAAGCATATATGGATTCTCGTCTTTGATAATCTTGATGATGACCAATTCCTTCATGAAATCCCACTAATTACGTCAGATGATCAAAGTAAGCTAGATCGGTCGATCTGGGCATACTTTTCCCAGCTATCTAGAGGCTCTATCGTGATCACAAGTCGGAGTAGGCGCGTGGCCTTACAAATAGTGGAAGAGGAGGAAATTATCTTAGTCGAGCCAATGGACGAATCTCAAGCGTTAGCACTTTTTGAGAAAAAGTTTGGCACCCTAACACAAAAGGATGATATCATTCAACTGATTGCAGCACTTGAGTTTATGCCACTTGCGATTGTGCAAGCAGCGGCCTATATAAGGCGAAGAGCGCCACGACAGTCAGTCCGACAGTATCTCGACAAATTCCAGGAGAGTGACCACCAGAAGACCTCTCTCCTTGATCATGAGGGGGGTCACCTTCGCCGAGACCCAGAGGCTAAGAACTCGATCCTTATCACATGGCAGATCTCCTTTGATTATATTCAAAGAATCAGGCCTACCTCAGCCGATTTATTATCTCTGATGAGCTTTTTTGATCGACAAAGAATTCCTGACTATTTACTCCGAGACGATGAGCAGGAGGATAGGAAAAGTGAGCATAGTGAGGTCGACGCACTTGAAGATGATATATTAGTACTCAGAGATTTCTCGATGATTTCCGTTAATGTGGATGGAAAGAATCTTGAAATGCACCGACTAGTCCAGCTAGCGATGCAAGAGTGGCTTAAGTCGCACAAACTGTATGAAAGATGGCATGGAGACTTCATTCAGCGACTTTCAAGCAATTTTCCAACAGGCGGCATCGAGAATTGGCCAACATGCGAATTATTATTCACTCATGTGCTACATGCTATGAAGCAGAAACCTAAAACCGAAATCCAATTAGAAGAATGGGCGTCCCTGCTTCATGAAGCAGGATGGTTTGCACTGAAAAAGGGGAATTTCCCCGATAGCGAGAAAATGGCACAGAAGTCGACCGAAGTGAGGAAAGAGTTGTTTGGTCAAGAACATCCCGACACTCTGAACAGTACGGCCAATCTAGCATCGACCTACCGGAACCAAGGGCGATGGAACGAAGCTGAAAAGCTCGAGGTGCAGGTCATGAATACCCGCAAACAGGTGCTTGGGCCCGAACATCCCGATACTCTGAGCAGTATGGCCAATCTAGCATTGACCTACTGGAACCAAGGGCGATGGAACGAGGCTGAAAAGCTCAACGTGCAGGTCATGAATACCCAAAAACAGGTGCTTGGGCCCGAACATCCCAATACTCTGACCAGTATGGCCAATCTAGCATTAACCTATGGGGACCAAGGGCGATGGAACGAAGCTGAAAAGCTCGAGGTGCAGGTCATGAATACCAGCAAACAGGTGCTTGGGCCCGAACATCCCGATACTCTGACCAGTATGGCCAATCTAGCAGCGACCTACCGGAAGCAAGGGCGATGGAACGAAGCTGAAAAGCTCGAGGTGCAGGTCATGAATACCAGCAAACAGGTGCTTGGGCCCGAACATCCCGATACTCTGACCAGTATGGCCAATCTAGCAGCGACCTACCGGAAGCAAGGGCGATGGAACGAAGCTGAAAAGCTCGAGGTGCAGGTCATGAATACCAGCAAACAGGTGCTTGGGCCCGAACATCCCGATACTCTGAGCAGTATGGCCAATCTAGCATTGACCTACTGGAACCAAGGGCGATGGAACGAAGCTGAAAAGCTCAACGTGCAGGTCATGAATACCAGCAAACAGGTGCTTGGGCCCGAACATCCCGATACTCTGAGCAGTATGGCCAATCTAGCATTGACCTACTGGAACCAAGGGCGATGGAACGAAGCTGAAAAGCTCAACGTGCAGGTCATGAATACCCGCAAACAGGTGCTTGGGCCCGAACATCCCGATACTCTGACCAGTATGAACAACCATGCGTACACCTTGGAGTCATTAGAGGAGCACAACGCTGCTTCGCAGTTGATGACAGAATGTGTCCGACTACGCAGCCAAGTACTAGGCCCGGATCACCCAGATACCCTTTCCTCGATATCTATTCTTAATAGTTGGCGCAGAAACAGTTATTCCTCATCTGCTCAACCTATTCAAGCAACTCATGACAACGCAGAGGGCCCCATGCAAGAGAACACCCTAGCGACCTCCGACCCAGGTTCTCAAGCTGTCCGACATCGCAGACGAGCAATATTCTCTCGCCTCTTCCGCAAAAAGTAGAGTTTTGTATTTTCTTTTTCTTTTTAAAAGCGGCTTCTCGTTAATAAGCGAGAAAAGACAAATTTCTATTACCAGTACACATAATAGCATTCCATTACTAAATGATAGTGATTCGTACTGCGATTTTCAATCGATAGAAATGGAATGCGATGTGTTGCCAAGACCTGAATTGATACAATGGAATTCTCTGGATTGTAAATTGGTATTTTCAGTATTTTACACTCTGTATTTACGAATTTGTGGTTCATACATTACAACACCATTATCCAAGATCAGAGATCAGAATAGTATTAACCATATATGTTTAGTATATCCAAAATTAGGGGTAGAGAAAGAAAATGTGCGTATTTAGCATGGAAGCCAATTCCAAATCCTACTGTTTTTTCAAGTTCAGTGGATGACTTTTGGCTAAGGCGTCATTTTGTCAACTTTCTTCGTCCTGGGATTACCAACTTGCGATTCATGAAGTTATTCAGAAGTAAATAAATTTTTATGAGAGCCATGTAAGCATGACAAACTGCACAAATATCTTGGTATTCACCGATATAGAAATTGGTGAAATAGAGCTTCTTTGATTAGGTGTTTACGCCTTGAAAGGGCAGTATTTTGGTAGAAGTGTGTCAGAGATCCAATTCAATAGTTGATAACTTGTATCACTATTTAAACATGCTATTTCTTTTTCTTGGTCTTATCCACTACCGATATCCACTGGCTTTTCAATCCACGGCGCGTGAGCGCCGTGTCCAAGATCTTGCGATGGTCCCCTTGAACGAGAACCTCCATCACGCCCTTTGTAGCACCAACAGCCTGTGTCACACTAGTGCTACTAGCACACTTCTTCTGTAGCTCCTCTGCCAGGACAGCAGGGATAATACCAAAGATCTCTAAATTGCTCACTCTAGTAACGGTCTTTGAGCCTGTGCGCTTCTCGAGAATAACTGATACTTTGGGCGGGGTTCCTGACTTGGGCTTCACATCCGCTAGGGTTTGACCAGGCTTCAGAAATGCGTAGTATGGTTGAAGTAGGGAGGGATCTTCCACCAGCCGCTTCAGCAGGGCATCTCGAGTAACCATTCCGCGTCGTAGGGTGCTTTGATCATCGGAGGAAGTGGAGGTGAAAATGGTATTTGCGAGGAACGGGTTCAGAGTGATGATGCGTCGGTTTTCACGTGCAACAACAGGTGGGTCTTGAGCCTGGAGGTACTTATCTAGGTGACTAGAAACTTCGGCGTGCTTGTAATAGTTTTTGGTGTTGGCGGTTGAGAGCGCTGGGAAGATATCTGGCATGAGTTTCCCTGTGGGCCGGTAAAGAGATTGGATTGTGAGAGTCTGTCCCACTGATGGATCTGCGTCATCTGTGACAACAGTCTTCTTGCCTTCTGGCTTGTTAGAGCTATCGGCTGAGGGTAGTTTATAAGGAACAAATCTCTGCACGCGATGATCATCAAAGTCGACATCCAAAATCACTGTTTCCTGGCCATTGCGGTCTTTAGACTTGACCAGTTTCAGTTTGTCAAGATGCTTGATGAACTTTTTGACATTTTTCCAGCTGGTCTTTTTAATGTTGTAGAATTGCGCCTGCTGTGATGAGTATACTGGAAGGTAGGGGGTGATTAAGTTGGCGATCAACATTGAGGCTGAGACTGGGAGTGTGAGATTATGGTTCGTAGCAGTGGGATTGTCTTGTTTGAGCTGATAAAGGGCGAAGACAAAGGCATTGACAAATGCATCGTCGATGTCTGGTTAATAGGTTAGGACTTCCAATATCTTGGATGAATAGATGAACTCTTTACCTTTCGTTGTTGGTTCCTGTTCCTCGGTGACAGGCTCTTCTGCAGAGTCATCAATGTCATCATTGGTAGGAATTTCTTCCTCTTGATCTTTCAGTGTCAAGCCACCAGCTGCTTCTGTAACTTCCTCGACCTCTTCGTCCCATCCCTGAAGATACTCGGGAGCTGGCCGTCCAGGACGCGATGAAGCGCTCCAGGCCCAAAGTTCATCACCTTCCCAGTGAATACCCCGAACAGCATGCCCCTTGGTACCCTGGACCTTCCCTAGAGCGGAGACATCAATCTCACAGATGCCCACGAGGAGTGGTACAGTATGGCTATCCAGACTTGCAACAGCAACCACAGCTCCCTGCTTTGCCTTCTCGGGGAAAGGTGGTTCATTTGCAAGTCCGGGAGTCATAAGATCTGCTCCACCACGAAGCTTCTGCATCACCATCTCCGGGGTATATAGCAAAGGAAGCAAGTTTGCATAACGCCAGAGAGTGTAGACAGTCGGATAGAGGCGCTTGTTGCTGCCAGGCCCTTGTTCCACCTTAAACCACAACACTCGCTCGTCCTCGTCCGAATGTGCGCCAACGTACACAATGCCTTGGACCTTTTGTAAATCTGGACCTGCAGTTGTGGTAAAGCGTGCAGTCAACACATTTTCTGGGAGGAGTGAGTTTCGAATTGCGGTCAGGTTCAAGGATGAGGTTGGGCCAGGGGAAGCATCGGAGGTCGTGGCAGGATTTGTAGGAGCGGATATCTCATAATCGCTGATAATCTGGTCTGCAATCTTCCTCCGATCAGAAGATCGCAAGGGAGACAAATTCTTGATCTGATAACAAGTCAGAATTATTTATGCGGTCAAGGAGGGGCAATGCGGGGGAGCAATCACTGACTGTGGGTTTTTTCTTGAACATTATGGAGAAGGAAGAGAATAGTAATAAAGATAGAAGTGAAATTAGAAGCCTTTATCTTTTGGTCAAAGATGCAGGCCAGCTTAGATTCAATTATGCGAGGTTGATGATCAATCTTGGAGGTCGATGTGATGGGAAAAAATAGCTGATGTTCTCCACATCCCAAGCTTGCGCCTAAGGTACCCGCTAGACCTAGACGCATGCTTGCCCTTAGCTTAGGCTCTTAGAGCCTAGATACCTTATCCAATCCTAATTAGGACGCAGAAAATATAAACCCGTTGACTCGGAAGGCTTTACTGTACACTAACTACTACGGCATCGAATTGACGCTAATACGAATAAATATAATGATTTGAAGGACACTGCCCGTTCCTTGATGTTCTTCTCTATTATTCAAATTGAAGTGCTAGAGTTTACATGGACATCACAAGAGTCTCATGTAGCATATCCTGCCCATAGTCGTAACCTGGCCATCGTAGTAGCTCCGAAAATTCATGACTATACAAAGATTCTTACCTGCTTCGTAAGTAGGCAGAAGGCTAGAGCCTCGGAACCTTCGAAGCCAGGGCCGGCTTCTCACTTTGGCCCTGGAAGACTTAGGCTGAGATATTTTCGTCGGACTAGGTCCATAAGACAGATATCTGAGTAGTTCTGATTGCCTTGGTGTCCTGATAATATCATAGACGATGATTACAGTAGGTCCCAACTTCTTTAAACACCACATCACGGCCATAGCATAGAACTGCACCCTGGGAAAAATTCAAATTAATCCTTAGAAGGTTCTCAGGAATAAATAACAAGCCCCCGATGCCCTGGTAGCCTCCAAGACTTGCAATTCTTGCATTCCAAGTTTTTTTTAGCCTTTAATGATATCTATATCGATGAATTGGCCCTGGGGATGCAGCCTTGGGGGTGATCGTTTCATATCACCATCAATCACTACCTGTCTATCTATCTATGTATGTATCTAGTGTGTCTGTCAATTCTCAGGTATCATGAACTCCAATATAGAATAATATTATCAGTCCAAGGGTGTTAAGACCCTTGATGGGAATATTCTGTGCCGCCCGTCGTAACAACGACATATATGGATGTAACCCCTTAGAATATACGGGCACCTCGATGGCTTCACCAACCGATGTTGATGTCACAACATAATTTCTCATCTACTGGGTCTAAATTAACAGGGATTCTACCTAGGTAAGGTTGAAGGATAAAATTTCTGGTACTTGCCTACAGCCGAGATGGTCGCTTGCACGCTATTATGGAAATACAGCAGGGAAATGTGTCTCCATCTCTAACATGCTAGGAATTTCTAAGGTTACTTCCAAGCTTTACATGTCTCCCGAGGTCTTCAAAGGCTCTGGGATTTTACGAGCTATGAAAACCTCGAGATCATGTCATCGAGCTGTCTGTTATTTTACTGCCTTCCAAGGTTGAACACTCTCACATCTTTGACCTCGGGAAATACGGTACCTGACCCTCGGCATTCATTATTCCACTAGGTATTCCCTGTAAAGTTTTGGAACACTTTGTATTCGGAGTCGTCGAAATCTCTAAGTCAATCTTTATACAAAATCTAAGAGCTTCACTGCGAGATGTAGTGGGTGTTTATAAAAGTAGATAAGTGAATATGCTTTCATTCAATGTGTAGGGAGTGTCTGATCTCACGAGTCGTAACATCTCCGACAATAATGAATAACAAGAACTTTGGTTGTCACTTCTCTAAGATACCTATTTAGATACTTCATTGATGTGGACCTTGCCAGAAAAGAAAAGAAAAGAACAGAAAAGAAAAAGCCGAGATACCAGATCCCAACTTCTGAAGATACATAAGATATAAAAACACTATCATATTTACCATGAACCATTGTTGTAGACGACAATTCCAAGGTGCACAGGGGAATTTAGCTCATGATATCCCGGGCGTGCTTCTTCTCGGTGACTATCCATTTGAATGTTTGGTGCAGAAGGCTAAGGATGTCGTCGGCGCTTAGAGAACTCAGATATGTGCTCCAATCACTAGCAACATAGTCACTGGAAGCCACCTGGCTAGAGCCAGATGCAGTAGGGCTAGCTGTGGTGGAGCTGGATTTAACAACGTTTGTAGCGCCACCAGAATTCGAGGTGGCACTGGGGGTGGACGTTATGACGGTGGAAGTGGACTGCAAAATTTTGTAAGTACATTCAAGAAAACTTGTAACTGACTTTTGAATAGTAAAAGCTTTCCGTGTATCTAGGTGCGAAAAGGTATAGGAATTGATACTTACAATATATGTAATGGAATCCAGTGAAGTACTAGATCTCAGAGCAACAATCGAGGGCACAGTAGTGGGTGATGCAACGACTGAGGCCGGGGAGGTAGTAGAACCCGAAGCGGAAACAGCACCAGTATATAGAGCGGGGCCGGGTATACTGTATGTGCTCAGGGAGGAGTAAATGTTGACCAGGATACCAGGGTCAGTGTCCTTGTACAGCTCGGTACCCAGGGTACCAGTAGGCTTATCGTCACCACCACCCGTCACCTCGAGGTCGATACACTGAGGGTAATTCTGGGCACCGTCCTTGTTCTCTGCGGAGTGGAGAGCGATAATCTCATGACGCAGAACATAGCTTCCCGACTCGATACTACTTGGGATGGTAACAGTGTAACTGTTGTTGTTGGCGATCAGCTTGTCGGAGGCCCATTCGCCAGGAACAGTGTCATCGTTGATGAGGCCGCCCTCATCGATCTTAAAGAACTCCAGGGTGGTTTTGTCCACGCTGGAACAATTACCATTGCAGTTGGCTAGGTATGTAATGACAGGACCATGGTGACTGGAGGGCCAAGTGGACCACTGCAGCTCGACACTGCCACCGGCCTTGACGGGAGCTTCCAGAGCTGCTGCCTTAGCATCCTTGTGGCAAATGATGTTGGCACTTGAGTATCCAGTTCCATCGATGTAACCCAGGTCAGTCTCATCTTCAGACCAGGCAATGACCTCTGGTGGGCTAGTCTCGTATGGAAATTCATTGATGAGATATCCCGTGTAGTAGGTGCCGTCAACAACTGCACCAGTTACATAGCCGTGGCCGGCTACTAAAGCAGCTGATCCTAGGATCAAGGCAGCAGTCTTGCACAAGGACATGATTTCAATTTATTGGAAAGCGAAGTGAATCCGCAGCGTGGAATGAATTGAAGAAAGAATGTAGTTGTTGGTAAAAGAATGACAATGGGGACTTCAGTCAATGAGGTCGACCCTAAGAGAAGGTGATGCTAGGCCCTGAAAGGCTGAAGAAGAGAATGTTGAAATAGAAGAGAAATTTTGTTGATTCACTGAAGAGGCCATCATCTTAGGCCTTTATATACTGCTTGGCTCCAAGGCTGGCATTGGAACCTTGGAAAGTTCGGTTAAAATGCCTTCTGTCGGGCTATCCAATCTGCATTCCTGTATCATGAGCTGTACCTGCATGACAGTTTTGACATCGGCCTACATTCCTTAATTAAATAATGACCTCCACAAGTCCCACACTCATGAGAGAGGTCATAGGTCGATAGGCCTAGGCGATTGAGATGACAAACGCCAAGGTAGGAGATATATGAGAAGGACATTCTCGAACCACCGAAAGGAGCCATGGAATTGATTGAACTGTGTCCCTGCATCTGTAGGAGGGCGTTGTATGGCTCGCTTAAGGAGTGACGAGATAGTGTATAAGTGGCTGTCGTTCATGGGCGGCTCTTCGCGACAGACTACGTTTCATGGTTGCAGATAACAATCACGAAATGGGTTCATCTCCGCATCGTATATGATGCTTTTGGCATCATACCTCCTTTTCAATCTCCATGCTCATCGATGTAATTTCATTCAGGGGCCTGAGTGCCTCGCTGGCATCCACATTATGAGCATATAGAGGCTCTTAGCCACCAATGACCTCGAATACCATTCATATTGGCGCCTCAACAATCATCCCTAGAATCTATTTCGTGAATAAATTCTACAGAAACGATATTTGAATCATTTGGTCAATTTTTTGACATCTATTTCATGAGGCGTGGCATCGTCAGTGTTTAATATTTTAATTCCCGGACAATCATTCTGAAACACCAGTGGGCGGCACGCAATAGTGCAGCATAGACTGATTAAAATTTTGAGGCCCTTCACTTGCAAGGTTGAGCTTTTTGTATTGGAATTCCATTTAAACAGAACATCACCTTTGAGATGAGGGCGTCTGCAAAGATACGAAAAGTATTTCGTACTCTCACAGCAAACCTGGGCTGTTCAATGTTATGTGAGGCGCTTCTAAAATTAGCATCAATAGATATCGGAGAAAGATAAAAAAAAATTGGGACAAAGGCTTTCTTTCGGTTCTCTGGTGGCATAAATCAGCCTGCTTCTCAGAAATTTGCAGATTTAAGGACTTTGCGTATCTAAAATTCCATGCTAAGGTTCGCAGGCAAACTCTTCGGCTTTTGACAGGTATGCGATGCTGCTTTAGCTCTGAAAGTGCAGCTTTTTCCATAGTCGACCTTGATGGACGGCCTTAATGCCCTTGCAATAATGGAAAGTCGCATTTTAACACCAACAGAGGTCCTGTTTACACAACAGTAAGAATGCTAGCATTGCCAGGGCATTCGTTGTACTCAGTACTTGTGGTCTCGGCTTTTAAACGATCATGCATGCATCAAGCTCAACCCAATCACCCGTTGGTCCCGCGGAAGAGATGGGGTAATTTGGAGGTGGGTCGTTTCCAAGTATAGACAGATGCATGGGGTTGAGTGAACAGCATGCCCGAGTTGCACAAGTACCACAGAATGATAGCCGATCTTTAAGCATATTCAAACCGGAGCATCAGGATGGCCATGTGCGCAACGATTATCTGTGGTGATCTTGAAGGAAGTATAAAGTTCACTAGGGGGACACAGAAAGCAAGAGAAGGCGTGCGAATCATGATCTGCCGTTTTAATATGTTGGTAATTACACTGTATTGAACGACAGCGATCATTATAGAATTTGGTAATGCGTGTTTTAGTATTGGTTATTTTGGTCACCGCCATTCAAATTATTGTGGCCTGAGGATTGAGGTTTCAACATTGAAAGTGGTTGTAATGAATCAGATTTATGAAATGCAAGCAAAAATCCAATTCTCAATCTTATCACAATCTTCTCTCTGATTTCAATCTTCAGTACAGAGTAAATTCCCCGCTGTTGGACAATCTTACATATCCAAGCCACCCGTTGTGGTTCTGCCGGTGGGCTCTCACAATTTTCCCGTCTGGACTCCACAAGGCAGTAACTTAACTTTCCGTTGAGAAACCCCTTAACACTCCCCAAATCCCCTTCAATATTCATTACTGTGTCCCAGGAGCAATGGTCTCCAGAGTTCGTTCCTGGTACATAACGTGAGACTTGCAGCGGTTCACTTTCGCCATCTCCCCACATTACCTGCAAACGAACGCCTTCCTCTATCCCCAACCATATTCACGCGACCTTCCGGCTCCTTTAATTCCCCGAATGCTGTGACCTCGGGCTAGTCTCATTCAACTCAAATCGAACTTAGCTATTCAACTTAACAGTCACGAAGAATGGGACCATCAGAAACACACTCCTCGCCTATTTTTCCTTCCTTGGACCCCATCATTATGGACGATGAGATGGAGTCCGCCTTCCGTGACACCAAAATGGACTTTCTCGACCCTACACATCTGGAAATGCCATCAGGATCCGCCGGAGGGGACTTTGACGATTTATTTGCTCGAGTAACACATTCTCGCTCAAATGGAGGCACCGAGTCCTCCAAGACTTACGATCAACACCCCTTGAGACAACCACCAGTCATGGCTGCAGATTCACCAGCCGAATCTCTAGATAATTCCAGTCCTAGTTCTACCTCTGGGTCTCCACGTGACCGCCTACGACACCCCTCGATTGCTTCAACAACTTCTGCGGCTCTTAGTGAGAACCCGCGCGCATCTATTGCTTTCTCGGCTGACGACTGGATACGACCCGATCTGTCCTCAGTTAAAGAAGAATCTCCATTTACAATAGACCCATCATATTCACTCAATACTGGATTTCCTATGGACCCGGACTTGGAGTCAAGTAACAAAGCAATGGACGCAGCATTTGACTTTGAAAGTGCCGCGAGCAGCCCTAGCCCCCTCAATATCGAGAATCCATCATCACTTGAACCAGAAACAATTATCAAATCTCAAATATGGAGCCCTTCTGGTACCCCTGCTATGCCGGTGTCGACATCTTCCGTGGGTCATCCGTTAAAGTTCGGAACTCCCTAGTTTTATTTCTCTAACTGTAGTTTATAGGTTCCGATTGCCGGATCTTCATTCTTCTCATTTGGGGCAAGGGAGCAGTCTCCGTTCTCAGGCTTGTTCCGCCATGACACAGACAGAATTCCCGCTCCGCAATGGGGTGGCCAGTCCCCATCATCGTTACTGGAGGAGAGTTTTGGAGGAATTAATATGAACGGACAGTCGCCATTAAACCATATGTCTCCAAATATGAACTTCAGCTCCCCCTCAGCGTATCAAATCCCCGCCAACTTCGCCTCATCCCCGGCTCAGTCACCTCCCGATGCTATGAATTCTATGCAACCCATTCTTACGGTGCATCCAACATCACTCAAGTCGCGCGTCGAAACTCAGATTCCCATTCGATTGACACTTTCTCCACTGCCGGTCGGTGTGAAGAAATTACGCCTTCCTTCGCACACAATATCGAAACTTAAATTCCTCGCGCCTTCTTCCACCGAACCTACTCCCGACACGCTTCAATTATACGCAAGTTTAGTATGCACAAGTGCAATGCAGGACCGGGGAAAATTGAAGAGAGCCTTTGCTCGAACACGCGGCGAGAGATACTCATCTGGGGCGGAAGATGAGCGACCATTGGATGGTGGGGATGTCAAGATATGTGCGGGCTGTATCCAACGAGAGCGGAAACGTGCGTCTCGGAAAAAGCAGCGAAAGCCTGAAGAGGATGAGCTTTTCCAGAAGGATGAGGAAAAAAGGGTGATAGTCTTTAACACCAGTGAAATCAAAGAGTGGACCGAGCCGCCAAAGAGCGCCTCAGCTGGCTACAGTGATATTTCCGCTACCCCGGGATCAATGCAGGTGGAGCTGCCGATGCGCATCGCATGCTACTGTCGACACCAAAACGAAAAAATTGGATTCCAGGTTATTTTTACCGTGAAAGATCATTTGGACAACGTTGTCTCCCAGTCAATCACAAATTCCATTATGATCACCGACGACCACAAAACGCAGGCCCCTTCTGCTCCAACTGCACACTCTCTACCGGATGGATCATCAATGCCTGGCGTCAGTGTCTTTTCATCCGGATCGAATGACGCCAAAGGTTCCAACGGCGCATTTGCTTCGCCGCAGTCTCCGACTGATCTTCAGGGTCTCCAGCAAAGGTTCAACTCGCAGTACCAACTCACGCCCAGCTCATTTGCTGCCGTTCAAACCCCAACCAATGGCCTCGTTTCAAATTCACAAACCCCTCGAAACCTTTCTCGACAGGCGTCACCAAGCGACTTCCCCGGGCCGCAGACGAAACGACGGAAACACAGCAACTCTGGGAGATTACCTTCAGAGCTGACTATGACGCGAATGGAGTCACCTCAGGCGTCCGGTTCGGCAATGAATAATGCTGCACAAATTGCGGCTGCCCGTGTGTTCACCTCGCCAATAGAACGGCCGTTTGTGACACCTTCGTCAATGTCTGGGCAATATGTGAATAGCCCGCCAACTCCAAACCCGGCCCATGACAACAATAACCCATTTTTCAACCCAACTCCGGCTCAACGGCAAAGCTTGGACAACTTGTCTCAACCTGTGGTGTCCGCACCTAATTCTGCCCATGCCAGTCGTCCTGGAACACCCGGTGGTCCTGGACGTAATGGTTTCCAGGATCCAAACCTCGCGCTTGCGCTTGGCGCCAATACCGCTAGTCAAGTATGGCCGTCTATTACTCCTTCACCAAGCCGATTGCCATCTGTGATCCATAAGTTGGTACCGGCTGAGGGTTCGATTGCCGGCGGTACTGAGGTTACGCTACTAGGTAGTGGATTCTATCCCGGCATGGAAGTTGTCTTTGGCGACACCCTTGCAACCACAACCACATTCTGGGGGGATAAGTGCCTTAACTGTCTGACTCCTCCAGCACTCCAACCTGGACTGGTGACAGTGATGTTCAAACATGAGCACCCCACGTTCGGTCAGGTTCAGCAGTCACAGTCCATGATGCCGAAACAGCAGCTATTCTTTCGATATGTGGATGACCGAGAACTTCAGATGTATCGTTTAGCTCTCAACATTCTGGGACAAAAGCTGGGAAGCCAAGCAGACGCATTCCAGACGGCTCAGCAGATCATGGGAAGTGACCCCACTGCCATTTTCAACATGCAGAAGGACATGCAAGGCGGTTCGTCTGGTGGCCACCAACGCCAGGTTCCGGGTCTGGAACCCCAGGCTCTCAGCGATCTCGACTCGAAGATGCTGACCTATCTCGAATTTCTGGACTTGGATAACAGCCCACGGCCGCCACGGTATAACTCTCGTAGTTCTACTGGTCAGACTCTTCTTCACTTCGCTGCTTCTCTGGGGCTGACTCGCTTTGTGGCTGGTCTTCTTGCTCGGGGAGCAAATCCGGATGTGCAGGACAATACAGGCAACGTGCCAATGCACTTTTCTGCTCTTCACGGACATGCTCACATTGTCCACCGACTCCGTCTTGCAGGTGCCAACGCCGATGCTCACAGCTTGCGTGGCTTCACCCCGGCTGACTTGGCAACTACGCTCTCGGCTCATCAGGCTGCTCTCCTTCCTTCACGCAACTACAGGTCTCGCAGTGTTGGGTCCATTACCATGCGTCGCCGGCGTAGCAGCTCTGCTTCACTCAACTCGCTTTGGGAGGTATCATCAGCTTCCGGGTCCTTAGGCCATGAAATGGACAATTCAGATGAACTGGACGATAGCGAAGAACTAGATAGCGATGACTCCGATATCGGCCATTCATACTTCAGTTCATCACGACGATCTAGTGTACACCAGGATATCGTCCCTCCAGTGGTGGACGTGGGTGAACAACAGCCTACGGCCGCCGGAGATCTCCTTGGTTTCTCACCACCAGCGGCAGTTGTGGCATGGCGCAACCAGCTAGCTGCGCAAATCAACCATTTCCAGCAGAGCGTGTCCAACGCCTTTCCGAACATTCCTGCTCTGCCTCCGATTCCTACTATGCCAGATTACCAAGGCAATCAAATGATGCGTCGCATTACTAATTTAATGCCAAATCGTCCTAACGCTGGAGATGGATGGTGGGATCTATTGAAGGGCAACACTGCCCAAATTCACGAGCCACCGTCCTACGAAGAATTGTATCCACACCAGCAAGACCATGACGACGAAGCTTCATTGAAGAAATCTAGTCTGCTTAGTGCAGCAGCAGAGGCAGCATTAGATGAACACTTTGAGGCGGAAACCAACGAGCTTATCGCATCATCATCGACAGCTGTAGATACTTTTGAGCAGCCTCAGTCAACAAAAGATGATCTCAAAGACATCTTTATTGGGCGAAAGTTGATCTCGCATGCGCAGCAGAAGCACCTCCGAGAGCACCAAGCACGTCGTATGAAGGGACTTGGTAGTGATCGGAATCTGTATTTCATCTGGGTAAGTTGTTTATTTCCCAGCACATCCAGCGCCCTTTAACAATGCTAACGATCTTTTTTAGATTCCTCTTCTACTTCTTGTTGTCTGTGCCTGGATTCGAAACTATGTGCCAGGGATTTGGCAAGGCGTCACAGCCAGTTATGATTACGTGAAGGCTCGCTCCACGCAGCGGGCTGTGAACATGGCCATTTGAGATTCTTTTTCTTTTATTTTCTTTTTCACCTCTTAACCATATGCTCTTATGGATATGGTGTTATGCTCCAGCGAAATTCACTCACAAACTGAACCTTCCACATGGTTCTGTTTCTTATGACGCGATATGATTACACACATTCAAGTTTATAGCGCCATTGTTAGTTTAAGTTTACCTCAATATCAATGAAACAACTACATACATTATTGAACTAAGACCCCTCCAGGGCTTTCTTGAACCTCGGAAGACTACCTATTTAGGTAAATAGGTACTATCTAATATGTTACATTGACAGATAGTAGGTATCCTCTGTAGGCTGAAACATCAACATTATCTATAACTATGTACACATGCACAACACTAATAAATCCACAACATTACCTAGGTAATAAATCATTCAAATTTTTCCTCTTCAGGTTCAATTTTCCGCAATCATCACAAGAACTTATCAAGACCATTCTTGTACTTCACCAAGGCCTCTTGATAAGGAAGAGGCTTGCGGCCGGTCAAAAGCTCAACATGGTTGGTGGGTTGAGTCATAAAGCCTTCTGCGAGGATCTGGCCACAGCACAGGAGGTCTTCAATGCAAAGCTTCATGGGAATATTCGAAAAATCGCCCGAGACATCATCGGGAAGCCCTCGTCCCAGCCAGTGAGCCCGCAATTCATCATCTGGCACATCAACAAACTCTCCCTTATAACCAGTCAGGTTGCAGTACCAATCGAACATCTCCTTATCTGTCACAGCCACAGGGCCTGTGATAGTATAAACCTTGTTAGGCTCACCGCGACCCAAGAGAAGAGCACCGAGAACACGACCACAATCCTCCTTGGCGACATAGGCGCCAGGAACATTGTGTGAGTTGAATAGCCATTTGTGATCATTGAAGTTCCATGATGGCGCAAAGAAGACACACATGTTGTCTTGGTATAGGTAGTCGCGCTGGATGTTGTACTCCAGCCCAGAAGTGCGGATAAGCTCTTCGGTCATCTTATGGTCCCGAGGCAAGAAGGGCATATCAGCCACCGAGCGAGGATCGTCAGCGTCCACAAATGATGTGTAGCAGATTCGACGCACACCGTTGGCTTTGGCGGCATCAATCACATTTTGAGCCTGTTGGGCACGGCGACCAAATGCCCATGTTGAGATTAGGTTTACGGCTTCGGCGCCGACAAATGCAGCCTTGAGGCCCTCGATTTCATCGTAGTTGGCTTCGATCACTGTCGCGCCCTTCTCGCGCCATGACTTGAGAGTATCAGCTGGGATATTGTTGAGGCTGAAGGTAGTGAAAGTCAAGTTGGTACCCGGAGGAGCGATTTCTAGGGCAAAATTTGCTGCATAGTGGCCAAGGCCACCATCTACACCGGTAAGGACGTATTTAACCATTTTGATATGAAATGTTCTGGAAGTGATTTGTTCGTCAGCAATGGGTGTGCATAAATATAACCTTGAAACGTGGATCGGATCTTACCTAGATAGCACGTCCACAGATCAGAAATGATCGATTCAAGGCTAGTGTCTATTTGGAAGATGGATTATGGATTGAGCTAGAGCTTGGAAAGAGCAAACAAAATATTTATACTGTCCATAGATGCCTACCCCGGGGCCTGGGCAGATGTGCCTAGGTGACATGAGACATCTGGAACTTCCATTTTTCTAGTATCATGTTTGTGGCACGTTCGTATACTTACAAAACCACATACACCGGGCGTGGACCCGATTCTAGCCCGACCTCATTCCCTCCGGTGTGCCGAACATGCCAAATGTCACAGTTCGGAGTCCGAAGCAATGACCTACCGAGGCAATATGCGACCAATGGTCCACGGATATACGATGCAAAAGGAGTCATTGAAGAGGAATCTGGAAAAGGTAACTTCCGACGCCTGGGGGACCGTTGGCGGATCCATCCTCCTACAAGTGGCATGAGTTGATGGTGCCATTTGACACCGTCAAAATATCTAAACCCACGTTGACCCACCTACATAATTGCTTGCGAAGCGGGAGATCTTTATATCGTACGTACACATGGAGCCGACTCGGAGTCGGATGCCATCAATGTGGAGATCGTGCAGATCGTGCAGATCGTCCTTACCGAGGTTATTCCAATGATTTCTGTTCGGAGTGTCCAATCCTGATTCCTGACATTGTAGATTGCACAATCTTTGATAAAAACAACAGTTCATTTTTTCTTCTGAGAAGTTTTGGTGCGAGTACCTTGTTTCCACATGGTCAAAAGTAGACCTTTCCTGATTAGGCATCAAGAACCTTATGGTTTAGCACCTAAAATATAAGGCTGGAAAGCATTGATTTTAAACTCATTTCCCCTTATGTAGACTAGCTCTACAACGAACTTGACAACAAAAAAGGAGAAAGCTTCTTGGTAATGTCTAGCATAAAGGAGTTCGGCACCCTTTCCGGCCAGACCAGCATGGCACGACTTCCGGGTATGCAGTACAACTCGGAAGTACGGTACAATCAGTTCTTAGTGCTTACCATGACAACACTTCTACGTATACTTTTCTTCATAAACATCAGTCCTATCCAGTTGATGAATTAATATGGTATAACCACAATGATTCCGAAGAACTCATTTTAAAGCGAAATATAAAACCCGGCTATCAAGGTTTTAGGCAGCAAATTTTAGATCGATGTCATTCTCAAGATACCACATCATGCTTGCGACGCGGAACCACCAATGCGTCCATTCAAAAGTTCAAGAGAAGTAGAAAGACGGCGAGAAAGTACACTGACACAAGCTTACAATGCAGTCGTTTAAGGTTAGGGTTACACGCAATTCAATTGCGAGATAAGCATTGCACATGTCAACTTGCGGGGTGGCGGGTATATTCATTCCTAGCCCCTCATACATCTCAATCATTATGACTGTTATTATTATTATTCTTTCTCAAAATGCAGAGTGCTAAAATACCGGAAAACATAGCCCCTTCTCTAAACATCCCTCCTTCTTCCAGTATATGTGAAATTTCCATTGTCAATACTACTTGTGACATTTTGGCCACTTCCTCGGCTTTACTCGAGCCGACCATCAAGGGTCATGAGTTTCTCAATTTGCGCACATATGCCTTCTACATCTACAATACCCAGCTAAACAAGCGCCTGTTGTACGATATGGGATCTCGGAAGGACTGGTGGAACTTTCCCCCTGCGATCTTAAATTCCCTTCGAAGCAAAGGCATTCCGGGCCTGCGAGTCACTTCTGACATTGACGAAATCCTCTTTGACGGAGGCGTAGATCCCCAGTCTATCGATGCGGTAGTGTGGAGCCACTTTCATTGGGATCATATTGGGAACATTCAAAGATTCCCCAAGTCCACAGACTTGATTGTGGGCAGCGGCTTCAAGGACACATATCTGCCTGGTTACCCAACAAACCCCAATTCAACATTTTTCGATGCTGATTTTGAAGGCCGCTTTCTCAATGAGCTCTCGTTCGATGAGAACTCACTCAAGGTTGGGGAATTCCCTGCACATGACTATTTCGGAGATGGGAGCTTTTATATCCTCAGCACGCCAGGTCATACTGCGGGACATATCTCAGCTCTCGTCCGTACGACCCCTGACACATTTGTCTTCTTGGGTGGTGATATATGTCATTTTCCTGGAATGTATCGCCCGAATCAGTACGCTCCAATGCCAGATACACTACCAGAGGAAACAAACCTAGGCTCAAGTTTCCCAGTGCCATGTCCATGTTCTTTATTTACTGCATGTCATCCTGCAGGACCTGCTCATGCGCAAAACACTCCATTCTACCAACCTGCGAGTAGCTCAAGTTCCTGGTATGATGACCCCCTGGAGGCTGTCAAGTCTGTCAAGGGATTAATGGAGTTTGATGCATCTGATAATGTTCTTGTGGCCATTGCGCATGATCCAGTCCTTCAGGATGTGTGCACAATGTTCCCATCTGGTACAATAAATGACTGGAAGACTAAGGGATGGAAGCACCAAGTGCATTGGAGATTTGTGCGCGAATTGCCAATCAATGGAGAGCCTGGACGACCCAAAGTCGTGGAAGGAAGACTTAAACACGGTGTGGCTGTCGAGTGACGTTGCTTAGTTTAATGCATTTACTCGAAAAATAATCTGTAGGAGCTCAGCTCAACTTTAGTTTTGATTCAATGTTCTCACAGTCTTCTTTCGAGTTGCATATCAAATAGAACATCCGGCTAAAGAGGGAAGTATGTTGATAGAGCGGACTTCAACGGTGGCCCGTGCATGGGCATAACAGCCGCGGAACTGGCCTCGACATCTTCCCACACACGAACTTGTCAAAGTCTTTCCCTTTGGGAGTTATACAGCTTGTGATATTTGCATCGGAATGCGCTGAGGGCCATTGATTATCCCTGGAAATACGGGAACCATGGACCCCTCGAAGGCGGCTTCGAGCAATGTGACTGGTGTGCTAACCCCCGTTCCGCTTGACAAATACAGTACTCTTGCTAACAGCGCCACAGTCGAGTATACCGATCCATCTGGTCTATTCTCACTAGTACAACCTATCATTGAATCAAGACTTCCTCTAAAGAACCTTCACTGGAAATCGCCAACCCGCCCTGTTCGATCGATTGAATCGCTCCGTATCGGCTTCGTGCCCGCGCAGGCTGAGGAATCCGATCGCCAGTCCCTTAACGATGGCCCTTCAAATGTCCCGCACCGACGCCATCAAATTCCTGGCTTGCGACAAACTCCATACTTAAAAGTCTACCTCCTCCGCTGTGACGATAATGATACATACAAAGCTACCGCACGAAAGACGCTGCGGGACTGGATCAAGGCTCATGGGTCGACGACCACCTCTCAAGTGGCTGGAAGCAGCCAAGAAAAACACGATGCTTTTGACTGGCTTATCTTGCATGTGGTTCAAGATGGGGATGCCGATAAGACCCCTACGTCGACCTCAAAATGGGGCCGCAGCCAAACTACCGTTCTTGAGAAGGTAAAGGCGGATTTCAATGGGACAGCCAAGACCGCTATCGATCGCGTGGCACAACTACGGATTCCCCAGGTGGGAGCGGCTAAAGCTCCGGAACAGCGCGAGCAGCTTGAGGACCTGATTGATAAGATGAAGAATGGTGTTTTGGCTTCTTTCGATCTCCGTGTGGCCCAGTATGAAGAAGACATCAAGGAAAAAGACTCTCAGCGGAGCCTTCCTGGTTGGAACTTCTGCACGTTCTTTATGCTCAAGGAAGGTCTCGCGCGAGGCTTTGAGAATGTTGGCCTGTTCGAAGATGCGCTGATCGGATATGACGAGCTATCTGCTGGGTTAGATGCTGCTATACGAGACCAAGTCAATGGATTTGGCGAACAGCATGGAAATACGCTTCAGACATCGAGCAAGGTCTGGGTCGAAGCTGCCAAAAAAGCCTTGGAATCTGGGCCGCAGACTGATGCTCATGACAGCGACGAGAACGAAGAGTCTTTTCTGGATATGAAACCAGAAGACTTTCCACTCACCTCTAATAAAATACCCTATCGGGATATGATATTGGCAAGTGAAATCTCGATTTCCGATTTCCGAACCTACATCTTCTCTCGACAGCTCACACTGCTTTTGCGAGCAGCAAGGGCTCCATCATTAGCCAATAATGAACGAACCAAAAAGCCAGCAGATCTAATTCTTCTCTCTTTCATCTGCAGAAGGGCTTCCGAATTTATTAGTCTTGCCGCGCGCACACTTCGCCACGGCCTCGAGTTTGGGCTAGCAGAAGTGGAAAATGATGCTAAAACGGATATCATTAGCAACATTGTGTCTTCATGGGCCTATTCTTCTGCCTTGCAAGTCCTCAATCAGACCTTTACCACAAACCTCATCCTACCGGAATTTTCTATTCACATGGTGCCGCGAGCCAATGAACCCCCAAGTACCGCTGCACCAGCTGCACCGGCGGCATCGACTGCAGATGTTCGCAACGTACCCCGCAGATCAAGCTCATTGATATCTGCTTTTCGACCTCCCCGTCCCGTGACTCAAGATATGTCCGATAGCGTCGGTCCTCTTGCACGCAGGTCAACTTTGGACCACCCTCAAGCTCCACCAATATTGACTCAAAGGACCGGCTCCGAGCAGCTAGCCTCTGGAAGAGGGGACCTACTACTTCTAGCGCGTCGATCTCTCGAGGAGATCGCTCAGCGGAGGGGCTGGGCTGAGAAGTGGAATGATCTCGGTCTGCTCTTTGATAAGAGTCATAGCTCTGGCACGAATGACATGACAAATGTGTCGTTGGATGAAGACTCCGATGACAAGCCCCAGGCAGATGGCAAATCGATACAGACTTCACTTGTGGGTATTGAACTTCCTGCTTTGAAATCTGCGTTGAAGACAAAGCAGAATTTCTTGTCCCTCTACGAAGACCTGACGGACCATATTATTCGTCATAACATGGCCGCAAGCCGTGCCAACTCAGCTGAGATGGCCCTAGCTGATATTGCTGTTCTGCGATTCCGCCAGGGTGACTATGAAACTGCTGCTTCCTATTTCCACCAGATGGCTCCATTCTATGGCAGTAAGCTCTGGGTGATTCTGGAGGGAAGTATGCTGGAACTCTATGCGCGATGCCTGAAAGAACTCAAGCGGAACGAAGACTACGTCCGTATGATGCTCAAGCTCCTCTCCAAGTTTGCTGCATATTCGCAGTCACAACTATCTGCCCGACAGAAAGCCTTGTCTATGCCGCTCTCGATATTTGAGCAGGAAAAGCTAGCTGAATACGTCACCGACCTCTTTGAGGGCGTGAGTCGGCTCCAAAAAGATGTCACAACTCCATTAGTCGACTTCTTTGCTGACTTGCGTGTGGATCCGGCCATTCGCCTCTACGATGATAAAGATGGATTTCAAATACAGATGTCCTTGCGATTCCTGTTGGGTCCAGAGATCACTATTGACTCAATCAAGGTTCGCTTGGTCAGCGCCGCCAATTCTCAAAACACAGATCATTGGATTGAAGGATCGGCCAGCTTTGTGGTCAAATCGACTGCGACCAAGATCCTCGTTGATTCTTCGGTAAGTGGAGCTCTTGGTGTATATGCTACATGTCTAACTCTTTTATAGACTACACTAGAAGGAAAATTTTTCGTGGATCGGCTTGAGATGAAGTCTGGCAACCTCACATTCACATTCAACAGCGGACAACACACTTCACTTCCAGTCGGCTTTCGGGAGGTAGAAAGCACTGATGACACTGATCAACGGCCATTCATCTTCTGCTTCCCTCCACTAGACAGTCTTCAAGCGAAGGTGGTTTCGCCTCATTTGATCAACCTAGAGGCCATGCGTACGCTGGAGCTGGAACTCAGCAGCGGACGGAATGACATCCAGAAGGGCACAATTCGTGTGCGACCGGCAACTGCGGGTCTCCGCTTGCGAATCGCTGAAACAGAGGTTGTAGAGGGTGATCTGCAAGTTGTTGCCAACAACGACTCTGGGGCTATTGAGTTCACTCATCTCCCGCCCCGGTCATTCGTACGAATGCGCATTCCATACACTGTAGAGGACGCCTTGACAACACTCTCTACAAGGGCCGAGATCAATTACGGGACTGACCACGGCCAATTTGCCTTCTCGACCGTGCATAATGTCATTTCCACACTCCCAATATCCGTCAATGTGCAGGACATCTTCAAGGACGAAACTCTCTTCTCACGTTTCACCATCAGCCCTGCCATGCTGATCCCACTGCGCATCACCAATTGCAACCTGCCCAGCTCGGATGTCTACGAGGTGCAATCCGGCATCACGGGCCCCGTATCATTAGATGTTTTCCCCAAGCAGCCAGCATCTCTTATTTACAAGATACGTCCTGTTGGAGGCACAACCACCACGTCGGACGGGAAGAAACGCAGTCTGCGCCTGCAGGTTCACTTTACATGTGTGGATGACGAATGCTTAGATGCGATTGAAAAGCGATTCTTTGCCGCGATTGACTCGAGTCCTTACAAGCAATACGCAACGCTATTTACTTCACACATCCTCAGCTGTTTCCGCGCCCAGCTAACCACGGCAGACATGGAGGTCATTGGTCTTCTGCGTGAGGTGAACGTTCTCCCTTACCAGACCGTTCGATGGGATGACTTGCTTGGGGCACTCAAGGAATGTACCAAGGATGTACAATCCTGGTTGAAGACTTGGCACGAGGTATATTTATCCCATACAATATTTTTATCACTCACTAATCAGTATCAGAATAATCCCGTCATTTGCCTCCCCTCTCAGCCTACTATTCCCATCCGCAGCATTATCATTCCCGTCGACATCCCCGAAATCCAAATAGTACATACAGCTGATTTGCAGCTCCAGCCCACCGCCGATGCCTTGATCACTAGATCCACCCATGCGGCCGTTGGCCAGATGATTACTGCCGAGGTGGTACTGCGCCACACACGCCGTTGGTGCTCACCAAAAACCCAAGAGTTTCCGGGTCAAGAACTGGAATGCTCATACGAGCTTCACGCCAACCCAGAACTCTGGCTTTTAGGTGGTCGACGCCGCGGCAATTTCCTTGCCCGCGAGGGCGAGACCACCCGTTTCACCGTCCTACTTCTTCCTCAGAAACCGGGCCATCTGCTTTTGCCCGGCCTTGAGATCCGCACTTTTGCCCCTATATTGGAGCAGTCGCTTACACCCTCTGCTCCTACAGAGTCGGGGGTGCCCATCATGCCTATCGAGCGCCAGCTAATCCCCTGTGAAGTTGATTATCGCAACTATGGCCAGACACTGTTGGTGCTACCTGATTTACGCAAGACTACGGTTAGTCTTAGTGCGACGGGTAGCCCTAGTGGGTCCTCGTGGCTGGTGGACTCCGAGCGACGAGCTGAGGTCCACTGAGGTCCCATACATGTTTATTCTTCATGTTGTGATACTGTACAGGTCTGTTGTATAAGAATAGCAGAAGCGTGCCAATGTAAATAGATCGCATGAGTCATGAATATAATTTTGGTTTCATAAAATTATAGATAACTTTTGTCGTCAAAATGTCTAGCCTCGTACCTTCGGAATGCATTCCCCAGTCCCCATGGGGAAGTCTTGTTTAACTAGGAAGAGAAACTTGATATCATGTGATATCGCTGACGTCAGGCGGGGTAGCCCAAGATCAAACTACACGACAGCTTCAATATATAAAATGCTCATCTGGAAGTTGAAAGGTCTCTGGGTATTTTGAGTCATGGCTAAGATACGTATCAGTTCAAACTTCGACTAGTCACACTTGACATTGTGTGTGTACCAGGCCCCTCGCTAGTCACACCAAACAGGGCCACACATTTGAAGATAACTTAGATCTCCGATTTAACGCCACTGTCCCTGCTGTTGACCACCGTAGCCACCACCGTAGCCAGACTGTTGACCACCGTTGTAACCACCCTGGTTGTAACCACCACCACCACCACCACCACCTCCAGTTCGGGCAGTAGCGACGTTGACCTAGAGTAAGATAAGACGTCAGTTAGATATTCGAAGATAGCGGGGTCAGATCACAAATTCTACCTTGATGCGGCGTCCGTCAAGCCTAGATTAAAAAATATTTGTCAGCTTTCAGTAATTCAACAAAAAAAAAATTTTGACACTGAAACGTACTCCTGATCGTGGAGGGCGTTGATTGCAGCATCAGACTCCTCCTGGCTACCGTAGGTAACGAATCCAAAGCCGCGGGCACGGCCAGTCTCGCGGTCGCGCATAACGACCTATATAAGTTGTCAGAAAGTACTGGCAATGAAAGAATGATGGAATTAAGAACGCACAGCGTCGACAATGTTGCCGTAGGCACCGAAAGCCTCACGGAGGCTCTCCTCAGTGGTGTTCCAGGACAAGTTTCTATTGTACCGAAATTAGCCAACTTAACATGAAAGATGCAGTATCAAATGGAACATACCCAACGTAGAGCTTAGACATTTTGAATTTATGAGGCGGAGAGATTTGTGTAAGGAAGAGAGATCTTTGGTGGCGGTGAAAAGGCTCTGACTTAAATAGCGTACCGGATAAACTAATGGTGCGGAAAAATCGATCTTAGAATTGCGTTTTTGATACCAAAAGGAGGGGTAGATAAAACGAGCCAGGAACATGGAATAGAATACTCAAATACCGTCCACTTTCTATAAGTGGATTCATGTTTGCGTGGAGTTCATCCCTATTGTGGAGATTTGGGGAAATTCACGAGATTTAGTTTGAGATGAGATTCGCTTCTAAGCTTCTGACCCACACCTGATCGGAGTTTACTATGTATAGCCAGTTTATTTATTTTAGGGCTTGTTTATTCGTACGCTCTGTAAACATTTCAGTCAATTGACTCTACAGGTTCACATCCAAAATTCATCTTACAAATCCTCACTATTGTCATACAATATGTACATACCCCCACAAACCCACAAAATGAAGCTATGGCGTCGCTATGATCGAGGCGACGATGAGGGTGGGGCAGAGATGAGAAAGTATATCGTTTCATGATATTGACAGCTCATTGACTCCACTCAAGAGCAACCTACCAGATGTTCTTTTTTTCCCCCTATTTCAGCTGCGGCTGTTACACTATCTTTTCGCTTGCATCTAGCTCAGCAAAGGCTGTGGGACTAAACATCCATCCCTGAATATTGTATACTTCAGTGTCAAATTCTGAGGCCAAAATGCATTTTACTCGGCTGCCAAGCAAGCAAGCAGAAACGGGCCACCGATGAGGAATATGCATGTGGAAGAGAGCCCGAGAGTCAGATCCAGCTCGACAAAGCTGATACTTTCTCCTCACCACAGCGTTAGCTGGAGGATTTATCCGAGACTGTCACATTGGGAGCATCTTCATTTGAACAGTCTGATGCTCCTTAAAGACCTGCGGCAGGATACCTTCGACTCACTATCTGCGCTAGAAGCAGGAGAAGCTGAAGAGTATGGGAATGGGCTAGCCCATGAGTGGACCCATCAAGTTCAGCGTCGGTGATCTAGTAGATTTCGTCAACAAACACCAGGAATAATGCGAGAAGATATTCTGGGCGGTCAAAGTTGGTGGAAAAGATATAGTTCCCCGAAATTATACCACGAGAATCGTCGAATGGCTGGAGAAAACCGGTAATATTGCCATTCAATTTGCACCTCCCCAAGCTAACGCGCCATAAGCTGTCCTTAATTTTTTTCTTGCAAGTACTTTAGCTCATCTTATCGATTTCTTCCTCTCACACTTATACTTTTAGATATTCGTCATCGAGAGTGAGCAGATGGTCGCCATGCTTGCTACTACGGAAAAGATTGTTCGTGCCATTAGTCGTGGTCAGGTCTGTGGACTTTTCATCTTAAAAGTCTGTCCGCTGCGCGATGATGAACTGTGCAAAAATCTTGAGTCCGGTCTAACAGCAAGCTACACAACCTCCCTCGATCTGCTCACAGAGTCGGAAGTCCTCTTCTCGACGGACACGGCAAAGCACACACTGGAAGCCATTCTAAATCCGCGGAAACCCCCTGGCAGCGTATCAACTTTCAGTGAACAAGAAGACGAACTTCTCCGTGATGTCGAAGCCTGCGAGACCAGACGCAAAATAAATGCAGATGACGGTATGATAGGCATGCTACATACTTTGAATACCTCAATAGCGGGCATGGATGAAGACATCCAGCATCTGCTTCAGAATGCAAACGAACATGAGTGCATCGAGATGCTGGAATAGATTTGAATAGATTTCGGTAGTGCCGTTTGGCAAGACTTGCAACAACGTGAAAAAAGAACACCTGGCACTGGCAAGTGATTGTTGCAGGATAAGGAGTTTCGTGATTGAGATGATACCAATTTGTCCGCTTTATTTTGGCTTTATGGTTCTCCTGGTACGGAGAAACGATTATGTTACTCTGAGACACGCGATTAACTCATTGATTTATTTGAATGCTGTCCTGCGCGAGTCGAAGAATCCCGTTAAAATCTTCATCTCAAGCCTTCCAGACAAAGAGATTCGAAATAAATTGGAAAAAGTCTCTAGTGTGAGTATCTCGGCCAGCTATAAACGAACGAAATTTACAAATATCTCGATGTTGAGTTTGAAAAGTTGAAGAAGGCCCCGCTCTTCAAGCGCCTCAGGCCCAATTTTCTCAGCACCCTTCTCGAGCGCAGCCAGGGAATGTTCTAATGGGCCGTTATTTAGATCCATCAGATTGAGAAGTATAATACCCAGTCAAGTGTCTCAGCCCGGCTCGAAACTTTCCAAATATCCTCAAGAGGCATACGACGAGACCTGGAGTAACATCGAAGTGTTTTGGAAGAGCCTTGATCAGATTCTCGCGGACCGCGCTATGTTATTGATCATTGCTGCAGACGCTGCAGACAAGCCATTGACCAGCTCCCAGCTCATCAGCGCTGTTCAGATAAACACGAATTACCTGCGCTGGCTGAGAAAATTCGCGAGCAAAGCCTGTTGTCACTTCGCAACGATCTCCTTACAATCGACTCGCAGCTAAAGGTTTGGCCATTTGCACTTCTCTACGCCCACGAATATGTTGAAATCAAGATGCAATACCTTACCGCGGGCTCATCTCTATGCTGTCACTGCTTTCCTTTCATAGTTTATTGATTATTATAATAAAGCTGAGGATGAAAATGAGGATGATGCGAGCGAAGATGAGAACGATACATATAGAGATGAATATATTGAGATGAATGCCGACGAAGATAGCTCATCTAGTTTAGATGACTTATCCCATCTAATGCATCCATTCCACATCTACATGAGGCACCAATGGCCAAAGCATGTCCAAAACGCCCAGGATAACGAAGAAGCCCTGTTTTCCTTTTTGAAACCTTTCTCCAGAGAAGATCATTCGACAGTAACAGCGATGATATAAACTGATGGCAGCATATTTCGAAGAAATAGACCAGATCTATGGTGTTAAGCCCGCCGACCGTGTTTACTACGTTGCAGCCGGCATTGATGAATTATGTCTCGACACATGCGACTTCAACCAAGGCAATCCACTCGCTTGGGAAGAATTCTTTAGCGAAATAAGCCCAGGAGGACTGTCCATCTTTGCAATGCGCCACTTCTTGTTCGTCGGTATTCTATTAGACTGGTGGGAAGACGCCCCTGGAAGAGTCAACGACAGAGGTCCCAATCTCCTCACCCTTGCCGCTCGGGCTCGATGTACGTCGATTTGCAAGTCTCTGATTGAAATGTGAATTAATGCCAACTAGCAGATTGAGGGTAATCTTATAGATCTGCTCTTGAAGCGGCGGCACATCGGGGGCATATTGATACGATCAAGTTCCTGGTGGGAGACGGAGCGGATGTAGACATGACGCTAGAGAGCTGGAAAGATGGCACCGTCCTTAGCCGCGGTGTCGCAGCGGATCGAAACAGCTAGATATCTCGTCCAGGAAGCGCATGCTGATGTGAGCCAAAGCTATAATCTGGAAGAATTGCGTGAGGATTATGAGGAGTCCATCACAATGCTGCTTTCACTGGTGATTGCTGCGAAAATCAAGGACAAGGAGCTCCTCCAAATTCTTGTGCATGCAGGAGCAAATGTGAGAGTGCCAGACCAGTTTAGAAATTTCCTAGCTGTTGCAATCCGGTTTAGAAACACCAAGGGTGCGGAACATCTGATACAGAAGGCAGGTGCGGATGTTGACCTGCTTGTTAAGGGGGCGAGTTTCCCGCACTGTCCTTGAACGAGCCGTATCGGATGACAACTACTTGGAAGCCGTCAAATGTCTAGTGGAAGTGAAGATTGTGGGCCTCCGCTCGCAGCGGCAGTATTTAAATACAACGCCAGAGGTAGTAACTTTAAAACAGTCAAGTACTTGGTCGGCGCGAGTGCGAATATTCACAAGAAATTTGAGAAAGACGGTCTTGTCACCTTGGCCGTATCTAAAAATACATCGAACTTGTCAATATCCTCATTGACTCTGGAGCAAAGATCAACATGTAAGAGCAGTTCCTGGCAGTTGTCAACAATAAGTTCCTTGATAGTGTCAGATACATGGTATAAAAGGCGGCAGTTCCTATCTGAAGCACGGTATGGCTGTGTTCTCGAAAAGGCAGCAGTCGAGGATAAAATATGTAAATTACTAAAAGCCGCATCATTCCTCGGTGGTTACACCGAGTCTGTGAAGCTTCTGATCAGTCACGGTATCGACGTGAATTTGTCGCTACAGCACGGCAACTACGGTAGTGCACTTACAGCAGCCGGAGCATCCGATTATAAAATCGGAGCTTTCAAATTCTTAGTTGAAGCAGGGGCAAATTTGAATCTATCGCTACAGGGTGGTAATTTTGATAGTGGGCTTGCAGCGGCAGCCTCTCAGCGAGATGTCGAACATAAAAGTGTCTATTGGAAACGGGGGGGCAGACTTGGACCAGCCACTGAAAACAGAGACTTTGGCAGTACTCTTGCACTGGCCTCGGCATGTACTTCTATCGATATTATGAATTGTCTCCTCGAGGCAGGCGCAGAGGTTAATCCCACTCAATCGGTGGGTAAATATGGCAATCCGCTGATTGCAGCCTGCCTTTGGTGAGACAGTCGATTGAACGGCTGATAGACGCGGGGGCAGACGTGAATCTGAGAAAAACAAACTCAAGTAACGCCACAGCTTTGCAGGATGCAAGATTTACTGCCTCGTAGAAGGAAATTCCTTGGATATTACAGACTTCAGGCAAGGATATAGACGAAGTGGCAAGAACGATAAGAGAGGTACTTGAGCTACTTTGATAATATTTGAATAAGCTCCGTACTTCTGATTATGAACTCTGTGCTGCCCGTCTATGAAATGGAATATTCAATGTTTGAATATAATGCTACACAGTATCTCCTAGCGAGACATAAGTTCAGGGGGTAGATCTGCCTTTGATACGTTAACTCACGAGATGATTCATGATAAAGAACCTGTGACCTGCACATCATGCAGATGCAGACCCATTGACCTCGATGTTCACCGTAATCTCGATTCTCACATTCCCTCGTTCTCTCGTTGGGATTGCGAGCCTCGGTCTTAGGGCTTGGCAATTTACAACATTCTTGGCTTATCTCATTGTTCATTCTCTCTATTCCGCCACTCAGCTGGCCTCCAAGGTCCACGGGTTATCACTAGGATAGGAGAGGTCATGAGGTCATGGACAATGAACTGAGGGAGAATGTATAGAATCAAAATAAGAATTGGAAATAGAAATACGGTCTGCACTAATGAGTTGGCTTCTATCTTGCCCATGTCCAGATGTCAGGAGATATCCGTACTTCTGGAACTATTCAATCCAAGGCTACGAACTATGTCTAGACCTAGAATGAAAGCGTCATGGAAATGATACAGTCATAGCCACTCCAGGAATAGAACATAGAAAGAAACACAGTAGGAAATCGAAAATGAATCGGAGTATTCGGGATCAAAGATAGATGTGCTAATAAAATACCAAATGGTAATGTGTTTTGCAAAAATGACAAGACAGAGCGATTGGCCGGGGAGAAAACCCCCAACAATACAAATGAGACCCACTCAACCCAACAAGACTAATACTGCTGTCCATCTTATACTCTCCTTTACTGAGAGTAAGATCTCCCCATCTCTTGAATTTTCTACTCTTCTTTTCTCCTATATTCATATTCAATCATGCGATCCTCCCAACGAATAGCTGAACACACGTTGCATGATTGCCACTTGATCTGCAATTTGTAACGAGTCCAAGTCGATCGTATCCACATGAGGGTTCACCCTTTTAGCCCTTCAACCCATATTCTATTTGAATATTTCTGAATGCTTTGACTTCAGGATACTCTAATTAGTCAAAGACAATTGAAGTGACAGATGGATTCACGGAAATTGGCTAACCTAATCTTAAAAGCCGAAGAGATATCAATATCATTATCAAATACTAGTGGAAAATGTTGAGGTCCCAAAAGGGTTTAGCACTCATTTTTCCCCCAGGTTGAAGAACCATCGTAGTAACTAGTGGCGTTAGACCAGCCAATCATGCTACAACAATAAGTTGATATGGTCCCTGCGAACACTGTGATTTGCAAGTTCATGCTGAATATAAGTCAGCTGTAGATCAAATGATTGAAATCAATACAGACAGAAGAAGGGAGAAGGAGGAGCGTAATTGGTATTACTTATTATCTAATACATGTGGACACCCTTTCATTGTCATTTAATAGATCACTTCAAAATTACGTGATTCCTGTATTGCAAATACCACCGGTCCGTGTCGACCCTTTTTTTTTTTAATTGCTTTTTTTCCTTCACATTCAGGTGAGTTCAATCTTTCTATTTATCAATCCTTCCTCCTTTTTCTTCTTTCACTCCTTTTTTCTCCTCTCCATTCTTCCCTCTGAGATCTTGGTTTGGTGTGACCACAAGGGAATTTAATCTTTTAAAATACTAAGGGTATGGCTCTCACCATCTTCAGATAAGCCGGAGTCGCCGATACTTCATAACTCTTCAGAGCTCGATGATACTGACTGCTTTCTAGTTTATCCTTTACAGGTCATTCACAAGAGCATTCTTAGTCCTCATCCAAGTACTTACTGTTGGATTGAGAGCAACGTACAATTTGAGGGAAGAAAGAAGGAAAAATTAGAAAGAGCGAAATAACCCTTAGGGACTCTTCCGGAATGTCATCCACCGCTATTCCCAAGCGCGTCGCGCTGCACCGCAACGTGACTGATGCCTCAGCGGCCAGCTCCGTGTCGCCTTCTCCCTTCGACACACCTCGCCATTCTCCCTCCTCTTCTTCCCTGTCTTCCATCGAACAGGACGCCTCCTCTAAGATGCTTGACACCAACGGCAAGGAATTCAAGATTCCCGACTTCACAATCAAGCAGATCCGTGACTCTATTCCAGCCCACTGCTTTGAGCGTTCTGCCATCACCGGTCTCTACTATCTTTTCTGGGATTTTGCTGTTCTCGCCGCAGTCTTCACCCTCTACTACAACTACGTGACCCCGGAGTATATCCCCTCCTATCCGGTCCGTTTCGCTCTGTGGGGTCTTTACACCATCGTCCAAGGTCTTTATGGTACTGGTATTTGGGTTCTGGCCCATGAGTGTGGTCACCAAGCCTTCTCTACCTCCAAGGTCGTGAACGACACTATCGGCTGGGTCTGCCACTCCTTCCTTTTGGTCCCTTACTTCTCATGGAAGATCTCCCACGGCAAGCACCACAAGGCTACCGGTAACCTGGCTCGTGACATGGTCTTCGTCCCCAAGATTCGTTCCGAGTACGCTACCCGCATTGGCAAGACTATCAAGGAGCTCTCCGAGCTCGCCGAGGAGGCCCCCATCGTTACTGCCTCCAACTTGTTGCTCCAGCAGTTGTTCGGCTGGCTCATGTACCTTAGCACCAATGTCACCGGCCACAACAACCACGAGGACCAGCGTGAGGGCCGTGGAAAGGGCAAGGTCAACGGTTACTTCACCGGTGTCGACCACTTCACCCCCTCCAGTCCCCTGTACGAGGCCAAGGATGCCAAGCTCATTGCCCTGAGTGACCTGGGTCTATTCCTGATGGGCTGTGTCCTATACTATGTCGGCTCCAACTACGGCTGGGTCAACCTGGCTGTTTGGTACGGCCTCCCCTACGTCTGGGTCAACCACTGGCTTGGTAAGTTTTGATCTCAAATCAATTAAAAAAGAAAACACTTTTCCTAACCCTGTTTCTTCACAGTTGCCATCACCTACCTCCAGCACACCGATCCCAGTCTGCCCCACTACCAGCCTGAGGTGTGGAACTTTGCTCGTGGTGCTGCTGCCACTATTGACCGTGACTTCGGCTTCGTTGGTCGCAACATCTTCCACGGCATCATTGAGACCCACGTCCTGCACCACTACATCAGCACAATCCCCTTCTACCACGCCGATGAGGCTAGCGAGGCCATCCAGAAGGTTATGGGCGACCACTACCGCACCGAAGCCAAGACCGGCTGGACTGGCTTCCTCAAGGCCCTCTGGACCAGTGCTCGCACCTGCCAGTGGGTTGAGCCAATGGCCGATGCCAAGGGTGAGAGCCAGGGAGTGCTCTTCTTCCGCAACATCAACGGCATCGGTCTTCCTCCTGCCAAGCTGTAAAAGTCTTGCTCTTAGATATTGGGAGAATTGCCCTATCTTTTTGGCTTGTTTCCGGATTTGCTCTTTTTCTAAAATTTTCTTCCCAATTTTTTTTTTTTTTATGGTTGATTTATACATGCGGGGATATGACGAGACGTGACATAGATAAGGGTTTTGAAAAGATTTGCTTTGATAGTGTTGCTTATCTTATTGCTCTTAGATTGCTTGGACTTTTTCCCCTCCTCTTGGAAGAGTGGATATGTTGGATGTATGTAGTAGACTTGTCTCTCGTTTTGTCAGATCTCTGGAAATGATACTTGTGAAACGCTCTCTAAGGTTATCCTCTCTAGTAACCTTAGGTCTTACCAATTGATTCTTGTCAGATTTATCCTTACAGATTTACATGTTCCCAAAACGAAATATACAACCCGCAGCTATGAACCAAACAATTGGAATAACTTATTTACAGCAAACATTTGGAGTAGCCATGTCAAATCCTGAGTTGGTCATCGCACAATTTCATTCGAGGATGAGCCTAAAGAAGACATCATTCATCTTGGTCATTCGTGATATAGACAGATAGATCATGCTGATCGACTTGATAAAAACAAATTCACTCGTTACTCATCACGTACACATCTCAGCCCTCCTTTCCAAATTTCAAAATCTACCTCACCACGTCTATCTACTTCGCCCGCAATAGAGCCCGCGGCCCAAGGAGAAAAGACAACCTTCATTGATCGTCGCGTAATATGCTCAGGCTCACTAAGCTCCGGTTGAACAGGTGGTTTTCTCAAAGGAACAGACTGGTCATTCCCTTCACCTTCAGCCTGGGGTTTTTCTGTCTGAATTTCCTTAGCTGATGAAAACCCAGGTCTCGACTCGGACGGTTTCCCCTGTGCTTGTGGCGTTGGAGTAGACATTGGATACGCACCCTCCCACAGTTCAGGGTGGGGCACACGTAATCCATTCTTCTTCAGCGCAATACGACAGGCGATCTGTGTTGACCAAACGACTCCTAGCGCAGGGGTCTTTAGAGAAGATGGCCCACGCTCTGGGGCGTCTCCCCAGCCTGTGAAAAACCGTTCTTGGTGGAGTAGGCTGAGGGTCTCGTTCCTGGCTGGGTTTGCGATGAGATAAGAGCCGTCAAACTGTTCGTCCTGAGTCGGGTGCGGAGATGACGGGAATGGAGACGAAGAGGGAAGAGAGCTGTTATGTGGTTGTTGAATCACAGACCTGGAACTGTCTGTGTGGCTCCTTGGCCTCGGTGATACGGCACCGGATTCACGCGCGATGCCACTCGGGCTTGTGGTGGTCGGTATCCCTAGACGGGTAGACGCTTGATAGCCACCATTTCTATTCTCCATAGGTTCAAATCGATCGGACACCTGGTTCGCCAGCACTATTGCGATATCCTCCGTTGCAGCGAGATTGCGCAATAAGTGTCCTAGTTTTGCGAGCTCGGTCGATCGAGCTAATATACCAAGCATATTGGTGGAAGAGTGCTCGGCACGGTAGTTGGAGGTGATGGAGTCAATGATGACCAATCCAACATTATACCGCTTTATAGCGACTGGAAGCTGAAAATTAAGGATATGGTCCTGCGCCTCCATGTCCATGGCACTGATGGACAGGATATTTTCAAGCGACGGTGCTTGGTCGGCAGGAAGCTTCGAGAGAAGCGGATGGTATTCCAGCAATTGTGTTAGACGGCTCGTTGCAAGTGGGTGTTCAGTAGAGATGTAGATGGCGCGTTTCTCCAGTCCATCCGGTTTCGCTAATTGAACAGCCATGAGAATATTGAGGAGGAATTGCGTCTTACCGCTCCCACTAGACATAACAAGGCCATGGTCAGTCGCCTTCTTCTCTTTATTCCTTTCTTCTATCTGTAACATACCTCTCGCCCGTAACCTCCGTCACATACCCCGTTGGAATCCCGCCACCCAGTAATGCATCCATTGTTGGATCTAACGTGCTGATGATGTCCCATTGTTCCGCGTGTAGCTTTGTAGGTGGGCCGAGTGTGAAATTGGCGCGATTAACGCTGGGACCGGGAGCCTCATCTGAAGACGAATCTATGTTTGAGGTCTTTTCAAATCCGAGATCTGTATGTAAAGCCTCGATAATACGGGTTGAGAGCCGTCGGACATCGGCTGGGGGCACATGAGCGCGTTTCGCAATCTCAAGCGTGTCAAGCGTGATTAGGTCGACTGTGGTGATTTTGCTGCGCTCAAGTGGAGGTAATATGTGTGTGTATGATTTTGTTGAGAAGTCTGGCAAGACTGTCAGAAGATCCATAAGGAATCAGTAATTCGCAGGCGAAGTGACGTTGCTTTCATATTTTGTGTGGGCCAATCAGAGCGACGGGTGTGTTATGGGAGGTTAGCATATGCATATATTGACTACAGTCGATGGACTTGGAGACTTCAAGTTACCTAAACTACTAGCAGACTTTATTTGTCTTGTCAGCTATCATATTCTTGTATTTATCATTTCTATCTTTCAATTTCTAAGTTTCCCCAACGTACAGAAAAAGAGCCTCAAGTATCTGTATCCAGAACCAGATGATAGAGATAAATATCAGCTCTTCACCAAAATTAACATCAAATCTTTGCACTGTCGATGTCTAAGACACGAAATAAGAGTTATTTCTTCTTTTTCACAAGTTTGGAAACACTGATCTTGTATTTATACTTGACCCTTAAATGAGACGTCCCCGGTCCGTCAGTTTTGAATAGAAAGTCAAAATTGGGATTTAAAAGAAGAAAGTACCCAGTTACGAAGCAATCACTTATGTTGGTGCCTAAAACGGTTATACAAACTCTATTGTGGAGATATATCCGTATTTGAAGCTAATGAGCCCCTCTTGCTAACAAAGTCCGTATACAGTCAGCTAACACAGAAAAGCTAGCATTCTGTACTATGTGCTCCAAAGGCTCGTATTGAAAATTTTGAAGACAATGTTGGTCCCACAAGAACACTATAGCCACTAGCAACCTTGGCAACCTTGGAACAGTGATTTTAAGGCGCGGGATATCGATGGAAATACGGACTGGCCCACGTTACCCTGAGCTAGAGTGACCCAGCCTTGAAATACCACGTGGTTTTCATAAATTCAATACCACTAGGCTAAACAAGTCACGGGCTGCATCATACCAGTTTATCCCTAAGAGCATTTCATTTCCTCTCTTGAAACCATACTTGAGTGAAAATTCTGCAAAATTTCCAATATTCCTCTCGAGATTATAACCTGTTTTATTAAACGCACAGTAGCTTTTTGACATATAGATAGGTACCTAATTTAATCCGACTTCATTTCCGATGAGTGCGGAAAAGCCGTTGAGCTAGTGAAAGCAATTTACATATGAGTGGATCTCGGAGCTTGGGGCGGGAAACATCAAAATTTATATCCATAACGGGGACCTCCGAAGTAGACAACCTTGCAAGTTTCAAAATTCAAGGAAAACAATATGGCTAGGTCCTCACATGACTGAAATGGCCTTGCCACGAGACGGAAGGTCTAACGGGAACAAGATTAGTATTCCGTGCTTCGGAGCCGATATCTTATCAATTGAAGACTTTTACCCGTATGACACCTGATATGGGCAGTTGCGAGCTTGGAATATAGTTAGAAATATCTCTAGGATCTGTTGAGTCACTATAGGTAGTTGCTCCTTCTATATCCTCAACTAGCCAGTGAAGTCATGGTTCAACATCAGTTCCCCGCAGAGTACTCTAAGCGAAACTATAGCTTGGGCATTGACAGCGCAAAGCGCTTGGGCGTCTCGCACTATGGAGCCACTTATTCATTAGACCAGAAAATCAATTTATCTGAGCCGCGCAAGTAATTTTTCTGGTTCAACGTGGAAATTCCTTCTGGAATGCCGATCTCGCGGTTGAACTTTGGGTCCACTCGCGTTGAACGTTTTAGTTTCAAGTTCATGCTACTGGTGGGAGCTGGAGTAATCCTGCTATGGGACCGTGCATGCACTTTAATCGAAGACCCTTTCCTAACTCCTTACTCTGTACCTACGTAATTATTTCAAATTCTAGATTAGTTGATATCAGGCCATAGGTAGCACCATCTTCGTCGACGATGATCTCCGCCGTCATAGTACTAACCTTCGGTTAAAAGTTCCAATTGAGCTCGGATATAATACCTTCGTCTCTTGATATGGAGAATTCTAGAACTCGAAATAGGGGCTTTTCCGGATAACCCTAACCCCGAACTAGAAGATGTTTGTCAATACAGCAGTGATTATGGAGTACAGAATATGCCGCTCTCCGAATAACCCCGGTTACTCTGTGCTCTACGTAGTGAGGATCCAGAGGAATTATGCATACTCCATAGACCCCATATTCTCCACCGCCGATACTTTACGGTAATATGGATAGAAAATGACAACGAGTGACTAAGACCTTCCCAATTTAGTCTTCGGAGCGGAAGCGGACCGTGTGGAAGCGAAGCTTGGCTGTTTTCTATATTTCAAATGTACAAGGATCATCCTAGAGATACCAAACATTGGAGATTTTCCGGATCCACATTAGCCCAAGGTATGGTCGATCTCTGTCATAATGCACTATTCACGAGTCATGTCTAGGTATCATTGGATGAACAACTGGCGACAGATCTTGGCTATTACCAAAATCCGTATAGTCGGTCCTGGACCTCGCATTTAGTTTTCCTAATTGGTTGAATATGGCAGTTGCCAAGAGGAGGGGAATCGGTGGCTTGACGAAAACTTCTAACCCTCATTTCATCGCTCCCTTTTCCCTGTACTGCTTGTCCTGAACATCTACATCAGAAAAGTAAACGGCTATATGGATACGGACCAAAGTCTCGGGACGCCACCCCAGAGTTTCTTAAGTTTCTTGGGATTTCCTGGGTCAACTATATCCCCAAAAGTTCTGGACCTGCGTAATCCTGATCTAAAGAGGTTTCGGCGCTTTTTGGCAGGTTTTGGCAGGGGTTTGATTAGAGCCCTCCAGACTGGATATGCCCGACCTAAGTATCCGAACAAAGTAGGAAATATGAATTATGAAATATGAAATAGGGTATATTACTGTTGACTACCTAGGTACCGTATCTTGTGTATCTTGTAATGGATCTAAATTTGCGTCAGCGGTACGATCAAACCACGCCCATCCCATTGAAGTTATCACCAGAAGGTCCGGTCCATTGGGCTGGATTTTCTGTTCCAGGAACGTCGATGCTGGGTAACATGGAATCGACTTCACAGTTCCATGGGTATGAAAGGACATACCCAGATGGATCTGGAAGATCGACGAGTCCAGCCCCCAGTTAATTTTACTGTACAAAATAATACCACGAAGGAGCCCTAATGACACTAGCACTGAATGGGATAAGGCTCGCAGTGAAGAGGTTAAGAGAGAGCGCAGATCACAGAATCAAAAGTCGACAGCCCCGAAATGACTGGTTTTACAAGCTTTTTCTTTTTCCCCTTCAATTTACTAGATTATTTCTTCTCTTTTTTTTTTAAAGAAAAAAAAAAAAGGATTTGGTTCCTTGTTAGGGAATCAACAACCCGTAAATCAGGATATATAGAATACATAGATTACCCAATATTACTGCCTTTAACCCCAGCACCCGCAGTTAATCAGCGTGTATTGTTACCCACTCGTACCAGGTACTGTGTACTTCCTAACTTGTCTGTCTTAGTGTCACCCCCTCCCCAGACACTCACTATCTTCTTCTCTCTCCCCTTCCCACTTCCCTCATTTTTTCTCTATCTTACCTGGAACGATAATATCTAACCAGATTTCGCACCATTTCCATTTTCATTTGTGAAACACCAATATCTCCCCGACTCTCGGCAATCCTGCAAATCCTGCCCCCAAATATTCACCAAACATCCAATCCGATTGACCTGCGAATCGTCCCCACAAACCATAACTCAGATCGAGGGAGAAAACAAAAGGGGAGGGGAGAATAAATAGGCGACGACCCCTTCAACTGGAAGGAAAAGCGAATCGTTTGCGACCGCTGCGTCACTAGATTCGGCATTCGACTTGTACGCGACCCCGGCAACATGACAACCATTCACCAAACCTAGTCAAATCTGTCCCAACACATTGCTGATGTCGCTGCCATCGATAGAATAATATCGGGGAACCATATATAATTCCCCGTGCTATACAGTAATGGCGTCTCGACCGCCCATCATGCAAACTCCTAATGAGACCGAATCAACAACCAGCCGAATCACTCGTGAAGGCAAGCAGATCACCTATAAATTGAGTGTCATGCAACAACCAGAACGTGCGAGAGCATGTGGTGCCGGTGCTAAATGTAAGTATTCACACTGCTTCACTCACACCATGTGAGGTCGCATCGTCTGTTGCTAACATACATCAGCGTCGGCCGACCGTCGTCCTGTTGATCCACCGCCAGTCGTAGAATTACGCATTTTTGAATCTGAGCCCGGGACTGATACCCCAAAAACTGACATCACCTTCGCCTACAACGCCAATTTCTTTCTCTATGCGACATTGGAAAATGCTCGCCATATCGCCCATGGCCGAGTGGCTGGCCCGCAGTCATGTCCTGTACTAACCGGTGTACCGGTCGCTGGTGTTGCTTATCTCGACCGTCCTTCACAAGCAGGCTATTTCATCTTCCCAGATCTGTCGGTGCGCCATGAAGGTCGATATCGACTGAACTTCCATCTATACGAGGAGATCAAGGACGCCAAAGATGCCGACAAGGACTCACATTCTCCCCTACCCAACCAAATAGGTCGCTCGAGTACAGGAAAGCCAGGATCACCACAGGCTTTTCTCCACTTCCGCCTCGAGGTCAAAACTGTCCCCTTCATGGTATATAGCGCCAAGAAATTCCCCGGTCTGGCCACCAGCACATCCCTGAGCCGCATCATCGCCGAACAGGGATGCCGTGTGCGTATCCGTCGTGATGTTCGCATGAGACGACGGGGGGACAAGCGCGATGATGAATACGACTATGATGAGGAAAGATCTGCCGCATTTACAAGAAATGGCGGCGATCGGTATTCAACACCAGATCGATATGTCCAAACGTCCGTGGAACGCCCTCGGTCAAATAGCAACAACAGCAATATGGAAACACCGTACGGCTTCGGTGCTGAGATACAAAGGAGGCCGTCAATACCAGATTACGGTTTCCCTGGACAACAACAATATCAGCGGCCGATGCCACCCGCACCCATACCTCACACCCAGACACCCTCCTATCAATCACATCTTTCCTTCGGTTCGACACCATCTCACTACCCTGCTCCCCACATGCCTCCAACCCCTCCTCCTGTGGCTCAAACGGCAATGTACTCACCTCAAAGTACTTACGCCAACGTTCGCAACCCATCGATTATATCTGAATATGAGGCATCACCTGTCGGCTATCCAATGGGACCTCAAATGCAAGATCGGCCGGGCTACCCAAAGAGTAACATGAACGGATACCGTTTGGAAGCATCGAAGCAACCGTACATGATGGTTGACCCGAACCAATATCAGATGCAGCCGAATCACATGCACCAGGCTCAACCGCCATCAATGGCTCATAGCCTTCCGTCATTCAAAAATGCTCATCAAGAATATGCCAATCTGCAAACTTCTATCGAGTCTAGTATTCCGCCCAGTCCATCGGGGTACGATTCTGTCTCCGGCAAGCGCATTCTTTATCATAGTGGACCTAGCTCTATGAAGCGTAGCCACGAAGATTCTTTCGGAATTGATGAACGTTCAATGCATAATGGTATGCGACCAGATACAGAGGAATCATATGGTTACCGAGATTTCTCTGGCGAAAGTCGAGCGGCCTTGATGGCTGAGCTCGGCGTGGAGATGGCATACAAACGAGCTAATGGTCAGATGGTCATGAAGGCTGCACCTCCCTCCGTTCAATAAAAAAACCCCCCTACTCTTTCCCTCGATTTTGAACCCAGATCTTTCTCTAGCTCTCTGATCCTACACCTTTTGTACATGACTCATCTCCTCATCCACATCCCTTGCCATCTCCTTTTCATGGTTATACGGTTGACATTGGTGTCAACGTTGGGCTTGGTCTTTGTGGCTACTCTGATATCCCGATCTAATGATCCACGCATTCTTTTTTTTTTTTGAACATTGCATTATTATCTTTCTTGTTCGCTCTTTCTCGGAACCAGGTATGGCCTGTCACCCGTTCGCCCATCCAGTCCTGCTCATAACCTCGCCACTCGCCACCTGCATACAAAGCAAATCCTCCTATTTGAAAATATCCTCACCCTCGCCCGGGACTGGAAACCCACGGCACTAACAGACCATTCCTACCGAATCTATTATCTCTTATCATGTGAATTTTTGGACTATCTTGGACGGTTAAAAGGACGGCAGACTTGGCTTTCTTTCTGTCTTTTAGCGATCGTTTTACGTACACCAAGTACATTATGAAAGTATGTATTGGAAATATGTTGCAATGTTGGCTTTTTGCTTTTTGGTTTTTGCATTTTTCAAGGTTCTTTTGGCGGGCTGTCCTTCACTTTAACTAGTTCTTTTACGGCGTTTATGACACCCGATACCTACAGTCCTCAAATCGATCTTCAGAATTCTGTAACCCGTCTGTCCACTTCTAAGTGAATTTGATCTAGAACCAAGATAAGTCTTTTGCCAAAGCAAACATGTCCTGTAACAACAGAGTACCCCGTCTAACCGATATTATCCCGCACTTGTTACCATGACCGACAAAAGTCCTCTTTCCGCATTCCCCGACACATCTCAGCCAACCGCTTGAATAGCCACTCTTGATCTGGATATGGATCTGCCAAGGTGGACCCTGAAAAGTCGGGAAGATGACGATGCATATACATCGTATATGTTCGCCTTCTTTGGCGTTCTGGTATTTGTTTTGAGTTTTAAGCCGTGGACGTTTGTTTGTTACAGGTATGCCTCGCTTCATCTTGCATGGTTGCAAGGTTCTACCTAGAGGCTCTAGATTGGAATTAGGGCTGCTTAGCGATGTGGCGTGCATGATGCAGAGGATATAGTTTCCATAGCAAATAATCTACGGAGTTGCCAACTCTGCATAATAGGTAGGTCTACCGATGCAACTACCCTAGAAGCGAAGAAACGGAAGATACCCGTGGCCTGAAAAGTGGAAGACCGAAGATCATCAGGGATCTAGGTATGGTACGGTAAGTGAATTGTCCTCAAACAGGTGGCACCACCGATAATATATACGTATATATGAAGCATCTATTGCTCGGGTTTATATTCTTGAACCGGACCAACCCATCCCAGGTATATATTCTCAACCTCCAGTGGCAAGGATGGCCTTTCATGCCTAGATAGTACCGAGGCTGTGCTGCTCCGTAAACACTGGACATAACCATATACGGCCCCGGAGACATGCTGCTCTCATCCACAATTAGCCTCTGTTATCACTACATACCTACCTACCTAGGTAGGTACTAAAGGTCAGTCTCACCGTTCAGACTCCAGACTGATATCTTGGAAGGTATCAGCCAGTATCTCACATATTCACCCCCACACTCAAAATACCAAGCTTCATATCTGCCATTAGTACCTAGGTGGGAAGTTACCCTAATATTCAGAGAGCTCTCATCTCTCAATTAGCCCCGCCACTACTGCTGACACTTTTGCTACTGTTGAAAGATGTCAGAGGAGTCGTTATCAAGACCACAACAAGCTCTACAAGCCGCTGCCAGCGCACCGGCCTTCGTATATAGGACTACAAAAACTAAGACTACCAGACCTCGCTTGTTACATGGGCAGTGGTGTCCCTTGGATGAAAACAGTAAGTGACTCCTTTTAATTGGATACAACTTCCAAGGTTGGAAGGCATTCATCCATTTCGGGACTCAGCAGGTTAAGTAACAACAGATACCTATTAGTAATAATATAATTGAAATGATTCATAATAAATCTGCCCAATGTAGACGATTGGCTGCATGCGAGGCAAAAAAAAAAAGCAAAAATAAAAATAAAATCAAAAACAAGAAACCAGGCTTTTCATATCTCCTCGGGGTATGCCCCTTCGCTCTTAAGCATCCCGCCTTCAGGTCTGGGTATTCCCGAGGTCTCCCTACCAGAGGTTGCCCTCACTGCAAAAATCCTCGAACTACTGTGCACCTAGGATGATATCTCCTTCATCGGCAAGAGATACTCGGTCCAACAAAGCCTCAAGAGAGTCCTCGCCTCTGTTTAGCGATCACTTTCCAAGGTTGGGACCTCGGGAGGCTGCAAACCTTGGAAGAATATAGGTTCAAAATAGCGACGTGCAGTCTACGCGTCAGTGTCCTACTTTAGAAATAGATGAATCTGGTCTACAAGTCGGGAATTGCCTGAGAGTATTGCTTCAGCCCTAACGGCCTCTTATTCATTTTTTTTCATTAATGGTAGTTTCTTCAGAAACAGGTTATGTTACAAGAATAGGCCAGGACTCTGTCCAGCCTTGCTAGGATCATCTCGAAAACCTTCGTGCACCTTCTCACTTCTGTCCAACGGAAGGAGACAAGAAACGACGCTGTGTTGGGTATGCATAAGAAAAAGATTAAAAAGTAAAAAAAAGGTCTGGCGATGAAAACTCCCATTCTCGGGCCGATTTGCATCAAAAATTGAGAAATTGTCAACCATGTCCGTCATTGATCCCAATTGCGCCGAGGACAATAAAACATTCGGGCGTCATCATTCATGTCGTTCATAGGTATGTAAACCCATTATGTGATAGATAAAGAAAAAGGATTGCAAGTTGAGAGTAAGTGATCCATGGATCGACTTAAACCTGCGAGGTAGCACGATTGCCGCGGCCACGACCGCCATAGCCGCCACGGTTGTTGTAGCCACCACGGCCACGACCATAACCACGTCCACGGCCACGGCCGCGGTAGTTGCCACGATAGCCATCAACGCTACCTTGGCCAAAGGTTTCGATGTTACGTTTTTCCTCAACACCGCGCCACTCGCGACCGCCAGGACGATTCTCTTCGCGATCACGGGCTTCACTGGAAATGTTGTCGAAGAATGAACTGCTTCGGTTGTAAAGAGCAGCCGAGCTATCCTCCTCCTCGTCAGGATCTCCATGAAGAGTGTGAGCTTCCGCTTCCACAGCAGGAGCTCCGCTGGCGATAGCCTCCTTGACGAGGTCTTGCTTGTTGAACTTAGCGTTCGCAGTCTGGAAGTCATAATCAGATGTGGGGACTTCGATCGATTTGGGAGGACGAGCGCCACCCCGTCCACCGCGAGGATGCTGATGACCACCACGGGGGGCACGATTGTCATTGTAAGGACGCATTTCGTTCATCTTGCGCGTAACACCATCGACTGAAGCATCGTGCTGGCGCTGTGGAGGCAACTTGGCCATGGCCTCGGCAACAGCACGAGTGGCAGCAGAAGTAGCGTCAGTGAAAGCCTGGTTAGCACCCACAGGGCCAGTCGGGGCAACAGGCTTTGGGCCAACTAGAGGGGTAGAGGGCTTAAAGCTACCACCATGAGCTGCGGCCGGACCCAGAGCTTCAGCTACAGATGGCTTTGACTCAACTGGAGGTGTAGGTGCGTTCTGAGCCACGGGAGGGGTAGACTTTGTAGCGACCTTATCACCGGGAAGTTCAGATGTGGGATTGGGGCCTACTGCAGGGGGGCCAGGGCGCTGCTGGTGGGGTGGTCCAGGATATCCTGGGATGTGGGGAGGGAAGCCAGGGCCCTGAGGGTATCCTTGGCCAGGGAACCATCCCGGGGGCGCACCATTGGGTGCGCCGTAAGGTGGAAAGCCCGGGCCTGGGGGGGAACGGCGGAGGGGGTCCAAAGCGCTGTCCGTAACCAGGGTACATGCCACCCTGGAACGGAGGTTGCTGAGGATAACCCTGGGGGTTTTGGGGACCACCCTGTTGTTGCTGCGCGGGTCCTTGAGAAAGGCCAGGGGGAGCTCCATCGGGGCCAGGGCCGGGTCCCGGTCGCGAGACGTTCTAATTTTGACCGAGTCAGAAAGGTTCAAAGAAGGATAATAACAGATGCGAAAATGCAAGATTTGGGGGGGATTGATCGATCAGAAGGAAGGCAACGGAAAGCTCCACACGGTTTTGCGCATTCAGAGCTAATATGTGTTTACATCCGAAAATATTTCATCAGGTGATCCATTGGCACACGGGGTTTGGCCCAGGCCGAAGGGAATGTAAGAAACGAAAAAGTTGAAGACTTACTCCGAGGATGGCGGGGTCATCCGGAATCCGGTGAGGTTCAGGCTGTGCGGGTTCTTTCTTTCCCTCGACGCTGATATCCTTCACATCACTGCCTCGGAAGACAATATATTCGTAGATGCTGGAAGAGCCAGCAATCTCAAGGGCAGGGTTTCCCCGTCGCCCCTCTGTGCCATAGGACATCACATTTTCCAAGGCAATTGTGGACGCTTCCGGGTTGATCTCGTGAAGGGTTCCAACATAACTGAAGGTGAATCAGCATGATGAGGCTAGTTACTTGGTTGAGATAGGTGGCACATACCGAACATCGCTCTTTGAGATGAGGATGAAACGCTGACTGCCAGGTGTTAACTCCAGTCAAGCCCCACAAACCCGAACAGGCGTTCGAGTGACCTACCCGATCAAATGATTCATATCCATCTTCGCGGACAGCGCGAAATCGCGCAATATGAATTAAACAAAGAAAGAGAAAGGGGGTTCAAGAGTGGAAGAATTTAAGAAGGGGGAGAATTGAGAGTGGATAGGTTGAGAAGGGAAGAGAAGAAGGAAGAAGCAAAATCTGTGGTTTTGGTGGATTCGGGCTAGGGCGGTCCATAAGAGCTCCGATAGCAGTTCTGCCTTGTGCGGAAGTATCCTTTAGACTGATCCCCTATTTACTTTGCTCAATAACTCAATCAATAAAATGACAACCTCTTCTAATCGCGATCTCTTTTTCCAAACTTCGTAAGAAGACCTGCTGTTTTGGTCGCTTGAATCGTACTGATCAGTTCGGCTACAGTGCTTCGCTGGAAGAGCAAGAGCGAAGAAAAGCCAAATCTCAGAATACTAATGGAAACCCTATTCAGCTACAGAGCAAGATTCTAGCTGTTCAAGCTGATCCATGGAATGAGGGATCCGTTTATGTGGCGCTCAGTAGCGCCATTGTGAAACGAATTGTCCTCGAGGTAAGTAACATCGAATTAATCTTATAAATCACCTTACTAATTGACCACAGACGAGTGAGACAGTAGCCTTATTCAGAGGCCCAGTTGCCCCATTGACAAGCATTTGCTTGAGCCCTGACGGAAAGCTCCTATTTGCAGGGTGCTGGGACAAAACCGTCTGGAGTTGGGACGTTGCCTCGCGGCAGCTTCAGCGAAAATATGAGGGGCATTCTGATTTTGTTAAATCTGTCATCACTGCTCGAGTAGGTGGGAAAGACCTACTCATCACAGGAAGTGCAGATGCTCAAGTACTTGTCTTCGATATTGTAACTGGTCAGCGGATCGAAACCTTCAAGGGTCATCTCCGAGGTATCCAGGATCTTGCAATCGATCCTGAGTCAGATGAGTCTCAACCGATTATCTTCAGTGCTGGAAGTGACCGAGAAATCCGACAATTCAAGATCCCTGGTGGTGATACAGGAGAAATCTTGCTTCCACATGAGACCAGCGTATACAAGATCTTCTTTGACCAAGATGGAGATATGTGGACTGCCTCCGCCGAAAAAACTGCCAAGTGTCTAGTCCGTGCAGATGGCTGGAAACCCAACCTGACTCTAGATCATCCTGATTTTGTGAGAGACGTAGTCGTCCATGAGACTGGCGGTTGGGTTATCACAGCCTGTCGAGATGAAGAAGTGCGAGTGTGGAATCGATCCGTACGCTACCCTCTCTACCCTCTCTACCTTATCTTATTTATCATTTACTCGATGCTGACTGTTCTAGACTGGAGAGCTTTATCACACATTTTCAGGCCATTTTGAAGAAGTCACTGGTCTGGCTCTGGTTGGATCTACTGTGGTGAGTGTGGCTATTGACGGTACACTACGCCAGTGGTCTCTTCAACCTACAGACTTGCAACAGGCAGTGGAATGGGCGAAGAATGGACCAGTAGAAGAGGAGAAGCCAAGTGCCGAACCTGAATCAATGTTGACAGAGGAGGAAGAGCGCGAGTTGGCAGAACTTATGGGTGAAGATTAGATAGAGATTTATGAATGATGAAATTAAAAGAATATTGCAATTCCAACAAGCTGTAACCTGATGTACTACGTAGACAAAATTTGTATAACAGTCGATGGCACGTGACATCCTGCGCGATGACGCGCGAACCCCACATCCGGAACGTCCTATCGCTCTCATTTTGGGGAGTTACACGGAACATCCTTAAATCATCCCTAGTATACTTCTTATTCTTGCGTCAAACCCTATTTACTACCACTCTGGATCCAATTATCATCCATGCAGTCACAGCACCATGGTCCCGAGGACGCGGGCCCTAAATTGACCAACAGGCTTCAGCAGAGCCGGTCGCCCTATGTGAGCACCCTAATTTAGCCTGTATTTTCCCCGCATACGCGACTTACCGATATTTAGGTAAGGGCGCATATGAAAAACCCTGTCGCATGGCAGCTATGGGATGCAGAGGCGATCAATCTAGCTAAAAAGCACAATCGCCTCATATTCCTCAGTATTGGGTACTCGGCTTGTCACTGTACGTTGTAAACCGAGTTCTGCATCGCTAGTCTTCTAACAGACTTCTAGGGTGCCATGTTATGGAAAAGGAATCTTTTATGTCCCCAGAAGTGGCGGCGATACTCAATGAGTCCTTTATCCCGGTGAAGGTTGATCGTGAAGAGCGACCAGATGTCGATGACATCTACATGAATTACGTTCAAGCTACGACTGGCTCGGGTGGCTGGCCATTGAATGTTTTTCTTACTCCTGACCTGGAGCCTGTTTTTGGAGGCACCTATTGGCCTGGTCCCAACTCGAGTATACTCCAAGGCCCTGAGACCACTGGGTTTGTAGAAATTCTGGAGAAGTTGAGAGATGTCTGGGCAACGCAGCACCAACGATGCCTGGAGAGCGCCAAGGAAATCACGAAGCAATTGCGAGAATTTGCCGAAGAAGGAACTCATTCGCAACACGACGCTCCGGACGACGACGAAGATCTCGACATTGAACTTTTAGAAGAGGCCTACCAGCACTTCGCATCGCGATATGATTCCATCAATGGCGGGTTTGGCCGAGCGCCCAAATTCCCCACTCCGGCCAATCTCATTTTCCTCCTTCGGCTGAAAGCATACCCGAGCCAAGTCACTGATATTGTAGGCCAAGACGAATGCGAAAAGGCGATGGCGATGGCTGTCACGACCCTGGTAAATATGGCACGTGGTGGTATTCGCGACCATATCGGCCATGGATTTTCACGATACAGTGTTACAATTGATTGGAATCTGCCTCATTTTGAGAAAATACTCCATGATCAGGCACAGCTGCTGGATACCTACGTGGAAGCATTCCGACTGACACATGACCCCGAGTTACTGGGTGCTGTCTATGATTTGGCTACTTACTTGACAACATCTCCCCTGTTGTCGCCTACTGGTGGGTTCTTCTCTTCTGAGGATGCCGACAGCTTCCCCAGTACGAATGATACAGAGAAGCGAGAGGGCGCCTTTTATGTGTGGTCACTGAAGGAGCTTACCCAGATCCTTGGTCCGCGTGCCGCTCCGGTCTGCGCTCGCCATTGGGGTGTGCTTCCTGATGGAAATGTTGCAGCAGAATATGACCCACACGACGAATTTATGAACCAGAACGTGTTATCTATCAAAGTCACTCCTAGCCAGCTCGCCAAGGAGTTTGGATTGAGCGAGGACGAGGTAGTAAAGATTATCAAAAGTGGGAAACAAAAGCTGCATGAACACCGCGAGAAATCGAGAGGTCGGCCCGATCTAGATGACAAGATCATCGTGGGATGGAATGGCTTGGCAATTGGTGCACTGGCCAAGTGCAGTGTGTTGTTTGATGAAATTGAGAGCTCCAAAGCGGTCCAATGCCGCGATGCGGCTGCACGTGCCATTAGCTTTATTAAAGATAACCTCTTCGAAAGGTCCACTGGAAAGTTGTGGCGTATTTTCCGAGATGGCAGTCGAGGAGATACCCCGGGCTTCGCTGATGACTATGCGTATTTGGCCAGTGGTTTGCTGGACATGTACGAGGCAACCTTTGATGACAGTTATTTGCAACTTGCCGAGCGTCTTCAAAGTAAGTATTACCTTTTTTTTTGTCATTATTAATATTCCTTGACAAGACGGCTAATTCTCGTTAGAATACCTCAATGAGAACTTCTTGGCAAAGAATGGCTCCGTGACTGCTGGATACTACAATACCCCAGCCATCCTGACCCCTGGAATGCCGGGACCGCTGTTCCGACTCAAGACCGGCACTGAGTCAGCCACACCATCTGTCAACGCCATTATTGCACGAAATTTACTACGACTATCTGCATTACTTGGAGACGATGAGTATCGAGTGCTGGCAAAACAGACATGCACCTCCTTTGCGGTTGAGATCATGCAACACCCATTCTTATTCGTGGGTATGCTTGATGTCATCGTAGGTCTACAAATTGGTACTCGGACTGTAACAGGAGTATACAGCAGCGGAGACAGCCACAGCCGGACGGTAGAGCCCGCATTGGAATCCATTGTGCGACGAGTGCGAGCGGAACTGGGCAATTGCCTTTTCTCGACTGTGGCCGTTGGATCCATTGTAGATATTCGATCCTCCCACCTGGAGGATTTTGTGGGTAACCACTCTTTCTGGTTGAAGTCTCGAAACCCTTTGATCAAAGAATTAAAAGCCACTGAGCCAAAAAACTACTTGGTGGTTTGCGATGCTGGTCGATGCCGAACGATTGATGTTTAAAATGAGATGAGATATCTATTTTCGTTTGATTCCTTATATTTCAGGGCTGTCTTTACTTGTTATACTTCCTATTTTATATATATATATATTTTTTCGATGGCGTTAACGAAGTGACCGATCGCCATTTATGGGGACATCTGGATAACAGTCGGATTTTGATATTATTATGAATTACTTCTGGAAAAGACACTAGGTGATTACGTCAGGCTTCTAGTACTTTTGTCTGTACCATACCATATTCGACAGGTTTACAAAGTATCTACGTACTTCCATGAATCCACTTGGACTCGGCACAGGCCGAATACTCAGACATCAACGACACAAGCCGGCTTCTAGAAAAGAGAAACGGGCGGATTATGGAGTAGACCTAACCGTCTTTAGAGAGACCCATTTTCTTTTTATCATTTTGCTTTTCATAATTTATGTTACTGGCTAACGTACTTGTAATGCCAGGGCAATCATGAATCATTGGTGGCTGAAACACGGGTCAAAACGAGGTATGAATTAATCAATCCCATTCATAGTGGATTAAACCAGTCCAGACCAAAGAAGCCACAAAGCCAAGTTTCTTAGCGCCGACGCGGTTGTATAGTGCGTGATCATCGGGCTTTATATTTGGAATGTGATTGGTGGCTGTTTCGAGGCTGAAACTTGAGTTACGACGTATATCTCGTTTTGGTTTTCCCCTTCGAGATCGAGATCTGTGGATCAACTCTTGACTTAAAACTTCTCTCATAATAACCAACTTAGACTGGTCAATCATATGTGTCAATTTCCTATTTACCCTGTGGCAGATTGAGTATAGCTACTGTCTCCGTAAGGCAGAGGGGAGAAAAGTACCAGATTGGAATTAAGGATCCGCCCAGGGGCGTTGGTAAATAGTCTGGAACAAAGTGGGATTTCTGGATCCCGGAGAATTCAATGTTCAAGGTTCATTTAAACTAATTGGGTGTATCTGTGGAATGTAGAATGTCCCACGCCAGGAAGTGGCGGGCTTGGTATGTTTAGTGCTTGGATGAGGTTGGAAGCAAAAAATAATAAAGAGAAGATACAAAAAGATCATACAAGTAGAAGGAAGAAGTCTACATCTAATTAAAAATTAATTAAGAAAGGACACCAAATCTCCGAATATTAATCAAACTGTTAGGACCAAAGCCCCACTTCCTAACCCCTTTGTCTATTCTGCCTCCCATACATCTACTCTTTCATCCTTACTCAAACTCTCGAACTCTCCATCCCTGCCAGGTGCAATTTTTCTTTCTTCCCTCGTTGGAAAGAAATCTTCGTGTTTAGGCACTGTCATTCATTTAGACTCACTCTCATTTTAACCCACGCTCACGCAGTCGATCTGCGTGTTGATATTGCCCAAATCCACCAGCTTTTTGACCCGCCAAACTTCCTGGAGAAGTTTATCTCGATTTGATCCGTGATCTTACTCAATCATGCGTTACTCTCTTTTGATCGCTGCTCTTGCAGCTGGTTGTGTGAATGCCACTACAAAGGTCGTTACCGTTACCGATTGGACCACTACCACTGTCACCGAGACGGTTACCGCTAGCCCTGTGACTGAGACTGTCGGAGCTTTTAAGCAGGCTGAAGTTGTGAAGGAGACATCCACTGAAACCGTAACTGCCGCACAAACCGCGACATCAGAACTCGCCAAGAAGTCGACTGTCCTGGTTCCCGAAGCCCAACCTACCGCCCTCGAAAGAGAAGAGGTCAACGCCGAGACCTTCTACTGGACTTCTGCCTGGACTTCTGCCTGGACTTCCACCTACGAACCTGCCCCGATCACCGCCGCGGCCGAAACTACTACCGCTGCACCAGTCGTCGTTGAGACTCATTCGACTCTCGCCACCTCCACCTCGGCTGCTGCTGCTGCCACTGCCACCAGTGCCTACCAGCAAAAGGCGCTCTACAACCACAACGTTCACCGCAGCAACCACACCGTATCGTCCCTCGACTGGAGCGCCGATCTTGAGTCCAGCGCTCAAACTCTTGCCGCTAAATGTGTTTACGAACACGATACGTAAGTTCTTTTGCCTCAACTTGGGTCGTGCTCCACAACTTACAATTTCTCTAGTTCCATTGATGGTGGCGGCTACGGTCAGAACATTGGCTACGGAAAGACCGCTAGTCAGGTTGGTGAGATGATCACCAACATGATGTACAACGGTGAAATCGGCTACTACCCCGGATACGGAGCATCTGACCCCAGCATGACCAACTTCGACGCCTGGGGTCACTTCAGTCAGATCGTCTGGAAGGCCACCACCCACGTTGGCTGTGCCACTGTTCTCTGCAATAGCCTGGGCAATGTCGACTCCTCCGAGGCTGTCCCCTTCACTGTCTGCAACTACTCACCAGCTGGAAACGTTGATACTGAATATGGTGCGAACGTGTTGCAGCCCACTGGTGCCGCAACTTACACCTCTTCTTGAAATTGTTCCACTGTGAGCAAGGTGGATGGATTGTGTTTTTGGAATATTTGCCCAATCCCTTTTTACGAAATCTTCGCATTCATTATCAATATCTGCATTTTGTACTATTGAGTTACTTTAACATTCTCACTATTCTGCATGTTCAAGCCCTGACTTGATTTATCTTGTCCGGGACTCTCCAGGGTGAAGATGATCGGTGTCAAGTACCTGGTTCTCGGAGTTCTGACATCCGAGGATGTCCTGTTGTATGTATTATGTTGGAAAGGTATTTGGCCGCTATCTTTGACCTGGAAGAGGGATATGTGGGAGACTCGTTCAATTGTCAATATTTTTTATTTCATCGATGTCTCCTAGCGTGCTTGATATTGTACTGTACTATGAAGTACTATATGACCAAAATGATGACCTGCTTAGGTCACGTGCTGTCCCGCTTTCCCTTCGACCGAACCATCCTAGATTTCTTCCCTTACATGATAGACCTCTTTGCATACAGTAATTTATATCTACTCTCACTATTGTATAGTCCCTTATGCCACTTTCCTGTTTTAATACTGAGCGGGTCCTGGTTTACGCCTGATTCACGCCCGATTCACGCCTGATTCTGATTACCCGCTTGGTCTTACTAGTATCATCTGGTCAATTATCCGTTCCTCCGGAGCTATCACATTCGTCTCGGTCTCTTCAGCCCATGTTCGTCTGATCTGGTAAGTCCCATTTCCCCGGACTCCCTAGACCCGAATCGGTCCAAGGCAACCCAAAGTAGGGAGATTGAGGGGGAGAGAAAGTAGGAAGAGTCTCAAAGTTTCTACTTGCAATGTTCTATAGATTTCATTTGCTTTGTTCGTTTCTTATATAAGGGACTTGGCCTGTCTGTTCTCATTCTTCCCCTATTAGATTACTTGCCCTTTGATATCATTTGACTTCAGATTTACTTCTGCACGAAGAACTAGGTAGCCTCAATGCCACCATAGCTACTGCCTACAAAACTGCCATTATTTCCATCGCTGTTTCCACCTTTTCTCTTCCTACTTATCTCGTCTGCCATCACGCTTTATTTCCGATCTAGCTGACATCATGTCTTATTCCTCTACGGCAGTTCGTTTCTTTACTTCTCCAAAGCCACTCGGTAATCCTATGGACTCCAACCGGAATCTCGGGGCTACTTCCCAGGGACATACCGTTATGAGGCCAAACGTTTTGAAAGAACGACCCTCGAATGATAGCGTTGAGCTACATAAACCGAAGAATCAGGGTTTGACTTTCGCCAACCAAGAATCTTTACCTAAACTTCCTATTCCTGATTTGGAAGACACTTGTCAGAGACACCTAGATGCTCTCGTCGCCTTGCAGACCCCGCGGGAACATGAAGAGACGAAGGCTGCGGTGAAAGACTTTCTCAGGACGGATGGACCGGTTCTTCAAGAGAGATTGAAGACTTATGCCGGTTCTAAGACTAGCTACATAGAGCAGTTCTGTGAGTGTTTTTGTAACATGGTTAACTTAAACTAAGATAGCTAACTATTACAGGGTATGATTCTTACTTGAACTTTGATAATCGTGAGTTTCAAGGCCCTCTTGGCCGAGTCAAGTTAAGGATAAGGTAGATCTCTAACTTTGTACAGCGGTTGTTCTCAACCTCAATCCCTTTTTCCTCTTAGAAGATGATCCTACCCCTGCTCGCAATCACCAGGTCACTCGAGCTGCATCCTTGGTAGTCTCTGCCCTTTCATTTGTCCGTGCTGTGCGTCGGGAAGAGCTCCCTCCAGATACTGTACGCGGAACACCTCTTTGTATGTACCAGTACTCGCGGCTATTTGGAACAGCTCGACTTCCCACAGACAATGGATGCGTCATCAGCCAGGACCCCTCAGCCAGACACATCGTCATCATGTGCCGGGGCCAGTTCTATTGGTTTGATGTACTGGACGATAACAGCGATCTGATCATGACCGAGAAAGACATTGCGCTCAATCTGCATGTAATCATCGACGATGCTGCTCAGACTCCGCTCCAGCATGCGGCTAAGGGTGCACTGGGCGTTCTCAGCACTGAAAATCGCAAAGTATGGTCTGGTCTGCGTGATATTATGACCAAAGATCTATCATCGAACAATGCTGAGTGTCTCAACATTGTTGACACCGCGCTCTTCGTGCTATGTCTAGATGACACAGAGCCTTCAAGCACGGCAGAGCTCTGCGCAAACATGCTCTGTGGCACGAGCGAGGTGGTCAAGGGCGTTCAGGTCGGGACCTGCACGAATAGGTGGTACGACAAACTGCAGATAATCGTCTGCAAAAATGGCAGTGCCGGAATCAACTTTGAGCACACGGGCGTGGATGGACATACCGTACTGAGATTCGCCAGCGACGTATACACGGACACCATCCTCCGTTTCGCAAAGACAATCAATGGCCAGGCCCCTAGTCTCTGGGCAACAACCAGCCCAGACCCAGCCAAGCGCGACCCACGCAGTTTTGGAAATGTCAGCACGACGCCACGCAAGCTGGAATGGGACATGATTCCCGAACTAAACATCGCTCTACGCTTCGCCGAATCTCACCTCTCAGATCTACTCCACCAACATGAATTCCAAGTCCTCGACTTCGAAGGCTTCGGCAAGAATTTCATCACGTCAATGGGCTTCTCGCCAGATGCGTTTGTGCAAATGGCCTTCCAGGCCGCATACTACGGTCTTTACGGCCGAGTCGAAAACACCTACGAGCCCGCAATGACAAAAGTCTACCTGCACGGCCGAACAGAAGCAGTCCGCACCGTATCCCCCGAAAGCGTAGATTTTGTCAAAACATTCTGGGGCGATCATCCGGCCCAGCAGAAGATTGACGCTCTCCGCACAGCAACACAACGCCACACATCCATAACAAAGGACTGCTCAAAAGGCCAAGGCCAAGACCGCCACCTCTACGCGCTCTACTGTCTCTGGCAACGCTCTTTCGACGAAGGCCTCTTCGAAACAAGCTCCGTAGCCGACTCTTCAACTCCAAGCGAAAACCCCGAATCCCCCCGTTTGTCCCCAAACCAATCCGAATCAGGCTTCTCCTCCCCCTACAGCACAAGCACCAGTACAACAAGTGGCCTCCTCCGCACTACAGCCCCTCCCACGCCAGCTATATTCGCCGATGCAGGCTGGGACAAGATCAACAACACAATCCTCTCAACCTCCAACTGCGGAAACCCGTGTCTGCGCCACTTCGGCTTCGGCCCTACATCTGCCGACGGCTTTGGCATTGGCTATATCATCAAAGATGAGTCGATCTCCTTCTGTGCTTCGTCTAAACATCGCCAGACAGCACGGCTCATGCAGACGCTTGATTTGTACCTGCTTGAGATAAGGAAATTGATGCATGCTACTCATCACAAAACTTCTAGTCCGCGCACTAGTCGGGCTCGGGAGATTGAGGAGTCGAGTGATAGAGTTCAGTATGATTTACCGCGTAGAGGCCGGATCGTGCGGAGTGACACCCGTGGTGCGGAAACGCCGACTACGACGACTGATAGTGGGGATATGGATGATGATGGCATGGGTGGTTGTATGTTCCTGATTCATTTCTTTTGTCTTTGTTTCGAAATTACTAACTCCCTTTCTAGATGGGTTCTTCGATGCTGGAATGCTTCTTTATGCGCTTAAGGGTGTTAGTGAACGTGATCGTGGAGACCAGCCTGCTAAACGCCGTTTTGTGGGGAAGAAGTTGCATCTCAATGAACATTAGGTTCTTGGTATCTACGAACGAATTATGAATTGATAATATTGAATGTTGAATGCCACACCACCCGTAGACAGTATTCAACAGTAGTAGTATCATCCGTCCCCATCGATACTTTTATAACCTCTAATACAATAAAGTCGTAATGAATATACATCCAAGGGATATCTACCTCCATCAAACCCTCCTAATTCCCCGCCTGATAACACAGCCATGACCTCTTCTCGCCCACCAATGTAAAGTAGAAGCTAAAGATTACTGAGCCGTTGGACCGATAGTCTGGCGATTGCGCATTGATTTGAAGTCCTTTTTAGTAGTGTCCCACACGTTTACCCTGGTTCATCTCATATTTATATAATTTCAGATGGTTAAAGCCCCACGCTACGTGATTATTGCAAACTTTCCTGATCCTATAAGATGGAGTTGAAGGCTGAAAGCATAGAAAAAAAGATCCAGGAATTCATCTATCATGACTCTCGCGTTGAGAGAGCCTTGGAAGATGGAAACTAGCTGATCATTCCCTTTGACGATATAGTAAGAGAAAACGTTGGATCCGAAGATAGACAATGTATGATCACCCGGCAAAGAAATGTAGAATGGAGATGTTTACCATGGGAATATGACTTCTTTTATACCGTTGAGGGGGAAGTGTGACAGCGGGAATTGAAACTGAGCCTTAGAACTGAGACTAAGACTGAGACTGAGAGTAAGAATGAAGTGAGTTTGGTAGTACGGATCAAGAGCCTTAGAATTAACCTTATAAGTGGAAGTTGAGGCACTTATAGATCATATCTTGGTATCTGAAGCGCTCAATGTTCGAGAAGACTTGCCTAGCAAAGAGCCTGGAGAATTCTTTATCTTTGTCAATTTCGCTATAAGGTCGAGTACCTCCTGAGGTTTTATCCCAAGGCAATTAGATCTGTTATAAAAGTCGGTGGAAATGATGGTGCGTACAGATATCGGTCTTCTTCCTGTACAAGTGTCTCTATATCGCCGATGACTGGCCCGCCACAATCGCATAGTTTAGTGTGTAGTTAATCTGCCTCAAGGGAGTCCAGTGGACTAATAACGTTATGGACCGTACCATAGCTATGGATAAAAGTAATCAATGGCATCAACAGCATTCTTAATCCAGCTCTACCGAGTAGATCCTCTAAAATATCTTACTGTATTCCAAGGTTTCCCAATCGGTGATATGGAAATTGGAGGCCTTGTTCTGTGATATCAAGGATATTTGGGTTCTTTGGTAAAGTGATAGACAATCTTTTCGCAAGAGATACACTGGATCGATTTATCCGCTATGTAGTTATTGTTTCTACTGATTTAGCACGTTCGGTTGAATCAAATGTGGGAGGTTTCTTGATAAACATCCTATTTCTACCGCAAGCAAGAACTTCTGATCCTAAGTCGATGAGTTTGCCCCAGTGGACAGTAAATACTTGGCAGACTCGGACTGCTATTTATACTTTTCTCGTGCAGGGGAATCAACCGTAGGTAGGTATATCGACCGGCACATTGTGAGCTATATCACAAACCTCCAAGGTTGAAACCCTGGAAACCCTCTAGAAATTTTGGAAGCAGCGTATGACGAGTACTCGCAGTACATAGCTTATAGAAGCATAATCATGGACAAATCACTTCTTCGCTAGCGAGATCACCTTTTTCGCTGCACCCTCGAACCCATCAAAAGCATGAAGAGGAAGTCCACTCTCGGAGATCTATATGATGTCAGTACAATCTGGATATCTATGCAGCAAGATTCCAAACGAGCAACGCTCACCATCTTCTGACCCAACTCTTCGTTGGTTCCGCGCAGCCGCACCACCACCGGCACCTTCATATCCAAATCTCTAAAAGCCAAGATTATGCCCTCGGCGATCATATCACAGCGCGTTAGTCCACCAAAGATATTGACAAAGATGGCATTGACGCGCGGGTCGGCGCATATAATACGAAATGATGACTTGACAGTCTCCGAGGTCGCTTTGCCGCCAGTGTCGAGGAAGTTGGCACAGTGACCACCGTGATATGTGAGGGCATCCACTGTGTTCATGGCAAGTCCTGCTCCGTTAACTGATTCAAATATGTTAATTTCAGAGTTCTCCAATAGCCACGTCTCGAATCATACCTAACGTGCCGATGCTACCTTCGCCTTGCAACCTGTTACCGTCAGCATCTGTCCATATTTGTTGATTGGGTTTATCATACTTGACATAAACAATACCGTCCTTTTCAGCCTCGACTTCCTCAGGAACTTCCTCATCTTTATTTCGCAAGCTGTGGATTTCTTCCTGACGTCCTGAACTACGGAATGCGGCGTCGTCAAAGCCAAACCGTGCACTGTGGACTTCTAAAGTGCCATCAGCTGCAATCCCGAACCGTACCTCTAACACGAAAGCCTCCTTTTCTGTGAATATTTCCCACAATACCTGCATTAGTCTTGCAAGCATGCTATGGGCCGATGCAGGAAGATCCAGGTATGACCCCACTTCAGTAGCAAGCTTGCTATTCTCAAAGGTGGCTTGGGTATAGCTGAATGGGAACTTTCGGGACTGTCTAGCAATGAACTCGGCGTTTCGGGATGCGACAATGCAAGGTGACAGGGCTGTTCGATCAATTGATATAGAGACAGACACATCTAATTCAGAGGCGACCTCTCTAACAGGAACTGATCTCTGCTTCAGAATGTCAAAAGCCTGGAATTGCTTGATATATAGGTTGCGTTTGTGTTGAGTTCCTGCCTTTGAGACTGGAGTACTGCGCCGCAAAGTGTGGAAACCGCGCCTTTGCGAGCCTGCTGAGTCCAACTAAGAAATCTTAATATAAGCCAATTCATACAAAGGTGCAGACATACGCTTACGCCTGGTCTGGTATAGCTACCCAGTAAAGCCTTCATCCCCTCGCCGAACTTCTCAGGGTGATTGACCATGACAGCTCCGGCCCTTTCGAGTGCTCGGTACTTTTCTTGCGCCCCAGGCTCTCCGGGGGCAGTCCAGGCACCAGCATGTCCCATAATCCGACCAGAAGGTGCCTCCAAGCCACCCACAAGAGCCATGATAGGCCTCTCTGAAGTCAGCAAAAGATCAATAGTGTCAATTCAATCAACAGCTTACTTGGGGTTTGAATTTCGCATCCTGTAATCCTGAATCCACTCAGCAGCATCCATCTCAGCAGTACCGCCAATTTCGCCAACAAGAATAATGCCCTGTGTCTCAGGGTCGTGCTCAAAGATCTTGAGAGCGTCGACGAAGTTAGTTCCAGCCAGCACATCACCACCCATACTGATGCAAAGGCTCTGCCCCAGGCCAGCTCGAGTGGTCGATGCCACAGACTCGTAGCTCAGTGTTCCTGATTTCGCGACAATGCCAACGTTTCCCGGAGCAAAGCAAGGCAGAGGTTGGAAGCCAATCCGACACTTACCAATGGCAGAAATGATACCAGGGCAGTTAGCACCAACGAGACGAGTCTTTGATTGTGTTTGGAGCATGGAATGGATCTGTAGTCCATGTTAGAAGCAAACTAGGACAGTATCAAGAGTGAACATTACCCGGAGGAGGTCATGGATAGGAACATGCTCTGCCACGGCGACTACCAGTGGAATTTCGGCCTCAATGGCTTCTTCAATGGCATGTGCTGTTTGGTTACCCGGTACGTAGATTGCAGAGGCGTCAGGTTTCGCTCTCTCTTGTGCCTGCAGCCATGTCAGTCATATATGATATGTTTCCTACTCGGCAACAACTTACCACTTTGACAGAAGGGAACACAGGGAGTCCCAAATGTTCACCTTCAACTCCAGGCTTAACGCCTCCAATGATATTGGTGCCCCATTCTAGCGATTCCTTGACATTGGCAGTTGCTTGTCGTCCTGCGGTTGAAATTCATTAAAGTCAAAGCCAATGATGCTTCAAAGTTTAAGATTTACCTGTAAACCCCTGGAATAGAACTCTTGTATGAGCACCTATCTTCAGATTTGGCAGTGTATCCGCATAACTAGCTGCACGCGAGGATTTTGAGAAGCTCCGGCTTAAGCTCAGTCCATTCCGGGGCACGCGTCGTAGGAAGTGCAGGGACATGGTGAAAATTACTGCAGGTCTGGCCTCAAGCTGTGGCTATAGTCTAATATACCACATATGAGCTTGACAAATGCCCTGAGATGCAAATGTCAATGGCAGTCTGTTCTATAAGAATACCTGTCGGCTATCCGGCTTTCGGAGCTTCCCCACATGGCAAGGTGCATTATCATGCCTGACTTTGCAGGCAGACACTCTATAACTACCTAATTAAGCAGTCTGTTTGTCTCTCTGAGTATTATTATATCAGAATTCAAAATTCAAAATTCATTTCTATAGTCTTAGAAACTCTATTGAGCTGACAATATATCTATTTATGGAGGTAATAACCCTGGAACTGATACATACTTAACCTCGGGCAAAGTCTACCGCCACACATACTGGTCTAGCCCCGTTCTCCACGATCGAAATAGCTCTGACGCAACCATCTGGGTGCCTGGAGTTTCTGTTCTAGATTCCCAGAATCTTGCATTGTTCAATTCTCCAAGTACACTCGTGACTGTCGTTGAGATCTTTGGACTCTCTGCATATTCATATACAGAACCACCACATAATACTCAACCCCGCCAAATCCCATGTCTAATCCAAGCGCTGAGCTGCAGTCCACACTGCAAGATCTGTCCATCGGCGGAAAAGGACCAATTCAGGACCTCGTTCGCCCAATTGTGACAAAGAATACGACATCCAATCCAAAAATCAAGAAATCTAAACAACCGGTCGCCGATTCCTGGGAAGATGAAGCCGAATCGTCAGATGAGGAGCTCTTATCTCCTTCAGATTCAGACAAAGCAAAAATATCATTTCTTTCGCCTACCCTCAGCGCGACGAGTGCGGAAGGCCCCCTAGATCCTCCGCCCACGCCTATTTCACCGCAGGTTTCTCGGGCATGGGGCGCGGCGTCCCCTGTAGGACAGACTCGGCGACCTGAAAAGCAGACTGCGGTTGCTAGTCGGCTAATTGCTGGTGCATTGGGCATCAGGGCACCTAAGCGTACTGAGGAAGAGCGCGCCTATGATCGCGCGACCAAAGAGCAAGAAATCAAGCGCCGGAATCGTGAGCGCGAAGAGCAGGCTAAGGCCAAAGAAAATGAAGAACGGGCGAAGGCATCGGTGTGGACTGACTGAATTGTCTAAGAACCTTGGAAGGGTTGGTGCTATATTTTTACCTTTTTTTTTATTGACATTTATAATGTGGTCTACTTCAACCTACTCCTACGTATATACATAATCGCAGTTGCTAGGGTGATACCTAGTTATCTGAGTATTACCATTCCAGGTTCGCTGGCTACAAATGACTATCGACATGTCATTTCATTGCCGAAGTAGCTATTATAACTGTTGGAATGAGATAATAATTTAGAAGAAATCTCTAGCGATCCCTAGTCAAGGGAATAAATTTCACAGAAGTAAAAGAAAAACGACCCGCGGGCTTTCTGTAAATTCGTTGCCTCGTTAATAGAACAAGTGAAACTCCCTGCGATGAACCACACCCAGCCATGATGATATTGAAGGCCTTTTTCCCATTCCATGCTCCAAAGTCCACCGAATTGAACACAAGCGCCATGTTCACACGAGTCGGTCCATCGGGGAAAAGTTTCCCTCGAAGTGGTTGGACATTTAGTTAGATCCACCAATTTGCTCTTGGTGGACCTCGAGAGTATCACCGTCGTTCATGTCAAGCTACCAGAGAGGTCAGCCATCAAAGGGCATTTTTAGTAAATAGAAGGAAGGTGCTTACAGCCTCGGGGGTGTCATCGGGGCGTACACGGGTGCCGTCGAAAAGAAATCTCACAGTTGAGATTTGCTTTCCCTGGCGATCGCAGAACGCGTCCATCAACTTCTTGAGAGGAGTAGTGCGCTTAATCTTGAAGAAAACCTCGTTGTTGTTGTCCGTCACTTTGATGTTAAAGTGCTCAGCAGGAGCGGCAGCCGGTGCAGCGGCATAAGGGGGAGGAGCGGTGGAGCTTTCTTTCTCAGTCATTTCAACAGAGTTCTAGGAATCGAATTGTTAGAGAAATGAGCGTACGCGATTCAAGACGCGGAGGGATACTTACAATTTGGTAGAAATAAAAAGAGGTTTTCAGAGAAATTTATATGCCCAGGCTGATGAGCACTTGAGTATGAGATAAGAGTGTGAATGCAACTTTGGAAAGGACAAGAGAGAAGGTTGTAGAGGGTGAGTTTGAAAGAGCGTAAGTGGGAGATATCAAAGGCAGGAAGGTCGCCCCACAAAAGGCCGGAGAATCTATTTTGCGACTGGCAAGCAGCAACTATCCGACACTTTCGATACGCTTCCAACACTTATTTGTCTACTAAGAAAAAGTTATCATAATGGTATGTATTCTGGAAACATTGCAAATCTATATTGATATTAATTTGACTAATGCAGGGAAATCTAAAGCAAGATCTGTCGCACGACCCGCCTTGCCATCCGCGTGCATGCGCTATTCAAGGTAATTGAGGAACGTTCCTGTACTCTGGTGCAGCTTTGCTAACCAAGCCCAGATTGCCTGACTAAAAATTCCTACAAGGAGGAAAGATGCCAGGCACAGATAGACGCTCTTTACCAGTGTTGCAACGCATTCTATCAGGACCGTGGCGATCAAGCATCGACAGTAAGCTGTCCCAAAGCACACTTGCTGCGATTGAAGATGAAGCAGCGAGCCCAAGTTGCTGAGAAGCAGTAAATAGATTCCATTTGAATAGAAATGGCATGTACCAGCCCGTAAAGCTAAGATCCCATTTGTGTGGAAGCCAGGCTAGTTATAAGGACTGGAATTATTATAAGACAATCTTGAGCACGCAGAGAGGCCTCAAGGACCTGAACGAAAATTGAGTTCTTCGTTCCGAGACTCTAATGAAAGCCTATAGACATTTGTGGAAAAGAAAAGGAAAAGAAGCCAGGAAGAAATTTCAGTTATTAAATAGGGTCCCGTGCCGAATGCGCTAAACCCTTTTGGGCCGAACGCGCTTCAAATCCAAAAGAGACAAACACGAATTCCTCTTTCCCCCAGCTTTCCTTCCCAACAACAACTTCGGAGCTTGCTACCAGTCATGGCCCCACTTACGAGGTCTGCTAGGACTGCTAGCTCTCGTTTTCAGGTGGGCTTAATTTCTTTCACAGATCCTTTTTCCCATTGCTCACAGCTCTTTTAGGTTGAGCAGCCACCGGCTCCGGAAATCATCAATCTCGATGACGATGATGAGTCAATGAATCAGAACGAACCTCTTAACAATATAGAGGAGGTGAATGAGCAAGTGAACGGGGAAGTGAATGAGGAGGAGGATGAGAGGATGGACGAGGATACAGACAACGTCAATGGTAACGAGCTTTCGGAAACTGGATCTGTCTTCCCCATGGAATCTAGTCTGAAGTCAGTGATGGAAAGGAGCATGATTGGTAGAAAACCAGGTTTGTCTCTCATTTGTTTCTTACTCAGAGCCATGCGCTTACATTTTCCAAGATTCTCCCCAGCTTTTCACAGCTGCCGGTGCACAGGAAGCCTTCTTGCCCCTTCGCCGTACTGCCGACCGCGTCACTCGCCAAATTGAGGCTTTCGCAGACAAGCTCGATCAGTTTAAGCGCAAGAATAGCACCGACGAGTTCCAGAATATACAGGCAGCATACAAGCTAGTGGAGAGCTACAGGGATTTGGCGAATAACGCTATCAAGGATATCACCAAACAGAATACTATCAAGCGTGCTAAGTCGGGTTTCCGGACGAGTCTAGCGCAAGATGATGATGCGAAATACAAGGAGGAGCTGAAGCGTTTCCAGCTAGAGGCCGACACATGGCGCCTACTTTCGAATCTTATCAGCATTGACGGCTCAACAAATCTCGCCAGCTTCAAGGAAGGACGACAGACTGCTTTCCAGATCCTTCATCGATACTCTTCGGATCGGGAGATTTGGGAACAATTCCTAGGTGCCGACCAGTACGCCCTCGAGTGTGTGCTTTCACTGAGATGGTTGGAGGAAACCTACAAAACCAGCGACAGCAACGCGGAACTTGATGCGTTGATTGCAGACATGGAGGCCAAGGCGGACAGAGGTCAGGGCCTGTGGGCACACGGATGGCTTTTCACAAAGGAGACTATCAAGGCGCACAAGCGACTTCGTGTTTGGCCACACCCGTTGGAGCCGACTGACGACGCCGCCACTCGTACTCTCTTGCGCGATGGTGATGAAAAGCCATTGATTACACAGCTGGATCCTGATGCCCCTGTCCGGCAAAAGCACACTCTGCAGCCGCAAGATGGATCCCACGAACGCGCCACTTGGATGACCTGCTGGAAGATGCTCAGACAGGGCGAGCGCTGGACAAAGATCCGCGAATGGGCCGAGAGTAGTCTTGAGAACTGGAGAGCCGTGAGCATGTGCGGTTCCAGCGTGGATCCACACACCAGCAATACGCGGACACCAGTTGATGACGGGCTCACCCGTATGATGAGCAGCCGGGCTCATGATTCTTGGCGCTCGGCTTGCTACGCTCTCTCGCAAAACCCCAGCACCGACGACTATGAGCAAGCCGTATATGCCCTACTTTGCGGTGACACAGATGCTGCGCTGAAGGTATGTACTAGTTCTGATGACTACCTCTACGTGTACCTCAATCGGGTGGTTCTCGCGCGCTATGAGGACTTCTGTAAGCAGTTCCACCGGAAGCTCGAGCAATCCCCCAATACTGCAGTTGCATTCAAGCCGGAACCAGCTGGACACGCAGAACTTCAAAAGTTCTTTGAGTACATGCGCGGCGATGAGCGGGTCGGTGTCGAAGCGCGCACTCCCTTCCGTCAACTTCAGGCTACGATCTTGAGCAAGAGCTACGATTCTTACTTTTGTCAACTCGCGCAGGCGGTTTCCCAGGTCAACATGGACAGTTCTGGGCAGTCAATAATCCCAGAGATGGAGTTGACACTAGTCAACGATTCATACTTGGCGGCTGCGAATGACAATGAGATCATGAAGATGGCAACTCATGCCTATCTTATCGTGCAATCTATTGGCTACGCGCGGACAGACACCGACTTTTTTGAGACCGCTTCAGTTATTGTTGCCGGGTATATTGCCAATCTCAAAAAGAGTAAACTCTTTGACCTCATTCCTCTCTACGCATCGCTTCTACCTACAGACATGGGCCATCGTGTCTTTTCGAAGATTCTTATAGATATTACCGACCCGCAAGAGAGAAAGCAGCAGATTCGACTCATGCAAAAGCACAGCATCGACATCAGTGCCGTCCTCGATACTCAATGGTCATGGCTCAGCACCACTGTTTCATCAATCGAGCACTCGAGAGTGTTGAGCGGATACTCCAGGGTGGTGGGACGACCGGACGGGTCTCGAGTTCTGTTGCCTCCAAAGAAGGGGTTGATCGGAGAAGGAATTTCGGACGAGGATGACAAGTTGATCCGCAGCCTAGAATGGCTACGGTGTGCGGGCGGCCAATGGCCTAAAATCTGCCAGCTTGGAGGGTGGTTGTATCGCAAGTTCTTTGTCTCTGGTAACCTTGCTGCTGCTGTGGAGCTGAGCCACCGGATGCTCCTGTCAGATCTTTCACATGAGTCCTTTGGGGTTGACCTCTTCAACTCCGCACCCTCTACACCATTTGATGAGCTTCCATCTAGCCCGAACAAGTCAAAGAGAAGCAGCCACAGGCGCAGCCATTCTGGCAGCAATACAGTCTTCATCACTGACCACGGCAGTGCCTTCGACCTGGCTTTGTCCATGTTCAATCTCGAAACTCTAGCCCTCTGCTTCAATGCCCTGAACAGTTTTGCCGGGGTTTACGACCTGGTCTCAAAGTCAGTGCTCCAATTTTCACCATTTTGAATCAATATCTGACCCAACCCTAGAACCCAACGCCGTCGCGACTCGGTAGCTGTGCAGGATCACCTTCTAGAATTGCAGCAATACCTAGAAGCGATCGAGGCCTGTATTGCAGTAATGGTGGATGAATGGCTGCTGCCCTCCGAGAACGGTAATTCCAAATCCTAACATTTTGATATCACACATGCTAATTAGTCTCATTATAGAGGAAGAAGAGAGGGACTACGAACACATTCGTCGGACGTACGTGCCCGATATCCTCCTTGATTACCACAATGTCTTGTACTATTCCAGTCACACTTTTGAGCAGCCTAACCTGCTCTCTCTGTGTATGACAGTAGCGATCTGGGCCGCAAGCACGCCGCAAGTGACCAAAGCATTTGTGGATTCACAGCGTATGGCTGAGCTTATGGATGTGCTAGCCTTGTCCAGTAAGGCTATGGTTCTCACAGACCCAAAGCAAGACCGTGTTAGCGAGGATGGGCAGACATTGGCACTTTGGCGAGTCAGTACGGCGGAGAATGACGATGGTAAGCTCGTTGAGCATGAGTGATGGAGGTGAGAAGTAGTCATTACCACAGTCAAATAAAATAAGAATACAGCCTAGACAATCAAGTCAATTGAACAAATAAAGCATATGTTGCTAGTAATTATGTCTTCAAGCCTTGTATTGCCGATGATAAAATATCTAAAATTTAAGACCATTTCAGGTTACTAAAGATCTAGATCTGCATGTAAGTATAAAAAAAAAAAATTGAAATAAAAAATTGCATGGTGCGAGATTCGAACTCGCGAACTCTTACAAGATGACATCACTAGGACGCTTAAGTGTCACGCCTTTAACCACTCGGCCAACCATGCATTCTTTCATGCAGGTGGGCCATTTATCCTACTAGAGCCACAAACAGCTGTGGACCCCTTTTTGGGAATTATAAAACCTTGGAGTTAAGGTTGTGGTTCTATGGAGTAGCGGTGAGATCAAAACAAACACCGTTTTTGAGCTAGATAAAGTTAATGGTTTCCCTGCTTTTGACCTTAATTTCAATCTATGATCTACACTAGCATGATTCTTACCGAGGCCTTCTACGTACACAGTAAATTAGTCATTTCGGACTGAACAGATGACAAATCAACCAAAACATCCTTTTTTTTATCGTTATTAATCTCCCGTGCACGTCGGATCCAAAACACTTGAAGAGGATTTGCATTTGGCCCTGGGGCGGCTTCCTTTACTCCACCAGACTTACTGCTAAATACCTACGGAGTAAACAGATATGGATACCCTGAGGTAAGGAGTACCTAGGGGGTAAATGAGCTATGTCCAAGTCAAAGGAATGATAGCACCTAGACATACCTAGGTCACGTTCCTACTTGGATACCCTGGATTATATCATACCATATCACCTATCAATTCTGTACTCTGCCGACACCGCTCTGAACGACCTATAGTCGGCTCCGTCGAAGAATTCAAGAAGTTATGCACGGAAAACGTCTGTGGTTCCAAGGTTCTAGCAGAGTTTATTCGATGGTTAAAGTATTTCACCACTGAACGGGTCACACTACTGAACGGGTCAGTTTGACCCACTTATTTTTATGAATCCCAATAACTCCATTATTTACTATGTAATATAGTAAAAAAAAACTACTGAATGGGCCTACTAGGACAGGTTTCCCTCCTATGTCCAGGTGTCTTACATATCCCACACCGGCGTTGGGTTACAGGCGCCCTTACAGGCGCCTGGCCCTCTTGTAAATTGGCATCATTAAGTTTAGGGCCACCATTCGACGCGTCAACCAGGTCTAATCCCTCCTGAATTGTAAGACCCCCTACTACTGTTAATTGACGATTCGGACGTTCTTTTTGTTTTTTCTTTTTCTCATGGGCGGCGCGTAAATCTCTGTTTTCCAGGCGTAAGAGAGCATTCTCTTGATATAGGTAATTTGCACCCTTTACTATCTGGTCTAATGCTCTCTTAGATGGTGTTGGTGGCGTTCGAGATACAGTGCGTAATATAGCTTGGTGTTGACGTCGTAAATCTTTCTGCGTCCTAGGCGTCTTAGGTGTCCAATTTCGACTTGAATCGCTTCCTATAGAGGGTGGTGGTGGTGGTGTATCGACGCGCATAGTAAGCTTTTTTAACACCCTAGTAGGGTCAAGTGGCACGATTCCAGTTGCAGCAAACGCATTAGAAGCAGATGCAAATGCTTCAATACGCGCAGTAGGATATATCTCTAGGAAATCTCCTTTACTAATGTGGGAAAAACCAAGCTCTACTCTAGACTCAACCAGCCGAGAATAAGAGCGTTTTAACACCGCAAAACACCCAACATCAAGAGGTTGAAGAAGATGAGACGCATGCGCAGGCATACATAATGGTATAATATCATGCTCCTGGCAGATTTTGTCGAAATCAGGTGTTAAATGGCTACCATGGCCATCTAAGATCAGAAGGCGATACCGTCCTTTAGTACGAGCAGTAGCAGGTATAAAGAGCTTTTCAAGCCAACGGAGCCCTATTTGATTTGATGTCCAGCCATTAGGACTAATCTCAAGACGCCAATTAGGTGGTAAACCTAGATCAGGAGCAAACCAGCTCTGCATCATCACCTTACCCTTAAAGATAATACAGGGTGGAGGTGCGTAACCAGACGCGCCTAAACACTCTATCACAGTAACCCATTCCCGGTTACCAGGCTGTTTTTTTGCGCGTTTACCATAATAACCAGCTCTAGTAACCACTCTCGCGGTCGCACATCGTCCCATCGCAAACCCAGTCTCGTCAAAATTATAGATATCGTCGGTGGTGATACCATATTTTGCGATCGTGTTTTCAACCAGTTTGAACCAATTATTGATCACATTATAGTCCTCTTGACGCGCACGTGTAAAATCGCGCGGTGTTGAATAGGTCGTCTTAAGTTCAGGTAAACGCGTCGCAAACCTAGTAACCCAGTTTTTACCGATCGTAAGAGGAGGGTTGGTTCCGCGGTCGGCGAGTAGGATATTAGCCATTCTACCAACATCTTTAGTTCTAGGAGCACAGCCGCGATCATCTAGAGAGACGACCCATTGAAGTAATGAATCCTCTTCAGATTCAGTCAGTTTAGACTGCGGTGGGTGTGTTTCAAGACGAAATTGGACACCAGAATGGCGGCGTTGGAGGGTTGAAAATGGTATATTAAACATAGCTGCAGCTTTACGCATTGATGATATATCGCCATTCTTGTAAGCTTGGTAAGCTAATAAGACCCTATTCTCCTGATCCTGTTTGTCTTGGACATATAGAGCATTTAGGGGGGGCATGGTGGGTAGTTGAAAATGGAAACACCAGACTGACGCGTAAAATTGGTGGGGTGACCCGTTCAGTAGTGTGACCCGTTCAGTGGTGAAATACTTTAGTGGATATCATTGTTAATGCCTGTGTCCAATGGGGACACCAACATTAGGTGCTCCAGCTAGTACAATATAGATCCCGAGGGAAAGGCTCGTTTGGGCCATGGTGCTAGGTTTGTCCACAGTCACATACTCCCGAGGTCCGTAGGTGCCCAACTAATGCCTAGACTCATTATACGTAGGTATTTATTACCTACTTATGAATATCCATCTACCTCCAGGGCTTGATACCCAGGATGGATGCTGTCCATGGATGTTCGCTTGGTGATGGTAGATCTGGTGGATATATATATTGATGTTAGGCTCGGAATGTTGAAACGCGAAACCTTGGAATAATGACAACATTCCAATCAGAGAGAAGGTAAGGTTGAAAAGGTCTAATAGACTAAAGGATATCTATAGGCTGGGAACCTCTGGACGTGGAAGATCTAGAAGTGTAGATGCATTATACTACCACTAGGAGACGTCACCCGATAAACTCAAAATGCGCTCATTCAATTCGTTTATATTGGAATGATTCCCAAAATGGCCTGGATTGAGGCAGTGCAAATGTGATTCTCTTAAATATTTGACATGGACTAAATCGCTAAATTGCTAAATTGCTAAATTGCTTTCCCGTTGCTTCTCCACTCCGGGGCTGTGCAAGCAAGTGGGTCAAAGAAGAACCAGTTATTGGAAAGTCTCGACCAGAGTGGATCTTAGTTGTATTCAGATATTAGTGCGCATCTACACTTCCCTTCGACTTCACCCCTTTGTGGACCTTTCTTTGCTTTTGATTTGATTTTGATTTGATTTTGATTTTGTCTTTCTATTCCTATTCCATTTGTTTGTAATCTGGAAGCGAAAAAAAAAAAACAGAACTGGAGCTGCCACTTCTCCACTTTTTCATGATCTGACACCTTACTGAGTACCAGATCCCTTCCATCTTCACTGTTCCCAATGCAAACCTCCAGTTCTTGACTATACCGTTTCAAGCGGTAATCAGTCTAGCTTGGAATCTACAGTCATGTCCGATTCTCATGGAGGTGACGAGCAGTCCCACTCTGCCACTGGTCCCCTTCGCCGAGCCAGAGCTCCTACCATAACTATCGACACGTCCGCTGTGAACTCGCCAGATGACAGCCCACTCGCTGCCCACTCTAGCCCGCAGCCATTACTGCACCGCTCGCCCGATCATATCACTTCCATAGACTCACATGCTCTGTACAATGGTAGCGTGTCCCCCAATGATGGCCGCTACTCCTCCTCAATTCGATCCAATGCTTCGTCCGAAGCGCGTGATCGCGAAAGTCACCCGACATCACCTCACAATGTCTCGTCGCCAAAGAATAAACATCTCGACTCGCACTCGAACTTTCTGTCCGTTCCAGGAACCCGGTCACGTGGTAACTCATTGGAGTCCGAAGATACCAGTCAGACTTCTAGTACCTACGGTGGAGAGACTTATGCGCCTACCGCCGCATCACACAGCTCCCAGTCCGAGCTGACTCCTAATTCTAATAAAAACCACGATCTCTACGACGAGGATGCACTTACCCCGGATCCTGGCCGAGAGGATGAATTTGTGGTCCAAAACAACAAGTTTGCCTTTTCACCTGGCCAGCTCAATAAGCTCCTCAACCCAAAAAACTTCGCTGCCTTTCGTATCCTGGGCGGAATCAAGGGTCTTGAAAAGGGGCTACGTACGAATGTCCACAGTGGCCTGAGCTTAGATGAAACAAGCTTGGATGGGGCGGCGGACATGGAGCAGGTGCCTACTTCATCATCAGTGCGCAAATCAGCATCTCAATTGATAACTCCACCTGCGCCGGATAGCCCTGCAGTGGCAGATTCCAGCGGGCCATTCTCAGACCGCAAGCGCGTGTTTGGAACTAACCTCCTACCGGAGCGAAAGCTCAAGACAATTTGGGAATTGGCATGGATAGCATACAACGACAAGGTCTTGATCCTGCTGACTATTGCCGCTGTCGTTTCACTCGCTGTTGGTATCCCGCAATCTTTGCATCCAGCCAACCCGGACGAACCTGGTGTGGAATGGGTCGAAGGTCTTGCAATTCTGATTGCCATCATCATCGTTGTCACTGTCGGTGCTGTAAACGATTGGCAAAAGGAACGGCAGTTCGCCAAGCTCAACAAGAAGAAGGAGAACAGACTTGTCAAGGTAATCCGATCTGGTAAAACCATTGAGATCTCAATTCATGACATACTGGTGGGCGAGGTGATGCACTTGGAGCCCGGTGACATGGTCCCGGTTGATGGTATCTTGATTGCCGGCCACGATGTCAAGTGCGACGAATCCTCCGCAACTGGTGAATCTGATGTGCTCCGCAAAACCCCCGGTGAAGAAGTCTTCCGGAATATTGAGCAGCACGAGGATCTCAAGAAGATGGACCCTTTTATCGTCTCTGGCGCGAAGGTGTCCGAGGGCGTCGGAACTTTCTTGGTTACTGCCACTGGTGTTCATTCGACGCATGGTCGGACTATGATGTCTCTTCAAGAGGAGGGTGAAACAACCCCGTTGCAGACCAAGCTCAACAAACTCGCCGAGTACATCGCCAAGCTTGGTCTTGCCTCTGGTCTCCTGTTGTTCGTTGTTCTATTTATCAAATTCCTCGTTCGGCTCAAGCACATGGATGGCGGCGGTGACGCGAAAGGACAGGCCTTCTTGCAGATTTTCATCGTCGCTGTGACCATCGTTGTCGTTGCGGTTCCTGAGGGCTTGCCACTAGCAGTCACGCTTGCGCTCGCCTTTGCCACCACGAGGATGATCAAAGACAACAACCTGGTCCGATTCCTGAAAGCTTGTGAAACAATGGGCAACGCGACCACTATCTGCTCCGACAAGACCGGAACCCTTACGGAGAATAAAATGACGGCAGTCGCTGCAACTCTTGGAACTACCTCACGGTTTGGAAAGGCTTCAGACCCCCAGTCTGCAGATGTATCTGCCTCAGAGTTTGTGGCCACGCTATCTCCATCTGTCAAGGAGCTGCTACTTAAGTCAATCGTGCTGAACTCAACTGCCTTTGAGGGAGAATCAGATGGTGTGAACACTTTCATTGGATCTAAGACCGAGACTGCCCTTCTGTCCTTCGCGCGAGACTATCTTGGAATGGGACCTCCAAGTGAACAGCGCGCCAGTGCAAAGATCGCACAGATGTACCCATTCGATTCAGGCCGCAAGTGCATGGCAGTTGTGGTCCAGCTGGAGACCGGCAAGTACCGAATGCTAGTCAAGGGTGCTGCAGAGATTCTCATGGCAAAGTCGACCCGCATTGTGCGCGATCCTACCGGTGATCTTACTGAGATCCCGATGACTGCCGAGGACCGAACCACCCTGGATAATACTATCACAACTTACGCAACCCGTTCATTGCGGTGCATTGCCCTCGTGTACCGTGATTTCGAACAATGGCCACCTCGTGGAGCACCGACTCAGGAAACTGATCAATCCGAGGCCACCTTCGAGCCTATATTCAAAGATATGTCTGTCCTTGGTCTATTTGGTATTCAAGATCCTGTTCGACAGGGTGTTGCTGAAGCTGTCCACACGTGTCAGCGCGCAGGTGTCTTCGTTCGTATGGTTACCGGTGATAACATCATGACTGCCAAGGCCATCGCCCAGGAGTGTGGTATCTACACACCTGGCGGCATTGCTATCGAAGGCCCCAAGTTCCGCAAGCTCAGCTCTAAGCAGATGAATCAGATCATCCCCCGACTCCAGGTCATTGCGCGCTCAAGTCCAGAGGACAAGAAGATCCTCGTGAACCAGCTCAAGAAGCTGGGCGAGACTGTTGCTGTGACTGGTGATGGTACCAACGACGCTCAGGCTCTTAAGAATGCCGATGTCGGTTTTGCGATGGGTGTGACTGGTACTGAGGTAGCAAAGGAAGCTTCGGACATTATCCTCATGGACGACAACTTTGCCTCTATTGTCAAGGCCATGGCATGGGGTCGGACCGTCAGTGACGCAGTGAAAAAGTTTCTCCAGGTAGATCTACTCTTAAATATCCTCAATCCCCAGACTAACATTGTGTCCAGTTTCAAATTACTGTGAATATCACTGCTGTCGTTCTTACATTCGTCTCGGCCGTGGCAAGTAGTTCCGAAAGTTCAGTCCTCAGCGCAGTCCAGCTGCTATGGGTCAACCTCATCATGGATACCTTTGCCGCTCTTGCACTTGCCACTGATCCCCCGTCGCCTTATGTTCTAGATCGTCGTCCTGAATCTAAATCCGATCCGCTCATCACCTTCTGCATGTGGAAGATGATCATCGGTCAGGCAATCTACCAGCTCGTAGTGACATTGGTCCTGAACTTTGCGGGTGACTCCATTTTCTCCTGGGACGCTGATCATATGCAGACTGTTGTTTTCAACACATTCGTCTTCATGCAGATCTTCAACCAGTACAACTCTCGTCGGATCGACAACAAGCTCAACATTTTGGAAGGAATCTGGCGCAACAAATGGTTCATTGGAATTCAATTAATCATCGTCGGCGGTCAAATTCTCATCATCTTCGTTGGTGGCAGAGCGTTTTCCGTGAAGCGTTTGAATGAAGGTGGCCAGTGGGCAGTTAGTCTAGTTCTTGGAGCCATTTCTATCCCCATCGCGGTGGTGATTCGACTTATCCCCGACGAATTCATCAGCAAAATTATCCCCCACTTCTGGCACCATAAAGAAGCTGGACCCGAACTTGTGGTCTCTGACGAGCACCGCTACGAGTGGAACCCGGCCCTGGAAGAGATCTACGACCAGCTGGCCTTCATCAAGAGAGTCCGCGGAGGACGACTGAAGCACATCCGGCACAAGCTGCAACACCCACAAGAATTACTGCCCCGGTCTCGCAGTGGCTCTCGCTCTCGTGATTCCTCTGTTTCACCCACTCCAAATGCCGAGAACGGTGAAAGTCCTGTCTTCGCACCTTCGACTCCAGACCCCGAGTCTCGCTCCAGACGCAACACTGCCCGGTCCCGTTCAAACTCGGCCTTTGGTCCCGCAGCTGCGATGGCGGGTGTCATCGCCGGCAGTATCGCCGGCTGGTCTCCCATAGAGCGCCCTGCCGAACCAGAGGTGTTTTCCTTCCAGAGCAACGCTCCGCACGGCGGCCTAGACCAACAACAAGGAATCGAAGTCCACCCAGACACAGCAGCCGACGACCACGTCATCAGCGACTACTCGCCCAATGCCCGGACCCCACCCAGCCAAAACCCAGACTTGATCCCCTTCTTTGAGCACGCGCCCCCGGCAGTTGATCGAACCCCGTCCAGCCGTGGCCGTCGCTCTCTCTCCCAACGATCCCGCTCAAGTCAAAGCCACTCGCAGGTTTAATTCCGCGGTTGGGTACTGTTTTGTTTCATGCCACTTCATCACAATAAAATAAGCATCATAAAGAACGGAGTTAGGGTCACCTTTTAGGTCTGTTTTTTTTTTTTTTTTTTTTTTTGTTTTTTCTTATTCCCCCGTCGAGTATTTTTAATGCCCATGCCTACAATTTTTCGCCTGTCAGAAAATGTCGTTTAATCTCTTAGTATTGCTGGAATTCATCTAGTTGGGTGGTTTTCTTATGACCCTTTAAGTTGAAGGCGATATCTCTTGGTTCGAAGACTTCAGTCGCATATCAATACCCTATCTTCGTAGCCATTCATCTTAATTCTGGATAAAATAATATTTACCCATAGAACTACCTCGCTCAGCTCCGTCGCCTACGAGGCAAAGTACGCAAAACAGAAACTCCCCTCTAACGCTAGTGATCGTTCGTCTATGATGGGAAGCTAATTTCCGAGGGGGTATATGCTCCGCGTGTTATGTATTTTGAAAGAGTGTGATTGAATGAGACCGTAAGAGAGCGATTGGAAAGTCGCACAAATACTCTTGGATGTATCAAAGCCTACCGGCTATATAGCGAAGCGAGTGGATCCTGAGTAGAGATAGTGAAAGAGCTATCGTATCAAAATCTCCAAGTTTAACTTAACTCTCAATCCTCGTCATTACTAAGGCATCTAGCCCCGCTGCTCAAATCAGTTCCCAGGAACCATCAGGAGCTGGTATAGTTGGCGTAACAAGCACGCAATATTTTCTACACTACACCTTCTTAGCCTCGCTCCTACAGCGTAGGCCCTTCGTCTATTCCATACGTTGGTTCTAGCTCTACTTCCTCGCCTTCATCTCCCACAACCAGCTCCTTCAACCACATCTACACTGGTTCTGCCTCATTCACTTTCTCTTCTGGAGCCCTGTGTGCCATTTCATTCTGTGTTCTGGCAATTTTCTCTAGTTTGCTTGGACCTCGAATACCAGCCATGTGCTTTGAGTTTAGTTCGGTCACCATATTTATGCACTTTGATCTTTCTCAAACGGTAATTGACTACGTTTCTTTGAATGTTGATATGATGTTTAAATTCTTCACTTCGCTGTGATGAACATTCTAAATTACTTCCTATGAATTATTTGAATATTTCTACCAAATTGTTTCCTCAAAAACCTCAAGAGAAGTAGAAACCACTTTGAACTAAGCTCTCAAGTTCGTGTACATCGTTCCAGTTGTCGAGGTAACCGATAAAGACAGGCGATATCTCAAAAGAAGTATAACGGCCATCCATGGTCTCAAGACAACTGAAAAAAGGGGAAGATCTACAGAGAAGATTAGTATAGCCCTTGCAGAAAAGATGGCAAATTACTTTTTTTTGTTGACAAGAAATGATGGTTGATACTCGCACTCGGTTTTGCTTCTTTCTTTTCTGTTATTATTTTTTTTTTTCGCAGATATTCAAAATTTTCAAGCGCTTTCAGGACTCCTCACAGTAGAAAATACTTGTATTGTTCGTCACTCTTCGGAATACCAGTTGTGTATTTTTAAGTACGGAGCACTATTGCCCCACATTCATAGAGGGGAGATATTCTCTCCAGTGCTCCGCACCTACTCAATACCTACTACTCCCTTAACCTCATCTGCATCACGTGGCACACTCAACCCTATCAAGATTCAAGAATCATAGACATAATGTCTCTCCCATCCAAAGCAGAGCTACAAGAATACTACGTAGGCAAAGACATCGCCAGCGTACCAAAACCCGCCGCGGTCCTCGACCGAGCAATCATCCGCCGACACTGCGCGCGCATGAAGCGCACAGTGAAAGCCCTAAATGTCGGCTTCCGCGCTCATGTAAAAACACACAAAGTAAGTCCGTCCTCTTCCCCAGCTCCTCCCAGACCTAGTAGACACACGAATCAGACTACTTACCAGCTTACTCCAGACACTTGAGCTCACTGCACTGCAACATGACGATGATGTCGTCGAAGCAAACTTCATCGCGTCTACAATTCTAGAAATAGAAACCATTCTTCCCTTCCTGAAAACCCTACAGGAAAGTGGAAAGCATCATGTGAACATCCTGCACGGGATCCCGCTCATCCCGTCGCAGATAACCCGTCTCGCATTCCTAGCTAGCAAGCTAGGCGAGGATAGTATCTCGCTTATGATCGACCATCCCGATCAAGTGCGCTACCTAGAACCCTTCTACCAAGCAGCTGGCTTCCCAGCTTGTGTCTTCGTCAAGGTCGATACGGGGTATCACCGTGCAGGACTACCGCCGCTAAGCCTAAACAAGAACGGACTTTTGGACAAACTAGCCCAGGCAGAAAAAAACGGGGTTGCGCGGTTAATCGGACTTTACTCGCATAGTAGTCTGAGCTATAGTGCCACCACAGCCGAAGAGGCAATGAGCCACCTTACCGCTGAGATACGCGGGTGCAAGGATGCATTGGATAGGTGGGTGGGGCTTTTACCACAAAGAGAATTGGTGATTAGTGTTGGGGCCACGCCTCAGGCTGTTTCATCTCATAATCTTGTTCCTGGTGAGGGGAAAGCGACACTTTCGTCCGAGGCTGCAGAGTTGAGGGCGTTACTGCGACCGGCTGATACCGCCGGTGTCAAGATTAAGATTGAACTGCATGCTGGTAACTATGCCGTGTTGGACATGCAGCAGATCTCGACACATGCGCGGTTAGGTGCTGGGGGGTTGGAGGAGGAGATTGCACTTTCGGTTGTGGCGGAGGTGTGTAGTGTTTATAACGACGGGGAGCGGGAGAAGCCTGAGGCGCTTGTTGCTGCGGGGACTTTGGCGTTGGGTCGTGAGCCTTGTGGGAGTTATTCTGGTTGGGGAGTTCTTTCTTCTTGGGGGTTGGATGGTGAAGGTGAGGGTGGGAGGTTGATGGTTGAGCGCATTAGTCAGGAACATGCGATTGTTTCGTGGGAGGATGAGGCTCAACGGCGTATTAGTATTCCGTTGCAGATTGGGGGGTTGGTGAAGATCTTTCCTAATCATGCTTGTATTACTGGGGCTTTTTACGGTTGGTATTTTGTTGTTGATTCGGATATTGACTCTGGGGCTTCGAAGATTGTTGATGTTTGGATTCGAGGGCGGGGATCTGATATTACGGAGCCATTGTTGACGACAAGAACCCAGTAAGAATGTAGTAACTTTAGGTATCCAGCTACCGGGGTAAGGGGTCTGGTCGTCATATTAATTTTGAATGTGAGATATTTAATTTTCAACATTGATAGACTTGATTGTAAAGAAGGGTATCAGGATAGCATAAACGTGAAAGAAGAAAGGATGTTATTCTGGAGTTCCATAGATCGAAAACGAGGCGTGGAAACAACCAAAGGAAACTCCTTTTACATGAGATCTGGTCCGAAAATAAAGAAATTAATGTATTATATTGTCAAGACTCAAGTCTTTGACAGGCATTTAAGCCTTGAGCTCGATAGCTGGACCCTCTCCGTTAGGGGTAAGGGAGCGGTGAGAGTTGGTGTCAATGCCTTCGACACCGTGGACAATGTCGCGACGGATCTCAACGTAGTCGTAGGCGAACTCGCCGATCTCGGCATCGTCGATACCCATGATCTCATCCTCTTCAGAGGCACGCAGGCTCAGTCCAGGGATAAGGTTGAGGACGAAAAGAATGATGCAAGTGCCGAAGAACGAGTATGCACCACCGGAGACGGAATCGGCAAGCTGGTAGCCGAGCTGGATGTAGTTGTGGTTAATCCAGCCACCGGGGATTACAGTGACACCATCCAAATGAGCAATGTAGTCACTATAAGTCTGTTAGTAAAATTCTTTGTCTTTTTTGGGTGTGCTCGACCTACGCAGCGAAGAGACCAGTAAGGATGTTGCCAACGAGACCACCAACACCGTGAACGGCGAAGATATCAAGTGAGTCATCGACGTGAAGCAGGAACTTGAGCTTAGTTGCGTAGTTGCAAGCAATGGCACCGACAACACCGAAGATAAAGGCAGCCCAGGGAGTGACAAATCCAGAGCCGGGAGTGATGGCGACCAGACCGGCAATGACACCGGAGCAGAAACCGACAGTGGACCATTTGCGCTCCAGGCGGTAATCAAGCAAACACCAGGTGACACCACCAACGCAAGCAGCAAGGTTGGTCACGACAGCGGCCATGGCAGCCCGCACGTTAGCTGAGAGAGCGGAACCGGCATTGAATCCGAACCAGCCAACCCACAGGAAGACGGTGCCGATGACGACGTGGGTGACGTTGTGGGGACGGTAGTTAAGCTCGTGGGTGCCGTGGCCGCGACGCTTGCCCAACATCAGGGAGTAAGCGAGAGCAGCGCATCCGGAAGAAATGTGCACAGGAGTACCACCGGCAAAGTCGAGACCTCCCATCTTGAAGACCCAACCAGAAGAGTTCCAGGTCCAGCAGGCGATAGGGTCGTAGATAATGGTGGACCAAACAAACATGAACACGATGCAAGGAAGCATGCGACCACGCTCGGCGATGGCACCAGTGGCGAGAGCAACGGTAATAGCGGCGAACATGCCCTGGAAGATTGAGAAGAGAATATCTGGTACCTTGCTGCTTCCGACAGATGGTTGTGCTAGAACACCCTTCATACCAAAGTTTGCTAGATCACCAATGTACTTGCCACCGGAGTGAGAGAAGGCGAGGGAATATCCCCAAAAGAACCACTGGAAGGTAACAACACCACAGGACATGATAGATAACCAGATGAGGGACAAGGCCGACTTGCGACGAGCCAGGCCGGAGTAGAAGAAACTGTATAGTTATGCATGTTAGCTGAAGCGCATTGAAGTTTCCATGGAGAGTAGTCCATACCCGACACCAGGAATCATAAGTAATACAAGAGCGGAAGAGGTGATAACCCAAGCGATATCACCGGCCTGTATCAACTGTCAGTCTCGTCTTGTTCCCTGCTGCCATTGCTTCAGCGAATTGAAGATCCTACATTGTACCAGATGTTGAGATCCTCAGTCAAAGAGTCACCGCCATCAGCTCCGGTGCCATTGTATGTAGTGGGGTAAGCCGACATCGTGGAAGCTAGATCACTGTATGACAGGATTCGAGCTGCAAAGATCGGACTTTCTACAATACCGAGAAGGGAAGATGAACCGAAAGGTTATCTTGGAAGGAAAGTATGAGGGTCAGTGATGGATTAGAAGAAAGAACCCTTTGGAGATGTGTGAGGAAGAAAAGGGAGAAGGGAGGATGGAAAAGTGATCTGTCATTCGCACTGTGCAGGAAGGCCTAATAAATGTACAAACGGGGGATCCACTTTGATCCGCCTAGAAATCCCGAAATCGATCTTAGTCTTTGGTTCCCACTATCTACGACTACATCAGTCATTCTGATTGCTACTGCTATCTCACCGATATCGCCAGCCAAGACATTTCCCAGACCAATTGAGTATATCCCCGGCTCAAACATGCTAGATTTTGTCTCGACGGTTCCATGGTTATTTAAATTCCGGGGAATTACGGATTTGGTGATTACTTGTACAAGAGCTGTCAAGGGATGGATCTACACAATTACTCCGTCGTTACACAATATCAAAAGACGACCATCTGGTACCACCTTAATAAAACACGAATTTTCGTATACGGGGTGAGTAACTATATAGAGTATAGTGTCTGCTTCAAGAAGCGAACTAATCAGTGTTAGGGTCCAAAAAGGTCAAAATGGACCTTCGCCACTGGCTGTAGATATGAAGCTGTATCCTATCCAATCAGAGTCCACTTCTTATCTAAACATCAAATTATCAATTTTCCCGCTTATCACTTATTCGCTTACAACGTACTGTGTAAAATTCTTGATATTGATTCCGATTCGTTACAATATCATAACGTTTCTTATACAACCTATCACTGGGTCAAGATCTGATTACGGAGTACGGAATAGATAGCTATTATACGATCTTGAACTCGAACACCTTCACACGGACCACTGATAAGCTCATAGTAACAAATCACTCTTCCCAATTAGTCAAGATATAAAATTGGTAAAATCCCAACTCAACAAGTAGAAGCGAGGGGCCCAGTATATTACCTTACTCAGGACCTCTTGGCTTTGACACAGTTCATGTGCCAGCTCCGAACTTCTTGACGTATTCCACGTTCATCTGACCAGACCATCTCCGGATGTGGCTCCGGGGAATAACTACCATGGTATAATTTATAGTTAACATGGTTATAGATCCATAGACTATTCTGGACCGTGTCAATCTGGAGATGTAAAATCTGGGTAATATCTGTGCTATTGGAGATAGTTCTATAAATTAATTAAACCCTCGCATGGTACGGAGTAGCTGCCCCTTTCTCCGGGGCCCACACAATGGGCTGATTTCACACATGGAAGAGAAACAGCACAAGGAATAAGAGATGAGCCGAACTTCAGCCGCGGTCTGGGGCTGCCAAGACTTGATAAGCATCTAACCTTTCATTGGTTTCTTTCCTAATTGGGTTAGTAGTCTGCCCTATGCTGACTACATCCGGATCTGTCATTCTTCGCATCTCGTGATATCTTCCTCTTCATTCTTCCGTCGGCTGCTTATTAATGACCGACCCGACGGTATAGAATGTCTTATTTACATTTGTGCTACTTCCATTTGAATATCTGCACAACTTACCTCCAGGGTTACTCTCAATCTTAGCAGGTCTTAAAGAATGAGCAACTACTGAGTGTATTAGCGACAATCTTAAATGGTTGAGTGCTCAGTTTCAACATCACTACTTTGCTCGGCCACTAAACGTCAAAAAAAGCGCAGATTATCGACAGTGTCATCTTCCTAGGGCCCACTGATTGACGGCCTCGGGAACTCAAGGACCCACGATCTGTCGATCTCAAAGGATTGCTGGATTAAGCCATATCATGTAGCACTCATAAAAGCACTCGTTTGCCTAGTGAATACGAACTGTAGGCCCATGATCATGTAGGAATGCCTAGGTAGTGATATCAGACCACCCACTGAGGCGTGGCAGGCCTAGGCAACCACGAAATCATAAGCCCCTTTCAACACGACATTCAGGTTATAAAGGTGCCAAGACAGGACGTGGAAGGCAACGAGGCTGCAGAAATATCTGCCAAGAGGCCACGGGCCAAGCCCAGCACATGGCCCGGAATCCACTGGGCAACTGAGTAGTATACGATCTTCTGGCAACTCCGTGGGAGGGCCAGACTCGACTAGTGAGCTCAGACCTAGATAAAGCTCAGAGTCTCAGGTGGTATCAACGATGGTATACGCACACCTGATTATACCAAATCGGGACCAGGCGTGGACGCTAAATATCTTAATGACAAGAAGAACTACGTACCCACGAATTTTCTTATTCAAAATAAGAACGAGAAATTAGATTGTGGATCAAATTGACTACTATGTTCAGTTGAAAAAACAGTAAATAAGAAAGTTGAGACTCAGAACAAAATCCTCTGGTCTGCGGGCATGACTATCACAGAAATACAGAAATATGGAAACATGGCCTTGGGGACTGACACATACTTTTCCACCTCTCATTTCAACACCAGAGGAGCTTTTCTGACCGTAAAAGAACGAGTAAAAATGATTCAAATGGATACAACAGGTTTTAAGAACGAGAAGTTCTACGTCATGAACTCGGTACAAAATAGCCTTGATCTGACATTTTCCAAATCTAAACCAGATCGTTCACCATATTTTGCAATTTTTGGTGTTTGCACTTCATATGAGCCTCCTCTCTTGTAATTTCTTGAAGCTTGTCGAGAAAAGACTGTAAAACTAAAACAGTGAAGGGGGTCTTATCGGTGCTTCCGGCCCAGTAACCAAGCGGTATCATGGAAGATACGCATGAGAATCCTTCGAAGAACCTCCACTTACGGCTGGCTTTTTCCGATGTTATAGCGTGTATCCTTCAAAAGCTGGAAGTCTTGCTCAAGTATCGTGCTTTGCTCAGCGTATAGTAGGATACCTACCATGTATCTTCACCTAGGCATAAACTGGGCACAGATTATGTTTATAGTTATTGTTTTGGTGTCTTGAAGACTTTGTTATGCCCAGGTCCTCCAAGAAATTGATATCTGACAGGATTATCGAGTAATTTGTAAGAGTAATCATCTATACTTAGGTATTGAAGACTTTCAGCGTATAGGCAGGTCGGCTTTTAAATTGTTCATAACGATACCCAGAAAGTCCTAGATGGCGGACATTAGATCCATTTAACTGGCTACACTTGATCAAGGGGAGGAATACGCTCGTGAATACGGCACTATGACCGCATCTCAAACCATGGGAACTAATTATGGCATGGCAAACAGATCATCTTGGTGTTTTGGAAAATTAGCACCGACATCGTAAAGATGTGGGAAAGCGTTCTTGATGCATTTGTAAAGACCGTAGATCATAGATAACAATGGGGTAGGTGAAGAATATTGTCAAAATTCGACCTATAGTCCTCCTACCCTGGATTATTATCTTGCGATACTTCAAAATAATAGGCAACCCCTTCCGTGGCATAGCTATCTCCAGCATGGACAGCCTCGAAGTTCTCTGTGAGGACACATAGGTAGGAAATGATTGAGTAAGAGACATGGAGCCGAGTAAACAATATTGTTGGAACTAAGATCAGCTGACATGCTCGGGCTCACATGATCTCTGGCATGGTACTATATCTTTTTCTAAACTGACAGTTAGAGATATGACCTCACTTTGCCTCATATGCATATGTCTATTATTCTACGTGAATCGATACCTAGGTAGCTACCTGCTTTGGTAATAACAACCGACAGATACAAAGGAAGGGAAACCAAGTTAATTACCGACGCAACGCCCCAGGAATCACCAAAGAACGAATATACAATCGACTGAGAAGTTGCCAATACACTAGTTACTACAAAAATCTTCTGTTCAGCGTTACTTTCGATTCCGATATATTAATTGGTTATGGGTTATGCTAAACTAGTTCAGTAATGGTACATAAATGTAAACACTGTTCAGCTATTGGGATCTTGGGGGATGTGATCAAAGTATACCATTAAATGTTGACAGTATGCCTCTAGACATCTAACTTATGCAAGCTAGTAACCTTGGAAATTACTGAATGATATTTTCTTTTGATAAGCCAATCTAGACCTTAGGCAGAAGACGGTAAAAATACCCTACTAAAAAAGCTCTAGCTCTACTCGGTTAATCAGTGTTCTAATATTGATACTAGAAATAAACCCAATGCAAGCTTTTCGCTATGCGGACGCTAAACCAGATCAAAGGGGGGGGGGGGAGGTGGATCTATGATACGATCTAGCCGCTCCGGCTAAGTGCGGGTGCGGCCGTCCGCCCGCAGGCCCCATTTCTTGTTCCAATCGGCTCGTGAACAATTTCTGTCTCAGGCGAGAAGCACCTGCAGTAGACGGCCGCACCCGCACCTGGAAAACTAGATTATTTTTGGCAGGCCGAAGAATATAAAAGGGGAGCTTTTTCATCCAAAAGTCCATGATGTGCAGTCGAGTTCACACTTCAAGATCAGCTTCCAAGCCTATCTTACTCATCGAGAATCAAGAACCATGGGAGGTAATACGGAGGCATCGACCCCCGACCTATCCGGGAAGGTCGCTATAGTGACTGGTGGACACACGGGTCTGTAAGTGACAAGGACCTGATTATCTATCAATTAATTACAGGAAAGTCGAGAAGAAAAAACTTTTAACGTTGGACAGAGGATTTGGTACAAGCATTGAGTTGGCTAAGCACGGCGCCCGTGTATATATCGCTAGTCGGTTGGCTTCAAAAGCCGAGGAAGCTAAAAATACCATCCTGGAGGAGTTCCCCGCTGCCGATGTCCATTTTCTTCCTCTTGATCTTGCGGACTTGGGCAGTATCCGACAGGCAGCCGATAAGTTCTCCCAGTATGTCACATATGTAAGACCTCTGGTAATCATGTGAGATGCACTAATCTTGGCTTACAGACACGAATCGGTCCTTCATATACTGGTGAATAATGCCGGCGTAGGTGGCGTTTCCTCTTCTATGCAATTTCAAGATATCTCTGCGAGAGTACTAAGTTGAGGTTAGGTGATGTGTGTACCCTACGAAGAAACTAAAGACGGATTTGAAATGCAGTTTGCTGTAAGGACATTCATCTCCAACTGAAACAGAAAGGTCAATGACTGAATATCTTATCTAGGTGAATTATCTTGGGCATTTTCTACTCACAAAGCTACTACTTCCGATCCTTCTGGAAACGATCGAGTCTGTGCCTGAAGGTACAGTCCGAATTGTGAACTTATCCAGTGATGGACATGAAAAGCTCGCACCAAAACATGGTATCAACTTTTCTGACATGAACTTGAGAAACGGCTTCTCAGTTTGGGCTCGGTATGGCCACTCGAAGCTTGCCAATGTGTTGCATTCCAAAGAATTGGCAAAAAGATATGCCAAGATCATGTCTCTTTCTCTGCATCCAGGAACCGTCAGAACGTATGTTTTGTTTGCCAAATCAAACTGGCCTTCAACTTGAAGAAGCTGATTGTCTACAGGGGCTTGTCGCAGGGTCCACTGTCATCAACACCGATGTATCGCTTTATCAAACCCCTTGTGGAGCTGGGTGCTCCAGGTCCGCGTAAAGGAGCAAAGGCCATTGTTTATGCCGCGATATCTACATCTTTTAATATAAACCGCGATAACGGAGCGTATATTTTGCCGGTTGGTAAAGTTTCAGTGGCTAGCAAAGCTGCAAGAGATCCAAGCATGGCACAAGATCTCTGGAATTGGTCCGAGAGGAAGATAAATAGCCTTGGCTATTGAAATCCTCATCCTCGATTCCCATTTTTCGGTGTGAAGGAAAGGGCGTCATTGGATGAATGCTTAAAATAAACCCGCCCACTTGGTAAATCAGAATTCAACCTTGGAATGAAAGACCAGCCAGCCTCTTCAATACACTGAAGTACCTCCAACCTTGTCTTATCAACACCAGGCTGTCCGAATCAATTGCTGCCAGGAAAAGTCCTCCAATCTGAATAAATTTTCCTCGATCCTTCTCATCGGCGGATGCGGCGGCCCCTGTGAACACGATCCATGTTAATGCTTCTGGAGCCTTCTTGATCCAGTACTGAGACTCTATTTTCGTCAAAGTTTGCATGAGTAATTTGGTATCTTCCACATTGGCCACGGGGATGCCAGATTCAAGACGTATTGGATTTTGAAGCAACTTCCAAAAAATCAATGAACAGAGCTGACAGCAGACGTCAACTCTATCAATAGTATTAACAGGTGTCAGCTCAGTTATATTGCGATCCAACATGTTATTTTTCTTCGCCAAAGAAAGGACTCGTTCAACTACCTCGCTGGTGGAGATGGCATCGGCTTGATTAATGTAATTAAACTGGGAGACTGCCTCGTACACATCTAGAATCGCATCCATGGTTTCCTTTGCTAAGGTAGATCCACTACCATGAAAGATAGGACTAGTGATGAGATTGCGGAGGATGGAACTTGGACGAACTGAATCCGACAGTAGACAATCCCAGACGGGGGGCATGTCGAATACGCAGGCGAGAGAGAGCATGGTTCTGTAATAAAGTTAGACTGGCAGATGATATCGAAGACTTTTTTTCATACAGTTTTATAATACCAAGTAGCGGTCCTATTCCATCCCTCAGTGGCTTCGGTGTCAAGAGCAGCATTTTTATCAAGCCCTTCTGATGGGCTATCGCCGAAGCTCTGTCCAACGATACCATCTACATCTTTATCAGTAACGGCGTGAAATAGCGGATAAGCTTTGTATTTTGAGAAGGATTCCTCACATTGTAAAGTATCAAGGGTACTACAGATCCCAATGTACCATAATCTAAAGCTGGGGGGTCCATATTAAGACGTTCATTGAGCAGACGAATAGCCCATGTTTGGTGATATATCGTAATTGTATTATTTTCACGCTTGTTCAGATGATCAATTGCTGCTGATGCGCTAAACATTGTGGCGTGAAATAGACAAGGGTCTAACATCGCAATTTGAACCCATTTCGAGTGGAGATGTGCGGCCAAGCTGTTGGTAACAGCAATGTTGGAAGGCGAGGCTACCGATGTTAAGACTAATCTCGATTATTAATGTTAGTCCTTTAAGCTATCTTGAGCTTCTTGGTTGACGTGAAGGGAATATGGGGAGTCAAGCTTTTCGTCAAGCAGTATGATATTTGGTGGCTACTAGAGCAGAGACTTACAAAACTCTAGCAAATTTTGCATGTAGGGGCGATATTTTATGGGTGCATCGAATGGAGCCTTGGGCCCTGAAACGGAGCCTGTACGCTCTAGATATGTATTTTCCTCTTGAGTGCTTGGCAGTATGTATGGTTGGTCATTATGGACGGATCCGTATTCACAATCTGAGTGCAATCTGAACAGAAATACCGTCAACCGTCTCGAACCGAAACAATGAGGCCGCTTTACGCTAACTGGTTCCAGGGGATGAAGGGGCATACCTGACACAGCGAGAACAGCTCGGAACTAGTCGATCACATTTGCGTTTGTGAAATCTGCACCTCATACAAGTTTGAGTTGAGGCTCTATCGAGCGCCCTTGCATCTTTATGGATCTGCGCAATTGTTGACGTAGAGGTGGATGGATACTCACACACTCGATTTGTTCTGAACAACAAAAATTTAGAATTGATTAGTGAATTTACCTAGCTGAGTGTACAACGTAACGAACCTTTTGCACCTAGAGCAGGAGGGTAGTAGTTTATCGCATTGTCTTTTGCCTTTCTTGCACAGAGAGCATACAAGCAAAGCCTGGTAACCTTGGTATCTTTCCATAGTATTTGGAGAGCCGGATAACAGCAGGCCGAGGCAGAAGACTAGTATTAGATCAGCGATGACTCGAAGATTTGGTGGTATTAGAGGATTCACGTGACGTAATTTTATCAATCATACTAACCACTCCTTTTACTACAGGTGATACAAGACCTAGGACAAACCAACATTATTCTAAAAGTCTTCGCACTGTAAATAACAACGCTAATACTAATTAATTATTAATTATATTATCTTCCCTCAGCGAATTAAATACTGGTAATATCAAAGTAAACACAGGAAAGTTCTATTTGGTCAGCCCAACGAGCCTTGACTTAATTTAGCCTCTCATAGATTGATAGAGACCGAAAAATAACATCCGATACCTCGTATGATGACATGTTCAAAGTCATTGAATACACTTCCATGGGATTAAAGTTTGTCTTCTTTTTGTAATGAATCAGAATCCCCCTCTAGAGCATAAGACAGACAGACTTTTATTTTCGCAGAAGAGATGGGAGAAAATTGATAGTCTGCGATGTTGACTAGGTTGAGAAAGTGGTTCAGAGGTTACCATGGTCTCGTATATTGCGTCAGTCACTGCCTGAGTAGGTTGAGCAGATGAGAAGTGACCCTTCCGACACCATTCGTCAAAAGTAGGTATTCGGATGATTAGGGCCTAGTGCTTAGCCGGATACTGAATATAATTGAAGGCATACCAATTCCCAATCGAAAAATGCAACTCGCTTTTGATAAACCAAGATCTTTCTTCAGCCCTTCAGGTTTGTGCAAGCCGTCAATAATATTGATGAGGTGTGGCTCCAAGCTTCTCGTGCTATCTGGAAACAATGGATTTGACATAAATGTTGAAATCAAGGGTTTCGAGGTCCAGTGCCAAATATCTGCCGGATGAAACAAGAAGGTCATATCTGATCAAAGAATTGATGACCTGGAAGTTCTTATTATCCATTAGACTTCATCTCACTTAGACTTGATCCGACTGAGAAGGAACCTCAGCTCGTACTTTCCATGTACATGGAGGGTAAATTTTATTGACTAGCAATATAGGACCATATTGTGAACATCCTCGACGACCTCAATCTCCCCATGGTGGGTGTTCTTATCAAAACTTCTTCGATAGGGGCACTTCCGATACGAAAGGCGATCAAAGAAGATAGAAGGTCATGCGAACGAGCCCTATGTGAATGGGATGCAACCTATGCTGCGATGGCCACTGAATTTGAAGTAGTCCAAAGTCGCTCATGAAAACATCATCTTGAAACCCCCCAATTTTCCCATGGATTTTAAAAATCAGCACTCCAAAAAGGTCTGCCTTGATTTTTCTGACCAGTACAAAAGACTGACGCTTTTGACCTCTTGCTAGGTCTCATTATCCACTTTGACAGAATTCTCCTCCGGTGTCATTTTTTGATGCACTGGATCCATATTATTAGGTTGGATATCGGATCTGCGCCACAAAATGAAGCGATTCAGGGACGGAAATCGAACGCAAGTCATTTGCACCGAACAATATGATGTTGTTTCTGATTTAGCTACCTTTCGTGGCTTGCAGCGATGCATCGTATACTCGTGAGTATTAGTAGCGACAAAAGAGAAACTGAACTCCCCATGCTTATATCCGTTCTCATTTGCATGCAATAGAGATGCAAACGTTCGAGCTCGGTAGTTTGGCGAAGATCTAAAAGCTGGTAACAATAGGCTATCTCCGATAAATAAATACTCCGGGATTAACGGGCCCGTGCATGGCGTCCAGTGAGAGTGATTAGCCAAGCCCGGCTTGTCCTTTCCGGGCTTAGATAATTCGATAGCTTCGATTTAGAGTATTACTATCTATAAGTATCTATAAGATGGTTCTTTTTGCCGATGGTTAAATTTCAATTCATTTTAGAATAAATTGGGATTCTTTTCTTTCTTTCTCATGGCTATAGCCTATTCACTCATTTGATACACACTCGTTTTTGTCCCTCGTTTTTGTCCCTCGTTTTTGTCCCTCGTTTTCGTCTTTCGTTAAAAATTATCACGATGTGGTTCCGGCCACCACAATGGATCCCTTTAATACTCCTCTTTAGCCCACTTCTAGTTACTGGAGAAGAGGTCGTTACCTGTACCCCTTTGGGTACGATTGAGAATGCATCTTTTGAAGATGGATTCACAGGCTGGGGCTTTGTCTCGGGAACCTCGGGCTCAGTTGTTAGTGGAGATGCCGCAGATGGCTCAAGCTATTTACAGGCGTCTGATCATCAGGTCACTGGAATTTTCATCTACCAGCATCTCTCTAACTTATTGCAAGACAATACCTACACCATCTCCTATGATTATCGTCTAGTTCCCAACTCAGACAACGTATTGATGAGCTGCCAGCTATACATGTATATGGATTCATTCAGCACGGCTGGACGTCTCGCTCAGGTCAGCAAAACAGTTTACAACCAGAATGTCGGTTGGAGCACTTTATCTGGATCGTTTACCCCTAGCAGCTCTGCAACCCACACTTTTGAGATATACGCCTACTGTGCAGATGGTTCCGGGGACTATGCTGGTGCAGCAATTGACATCGACAATGTTGTTGTTTCAGGGCCGACATCCAGCACGTGTACCACTGTGACCGTAACGCCCACACCTACACCTACACCAACTCCAACCCCAACTCCGACTCCGACTCCAACGCCCTCGCATTTATCTAGCGTACCGGTTGCTATGTCGTCCTCTGTTTTACTATCATCATCATCTGCAGCGCCATCGTCGTCTGTATCGCGTTCCTCTTCGGTGATTATTCATCCTAGTTCTTCGGCTTCTTCTAGCAGGCTAGTTGTGCCATCTTCCGTGTTGCAATCATCATCCGCAGCACCATCATCGTCTGTATCGCGTTCCTCTTCGGTGGTCCTTCATTCCAGCTCTTCCATTTCTGTGCCTTCTCAATCTGTTGCATCTTCCTCTGCTATTTCGCAGCCAACTATTGGCTCTAGCTCGACTCCTCTGAGGTCTCTCAGCTCGTCATCTATTCCCTTTATTCCTCCAAAGGCTTCCAGCACTTCTCTTGCTCAGTCGAGTCGCGCCGTCACTTCAGCTAGTGCAACCTTTACCAGTATCAGACAAACGTCAACCCCCCTCGTCACTTCCTTGACCGGAGTCACTGCTTCATCTTCAGGTGCTGTTAGTACTGGTAGTCTCAGCACTGGAACGGCTGCTATCACTGTCGGCGCGGGGCAAAGCTCGTCCCATCTCATCGCTTCTTCAACAAGAGTTGCCGATTCGTCTTCAAGCGTTGTTGGTACTGGTAGTCTCAGCACTGGAACGGCTGCTATCTCTGTTGGCGCGGGGCAAAGTTCAACTCCCCTTGTCGCCTCCTTGACCGGAGTCGCTGCTTCATCTTCAGGAGTCGTTGGTACTGGTAGTCTCAGCACTGGAACGGCTGCTATCTCTGTCGGCACAGGACAAAGCTCGACTTCCATTGTCGCCTCCTTGACAGGAGTCACTGCTTCATCTTCAGGCGTTGTTGGTACTGGTAGCCTCAGCACTGGAACGGCTGCTACCACTGTTGGTGCAGGACAAAGCTCTAGTGGAAACAAGTTCACCACGTCTACGGTCTTGAGCACTCGCACAGCAACTATCACAGCTTGTCCATCAAGCGTAACTGATTGTCCTGCTCGTGAGAAAACAACTCAGCTCACTACCGAAACAATTCTTGTCTCTACTACGATCTGTCCTGTTACTGCTGTTGAGGCCACTAAAACTGCTACAATTGACGCTGGCGCTGATGACGAGAACTTTACCACTTCAACCATTCTCAGCACACGTACATCTACCATCACGGCTTGTCCATCAAGCGTAACTGATTGTCCTGCTCGTGAGAAAACAACTCAGCTCACCACCGAGACAATTGTTGTCTCTACTACGATCTGTCCGGTTACTGCTGTTAAAGCCACTCAAACTGCTACCAGTGTCGCTACCAGTGTCGCTACCAATGTCGCCATTGATCTTGGCGCTAGTGACGAGAACTTTACCACTTCAACCATTCTCAGCACACGTATAGCTACCATCACTGCTTGTCCATCGAGCGTAACTGATTGTCCTGCTCGTGAGAAAACAACCCATCTCACCACCGAGACTATTATTCTCTCCACCACTATCTGCCCAGTGACCGCAGCCGAAGCAAGCGCTACTTCCACGACTACACTGGGTTCCTATAGCTCTGGCTCTGGTGCTGTTTCAAGCTCAGGCTCGAACTTTGTCTTTGAATCCAGCTCACTTTCTAGCTCCACTGCCACCGTAACAGTGACTTTGACGCCAGTGCCCGAGTCTACGACTCTTTCTATCGAGCCTGTCAGTGTTGAAGCAAATGAACTGCTTGTTTCCACCTCGGTATCAACAGTGACACCAACTATTTTGTATAAATCGACCATCACCAAGGTCGCGAGTTCTTCCGCGCTTCCTACTTCCCTATCCCCTTCATCAGGTATTTACCAAGGTGGATCCGGTTCGCCGACTATAAGCTCTAGTGGACCCATCTTCACTGGCGGCTCTGTGTCGCAAAACACTATGTTGTCAGCAGGTTTGGTCTCAGCCTGCTCACTCCTTTTGGCCTTTGTATTTGTTCTCTAGATTCCAAATTCTCTTTTCCTGGAACTTGGTTTCGTATTAGATTTCTTCATTGCTTCACATATTGATATGTCATATACTATTTATCGATCAATGTACTATTTTAATACATTTCATTACCCTCACTTCTCTCGGATCCATACCTAGATCTTGATGCTAGTAATTATACTGTCGGTACACCGGTGGAATAGCTATTCGATAAGGTGGATGATAGGCTAACGCCCACTTCTAACACCTATTACGGGTAACGCTTTACGCCCCTATAATATACGGTGTCTCTTGAAGTGGTTGTAAATGTAACCGGTCGATACCCGATAGTATGCGCAGTCCCTGGAAGGACTGCGCTCCTGATTCCTGTGCGGAGCCGGACGAGCCATAAGATCATCCCTTAGGGTTTGTACCAATAGACAATGTATGTGGCTATTCCGAAAATGGCTAGACCGAGCGTGATTATCTCTAGTTAAGAGGAAGGCAAGTTATATGTCTTTCTAACTATTAAAGAAAGAACTAGCTATAAGATCTATAAAAGTGCAACCGACTCTGCGGAGAAGTCTTGCTTGCCCTTATCTGAAATAGCATCTTCGCTAGCATATTTTATCTCATCAAGGTTTTCGAATTCTTCGGCATATTGCAATGCGGTCAAGGGAAATGAAACGTCTTCTCTATAATAGAAACCTCCTATATTCGCAAAATAAGAATGCGCCAGTCTCCACTCTAGGGCTTCTCGACTCTACGACGATTCCTTTACGTTCCTTTTAAGAGTTTTGTACATAGTTTCTGACCTAGTTAGTCTGAATCTAAGATTAGCTTTAGCCCTTCACACTGGATGCTGATATGCTCAGAGAGGAGGGAGATAATACATATCTTATGTATCTGGTGATATATAGATTTGCTGATCTTCTTCTTCCAGGAATGGCTTGATAATAGTTATCCGGAACAATCTTAGGCCCTTGATGCTGTTATCGATAACATATGTGTCTCCGTCGATCGAGAGTAATCACATTATAATTTAACTAGCTTGGTTCTTCCTCCATATGTAGCGGCCTGTAGTGTATTACCATATGCTCCACCCTAGGCATTGACATCGGCGTGAGCGTCGAGTAGCCTCTGTACTATCTTGGTGCTTCCTCCATATATAGCGGCCTGGAGGGCACTGCCATATTTTCCACCTTGGCTATTGACGTTGGCGTGAGCGTCAAATAGCATATGTACTATCTCGGTACTTTTTCTATATATAGCGGCCTGGAGGGCATTACCATACTCTCCACCTTGGGCATTGACATCGGCGTGAGCGTCGAGTAGTATCTGAACTATCTCGGTTCCTCCGGCGTATGCAGCGGCCTGGAGGGCATTACCATACTCTCCACCCTGGGCATTGACATCGGCGTGAGCGTCGAGTAGCATCTGCACTACCTTGGTTCTTCCTCTGTATGCAGCGTCCCGGAGTGCATTAGTGTATTTCCCACCCTGGGTATTGACACATGCTCCAGTTTTAATCAATGTTTTCACTAAATCAATTTAGCTTGGTTCAGAAAGGGCTCTATATCACGAACCAGACGAGATATTGATACCCTCCATAATTGGCTCCAGCCTGGGTCCCTGAGTTTATGTCGCCAAAAGATGTTGAACTCATTTTTATAAGAGCATGCATAGAATGATGCTTTTCTAGGCAGAGCTGAAGTTCAAAAGCCAACATCTGCTCCACAATCAGGTGATTCAATCTATGGCAGTAAATAATGCCAAGTACGGGAGATGACTAGTTAATAGCAACTAACTAAAATAGGATCGGGCCTTAAATAGTTACACCTTGTCAACTTTTCGGGGTCAGCTCAGTTTTATACTAGGCTTAATTAGGAATTCTGCTTATGTCAGGTGGCCACTTCAGCTTTTCAATCGAGATCAGCTATAATTTGAATACCTACGTATCTTCCTTTTCTCTTTTAAAAGTCAACATCATGGAAGCTTACAGTAAAGTGTTTCCCTTTGATGGCAAAAACCCCTCTCCGCCTTCAGATTCCCTTGACTTTGCGTCAAATATCAGAAGTGCTGATGACCAATTCATCTATCTATCGGGCAATTCTTTTTCCAATAACTGTGTCCGAAAGAAGTCACCTCATCTACCACAATGGCAGAGAGATCTCCAGGTGTTTGCTTCCTCTATATCTGTGACTCAGGAATGGAATGACACCCGAAAAGCAGCGGGTTTTGCAACCATCGACAAGAATAGATTGGCGATTCAGATATTACTTGGAAGGTCAAGCAGCCCTATTCCAATTACTGAACATGATCTAGAAATCACGTCGCTTCATCCAGAGGATGATATAGACTTAATTATGAGAGGCTATCAATATGGTCAATTTGTGGCCGGCAGCGAAAATAAAGGGCAGTTCGAAAAACGAGTAGCAAAGTATCATCAGCTTATCTTTGTGTGTTATTGTACTGTCCTTATTTCTGTTGGAAACTCTAAAGGCTCTGTCAACCGGATGATGCGACAATTCGTCAGTGACTCTGATGACAAAAACCTTGAAAAATATCGCTCGGGATGCTTGTGGGTTAATCAGTGCATATCTGAGCTTCTAAAGCATCAATGGGGCTACAAGAGTTGGGAACTATTTATTTTGTGTAAGTAGCAATTAAGAAACAAAACTATTAAGGAGTACTCCTAACATCTCCTCAGTTGCCCAGCCTCTTCACCAGTACGGTCGATTCGCAGAGGAACGGAAAAGCATCGAGTTTTTCATACGGCTTATGGGGGATGGTGATGAGACTGGCATTCATGAAGATGGATTCGTTCCATACTGTCTCCCATGCATTGTGAAGTATATAGCAGGCGACAAAATCGAGTGAGTTATCAATTATCACCAGCATTATAACATCCATTCTGACAGCCCGAAAGGTTATCTCAAATATGCGAATGTCTGGGTTATGACTTTGACCTTATCTCTAGGATATACAGTGCGTTCTTTATGGACTCAAACCTATGAAGCTATATGTTCTGGCAGCCACGCAAAGATTCTGTAAATATCCATCCGGTCCCCAGGACCCCGTTCCCTCCCTTAGTTAATTCTTCTTGTTTACCGATAGGATCTTTACAGCGTACAAATTCCTGTATTCATCCCGTAACAAAACTCACCTTACTACAGCATTTCCTTAACTTCACTTCACTTACTATGATCTCTATTATGTCTATAATTCCTTTCCTCCCGTTTTCATTACTCGAGGGGGCCAATTGTTACACTCCGGAGGTAACTAAGCAGCTTGGTTGCCTTCCGTTATTTCCCCAGATCAGCTGGGAAGTTAGAATATCATCTTTCTTCACCCTATTCAGAGCATCTGATATTCTCTACTACGTACGTAGAGACCTCAGACCTGAAGGTAAAACCAGACCTAATGACATGGCTTCCCCCCTTGGGTTTGTCTCTCCCTAATTTGTCTTGCTCTTCCCTGTGTAATTCGTCACGCACGGTTTCTGGCACGTCCCTGTGTACCCTCTAGAACACCGCTATTTTCAACGTGGGTATCAGGATTAAGACTATTCCGCTTTCATAGCTACCTTGATGAACTGCTCGCTGAGAATCAACGCTTGAAAGAGCAGTCAATTACTTCCGCCAATGTGGCCGAGGTAAACGACCATCCTAGCCCAGCAAGGTACATATATATCTGTATACCCATCATCTATCCTGGATTGGTACTCAACAATGTAAACTCCCCAATCTCGATCAGTGGATGCACCCGACGCAACAAGTATCCAGAACCCAATCATCGGAGACCGTGCTTGGTTCCACAGATACCATCCATCTTCGCCGCATATCTACATCGGCGAAGCAGCATGTACGGCATTTGTGACTCGCTTTCGCCTTTTCTCACGGGGAACAATGCCACTGCTCGTACCACGCGAACGCAGTGGAAGCACGAAGAGATTGTGGCTCAATCAATGATGATATCATGGCGTGTGATATCCCGAGTACATATGTTCAAAATGAATAATAAGAAGTCTGTAAGGAGGGTAAGGTGTGTGTGAAATCCTATTGTATATGATGTTTCACTCACTTCGCTCGCTCAACAACAATATACGTTCGTCTATTAGATAGACTGTCTTTATCTAAGAAAGTACACATAGTGAAACCGATGATCTAAGCCTTGAGGAATGGAGTCGGGTGAATGAATGTATTTTTACAAAAAATCCAAAGACCTGTAAAAATGACGCCGAAAATAACAGCTTCCAGCGCCAGAAACGGCCGTCATTCAGGGTCAATAGTCCTTCCACATCTGTCGTTCCAGCTCTGTATGGATTCTAAATCCTTAAGGTTTCTCAGTGTAGTCTTTCCCTGTCGATACCACCAGACTAAGATGAGATACAGGATCGATGGGATTGGTCCGGTGCAGTTGGTTCTGATTGGTTCAGCGACATGAAGTGAATCTGGTGAGTTGATCTATTTAGTTATAGCGAGAACGAGATTTAATGGAACAACTCTTACAACTCGAACCATACCGTATCTTAATCTAGTTGCAGATGCACGAACGGTAAGACTACTCAAATCACCGTTCCGACATTCCCGTAGCTTGTTGTGTCGTTACAGCCCTCTGCCTTGCAAGCTTTCTTAGAAGGTAGCGGCCATAAAATGTTAAGCTAAGTAATCCCAGTATTAAAAACCAAGAAAAATAAGTTGTCTTTTGTTCGCAAACAGGCCAGGATTGCCCCCAACATAGACCCGTGAATCCAAAAATAATGGTGAAAGGAATTGATAAAAACACGCTATATATTATTATTAATAAAAAATTAACAAAACGTAGAACATGCGGTATATAGATACATAGGTAGGCGAATAGGATGATTACTTACAATTCAGGATATTTAGCAAGAGGTGCCATAAGGTATTGGACGACAACATTATCAGGATACGACTCGACAACTAAATTCCAGTCCATAGACAGAGTGAGAGGTCGCTCTTTTTCTGTGAGCCGAGGAGCATGACTCTCTAGTGATGTAGGTTTCTCCATTTAGATAAATATCGCTGAAAGAGAAAAAGAAAAACAGCAGCAGTCACTTATGGGCTACGTCCAAGGTCAGTAATTATAGGATCCTATGGAATACGGAGCACTGCGTATATAGTTAGCGTCAAAAGGCTGCGGCAGAAAAAAAACAAAGAGCTTAACCTACTTAGATAAAGATACCGGTGATAATGGGTAACCCTAAGTGGCAGTGCTACTCCCGCCGGGTACATTCGGGAAATCAAACATTAACTTATCCCTTTTGGGTATTAGTGTTAGTACAGCCCTGGAGCTAGCAATATTTCAATGACCTGTTCCCCACAGATGTGACGTTGGTAGAATTTGACACATCCCTGCAGCAACATTTGTGGACTTGATGAATGACAAGGAAAACTTTGGGGCTGTCTGTGCATTGACAACATTGGTAGTAGGCAGGTTAGCCTATTTTTTTCAAGAAAATGCTAGTGTGCTTCGTACGCAGGTCGAGAAAATTGTATTTTTGAACTTCAGCGCTTCGAATATTCTTAACGAACATAGGTCGTCATCTTCAGTTAGATGTCCCGTCTATGGGTGATAATATTACCTAGATATTACGAGAGATAACTTTCCACCTGGGAAAGGTTCTCAAGGCATTCTGTCATCTGTGTCAGCTTTCACCAGCTGTGATAAATACTCATGTGCCCTTCCAAGATTCATCACAAGCAATATTGCAGCAGTTGAAAATATTTTGCCAATCAGCAAGCCCTACCGACACCTCTGAAACGACCTGGGAACCTTGGAACAAGCAGGTAAGCATGCATATGGGACCTTCCAAGGCAGGAAAGATCTCATAGATATGCCAGAGGCGCAATGCCCTCTCGGAGTATTCCAAACTTGAAACCTTGTTCATACCCTACTAATCAATCAATCAAAAGGCTCTATTCTCCCATTTGGTAATTTCTTTTATTAGAATCTATCAATAATTATGTAGGAACAGATCTCCCCTTGCATGTCAAGCATTCCAGATAAAGAATTTCGGAATATATAGTATGTGGACTTCCCATATCCGGCAAGTAATCGTTGATCATGGTTCCAAGGCTCTTAGTAACAGCTCACTGAGCTCGAAACTAGCACTGTCATGGGGCTGGATGTTATCCCTATCTCTTGATCTTGAACCAATGTAGAGAGCTCCCAATGACCGAAACATGCTCTACAAAACCCTGCATCGACTCCACTTCCGCCTAGGTAATCAACCTTGATATTCGTGACTCCGCACACAAATTTCCTGTTTTTCATTGTCTGTGAGCCCTGGAGATTTACATAGGTATGCTACCGAGTTAGATCCTCGGCATCCTATGCACCGGGTACCACCTATATCTTCATCCTTGATTGCCGGAGCCGTGAATTACCGTGGAATGTCCCTGTATCAAGTCGGTGGATTTGTTGCACCGTTGCTATTCATGCACAGGGTGATGTCAGGGAAAAAAATTACTGCATAACCTTAAATGTTACTATGGCTAATCTATCATGCCGCACATCCCCTTCTCCCTTCTAATCTTAGTTCTTTCTAACTTTTTAATCCTTATAATACTTCGAAGTCTACGTTTGAGGGGGGGGTTTCTCCTTAAGGTCTAGAGATTCAAGACCAAAACTAAGGTTGCGATAGATCAGTGTTCAAGCTTTCGAACAGTCAATACACATGGTTCAAGTATGTATCTTGATGTCGAAAAAGCTCCTCCTTCACCTTCCCTGCACAGTAAAAACCAGCTCGAGCTAGATACCAGCTCCGCAACGGGTAGTGACACGCCACTCGAGAAGTCACCGCCGCAGCCGAGATATCAGAAATGGATAGCCAGTTTGAAAAGCGTGGAAACAGGCGGCATTGAACGCATTTCTCTCGAGGATCGACAACCCGTGACATCGTCAACAACGCTGCATATGTTTCTCATGTGGTTCAGTATGGTGCTGGCCACGAACAATATCATTGTAGGGTCACTGGGGACATATGTGATGGGCTTGAGCTTTCGAGATGCGGCCATTTGCGCCATGCTAGGGAACCTGGTTGGGTTGTGCACGGCGGGATATATGAGTACTTGGGGCCCAAGAAGTGGGAATCGCACTTTGGTAATTTGAAGCCCCATCCAGAATTTCGATGATTCCATTAGCTGATAAATCCTCTTTTGAACAGATCGTGTCCCGGTATTTCATGGGTTATTGGCCTAGCAAGATCTGCTGTCTCCTGAACATATTGACTAATATCGGATACTGCATGCTCAACTGCACGGTTGGAGGCCAGATTCTCTCCAAAGTTTCTGGCGAGACCATCTCAGTAATGGTTGGTATAGTAATTGTGGCGTTGACGAGTTGGGTTATGGCCATGTTTGGCATGCGTGTCTTTGCGATCTATGAACGGTAAGATCAACGGAACAACATAGCACCTCACAGCAGCCTTCTCTGACACGAATTCTAGATTCGCATGGGTTCCCCAAATAATGGTTCTATGCATTATGCTTGGCTCGGCAGGGCCGCATTTCGACTTCAATATCAACATCGAGTCTTCTCCAGAACATCTAAGCGCCAAGCGTGTCACCTTCTTTTCACTTTGTGTGTCCGTCGGTCTTTCCTGGGCGCCACTGGCCGCAGACTACTATGTCTACTACCCGCCGCATGTGAAGCGATGGAAAACCTTCTTGACAACTGTAACAGGCGGAGGACTCGCAATGGGCTTCACGCTCCTTCTCGGAAACGGACTCGGAACTATGTTGGCCAGCACACCGGCTTATGTCAAAGAGTACGGCAACAATCCCGGAGGTCTGCTAATGATGGCGTACGACGCGCTCGGTGGATTTGGGAAATTCTGCGCTGTGATAAATGTGTTGGCGCTCGTGGCTAATAACACCCCCGGTGCATATTCGATGGGTATGAACTTCCAGATGCTTGGTGGTGTTTTTCAGAAAGTGTCGCAGCCTATATTCACCACGCTTACTACTGTGGCTTATACTGCGTGTGCTATGGGTGGTCGAAACTCACTTTATGAGATTTTCAACAGTCTTCTTCCGCTGATCGGATACTGGGTGATTATCTGGTTTATGATTGTCATTGAAGAGGATATCATCTTTCGTCGGATTAAAGGGTATGACTGGACTGCTTGGAATAGTCCATGCGAATTGCCAATAGGAATTGCGGCTGGAATCGCCTTCTTAATTGGATGGGCTGGGGCAATTATTGGCATGGTACGTCTTATTTTTGTCTGGTCTTTGTGATCATTTGCTGATGAGTCGATTTTAGGACCAATCTTATTACTCTGGCATTCTTGCGCAGGCCACTGGAGGTTCGGACTTGGGTATCTGGATGGGAGCAGCATTTACGGTGGTCTCATTTCCACCCTTGAGAGCGCTGGAACTGTGGTTTGTTAAGCGTTAGAAATTAGAGATGGGAAGTGTTCACGTAGGCGGACGGGGAAAGCAGGAACTATTATACGCAGCAATTAATTATTAATGGTACATAAGCAGTGTGAAGAGAATGGACCCAAGTCAGTGAATAAATTCCTGTTTAGGTTGGAGATTCACACATCATTCAGACATTCGACCTGGGTAAAACTATGTTGTCAAACTTCCCTGGCCCTCTTATTAGGGCAAATTCCGTGTCGACTTATGCGAATAGATACGACATACCACACCACATTGCTGCAGCTTTTTTTTTTTTTTTCTCGTTTTCTCTGCGCTTCTAACTACACGCAAACTATTTCTGCGCTATCTCGCTATTATAAGACTGTAGTTTATGTGGATTACTACGCTCGCACTGGGGCACTCTGCCTAGGTACAATATCAAACCAATTTTTGGAATAATCGTCCTGGATGCTTGGGAGGCTGCTGCTTGGTGATGGGGAGGGTAAAGCATTTTCCATCTGGATATTAAATAGATATGTTTACTTGCTAAGACGCTACTTTCGGCTGTTTAGACGTCAATTCGTCAATTGCTTTTCCAGTACATGCTATTCTGACATGGCAGTAATTACCAGGATACAGAGGCAAGGGAAATAGAGACACAATAAAGTAAAGTAGACGCTCAAACAAAATACTTCAGCCGGCCCGAAGGTCAGAGAGTGGAGGCTTGTGGGTATTACTGCGAGCAGATCTCATTAGGCAGATCCTGGCGCATTTAAAGAGGCTCCTCTTCACCCTCCTCAATGTATTCCTCCTCACCCTCGGAGACGGAGGCCTCCTGGTACTGCTGGTACTCAGAAACCAAGTCGTTCATGTTGCTCTCAGCCTCAGTGAACTCCATCTCGTCCATACCCTCACCAGTGTACCAATGCAAGAAAGCCTTGCGACGGAACATGGCAGAGAACTGGTCACCGACACGCTTGAACAGCTCCTGGATAGAGGTGGAGTTACCGACGAAGGTGGAGGCCATGCGAAGACCACGGGGAGGAACGGAGCACAGGGCGGTCTGGACGTTGTTGGGGATCCACTCAACGAAGTAGGCCTGGTTCTTGTTCTGGATGTTGCGCATCTGGTCCTCAACCTCCTTCATGGAGACCTTACCGCGGCTAAAGAGAAAAGTTAGTTTGGCGCATGAACATAAGACTAGGATCTATACGTACAAGAGAGCGGAACAGGTGAGGTAACGACCGTTGCGGAAGTCAGAGGCAGCCATCATGTTCTTGGGGTCGAACATCTGCTGGGTGAGCTCAGGGACGGAAACCTGGCGGTACTGGCTGGCACCGCGGCTGGTCAAGGGAGCAAATCCGACCATGAAGAAGTGGAGACGGGGGAAGGGAACCATGTTAACAGCCAACTTGCGGAGATCGGAGTTGAGCTGGCCAGGGAAACGGAGGGAGGTGGTCACACCAGACATGACGGCGGAAACGAGGTGGTTCAGGTCACCGTACGAGGGCTGGGTCAGCTTCAGGGTACGCATGCAGATATCGTACAAAGCCTAGAATAGAGTTAGTATCCTCTACACTGCTTCTGTCCTACTTTGTTAGGGAAAGCATACCTCGTTATCGATACAGAAGGTCTCGTCGGAGTGCTCGACCAGCTGGTGGACGGAAAGGGTAGCGTTGTAAGGCTCAACAACGGTGTCGGAGACCTTGGGGGAGGGAACGACGGAGAAGGTAGCCATCATGCGGTCGGGGAACTCCTCACGGATCTTAGAGATCAAAAGAGTACCCATACCGGCACCGGTACCACCACCCAGAGAGTGAGTGATCTGGAAACCCTGGAGGCAGTCACAAGCCTCGGCCTCACGACGGACAACATCGACGACCTGGTCGACGAGCTCAGCACCCTCAGTGTAGTGACCCTTGGCCCAGTTGTTACCAGCACCAGACTGACCGAAAACAAAGTTGTCGGGGCGGAAGAGCTTGCCGAAGGGGCCAGCACGGATGGCATCCATGGTACCGGGCTCCAAGTCGACAAGGACGGCACGGGGAACGTAGCGGTCACCGCTGGCCTGTAAACGACATCAGAATTAGATCGATTGTTTAGTATCACGCGAGATCAAGGTCACTTACGGCAGTGAAGTAAACGTTCATGCGCTCCAGCTGGAGGTCGGAGGTACCGTTGTAGCTAAATCAAAAAATCAGGCCGCCATTCCACCCATGGCATCAATCCAAGGAACTTACTGTCCATCTCCGTCAAGACCATGCTCAGCAGCGATGTTTTGCCTGTAATTGAGTTAGTATATCATGTTTCCTTCAATTGACATCGTGTCAAGATAGGACAGGCACGTACCAGAAAGCGGCACCGATTTGGTTACCCTGTTTACCCCTCGTTTAGCCAACATTCCAACATAAAACCTTTTCTTCCCCGCGGAATATTCCATCTCAAGATTGAAACTTACACATTGGCCGGTCTGAAGGTGGACCTATTGACGGAAAAAGTTGATGTTAGTATAATAGCAAAACAAGTGGGGTTTCCTTCCAGGAGGCAGGATCAACAAAAACGCGTCTCAAGGTAGTTGGAAAACGTACAATCTCACGCATAATGGCGAATTAGTGATATGGAAGTCACAAAGTATGAAGTTGGTAGAAATGAAGAAGAGTAGTGACCTAGCGCCAGGGAGTGGAAAGTGGAAAGGAGAAGGGTGAGCGGTGTGTGTGCGTGGGGATCAACAACACTTTCTTTTGCTTCTCAGGGGGGAGTCTCCCGATGGGGATTAGCTCCAATCATGGGATCAGTCAGCAATCGGACCATACGAGTTACTCCCTACTGTAATATTGGGCACTAAACATAGCTCATAATAAATTAATGGCTATTCCATAATTTCCATTATTCAATACCAGGTATTAGTTCTGAAGGCACCGGCTAATTCACTATTTCTCCGACTTCTCTGACTTCTCCGACTTCTCCGATTTCTCGTTCTCGCCCTCCAACCACGATCCAAACTGATCAAGTCTGTCGGCTTCCTCATCTTCCTCATCTTCGAATCCATGCTCTGCCATCTTTTCGAGATCTGCGCGACGTTCATTGGTCTTCTTGAATTTTTCGCGGCCTTCTGACACGTACGCCTCCACGCGAGTGTTGCTGAAGTAGCGGCCATTCATGACCTAGAAGAAATAATGAGTAAGCGGGGAATGCATAATAAAAGATACCAGGGCTTACCTTGACACATTGCCGTGCCGCCTCAGCATCGACAAATCGGACACTAACAATGCCTTCCGGTTCCTTGTCATAAAGCACAACATTGGTGATTTCGCCAATTTTGCTGCATTCCTCTCGGACGTCTTCCTTGATATCAAGGATGGCCGTGACATCCTCCTATCAAAAGAATTAGTAAAGTAAATAGAAATAGTGGAAGATGCGATGGTCAGATAAGCTTATACCTCTAACTCTTTCAAGGTGAACATGTGCTTCAAAACCACAGTTTTCTCGTTCTTGTGGTCTTTCTGTGGGGAAGCGTACGGTGTATCGTCATCCCAGTCCGCCAGTTTACTATTCAAGAATGTTAGCGACGGAAACCACTGTGATTTGAGCCATGCGTACCGGTTCATCTGCTCGGTGCGAGCAATGATCTTCTTCTTATCGCGATTACTAGTCTTCGTAGGCGCCTCCTTTTGGCTTTTGAAGGAATAGTCGGCGACCTGAACTTTCATACGTCCCAATGGATCCTGCACTCCAGGTCGGAAGTCAGTATCATCAAGCATTTGAATCGCCAAATCGACCGACTCGGGTCGGAAATAGACAATCAAAGCCTCCCCCTTGAACGTGCCGTTCTCATCATGATACATCTTGATTCGGGGGCGACCGCTGTCGATTTCCTCAGCGATGACGCCAAATTTAGAGAAGACCTCTCGGATCTCATCGAGCTTGGCGTTGTGAGGAATTAAGGAAACGAAAATGGCGGTGTTCATGCGTGCTTTCTTGGGCTTCTTCGCGTGTTCCTAGGAAATAGAGATCAAGTGTCAGATCGGGGGAAGCTCATACGAAAACAAGAACAAAAGTAATTATCTTGCGCGACACATACATCCTCGTCAGCCTTGCGCTTTTTCTTGTCTCGGGGGTGGACCGCTTCATTCTCATCGACACCTTCAACTTTGTAGAATTCTTGTTGCTGGCGAATAAGATCTTCATCAACCTGCGAGGAATTGAAAAGTCAGTAAGTTTCGGCGACCAGCAAGTTGCGCTTGAGGCAGCCTGTTGCGAAGAGTTGCGAAGATTTTATGGCGCAAATCAGGGAGTATTTTGTACTAACTGTTTGGACCCACCGTTTGATAACTGAATCGTACACAAACTCTTGGCCATTGTAGGTTTCGAGGATGTATTTGTCGTCCAGCTTGGAGAAGGAAATCCGAGGGTCGCGATCGAACTGGGTAGGGTCAGTAGGGAATTTGCCCGACCCCACATCGTCATCATCAGGAATTAGAGAAGCCATATCAATGGCGGAGGAGATGGGGTGAGAGTTGAAGTGGAAGGTGAAGAAGTTGTGGGGAAAGCTTGAGCTTGAGATCTACGTCTGACCATGTGATCTGGAACCACGTGAAGTCCAGTACAATCAAACTTTACGTTCTGCCTTTTTAGGACTTTCAATCCACTATATCCTAATTTATCATGTAGCTAGAGACATCTTCACTCCAATACACTCAACCTGAGTCCACCGCACGTTTCATCACTTTTCCAAATCTCTAACTGGCCCCTTTCTTAAATTGCCAGTTTATTACGGACCTGCGCGGGTGACAGCCATATTTGAAAAAGAACACCCAAATGAACATTGTTATACTTCTCTAACTTCTATCTAAATTTACTACCCATATTCTTTATATATATTTTATTAATATCATTGAAAATATCATATTTAATGATTCGGATACAACTGCTGAAGCTAAGTTCAACGCCATAATATTCCCAATTCATGCTAAAATCGCTTCATTCTTTTTACCTCTGAAGACGCAATGATTTCAGGACGATAGGATTTAAGTGAGAGGTTTCAGCGCACTCTGATATCATTGAGCTCCTTTTCACTAGTGAGACTATAAACGCCTCTTATAAGCTTTCCAGCAACAATAGCTTGTTTCATACGATTTTTACTAACTTTAAGTAGCTTTATGACTACCTTTTTGAAAGCGCTCATCGGTCATTAGGGTGCTGATGTAGCGGCGTACAGTGGAACAGGTATCTGGAAATGATAGTTTCTCTGCATTAAGAGAACCGTGGGAAGGACTCGATAGTCCAGGGTCAGTGAACCCTTGGGGTACCCAGGACCGGCTCCTGCGAGAGCACGAAGTCACAGACTCCCTTGCTTGAGGTAACGACATCTCGGGCTCCTGAATACTTATAGTGATCAGCAGGAGAAATTACCGGTCAACCGATCAGCATGCGTTATGACCACTGAATGGTGGAAAACCACTATGTCGGTGAGCTGTCGGCCTGCCCGATAGATAGTTGGCGCATCAAGATCATTTCATGCTCCCCCTTTAAGGATACCAGGTGGTCTCCATGGGTATAAAGTGTATGTCAATTACTGCACTTTGAAAGCTTCAAGCATTAATCGTGGTATTAACTTCGATATACTGTTGATCCATCTTCAACCACACTTCCTTGCATCTTCTCTAAAGCCTATTGTACAATCCCTCTCTTAGTTTACGGTTTCATACCGTACATTGAAAACCAGACTTTACACTGTGTGAATGGTAGCCCGGAATCAAAAGGATATAGACTCTCTGTACCTTCCTATACAAAAAATTCGTTTTCAGAAATCCCTATCAATAGTTGAAACACCACACGCCATTCGAGAAATCCCGCAAGGATGAGATCACCGGTCTACTTGAAAAAGGTGTCTTCGAATTCGCTTAACTCTCTGACCTCCAACCTCGCCCACGAATTTTTAAACCCCGTTTCGTTGATAATATCAAGAACTCTGGTACAAACAAAGCCTTTGAAGAATTCCGACCCGTCGTACAACTCTTTAATAATACCAGAAAACCAATAGTTTTAACAAAATCGCCGACAATCCAACGTGTTAGCCAGATAACCATACCCCATTACTAAAATAAAACCTAACGCGAAGCCATATCTACATGACATTTTGCAAGCATATGCTTAGTCCACCACAAACCTAAACCGTACGTTCTTCACTAGGTCATCTCGCAAATTAATCTAAAAGCTCGGTCTACCACATATCTCCGTTCTAAGTGATATCAAACCTCTCTGGCGCTACCTGAAGCTAGTGATCATTGGTTCAAAACATGCTATTCGTAACATATCAACCAGCTACGAATGGGACCCTCTAAGTTTTATCCATTCTCCTATACTGTGTTTACAAGGATGAATTTAGTATCGTGGGACTACAAACGGATAATACATTACTCCTTGCTAATGAAGTGTTTGCCACCAACGAAGCGAGGGAGCTATGAAAGCGAAATTCTCTCTCTGAGAACCTTGAAGAACTCTCAATCTATCACCCGCTAAAGTTCAAGAGAGGACTAATCCAAGTACACTTAGACGGATCGATCTCGTTAGGCCAGAAATGGCAATTTATGAAGCTCTCTACGATAATTCGAAAAAAAACCTACCACCAGCGCCGTCTTGCAGGAAATAACATTAAAGGAACGTTACGCTTCCCAGCGCACCAAAGGTGCGTAGATCACCACCATCTACCGGCCGGGGGCAGCGTTTGATCTCAACTACACAGCTCATATCATAAATTCAATCTTAGACGACGCTAAAGCTCTTGATAAGCTCCCTTGAGGCAAATTGAATATGCTGCCAGAGTATTGACCTTCGTGAAATTGGACGCGAGATCTCTTCAACTCCTTGCCTTTGCCGACGCACCATTTGCTAATAACCCAGACCTGACATCGCAGATCGGCTATGTCTTTACCCTCGCTATCCCGAATGCTCTCGGACAGGACGCTAACATTGTTCATTAGATCTCAGCGAAGTGCAACCGACTTGACCGAAGCATTCTGGCATCTGAGTTATATATGCTATGGCACATGATCAAATCGACGTGAGACCAAATATTACAAATGACTATCCCCACTGGTTATATGCACTGACTCAAAGTCCTTGTACGCCTGCCTCGTCAAACTTGGAACGACCGCGGAGAAGCGCTTCATGGTGCTTCGCCAAGCCTATGAACGAAGGCAAGTAGAGATTCAATGGACCGAAGGCGCATTGAATTCCGCAGATGCGATGACGAAGGGAAAATCTTGCGGTGCGTCGGCTAAACTCATCGATTTGAAAACCTTTGTATGGATTCAGAGAGAAACTGAGCCATCGGAGTAAATACTCCCCTAGTACACCACCATATCCAGTTTCTTTCTTTAATCTTGCTGTCTCTTCGTGTTTTACCCTACTGTTCCTTAATAGTGACTACATATTCATCTATAATTCGCTTGACCTACTGTATTTTGTTTTATCATATCTCTAGCCATGCGGACTTTTAAAGCTTCTTCAGTGTTGGAACATAGGTATTGTCAAATACAATACCATTAGTCTGACATATGAAATATGGAGCCATGATTCTCCGTAACAAGTAAGCCATGTGAGCTCCACATCGAACGAGTATATTTACCTATTCCTCCATTAGCTAGATACTATGGAACGCACTCTATACACTGCATACGAACCATAATGCTTAGGTCAAGTAACCTCCCTTCAGGCTGGACTTGTGGAAGGTATAGACCCTGTCCTTCAGACGTGGTCTATCGATAATATCACTTGTTATTTTTTATCGTAATATAGTCAATATTTGATTCCTGTGTCCTTCATCGAAATGACACTAGTTTTGGAATCGTTTGTTTACAAACTGACAACACTCTTATTCTTGGCGACATCAAATTCGCAGAATCAGAGTGTTAGAGCTGTAAAACCCTAGTTTCTGACCAAAGAGCGTTTACAAATAACTTCCAAGACTCCGCTGGACTTCAACGGCAGTATTCATTGGATTCAAGGGATACCAGTGAATTTGCCATTTCTATATTGATGGAATCCATTTTCATTGGTTGGTTCCATTCAGGGACAAATCGCAGATATTTGAAGCGATTCAGCTCTTAGCTTAGCTATAGTGAAGAATTGGTGGGGATTACCAATTCGAGTATTTCATTAGGATAATAAAGCTGCCGCAGGTGTCAAGGCCGAGGGCCTATCTAGGCCAGGAAGGTATTGTCATCTAGGTCAACCGAAACAGAATGAGCTAATTGAGCGTGCAGGCGGAGTCTTTAAACTTCTTTCAAAAGCCTTATTGGATGAAAGGAAGCTCCTAAGGGAGATATGATCAGATTGATCAGAGTAGCTGTTTATATCTTGAATCAAATTCTAATCAAAGTCGATGTCGTATTTTTCTTTGCCTAAGGCATACTGTACAATTCCTCTCTTGGCTTACGGATACCGCATGTTAGAACCTACTCCTTACAGGAGGTGTGATGGATGGGACTCCATTAATCTCTGCACTTGTGAAAAAAATGCGTGGAGTTAGGTCAGTAATACCTACATATGTTGTTGATGATTTATAATAATATTCCACCCCATGATGGAATTTCATATAGATTTCTCGATCCGAGTATCAAACAATGACACCTACTACATATTTGGGTGGCCAAGGAACGGCATTTTCTATGTAGATATCTCTTCGTATACTCAATCGCACGGCTCTCCCACCACTAAATCGATAAAAAATACTAATAATAACCCCTCACATTTTCAATCGTTGTCTCTAGGAAAGGAAACACTAGTGGGTATTGTCGTACAAAAAGCTCAGACGAAAGCTTGGATCAATAGTTCTTGATGTCACACTAAGAGGGGCCCGTGTGTATACAATTTCCGGAATGGCTCTAATGGCAGCGGCTCGTATCCCCGGTACTAGTGGAATGCGCTAGTGGACTCTGGGCTTTCATGGTAGTCTGACATCTGATGCATCTATTTTTCAACAATCAATCACCTCAAAGTAATCAGATTCGTCCTATCCAACCCATTTTGACGATCCCCCGGGGCACCATCCCATTTTAGATCAGGATATTCATACACAACACGACAGATATGTTCCGGCCGGACGGACTTTGGTGTTTTTGACCTCATCCAGTATCTTTTGTTGTACTTTTTCTTCAATTTTAGGTACTTGGACACTGAATAATTTCTCCTTATTATGGCTTCTTCTCCCGATAGTCAGTCACACACTTCAAAAGGGTTTTCTTCATTTCAATAATTTGCGATCTTTCATAATGATTCAATTACAAGATCGTAGCATGGTTCCATCACAAAGCAGCATGGTTCCATTACAAGGTGGAAGCTTGACGGCGTTCATTGTGGCGACCGTGTCGCTGGCTATATCCCTGTTCGCCGTTTGTCTGCGATGTTTTGTCCGAATTAATATCGTTAAGGCCTTTGGATTAGATGACGCATTTATGGTATTTGCAATGGTCAGTTGAAGAAATGTCTTCCCTTTATTCATACTATAGAAACTAATTCATCTACTTGTTAACCTTCAGCTTCTAAACATGTTATTTTGCATTTGTGGTATCATGGGCTCTTTAAATGGAACAGGCCTGGAAATGGAACCAATCTTAGTACATGGCACGTTGGAGAATTGTTTATTTGTCCGTTCCAAGCTTTCCCCCTTTATCTCGGACCAACATTTGAACTAACATCTCTTAGTGGTGGTGGCTAGGCTCGACTTCTTATATTTGGGTCTGTGCAATGGCCAGGATATCAATCGCTATCCTTCTAATACGCCTGACCGTTGTGCGGGCTCACATATGGATTTTATATGGTGTTATCTTTGTAACTTCAGTCGTCGGTCTGGTCTTTTGGGCTTTCCTCACCTTCCAGTGCCACCCAGTTTCTTACTGGTGGCGTCAAGCCATTCTTTTATACGAACCTTCGGCTGATATAACTGGATCCTGTCTGAATATCAGCCGTACTATTGCCAATACCTATGTCTATAGTGTCACTTCGATGATTTGCGATCTGACGCTTGCAATTCTGCCTCTTTTCATGGTCTGGAAGCTACAGATGGAGCTCAGAACCAAAGCTCTGTTAGCCGGTATCCTAGCCATGGGTGGCATGTATGTTCCCCTAAAAAAAGGCTTGACCTGAGAATGATCTAACCTTTTACTCGTCACTAGTGCTAGCGCAGCAAATATCGCTCGTATCCCATATGTGGCCCAATATATGAGCCCTAAATTATTAAGTAAGTCTACAGCATTTCTGAGCCTCTATTTGGATTTATATCTAATAAATTGATAGGTGCACAAAACAATATTTCCATCTGGTCCAACGTCGAAGCTTGCCTAGGTATCACTGCCGGCAGCCTAGCCACTATCCGTCCACTCTTTCGCCGTTTCCACCGCTCTAGCTATGCCAAATCCAAGTCGGACAATGAAAACTTCCCGCTGCCTGTTGCACGGGGTAATCCAAATGGCCCACATGCCTGGCGAGCGGATAATGAGTCAGAGGAAACACAAATTGTCATCACTACCATCAGTCCTACGCATAAAAGCAGTCAGGCTAGTAGCCATCGAGACCTATATGATGATAGCAGATCTGATAGAGGATCTGAAAGCGAACTTGTCGTATAGTTGTGTCAGTATGTAAGCTTCTGATCGGAAGAAATCAAAAGGCCTTGATTGCTCAAATAAGGTTTGCGGCGGCAAGAAAAACATTCTTTACTCTCTTTTAAGAATATTCAATTTTCATGAATAAATAGTCAACTTCATTCAAATCTTGTGCTTGCGTACGGATCGCCTTACAATGTTACGGATTTGACTAACGTTACAGGCCACGACTGAGCCTTGATTTCTCAATCAGCCATCATTTACTTAAAAAGGTATCTGGAAGATATGGAGACTTGTAGAGCGCTAGAATAGCTTTTATAAGGTGCACCGGCTACAAAATGGTATTGTTCAGAGATGCAATTCAACGAAAATAGCTGCTCTTGTAAGTCTGAAGTCAATCATTGAGAAGTGAGAAGGCCTATCGACGGCAAGCTGTTCCGTATAGGTAGCTTTGAGACACAATGTATTCTAATATAGAATAAAGAAAGAAGAGATTCTTAGAGTATCCTTTATTCAAGAGATCAATATCATTAGACAGCTTATGAAGATATTCAACAATTACCTACATAAAGATTTGCGTAAAAGAGGGCGGCGGCTCTTAGTCGAATCTTCGTATGAAGAGCTCTGATTTTACAGTATTAGCTGTCAGCCTGTCACCGGGAAGCCCTGCTCTCCACACCCTGTGGTCATATGTTCTAGGTTGAATAGACGTAGATATGTATGAAATTCAAGGGTGAAAGAGGTATAGACTCATAGGTATACAATCAGGAGTGGGAGTAATTTTTGTTCAAACCCAAGAAAAATGGACCCTGAGTCCCGTAGTTGTGTGGCGGTTTCAACCGACTGTCAGGCGTTTCATAGCGGCTTTGGAATCACGAGTTAGGGTTGTGAGTCGGGATCATTGATCACGTGATTAACACACAGGGTTTTGGATTCGCGAGAAAGGGCTTTCCCCACAGTATTTCGATATCACAGTACGTTCCTTTTAGGATATTGACTACCGGTCATAGGCTATAGCACCTTAGATCCATTAAGGCTGCTTGGCCTATCATTTCATTTGCTATAATGCAGAACACATCTATACGTCCTGGTCTGGGCCCAGCTGCCGTTGTACCTTTTGTTGGTTATGTAAAAGAAGTTTGGAGTTTCTTGGAAGCCTATAGTGGATCCCTCCGAAGAATAGTTCTAACTCCTCAGTACTCGTCGAAATGTCAGCATCATGTTGCACCATCGACTCCAAAAATCGATGTCTAGTCTTTAAGCTCTAGGATCATTGGATATTGTTCGGTTAGTGTACGGAGTCTAACGTTTTACCGTTAGATTGAAAGCTAGCATTTGTCATGAAATCAATCTGGATTGTTGTAATTAGTACGTGTCAGAATTGTCAGAATTGTCAGAATTGTCAGAATTGGTATTGTAAGTAACTGTTTTTGAGTCAATCACAATGCTGGATGTGATAAAAAGAAATTTGATATGTTTTGAGTCTATATGTATCATTTAATCTATCTGATAATCAATGATCTTCCATCTTCTGCAAGGAAATTTCAGTACTTAGCAGTACTTAGTCCACAGTATTTTCCCTAGCCTCTCATCCTAATTCCTAGCTTCTGATAAATGGGCCAATGTGCGAAGTATGCAGCCAGCCACCACACACAAAAGAAATGATAAGATCAGTGTCATCCAACAGGCACCAGCAGGATAGAAAACTTTACATGAAACCCCTGAAACAATCAAGATAGCCACGGTATTGGATCCTATAACTAGTTGACTCTCAAATGTACGCTGACGAAGACAGGGCTTGCATCTTATCACGTGCTCCAATCCTAATGGGAAGGTCTAGATTTTTCAAGAGTTAGATATCGATGCTGATGAGCAAAAGAAACCATGGCTCTAGAATTAGATCCAAAAAATGGCAAGAACGTGGCTAAAATAGCTTATATTACTAATGATTATATGAATCTAAAGTTGAATGTGTGGTTTCTTACGGCGTAGTAAATACTAAAGTGGAAAAGGAAACTATCCACTTTCCGACCACCATATGATCCATGCCTGTTACACTTAGGGGCTTGTAGGACGTTTTATATCTTGTAGAAGGCATTTTGGGAGGGATTTTAGCTGAAAATTCAGCGGATTTAGCTAATTAAGCAACTTTATATAATGATAAGGGATGAATTCTAAATTCTAACGATAATGTGTAGTAGGGGAACCAGGGGATATCATTATCTACAGTATCTATTTTTGCAGTAGTTTGAATTGACTCAGCCTTCTTTCAGCAAATACATATTCATTATTCACGGTCGTGATAATCAGGCAATAGTTGACTAAGAAGATCACCCCACGTTCTCATATATACCCCTCTGGTTCTCTTCGACCCCACTAAGGAATAGCGAACAAGCAAATTAATATATGTCCCTAAGTATAAGATCCCTGTTATTTGACCTTCGTTCTTATGACACTGGAGGTGTCAGTCTTGCCGCCATCTGCGTACGAAGATCAGGTTCTTCGGTGGAGATACTGCAATTGTACTTTGTAGGAAGGTGGAGCGCCCGGGAGCGGGGTCTTCGGCCCACTTTCATGTGTCTATTCAAGTCGAGAACGCCGGTCGAGACTTCTACTTTCATCCTAACCCGAATTGGGCAGCCACGTGATTCACCGGACAAGACTCTCGTCTGCAGCTGCCCAAATTCGTGTCTTGGCCAAATAGAAATTACACGTAGGATTTACTATAAGGAAGCCTAGTAAGATGTAGTAATCAATCATAGTTCATTATTACGCCAAGGCGCTGATTCGTGTGCTGCCAGGTACATTATAATTCGATCCTGATTTGCTTACTGAAATGGACTATTCATACGACCATGCATTGGATATGTCATTTCTCACATCACACTGAGCACTGCTTTAGCGTCGCGTGACCAGGGCGAATTTTCAATAAACAGAGCGAGGACTGGGTGGCGATTGTGAGAAATTAGGATGAGATCAGGGTGAGACTAAGCTAACGCATAAGTACTGCACTGATCCTTGACTATCAAAAGACTATTGGATATGTTGTACCAACGCATGCTACGTGTCGATTGGTTCAAATAGTTAGACATCGACATATTCCTTATGCTCATGGTTGACGTTAGTGGTGGCGAGGGCCACCACACGACATTGAGCGCTTCCATCGCCCGGCAAGCTCGTACTCTAAGATCTGCCGCAACCAATCGCCAATGTCAAGGAGCTAAACTTATTTGATGTTCGCCAATTGCACGACTTTTTCACCCCTCAGCTAAGAAAGTGCCACTCTACCCTGCTGGATATCAAGATGGTCATTCTGAATGGCATGGAGTTAACAGTAAAGCAGGACATAGCTCCTTAATGCAGCAGTATCTAAGCCGATAAAGCTCTATGTCGATCCGGCTGGGGACAAGGAGGGGGCTGATTGAGGCTAAAGTGATGTAGATTGTTTTTTTGAGGATTTTAAGGGCCATTCTAGTTAGGTTATATCAATGATCTTCTCCCCAGACAGTCAAACACTAGCCTCAGCATCTACTGCTAAACGGTAAGACCTGATAAATTTAAATTTAGACAGCATAGTGTGTGTTTAGAGGGGTGATCTAGGTAGGGTTTAGGGAACGAACAATATTTTGGCGAGGTTCAAAATTTGGGCTATTGTAGCCTGTTCCGCTAGGGTCACTACAGACATGAGTTACCAACGAGACGACATAAGTTGAGAATTAGGAGCCAATTTGCTTACATTAGACTCCTAATCTGTTGCACGATGATGGTCAACTCAGGGACATGGCCTGCAGTTGCACCATACTGCACTGGTGCGGTGATTACTACATCAAGAAAAGTAAATATCTATTGATCTCGATAAGTTCATTGTTATTTTAAAGCAAGAGGAATAGTGCTTCCTTGGATTCTATTTCAACCGTAAGCATTGCGGAGGTTCAGCTAGCCGGTAAGTCAAAAAAAGGCGTCGCCAGGCGAATCCAGGCGGACATGGCAAATGATATTTGGGGAATGACTATAGCGGCTAAACATGTAGGAAGACGGTCCCCCATCGAAGTGGTGCGATAGAAGGTGTTAAGAGAAGAGTTGTAAGCCTTCAATGAAGGCCCCGGCATGTATGTTGGGCTTTTTAGTAGAAGTTGTTAAACATATCTCACACTCTCTCACTTTCCTTTTCACTATCACTTCATTCTTATAATGGATTATTATTAGTCCAATGGAAGGATACAAGTATATCGTAGTTGTATCGATCTGTAAGATACAGCTAAAAAGAACCATGTTTTGCCCACCGGAAGCAAAGTAGCCAAAGGATCAACACCCAAGTTCAAAAAAAGACAGCCCCTAAATAAGATATCGTGTATGGCCGCATCCTGAAATATGAAGATAGTAGTAGTGAAAATGAACAACGATGGCTGAAAACAATTCGATAATAAGCGTTAGTACAGGGGTATCACATGCGATATCGTTTGAGGATTGATTTAGAAAGGTCACGAGATCGAGCGAGTGGTTGAAGAATGAATTTATTTTCATAAGACATCCTCGGAAGATATAACAGCCAATTGCAATAAAGGGTTGTCAAAGATAAAAGACGGGGTGAGAAGGAGGAAGGTTATAAGCTGTGAGATGATATCACATGTAGGTAGAACCTTGACGACTGTTGCTACTGTTGCTAGAACTGCTGTACGAACTCATCTCACTGCCAGGAGTCTGAGGCTCAGAAACTATCTGTTGACGGATGGATACAATCCACTCGTGTTGTAAGAGCTCGGCAGCAGTAGATCGCTGGAGAGGATCACATTCGAAGCAACGGCTTAAGAAGTCGATTCCCAGATCGCTAAGTTGGTCGGGGCTTGGCAATGTAGGTTGGTTTCCCTGGGCAATATTGTACATGATAGCCCATTCGTTGTCAAGAGTAGACCACGGGCGACGGCCAGTGGCCATTTCAAGAATCACGCAGCCCAGGGACCAGATGTCGACGGCGCCTTGACGATGATTCAGGTCGGGGCCGTCGTCGCCGCGAATCACCTCGGGGGACATGTACATGGGAGTTCCAGTGGTACTCTTTTGGTTCTTGCGTTGGTTACCAATCTGGTCGTCTTTTGCAAGAAGAGGATCCTTGATCCTAGGTACAGGGCCCACAGGACCGTCATACGCCGGAGCTATTGTACGGCCTGACCTAGCGATGATCTTTGCCGCACCGAAATCGACGTATTTGATGACTCCATTATGATCTAGCAAGATGTTCTCAGGCTTGATGTCGCGGTGAACGATGCCTGCTTGGTGCAGATAAGCGAGACCCTCCAGAAGTTGAAGCGCATAGACCATGATGACCATTTCATCTTCGACGCGGCCATGCTCCAACAAGCTGGCAAGTGAACCACCGGAGCAGTACTCCATGAAGATGTAGACCTTGTCACGGTGCACTTCTATGCCATGGTAGGAAACAATGTTGGGATGGTCCAGCACCTCGAGGACGCCCATCTCATCACGAATTTGTTGCGCAATTTTAGGAATCAACTTGGGATCCTGCAGACGAATCTCTTTCACGGCCATCAGATAATTGCTATCCAAGTTGATAGCAACGTAGACAGAACCAAAGGTGCCGCCTCCAATGAACTGGCCTTGTTGCCAGCGCAAAGTGACGTGGGTAGCCGATGAAGAGAGAACAGTGAGAGATCGGTCTGCCTCGTTTGAGCCCTCCAACACGCGTCCCAAAGCTTGACGTTTGGCGTCCTCCTCTACTCGCCTGTCCTCTATTTCAGTCACACGCGCATACCGTGTCTCGTGAACAATCTGCGACGCCTCTTCATCGCTCAAAATTCGACCGGCACCAACCATTCGAGCTCCAGCGCGTTCCTCCATACGCTGCTTCTCAGCCTGGGCAGCCATAGATGAACGTGCGCCCATGATATCGAAATGTGAGATGAGAAGAGACATGCAGCCTGCCACTTTCAAACGTAGGCGACTGAACTGTTCCTCGTCCATAGATAGAAGATGCCTACTTGAGGTGATTGCCATGGCAAACTCGAGGGCAGCGACTGCCCACTTGAACGTCTTCCGATCAGCAGCGTCACACTGATCGCAAATGAAAGACACCCAGTCAAGGGACAACTCCACCAACCGGGCACTGTTCATTGCGCGCCGGTTAGCGTCGACATAGTTGGAAGAACGTTGACCAAATTCGGTTGCGAATGCGTAGCAAGCCTGAACCAAGTCGTTGTTCTCCCATCTCTTTTCTAATAGCTGGTTTTTGATGACAGCCACGCTATCCATAATGGCCATGGATAACTTGAACGAGATCTTTTTGATCTTGTTCAATTCTACGTTGACGCGCCCGAGGTTGGCACGTTGCTCAATTACCATATCCAGTTGGATACCAGTGAGGTGTGTCAGCTCAATTCTCGCATTTTGTAAGCGGTCTTGCATGCCCTCAACGACAAGACGAAGTTTCCCGAGACGCACATCAGTGGGCTGTTCTAATAAATCCACTTGCATCTCCTTACCTGCCCAGCCCAGTGGCCTTTCGGGGCGGATAACCAGTACATATGGAATATGTGTATCTTGAATGTCATCTTGCCGGAACGAAGTGGCAAGAATAGCTTGTATGTCGGTAGGGCGATTCCACAATGAATGGTGCGCAATCAAGTAGACGCCTTTCTGTCCGACCGAGGTGGGCGATGTGACGAGGAAGTGGTCGGACACCAGCAGCGCCTCGAAAAATTCGTAGGCGATATCAGCTGGCAAGTTGTATTCCGTAGCATTTTCGAATAGTTCGCAGAGAAATCGAGAGAAACGATACAATTTTCGTTGACGAATACGAGTTGAATCTAGGATACTCTTGTACCGCTTGTCCATATCTACAACCCTTTCGTTGGGTCTCGGTACCAACTCGCGTTCAAAGTGAATCATGAGTCGTTGAAGAGACTTGGCAGTCAGGGCGCTGTTTAGCATTAGTAGATTCTCCCTGTTAACGACTACAACCATATTTGGACCTACCTAAATTGCTCGGCAACTTCAATGTCACCGATTTCAAGCTGGCGGCCGATTTCGTAGGAGTACCCCCACTCCTGTTCTAGAATCTCTGCCTCCTTGAATGTGTTCTTGTTGGCATTGAGTTTCCAATTCAACAGCTTAAAGTAGTATTTCATAGCATCAAGAATCACCGAATCGAAGTTCTCATCAACGCAGGGCGGTAGATCCCATCCAGGCTCTGGCCTTGAAATAGCTAGATAGCGCTGCTTGATCTCGACCGCGACTCTCATGAGAATTTGAAATTGAGAGATCATCTGATCTAACAAAATGGGAGACTGTTGGGCTGGATCTTTCATATTTTTGGCATACGATAGACGAACGCGAATGATCTCTTGGATCAATCGTGAAGGGAAGTTAATCAAAGTTAGGAGCTCCTCAATGTATGGCGGTAAATGACGTTTGGCAAAAGCCTCTGCGTTTCCAATCAGTGTGCTCTTGGCTTTCTGAATGACTTCGCCAATACCATGCAGCATGCTGTGACCACCTTGAAGAGTCTTTAGGCCATCCTCTTTCATAATTCGATCCAAAAATGAGGAGTCATCGGATAGATCGCTTTGAGCAGACTTAACCCTGGGCTCACTGAAGTCCAGAGCGCCGTTTCCGACCCAACTTTGCAATACAGCCAGCTCAGTATTAATCAGAGCCGTAATATTGTGCCAGGCAAAGATCGCCTCGCGGCTAGAGTAGAACTCTTCAGATGCTGTGCGAGGATTGGCCGACTCCATCTCTTTTAGCGTTGAGTATAGGGCCTCGCAACGCTCCACCTTTTTCACGACATCTTCGACCTGCTGCCTCGGTGGCTTGCCGATTTCCGTTTCACCTTTAATCTGGAAGTTGATGATTTCTTCGATTACTGGGCCCAATTGAACCCTTGCGTCTTCAATGAGCTTTCGTTGGAGAGCAATGCTCCGCCCGCATGTTTTAGCCTTAACGCCGATCCACAGTGCAGTATTCAGAGCAGCCGATCGTTTGGACTCCACAGAGCCGAGCAATCGCTGCTTTTCTTGTTTCACCACATCTCCTTTCAGAACAGAAGCTAACATAGAATGCCATTCCAGGCGCTCCTGGTTCTTTGGATTCCTGAGTTCTTCGACCGTGGGTAGGTTGTCATCTGGCAGAAAGAGCTGGGTATCTGGGTCATGAACATCGTCGTCGAAAGGAACCTCCGATCCTGGGGAGGGATCTTCCAAATCTGCATCTCCCATGGGGCTGGGTGCGTCATCAAAGTGGTAATACCAAGCTTGAGGGTCACGGATTCGTTGCACATATGCTTTTTCTTGTGCACGGTATTGCGCATTCGGGTCGCGACGGGGGGTCTTTTGGTTGAAGCGGAGCGCTGGCGTTCAGTCTGGAAGCTAATATATTGTGGTGGACGCCGTTGGGGAGCGTAGGTGTTGGAGGGGGTTCTTGCAGGGCCAATTGGACGTTGAAGTCGTGGATCGACCGCCATCGCATGAGGATCGGGGGGTTCAAGCGATGTAGCAGCCCCAACACTAGACCCACGCGGCCTTGTAGTCGAGCCACTGGGCCATGCAGAAAGGCTCGAGGGATGGGATGGAGGAGATGAGTTGATGGTTGTGGCAGGCGTTTGGCCTTTCTCGAAGGGTTCGAAGGATGAATGGCCGTTTCTCAAAGGGTACTGGGGAGGGAACTCATCTGAGGACCCCGAGCCATCCGAATCATTGCTTACAATGTCAGGGAGCTCCATGGCCGTGTAATGACAGAAAAGCCTGATGAATGGTACATTGAAAGTGCCCAGATGATAGGGATGTGGCGGTGCGAGGACACAACCAATGAGATTGGCTCCACTCGGTGATAATCCTGGTTATCTACACTACTACTTACTTACGACAGCTCATGCACCCCCTCAGCTGCCGTTTGCATTTCTCCAATTCAATTCTTACTGGATTAGAATATGTGTGGCAAACTGATCTGAATTTTGATTCCTTGCTTTATATCTGATTGCTCATGCATTACGAAGCATATCGTGACATGTAAATCAATATGCTATGATCCAGACATGACCAGCAAATAACATGTAAATTGCCTGTTAGAATTAATTCAAGGTTTTCCTCAAGTCCAATACATATACAAAATTTACATACGTAGGTAAATACTACCATAGGGTACCAAGGTTGACTTTAGAGGCCTTAAATTTCAAGTAGTACCGTCTAGGTAGAGACATTCCAAGTTCAAGGTATGCCTGTGTGTACATCCCGAATGAGCATGGACCCTGGGAAGAAATCAATTCATTTACGAATCAAAGATTTATTTGGCAATGTATTCAGAAAATATTCTGCGCACGTAAAGATCACATTGCAGTCTTGAATAACCGCCGAATATAAGATGTAAATATGACAAATAACAAATCCACAAATAGATAGTATATGACGTTGAAATAGGATAGCTGAAAAGAAGTTGTGCTCAAGATGAAGTAGGAGAAAGACACCGATTTCGCCGGAGGATAGAGAACGCCATTTAGTAGTCGTGAGGCATGAGGAAGAAAGCTGAGAATATATGTTGAGTTAGTTGACACCGAGCACGGGCTATATAAGGTTGAAATTCTCGAAAATGCTGTCCAAATTGCGAGATGATTTAGTTGGCGAGATTGAGAAGTGCATGAGGTGAAGAATAACGCCTGGTATGGTATCAACCTGCAGGAAAACCAAGCGTCTTTATAAGTTTGATAAATGGGGACGAGGATGGGAAGGATGTAAAACGCCGTTTTTGCCACATGGCTAAGAGAAAGAAGGGCAAATCAAATGGGGATTGTGAAATGATTGTTGGATTCATCCATTCGCCCCGCGAAATGGATGAATTCAGCACCAGCAGTCGAGCAGATGAATTTAACGATATTCGAGTGCTGGAGCGCATCCACGATCCTCCACATGCTTCAGCTCAAGCTGTTGAAAACTGCTAATACGATCAGCTGTCAAAAGTCGAGTCAAATTGGCAATCTAGGCTTACCGCTCGCTCTTTGCATGGAAATATACACCGCTCACAGAGCCCTCAATCTGGTTAAAGCAGATATAGTAGAAGCCTTCAAAGCTGGCTCCCGAGATCGTCCGCACGCGGTGATCAGGAACGAGGAAGTATTCTTTCCATCTCATAAATATATGCTCACGCTGGGCAAAGTTGCGGTATGTAAAGTCAGCTCGTTTGGCTTGCTTAGCAAGCGGTTTCCAAGCCGGAAACCGAGACCAGTGGTGCATGTCAGTCCTTTCGTTGGCACCCCATTCTTCATTACGGGTTATAAACGTGTGCTTGGTACCAATGATCTCTCCTTCGAAGAAGGTGGTCAAAGTGGGATGGTCTGGTGTGAGGCCTTGGATACGCAGATATCCGCAAAGGTAGGACTCGGCCATGTCCACTTGCTTGATCTCGACGTCAACATTATACATTTGTGAGTCTGACTGCTGTGTACCGGTGAATTTACTACCAGAGCGAAGAAAAGAGGAAGTGTGGTTGGGCAGAAGCTGTTATATTTGTTAGCCCGATAGGGTGGCGATTTCATTGTTATCGGGAACCTACCCGAACGTTAGAAAATTCATATCGCAGCAGCGATGGTTTGAGCGGCATAACAGGGGACTCGCTGCGGACGCATGAGTCTGTTGGTGAACCGGACCTTGCTGGGCCGGCATCATCGTCCACTCTAGCGATATGCCCTTCCACCTTTGGTGGATAATTTACCAAGAGAGCGGTCCCATCTTCGGAGCGGCTCATCACGGTGGGCGCTATAGCGCTAGCGGGTGTAAGAACATCATCTGAGCCATTTCCGTTCAATTCGATATTGTCTGGTGATCCTATTCTGGCTGATAGTCCAGTTTCCGGGGGACAGCTGCGGGTGGATATCACCTCGGCGATCGAACTCGCTGGGTTGTTACTCGGAGTTGGCATTGAGACGGAATCAAGGGAAGAAGAGCGTAGACATTGGGTCGATATCAGGGGTAGCTAATGAAACCAGCCACCAAGAACTACTGTGAATGTAGAAAGTGGAAAGTAGAAAGTTTAGAATATTGGAGGAAGTTGTACGGAGTATGTCCGTCTTAAAAGGGCGGCCAGTTGCCCCCACTTCTAAATATCCTATCACGTGTGGTAATGCCATTATCACCTGACGAATTCCAGCGCAAAATAGCTGTCATTCGCATTGATTGACCTAAGTTGTACATCTCGGAATTTGAGTACTGTTTATAACATTTCTTTTATTCTTTGAAAGTGTTTGGGAAGAGGCTCGAAAGGACAATGGAACATGGCACAACGAATCTGGTTCTAATGACGATGATAGCGACGATAATGAAAGATCTAAGTCGAATGTAGATCTATAAAATTCAGGTGAACCGGTTATCTTGGAACTATGTAATACAATATACGCTGTTAGTGTGAGTATGATGGATCTAGAAGCCTTTTCAACCTATTATGGGCTATATAGCCCGACACTGGTAGGTCTTAAGACTCTTAGCTGTACATCTCTAAATATAACTACTGCTTCTCTCTACTTCTTGTTCCGAATTCTTAACCTTTCAAATTGGAAAGACTGACAGTTTCAGAGTACCACAGGTCTCTAGGGCTGTCCTTTCTAAGTCTTTGGTAAAAGGTTGCCTAGGTGTCTAGGTACACTTGCATTCTAAAGTTTTGTCTACTGCCCAGGTTGTAAGCAGTGTTGATTTAAAAGTCATTAATTTTCTGAATTCATCTGGATTTCATCCCAATCTCATGAGAAAATGGTAGTTATTGATGATAAACGCCTGGCATAATTAAAGCAATCTTCATATTTCTGTATTCTTTTGCCTTCTGTTTATTTAGATCGGCTTGATCTGTTTGAGCAGAGCCATTAGTTATAATTCAATAGCTGGAGTACCGAGTACATACCTTAAAATGAAGAGAGATAAGTGAAAACACAAGAGCCTTCAGGTCTTGCACAAGGTAGTAAAAGACTCGAAGTCCCTCGGGATCCGAGGATTCGGTCACATCCATCAAAGAGCCGATCTTCGCAGTCTAAATAAAGTGAAGTCGAATTCGTCAGCACTTGAGTTGCAAACTGTCTCCACGGGGCTATCCTTACCTCGAAGTCAATATGTTCGCCATTCAGTCGGATTTCCAATTCCTGGCGCCCGTCCTTATTCTTCTGCGGCCAATTTGAATCATCCTCCCTAACGCCTGATTAGTGTTGATATTCGGATGCATTGATTATCTGTCGCGTACTTCATAATTTCGCTGTCCTTGATGATGTTCTTGATCTCTTGGACCATGGCGGCGCTCACACACACTATACAATTGTTAGATTACCGGCGCATTACATGGTATTATCTCTATACTCACTTTCTTTGCGGATCATGGAGTCATTGCGATAGTTAGAATTGTTCGCATATCGTACAGAGGCACTTCCCCCATCAAGAGGACGGAAATCGAATTCTGATTGCGAGTGAGCAAAATGAACATTGATCACATCCTAGGGAGAAAGACCTACCTAAGAACTCATGTCCAAACCGCCCGTTGTGTCCGGAGCTACAAAATTATTAGAAGGGTTTGAAGGCTGGGCTCAGGCATTAAATCCCTACTAGTAGCGTAGATAAAAATTGTCATTCTCCGACATTTTGGTGAGTTGAGAGCTGGCTCCAAGCAGTAGATGTTGCTCGCGATAAAAGGCGGAGGGGAATGTAAATATTACGGCATGAAATTGCGGCCAAAGATGCAGCTCCCTTACCGCTCCTTCCACCGCCTATAATGTCTTAGTCATCCACACATATGGGCCCGCAAAGGGGACACCTTATGCTTCACCCCATTCGCGCATTCAAACCAACACGCCGATTATTTCTTGGCTGGCGAGGGGTGTTGGACAATATTAATTGCGCGTTCCTTAATTCCCCCCTTGAACTTCTGCTCTGGGAAGTGAACTTTTGGTGTGTTTGGCTTAAGCTGATGTGTCCAAAACATTCAACTGACAGCTTGCAGATACTAGATACTCCGTGTGTCGCCCAATTCCACCACCATGGCATCATTCCTCGAAAACTCCTACAGTCTAGTCCACCAGGACAACACAGCCGACCAGCCGACCCTGCAGGAGCTGCGTCTCCAGCTGGAGAAGGGTACCGATGAGACAAAGATAGAAACCATGAAGGTGGTGGTTGCGATCATGCTCAATGGCAACCCCATGCCCGAACTTTTGATGCACATCATTCGCTTTGTTATGCCATCGAGGAGCAAGCCACTGAAGAAGCTTCTCTATTTCTATTACGAGATCTGCCCTAAGCTTGACTCCAATGGCAAGTTGAAACAGGAGATGATTTTGGTCTGGTAAGGAGACTTCCCGACCAACAATACCCCACCAGCCCCAGCGAATTGACAAGACTTATAATAACTTTAGTAACGGTATCCGAAATGACCTTCAACATGCCAACGAATATGTGCGCGGCAATACTCTCCGCTTCCTGTGCAAGCTGCGGGAACCCGAACTCCTCGAGCCCCTCCTTTCTACGGCCCGCTCTTGTCTGGAGCACCGTCACGCCTATGTGCGCAAGAATGCCGTATGGGCTGTTTCTTCCATCTTCCAGCACTCGGAGTCTCTCATCCCTGACGCCCCGGAACTGATCCAAACCTTCCTTGAAGCCGAAACCGATGGCACATGCAAGCGCAATGCCTTTGCCGCACTGATGACCATCAGTCACGAGAAGGCTCTTGAATACCTTCGCACAACTTTTGACACCATTCCTAACACCGATGAACTTCTACAGTTGGCTGAACTGGAATTCCTGCGCAAGGATGCTGTCCAAAACCCTCAGAACAAGGTAGGTTTAGAGCCCAGCTAAGACAATTAAGATTCTGTTGCTAACCAATAACAGTCGCGATACCTTAAACTCATGCTCGAACTCCTTGATGCCTCTACTAGCACAGTTGTGTACGAAGCCGCCACATCTCTTACTGCCCTTACCAGCAACCCTGTCGCCGTGAAGGCCGCCGCGGGAAAGCTGATCGAGCTCGCCATTCGTGAGGCTGACAACAACGTCAAACTTATTGTATTAGACCGCGTGGATCAGCTGCGGATTCGCAATGAGGGCGTACTGGATGATCTCACCATGGAGATTTTGCGTGTCCTCACTAGCCCCGACATTGATGTGCGGAGAAAGGCTCTTGGTATTGCAATGGAAATGGTTTCCAGCAAGAATGTCGAGGAGATTGTCATGCTGCTCAAGAAGGAACTCGCTAAGACCGTTGATGAGCAATATGAACAGGTACGGTCTCCCATCAGTGTTCAATCTATATCTCAGAAAGCCTAACCCGTCGATTTAGAACAACGAATATCGCCAGCTGCTGGTTCAGTCAATACACACATGTGCCATCAAATTTTCTGAGATTGCCGCCAGCGTCGTTGATCTCCTCATGGATTTCATTGCCGATTTCAATAACAACTCCGCCATTGATGTGATTTCATTCGTCAAGGAGGTTGTTGAGAAATTCCCTCACCTTCGTAGTTCTGTCGTTGACCGCCTGGTCTCGACTCTAACTGAGGTCAGAGCTAGCAGGGTCTATCGGGGCGTTCTTTGGGTGGTCGGGGAGTACTCTTTGGAGGAGAAGGATATTCGGGAGGCTTGGAAAAAGATCCGAGCCAGTCTTGGAGAAATCCCTATCTTGGCATCCGAACAACGACTACTAGATGAAGTCCCAGAGGATACCGTTCTCCTTCATGAACCGGCCCCTGTTAATGGCCAAAAGGCCGCTCCCTCTGGTTCCCGAAAGGTGTTGGCCGACGGCACTTACGCCACTGAGAGCGCTCTCACCAGCCAGTCTTCCGCCGCTGCTCGTCTTGAAGCCGTCAAGGCCGCACAGAAGCCACCACTGCGCCAGCTTATTTTGGATGGTGACTACTACTTGGCCACTGTTCTCTCGTCCACATTGACCAAGCTGGTGATGCGTCACTCGATTGTGTCGCAGGATATTGCCCGCACTAATGCCCTCCGCGCCGAAGCCATGTTGATTTTGATTTCCATCATGCGTGTTGGCCAATCTCAGTTCGTCAAGGCCCCGATCGATGAGGACTCTGTTGACCGTATCATGACCTGTGTTCGTTCACTGGCTGAGTTCACTGAAAAGAAGGACCTCGAGACCACCTTCCTTGAGGACACTCGCAAAGCATTCCGTGCTATTGTTCAGGTAGAGGACAAAAAGAGAGCCGCCCGGGAAGCTGTGGAGAAGGCCAAGACTGCTGTCCAGATTGATGACGCTATTCCCATCCGACAATTCGCCAAGAAGAACGCCGTCGAGGGAGCTGAGGAGATCGAGTTGGATCTTGTCAAGGCTACCGGTGGTGATTCCGTTGTAGAGAGCGCACCATCAAAGCTGAGCCGAGTGGTCCAGTTGACAGGTTTCTCTGATCCAGTTTACGCCGAGGCTTATGTCACTGTTCACCAGTTCGATATTGTTCTGGATGTTCTGCTGGTGAACCAAACCACCGAGACCCTACAGAACCTATCCGTGGAGTTTGCCACTCTAGGAGATCTCAAGGTCGTTGAGCGGCCATCCACCCACAACCTTGGCCCGCGTGACTTCCTCAATGTCCAAGCGACAGTCAAGGTCTCGTCCACTGACACTGGTGTCATTTTCGGAAACATTGTTTACGATGGTGCTAGCTCCACCGAGACCCACGTGGTCATTCTCAACGATATTCACGCCGATATTATGGACTACATCCAACCTGCTCACTGCACTGAGACTGAGTTCCGAACTATGTGGACTGAGTTTGAATGGGAGAACAAGGTCAATATCAACTCCAAGGCCAAAAACCTGCGTGAATTCCTCAAACAGTTGATGGATAGCACCAACATGGCCTGCTTGGCCCCTGAAGCTTCCCTGAAGGGTGACTGCCGATTCCTGAGTGCTAATCTTTACGCCCGGAGCGTGTTCGGTAAGCAACAACTCTCAACATGACCAGTTATGAAGATTCTAACGTGTATATCTTAGGCGAGGATGCATTGGCGAACTTAAGCATTGAGAAGGAGGGAGATGATGGGCCTATCACTGGCTTTGTTCGTATCAGAAGTCGTTCACAGGGTCTGGCTTTGAGCCTTGGCTCTTTGAAGGGTCTTAAGGCCGCCACATCATAAGTAGATTTGCGGTTTGTTACTTTTTATTCTATTCCAGCGGGCTGCCATGAAGTGCCTTTATCTTATGTCTTGTCTTTACTATTCATGTTTCCCCCTGATCATTTTCTTATTTTTCTCATGAAGTCCGAGGGCAATGAGGCTCTGTGGAATTCAAGTATTCAGGAGTTGAAAATAGAAAATAATATATTATTCCTGATTTCCTTATGTTGCACAACATCTAGATTCTAGTCCGTGCAGGGACCCGCAGCCGCACGGTAGAACGCGGATCGTTGATTGCTCACTTGATCCTTCCCTCATTTTTCCATTGACAACATTCTATACCTGCGGCTCCCCATATCATGTACTAGTTTAAAACATTTTTTACCCCTTGCCATTTTCCAGAATGGTAGACTCATCTTCATCCGCGGAACAGTCGGAAGCACTGCTACAGCATGACATGATCCTCGTCGATAAGACGGTCGTGCTCACTCTAAACACCAGCTCACTTTTGATTGTTGGTCCGTACTTACGATATCCATATGGAATAACCATATCTAACTTATTCTGAAGACCATCGCAAACCTGGACAATCGCAACGCAAATACTGTGGGCTATTTAAGTCAAGTAAGCCGGGACCAACTCTTATCTGCGATTCACAACTCAACCGCGGCGTCCTCTTCTTTCCGGAAACTAACGTGTTTTTAAAGATCCACCATCCAAGACCAAACATGACATATCATTATACCATATCCTTGCCGCCGAAGTAGCTGCCTCGAGCTTGGTCATCACCTATGCCGCTCCCTCGGGCAAAGACGCAGTCACCGCCGCCGTCCTCCAATATCCCATTGTCGATAAAGAGAAACCTGCCGTCACAGTATGGGTGAATGAACTACTCAACCTGGTCTACGAAAATGCACTACGCGGGAAACGTTTGAAGGTTTTGATCAATCCATTCGGCGGAAAAGGAACGGCTGCGAGCCTTTACCACAAACAGGCAGCACCTATCTTTGCTGCTGCTCAGTGCAAAGTGGATGTGCAAACGACTGAGAGTAGTGGACACGCCATAAATATTGCGGAACAACTCGACATTAACGCCTATGACGCCATCGTCTGTTGCTCCGGCGATGGTTTGCCGTACGAAGTCTTCAACGGCCTGGGCAAACGACCTAATGCACGAGAGGCTCTGGCTAAGGTTGCTGTTGTTGCGCTACCTTGTGGCTCTGGTAACGGTATGGCATGGAACTGCCTGGGAACGGGAAGTGTGTCGATTGCTGCACTGGCAATCGTGAAGGGTCTAAGAACACCCTTGGATCTGATTTCGGTCACGCAGGAAAATTCTCGCACACTCTCCTTCCTGTCTCAATCGTTTGGTATCATTGCCGATGCGGACCTTGGCACAGATAATATTCGATGGATGGGTGCACAGCGATTCACATATGGATTTCTCGTCCGCCTGTTGCAACGCACAGTTTATCCCTGCGACTTGGCTATCAAGGTCGAGATCGATGACAAGAATGCGATCAAGGACCACTACGCTGCATATGCAGCTCGTGAAAAGGATCATCTGCTCGATGTCAGCCGCATCGAGGCTGCGGAAAAGTCGCCGGAGCTTCCAGAGCTTCAGTTCGGGACAGCGTCAGACCCACTTCCCCAGGACTGGGAAGTCGTTCCCGGACAGCGGATGGCCAACTTTTACGCAGGCAATATGGCGATCATGTCCGAGGATACCAATTTCTTCCCTGCTTCTCTCCCGGGCGATGGATTCATGGATGTTGTGACGGTTGACGGAACTGTCAGCCGCATGACAACGCTCCAAATGATGAATGAAATCCCTACTGGTGGATTTTTCAGTATGCCTGATGTGATAATCCGCAAGGCCACTGCATTTCGCCTTGTGCCACATAAAAAAGAAGGGTATATCAGTATCGATGGTGAACGTATTCCCTTCCAAGCGTTCCAAGCTGAGGTTCATCAGGGTCTGGGCACAATACTCACCAAGTCAGGGCATTTGTATGAAGCCAAAGGGCCAAAATGACAACCCATGTGCGGTGCCCAACATTCCAACCATAAACTGAGTTTGAGGTCGACTATTTCCATGCCTTCTTCTCATGCACCAGGGTCTTTTTCTTCATTCATGATACCCTTGCGCAAAAGGTCTTGCGCTGTGATTTGTTTCGCCTTCGGGGCTGCGTTTCTGTTTGTCAATTGGCGAGCTCTCATTCGATGACAAGGACGCAGCAATTACTATATGCCGAAGATTGTACAATGCTAAAGCTAGATTATATCAATAAATCTCTACATTTGAGCTTAGATGTTGTAGCCAAACTTTTTTGTCGTAAATAACAGCCGCGCTAGAAAATGCTATACAAAAGGATGAACAGAATATTGAGCGATACATGCGTCGTCGTGGTATATCACCTATTCATCAAAACCACCCCATTCACCGTCGGTATCCTCTTCGTCATCCTCGTTGACCCGGGTACGAACGCCCCACTCAATCAAGCGATCATCGTCTAGTGCCTCGGCGGCCCTTGTTCGTACGGGCTTGTACGGGCTCTCAGAACGCAACTTCTCCAACGGCCGCAGGAGGAGCTCCATAGGCACATCGCCCTTGATTTTGCGCTTAGGTGTCTCATCATCATCATCACCACCTTCCTCAGAGTTCTCGAACTCCAAAACCTTCTCCAACTCATCAACCCAAATATCAACCAAATGATAGCGCAGACCGTCAGGGCCATGAGGCATGGGCACAAAGTTCGGCTGATCCTCTCCCTCCTCCTCCAACTCAGCCTTGGATAGCTGATCTGGGTCAAAGTTAACCGGGCAGAGGGGACCTTCCTCAATGATAGCAATATAAGCTTCTAAATCAGCCCATTTTCCCTCTGCGTCGCCATTCTCATTCTCAGTGGCGGCAGGCTCGCTCTCTACCTGCTTCTTTTGCTTCTTGCCACGGCCAGTCTTGGCATCTTCGCGCTTGCGCTTCTTGCCATCTGCTTGGGCCTTTTTGTCGCCCTTGACAAAAACCTCAAATGCAACGCCAACGTAGAAACGGATCAGCATTAGGTACTTCTCCAAACGCAATCGGTCCAGGGAGTGGTAATCGCGGCCGATGGTAATCCAGAATGCGCGTAGGAAGCGGTGGACTGTGGCACGGGGGAGAGAAGGAACGAGAGAGTAGGAGAGGGAGCGAGCGAGAGCTTGTTGCGTGAGCGGTCGGTCAGAGTGGTAGAAACCTGGAAGGCGAGAAAATGAGTCTTTTTAAGTTTGGGCGGATGTATAGTTTATGACTGTAATAGTCTGACTCACAGAAGAATAGACCCTTCCATAGCTTGAGAAGTTCGATCAGAGTCAAATCATTGCGCGAGCGCAAGAACAGTGTGAGGGACTCGAGAGCCTTGTCGCGGATTTTGCGGTCTGAAGTCATAAGTCAGTATTATTTTTAGGAGCTTGTTTCTGTATTGATACATACCGCTTGAGGCAAGGTCCCTCACGAAGGGAGTTTTCTGGGATTCCGCCATTGTGTCTTGTCAATTGCATGTGTCGGAGCTTCTTTTTTCTATTGATAAATTATTTTTTTTCCTTGATACGCGTTTGCACTGTTTGCACGAAATGTATTTTTAATTGGCTGGCTATATCTTTTGGCCTCAGGTGTCAGTTTAACTACCCAAGTTAAATCCAAATTCACATATCTACATCAGATCCCCGAGCGGTTTGGATCATTTTGTCAGAGTTCTTCCAGTAAAATAGGAGACAATCCAATATCTGCCAGACTTCTGAAGTGGATTTCAAGATTTTCTAGTACGAATTGGCAATTCGTTGCGACGAGTAAATATCTCATGGTTTTGAGAGCTTTTCAACTCACAAGTCTGATTCAGCTCGTCAACTGATCAGTGCCGACAGACCACATCTGAAGGCTAGAATCTGTACTTTCCACAATTCCAGCCTGAAGGGAGGTTACTTGACCTAAGCAGTATGGTTCATAGTGGGCAGTACATAGTGTCCATTTCATACTAGCTACTGGAGGGTAGATATACCTGTCCCATGTGGAGCCCTCTTGATCTGCTTATCAAGCGGGTTAAAGGAACTCCATAGCTACAGTATCAGACCAGTGTATTTGCAATACATATTTTCCGACAACAGCCATGACATGGTTTCTATCCCCCTCAATCCCATCAAGCTTCCTTTGTAGTTATCATTCCTACTCTATCAGAATAATAATATCTGCTGTAATGAGACGTAATATAAGAACTTCATTACATTATGTCGACTAATAAATAGGAAGAATCAACTAAGGAACAGGAAAACAAGAACTCAAGGCGGGAACTAATATGCGGAGGCATGCGAAGAACACAGCCGTACGTACGCCGCATGTTATGGGGTCTGTGACCCTGTCCTGTAAATACTCTTTACAATAAATCATAGGGTGGTAATCAGGTGGGACATTGGACGTAACTATACTCTTATTATACTTCTCGCCAAATCATCTCGCTATTAACTATTATTAACTAAGTAAAAGAGATTAACTTAAAAGTTTATGTTTGACCCCGTTGACAGTGGTTCAGCTGATCCTCGGACTATTTCAATGTCTCAGCCACTGTATTCATCACCGCCTTCTTATCTGTAAATTGAAGAGCTGAATTCATATTTCATATACGGGTGAATAGTATTCTTCATCCATTTCATGCGGTTGTTTATCGGATCTTGTCTGGTAAGGAAAGTTCTGGTTTGTGATAGACTTATTGTGGGGAAAGGCAGATTACTTCTATTTTTGACGGAATATGAGACAGCCAATAAGCGCAGCAGTTATTGCGATACTTGCAGCAGGGCCAGTTACTGCGCCTGCAATCCAGACTCGAACTAACTGATGCTTCCGTCGCAGTATGTCATTCACTAGCCTGTGCAACTATTGTGGGTGTCGCGGCTGTGGATGAAGACATGGTAGACAATAAAGATGTGGTAGTTGATAATGGAAATAGTAGATGAAGAGGTGGTAGATAAAGATACGGTGGGTAAGAGTATGGCATATGAAGCTGGCGAAGATGTGGAGGACTCTACCTAGGTACTTTATCATTAGTCCTTTAAGTCGACCTCCTTTTTCCAGTCAGGTGGGAAATACTTTAGCTACATAGTTAATTTTGTAGGGAATTTGCGAAATATTGTAAATACAGCCCATTCCACTACATAAAATATACTGTGAGCGGACTCGTAGACAGCGTTCCATATGGTACTGTCTGAAACATTGTCATGCTTCGGCATGCTACGGCATGCCACGGCATGTATTGCTTTAGTTAGTGTGGATACTATTAGTTGTGAAGGCTGACCGGTTGACTAGACAGAGTCAAATTCTAAGAGGAAGTGTAGCACGGAGTACTTATTACAGGCATAAATACTCTGTAAGAAGTAGTACTATGTAAGATCGATGGTATCAGATCTGATCGTATCAGGATCCACCATAGCACGTGTGGAAGCAAAACGTGGCCCTATCAAGGCAGCTACATTTCGCCTTCATCACATTTTTTTAGCAACATTACTGGTGAGATGCAATGATCTATGTAGCCCCTTGCTTTGATCTTGCAAGAATCCTTTCTCTTCCATATATCTTGATGCTCCATTCTAGATTTAATCCTTTTCGCTCCCCTTAGGAGCCTATACACAATGTTATCAGTCTTCAACTCAAAGACCCTGCGCTCTATGCGCTCAGTTGTTGCTGCCATTATGTGCCTAGCACTCTTTTATTCTTTTTATACCGGTTGGAACCCAATACATATATCATTACCCAATCCCAAAACCTCCTTCAAGCCGGTTGGGACTGGTAATATAGATTCAATCTCACACGCTCCAGCCAGCGATGATTTATCCGGCACCAGAACCTCAATTCACAACATTCCAGACAAAGTGTGGCATTCCGCCAAGAATTATAATTTATCAGAACAACAGCGGAAATGGGTTAATAGCTGGACAGACATAGATCGCTATTCTCGTCAGGAGCTGTTAACTGACTACTCAAGCGAAACATTTGTTCGAACATATTACCATCAGACACGACCAGACATTGTCGAGGTCTACGAATCCCTGTCAATACCTATTCTAAGAGCAGATCTTCTTCGTTACTTGATTATCCTTGCTGAAGGCGGGTACTGGAGCGACTTAGATGTCACACTCGAAAAATCAGTCGCTGAATGGGTGCCTTTACAATATAAGGATCAGAATATCGATATGATTGTGGGGTTGGAATTCGACCTTTCATACCGCGGGCCAGGGACCGAGGTTGCATCCCAATTTTGTAATTGGGTATTCGCAGCGCAACCATCCTCGCGCAATCTCCAAGTGATCGTTGACTCTGTGATCAACACATTAAAGGGCATTTCCAATACCAACAGTGTTCCTATATCGGGAATCACTTTAGAAATGTTGTCAGACGTTGTGAATGTGACCGGTCCTAAGATAATGACCATAGCTATCCTAGAGAGTCTCGGAAAGCTATTAGGCAGAACAGTCGATGACCGAGATTTTTCAGGCATCAAATACCCAAAGTTAGTTGGTGATGTTCTGATAATGCCAGGAGTTTCCTTCGCTGCTCGTCAAAACGGATATCCAACGGACCAGGGAGAGGCTCTTGTGACACATCATTATGAAGGTTCATGGAAGAAGGCGGACGCAGAAGCGAAAGAAAAGAAAAAGCAAAAAGGACAAGAACAATAAATATAGTGTTGGAACCATCCCCAGACCAACCAACACCTTCACTACAGCCTCTGGATCATATTTACTAAGCGTTACCGTCTTAGTAGAGTCCTTCAGAAACTACTGACAGGGACAGGTATAGACAGAAGGTCATGCGATGATGCAGTCCCAACCAATTTCTGTTCTGACCTCGCATAGCCGCCGACTCCCCTTGAATCAATTATCTCTAGAAAATGTTTTGGGGAACCTTGCGTCACAACTATGACTTATCGGTTTTGAAATCAGCACTCACTGAATATTACTAGTGATTCGCTCCTTTCTTGAGTTGAAGTCAACTCTCATATAGTAACGGGCTGCATTCCTCCTTGACAGGTAGGAGCGAAATAAGCTGCAGTCTCGGCTAAAATAAGGTGTCCAAGACTGCATCTTGGAGTATTCGGTTGTCGCTTTCGATACACCCGGAGTCATGGCTTTACTGGATCTGAACACCATTCCTTCTGCTAGTGCTTAAGCACGCCTTAGATTGGTCCCATCACATCCGGCCGGTCAAACTGAATTACCACTAGGGTAGGGATTCAGCGAGCGCCTGGGGATTCGAGGCTTTAGGGGCTGTTATAGGGTATGTGGCAGATGAGTTTTAGGCTTAGGCATTGCAGCAAGAATGCCAAATAGTGGAAGAAGTATGAGACGAAAATTGCGCAGGATGAATACTGGTATGCAAATAGAGTAGATGAGGCGATCCACTGAATTCCAAGGTTATTGAACGATCTATAGGAACTAGGAATTACTTCATACCACATCTGATCAATAGATCTAACAAAAGAGACATAAATTGAAATTACCGTGGTAGACCTTAAGCAATCCCCAGTTTTACTATCTTGACCTCGCATTCGCTATGCTCTGGAGATCGCAAACTTGAAGCAGCATGGGGCAGGGGGTACAGGGGCTTCTGAAGCTTTAAAGTATGTATATCACAGTTGACACTTAATGTTCATACAACCATTCAATTTCTTCACAGACTACATCGGTTTCTGTCGGTACGCCTGTATCAAGTGTGGAATAGCTATTCGATAAAGGTGATGAGGCTAACGCCCACTTCTGACACCTATCACAGGTAACGCTTTACGCCCCTATGATATCTGTGTGTCCTTTGAAGTGGTTGTAAAGTCTGGTTTTCATTCTTAGTTTGCTATCTATTATATAGTAACAATTTGATCACATGACTGCTTTGTTCCATATTCCAACAGTTTCATTCAGGGTACCACAGCTGCTTGTTTGAATTTGAATTTGTGCTTCTTGGTAGGATCTCTAGGTTACTCGAGACCCACAATTACCATCATGTCGTGATGAGCGGCAAAGGCTTACATGAAATAAGCCTTGCCAATGTGTATCTAGTTATGCAAGGGTCCTTCCAGGATGGGCGTGTGCTAGGCAATATATTTAATAGGCGCATTGTTAAACAGGATACAACCTTCGGAAGATTTCCCAGGTTCCAATGTTATCTGTATCTACGGGCATATTGGGAAACAGATCTTATAGCTCATCTGTAGTATAATATCGATTGTGCTTATTACCATTGAAAAAAATCCTGCTTTATCAGAATTGATACATTGTATGATCAGATTACATTGAAGGTGACAGCGGAAACAGGGGTGGGCAAATCTGCCATACTTATACTTCATCAAGTGCCAGTCCACAATGATTTAGCGGGGCAGAATAAACTCTGCTGGTTATCTAGGAAATTCCAGTGAGATGAAAGCCTGAAATTCGTTTAACAGTGTTCTGCGAAACTCTGGTAGAGTAAGATGGCACCGGGGAGCTATCATACTACGGATGGTATCCGCCTCCTACTATATAGCAACATAGTTTGACACAGCAGTGGTATTAGGATATTCTATGCTAGTGGGATATCTGCCTGGGCTGTTAGATCCTCTGCTATTTCCTGGGTTAGGCATGTGTTGGGTCAAAATTCTCAACTATGTTTTTGCCAAACCCTCTATTCTAGTATTCAGTAAGAACAAAGCAGTAAGCTCTGTGGTTTAAGCACCAAAGCGGACTGGGGAGGCCAAAAATGGAAATTAAATTGATTCTCTACCTACCTGGGTAAGTAGATAACTTTTTATTTCTGCTTATTGTATAAAGTAACCTCCAGGGCTGTTATTAATTCTATTTGATCGAAGACAATATCGCCTCCCATACCTCCATCGACTCAACAAGACTATCATGATCCGTTCCATCCACAGTTTTAGAAGCGAAGTCAATAGCGTCCATCCCCGGTGCCTGCCAGCACTGTTCAAAATATCTTTGCCCACGGCCACCTATCATAGCATCCTTCGCAGCAAAGTACGCGCGAACCTTGAATGAACCTCCGGAACTTTCCCGAGTAGCCAGTGTCTGCGCACACTGGGCATAATCCGAACAGGCTGCCCAATCGCTGTCACCCTTCCGAAGACACGTGAGGGCCTCACTATTAGCACCGACTGTGTTTTCATCCCACATAAAGCGAGACGCAAGGCGAGAGAGCTCCGCTTGCTCTGTGTTCCCCTGATCTGAAGGCTCTTTGCTGCTATTTCTAGTCATGTTGATCAGAACATTGCTTGATGCAAAGACGGGGCCGGCTTGGGTGACGACGAAGCGCGGAATATGGTGCCAGAGTGCGAATGCTTTGGCGGGTATGTACTTTGCCATTTGCCACGTTGTAACTTGAGAGTGAGCGGGATCAACCCATGGAGCTAGGTGAGGTATGTTAGGTTATTATTCTCCTGTCTAGAGCTACCTAAGTGGACAGTGTATCTCATATCTATAGATACAGCTAAAAGTCTTGGGATAGGAGTAAATACCTAAGAAAGTTACATGTGGATTTATAAGCTCACGACACTGAGCCCATGTATTGAGCAGGTACATCGTGCCGTTACTATGCGAAACCAGGCTGACATGCGAAATACCGAGGTGTGCCAGTAGGCGCGGCAGCATATCGACCCAGACGGCAATTCGCTGAGAGAGTGGTACATCGGTCGAAGCGCCCATGCCCGGTCGGTCGACCGTTAGTATACGAACACCTGCGCGCTCTGCTACTAAATGTAAACGGATGCCGTTATAGCGGGAAGAAAACATGCCCGGTATGAAGAGCAACGTGGGGCCTGTGGTGCTGCCAACATCGGCGAAAGAGAAATTCAGCGAGCCATATTTTGTGTCGAGAGTGACAGTGCGGTGGAAGCGGTTGCTGGAAATCAGAGCAAGAGATTCTGCAGAACTTTCAACCATGATTATAATTATCTGAAGAGAAAGAAATATTTATGGAGGAGTTATCAAGAGGTTGGTTCTTATCTTTAGCGGCGAGAAGGGCGAGAAGGAAAGCTAAACTTCTGCCTTAGCTTCGGCTATTTGAAAAATTGTCTTACCTCTAATCCTATCTTTGTATGTGCCTATCACCAGGAGGTAGGTACATCAAGGCTCGTTTAAATATTTAACAACAAATTTTGCGAGGTTATGTCTACGTATTGATCCATAAATGGGAATAGGCAAGGAACTGTATATTTTGGAGTTGGAAACTTCGAAGGTTTCCCGAGTGAATCCATCCACCATGGATGAATCATCTTGTTGAAATCTCCATTAATTACGAAACCTATACATTACTATGATTAGTTTCATCTATGGATACCCAGTTACCTGCCTTGGAATGTTGGAACCTACTTCCTTATGATGTCCACCTTAGCTGCCTAAGGGCTAAACTAAGGCTGATTGGTCACATGTTCGCTTTGGAATATAATTTATAAAATATCCCACAAACTCATCAACTAGCATCATTGGTCTAGTGGTAGAATTCGTCGTTGCCATCGACGAGGCCCGTGTTCGATTCACGGATGATGCATTTTTTTTCTTTTCATTTTTTCAGCTTCAGGGCTCTTCAGGTACCTGTTACCTTCTATGGCTCCGAGGGTTACTTTACCTACATTAGTGACTGCAAGGAATCTAGATACTATGCCTTCATAGTAGATCCTTTTTTAACCTAACTACCTTGTTCATCAATCCCAAGTAATACTTGAACCCTAAGTTAAGAATATTCCCGGAACCCATTTGGGCATTAGATGATAGCTAGATAGTTACTCTACACATACTCGCAGAACAATGAGAGCATGGACTGGAATGTAGGGACTAGGTATTTACCTATCTAAGTCCATACTGGGCTACTTCCTAGTAAAGAGATGGATGTTGAGGTACGATACGGATTCCAAACCAACATCCTTCGAAGTGAAAGAGAGCATATATATCATTAATTCTACATAGCCAAGATTGACTGCCATTTGATTCTGACCTGAATTTGAAAGACGTTGCAAAGATCAAAAAAAATCATGGAAAGATATGCTCCGGGGTATAATTGCGCGAAAATGAAGAGATCGTAAAAGAGAAAAAAGGATGCTGATGTGACTGGGAAGCCCGAGGAAAGAGATATAGAAAAACAAATCATTATACCCAATGGTTGTTATAATCAAAATCAAACGTCAACAAGGGAAAGAGAGAGAGGAGCGAACACAATCATGCCGTTGAGAACCTGGCCATTTTTCCATCCCTGTTCGGGAAGAGACTGGCCTTCTTTCAACATATGGCCTTTCAAGGCAAGTCGGACACGTTTATCATTATCAAGCTAGACATATGTTAGAATCAGATTTGCTGCTAGGCGAAGAAGCCCAAAAGAGAAAAGAAGAAAGCCATACCTCGGCTTCCACGTGGATTTGCTTCGCCAATTCACCAACGCTTGTTTCCACATCGACTTTCAAAACTAAATCACCACTACTTAGTCGGACTTTAACACTGATCGAGTCGTGATCAGTAGTTTTGTTCTTCCCCGTACGGCTCCGTTCATAGATTGCATCGCGATATCTAGCCGCAGCAAGCAATTTGGCATTGGGAGTCGAGTTTTCTATGTCGCTGACAGCGTCATACAAAGGAGTAAACACAGCCATGGCGTTGACTATATGGTCAGCTCGCCATCCCTGATCGAGTAGAGACTCATGTTCATGCAACACCCGACCCAGATACACGATTTTGATAATTTTGTCCTTTTTGAGCTGTAGAAATATGTTAGAATCAACTTGTTACCAAGCGAAAAAAAAAAAAAGAACATACGCCTGCCTCCTTGTGGATCTTTTGGGCGACAAAGCCGACGCTCATTCTCCCATCAACTACCACGACAACATCCTTACCATCAACTAGGCGAGCCTTAACAGTGATCAAGTCCCGTTCAGAACCTTTTCCCCTCTCCGCGCGGCGCTGTTCACGGATTGCATCATGGTCCTGAAGATCATTTGCAGCAATCAATGTATCCTCGGGAGCATCTTCAGCCAGGTTCTTTGGATCACTGACAATACACCGAGGGAGACGATATAGCACGCCCTGCTCATCATAGCAGCCCGCAGAGAAATCCCCAGTCGGAACAGTTATACCAGCAGCATCAATGATACTCTGCGCAGTCGCGATATCACCAGCTCGCATCAATGTGAGAGCAGTATCGATGGCAGCCCATACTTCAGGCCGTCCAGTGACACGAGTGAAGAAGAAATCTCGGCGTTCCTGATCTATCTTAGCACGAGTCCAGACATGACGGCGGCTGAACCAAGTATTATGTGGACGGATTGGTAAGTTGAAGTGCTGTTGCAATGTGACAGGGTCATAAGACGGAGATGGGGTAGGTGGGTCGATTATATTTCGAGAATGATACGTAGTGGGGTTGGACGTGTGTTGTGGATTCTCAGTTTGTTCGTCGGCGCCCTGCGAAAAGATAGAGGTACAGCAACCCTGGGGCAGTATGTTAGTGCTGTTAACCAGTCACGGGGTGTGAGTTTGATATATAGCCAAACTCTCTAAGCTATTTCCCCTGACCAGGTATAGAATACGCATACCATCTTGCTGGTAATATGGATATCACCATAAACTGGGGAGGGGAAAAGGTGGGGGGAAGAAGTGGTGGACTGATATGAAGTACGCTAAATATGCGGGAATCAATAAAGGGATAAGCTATCTAATCGGGAAGTCAAAATAGAGACTAAACAAAGAGAATCAAATACAGCGGAAACAAAGCTCATCTTCTTCGGAATTTTTGCTAGCATTTAGTATTACACATGTATTTGGTTACACGGCGGATATTTTTTTCCCTTTAACTATCACTACTTAGAGGTCGTCTCCTGATTCTGACCCTTCATCATCGCTGCCAAATATGGCCTTGAAGATATTCTGATCTGGTCGCTCTGCTTCAAGTGCTTCGTTGTGCTCAGGCTGAACTACGGGCAGAGGGACTTGACCTGATCCAGGAGTAGCATCGGGCCTAGCATTATGGGGTTTAAGCCCTGATTCTGCCATGATGACATTCATGACCTCCTGGGAGACCAGCTCTTTCGCCGCTGGTTGCTGATACCCAGCAGGCTGGAAGCGAGTGCCAGGCCCGGGGTTGGAACCTCCAGGCTGTTCACCCGGGTCAGACTGTACATGCCGCGGGGGCTTGACGTTGAAACGCTTGCAGAGGAGACGCGAGGGATAGAATGTGTCGCTGCTTCTCGTCATATGTCCGAACATTCCAACCTTGGCGGCAGCGATGGCTGGAGGATCGGGCTTTTCTGCAGGTTTGCTGAGAGCAACTTCAGAAGAGTCGGGTGCGTCCGAGGCAGATTTTGGTCCGGAGGAAGCTGACGTGAAGCGGGATGCCATGATACCGGACATGGGTTTGAAGACTTCGGCTGCCCGGGCGAACTCTTGCATTTCGTTCATCCAATCATTGGTGCTAGAACCTGGTATTCGATCGGGAAGAGAATCCCGGATTCCTGCTCGTACTTCTAGGTAAGAACGGTAGCGCGCCCGTTTATCCAAGTCCTCTGCATAAGGCATCCATCCACTAACAGCCCGAGTCAAAGCTTGAACCGCAACCTGCTTATCTAGATTTGGAACTAGATCCCAAAGGTCTCTTCGCCGAACTGAATCAGACACCTCAAACCCTTTCGGTGCTTTTTCGCTCAGTGCCGGAGGTAGATTGGTGTTCCCTGTGAGTTTCGCAATCCGCTCCCGGGCCTCAGGTGTCATCCAGTCGAAGACTGATTTTCCTGGCAGCTGGGATTCACCAAGCACCGCAGCTCGAGAGGTAGAGTCGAGTGATGATGCCTTGGCAGCGTCAGCCGTAGAGACATATTTCAGGGCATCGCGCTCAGTTGAAGAGCGCTTGATAGCAGACGTCCAGCCCTCGGGGATCTGGGGAGCTTCGTATACCTTGTCAGATAGAGCCAAGCCTGCAACCAAATCAGCGAGAAGGAATCCTTCCAGTGGTAGTCGTCCATCACGGCATTGTTTGAATCCTCCACGGGCTGCTGCCATCTTTTTAGATATAAAAACTGGCCTATTTTCGAGCAGAGGATTTGCCGATGCAATCGCAGGGCCTGGCTTGATTTTCTTCTTTTTTCTATCGCCTCCAATGGTCCTGTTATAAGATATTTGAGGGCCGATAGAATAAGGGTCTTCGTCGTCTGAGCCGGTATCGTTCAAAACCCCAACACCAAATCCTCTGCGAGAATCCTTCGACTTGGCTGGCTTTTCTTTGTCCTTGATGGCTAGTCGTTTCCCGAAGAAGGAATCCGAATTTTCGGGTTCAGCCTTAGTCGAGTCTTCTATACCTAACTCGCCTTCATACCCAAGACCTTTGCGATCAGTCTTGCGAACGAAGGAGACCATTGGCGGATTCTCAGGAGCAAACAAGTAGCTTTCTCCAGATTCTTCATCCCCGGTAGGATTTTGGCCCAGGTCAGCATTACGCCGTACCTTTGGACCAATCCCCTGGCCCTCTCGCCAGCCCATCTTCTTGAGTAGCTTCACTCCCATTGTCTCCCCTCCTGGCATCAGAATATCCAGGAGACCCGCACGCCGGGTGGTATCTGTCTCCGTCGAACCGAATGCTGCAAACTCGTCGGATGTTTGTAGCTTCTGTGCCTCTTCTTGTTCCCGTAAGTCCTCTTCATCCATAAAATCCTCTGGGCGTTGCTGCGTAGCCTGTTTCGCATCGCGGGCGCGGTTTTGACGCGACGAGACGAATGTTGAGGGAGTCCATCCTTCTTTTGAGCCGACTGAATTGAAGTACCTATACAGAGTTGAGTAGATGTGCGCAAGCCTCTCTTCTGTATCCCGGAATTTACCCAGCACTGAATCCACCGGTGAAAGCACCATGCAGTCGTTTCCTTCCCCGCTCATCGGTCACCTCCTGTTTCCACACGGGCATGTACGAGCCATCATCGCGAGTGCTATCATCGAGAGGCGGTAATGGGGTTCCATAGAAGGCATAAGGCGAATGACTATCTTCGGCTTCAAAAGCCGCGCGGGGGCGTTTGGCAGCCATAACTCAGTAGTTGGGGAAATACAAGATGAAGATGGTTCGCGATTATGATTCGTGGGATATAGTGGAGTCTTGAGTAGAGTACTAAACCAATCATATGTGATCAGCTCTGACCAATCAGGAATCACATTGGCCTAGAACTGTTTTCGCCCCATTTTTCATCACTTTTATCATGAAATTAAATTCAAGGGGTAAAGGATCTAGAATATGAAACCCATAAGATTAAGATTTACCCCATAGTAACATAGTAATAGGAATTTAAATAGAATTCAGGAATCAAGAATATTTAGCCCAAGGCTAACTAACAAGGTAAGTAACTAATGATGAAATGCCCATATCAGTGGGGATACTTTTCACTTTCCCCTCCTGGGTCGTAATTCCTTCTTAACCTCTTTCCACCTTTCACCCCCTTCACCCTTACCTTCACTATGTCCTCCACGTGCTTTTTATAAGATTGAGGACTGAGCCCCTTGCATTACTCTTACCTATTAAGGTTGTTTCGGATTTACCTTCGGGCATTCCAGAATGCTTGGCGCGAACAGTCTTGTTGGCAGGCGCAGGTCCTTCTACCTGTTCCTGGCTGTGGCCTCCACTCTGATCTGTCTCATCAACCTCATATTTCTGACCAGTGGCGTTGACCACACCACTATCATACATGGCCTCTCATTTTTTCGTCCCAAACATATTGAGGGTGCCTTTGCGCGCGACAACCACCCTATCGTAAACCTGATGAACGAGGCGAACAAGCGATGGGACCAGTACGAGGCAAGCCGTTCTACAAATTTCCGCGACACAGTCGCCAAATACCGCGAGAGGTACGGCCGACATCCACCACCAGGATTTACCGAATGGTACCAATTCGCGCGGCAGAATAAGGTGTACAATATCGACGACTTCCAGCAGATTACTGATGATATGCGACCGTTTTGGGCCATCCCACCAGCAGAAATCCGACAGATGGCAGCTCGTCTCCAACAAGAACAGGGAATCGCGGGCTTGCGCATTCGGGACCACAAGATTGTATCGAAGTCGGAAGGATGGCGCGTTGAGACTCTGGAAGCATCCATAAATCGTATGATCAAGTATTTACCGGACATGGATATTGCGATGAACACTATGGATCAGCCTCGCATTATGGCTACATATGAGGATATTCAAAATTATCTCAATATCGAGGAAAGCAGGCGGATCATGCCGATAGATGCTCAGGATCAATTCACGCTAGACATGAAGTATTTCTATAATGAGACTTCTAGTGTCAACGATGAGCTGCGTCCTGATTTCTTTTCAGTTGCTGGGAGGCCATACATGGATTTTGCGAAAGAGGCTTGTTCGCCAGAATCTCCTGCTCGCAACACAAATATGACAATTGAGGAAGCGGATAAGCTTTACAAGTCATCTTTCGGCGGGTTCATCTCGAACTTCACAGGCTCCACTGACCTCTGCACCGTCGGACCTGCTCTTGGAGATCAGCATGGTTTTCTCTTTTCCGCTTCTAGTAATCTCATCACTCGGAAGTTGATTCCGGTGTTTAGTGAATGCAAGGTCAGCGTGAACAACGACATCCTGTTTCCAGCGAACATGTACTTCTTGAAAGACGAGCGGTATATGTATAATTCGCACCACGACTACGAATGGGATAAGAAGACCGACTCTCTTCTTTGGCGGGGTGTCACCTCTGGCGGAACCCAAGTGGAGGACAATTGGAGCCGTTTGCATCGCCAACGTTTCGTGCGTCTGGCGAATGCAACAGAGATGAACCAGCAAACCGTCCCGATTCTCTCCAAGAGCAGCAGTGAACAATATGAGCTTGTTCCTAATTTCCAACCGTCCGATTTCGCGTCATCCTACTTCGATGTTGGTTTCACGGAGGCATGGGGCTGTATCCCTAACTGCTCCTTTTACGACAGCGTCTGGACATATAAAAAGCCAAAGAAATTTTCGGAGCAGTTCAAGTCGAAATATCTGGTAGATATTGATGGCCACAGCTTCTCTGGTCGATGGCGTGCCTTTCACCAAAGCAAGTCATTAGGCATCAAGGCGACCATCTTTCGCGAGTGGCACGACTCCCGCCTATTTGCCTGGCGGCACTTCATCCCAATGGACAATAGATTCACGGATTTATATTCTCTCATGACTTACTTCATCGGTCTTCACCCGTCAGCGATCGAGGAAGTAACAGAGGAATCCTTCCCAAGTCCTGGACTTTTCGTTCCTCGCCATGACTTCGAAGCCGAAGTGATAGCCGGCCAGAGTCGCCAATGGGCGGAACTCTCGCTTCGAAACCAGGATTTGGACATTTACTTGTACCTACTTCTACTAGAATACGGTCGTATCATCGACGATAATCGTGACGTTATCGGGTATAGTGGAAATGGAAGCGAGCTTGATTCTTTTGATGCATCACACCATTCCCCTCCAGCTTTACAGCCGCTGGTCGGATGACTTGATACCCCGGCGAACTATGCATGTTGATATTTAATACTCTGAATTGGCCCTTCATCTCACCGAAATGTTCTTACGACCGACATCACATACTCAATTTTTAATCCTTTACATGTTAATTCAAGAGCTACTTTTATGACTATGATCTTTTCCACACTGAAAGGACCTCGAGCGTATGGAAAGGGTTGAAGGCTTCTCTACTTGGGCTTATGGCCTTAAGTTTGTTGACGTAATAGTACATTCAACCTTTATTTTCTATTTGTCTATCCTATTGCTATGCGAAAGACCTACTTTCCAAATAATGTCAATGTCTCATTTTATCATCTCAGGATATCACATCCACCACGTTTCCGTCGAAATCCTGGGCCTAATCGCATCTCCATCAAGATCAATGGTAAGAGGAGCAAACAAATAGCAGCAAGGAGGACATAGGTCCAGCCATAGCCTAATCTATCAGTAGACTTGTCAATCACCGAGACAAGGACTGCAGCTAGCGAACAGCGAACAAGGTTTGTCTGTTTAAAAGTCAGTCAAAACTCTCATAGTGTGGTTGAAAATCACATACACAGGCAATAACACCGGAACTCTGTTTTTTAACAATATCAATCATCAGTGTCATTGTCGCATTGAGAATAGAGATAGAGGTCCATCCCACTAAGAAGATACGTAAGATGTTAGTCAAAAGTCAAAGATTTTCACGACGATTAGGGGTTGCTAGGTACTTACAAACTACTTGAAGAATCAACGGCCCTGCAATTGATAACTTTCGTTCTATGCACCAACCCCAAGCAATAGCACATCCGACGAAAAGAAAAAGGTGTATAGGCATCGTTCGGAGACGTGCATATTCAACTGGGAAATCCTCATCTTGGGTAGAGTCCTGCAGCGACTTTTCTCTATTGTCGAGATATGCAGCCTTGATTTTCGCGTAGTCGCGATCCAACATTTTGCCGGTAATAGTCGAACCGAGGATCATACCAGCCCCGGTTGTCAGATAGCAAAGCCCAATATTAGTTTCTGACAGGAAAGGGTAGACTTTGGCGAATGATGAGCTGATTGTAGCTGTGATTGTATAGTTCACGGCGTATACAATGCCGGTATAGGTCAATGTCAACAGTATGTCGGGGTAAGTTAACAGACGGAAAGGATTCATGGATCCTTGTTTAGCTTGTGGTTTCTCTGATTTCATCTCTGGCTTAGATCTTGCTGCTCTCTGTCCAATAATTGGAACGAGTGGGCGGTAGATAGCCCCCTTTGGTGAGATACTGCCGTTCCCGACAAGTCCTCGCATAGTTTCCGGTAGGAATAGCAAGACCAGAATGAAGCATACCACAGAGAAAGCAGTCAGAAACCAAAAGATACTTCTCCAGCCAAGATGTTGAGAAAGAGCACCACCAATTGCTGGCCCTATGCAGGGAGCTAGCATAGGGCCAAGATTGAACATGCCAAAGTACCCACCACGTTCCTCATTTGTTGCAATGTCTCCAATGACACCAGCTCCGAGTGCAATGGTACTTGCACAGCCACCAGCTTGGAAAATGCGCATAAGAAGCAAGAGCCAAAACGCCGATGTCGGACACAGTGCGAGTCCGATACTGGAGCCGATTAGAATGAAGAGACAAACGAGGAATATGGGCCTGCGACCCAGACGATCAGATAAAGGTCCCCAGAGCATAGGCGACACTCCTTGCATGACCAGATATACTGTCACTGTGAGGTTGAGCTCTTCAGTCGATCGATCAAAGACCTTGGCTAGAGTTACGAGGGCTGGGAAGTAAATGTTTGCCGGCAGAGGACTGAACAGTCCTGTCACTGCGGCCATTCCAACTAGGAACCATTTTTCATATTTGCCGAAAATGCTGTATGCAGGTGCGTATAGTGATTCGCTCGGGTCTAACACCGGCTCTGACTCGCCTTTCGGGCAGCAGCTGGATTCAGGTTCTGGGACGAGTTGTAGTTGTAGTGGTTGATCTCTTGATATGCTCTCGGCCGAGGGTTGCTTTTCATCATTTTCTGGCATATCGACCCGAATTCTTCCAAAAGCGGGAAAATTTAAATGTATTTAACTAAGCTAAAATCGACATCAGGGATCCAGCTGTCATTATACAACGTGGAAAATAGTATTTGGACCCGCTTTTTTAGCCACGACTTTAGATTTGCCTGCCGGGATATCGCCATCTGAGGTCCCGTTATCTAGGTACAGATCCTATACTTGGAATAGATATCCACCATAATTACTCTCACACTCTCCTGTAGCAACACTAAGACGCTCAAAGTATCACGTCTCATCAGAAATCTGGAAATCTGGAAATCAAAAAATATCCTGTCATGACTCCCCAAGAACACCCTTCTTCAGCATCATACGCCAGTTCTGGCTTCGCAAATCGCATGGGATGGGGCGAACGACCAGCTCTTCTTATTATCGATGTCTGCAAGGCTTACTGGACCGAGGGCTCGCCTCTATCGCTCCTAGGCAATCCGGCCGCAGAGTCATCCCCAGATTCCATGAAGCGCTTGTTATCAGCTGCGCGAGAAGGGGGAGTCCCCGTAGTGTGGAGCGAAGTCAAATATACAAGGCCTGACATGGCTGATGCCGGTCTATTCTGGCTTAAAACGAAGCCGCTTAGTGTTTGGTTAAAGGGGGATCCCAGAGGTCTGGCTGACTATGTGGAGGGTCTCGAACCTGCTGTTGACGATACGGTCGTTGTGAAAAAGTACGCTAGTGCTTTCTTTGGTACAACTTTGGCTACTGAGCTTCAGGTATGTGCTAACTACCTAGTTTCGATGCTAGAAACTTAGATCTTCCAAGTGTATATGTCTAATACTTTCACTGCTTAGACACTTAATGTTGATACGCTTGTCATCTGTGGTGTTAGCACCTCTGGATGTGTCAGGGCGACTACTTTGGATGCAATGCAGCACGGCTTCCGGCCTATGGTATTAATTTGACACTCCATCCAAGACCTTCGGAAATCACTGACTTCTATATAGGTTGTTGGATCTGCTTGTGGAGACCGCACGCCCGAAATCCAAAAATCTAATTTGTTCGACTTGGATGCGAAATACGCCGATGTGGTCTCAGAAGAAGAAGCCTTGAAAAAGCTAAGAAAGAAGTGGTAATTCTATGTAGTCTAATTAAACAAATATGTCAATTGCCGACTTTGAACCCGTCACAGCATTTGAACCTTTGTATTCCCGAAACTCATTCTAAAACGTCAAAAAAAAAACATTCAATCATTATCTGATAGCCCTCCTGGCTTTTCACATTGAGTACTCATTATTTATTAAATCCGTAAAGATATCACTCCAGGGGTAAGTCTCAAACTCTGCCAGCATCACATCTGTTGGGAATGGATCATTGAGTCGAGGTATTGCCCCGGGCGATGGCTGAAGCTCAGACACAATAAGCTCTGTGGATGGTGAGAATCCAACTGATGGGGATGTTTCATCCTGTGATTGAGTTCTAATCCGCGCACTGGCTCTACAGAGTGCCTTATTCCAGCGTCGAGCAAGGGGCCAGGCGTGTTGCAACTGACCCAATCCTGTTAAGGATTTCCGGAGGATCTCCTCAGCCTGAGGAGCAATGCTCGGACAGACGCTTGGTTTCTGGTGCAGATGGTTGGCTAGAGAGCCACAAACATAAACACAGAACACGATAAGAGCTGGGAAACCCTGCTCGGGTGAGCGGAAGTCAAAGAATGCGTCGATTTGTTCGTGCAGAATAAGCATATTCTCGAATAGCTCTGTTGTAACATGTCCCGTGTCTTGCGGATAGCCTTCCTGGGAAATTGATTTGTCGTGAAGATATCGCCGTCGTAACACTATGTTGCTCAATCTCAGAACCATCACCACTGATAGAAATGCCAGGTCCAAGCCTTCCGATTTGAAACCTCGGAGGTTCCACACCGACCAGCGGTGAGGAATCGGAATGTTTATTTCAAATTGGTTCAAGGCGTCTAAAAGCCTCGTATAGTCGTTTCGGCTCATCCGACTCTCTTCTGGGGCCTGTAGGTCGGCATCCGTGCCAACCGTCCTTGCTATTTGACCCCATAGATTATGTGTCTGCAGCAAAGTTGCAAACAGCGATCTGCTTTGGGAATGAGCCAATGATGGGTCTTTAAGGGCTGGTATTGTGCCAAGCAGCGCAGCACGGGGCCCTGTTAAGGCTCCAAATGAAAATTCAGGCTCGCTGCAAGGTAAAAGCGCTGAGATGTCATTGTAGGAGATGGCGACAGGGGAACTGAGACCAGAAAGAAGGTTATTATAGCTCTCGAGCATCCAGAATGTGCGCCTCGCAGCTTCTGCATTGACGAATTGCTCAGCCGTCGCGTCTTCGGGGAGATTGTAGGTCTCCTCCCGGTGCAGTCGTAAAATGCCAGCCATGGTCACTGCTATACCCATATACATTGAGCTGCGATTTTTGTCTCCATTCCCCCACTCTGCAATACTGAGAAGAAAAAATCCCTGAGTTGCTTCAAGCGAGGGTCGGAACATCTGCTCAGGAATCAAGGCGGCGGCCCGAGTGAGATATAGTTTGGTGGCACTAGAACCGCCACCATATCTGTTCACCAAACTAGGAGTAAAGCGAGCAGAGATGCTTAGAATACTGAACAGCAGGAAAACACTGACTGTATCAGGTTGCTTCCGCAACCTCTCGAAAAATAGCGTCTTTGGCAAAAACCCCAATTGGAAGAAAGATTTTGTGAAGGTATTGATACCTATAAAAAGTTCTTCAAATGGAGGTAAAGAGTCCCAAGGATCCGAGATACCTGGAGTTAAGAGGCCTTGTACACTCAATCCTGGCCCAGACGACTCACTAGACTGGAACCCCGCATCTGGGTGTGCTGACGGCGATGTTGAAGCTGGACCAGTTTTCCCCTTCACACTGGTATTGGAAGAGCGTACTCTTGGACGACGGAATTCCCGATCGTCATAAGTTTTTTGGCCTCTTGCTAGAAAAATGCAGTCATGGTTTGATAGTCGACATGCCTCACATTTGCTTCCATCTCCACTGTTAATGCACTTGCTTCTTAGTCTGCGACATCTTCGGCAAGCTTTAGAGTGTCTAGTGAGTTTCTTCACCGGCTTTTCGGTGGCCTGATCCATAAGCTGATGATGGTTAGACTCAGATTCCATAAGATCGACCATGTTGAGTGATGTTGGCACGGCTGGCAGTGAAAGGATTGCCGAGTCCGGGAGGCATGTGGCAATTCCGGCTCTAATAGGCCAAGATCTTATCTAACGCCAAGAAAGATAAAGATGCCGCTTGGTGAAGTAAAGTGAAGTGAGTGTGGCTATTAAAGTGAGAGTGAAAGCGAATTAGAGTAAAGTGAATATGACAATGGCTCAGGAAGACAAGCCAAAAAAAATAAAAATTTTCGTCTGGAACTCACAACTAGACAAAATCAAAAACTGCCGGAACAGGAGGGAGTGGCTAATGAAAGCGGGTCCAAAATACTGAATCATTGTTTAGTTAACTAGACCAGTCAATGCTTCAGGCGGCTTCCAACGTTTAATTATTGATTCTTCCCTTAATCCAGTCCCATTCATTTCCTCCATCTCCCTTCTATCCCACTTACAATGACCCCCAAACCTGTTCACCAACCTATCCACCCTAGCGTGAGACCATTTTTGAACCAACAATACGTAAAATTTCACGACGACTACTTTCAATATGTGATCCCAGATGACCAAAAAGTATGGGATGGCTCAGCCCGAACAGGGCCTCGGCCTTGGCCATCAACAGAATCGCCACTCGCAAAGATAGCAGGAAGTGAAGACCTGAACATGGGAAAATATGAAATCCGCATCTTCACACCAGAAGGCGCAAAGCCCGGTACCGGGTGGCCTGTATTTATCTGGTTCCATGGAGGTGGCTGGGCGATTGGTGGAAAATCAGATGGAAATGACCTTTGCACTTTGATCTGTCAAATGGCGCGCTGTGTGGTTGTGACAGTTGATTATCGCCTGGCACCAGAACACCCATATCCTGCAGCAGTTGAAGATGCCGTTGACGCATTAAAATGGGTGTATAGTGCCGAGGGAGCGACCAAGCTAGGTACTGATAGCTCGCGAATCACTATCGGTGGCACATCAGCTGGTGGGAATCTAGCAGCAGTGCTATCAATGAAGGCTTCACAGCTTGAGCCGCCGGTCCCCATCTGTTTTCAACTTCTCGTTCTTCCAGTCATTGACAACACTGCTACCACTGAAACTTTCTGGGGTAAAAATCGCAATGCACCGTGGTTGACACCGGCTCGGATGGATTGGTATCGGCGCATGTACTTGCCTAATCCTTCCGATGCTTTGGGTTGGGAAGCTTCGCCTAATCTTGCACCTACTTCTCTATTGGCAAAGAGCCCGAAGACATGGATTGCGGTATCAGGCCAAGACTTATTGGCGCCTGAAGCTGAGGCCTACGCTGGACAGTTGGAAAAGGCTTGGAAAGAGAATGGCGGTATCAAGTCTGAAGTAACTGTAAAGGTGTACGAAGGGGCAACACATTCTCTTCTTTCCATGAGTGGTATGTTAACTTTGAAGTCTGCATGGATTCTGGAAACTAACAGAATATGTCTTAGGCGTTCTAGATCAAGGTGCGGATCTTCTCCGGGACTCAGCTCAACAGATCGCGAAGGTATTTTCTGGGTTTCTAGACGATTAGCGGAAGATTCACTCCATATAATCACATTATATAATTTCATCCAGTAATGTATCTTTATGGTAAATATTTTTGGAATAACTAGTAACTAGGAGGGTTATGAGTGGAGAGAATGAGGCTAAAAAAAGGGGAAAAAATTAAGCACCGACCGAGAATTGAACTCGGGACCTCGTGATGATAGTAATTACTTGCAATCACACGATCTAACCGCTGATCTACCAGTGCTTACATATTCGATAATTCATCCAATATTTCAACTTGTTGACATTCATGGAGATATGTTTCCAACCATGCCATGAGTCGTTGATATGGCGTCAACTAAGTTCAGATTGACAATCTCCCTTGGTGGAAGGAATAGTTTTTAGAGCATAACGACTGAAACTAGCATTTCTACGAACAGGTAAGATTTCCGAAAAGATAGTACTTCCATGTTGTTTTCCATTTTTGAACTATAGCTACAATTTCCAAGACTGCACAGCAATCTTGTATGTAAGGGAAAGTCTGTGGAGAAATTGGCTCCTGGGCAGTTTCCGGCAGGCAATTCGTTCACTCTATCGCCTTGAAATTCAATTACCTTGAATATTGGTGCCAAGGTTGTTGCTACATAGGGTACTGCCTATATTTAAAGTTGCCCTGCATAATCTGAAAAGCTTTAGTAACACTACAAGATCTTCAAATATTGCGAATTTTAATCATAAAACTTTGGCATACATTCATAAATAAAACTAAAGGTCTAGTAGCCTCCTAAATATCCAAAATCAACTCCTGGGCTTTTTCTGACCTCGGCGTGATGACACATGGGAAGCTGTCAGGGACACCACTCAATCCATTGGTGAACGTCACCTTCGGGAGGATTCTTTCACCCTTTTCATCAACGGGGCACTTCATCTCCATAGTGGCTACCAAAGTAGACATAATGATATAAACACTGGCGAGTGCCAGGTATTGGCCTGGACAGACCCTTCGTCCAAATCCAAATGGACCTTCGGGTAGGGGCTCTCCCTTTCCGCCCTCTGATTGCGGGATGTATCGGTCCGGGTTGAAGTCATCTGGCGAAGAGTAATAGCGCTCATCCCGTGACATGGCCCACGCGTTTGCAAAGACTACCGATCCGGCTGGGATGTGATAGCCTTTGTATGTATCATCGGCGATAGAAGCATGGGGCACGCCAAGTGGGGAGAGTGGTGCCCAGCGTGTTGATTCTTGAATAACGTATTCAAGGTAAGGCATCTGGGCCCGGTCCTCAAAGTCTGGAAGACGGAGGATATCACCATTATCATCCACACCGACCACACTGTCGATCTCTGCCCTCAACTTGGCCTGGACATCCGGGTTCAACATGAGATTGAGAACACAGACAATCACAGTAGACCATGTGGTATTAGCCCCAGCAATGGACAGCGTTCCGCATATTCCTTTGATATCGGCAACAGTAGCCTCATTCGACTTGCCAGCCTTCTCATTTGCAAGGTATTTTCCAAAGTGACTGAGCATAAAGGAGGGCTGGGTGGCTTTTCCGGAGCGGATAGAAGGCTCTGTGACATCCCACGGCGCGTCGTGAAGAAGTTGAATGCTAGGTTTGGTGTGACGAGCATGGACCAGCGGCTGAAACACCGCTGAGATTTTCTCGACAATGTTGGGAAGATGACGGAAAACTGGGAAGAAGTCGACGATCGAAGCCCCTGGGACGCCACCTTTGCCAGTAGCCTCTTCCACATCAATGGCCATTTTGACATAGGGGTCATTCTCCTCCTGAATCTCAATGCCGAAGCCAATGCGCAGCACGACGGCAGTAGCAAAATTTCTCAGGAGGATTTCCCAGTCTTGAGGCTTATGCACGATGGACTTCACAGCTCGACGGGCTTCTTCCAGCTGAAGAGGCCGATAGGGTTTGCAGCCTGACTGGGTAAATGCTTGCTGAATGAGTTTTCGGTGGAGCTTGAATCTGGGAGACCACCGCAAAAATGAGAGGGTAATGCCCCATCCCATAACCTCAAAAAGAACAAAGCGTGGGCGATCGGCATAGTTTGCTCCCTTCTTATCCATTAGGTCGTGTGCCGCTTCGACACTGTTGAGTACGACCATGGGTCTTCCCAAGATGTTGAAGTAAAGTATATCAGAGTTAAGCTCCTTTCCCCATGTCACAAACTGGTGCTCTGGATGATCTTGTGGAATGACTCGAAGATGACCCAAGAATGGATTTCCTGGAGGCCCAGGAGGCAAGGGAAGGCCCCGTTTGCTGGCTTTTTTAAAGTATACGCCGATGGCGATGACCAGAAGCACAAGGCCAATGAGAGCCCTTGTAGAAGATACAGGCAAGTCCATGGTTGATGTAAGCTGTGCAGTGAAATGAGACCGGAAGATGCGATGATTAAAACTTTTTTTTTCTGGCTTTTGAAGCTGCACAATGTAGTTTTGTACCCTAGCACGCGCGCAAGGAGTAGCTTGCGGGGTCAGGTATTTGCCTGCCGGACCTGTGGACGGCAAAGATAACCTGACTAAGTCTTTGTCACAATCTTTAGATCACATCGTCTGTTAGCCAATCAGTATCCTTGATAATGATCAACGAATCAAGCCCTGCAAGTGGCTTCCGATGACTTTTATGAATAATTTGATTGGTCAGTTTATAGTTTAAAAGCCGTCTCATCGGGAATAGATTTAATTAGTGTCTTTCACAAGGATTATCAACTATCTGTGGCTTGGCGACCCGTTACCCTTCTAATCCAGCCTTAGCGGATACATTCTCACTGAGAGTGGGTCAGCACTTTTGCCATCTCAGGAGTGACCTGAAGCACCTTTTAATAGCTCCAAAATCACATAAATCATGATATATCTTGTAATACCATTGGCAGTTGTCTTCTTTTCAATCTAGTTTCATAGTTATTGGCTTTGGAAGGATCAATTGAATCGTAGATGGAAAATATTGAAACATAAATGGAAAAGAAGTCGTATCTTTCCGGCAGTTCTTTTCTCTTATCAATACGAAATTCAGGATCTTATCATTCAATCACCCCCACAGTAAGCATCCGGGGCATAACGACCGGGGTTCTAAGTTTTGGGGTCTTGACTTCATATATAAAGCTTTAGTTAGAAGCTTTAGAGAAAAAAACACTTGACAATTCCATCATTCAGCATGGAAACCTCTATAGATCATACGATGGAGAAGCCTGAGAAAGCTTCCTTGGACATCCGGTTTACCGACATTACTTCTGCCGAGTTACAGAGAGACCGTTCTCCAAGAGCATGGCTGAACAAAATTGCTTCTTGGGGCATTGAGTTGCGTGGCATTGCTCCTGTGCCTATCGAGGAGCGGACTGACAAGCGATTCATCAATGTCTTTTTTGTCTGGTTTACAATGAGTACTAATCTGCTACCGTGAGTCATATATTCAGGATTTCTTCTATCATCACTGATTAAATTGAGCAGAATCGTGACAGGAATGGTGGGAACTCTTTCCTACGGTCTTAGCCTTCGAGATGCCTCACTTGTTATTCTGTTTTTCAGTCTTTTTTGCTCGATTTTTCCTGCCTATATGGGAACGTTTGGTGCAAAGACTGGCTTGAGGCAGATGTTGCATTCACGTTTCACTTTTGGGTATGTGTTCCCTAACATCATATATCATGGACTTTTGATTAATAGGTAATCTCTTCAGCTATTATCTCATCACAATAATCGTTATCCTCAATCTCTGCACAATTGCTGGTTTTGGCATCATCGACTGTGTTCTTGGAGGAATGACTCTGTCCGCTGTGTCAGATGGCAAAATTAATGCCACAGCGGGCATCGTGATTATTGCCATCTGTGGCATGGTCATCTCCTTCGGTGGATACAAGACACTGCACCAGTTTGAAAGATACTCATGGATTTTTGCCCTAGTCGCTATCCTAGTTGCTACTGGAGTCGGCGGAAAGCATCTTTCCACTCAAGTAGTGACAGAACCGGCATCCGGGTCTACCATCGTTTCATTTGCAGGTGTCATCGCTGGATTTCTTATTCCCTGGGCAGCCATGTCTTCCGATTTTGCGGTATACTGCGACCCTAGCGTTTCTTCATGGCGTATCTTTGCCTATATCTATGGTGGTCTTCTCGTGCCATCCGTCCCATTGATGGTCCTTGGTGCTGCAATCGGCGCAACAACGCCGATGATTCCTTCCTGGGAAGCTGGCTATGATAGCTATAGCGCAGGTGGAGTCTTAGAAGCTATGCTGCATCCCGTCGGAGGATTTGGAAAATTTATTTCTGTCCTTCTAGCATTTTCTCTCCTTGGAAATTTGGCGGCAGCTATGTACTCCATCTCACTCAACTTCCAGATCGTCATTCCAATAATGAGGCGTATTCCGCGACTTTTCTTTACCATCATCTACACTGCAGTCGCTATCCCGGTATCTATCTACGCTGCCAAGTCATTCTTCAATAGCTTAGAGAACTTCCTCTATGTCATTGCATATTGGTCTGCGGGGTTCATCGGTGTGGTGATGACAGAGCACTTTCTCTTCCGCAAAGGCAATTTCGACGAATATGACCCGGACTCCTGTGAATCGCCCAGAAGACTTCCATCTGGAATTGCGGGTATCGTGGCTATGGCCCTTTCGTTTGGTTTGATTGTACCGTGTATGGGTCAGGCTTGGTATACAGGGCCTTTGGCCGAGACTACTGGAGATCTTGGCTTCGAAGTTGCTCTTGTTCTTGCGCCTATCTTATATGTGCCAATTCGCGTAATTGAGCTGAAATTTTGCACGACTCGATTCAACAAATCAAATTAATATAGATGGGATATTACTTACGACATAGAATTAATAGAATTACATCTGGTTATTTAATGATAGCTTCGCATCTGCTACTTCGTAAACTAGAAAATGTAGTGGATATGATGGTACATCATAATAGCATTTTGGGACAGAGGTGAGACAGCACTATAACCATCTAGCCTTAGGGTTTCGAGTGACATGAAGGGTCCACGAGTACGATAGTTATTTGTGCTCTTAGACAAAATTGGACAGTTCGTATAGGACAGTTCTCAGTTGTTGTCCAGTTGACTAACAGTATACAACCCAGGCATCCAATTTCATGTTCTTGATCACAGTAGAGAATCTCCCAGCACTGATAACATCGCAGACAGACAACTTCTCCTGATCTGTCACTCGAACTCTTAACTTGCTACTGGTATCGACGTCGGTATCGATCTCGCCAGAATATTCGATATGGAACACGGGCTTCCCAACTTCGGTGAAAGCAGCATAGACATCACACTCGTCATATTGAACACACTGTTCGTTGACAGACCACTGCATCAGCTCAATGACAGAGGGGATAATGTCGCCTCCATTCTTCAGACCAATGGACATGCCACGAGATTTCGCCTCGGATGAAAGAAAAGTCAAATAGTCGATCGCGTCGGACTCAGTCAGATCAAGGCCACTATCGTTTCCGTATGCATCAATATTGTCTGGGTCAACGCCATCACAACCCTTTTGCTGTGCTAGATCAAGACGAGATTGCATGATGCCGCGGACATTGCTTGATTGAGTATCCAGCCACTTTTCTCCCGGCCAGTCATCCATGTCATTTCCAAAGTCTGAGTCGATAAAGTCATCTGCATCGGAGCGCCAATCCTCGTATGTACCAGCGGAAAAGTAGCAGATAACCTTAGAGCCCTTCTTGTGGATCTTGGAAATAGTGTCTACTGAGTTGTCGAAAAGGTCGATGTCGAAGATATCCGCATCCATCGAGATGTCTTCAACGGGGTTGGATAGCTGGATTTGCCATTTAACTCCAGCTGCTGGCTGCCAGGTGTCATTGTTACTTGCTCTTTTAGTGTACATTCGCTGAAGCACTCTCTCGTGAACTGAGCCAGACGCTGGTCGAAGATTGAGGACAAGAACAAGCAACAAGACCATGAAAAAAACTCCCAGGACCTTTCCCTTGACGAGCCATTGAGAGGAAGACATCCTGATAAATTGAAAAGAGTGTAAAAGTTGGAGAAGAATTGAAAAGAATGAGTGGAATGGGAAACTCGTGCCAGCAAGTTTCACTCGGTGAGCAATAAATGACGTGAAAAAGCTACAGAAGAGAAGAAGGGAATGGATATCTTTATAATTTTAGTCAACTAGAGTATTTGTGGAATGAAACTACTAGCCCTGCATCCGATGAAATCCGCAGTAAGAAACAGTGATTTCTCGTAATAGACCAATCACAGCGATATCACGCAGCTATGAGGTAAGATACTGACGAAAGTGAGATATGAAACGCGCCAAGCTCCAGTCGAATGAGATTATCCATGGAGAGGCTGGCACTACTAGCTGTCACAATCCATGGGTAATCTCGATTTTATTAAAGATCAGGAACAAACACCTGTAACCTGTTTCGGTAAGCATATGGCTATTAAGCCTGAGCTATCGAGAAATACGAGACACTAAATTGCTCTTTACTTCGTACTCCAGTCTCCGTATAGGTAGGCCTTGAATGATCTGGCATACCATCTTATGCCTGAGCTCAACGAACATAATGGTTAATATTTGTGTGGATTGAAAGCTTCCAAGATTCTTCAGACGCATTGAGTTTCGTTTCGACTCAAGCCCCCAAGGGACCAGGGCTTACTCCTGGCCATTTGTGTTCTAGGTCAATCTAAACAATTATTCTCCCCGCTTTTTCTTGGCGAATAAACGAGCCTTGGAGGGCGCTAACTGACAATAAGATGAAGAACTGTCCTGAAAAGCTGATCCAGTTGGGCCTGAGCTGGGGAACACGTTCTCGTGATATATTTTGTGATATTCATTTGAAGTGGAGTGTGCTCTGCATTGGACAGCTGGATTTTGACAGTTTACAATTACTGATTAGTTTCAAGCAGAGATTACACTAGCTGAATGCATTCGGAAGAGCCTCATCGAGATCATGTGACTCACTGACGGTCACGTGCCTTGGGTGTGTGACTAAACCTTCACCTTTGCTAAGCTACTGATTAAATCAGGGGTGGAATGTGCTCAAGGATGCTAAGCATTGATGCTGCCTCATTAGATTCAGATTTTGAAGTCTCTTGAATCGATATTTGAGATAACTCTTATATGTCGAGATAATGTCCAAGATCAGTTTGTCAGTGGACCCCTCTAATTGTACCAATGCGCGGAGTTTGCAGACTGTATTTCGAGTCTCTGCAGAAAAGAAAAAAGTTCCATATAGCACAAGACGCGCGCACAAAAAATCTCGAGCAGGCTGCATAACGTGTAAGAAGAGAAGAGTCAAGGTGTGTTATATGGTACCTGGGGGTAGCTAATTATCTATGGGATAGGGTGCTGATGTTGCGTTCAGTGCGATGAGGAGAGGCCGAGCTGCCTGAAATGCACCAAAAGGAAGGAAGAATGCATTTATCCTTCTGAAACGGACCTCTCCCCTGTAAATGTCTCTCCTGTGAGTATTGGATCTCCCGATATAACTTCCACATTATTTTCCCTTTCCCTTGACAATATTGCAACAAATATTGAACAGACGTTGAGTCTTGGCACGAACTGGGAGTATGATGTCCGTGGGAGCAAAAGCCCTCGAAACGCCATAAGCTTAGTGGCTTTTAGGCAGTTTGTTACTGGCTCAACAGATATAATGGCGAATCCTAATATCCAACATGTAATGCGGACAGATATGATTCGCGTTGCATTCCAGGTAAGCTCTTATTATCTTCGAAAATCTATACAAACCAGTCGCTTATGGCAAATTCAAGAATCCTTACTTGATGAACACGATTCTCGGAGTCGGCTCGCTTCATTTAAATCGGTTATCGCCCAACAAGGAGCGAGCATTTGCGGAGTCTTATTTCTGGCAGAATGCTATTCAGCTATACCAGCAAGCGCTTTCCATGAATCTCAGAAAAGATAATGTTGATGCCCTTCTATCTACTTGCATGTTGATGGGCGTCATGACTATATGCCCGGAGGGATTCAAACCCACCGATTCCTGGGTTCTCACAAACAAACCGGAAGCCATGAACTGGCTATGTCTACAAAGTGGCCTTCGATGTATTTTGAAAATGGCAGCGCCATATATAGCCGAAAGCATCTGGGCAACTGCATTCTCAGAAGTCGACAAAGAAGAACGCCACATTTTCAGTGAGATCCAACATGGACGCGGAGGCCTTGATTCGGATCTGGCCGATCTCTGTGACATTGACGAGTTTACTTCTGAGGCAAACAGTATCTACTATGCTCCTCTTCGCATCCTTTCCCCGCTCTTGGAACTTGCTCGGAGTGGACGGACTACTGGGTCGAACGCTGCTCACTGTGCCTCATTCATGGGCCGATTGGAGTTTGACTTCCTTGCGCTTTTAAGGAGCAGAGATCCACCGGCTCTTATCCTACTGGCGCACTGGATGGGGATCATGTGCTTGTTATCAGAAGATCAGCCTTGGGTGGAGGGAAGAATTAGGGCTGAGTGCATCGCAATTTGCATGTTTTTGGAGCCTAGTACCGACCCACAGATAAGGCGGCTGCTATATTTTCCTGCGACATCATGTGGATATGAGAAAAAGTCTTATACTCATAGAACTATCGAATATTCATGAAACAGGATTGTATAACATTCAGAATGAAGCAAGTACCGTGACTGAAGCCGTGACCTATATACAGACAGCAACTTGATGCATTGTTTCATAGATTTTCAACTCCGCTACGAGGAAGGAACACCATCTCCGACTTGACTTCCTGTGGGGTATGTACCGAAGCATGATTTCTGGTATTGAGCATTGTTCTTCAGAGTGGGCACACCCTTCAGGAAGCTGTCAACGTTACAGAACCCATTATCCGCTTTTTCGCAACCGATAAGGCCATCAAGAGGCAGAGGAGCACTGTTCAAGACAAAGCGGATATATTTGGTGGTATCAGATGTTGAGGCAAGATTTGGGTTAGTGTAGAGAACGGGGTCCAGAGTTTCAAAGGAGACATCAGAAGGACAAGTCCAGATCTCAGACTCAAAACGCGCCCCAAAGGGAGTCATGTTCGTCATGGCGAAATTCCGATCGAGAGCATGATCTACATCAGCAGGCAAGCCACTAGGACCGAACTTGAAGTACTTGAGACCCAGAGCTGTGATCACCGAAATGATAATGTCATCGTGGGACATGTCCATGTAGAAGGGCTGGTTGGCAGGGAATTGAGCAATGTTGTTGTCGTATGTATAGTTGATGCTGGTGTCGCTGGTGGTAATCAGCTTCTGCTGCAGGCGGGCAGCAAGTTCCAAGACGTAGCCAATGCCCTGGGCACGACCACTAGGAGAACCATAGGCATAGTCTCCGTAGTACTGGATGTCAAGGTTGTAGGCATAGTCTTTCCATTCTTGCTCAGTGAAAAGAGAGCAGAAGAATGAGCCTGCAAGACTGGTGTATTCATAGACACAAAGGTTTTGCATGGCCAGAACATCATCTGTGGTCAGATTGAAATCTTTGGGAAGGTAGGTGGAAAGACGAGTGCGAGCATCTTTTGTATAACGAGCGACAAATATTTCTGCTGCGTCATCACTATACATCATTATCAACAGTCGCTCCATGGAATAAAGAACGTTGGGAGTATAAATCAATATTCACATACCCCTCAGTCATATCGCCAGTACAGGCCTCGTATGAAGCCAGAGTGTTGTTGAAACTATCGGCTTCAGGAATAACGACGAGATTATACTGGTCATAGGAATCCTTCGCGCCACTATTGCTAAAGAACCCGGCTAATTTAGATGATAAGTAATTTAAACGCCTAAAAAAAAAAGGGATAGGCCACTTACTGAGCCACCACCGAGCACTCTCTAAGATACGAGATTGAGAAGTGGTACGGAAGACCGGGGTAGGGCGAGCAGTGCCATTAGGGTAGACATTAAGAGTATGGTTCCAGGCTGCGACGTAATCCTTACCAGCACGATATAGGAGTCGGCCGTATTTGGTCCAGAAGTAGGCTCCGGATGTAGCTTCAGTGGCTGCACCTGTCTCCATTAGGGTGTCACCGCCAATGAGATACTCCCAATCATTCAGGAACTTGAGCGGGCCGATGGCCACAGTTGTTCCAGAGTGTTTCTTTGTATAATTTGTCAATTTGTAAGCAAAGTCCTGCATGCCTACACCATCCAGGACTGAACTTGTTGGAAACCGCTGCGCGTGACGATGAAGGACGTGCACTTGCGAAAGCTCACATCCTTGGGGTACTCCCTTAGGGAGACTGAAGCTATCCACGTCCTTGTATGGGCTCAAATTCCCCCAACTTCTGGTAATGTCAAAGCCAGACGCATAGCTGGCTCCGGTTGGTGCCGGATCCAAGGCGGATGCCGATATAGTCGCTGCTACAGCGAGCGTAATTCCAATAAAGCTTTTCATACTTGTGACTTGTCTCTCTTGAGAAAGAAGCATAGAGAGAAGCGTATGATACAGTATAAGTTGATTGTTAATTGTTCCCCGCAGTTGACTGCACTTCCTAATATAGGTTTTGAAGTTTTTCAAGTTGTTGAACCGTCGATCAGTTGCTAAGTTGGTCAAAATTATTCCCGTAATATCTCAACTGTATCAGAAATCAAATTCCGATGCACCCGCAAAGTATGCAGGGAAAAGAAAGGTCGTGAATTACCTAGGGGTCTTAATAATCAATATAGTCATCACAATCTCATGGCTACTACGTCTCATCAGAAGATAACTAAGAAAAGTACAGATTAAATAATCAGAGACAACTTTGGAAGTGAACGGAAAGTTTAGCCGGTGTGGTACCTTAGCCAGGGGCCTTGGTGGGGCTCATTTTGAATTTGATTCATATTGGAAATAGATCAACCGCTAACACGGTGAGATAAAGTAGTTAACTGATAAGCGATTACTTATGCAGTCAAGCGAATTTTATCGAGTAAATTAAATAAATAGTTAGTTACATAGCTTCCAAAAAATAATGGAACCGGGCCGAGCCGATGGGTATTCACAAGGCGAGATCTAGTTTGGAAGTAATGGATGACAAGATAGAGAAAAATATTGAATAGATTTTACCTAGGTGAATTTAATCATTATAGACTAAATTAGAAGTTGAGATCTGTTTTTTCTTTGGCCATTTGGTCGCTATTCACTTTGGCAGTCTCATGTAGTCGATTTTCGGACTTTGATTTCAATATCGACCTAACATCTTCAGCTGAAGATCATCCAACGCATAGCAAGCAACCCTGGAACAAGGAATATTAGCCGCCGTAGCCATGTATAATGTTTGTCGCGAGATGACAGTGGTGCGGCGTTGTGGAAACGCTGGATATCAGGAAACCTCGAAACCCATGACTTACCGAGAAGTCCTGGACGAATACACCTTACCAAGATTGAATCACAAGAGAAGGATGGGAGAAAATGTGGATTATATGGAAGAAGATGAGGGGAGCAAAGGAAGTGGGATATACTTCGTGATGAACTGTTTGGTTTTGGTTTTGTGGGATTATCATTTGGGCTGATTTACTACGCCATATTTCCTTCGTACTGTTTTCTACGTTCTGGCGTTCGGAATGCTCTTGCTGTATAGTATTGATTTATTGATTGCCATGTATAATGTCAATAAAAATTTGATCTGCTATAGTCGGATTCTTTGCTCTGACATTCGCCATGATCTACACTACCGCAGCTCAAAAGCTCATTTATCAAGCTGGCCCATGCTATGACCACTCGCATGTACCGCGGCGAAGGACCGTACAATCCCAAATCAGGTCGCAGTCTTTCTCCAAATCACTATCTACTTTAATGGGCTGTTGGCGGAGGTCTTCTGCTTTGCCACAGAACCGAGTATGCTTATAAGAAAGCTCCAAGTAGTACAGAGAGTTCTGTTCGGGCTATTTGGCTTGATACGGGTGAGATTGGAGCCTGCCTTGGTTTGGTCTTCACTCTCCTCACCCTTGGACCCACATATTGTTACGATGTAGGCTATTTCGACGGGGCTTTTGGATGATGCAGGTGTTTTGCTATGAATTTTTTCCCGGTGTCTGGATATGGTGAAAGACGTGGAAGAAGTTGAGTAAAGTGGGCATTCTTTGTGATCTATTTCGAAGTGGAATTGGATAGAATAATTAAAGGATCTGGTGTAGAATGGGAGATATAATAGTCATGAAAAATCACCTGGTAATTATGCCCACTTGACATTGCTACATCGCGTTGCTGAATTTTCAATTTCAATTATTCGAAACTGCATATTAATCATTTATTGGGTACTCTTCATTTCTGTCCTAAGAAAATGAGCCCCGAATCCGAAATAACCCCTTCCTTAACGGGACCTTTCAATCGACCATTGATGATTACGTCTCTGCTGAAACGTGCAGGAGGATCCCATACAACTGCTCTCACACTATCACGTTGACGGGACACGCCGCATCCAGTCTCATCTCGATCTCGAAATATGACAAAATCAGTACAACCACCACTCGCGAAAGCTAAATTCTGAGGCGGCGATAAACCAATAGAGGCACGGGCACGCGTAGATACACACTCATATAAGAGATCTGCATCTGCCTGCGTTCCAGCCTGATAGATCCCTACACCAAGACAAGCCAAGAACAATGGATCTGCAGATCCCCACGGCGTAAATGCGTTCCCGACATTGTTCACTCCTATGACTACATCGAGTCCGTGGTTGCGAATCAGCTTCGGGACTTGCAGAGTACCCCTAGGTGGATTTTGGGACTTTTCTTGTCCGGGAGGCGCTGCCATGTATATGTCACTAGTTGGTAAGCCCACAAAGCTAACTGGAAGTTCATTGTCATGAATGATGCGCGAGATTTGGATCCAATCTTCTTCACTGAAGAGGGTCAGCCTCGTACAATGACCCAGCATTACTAATTGGTTTGTCGAGCGAGTGTTCCAATTCTGCTGTTGCAGGGCTGTCAAGATGTACCAGACCAAGGGTTCCTTGGTGGTATCTAGATTATAGTCGAGATGAAAATCAAGGTGTTTGTGCAGCTTTAAGGCTTGGTGAATCGCCCAGTCAATATTCTTCTTTGAAGCATCAGGACTTGTTTCGACATAAGGAGTGGTTCCAATAACGTCAATTTGCGAATACCGTTCGAGAGCATCCTCAATTATGGTCTTATTCTCTTCTCCATGTTCGCCAGAGAATATAGGATCTTGCGCAAAACAGACAATTTGGACGTGACATGAATCTCTCCATTGCTCTTTTAACGTGACTGCCGCATCTAGGCACTTAAATTGTACTGTATGATCGACCTCTACAAAGGCCCTCATAGCTGTAACTCCTGACGCGACTGACTCAGCTAGTAGCCATTCACCTCGCTGAAGAAGGCCAGGATAAGTGAACTGTTCCTTGGCTTTAGTTGTGAAATACAAGGCCTCTTGAAATGACCCATTAGAGGGAAGTAGGTGAGCATATTCGCAAGCACTATGCACAAATGCTTTATCCAAATGAATGTGTGGATGTGTCAATGCTGGTAACACGAGTGGAAATTGAGATTCTTCTCTAGAAGAACCATGCGGGGTTATAGAGGAAATTGTGCCATGGGAGTCTTGGTAATCGAGGTTAATATCCCAATGCGATGAAGAGCCGGCTATCTTAACACCACGGATGCAAGGAAGCTGTTGACTCAGTTCTGGGGATGGCATTACAGATGAGGTGGAAATATATCAAATTAAATTTTTAGAAAAGTTGGTCAAAGGAAGGGACATTGAGTTAGTTATAGTCTTCGGTCGGAATCGGCATACGTACTCCACCTTTGATAACGGCGAAATCCGAATCTATGAGGGGAGATAAGTGAACATCTGACCTTTTTATACTGACAATACACACTGGAAATTCAATATGGATATGAAGTAATTGCTCATACAAGACCTATTTCTGCCCGTACTGAACATTTCAATATACAGTTGGAATAATTGAAGCTATAGTTAAGACCGATATGACTTCATGGATTTTTGATTTACATCGCTTCACGTCCAATATTTGCTTTGCCTCGCTCGGGTGATTCAATTATTGAAAGAGAGTGATCTACTTCCAACTGAAATCAACCCCACTAACACTCAAGCTTTCCCCCATCTCGGGCGACATCCACCCTATTTTGGCTGCTGGAACCCTAAAACAATGCACATCAGTCGGTCCCTCTTCTGGACTACATAGACGCAAATAGCTTAATACTCCTCATCTACAGGGCGAGCTCTTTTCTGCATTTTCTTCCTTTGCTGCTTCTCCCATGTGGACAACGTTAACTATTGTTATTTTAGCAGAATAAATTTGAATAATCACCTTTTACAAAACATATGACAGCAGGTAATGATAAGCAGCATAATCGGTAGTTAGAACGTGAAGCAGGCACGTAATAAACGAAAGCCAAGTCCAAATATGTAGCGCAATGGAAAATTCAAGACTATCTGGGTCTGTTGAAAATTCGCGGCAAAATCCAGGTTCACAACATGAACATCGATCCGGAGCCTACTATCAAGTGTACTAATGAAACTATGATAGAAACAGAAAAGAGCTATTATTTTAAATGCAGGAGTCATAAGGATTCTTCTCGAGTCTTTGTACTAGACCGCAGGAATCCCAGTATGCTAGTGACCGTTTGCACACCATGCATCTCCATGTAAAGGTGAGGATATTGTATGATAACACAGATATATTGAAGATTGAGTAACTTGATTGGTCAAAGGTTCCTGAACCTGAAATCTGCGAGAGAACATTTCAGCCAGTCGGGCCAATTTGGAGAGACCAAGGACGCACCGTTGCGTATGCAACCTATATGCATATTCCTCAATTAGTCAGGGTTATGCACTAGAGTGCATATAAGACACTTTGATTTTCAGTGAAGAGAAGTATGAAGCTCCAATGGACGAAAGTAGGAGAGAACTTTTATCTAGCCTATGGGGAGGGAATCACTCAGCTCTTCGAGTATCTTTAGCTCACAATTTGATAGAAAATGGTGAGACTTTCGAGCATCAATAAGTTACTAGAATTGGAAGTTAGTTATTGTAACACTTTGTAAACTATTAAGTTGTCATGAGGTGGCAAAAGGCATGTGCGAATGTTGCATAGGGAGGGATTGGAGTAGTAGATTGGCCATATCTCTTAACATAGTATGTGTCAGAGCTGCACCCCTGAACCTATAGACACTATCCGTTATTCTATTAATTTATCCTCCAAAGCAGAGAGTTTATTGCCGGAGGGACTGTGCTCAGATTGTGCTTTTTGGCGGAGAATTGGTGGCATGGTTGTTGATTGAAAAACATGTATTTCTATGGGAGGCCTTTTCATTAATGGCTAGATATGACCACTTGAGCTTCTCCGTACTCCTGAGGTTGGCCTATTGTGAGAGGAAGTTTTTTTTTCAGAAAGTACCTAGACTTACTCTGCAGTATGAGAAACAAAAATATGATCGATTCCAGCTTGCTTTTCCTGGAATGATGTAACTAATATTCCTTCTGCGCATCTTACCTAGCTAACTTGTGGGAAATATTTGAGGACTTTTGTCGAGCGCCCCATAAGAAATTTATTTTCCGGCGTAATGTGCTAACTAACTCAAACGAATATGGAATAGCCTGAGTGTATAGAATCTTTCAAGATTGTGGGAAAAAAAAGGAGAGGACTTAGGATCCCCAGTAAAATGCGTATTCCAAGCAAGATAACTGTCTTATCATTGAAATTATCAATCTTGGAATCGATTTAAGAGAGCATATTTCGCTCTGCGTATGAGGTCTGCCATATACTTACTACACCGTTTTGAGGGGTTAAGTAAGTGCATCCTATCTATTAATTACTGCCATAACATACCGCCTTTATTATTTCTTGACAATATCATCGAACCAAACTTTATGTCAGTCTGTATACTTGTATTTATACACTTTCCTTCCTTTTAAGTGTGAGGCTTTCTCAACGCGACTTTGTGAAGACTCAGGTCTCTTTCCCCGCTCTGTAGATAGATAAAAATTGCTTTTTCCACTACATCACGTGTCATTAATAAGCGGGGCTTAGGGGGCCATCTGACGCAGGAGGTCATATTAGTGGTCAAAAGACCAGCTGATTATTTACGAAAGCTAGTGCTTTAAATGTTCACTAGCACGGGATCATCATGTCTAAGCATACGAGAGAGGGATCTCTAGACTCAGAAGAGCCCTTGTGCTCTTCTGAGCTCTTCTCTTCTCACCACCATGAAGCCACCCAAGATGATCGAAATGAAATTTCTAAATCTTCCGGGCATAGATGACGAGCATTTCCAAAATTTAGTCAAGCGTGAGTGTGGGCTGAAAGTACCAAATGCGTTGGAGAAAATACTGACCTCTTCCCAGCCCCACGACCAACAACAACTCCCTATGGATCAGCAAATCTCCAGTTTGACGACCAGGAGCAACCGCATGAAAATACGACAAAAAGGCATGCACCCTATGTTTCTTTTGGTGATCAAGGAACGACAGCAAGTGCCGGTATCTATGGCTCACTGCTGCGTATCTGTCGTCCCATGAAGAGCAGTCGTCTTCATTCGGGCATGATCAGCCTGGGATTACCTGATAATCCCCAGGCTTGGTATGTCTATTGGCGCACATCGCGCTTTTTAGAAAGTGCACAAACTCTCAACGCAGGGTTTGGGCTTAGAGTATTAAACCTTTTATCATCGGAGCCACCCACCGTGAATTTTCTGGCAGACCGTTGGCCCGTCATCTCATATAAAAGTGTTGATAACTTTACAATCAACGTCAAACTCTGGTGCCATGACAATGTGATAGTACAGCATATGGAGATTACTGGACGGAGCATATCTACGGACCCGCTCAAACTAGAGTTCAACCCTAATTTCAGCATGCAAGATTTGGACTTCTTGGAGAAGCGAGAAGACTTACAGATGCAATGCTTACGTGGACCCCATGGTTACGGAATCATAGACATAGAGGATGCCGCGGGATTTGATATGACCCAAGAACGTATTTGCGTGCTTGTGGGCTTATTCAAAGATGGAAATGCACAAGAGCTAGAGGGGAACAAGCCAATCCTCATTGAACATGATTTCAACAAGCAGTTCAAGGTAGAGGTTACCGCGGCATTCAAGCTTCAAATGATTACCCTCAAGGAGGACTGGAAACGATGTCTAATCTCCTCGGATGATCTCAAATTTGTTCCGCCTGAGGCACCTGCTCTGGAAACTTCATCTTTCTCTGATCCAGATTTGGGCTGGTACCTACGACGAAATCTTGAACATATACTGTCTGTGTGTAGTATTCCATTTCAAAAGAATGCCTCATCAGATTCCAAAACATTAATACCAGCCCCGATGATCACACTCAATGCCCCCGGGGGCAAGGAAGACGTCCTTCATAGGAGTGTACCAGCCAACAAGCGATTGGGACCAGTAGCTCTAACTTGTGGCGATTTTGGGGATCACAATGTCAGTGTATCAGGAAGCTAGTATGAACTGTTTCCTCCCAAGAATTCAAATCAAAGCTAATTATGACAGTTTTTCATTCATGTTCATGTTGAAGATGTACGAATGCTTGGGAACCGACTCACTAGAGTTGCGACAACGGATCCATGAAGTATGTAGAGGCCACCTTGAATGCATCCTCTCCTTAGATGCCGACGACGCTTGCTCTTCGAACATTCACATCAATGGCAAAAGAATGGAGAACTCGGAGGAAACAGATCTTCCGCCAGATAGCCCTACAAACATTCCGATCCACATCATTAAAGCAACAGAATATGTCAAAGTGTTCTCAGACATAGACGATCTTCTGTTTGTTTGCAGCATGCTGGGGCGATTTACCTTGGGCTGGTTCGAACAACTGATAGACACCAGAAACCACATCTCTCCAACATGGCAGCACTTGAGCGACTCAGAAATTCCGATATATCGTCTTAGCGATCATGTATGGATATGGAAGGCGCTCAGGAACATCGAGGACTTGACTCAGCGTGTGGAGGCTACAGAGAAGGAGAGTCCTCATGATACTCTGAAAACATTCTTGGATATAAAGAAACATCTTTCACATCAAGGGCCGCGAAAGTCTACCTTGGAGCCGCGTTTAAACTTCACGTCAGAGGATCTAAGAAGGCAGAACCTGCGACGTTTTACACTCGAAAACGACATTATGAAGAAGAGAATGCTAAGTGTCACTCGTACTGCACGTGAAACTCGCTTCCTGCTACATTCTCGCGACACGATCCTATATTATGGGCTGGAATGGGGCTTCTTTGAGGGCGAAGAAACAGTATGGAAGCATTTGATCAAAGCGCAAGTTCAGCATGATGAAGCCAGCAACGATGAAACACAGTGGGACAATCCCCTTCGCTATGGTCTAGCCATTGAGATGGCGAAGCAAGGCCATCAACTGGAAAGTGAATTCACGCCTCCCGAGATGTTCATCCATGCCCAAAAGATTATCTTGAATTCCTCATCAGAGAATGGACTTTTCCCGGGACAACTAGATTCTTTCAGCAAAGAGCCAGTGCTGTTTGATCGTGAAATCTTTCGTGATTTCTACTTCCACGTCGGTTTTGAAATTCCTTTTATCCTCTTACGGACAATGAGGGGAGAGAAAGTAGCATATTTTAGTTCTGGCGAAGCATCTAAGACAGGAGAAAGATCATTTGAGGGAGAAATGCCGTCTCTAAAAAGAACCATCGATCTATCTCCCATCTCTGGTATCAATCCTGGCGCCACTCAAGACTATTTCAGTTTTCAGAATCGAACATTGGCAATCCAAAGAACCCTTAAGCGGCAGAACCCATACGGCAGACTCGTGGACCTCAGCAATATCGTCGAACTACCCGAGGAATGGCTCTATAAGTATCCCGATTTTCTGGATTTTACTCCACCAAAGGATAGACAAAAGCTCCGTCAAATCCAGGCCGAGGCTCCGCTTGCTATACAGGAGACAATGCGTAATTATTACCTCAGACAGGCAATGAATCCTTTTACGCTCCACCCTATAGGCAGATGTTTTGCGACAGTCGACGACGTCCGCAAAGGAAAAAAGCAGCGCAAATGGTCTGTTGATGAGAAGTGTGTCCAAGGTGTATATGACTCATACAAAGGCTTGTGGGAACGACTGCAGCAACAGCGCAGCGCTGAAGAGAGCAAAAAGCGCCTCATATACCTGAGAGCTGCAGACTATATTGTCTCTACCATGTGTTACATCGCATCACCAGAACTTGAGCGAGTACATATGGCACAGTTCTTCGATCGACATGCCAAACTGCATGCAAATTACTTCTATGATGACACTTCAGCAGTTGTCAACAACTGGGTGACCGAAGTACATTTCCGTTTCTTTCAGTTTTATAAGCCTGTCGACGGCGAAGCGCCTGCACAAGCCCCTACCCATGTTCGACAGCTCAAGTCACAAATATGCGGAATTTTTGGCAATGATGCCTATCTGGTTGATGCAGTGATTAGCTTCCGGATCGTGGGCGACTTTTTCGATCGTTATTGGACTAGCCACGTGTTGCAGAACTTTGCAGATCCTACAGAGCTTGCCAACTACCCCCCTCTGGATGAATACGATCGCAGCCACGACACGCACTGGCAACAGAGAAAAGTTCTGGAGCTGATCCTGTTGAATCATATTCTGGCAAAAGTCTGCAGCAGCACAGGAATAATCTTACGACGAATCGAACAAGGGCCGCGCTTAACCGCATCAGACGCAGGAGAAAAATACTTTTCCAAGGACAGCTTCGAGGATCGAAAGCCCGGGGAACTACGCGAAAGTTTCCAGGTCCTGGTCATTTTAAAGAACAACATCAACAGTCTCCAAGGGTTAACTGAACAATTCAATGGCCGAGAAAGCTCTCAGGGTAGAGAGAGACCCCGCTGGACGAGGGAAGACGAACAGAAATATCGCAAAGCAATCAAACAAAAGCAAGCCCATTTTGAAGACCACGTGCGTGAAATCAAAGCAACAGCAGCTCGTATCGAGTTCCTCATTGCTCTTGTGACCAGTGCGCAAGACGCGATCCGATCCAAAAAGGCCCTGAGGGAATCGGAGAACGTCACTCTCTTCACATACGTGACCGTCTTCTTTCTACCTGTCGGTCTTGCCGTCAGCATTTTCAGTATGAGCAATGCTCCTGATCGTAACTTGCTTGTTTATATGATAGTCACGGCGTTAGTGGCTGTTATAATCACAGTCGGCGTGTTGTGGTGCGTTCTCGGCCACTTGATTCCCACGTGCGTGGACAGAATCATGTTCATTATTCATGCTTGTCGGGGCTCATCTGACACGGAAGATGAGGTTCTACGTGAACAGACTAATCATAGAGTCTTTCGACAATTGTCGTTTGGACCGAAGGATAACCAGAAATTTGGGAGAATACTTCACGATCTTGAAGGTCAGACAGGTCATAATGGGGAGACGAATTCGGTCCGGAAATCCTCTGATTCCAAGATTTAACTAGCACTCTACATTTATAATTTGATGATCACAAAATGACATAGTCTCGGAATTTTTTTCAAATCTCTCGAAGCTAGGTAACCTAGGTAAGGCTGAATGATAATTGCATTTCCAAGGTTCTAAACGACTGGGGTCGATTCCAAAGTCTTATTGTTCTCTCTGTTCTGCTTTCTGGCAGGTGCTTTCTTTTTTCTTGGTTATTGTTAGATAGCTACATTCCACTGTCCATCACCGTCCTTTGTTCAAAAATGGTCATCTTGAGTAGAAAGAAAAGTTACGGGGACTGAAATACGCTCTGTTCGCCCTAGTCTGCTACTAATCCAACACGAAGAAGTCTTCTAACTCACAGAAACTACAAATTGAACTTTCGACAACATGGATCCTAATCAGACTCCAAAGTACTACAGCGGTCAATGGGAATATGAAGGTATTAAGCTCATGCGCTATATCGAGTCCCCGCAGGTGGAAAACTGCCCGATAGAAGATCATGTTCTTGTGTAGGATAAGCTCATCAATAGGCCGCTGCAGCCACGTATCAAAGCTCTGTCTCTTTAGCCCGGCTCACCCTTCAGTGGCCCACAGAGTAATTATCTCTTTCTTTTCAAAATCGCCTTGATATCAGCATTTTGCATGTCATCTAGCGAAATTGGTCCATCATCATTATTGCCTGTTGACTCTTTGGAGTGGGTGGGAGAGGTTGTCGCTGCTTTTCGGATCATATAAACTAAGATCCGAAGAATCTTTGAGTATTTGCCCTTTTTTCCATCTGCGGGGCCCACTGGGATAACCCAAAAGACGGATTTCTCATCCAACTTGATGAAGTGAAAAGTGCTGGTGTCAGTCGCCACCCCGTAAACAGAAGTCCTTCGCTTGCCAACCTCCTCCCGCGGCTTCTGAACCATGCCTAGCTAGAAGTTAGCACTGTATTCTATTCTGGACTTCATAAATCAGAGATCTTGTGATGCATCGGCATTCATATTCTTCGCAAAAATGAATACAGAGAAAACCAGATTAGTTTGGTTGTAATTCCAGCATTAAGTCTGGTTACTGTATCCAAGAGCGCAAGGTTGCGGAGTGGAATTTGCATATTCTATTACAGGGAAAGCTTGAGCCGGGCTGGGAAAAGATTGGAGGCTAGCCTCATCGAACATGTGCCTCCAGACATATTCGTGACAACGAATGGTGTCCTTGGTGCAAGCATGCGAGCATGCTAGATAGGGACCAGGTTCCACCAAGTAGCTTTATAGAACCAGGAAGACGGTGTCCAGGCTATGAGGATTCGTTGCAATAAAGGCCTGGACAAAAGAGAGCTGAGGATGCGCTCGATTTATAAGCCAATAAAATACGACACATTGATGCATTAGCCTGGACCGCGAAGTTAAATTGAGCATCTTTTTTTTACGTTACTTTGACGGATGACGGGTGATAGGATTGCTGATAAGATCTCGCTCGCTCTTAGCGTGAGGTTGTTCGCTTTCAAATATGGGCAAATCGCCAACCACTCCCTCCTTGGTGAAAGTGATATGAGGCCGAGGAACCATTATTGTTGAATTCGTCGGTCAGGTCACTCTTCGGTGTCGCACCAAACAGATAGACTTATCGCGGTGCTACTCGGCTGTTCAGACATAGAAACAAGTGACATTGTACGAAACAGTACGGGGAGTCGGCATTTTCCGATGATATCCGTATGTCTCAAAATATTCAGACCTTGGTAACATAGGTTCGTTTCTCTCTAAGAGAAGGAAGTTGAAGAGATTTAGTATTGTCCGCCTCAATTTTTGACGAATAGCCAGATTCAATTCTAATGAAGAAGATGGAACTCGACAGGCCGATACACTTCTTTTGAGTGAGCTCTTTTGCTTCTTCCCCTCCAGTAGCTTTTTGGGTCCGCATTGACAAGTAAGTCACAAGTCTTTATAGCCAGTGCGTTTTTGGAATACGTGTTCCTCATCAACACCCGTCATATCAGGACCTAGAGATCTTTGCGAATCCGAAGAGACTCATGCGGTGGGTCCTTGGAAAGATGTGTAAAGAAGAAAAAATACCTTGGCGTAGAGAGATGACCTGGAATATATACTAGAAGCGAGCACTGTCACTAGTATATGCGCTACCTAGGTAATTAGTCAAAAATGAACGTGAGGTGAAACATATGCCTCACTTATATAGTTCAAGGTCTGGCGGTCTTTTCACTCATAATAAAAATTCATTGTCCGGCGTGTCGAACGAGGCAGTTTGATACCGTAAAATGCTGGCCATGCTAGCAACCTTTAGGCCGCAAGCCCACGTTCGACTTCAGCATCGACGCAAGTCCAAGATGACTCTCAAAATCAGGGTTTAGGAACATGTGTAAAGAAAAAGAAACTTTTAAAGGAAGAGAGAAATCGTGGTATATATACGCGGGCTAATTTTCACTGTTACTAGCACGTGCGTTGGTTGATCAAAATGAATGTGAATGTGAGGTGAAATAGAAGCAGACTGACACACGTTCAAGATTACCTAGGTAATCAATATCTTTCAAGGTTATCTCAAATAGGAGGACGGCGCGAGTTCTGGGGAAACTCTCAGGGCATTTACGTTAACACGTATTCGTTGCCGGGGTTTCAGGCTTTTCGGAAGAGAATGCTGTTGGTAATATGCGATTGGCCTAGGGCCGTGAAGACCTGGAAATCTCGGAGATCGCCATATAAATACCCGGATTAGCAATTGCTCGTATTCACTATCACTAGCGCACGAGCGCTGATGGACTGAAAGTGAAAGTAACCCGAAAGTAAAATTGAGGTGAAATCCACACTGGTGCACTTGATGGATATTTTATCTGTTGAAAGAATGACAAGGCGAGTTTGAGGGGGTTCCGAAAGCGATTTTGTTCAACATTTTGATTATAAAGACCTGCCAATTGTGGGGATTGCTTCCTCACAAGGGCCCTCAGGACGCTCCAAGTATATATTGACAATATTGCGGGTTCAAATGTGTGAATGACCAGTGCGTTAACGGGGGGTAGCTGGAATAAACATTCACCCCCTAGCCCCGCTAGTGATGAGTCGCAGTCTTGATTGCTTAAATTTAGTTTCAGCGGTTCATTACTTCTGACTGTGCAAGTGACAATGCTGCGCCCAAGACTCATCCAGTTTTGAGGAGCAGAAGAGTCACAGAAATCTTAGACTTTCTTGAGATCGAAGTCTCGTTTGCTGGACAAGTTGACCCGACCCTTTGAAGTTTCATCCCTATCGAGGCCTGCAATTAGATCGTCCTAAATGGATTGTCCTAAAAGCCTTGGAAGTCATCTCAAATACAAAGGGGTAATGTAGACTTAAGATATTGTGAGAGAGGAAGTCACTGAATTTAAGTATTTGAGAAAAATACGAGCAAGTCTAGAGAGGTTGACTCACCAAAACTGAATCCTGAGAGGGGCCAAATACTAACCCAGACGTTTGGCTTATCGCATCAAAGATGATTATATATCGGAAGGATCGGGAAGGTCATCAATAGATTCTCCTGTACCTAGGTTGAGTTGTAGATATTCTCGATGCTTATTGAAACGCGATAGCCATCAGGCTCCGGTAGCATCGAGTGTCATGTTGATATTCTCAAAATTAAGACTTTATTCGTCAATTCAGGGCGAGATTATAGACATCTGTGATCTGAGGCCCTTGGGACCAGGTTTGGGTTGAAAAAGGTTCGGGTTTTGAAATTGATGATATGTCAGTCTGTAAATCTACCTGAGCAAGGGTATCAAAGCCCTTACTGAAGGAATAAAGTCGATTTCTAATCCGACAGATGTTGATTGTAGTGAGTGGAGACCGCGTAGTGATATGAATTTGATTGCTCTAATTTTGAAGGTTGCGCTAGTCAGGCTTTTGCTCAAGCCAGCTCTGATTGATCTCTCTAGAAATGAAAGCGATAATTTTGGAATGAAAAGTCGTAGATAGAAGATTCGTTAAGAATCCATGTTGTGGAACCCAATCTCTGTAAGATGGAACAACCCCGCGATTATGTGATCATACTGACTCGTTAGCTCTGAATTTACAAAGATAAGGGGCCTGGATTCCTCCCAAGGTTGTTCCTATATCAAGTTATTCATCTGAACCTTGATTCATTACGATAGGTTCGCAAGCAAAATTTCACCTGGACACTTAAACTTTTTAAATAGTCATGAGTCGTATCTTTATGTAAGATGCTAACAGTGTTCAGCACTAAAATTGTTTCGCTCTTGAACATTGAACTTCGAACTTAGCTGATTACTACAGAACTGGAGCCACTGGATCGCAGTGGATGCATCGGCATCGGTGGAGATTTACATTAAGTATCTTCGTGGGGCCTTTAGCTTGAATCTTGGAATAGAATCTTGGGTGCCCCATATTCTCCACAATTGATTGCTATGAATTCATCTACGCTTTTTTAGGTATCACTATCAACGATGTTTGTCTCATCGATTTAAGGCGCCGATCATTTCCATCTGAGGCGAAACTATATAAGAATCGCGTATATCCATCTGTGAGTAAGACAGCCCTCAATCTAGCCGTTCCTCTGTAGATACAAGCATATAGGGACATCAGCTTACTAGCCAGATTAGACATGTGGCGTTATTTCCCAGATCTTACTTACCTCCGTCCAATTTATGTAATCACTGATGTGGAGCATACTGACTGGGCGGTTTATCGGAATAACAGATCTTGGGTTCGTGAGTTTACACTAGCACAAGTATGTACAGACAGATTTACAGAGTAATAACGTAATCACGAAATGAGGACTTTACTTATGATCTCATTATAAATTGGCCTCCCCCACGAGTTCGGTCATCTATTCAATCACATTTCATTTGTTAATTCATGTTTCCACAATGTCTCAAGCCAATTTAATATCGAAAACTTCGGATCTGGCTGACTATGCAGGATCGCCTATGTTAGTGAGTCTCATGACCTGATACCAGAAATTGAGAATAAGTTGCTTAAGTAACTGTTCATGGTTCATTTATTCTTACTACCTACAGAGTAACTAGGTACTGACTCAACATGAAGAATCATTAAGGCAGACACTGGTGAAGAAGTTTGGCTACTCGAAAGTTCCCTACGACTAACTTCCCACCGTAAGTCCCCCATATTTTAAATCATAGAAAATGCAGGCTCTAACTCTGAAATTACGGGCCATTGAAGAGATTGAGAACTTATTGGTCCAATGTGTAGCTTGAAGTTTGAATCTTTCTATGAGTCTTCCAAGGAGGTCTTGATAACTTAGGTAGTAATGCATGTCGTCACTGCCTATGCAGTTTCTAGTCCTTGAAACACATTTGAAATAAAAATTTCGTCAACTACCAATGTATTCAACGATAAACTGTACAACACTATTCACTCATCATCCCGAGAAATTTGATCGCAGGGAGTTGAAAACAAAGCAGGGGAAATTGAGGGACCTCGTTAATGCGTCTCTATTGTACACGACGAGTGGGGGACAGCCGACAGCGATGTGTGGGAGGCTAATATATGATGGTAAAAAACGGGGACCAAAACAATAAGGCTGATGGGGCTAAAAGCATGCTGAATTCCAATGGGGAGTAAAAAAAGATTAAGCATGGAATTGAGAGGCGGCTTGCAAAGGTAACATGGAATAGATATGCTCGTGCGGATACGTCGTTGATGAATATGGGCTAGCAATGCTTATGGGAAGTCAAAAAATAATGATATTCTCATAGAAAGCTTTTTTGGTTTCATCGATTGACGCAGGGTGTGATCACAGACGCAAAGCATCCAGGATCTTCTTGGCCATTTCTCGGTACTGCCACATACCACCCGAGACTTTCTTGAACTGGATACCATGGAGCGAGAACACGGGAACCTTCACGATAAGAATCTCAAAGCGAAGGATGAGGTTCTCTCCAGTATCGCTTTGTACACGGGTGGTGGTCTCTCCAACCACTCGCTCGCCCACAGGACCATTGCGCTGATTATCCCGGGGAATGTATTCCTCGGATGCGTCGGAGTTGGTCACAAAACTGTGATCTGGGGCGGCTTGGCCGCGACGTGGCAGCCGTGTTGGTGCCGATTGGTTTTCATCTCGGGTCTCATCGTGACCGAGAAGCCCGCCAAAGCTAATCCGGCGGCGGTGCGAAATCTGGCCTTGTCGATCTTCATTAGGTGGATTGTCGACAACGGTTTCAAGGTCAATGCTAGGGGCATGTCGGCATCTGAATCCACCCTTTATCTCGACATAGTCTACAGACAGCTGATTCAGGACGCGAATAATATCGGATCGGATCATAGGCAGGGGCTTGCTGCTAGTGGTTGACACACTGAAAAGACCCTTGAGATAAACTGGCTTGGACAGATCTTCGCCTTCGTTGGCACTTTCAAGAGCCGTACCTGCTCCCGAAATATCGGCGTCAGTCTCTTCTGGCAAATTGGCTTCTCGGGCCGCTTCGCGTCGAGCGCGTCGGGCCTGAATGCTTTCGCGGCGGGCATGACCCAAAGACATGGTGCGCGCAGTATGCTTTTGAGAAGCAGACTTGGTACCGACTTGATCTCTCTGGCCATTAGGTCCAGCCTGATCCGAGCCGCTTGTTGAAGGAGGTTGTCGTTCGGCATCCAATGTTTCATCATCGGCCCGTCTAGCTGCTCGTCGAGTTCGATAGTCTGAAGAATTGACGCTGGTAGACCGTCCCAATACCTTACTTGGCTGTGTTGCTCCTGTGTTGGGGGCTGTGAGAAGATCTTGCTGAGGCTGGCTGGTCGCAGGAGAGGGCACTGGTGATGGATCAGCCCGACGATTTCGCCGCACACTAAATCCACGGTGCAATGGAGAAGCCGAGTCGGCGGGAGGTTGGACATTGAATGTAGGAGTGTTTGGGGTGCTGACGCGGTCTCGCTCGACATCGCGACTGCGATCTTTGGTTTTGCGGGTGCTGAAGCGCCGCAAAATACCAGCAGCGGTACTTTCTTTCTTTGCGAGAACCTCGGGGCGTCCAGCGGGTGAGGATGTGTGCAAGTTCTTGATGCCCTCCGTAACTTCGTCTTCGCCATGTGTTCTAGCTCGTGGGCGAGACCGTCGGCCTGTATCCTTTTCTCCTGGAACTTGGTATTGGTTGGTATAGGCGGCTTCTGGAGGCGCCAACTCGGGTACCGAAATTTCACCCGAAGTCGCCGGAGTCTTCTGGATGGCAACTTTTTCGCTGGGGTGGGCTTCTAGTCGTTCCTGGTCAAGTTTCTCCTTGACAAGATGATATACCGACACTAGCGGACTGAATGCATTCAATGGGTCGTTGCCCAGCTGGATGGCCTCGACGGAAGGCGAAGTAGTAAGAGTATCACGACTAGCAGCGGAGTTGCGTCGTTTGTAGAAATCGAAAACACCGCGTTTCTTTTCGGCCTGACTTAAAGGTGTCTCCCGGTAGTTAAGTCGCACAGCGTGTTGGTATTCTTCAGAGTTCAATACCTTGGTCAGCTGTGAATTGATGTACTCCGGTGGACCAAAATCAAAGCCGGTCATCTTCTCGATAACTTCTGGATCCAATGGAAGCTGCAAGGCTTCTCTTTGAGGAAGATAGTTCTCAGGGGGAACACTGAATCCTTTATTCATCCACGGATGTGTCATTATTTCGTTCAAGGTGGCACGCTGCTTTGGATCTGTGACCAACATGCGAGAGATGATGTGACGACATTCGGTTGAAAGACCTGGAGGGTACTCTACCACGCCCTTTTTGATCTTGGCATGCAGTTGAGGCATACTCTGATCATCAAATGGTACTTTGCCACAAACCAAAACATAAAGGACAATTCCGAAACTCCAGACATCCACTTCTGGTCCAGTATACTGTCTTGCTTGGAGCAATTCGGGAGCAGCGAAGTAAAGACTACCACAGAATGTCTTGAGTAGGCTTCGTGGGGAAAAGAGATTGCTCAGGCCAAAATCAATAATCTTAATGTCGCCGGTCTTACTAATGAGAATATTCTCGATCTTCAGATCACGATGGACGATGCTGTTACGATGACAGTAGTCCAGTGCACTGGCGATTTGGCGAGCGAATTTGCGCGCTTGTTTTTCCTTCAACTTGCCGTGGGAGATAATGTAGTCTAACATTTGACCACCGTTGACGTATTCGAAAAGCATATACCAGTGATATGTGGTACGCACCACATCTCGCATGCCGCAGATATACGGGTGGTTGACGAGGCTGACAATGGCAGCCTCTCGGGCCGTTCTGATTTCCTTCGAGCGATCTGCTCTCTCGGTTTCTCGGGTGCTGCGATGCTCCTCGGTTGAGAGCCTCGGGACGATTTTCACTGCGACCTGCGACCGGATGTTAGTGCGGGTATATGACGATATTCACCGATTTTTACTCACCTGCTCGCCAGTGTCCATATTCTTCGCCAGTTTCACCTTGCCCATGCTTCCAGCGCCGATTGTCTTGCCCAGTGCCCATTGACCAGTGGGAGTGGTGAGCGTAGTCCGGCGTCTGGGTTGCGAGGCGGTTGCGGACGTCACATAATCGGTCGCACGGTCGGCTGTGACAGTGCCTGCACCATCATCACCGTCTCGGTGGTGGGTCTGCGCGGAGGGGTTGCGCTCATGTTTTCGGACAGATTCACGGGCAGTGTCTGGCCGCTCAGAAGAGGGCTCACGGCGAGAAGGCATCCGACGGTCATGGGAAGAGTATGGGGGCTGGGAAGGCTGGGAAGGTTGGGTAGAGCGGACCGCAGTTGACCGAGTGCGATTTAGCTCTGATGGAGGAGGTCTATCGGAACGTGAAGAAGTCGACTTGCTTCTGGCGACAGTTGTCGATGATGGGGCCGACATTGCGACCAAGGTCAAGAGAGGTCAAAGAATTCGAGGCGGGGTTTGAGGGAAGTCCGGATCAGGCAGATCAAAGTGGGAAGTGGGAAAAGAAAACAGTGTGAAAAGGACGATGGAAGGAAGGAGGGAAGAAATTGCAAGGAGAGAAGAAGTGAGCAGAAAAGGACGAAATAAAGATGAAACGAGAGAGCTGAGGAGCCGGGAAAGAGTATGTGAACGGGCTGCAACCAGGTGGCAGGTGATGCGGGGGCCAAGAACTTAGGAAGCTCCTAGTAAACAGTAATTACTATATTTCCCACTCATTTTGTTCTCCATTAGATTTAAGTTTCGTCTTATCCAGGACTCGTCCTCCTTTCCCCTGTCCGTGTTATTCTCTTGGTATACAGGAACATGACCAAGTGATTGTCACTTAAAGTTAAATGGATATAGACTTAGTCACCGAGTGACATATCATATTATGCCATATCTAGCCTACTAGGTACCCAGGTATAGTCAGATACATGTCTGACATACATCTAAGATCTTGACCCTCTCCTTGAGTAACTATGGAGTAAATACCGAGTGTATAGCCTAATTATATTCTTGTCTGCCCGAAGTCACATGACTGATACTATAAATATCCCGAGTATGTTTAACTCCGACAGGAACAAGATGGAAGTGATAGATAAATAACTAAATTGAAGCTTTAACTTTTAAGTGTGTAAAGTCCACTAAGATCCCATGTTTACTTAGGTTATCTTGCAGTATCTAGAGAATATAGCCAATTGAGCGTTCCAATAAACAAGAAGGTGCAAAATTAATTCAAGGTTGAAAGCATGGGCTAATACGTAATACTCGTGGTGTCATCAGCAAGGAGGGTCACTGACTCCTGAGTACTCACAATATGCAGGGCTAAATATATAGTGGTGTGGGGTTATGATTAGCTTAATCTCGATCCCTTAAGCCTTAGGCACCAAGACTCTAAAATAGTTATGTATAGAGTGCTTACTCATCGGACTCTAAGCCAATCAGCGGACAACTCAGACGACATGTTCCAAGGATATGGTGGACCTACTTCACGTAGGACCTACCTGATATCTAGGTACACGACTTCATTATACTAGCTAATTACCTCCTAGAAATACATGAATTGGCTAAAGTATCTCCTCAATCTCAAATCGCATCTGCAACCCATTCTTCCTCTCATCTCCCCAAGTAACGATTCTTGAAATTCGTCTAGTGCCACGATTCCATGCTCCCAAAACAAGATGAGCCACGACTTTTCCAATTGGAGTGCCCAATAATGCCATGAAATCACATGTACCATGTTTCCAGGATCGTGGCATGTGATCCGGCCAAGACAGCCCATTATTTTGCGTATAGAGACAACTTGAGCAAAATGTTCTGGTTGCAAAATGATCGATATCAACAACAAAGACATGATTTAAATCATTCATTAGAAAGTAATGTTCTCAGGCAGCTTAAGCGACCTGCGAAGAGTGCGGTCCACTGTTTCTGTTCATTCTTTCTATGAAGTGTACTTTTGGACCTACAAGCTGGTGATATGAACTAAGCCTAATTGGGGAGTCCCAAAGTATACTGATCGCGCTTTCGATTTTCTTTCCTCTTGCTTCTTTCTTTTTTTCTTTCTTTCCAGAATTTTGCTTTCATCCACATTTTGAGCTTATTTTTCATCTCGGACTAGTACCCACTATGTCGCCTCTCGATAAAAAAGAAAAGGGCTGGAAATTGATGGTAGACAGCTGGAAAATGGTCAAAAAGGGAAAAATGACCGTGGATGGTTATGATAAACTGGTGTTGAATCCGGAGGATCAGCAGAAAAGTTGCCTAGCCTGGCAATGAGCAGTCTTAAATACCAGGATATCTGCAACTTCAAGATCCTGGATTTGACGCAGGGTTTCTGTCGGAACATGGATATTGCAATCGTGCAATACCATAAACCCGGAACGGAACAAACAGACCCCCGAGTCACGGGGGAACGACTATATTAGGAACTCAAGTAGCTACATGAATCGAACACATTTCACACCACTTTGCACAACGTATATACTAAGAATCTAGGACGAACCATACCCTTTTCCAGTGTATATAGTGCAACGTGTGAGCCCTGTCCTTTCAACGTAGTTGATCGATAGTTTCGCTACTACTGAGTTTGGTATTGTCGGGGATGTTGAAGTCCCCGACTGGCATGGTAAGTCCTTGAGACTGGGCGGATAAGGAAACAAGAAAGGATGATATCTAACTAAACTGCGTAGCTGCCTGGCTGGTCGAGATTAGATGTTCCTTTGGATATAGTGAGCTGAACGAAACTAGCATTCGACTTACACTAGAACACCTGCTGGTACTGGCTAAGAAGCTGGTAACGGACGAGTTGCCACCGAAGACACAGCCCATAAGCCTCCAAGTGGAGAGCACGTGGGAGCACGGCCCGGTCACGTACAAGGGAATGGACTACCGCCTCATAGGCAAGCCTGATTACACGGTCTGGTATGGTGAGACCGAGACCATAGCTGCAAGACTCGTCGTTGTGGAGAACAAGACAGAGATGCAGGCAGATTCTGGCATCGGCCAGTGTCTTGGCTATATGCGTATGTGCTTTATGATACTCTACTATACTTGCTCGAAATGGTCGTGCTATGTCGGTTTTTGTCGGTTCACAGGGATCTCGATGCACTGTTACTACTACGTTGTACGTGTAGTAAGTTATGCGGTAAGATGTGTGTTCATTCGGAGTTCCCGCGATGGAATAGGATATGCTCCGATTCTGTGAAGGGCTAAAGCTAATCTTAGATTCAGAACTAGCTAGGCACATGCTGTTTACAAAATCCTTGAAGAACGTAAATAATTCGGGGTGGAATCGTGAGGTATCTGTGTCATGTGCACACCCGACTCGTTTTTTACGAGTCGGGTGTGCTTCACCGGTTCTGCCAATTTTTTTTTTTTTCACCGGTTCTTCCAATTCCACATTCCATTCTATTTTACCCAATATCTCCCACCCACCATGCCTAAAACCTTTGAATCGACTAAGGCCCATCTCTCTAAGGCCTTTGATGCGCCAAACGCGAAAAAAACCCAAATATCTCTAAGATTGCGCGCGAATTTGGTGTCAATCGACGTACTCTCCATAACCGCGTTAAAACCAATGCGACCGCGAAAATTCAACAAAAACCAGTCAATAAGGTTTTTACCGATATCCAGGAGGAGATTTTAGTACGCTAAATTACCCAGCTAACTGATTGGCGTATGCCACCAACACCAAAACAGGTTGAGATGTGGGCAAATCGCCTACTTCAAGATTCTAGTTCTGAAGATACTAAGGATACTAGAACTGTTGGGCCAAATTGGGTATATCGCTTTACTAAGCGTCTTCCTAAAGGTCTAAAACTAGGTCCTTAGAAGCAGAAAGTCAAGGATTCTAAGCGAATGATGGCTAAAAATCCAGCTAAGATAGGTCATTGGTATGATCTGCTTCGTGGTATGCCTTCGCGGTTAATCTATAACTTTGATGAGTGTGGTTTTCAACCTAGTGAGGTGTCATAGGTTAAGAACACCTGACAAATGATGTTTAGTGTAGGATCAAGAGTGGCACTATACAAGTAGAGCCTAAGTATGATTTCGTGAGAGCGAAATCATTATAGTCTTTTAGCTCAGTAGAATGGACGTGAACGTAGGCACGATCCCATAACTGTTGCGACAGCCGAGAAACAAGGCCATCAACAGACGGAAAAAGCTTCTGCCGAGACAGTGACTCGGGAACTAGATTAGTATATCACGGCATCCTTGAACGATATGCATTCATCGCAAACGACACCCTTGAGCGATGTGCATTCGCGACAGTAATGTCCCGTCTTCACCGTCTCTTCTGTCTCGGACGAATGTTGACATTCGTCCAGAGCAGAGGGGCACCCATATACTATAAGTAGCTAGTTCTTTCATCAATGAAAAAGCAGACTTCACAACAACCACAATATTCAGTACTGTAGAGACCACTACACTTAGTGGTTTGTCTACGGTGTTGAGTAGTGGTTCGTTGGAGCTCACCGTTCTCAGTCAAGATATTCGAATATCGCCAAGCGAGCGACAATAACAATATGGTTTATAGGTCCTCTTCGTCAACACAATGATGAACGCACACCATCTCTACCACTCTCTTCCTCTAGTATTGAATATACTCCGCCAAAAACCTTAGTACGACTTCAGATGAACCAAGAGAAGATTATCAAGCATATTGATATAGACCTCCTCAAACTAAGGGTTAAAAGGGGTCTTAAATATCTTACTCGCCATTCCCAATTGATCCAAGAAGAGTATCGAAATCTTAAGATTACGGTTGAGAATATTAGGGTTGCGCAAGAACCAATTCGGCGCTCTAAAACCAAACGACAGCTTAACCAACCACCCCTCCAGCAGACTGGTGTATTAAACCTACACCATATAAAACGCTTTGTGAAGAAAAGGAAAACCAAGGAGGAGTTACAACTAGAAAAAAAATTACAAAAACAGGCCCAAGAAGCTCTAAAAGCTCAAAAACAGGCCGAGGAGCAGGTTCAAGAGCAGGTTCAAGAGCAGGTTCAGGAGCAGGTTCAGGAGCAGATTCAGGAGCCAATTCAGGGGGAAATGGCCAAATATTGGAGGCGATGGAAAGGGATATACTATATTTTAAACAGATGCAGCAGAATTGTATTTAAAGCAGAATTGATAGAGAGAGAGTAAAATAATATTTTAAATTGGCAGAACCGGTGAAATTGGCAGAACCGGTGAAGCACACCCGACTCGTAAAAAACGAGTCGGGTGTGCACATGACACAGATATGCGGTTGGTGGGTCACGTGGTACAACCACGTGATAGTTCACCAGGATTCAACCTGTTACAGATTCCACTAGTTCTATTCACTTCCCGAGTTCATTCACTGCAGTAAACCAGATTCCATTGGTTCTAACAGTTTTGTTGCCACAAAAGTGCTCATGTTATTAGGCACTGAGAAGACTACACTAGATAGCTACTATGCAGAGCTCGAGAAACGTCGTATCGCAAGAGCAATACCACGGTAGATTCCTAGCGGACCCTTCGTCGAGTTCACTTGCTGGATGTATTATTGTCCTCGGCTTTGGCTCCTAAACTGCCAAATGATGTTGAGCATAATCTGTTCGATAATCAAGCGCGCAGAAGTCGCCTGTTTACCTTATATGGTCGAATGGAGCATCATAAATTAGACATGTGCATGGGTTGGGTATGGGTCAAAATTCATACCCATACCCAACCCATCAGGGGTAAGGTAAATGTCGCTCGCTTAGCGAGCGTAGGTAGCTAGTCGCCGATAACTGAGAACGGTGTGTCACGGAGTTGATAATCTGGAAATCATGTGACCGTTATGTAATGTCAAAGGGCCGATATTAAGGGGTGTGCTGCGTATGTCAGCAGGACCCATAATGTGTGTATTTAAGCGGGTTTCATCCCTAGATAGACAATCCAGTTTCGTCAACCATTTCTGGTTGGACGGTCAATTTCTCATTTGACATGTAATACCCACAACTACTTAACCGATCCGTACCCGGATCCCCCATGATTCTTTCAAGAATCAGTCTTGAAATGTTATCGAGTTCTTGTTCCCATCCTTGTCTTCTCTGTAAAATCCAGTAACCCTTACACGGTGCTCGAGTCCTTACTGCAGTAAAAGGGAATTGGAGTTTACTGCAGTAGAAAGGAGTTGGTGAGCTTCAACAAACCACTACTCAACACCGTAGACAAACCACCAAGTGTAGTGGTCTCTACAGTACTGAATATTGTGGTTGTTGTGAAGTCTGCTTTTTCATTGATGAAAGAACTAGCTACTTATAGTATATGGGCGCCCCTCTGCTCTGGACGAATGTCAACATTCGTCCGAGACAGAAGAGACGGTGAAGACGGGACATTACTGTCGCGAATGCGCATCGCTCAAGGGTGTCGTTTGCGATGAATGCATATCGTTCAAGGATGCCGTGATATACTAATCCAGTTCCGGAGTCGCTGTCTCGGCAGAAGCTTTTTCGGCCGAAATACTTTCCGTCTGTTGATGGCCTTGTTTCTCGGCTGTCGCAACAATCTCTTCGAAATAGTAGTCTCAATCTTGACACACCCGGTCGCAGGGCGGCCTTTCAACGCGGCAAAATATTTATGCAAGAAGTTATGCAATATTTAAAAGATACATAATTTATGACGAGTCACGTGATGAATCATAAAAGTAGACATGTGCATGGGTTGGGTATGGGTCAAAATTCATACCCATACCCAACCCATTAGGGGTAAGGTAAACCCATACCCATATGGGTATTTTTGATGCCTTAATGCCTGATTTTCGCATCAACCTAAACTAAATTAGGGTAATTAGTGCCTTAGTGCCTAATTTTTGCCTCAATCTAGTACTAACTAGGTGACAAATATCACGTGAAATAAAAGTCTTGGCAAAAAGATGGGTTTATGGGCTGGGTGTGGGTTTTACTTCAAACCCATACCCAACCCATATGGGTTTTGGGTAAAATTTCTGACCCATACCCAGCCCATTGTGGGTTGGGTTGGGTTGGGTATGGGTTTACCCAACCCAATGAACATGTCTACATAAAAGGTCCACTATTGTTGCGCTCACATCTATCTAGGAACAACCTTGAAAAAGGCTGGGGAAAACGTGGCTATATAGACGGACTGTAACGGGTTGATACCCGATAGTATGCGCAGCTCCTGGAAGGATTGCGCTCCTGATTCCTGTGCGGAGCCGGACGAGCCATAAGAGCATCTGGTCCCCAGGACCCTCTTCTTGAATAATATCGGATCTGTCACGGGGCGGGCAGGTGAGTAGAATTACTAGAACTGAACAGACAGTATTGTATTAACTGGCAGGCTAGGACGAAGACGTAGCTTGAAGAGCTACATTCAGACAAGGTTCTGAGTTTACATGTAACGGCGTGGGTTGCAAGAAGGCTGAGGGAGGCAATGGACTCTCTACATAAGCTGGCTGAACCAGCTGTCAGGGAAGCAGGGGTTCCCCGGATAAGCTAGTTAGAGATTTGCCACTTCCTGATGTATTTAACTCTCTGAGGTCTTTGGACTCTTGAAGGAGTTCAAGAGTTGTTCTTGTCCCCAATTTACCCTAGTGGAATTGAGCCCTATGGGATACCACACCCACACCTCCGTCCTCTGGTAGCCTTCTCATAATAGTTCTTCTCTTGTTTACGGTAGCCCAACCGCATTGGACTCAAACCCTTACATTACATGAGGTTGCGGGTCACGTGGCCCGCACTATCTAATCAATCAGTAGTCGTCTGAGCTGGCACCGTGACAGGATCACTACAGCGCCCAATTCCTGTATTCATCCCGTAACACAGACCAGCATACAACTCAAGTGAGATATAGACACCGCTACTGAAACGGGCTGCCCATGGTCCCTTTTAGGTTTAGATCACCACGTGATCCGAGGTTCCTTCGACACACCGACTCCCTTGCCTCCCTTAATGATTTTATACACAGTTTGTGCCTAGCTAGTTCTAAATTTAAGATTAGCTTTAGCCCTTCACAACTACTTATAATCAACCCTTCTGACATCAAAAATAGATATTTTTGTTATCTAAAACATAACCGTTAGGCGCGCCTATATAATTAAAGAATTGGATTAGGTCTAGGATGGAAATATATATATTGATTAGTCATTAATGATATATTCTGTGTGTTTCTATTGGCCAGGATAACAAATGCTAATAAATGGTACGTGATGAGTGGTACAACATATTTCAGAACGCACAACATTGAAAATACAAAGTACAACGTATAATCAAACTTGACAAACGGACTCCAACAGTATGATACTACCAACGAAAATCTGCAGAATTTTAGCATGGAAAACTTCAAACAGCTGGCTGTATTTAGTTTCATTAACGTATATAGAAGTTTCAAATCAGACTAACGGAATGACAGGCCATTAATGGATGACTCAGCAATAAAATTTTAACTTGGTTCTTTGCTACCCTTAGAACTTAGACTCCTAAATCTACTTTCCCTTAAGCCTTGTTTTTCCCACTTTCAGGGTTCACTGTATTTCTTAGTAGACTCTTACCGTCAAGCGTACCGTGTACGATACTTCCGAGGTAGTCGTTCTACTACCCACAGTGCACACCTGGTGACCTGCCCTTTCTCCTTTCGAGAATTAAAACACAAAGCCTGAGTTTAATTCTTAGGGTTCTCTCCCTTTCTTTCTTTCTTTCTTTCTTTGTTTTCACCCTTCACTCCACCTCCGAAATTAACATCACCACTCGGTAACCTACAATTCTCTAATAGTTAAACTCGGAAATTTACTATTCATGACATGGTTCTGAGTTTTCATTGTTAGAACTTGGTTCTATATAAACTACAGAGTACTCGATTCATGACCCCGTGAATATTTGAGACTGCACAATATGGCGGTTCATGTTGACATTGGCGTTTCTTTGGGCCATGCTGTGCCGAAGATGCCTGCTGTCATTGACCTTACATCTGATATGGAGTCTGAATCAGAAGGTGCCATTAACCATCATCATCATATGATGGACATCGATGAACCGTTTTTACAAATTGTGAGTCCTATTAATTTATCTCCCCCGTTAATTCTTCCCATAATTTCCCCACCATGTTTTATCTTCATTCTATAAGAATTATATTCCTATAAGATATGTTCACATTTTCCGGCAGTCGTATTCCGATCTTATGTCAGGATAATGGCACACCTACTGTCGCCACCATGCTGCCCCCTTGATCATCAATAATCTATGCTATGGCCTAGAACCGCTGTTCCTCGCGGATTAGCCATGAAACATCTCGCTAATCTTCAGTTACGTTTTCAGAAAAAAGAAACACCTCTGGCTTTTGTCTCTGTGGCAGAGGCTCATAGCCATCCTTCATCTCTTGCAGTCCCTCGAGATACATCAGTACCTTCTAAGCGAAAGAGCACTGATGTCTCTATTGACAATAATGATCAAAATGATTCTTCCACCAGCGATGAAGTTCATAGACCTTCTCATCGTCGCCGCATGCATAGCAATGGCCAGAATGAATCTTCCGCCAGCGAGGAAGTTGAGAGGCCCGATGAGGGTGGTGTGTCCACACATATGGATCTGCAGTTGGACTCCACGTCCGACTCTTCGTCAGAATCTCCTTTGACACCTACTCAAGCCCAACGGGAACTTGCTCCCATCAGCGTGATAGTTCCTTCACCAGCCAAATTGAACGAATTAACTGGAAGAGATTTTTCCATCAATTTTGAGCAAAAAAAATCTGCTGCTCGACGTGCCTATCCAAAGGCCCGGATCATTGATCGTTCCAAGATTTCTTTTCCTGAATGGGAGAATACAGAGCGTGAACCGTGTCCTCCCGACCTGATCCGCCGGTCTCTTAACCAGAGACTGGAGAAGATCGCAGGACCAGAAATCTTCTTTATGATCGACGAGGAGAGGCTTGGACTGCTGACTGCAAATTTCCAATTTGTAGATGATTACATTCTTGGTGAAGGCACTTCTCCAGTTGATGAAGCGTTCAATTACGGATGCAATTGTGTTGGCCCTTGCGAGCCTACCAAATGCGACTGTCTCCACAAAGAGATTGATTCGAACGAACTGATCGTTCCGTACCACCGCTCGCCAACTGGTCAGATGGTGCTTTACCCTAGTTTTCTGGAGCGCAAGTCCATGATATCGGAGTGCAACTACAAGTGTAGTTGCAGTGGTGATTGCTGGAACAATGTAGTCCAGCGCGGTCGTCAAATTCGTTATGAGATTTTCGACACCGTCGCTCGTGGATTAGGTAAATAACCCTCAGATTATGTAGATATGCTTAACTTGACGCTAACGTAGCCTTAGGTCTCCGCTCGCCCGACAACATTGTTACCGGTCAATTTATCGATCGATATCTCGGCGAAGTAATGTCAAAAGAAGCGGCCGATGCACGCGAACGATGCAACGAGGGCCAGTCGTACCTCTTCGGCCTCGATTTTGTTGTCGACGACGAAACAATCTACGTCATCGATGGGCAAAAGTTCGGATCGGCCACGCGTTTCATCAACCATTCTTGTAACCCGAATTGCAAGATTATTCCCGTTTCCACGTCAAATCACGGCGATGATCGCCTTTATTACCTTGCCTTCTTTGCCGTCTGCGATATCCCTGCCGGAACGGAACTTACCTTTGACTATAACCCCTCGTGGGATGGGTCGAAGGTAGTTAACCCCGATGCAGTGCAGTGTCTCTGTGGAGAGAATAATTGCCGTGGCCAACTATGGCCAAACGCGCGCAAGGGACCAGGTGCTGCCTGAAGGCCTAAGGTCCTATGTTTTCCTACATCCCTGTATCACCATGCTTCATATTCTCTTTACACCCCATGTCAAAATATCCATTAGCGTTTGTATAGCGTGAGTTAGTTTTTATTGTACGATACCCACTGCTTTGATTCTATTTGAGATATCAATATCTCCATTTTTCTAAGGTGCCAAGAAAATTTTATATCTCTTAGAGCATAAGCTAAGTATGTAATACATAAATTATATTGTACAATGGTGCCATTCTATCCCAATGTACAAATTCGATATTGGTATCAATATCCCCCCCCCCCCTGAGCTCTGACCAGACGCCGGTGATAATACATATTCAGAAAAAAAAGATACAAGATAAACCACTGTAAACACCATAGAACCCTGTAGAAAAGCCTTTATCGAGAAAATTAAAGGTAATAAACCCTCATCATGAATGAAGGAACCCTCTTTCAGTAAGGGGAAGAACATAACTCTCTCAAAGAAGAAGAACTCCTCTCTGAACGAGAACGCGAGAGCAAACCCTCTACCAAAGTTGAGGAAAAACAGACCCTCTTCCAGGAAGCAGAAGTAAGCCTAAGTCTGTCCTTCCATAACCTCAAAGATACCACCAAGAACAAACTTCGGTTGCTGCACACGACCAGTATCAGCTCCACCATCAATGGTATTCTCACTCCGTAAATGCACACTCGAATGGCGTTGGCGCAAACGAGAGCCAGAAAGAGCTGTCAAAGTAGCATTGGCATTGGCATTGACGTCCACGGGGCGCGGCTCCATAAGATCCAGTCCCTTCCGCTCAATAGAATCCCCGTCACAGCGAGACCGCTCCTCACTAAGTGCCATATCAATGGCAGATGGTCGACGGCGCAGCACAGTCTGTGAAGAACGGCCTCGGAGAACTGTGGAGGGAGGATGATTCACACACCGGGTTTGTTGTGACATTGTGCCAGCATCTTCTTTTGAGGGTGCGGTGGGGTGAAATGATAGGTTGAAGAGGTTATATTGGGTCTGGCGGTGGAATGCAGTTGTTGTGCTGATCGGTGATAATGGTGGGGAGGTGGTTCGTAAACTTGAGGTGTCGCTGGTTGGTCGTGTGGGATAGTGTGAGAGAGGGGAGGAAATGGAGGTGAATTGATGATCCATTTTGAATTGGTGTTATGGTTATGTTGATGATGGTTGATGGTTGTTTGAGATTTTGGTGTTGGTTGACAGATCGATAACAAGAAAACGAAGGAATAGAGGTGAGTTGCATTGACAGGCGATAAATGTTCGGGACGAAAGTATCTTTTAAGGTAAATTAAAGTAGCAAGGATCCTTTTTTTAAAAAAAATTTGCTGCGAGGGTTTGAGACACGAATTGAATAGATGCTATTGACGCATGCGGATGAATGCAATTGTGCCTAGATTAGATCCTGCAAACAGTGAACTACACTCGCGTTTTCAGTTCTATGTTTGCTGATTCTGTAGAAAATAGTAATGAGACCAAGGTATTGTCTGAGAACATTATAAGAATTAATGATAAAATACCATTATCAAGATGAAACTATTCAAGTGAGAGAAGTGGGGTTATACTTACAACCTCTAATTTCCTATTCCAGAACCAATAGTACGGGCCTTGATTCAGCCTGATTATGATCCCTTTAGACTATATACCTAGGTAGATTTGATGTAAAAGACTCTATTCTGTAGTCAGATTCTATCAGAGATGTGGAAATTAAATGAAATATGAAAGCCGGAGTAAATTGAAATCCTACGCCACTGCTATGCAATTATGCCAAAAGGATACCTGGATCAAGGTATTGTACAGCAAAAATGGAAGCCAAAATGGAAAATAGGGAGAATATAGGGAAAAAAGGAAATAGAAGGACTGGAAACCTTCATCAACTAACTATCATATATGCGTCTTCGTCTCATTTAAGAGACATCACATCTCCATCAATCCATATTCATTATTCGAGTCTATTCAGGCGGTCGGTCACCTGGCCGCCGCTGAGTGAAGCTCCGCCGGATACTCTCGCCCCAGACGGAGTTGTCCAGCGAGTCCATGACATCCTGTGCACTAACGACACTATTCTGTCGTGAATGATCGCTATGGCTGTGGGACGGTGAGCCAGCCGATGCGAATGACAAACTTTCCCCGTACATGTGACGTGGAGCACGCGATGGACTAATGCCAGACCATTCGGTCGGGGTACTAGTTCCCGATGAAAGACCGGCCGCTGTGGTGTCCAGCCGGGGTAGATCGCCCAGACGCGCAGTAGGGCTAGATTCAGCTCGGCGGCGTGTCGATGTCGATGCAGGCGAGAGCATAGGCGTGAATGGTCCAGGTCCGTCCATCTCAGGCTGGGTTTGCGGTGTCATGGTGCCAGGCATTGGCTCCTCGGGCTCCTCGTCTACCGGATCCTCGACAAAGATTTCGGGCACGGTAAACTGTGGAACATCAGTCATGCGGGAGTTCTTCTTACGCTCGATTGCACGTCGGAATTCCCGCGTGTAGTAAAGAGTATCGAAGAATCCCACTACAGTGTTTCGGCGGACAGCTTCCTGTACACGCTGGAGACGTGCTCGGCGACGAAGGAATTCTTCCAGACGCAGACTCTTGCTGTCGCTGATGACGTTATAATGAGCGAGGATCATTAAACACTGGTGGAAGGAGATACCACGAGCGTGGTCTGCTGACACAAGGATCTCCTCGTAGAAATTATTTAGGCGCTGGCGGCGCTCACGGATGGTATTGACCGGGATACGGTCAATAATACTTGCGAGTTCCTGGAGGTCAATGCCATCCGCCAACCCATTTTTTAAGTTCGACTGTATCAACGAGTCTCCCGGTCGCATATTCCTTGAGGCTTGGAATGAGTAGGATGAGTTTCTTCGTGGACTCGTGCGACATCTTTCCAAGATGGCACCGACGCTAAACTCCCCATCATAAATCTGCATCGCAAATACACCCGAAAGCTCACCTAGGAGTCGGGGAAACTGCTCCTTGGATATGAATCCAGTACCCTCAGGATCAAACGTGGCCCATGCCTGCTTGAATCGGCGAGTCTCTTCACGACTGACGGCATACAGCCCGCTGCTTCGCTGATAGACGTAAGAGAAACTTTCAAAGATGAGCGAAACAAACAAAGAAACAAAAATGTACATGCTGATGATGTTCCACGCGATGAAAAGAGACCGAGCCCATGCGGGGCTGCCACAGTCATCATAGAGAAATTCGGCATCGTATGTGCATAGTGGAGGCATCATTGTAGCGTAATCTTCCATGATTTGATTCCAACCCTCTCCGACACTAGCACGGAAGAGCAAGATCAACGATTTGGGTACATCGCGGAAATTGAGATTGTTGTTTTCATTTTGTCCCAGTTTAGTAAGACCGAATGCCTGGTTCAATGCGATTCCAAATACCAAGAACAAGACAAACCAGGTGGCCAGTAGATTACTGATCACAGGTAGACTAGCCGCGGCGGTTTTGAATAGTTGATCCAGCTGGTTATTCCGCGGGATGAGAAGTAGAGCAATCGAGACTAGGAAGAGTTTGTTCAGTTCGAGCACAGCTTGAGTTTGGTATGAGAGATTCAAGATGGTTGAAACGAATGCACCAGGAATGGCAATAAGTGAGTAGAGATCCCAAGAGCTCCTGCTAAAGCGGTGCCACCCAAGACCCATCACTCGGATAAGAAGATTGGCAATGTAGACGAACATAAAGATGAAGAAAAGTATGGATCGGATCAGTTCCCAAAGTTTAGGTTCCGGATACCACTCTAGCACCAAAAGGAGTAAATGCGCCACGAGGGTGCAAGTCACGAAATTTGCCCATCGACCGTGTTTCTTAACTGCAATTCGGTAACACCATAACTTCCACTTAGCGCTCTTCTCAGTGAAAGACCGTTTCGACGGGGAAATTTGACGAAGAAGCTTCCGCAACTCCAGCCATGAACGCTGTTCCGCAGTCAAGAAGGCAACTCCAGTTTGTTCCGTGTAGTTGCGCATAAAGACAGACACAAACAGCGTCAGCACAAACACAGCTCCAAGCAAGTTGAAAACAATGAAAAACAGAGCATTTTCTGGAGCTGCCAGTGATTGGGGCTGTATACCCTTCGAAATAATGCTCATCGCGCTTTGTTGAACATCGATCCAGCCTTCTTGAGACACAATCTGGAAGAGAATGAAGAGAGAGTCTCCAAAATCATCAAAGTCATAATAGGAATTCGCTGCAACCCGGGGCGCAAGGACATTCCAGTTATAGGGCGAGCTTTCAAACTCGTTGACACAATAGGTCAAGTTCCCTGCAAAATCGCCATCGTTGCAACTTATCATTTGCCCATTGAACAAGTTGACACCGTAGATAGCAAATGGAATAAGGAAGCTCATAGAAACCGCCGCGGCAGCAATAACTTTCCATCCCCCAAGAATGATAACCGAGTGAAACGTATCCTTGGCACTGTTACTGACGTTCAGCAAACGGAGAGCTCTGAGAGCCTTAAATGCACCGATAGGTCTAGAGATACTCCAATCCTTCATCAAAGAACTGATGACACTGATCCAGAGAGTGACCAGCACCACTCCATCGATGAAACCCCATGAGCTTCGGAAATACGCGTTCGGTGTCCAGAAGAAGCCATCAGCAATCACCTTGATTGCAGCCTCGATGGTGAAGACAACAGCAAACCCCAAGTCAATGTAGACAAACCAGTTGCGATTAGTAGCGAAGTATTTTCGCTGGTATAAAGGGGTTGTAATACAAGCCAAAATCACCATAGCCACGATGGCTGCATAGATGAAAGCCGAAAATGCATACCACAGTGGCTTATAAGGATCCACGCCCTCGACCCGCTGGTTTCCTCTACCGGGTCCGACAATACGCTGACAGAATTTCCGAACTGGATCATTTGGAGAAAAAATGAAGAGCGATTTGTTGTAGGTGGGATGTTTGACAAGAAACTCTCGCTGTGCTCGTTTTCTTGCCTCAGCTGCTGAAACCACTTCTTTGGCCATGGTTCTTGGATCTAGTTCTTCATACGCCCGGGAGAATTTGATCCTGGAGTAGAACGGATTCGGTTCCCTGCCTATAATAACAGAAGTTGTCTTCGTCCACAATTGTGAAAGAAAGCCAGGTTGCACTGGTTCTTCTGGGCTTCCCTCAGGCATGGCATGGGCCCTATGATCATGTGTCGTATTTTTGTGTTGCTCTTGTTGTTCCTCGTCAAGGAACTCTTGAACAACAGCGTCCTTGAGTAGCATTTCTAGCGCGGCAGGTCCATGCTCCAGTGGATCCTTGTAGCGATCAGAGTCACGGCCCAACCGAAGAATCCTGGACAATGCAAGGGTTCCTTGGGTAGCGCTTCCAACATGTTTCTGTTCCAAAAAAGCACGGACTTGCTGCAATCGCTTCTCGTCTTCAGAGACGTCAAAACTTTCCTGAATGACAGCAATGAACATATTCAGAATGATAAAATTCGACATGATGAACCATAGAATGAAGAATGCAGCAGAAATCCATCCAGTGTTGAAGTTGACAGTATAGTTTGTGCCATCGTAAAGGATAGTCGTCCAATTTTCACTCGACAGGATCTGGTACATTCCAATAAAGGAATTCCAGATGTCAGAGAACGTGACGATGATGGTATTTCCGGAAGGATCAGATGTGGGAATCTGACCTCTGAAAAGCTGTGTCGCAAATATAGAAGCCAGGAACGTCATCATGAAAAGGAACAAGATAAGGTTAAGTAGACCAATGGTGTTGCGGAAAACAACCATGATCAGCTTCCTGGTGACAGAGAAAGCAAGAACCACTCGGTAAACTCGAAGGATTTGAAAGAGGGTGAGAACAGTGTAGGCGCGGCCAGAGTTCTTGATTGGAGGTATTTGAATGACGCAGTTGATAATTGCAAGGAAGAGATCAACCCAGTTTCGGCGCTTCCGAATAAACATACGCCAGTCTGATGCAAAGCGCACGATTATCTCGACCAGGAACACGATGGTAACAACTATCTCCGTATCATTGATGAACTTTTCCCGTGATGCTGGCATGGTGGAGCTTCTCAAAGCTTGAACAACAAGGTCAAAAATGATAATACAAACCCAGAGCCATTCAGTCTTGTCATAAAGTCGTTTGATGGCGCTAATTTTACGCTGAGTTTGATTATCCTCTTCGACAGCATCTATCACCTTGGGTGCGAAGGCACTGCGCTTGCTTTCTTCGCGAATAAGTTGAAATGAGTGAGTGATGACTGCTATAAGCAGATTAACCAGCCACAAACTCAAAATAACAATACCGCAGGCGAAGTAAAGCGCAGCGGCGAGATAGTCACTGTCGGCGGTATAGTATAGAAGATCACTGAATGTGTTGGAGGTCATGATGACGAAGACTAACTCCAGGGACTGGAAGATGTTGTCAAAACTGACGGTTCCGTTGTAGGGGTTTGTGCCTTCAACGCAAAGGGAGCCTTGAGGGCAAATGTAACCTTTAGGTCTAGCTCCTGATGAAACACCTCGAGCATCAATCCAAGACATTTGTTGACCATTATCACTGTATCCTCCGCAGAATTGTACCACATTGTACGGGTCGTTCAAAGTGAAGTTACTCTGCCCTTCAGGATCAACCCAGAGACACGTTCTTCTGAGACTGGACTTGAAGCTTTGGATGCCTACAATGGCAAAAAGAAGCCAGAAAAATCCAATCAGAAACGCTACATGAACTAGAAGAGGAGCGGCTCGTTTCAAACTTCGTAGAATGACCTAAAGACAATTAGTATATTAGTTCATGTATTGGATCAAGTCAGCTGAGTTCTTACTGAAGTACCGTTCGTCAGAGAAAGAAGTCGCAAGATTCGGAGAGAGCTCAGCATGCGAAAAATAAAGAGCTGTCTAGTTGCCTCTATACCACTCAAAGCCAGAAAGAATGATATCCAGAAGGCTACCACGGCCACAAAGTCTAATCGATTGAAAGAATGTCGAAGAAAGGCTCGTTGGGCCAGTCTGACTCGACGCTTTTGGAGCGGGTCGTCATAAGATTGAGAATCTAGTGCATTCATTCCGGTGAACGTCCGCAAAATAGAGCTCTGCGGTTCTGTTTGAAGAAAAGAGACTTTTTTGGTAGTCGACTGTCGATGAGGTGCAATCAGGTTCTTGCCCTTTTCTGCGATCGCCTTCCTAATCCCTAGGGATCGATTCAGAGTGCTATACTCTGTAGGGTTGAAGAGTAACCCAGAAACAATGACTTTTGCGCTGATTTCGAGCGTGTAGATAACAAAGATTACCAAGAACACATAGTCCAGCTTGTCTCTGCCCCATTTCGCAGCCATTGGACGGTCGAAAACTGACTGGGAGGATTCCACTATAAGTAAAATCGCTTGAACGATGATAATTACCAGAATGAAAGGTTCCATGTACGCATGCACTAGAACATCACATAACCAAATTCGAAGAGGGTGATTTGGTCCAAATATTCCTAAAGATCTGCCTCGGAATGGATTATTTCGGTATTTCCACAACTTCCCCCGCCCCGGCTTCTCTCTGGGTGGTAGACTTTCATGTGGGCGATCATGGGCGAAATCTAACAGCGCAGGTAGGGCTGGGGGTCCTTCCAATCGCGCATTCTTCTGAGACTCTTCCCTCTCAATCGACTGTTGAACGACTTCCGGCTCATTACTCAAGTTGACCACACGCTGTGACATAGACTTGACTAGAGAACTTGCGCGGTGCAGCGCCCCACTTGATCCCGACGGGGATAGGGAACGGGATCGGGCATTGCTACCACTTCTTTGTGGCAATCCACTCTCTAGATGGGGAAGGTCATCACCCAGCCGTGAAGCATCGCTGAAACTAACAGAATGGAAACTAGAGTCATTACTAAGTCTTCCCTCCGCACCAGTGGCACCGCTAATTGGTTGGAGGAATCGAGTATCGGTCAATCGTACGGTATCATCTTCGGTGTGAGCGGTGGCTGCGTAGTCGGGTTCGTAAGAATTATAAGGATCTATGGGGACATGATCGAGATCGGAGGGGATATCATGGAAATCATGTGCAGCGGATGGGTTTGTTGATGAATGTCCTGGTTCGTAGCTGAGGCCGAATGACATGGCCTGGGCCAAAGCTCCCAAATCCTGGGGTGTGACATCGCCACTATCCGTATGAGACGATGATGTGAATTGATTCCTCCTACTTGCGCCAAGATCAACAGGTGATCCATCTGCGATACTGTGATATTGCTGCCGTGATCCTCGTCCTAGTGAGTGTCGTGAAAACAGACCAGCCCCCGCGCTGTTAGTGCGAGATCGCCCACGTTCATCTGCGGGGACATCAGGTCTTGATAGATCCTGGAGAGGGATATGACCCGTGGAAGGGCTATTAATATCACCAGGGCTCTGGCTATTTGAGGCCATGGTGAGGCAAGCTAGGGGATTATCGAATTGCAGACATCGCAAGCCTTAACTGGTAAATTATAGAAGTATGGGGGAAACAGAAAGTTTGTCTTTCAGGGGAGAGACGGAATTGCGTGGGGTGAGAATAAGAATATAGAAGAAGATCCAGCCCGTTCTAATCCGACCGAATCATGTTAAGAGCCAAGTAACTGGGGCCGGCCAAAAGCTGAGGGTTTGTTTTAGACCAAAAAAAAGTTGCCGGTCGCAAAAACACCAAAAGGGAACAGCGTCAAGGCGGTGCATGCAAGGTGATTGGTCATCCTTGTTGACTAACTACTGTAAATACGAGGAATGTACCGAAGTTGTTTATTTATTATCTAATGATTGATCACTTTTGTTAACTTCCTACTTGTCAATTACCTATTATTTCACCTCAATTGAAACCGGAAATGTGGGAAATTACTTCCCAACGCCATCATAGAGCGATGACGAAACCCTAGCTAAAATTGTTGCCTAGGTGGGGTTCTGTTGCCAAAAATAGCTGTCAATTATACACAGTACCTAGTGATAACGATGTAGGTAATAATTGCTTCATCCATTTCAATCCGTTTCCATCTTATCCGACTCATCTTTAGTCTTGACATTTTGTCGAACGCCATCCAGGAAAGCTTCCACGGCATCACCTCCGCCAAGGGGAACGCCTCCTCGACGCATATATCCCCCATTTGCCACTTGAATCTGTAAAGCCTCGCTGATACTAGGAAGCCCGCCATCACGGAGAGCCACAGTGAGACTGCCCAGACTTTGCATGAACTGAGGCGACCGGCACACTTTGCGGAGAATATCTTTCTTTTGAGAGAGTGAAAGCGATAGAAGAGCTGCCTGGGCGAGTTCGGGATCGGTATCTGCTTCGGCAGCCTCAGCATTGCCTTGAGATAGGAGAAGCAGTGTCGGTGGTAGGAAGTTCAAAAGGTGATCAGCAGTGGCGTCATCGGCAGAATCAATGAATGGTATTGTGGTGGGAGGAGTCAGTAGTTCTTGGAGTGTTGTCGATGGTCGTTCGGGATCCTGAGACTGGCGCTGGCGTTGCCCGCCCAAGGATCTCAAAAAGTCTTGTACTACAAAAGATGGATCCGAGTCTGTGGCCTCTCTAAATCATAATGAAAGAAAGAGAATTAGGCTGTTATTCAATAAAGTTGAGTAGGAATCTAGAGTACCTACGCTCGTCCGCCATCAGCGCCACCTTCTCGCGACTCCTGGCCCTCTTCGCGGACATCACCTCCAGTTGCATCTGCACCGGCTCCACCACTGCCTGCACCAAGGGCCGGGTCTTGGTCAACATCTTCCATGGTTTCATCGTCGTCACCGCCAGAGGGCCGACGCCCGGAAGGTAAATTGGCAATTTCCTGCTCCACATCTTCACCGTTCAACAAAAGATCGACAATCTCACCCAACTTTAGGTCGCGGGGGCTGAACCAGCTGGGATCACCACTCTCATGCTGGGAAAGAGACTGTAGCCAGAACAGATAACGCTGAGAGCTTGACGAGAACTTCAAAACAAACACACGACCAGTTGTGGCATCTTTTCCGGACGGCTTGTATGGCATAAAGGTTCCATCGGAGGGAATCATCACCAAGTCAAGCTCGGGTTCATCGAGAGGGGAGCTGCGGGGGCGCCAGCAAAAGTGGACCAGCTCATCTTCAGAATAAAGGTAGATATAACCCGGTGTAGGCTTGGGCTTCACATTTCCTGTTTGGGCCTGTAGTGAAATCGTCAGTCGAGAATTGAAAGATCAAATTGAACATGAGCTTACGTCGAGGTCGCAGATACCTGCTTTGAAGGTAATGATGGGATCTGACATGACTGAAAGGACTTTTTGGCGATGATCCAAGCAAATTCAAGAGGAACGTTTGCTGAACAAGTTGCACGCCAGATGAATAAATGAAATGAGGAGATGGTAGATGTTTGACGCGTGCGGAGAGAAGCTTCGGGATAACGTCAGGTCCGGTTGTGATGAAGGAGCTGACTTAGCAACTAACCCAAACATACCTAACTATTCCTCAGGCACCAATATTATCATGAGTCAGCAGTATTTTGATCTGCTGACATAAGCATTCTGAGTCAGCATATCTAGGTAAGATCGACTTAGATCGGGTTCGGCTAACTTCACGTGATGTCACGTGAGATAGAAGCCCTTCCCACAAACCCTCATACGGAGACTCCACTCACAAGTCCAAGGTCGCACTACCAACCTCCAACACCCAACCACCCAACTCGACAACCACATACACGTCCCAGCAGCCACGATGTCGGACGCTACTGTTGGCCAGACGAAGCAGTTTGGAAAGGGTCAGCGCACTGTGCCGCACCCTACCCACAAGGTTCAGAAGTGGTACCCCGTGGACGACGAGACCGCGCCCAAGAAAGTCAGTATACCCCGACAATAAGCATCGAAGGAATCATTGGGAGGACGACGGAAATGGGTTGGTGGCTCGGATGAATGCGACAAACAACAATACCCGGTCGATTTGGATCATGAAATTTGAACGACAATCCGATCTTGAATTGAATCTCAGCCTGTGGCATATTGCCAAAATTTGAGAGCGATAAATACGACCCTGCCTACAGCAACATTGCATCATCCGAGAGCACCAACTCTGCCCTGATACTCGAAATCACCAGATCTCCTGCACATCTGGAGAAACCTGTCTTCTAACATGTTGTTTTGCTTGTTCTACAGGTGCGCAAGTCTATCCGCCCCGCCAAGGTTCGCGAAAGCCTCCAGCCCGGTACCATCCTGATCCTGCTTGCCGGTCGTTTCCGTGGCAAGCGTGTCATCCTCCTCAAGCACCTCGAGCAGGGTGTTCTCCTTGTTACCGGTCCCTTCAAGATCAACGGTGTTCCCCTCCGCCGTGTTAACTCCCGTTACGTTATCGCCACCTCCAAGCGCGTCGACGTTTCTTCCGTTGACCAGAAGGCCCTTGAGAAGATCTCCGCTCCCGACTACTTCACTAAGGACAAGAAGGCCGAGAAGAAGACCGAGGAGGCTTTCTTCAAGCAGGGCGAGAAGCCCGAGGTACGTTCCATTTACCCTATTCACAATGGTTTACATGTGAGATACGAAATTTCGTTCAGCGTACTAATATGCTATTTTCCTGGATTTAGAAGAAGAAGGTTGCCAGCGCCCGTGCTACTGACCAGAAGGCCGTTGACCAGTCCATTCTCGGCTCCATCAAGAAGGAGGCTTTCCTCGGCAGCTACCTTGCCACCAGCTTCTCTCTCCGAAGCGGTGACAAGCCCCACGAGATGCAGTGGTAAAAATGTGCAATTTGGCGGTCGTTTGTTTTCCTTGAACACTCGGCCGATTTAGCAGGACTCCCTTCTTTCTCAATTATCATCGAGGAGGCGGTTGGGTGGACAGCCGTGATGTGAAAGGACTTCAAAATAAAAAAACATTAAAAAATACCTCGTTCCAGCTGTAATGCTGGATCCTCTCTCATGTTCAGTACGACATACCTTCCAATTTCCAGGTTCAGGCGGCAATTCAAAACTGGGTACTTGATGCGATACCTATCTATCTCATATCTCATCTCTGACTTGTAGTTCGTCTTGTCTTTTAAGGTCTGTTTACTGCGTAATTTAGACTCAGGAACCAAGCGTCCCCTTTAATCAACCTACTTACCTACATTAATGTCTTGCGTATACTTCCAAGTAGCTAGATATCATCCATTTCATCCATATATTCCAAGGTATCTATGGATCATTACTTCCATTACTACCTCGGTATATTTTCGTCTGTTCATTCAATGACGCAGACAATGATAACCGAATATCTATCCCCTTATCTTAACCCCGGCCTATCACTCGGGTGGAGGATCTCAAACAAAATAATGTATTCTTTTCTAGATAAGTAGGTCAAAATACACAATCATAATGAACAATTCAAAGACTCCAGAATACGCCATCGCCCTGAACACCAATCCCAAGGCTAGTGTGCTGCTGTATATATTGACATATATATATTCCAACCTAGGGACACCCTGATTATCCATCCATTTTTTCAATTAATCTGTTTATACCTACCTCCAGGACTCGGTAGCTCGGTAAAGTGGACGTCCCTGGTGCTGTATCTAGATATATGCCCAGGTGCGTACCATATAACGCAAATTATAATAACCTGAACAATAATGCCCAAAAGTTGTATCAATGATGGCAACATTCACGGGTGGAATGCAACGCAGTAGAGAAGGAATTTGCCCAGAATCGACCCAGTCATATATACATCATCCTGATATACATTCATTCATCTCTTCTTAGCTGTGTTCCGCCGCAGTGTATCAGCCTTAATTTTGCGCTTATTTGCCTCGAATGCGTTCTGAATGCTCTCATCTATCATACGTTCCTGGAACCCAGCAATGAGATTATCCCCCATGCTATCTCCAATACTCGTTCCACAAAACCAATCTAGAATACCCCAGGGTCCGAAGTTGCCCTCGCCACGACTCAAGCAATGATAATCGATTCGTCGTGCAATTCCGCCCAAGAAGAAGGCTGTGGGCATGATCTTGTACCCGGAGTATGCGAAGGTCTCTTCGATGGAGATGATAGCCATGTACACCAGGTACGTAAGCATGTGGAAGCGGAAGAACAAGGCTGGAAAGTATGTAGGAATGAATGTGCCTATTAAATAGGTGACCGGGTGGTCGTAGTGAGCAGACAGAGGAAATGGACTCGAAATATCATGATACCACTTGTCATGCCATTTTGCGAGGTTAATGACTACGGGATATCTTTTGCGAGAATATAAGATGAAGCGGTGAATGGAGTAGGTCAAACACTATTGAAAAAGGCATAAGTTAGTATACTTCATAGCTTGAAGGGTATTTCAGCGCAGCTTAGGATTCTTACCTCTCGTAAACATAGCCCATAGAACATCTGTTTGAGAATATCCCAAGGCATAGGGACCTTTATAGAGACCCTGATCGCACTGCGCACGCCGAGAACGCTGACGAAGAACCACTCAACGCATAGCTGCAGAGTAATACCTATACCTAGATTCAACAATGCCCATCCAGGAATCTTGAAATCTCCAAGAAACTCCATCCATCCCGTTTTTCCCTTTCGCTTGGAAGCTGGTAGAGAAATCTCGCCACTCGCTTTGATAACTATCGATGCGGATGGTGTGAGGAGGTCGAATAAATAGAAGAGGAATGAGGGCACCCAGTAGAATAACAGCCGTACTGCTATTGTGCCGAACATCTCGACTCGGAGTGCCGAGTGTGAGAGCACCAGCGTCATCCATGTCATATAGAAGAACATGGCATTGAGGGTGGTTGTATAGGATGTGAAGGCGGGGAGAAGGAAAACGGTCATGAGGGGGAGGGACAAGAGGGCACCCATGATGGCGAGGTATATCGAGTTACGTTCCAATTTGTAATATGAAGATGTTTTTTGTAATTCGGTGGTGAATCTGTCCTCGGCGACTCTTTATGAGATATCAACGGACTCAAATAGACAAAGAAGAAGTGGTTGTCGTTGTTGCGATAACTGCGCTTCAGAGGTTCTTTGCGCATGCGTGTGGAACTCGTGTGGCTTTGATGCTGTTTTAGCAACAAAGAGGAGTAGAGAAAGAGGAGTAGGGCTCATCTGAATTTTCCTATGGATCAGAGTATTCATCTCCTTTGTCCATGCCTTCGATCCTGTCAAGGTGGGGGAATTTGTAAGAATTGAAAGAAAATAGAGTGGCTGGACTCAGGCTTAGCGTCTACGTCATTTCCGCCCGCATTCCTCAGGTCTGAAGTAGTTGCAAGTGGGGATTGATTATAAGAACAATTTACAGAAAATAGAATGTTTAAACAAAGACAATGTAATTGATGGTCTAAAGATATGTACTAATGTAAGTCCGACTGAGGCCGGCTAACGAGCGTTCAAGAACCGATCAGGCAAAACGAATGACAAGCCACCGGACAACATGGAGGGTATAATACAAAGAAAGAAAAAATAAATGAGGAGGAATGAATTAATTGTCATCGTCGACGGTCTCATCAGCATCTGCGCACATTTGCTGAGGCAGACCGTTTGTCTTGCCCCAGTTGAATGCCTTGCTTCGAAGGTCCGGGATGACCTGGAGGAACACTAAATTGCTCAGCCAGCTCATGAGGGTATCTCCAAGGATGCTATTGCGAGGGCTGGGACCAAGAGCAGTTCCCTTCATGACGTTTCCGACAAACATGGTGGTAATCAAGTACTCGCCGCGTTCCAGAGCGTTGATGGCACACTGTGCGACCTCCTCAGGGGTTTGGGGTTTGTCGGACTCTTCGAGAGTCTTGGTCAGCTCAGGTTTGATTTTTTGCTCGTTGTCAAATCCAGGGCTGAGAATCCCCATTGGGAAGACGGTGTGGATCTTGACATCGGCGGCTGGAGCTGTGTTGCGGTGTCGTTGGGTGTAGGCTCCATTATACATCTCAATCTCCTGGCTGAGAGTATCGGACAAGGAGCGAATGGCAGCCTTGGCGGGAGAGTAAGGCCCGTATCCAGCGATGGGAACAAATGCAAGGGTAGAGCAAGTGAAGATGAGGTGTCGGCGTGCATTTCTCATTTGGCCACTGGGAGGAATAGGAGACAGCCAGTTGCGAAGAGTGGCATGAGCCATATTGGCTGCAGTCCAGTAGACGGTGTCCATCTGCTGTCGCTGAACCTCGATCGGCACATCAATGAAGAAGCCGGGGTGGCAGAATCCCGCACAGCACCAGACAACATCAGGAGCAGAGCCGTCATTCCAGGCGGTAACTTCGGCGATGACTCGGTCACACTCAGTAGCATCAGTGAGGTCGGCACAGATATACAGGAAGCGCTGCTTGAGAGTATTCAACGCCTTGGCCTAGAGACAGATGTCAGTGGAAGTGACTAAAGACGAAAGAGGTGCCAGGGGAATGCAAACCCGAAGCTCTTCAACAGTTGCCTGAAGCTTGGAAGCAGTACGTGCAACAACAACGACGTGGGCACCTTTTCCGGCAAGTTGGCCGGCGACAGCTCGGCCCATACCATCAGAACCACCAGTGATGATCACGGTCTGAACGAAGAAGTCAGCACAAATCAAGGAGAAGAGGGATATATTTGCAGCTTACACGGCCTTCGACTTGAAACTCGTTCTTACGAGTGAATCCGAACATCTTGACGAGTGTGTAGGTAATGAGAGTACAGATAAGTACAGATATTCCAATGAATGGGTTGGAGATATGATATGAGGATGTAAAGAGTGGTAAGAGAGGCATGAGGAAGAGAGAAAGAAAGGAGAGAAAAAGAATAGGAAAAAGGGGGCTTTGGCTGCTCTATTGCTGCTTCTGATGTTTTTCTGAATAGGGTAGGAACGATGCCGGTTTGGACTGGACCTTGATGAAACGAGATGGAACGGAATTACAATACTCTTTGGCGCTGGATTTGTAATTTAACCGTAATATCATTCTATAACTGCAAATTGTACAAACATCCATCTTAAGACTAGTGTGGTACGGGCGGTGAAAGCCGCTCCAAAAAATTATTTTGTCGCAAGTGAAGACCACCGTCAAGCAGTCAGATCTCACACATCGAACATGGGCAAAAAAAGAAAGGCTGGCGGTCGCCCAGCAAAGAACGAGGCCCCCGCACGCACTAAGTTCAATGTTGAGGAACGCTTCGACGACTCCGAAGATGAGTTCCAAACTGGCCGCGACCAGATTCTGCTGGAAGAAGCTCCAGATGCCAAGCGGCGACGAAAAGTGGCCGAGGATGGTATGTTAAATCCTTTTACATTTGGATTAAAGATATTGTAGTTAATTCGTTGTCACAGAGGACATGTTCCAGCCCTCGGATGAGGAAATACTAGGGTACGAATCTGTTGACGAGGATGAGGACGACGAAGAGGATGACGACGAGGAGATAATGGGTCGGAAGAACCAAGATGCAGATTCCGATGAAGAAGAGGAGGGAATTGCAGCCTGGGGTTCTTCCAAAAAAGACCTCTACAATGCCGATCAGATTGAGACCGAAGTCGATGCCTTGGAGGAAGAGCAAGAGGCCAAGAGATTGCAGCAGAAGCAATTGCAGGCCATGGATGAGGCTGACTTTGGGTTCGACGAATCTGAGTGGATCGAATCTGGTAAGGCTGAGGACAAGGCCGAAGACACCGGCGTGGTGACCGAAGTGCTCCCTCAAGTGGAAATCACCGACGACATGCCTACCGACGAAAAGTTCAGGATTATTGAATCTAGATACCCCGAGTTCGATCCTTTGTCTAAGGATTTTATCGCTCTACAAACTGTTTACCAGAAACTCCAAAAGGCAGCAAAGGCCGCCAAAGCAACAGACGAGACGGAAGATGAACCACAGCCAGCTCCTGTGGCTGTTGTCAAAATGCGGGCCTTATCGACATACCTGGGTGCTATCAGCTTGTACTTTATGCTTCTCGCTTCATCTTCCGATGGAACCAACGATCATACCGCAATGTCACCTGCCGAGCTCCGACAACACCCCGTGATGAGTTCTCTTGTTAAATATAGAAAGCTCTGGGAGAAGGTCAAAGATCTCGAGACTCCCGAAGTATCTCAAGTTGTTCAAGAGTCCCCACTGGCCAAGCCAGCTGCGAAGACAGAATCCACCAAAGACAAGAAGCAACCGAAGACCAAGGAATCGCAGCCTCAGAAAAAGCTCACTAAGGCCGAAAAGAAAGCTGCAGCCGCACAAGCTGAGGCTCAAGCCCATCTTGCTGAGCGTTTGCGTGAAACAGAGGCTGGTCTGGCTGATCTAGATGGACTCGTTACAGAGCCTCTCCAGAAACGCAAGACCCAAAAGACCAAGTTATCTGCCAAGGATGATGACTCTGATTTCGGTGATGAAAACGCACTGACAGCACGTGAGATAGAGGAGAAGCAGAAGCAGAGACGTTCTCTCCGCTTCTACACCTCCCAGATTGCACAGAAGGCAAACAGACGACACACAGCCGGCCGAGATGCAGGTGGTGACGCTGATATTCCTCACCGTGAACGTCTAAGAGACCGTCAGAACCGCCTCAACGCTGAGGCAGAGCGCCGTGGTCGTCAACAGCCTGATATCGGTCAAGAGCTTGGCGGCGACAGTGATGACGACGACCGTCGCGTTGCCAGAGAATTGCGCGGTGGTAATAAGGACGGCACAGATGATGACAAGTACTACGATATGGTCGCCGCGCGGTCTAAGCAACGCAAGGATGAAAAGAAGTCTCGCGCAGATGCATACGCTGAAGCGGCCAAAGAGGGTGGTCAAGTTCATATGCAGGCCGAGATTGGGCCGGATGGCAAACGTGCAATCACCTATCAGATCGAGAAGAACAAGGGTCTCATGGCGAAGCGGAACAAGGATGCGCGCAACCCTCGTGTCAAGAAGCGCAAGAAGTACGAAGAGAAGAAGAAGAAGCTTGGCAGCATTCGCCAAATCTATAAAGGAGGTGAGGCTCGTGGAGGCTACGGGGGTGAGCTTACTGGTATTAAAAAGAATCTGGTCAAGAGTGTCAAGCTCGGCTAGTGTTGTTGGAAAATTTCATGATGTTTCAGTGTTTTCTAAGGCGTCTTACTCCTGCGGGTCATGGCAGATACAGGCATTTGATGTGTATATAGAACCAATTTCACCTTTTCAAGCTCAACTTGGTCTCTGTGAAAAATTAATCATTACCTCATCCGATATCCATAGCTACTGTCTACGCTCCTGGGTTAACGTGATGTAATGTTCTTCCTGTAGCCATAGTCCAACTTTTTTCAAATCGCCGAGAGTCCGCGACTATGATTGTTGCAAATAATTTCACTCGGGTTAGGACGATTCGTAGATGGCTTCAATGATATCTTCATTTGGTTAGTCGCTACGCACAGCGTCCTAGTATATTCGAATCTATGGACATGGGCCCGGGGCGTACCTCATTAATCATCTGCACGTTCACCATATCCTACCTAGGCCTTAATATTATAAACGGCTGATTACATCCTCGATCGACTTCTTTCATGAAACGAACTCAAGGGCCTGATTTTACGTATCCGAATTTTTCGAGGAACACAGAATTAGACACTGTATCACTGGTGATGCTATTACTGCAGCTATCGGTTAGCCATTGTTTATTTGCGACTTTTATGATGTGGTCGCAGACGACCAGCTTAGGATGCTTTGAATATTGTTCAAGAAATCCTCAGCTAGGAGTCCAGTTTTTCTCCTAGAGCCGTGAAGTCTATATAGGCAGGCTATGATCAATCTAGACTGGCCAGGATACAGACTGTTGATGCCTCAATTTCCATTCGCCGCTAAGGCTATGAGTGAAGCTTTTGGCACATGGATCTCTCAGAATCGAATTTATCGACAGACAAATTCTTACATCCTAGTAACTAGGCACCCTGTGTCGATTTTGAACAAGGTTATTCTGTCCATTAATTTGGATGTTAAGTGACCATGGGCTAATCCAAGTTATATCTTTATCTCATCTTAACTTCTTAGCTCCAATTTATGACTGTCGGGATGAATAGAGACAATGATATGATAGCGCTAACAGTAGGGTATAATAGTTCAGCATGCGCCATGGATCAATACATGTTAGCCTCAGACGAACTATAGGCCTTAGAAAATAAAAAAAGCGCTCATATAAGTTCAAGTAAAGCTTCTACCCGTCCTCACTCTGCTTGTTTCAACAAGTCTTCGAGGACTGCCTTCGCGGCAAGCATTGGGCCCTCACGATCCGAGAAATCCGTCTTGAGGAACGCTCTGGCAAGTTTGTCCTAAACATAACCCAGTAAGCTATGTGAATGAAAAGCACTTGTTCTTGTGTAATCCTTACCGCCGTCTGCAGTGTCTTCATCTCTTCAGCGGATAGGATGGCACATGCTGCAATTAGATTCTCGCCTCGGGCTGCAAGTGATGCAATTTCGTTTGCGCGGGCAACTATGGATGCTTCAATACCGTTGATGGCAGCACATCTACAAATATATTTTGTCATAAGCCTTGGCTTTTCTCAATATCAAAAGCGAGTTGAGTCATACATAGTACCGAAACTCTTGCTGCTGCGACCTGGGCGAAGGCTGTTTACTTGTTAGCGTTATGGTTTCAAAGAAGCAGAGCTTGGAGTTCAGTCATACTTGTAAAGATAAATAACTTGGTCCTCCAACTCCTGGGACTCTGGGCAAACTTTGACCTCCATATGGCCCAGTTGCAACCTTGGCCGCAGTGCAAGAAATCCATTCTCGAAGATTTCATGGAAATGTGTGGCAGCAATAACCTTCGGGGCATCTTCGAGATTCAATAGATAGTTCAGTATTCCGCATGCAAGTCCAATGCCATCTTATAAGCTCGTTAGTATCGGAAATGTTGGTGTAAATGGAGAAAAGGCATTACGAACCACCTTCGTTTGTTCCCTTACCAAACTCATCGATAAGGATCAGAGTTCGACCAGTGACTTGCTTCAGGCAAAGTGAAATTTGTTGCAGATCATTCATGAAAGTACTTTGGATCTGTATACAATCAGTTTCTTGACGGATTGCGTGACTCGTGACAGTTTCCTCACGGGGCGTTGATACCTTTGAGACACTCTCCTGAGTATGTATCTTTGTCAAGATCTTGTCGGTGATACCCAGCTCTGCGCTGTCTGCAGGGACGAAGCTGTAAATATGTGAGAATTGGCAAATTACCATAGCCTCTAACCTATTTGATAAATATTGAACATACCTTCCAATTTGTGCCAGGTAAACAATGAGAGCAACCTAAATCAAATTAGCTCAGCGAAGTATATTGATCCGAAGGGACAAACTCACTTGCTTCATGTAGACACTCTTACCGGAGTAGTTCGGTCCAGTCAGAACCAACATGCTCGGATTTTGGCTAGCCTGTGCACTAGAAGTGATGATCTCTGGGTTGTTAATTCCTCCTACAAGCAGCGTATCATTTGGAACGTATGATGGGACAGTCAGTCCCTGTATCATGTGACTGGCAAATCTTAGAATAACCAGGACGATGGGTCTAAGAATTGATTTCTTACCGACCACCCTTGATCCTGACAACATTTTCTGTTACCATCCGCGGCCGAACCAGTTTGTAACAGATTGCTGCTTGTGTGAGGGCGAGGAGACTGCAAATACAGTTAGTTTCGGGACTCAAGTTGTGTGGTGTATCCACAAACCTATCCAGTTCTCCGCATATATCAGATGTCTCCACAAGCAAGTTTTCGTACTGAAGTACTTTCTGGGCCAAGTCGTATACAATCTCGATTTCCTTCTCTAAGGAATCATTAATAGGAAGGACAGTCTTTAGTATGAGAGCACACCTACCACATATTAGCCCATAGATATCTCCAAGCTTCCCATCCAGCTCCTTCATTCGGAAATCCTTGAAGTATGCCCTTGTCTCCGTAATGAAAACTAGATCCCAGTCGTCACTCGAGCCAGAATATGTAGCTTCACCTCTCTCATTGAGTGGAATGGCGATGTTGAACCCGAGCTGAGGGAAATAGATCACATTCACATCAATGTCCAGGTTATCTGGAATTGTGCTGGCAATATCAATTGCCACATGCTTGAGGAGACTGTTCAAGCCATCGTACAAATCTTTCATCCGATCAAGATCTCGATCGCGGCCTTGCTTGACAGCGGTTCTGCCTTGCTCTTCTGAGTTGTCGATATCGACCTATTCAAGTTAGCACCTATCATTTAAGCAACCTCTGATTCTGCTTGCTATTTCTTGAATCATCTGACCCACTCTGTGAAGCTGTGCTGCTTCAAAGACTCGGATTGCCTTTTTTGGTTAGTTACTCGACCGTGGAACAATAATTTCAGGAACACACCTTTGGCACGATAGATAATGTGTTTGCACCTGATATTCGCTGCAAAGTATCATGGATATCAATGGAGTAAAATGCAAACTGATTTATCAGCCAGGAAGTTAATATACGAGATCGGTGGAAGACATACTGCCAACAGTCTTGCCCAAACAGTAGTTTTGAAGCCAGTGATCTTTGCACTTCCTGTGTTGATGCCTTTTTGTAGATTGATCATGACTGGACGCAGGTTCATGATATGTTTCAGGCTCTTCATCAACTTATCTAGGGCATCTGAGTTTTCAGGTCGCGAAAATACGCTGACGAAGTCATGGCGTTGTCGAATAGTTTCGATGTTTAGGCTTGGGCGCAGAAACATCTGCTTGAGTTTGGTTCTACCATGTGGGGTATGAGAGAAGCGACGGAAGAGACCAAATATGGAAAGGCCTTCTTTACCAGAAGATGACTTGGTGCCTAGACCTTGGTTAAACATGTTCGGATGAGACTCAGACTGAATGATCTGAAGTGACGAGAAGGTGTCTCTACCTATCCACCTTGTTTGTTTCACGATTTAGCGGAGATTCGATGCTATTGGCGAAGGGAGACTCACATGGTATCTTGCAAACTGAACATCTCCAGCGAGCGAACCCTACAAGCACTGATCTCTGTGGGCCCCGAAGTCAATATTTTTGATCTTCGTTTCTGCAAATGTGTAAGAACAGCCCCTACACAGCCAATTGTCACCGGATTCTCCATATCAATGGCACTGGATAGGTGCAAGAGTCTTCCTTCATGAAGTGAAAAGCCCAAGTCCTCAGGGTTGACCTCCTCAGGACCGGTAAGGCCACTCTGAGGGACAAAGAAGCGAATGCGACTTTCGTAAGATGTTGATAAATCCAGAGCAACCAGCTTATTTTCTGCATTCGAGTGGCTGAACTCTTGCGTAGGGCGAACATCTATCTGGTAAGGTAGATATGATGATGAATCTATTGCTCGACGAATTAGTTTGCAAAATTCTAGGAGACAGGGGCTTTAGAAGTACCCGTCTCTTGGGCTAGGTTTTGGCCCTGGCTAGGAATACTGAGAATCTCCACTCGAGGGGGCGTCAGTATCACGGTCGGTTTGATCTGGATAAGAACTAGCACAAATTGTTAGGCAACCGGAGAATATGCACCAGTCAAAATAGACATACGAGTATTGATGACTTCCATGCCTCCTGATCGACTGTCGCCCAACAAGTACATCCTTTCTTCCTCGACGGAATAGTAGGCACATCCTACGGTGCCACCGTCTTTCATGTCAATGGCAGCAATGATATGACCGGAGTCATCATCAGTGGTTTGCTCAGAGTCGGCAGCTTCTACAGGAGTCTGTGTTTGACATGGAGTTCTCGCCTGGTCAGGGAACATCGAGGGTTGGGGAGGGCCTTCAAGGATAGTGGATGCATGACTTGACCACTGGACATTGCCGCCAGTGTTCGATCTGAAGGTACGGGATGTGATTAAAGGTGGAGCTATGGCTCCTGGTGGCTGTTTTCTTTTTTGAGAGGAATTCATTTTCAAAATCTAGCAAAGAATGAGGGCGATGACTTATTGAGGTTGGTGCCTACTTGGTAAATAAGACCGTAATTCTGGTGTTAAATACCTCACAATACCTGGGACCGTTATATATTTAGTGACGTCTAATAATTCCTTGCACTAGGAAAAGGACATAAGGCATCCATGGATGACGTTACTCATCACAACAAAGCGTGCGATGAATTCAAAATTCTAAAGTATTATATCTGCGGTGAGATCTCTTCTTCTCCTGTAGCCAAAGGCTATCAAGCAATGAAAAGAAGAGCCATTGGAAGATGGATGTGTACGCATGACAACATAGGATCCATAGCTGCATCGTGAACAAAGACGCGAGTTTTATCATGATACAATTCGAAAGCCTCAAATCTGCAACCTCTCTTCTCTACCGGCGACCACAAGGGTCAAATTAAGCAATGAAAAAAGTATGAGTGATGGAATCACAATTTTGGGTAAAAAACTTCCCTAGCCACGAGAGCCAGGAGCAGTCAGGTTAATGGTTTTCAACCAGCAAAAACATGATCTCAGACTCCTCCTCACTGATATACGTAATACCCATGCACTAGGATGGTGAAAAATGGTTGAAAAAGAAAGAAAAAGTATATATTATGACCTAGAGAAGGCAGTTATGTTAGTTTACTAACTAAATAGCGCTCTAGTGATAACTAAACATGTCACGGGATCGAGAAGGCAGTAAACGTGGAATCAATGATGCCCATGTTGCCTCGACCTTGGGAAACTTCTAGGGCTTGGAACTTCCAAAGTTTGAACAGGAGAAAAGTGAGGAGAATTGATTGAATTTTTGTACATTAGATGGGAATATACTATAAACACAGGACATAAGATAGGCACACAAATGCCAATGCAATACCAGCATTTTGAAAAGCACAACCAAAACACCACCATGAATGCGCTGAAAATCAGAATTTAATAAGCATTTATGCCCTTTGCTCAACTCCTTCTGCAGAAACCAATATGGCAGACTTGTCTTCATTGAGGGACACATTGGCAGTTTGACCAGACGTAATTTCTCCGCGGATGATTTTGTCGGCCAGCTTGTTTCCAATCTGCTTGGCAATAAGCCGGTTGAGAGGACGAGCACCAAACTTAGGGTTGTAGCCTTGATCACAAAGCCAATCCTTGACCTCATCATCTATCTGCAAGATCATTCGGCGGCTATCTAGACGTTTTTGAAGTTCCTTGATTCGGATATCAACAATGTCTCGCAAAGCGGATTTAGAGAGACGTTTGAAGATGATGAATTCATCGAGACGGTTGAGGAATTCAGGAGGATAGGCATTCCCAACAACATCCAAAACGGCCTTCTTGATATCTTCTGGGACCTCAGCGCCATCAGCGTCCTTGTAGGGGTGCAAAGGATCGGCACCGACCAGGATCTCAGCACCAAGGTTGGAGGTAAGGACAATCAGGGTGTTTCTGAAATCAACCTTATGGCCTTGAGCATCTGTGAGGAAACCCTCATCAAGAACCTGTAGCAGCAAGGCCGAAATATCACGATGAGCTTTCTCGAACTCATCGAACAGCAGAACGGCATATGGTTTACGTCTCACAGCTTCGGTGAGCTGACCAGCATCATCATATCCAATGTAGCCGGCGGGGGAACCGATCAGACGACTGATGGTATGTTTCTCCTGGAATTCACTCATGTCAAATCGCACAACTGCAGACTCGGTGGAGAATAGGAACTCGGCCATCTTTTTGCATAACTCAGTCTTTCCGACACCGGTGGGCCCAAGGAACATGAATGAGGCTAGTGGGCGGTTTTCACCGCTGAGTCCAGCTCTCTGCATGCGAACTGCATTTGCTACAGCAGACAGAGCCTCATCTTGTCCCCGAACTGATTTACGTAGAGTGTCTTCCATATGGATCAACTTCTCAACATCACCAGCCATGAGTTTATTGACTGGAATGCCAGTGGTTCTAGATACCACATTACCAATGTCGTCGGCGGTAACAGAGTCATGAATGAGACTCTGGCTCTCTGAATCTTGCTCGCTCTCCTTGGGTAGCTTCGCCTCGAGCTCAGGAATCCTGGAGTATCGAAGCTCTCCAGCTTTGCCAAAGTTTCCTTCTCGTTGAGCTTCTTCGAGTTCGAACCGTGCGCGTTCCAAATCTTCTTTGGTGCGCTTGATGGCGTCGATTTCAGCTTTCTCTTTTTCCCAGACATTGGTCAATTCCTTTGCCTCCTCTTGCTTAACTTTCAAGTCTTCTTTCAGTTTGTCTCGCCGCTCGCGGCTGCTCACATCTGTCTCCTTTCGGAGGGACTCAAGCTCAATTTGAATGGTCGTGATATCGCGTTCCAATTCTCGGATTGCGTCGGGCTTGGATTCTTGTTGTAGACGGAGAGCAGAGGCAGCCTCATCCACAAGGTCGATTGCCTTATCAGGGAGGAATCGATCGGTGATGTAACGATTGCTATAAGTGGCGGCAGCAACTAGGGCTCCATCTGTAATACGAACACCGTGATGAACCTCATATTTATTCTTGATACCGCGTAGGATGGAGATCGTGGAGGCAACGGATGGTTCTTCGACAAGGATGGGCTGGAATCGTCGAGCGAGAGCAACATCCTTTTCAATTAGACGGTATTCGTTCAAAGTTGTAGCACCACAACATTGAAGCTCGCCACGAGAAAGGGCGGGCTTTAGTAGATTGCTAGCATCAATGCTACCCTCAGCCTTACCCAGTCCCAGTAAAGTATGAAGCTCATCAATAAATAGAATGACACCGCCGTGAGCGTCTTCAACCTCCTTCAACACGGACTTCAGACGTTCTTCAAAGTCACCACGAAACTTGGCGCCCGCAATCAGCGAACCTAAGTCCAGAGAGATCACGCGTTTGTTCTTGATACTCTCCGGGACATCGCCTTGCACAATACGTTGGGCAAGTCCTTCTAGTACCGCAGTCTTGCCGGTACCAGCTGCACCAATCAATACTGGATTGTTTTTGGTGCGACGGGATAGTACCTGGATAGTTCGGTGGATCTCGGCATCTCTTCCAATGACAGGATCCAGCTTGCCATCCTTCGCTTTCTTAGTCAGATCGACACCATATTGTTCTAGAGCGGACTTCTCTGGCTCTGCACTCATGTTCATGCGGTGAGTACCACCGGGGGGATGTGGTCGACCATTAGCATAGTGGCGCACGGAGGAAAGTGGTATAGTAGATCTGGCAGCGACGGCAAGTAGGTACGGATTTCTCGGAAGACGAGTAAAACGAGAGGTTATAGATAGTGATTTGTTTGAGGGAGTAGAAGCCCTCAGCAGCCGGCTACGTGCAGTAAGAGAGAGTCTAGATGCCATGATGATTTGGTGTCATGGTACAGAGACAGAGGTTTCCTTTTATATTCAATTCCGTAAGATCGCAGTGGCATCGCGACGCTTCTCGAAAGCTCCACCAGGAAGGCGATGAGTGGCCCGAAGCTCCACAGCAACTGGACCAAGCTCCGTCACCACTGGAGTCACGTGTTCTCGCCCAATTTAACGGGAAAAAAAAACCTTTTACCCCTCGGTCTGTGTTTTTTCTTCCCGTTTTTCCCCTTCCCACAAGAACAACCATTATAATATTTCACAATGGGTTTCACTGACTTCGTCTCTGATGCTGGCTTGGCTTGTAGGGACCCCCATGGCATTTTATCCTGATTTTGGACTTGGACTGACTTTGTCCCAGTGGCCAACAGCTACCTGGCCAGCCGCTCCTACATTATTGGGTAAGAAAACCTCTCCCCATCTTTGCCATCCATCCCCTGTCCCTTTTAATACGTTTTGTCTTTCAATCAACCTGCTTTTATGATGAGAAAAATTGGTCCGTGTTTAGGAGGCGGATTAAGACCCCGCTGTTTGACTACAAACCCAGCGAGCAATCGCATCTCTGATTCAAATTGCATCGTTATATATGCATTACTCACGACATGAGACTTATGAACATCTTTACTGACTGTTCGAATCAGATACTCCCCCAGCCAGGCTGATGTCGTGACCTTCAAGGCCTTCACTGCCGCTCCTGACGCTGCCAAGTACCCCCACGTTGCCCGTTGGTACAAGCACATCGCCTCTTACGAGAGCGAGTTCTCCACCCTTCCCGGTGACTCCTCTGCTGCATTCACTGCCTACGGCCCTGAGTCCACTGAGTTGCCCGTCAACCCCAAGGACAAGCCCGAGGAGTCTGAGGAGGAGGACCTCTTCGGCTCTGACTCCGAGGAGGAGGATGCCGCTGTTGTTGAGGAGCGCAACAAGCGTCTGGAGGAGTACAAGGCCAAGAAGGCTGCCAAGGGACCCAAGCCCGCTGCTAAGTCTCTTGTCACCCTCGAGGTTAAGCCCTGGGGTACGTGTCGATTCCATCGAATTCCATCATACTTCTTACTAACATTTACTCAATAGATGACGAGACCGATCTTGCCGAGATGGAGGCCAACGTCCGCGCTATTGAGCAGGATGGTCTTGTCTGGGGAGCTTCCAAGTTGGTTGCTGTTGGTTTCGGTATCAAGAAGCTCCAGATCAACCTGGTCGTCGAGGACGAGAAGGTGTCTACTGATGAGCTCCAGCAAAAGATTGAGGAGGATGAGGACCACGTCCAGTCCACTGACATTGCTGCCATGCAGAAGCTGTAAAGGAGATGCCAATTTACGAAGAAAATATGGCCTGATGAAGGAACTTTGATGTCTTAGGAACCCCTTGATTATGAACTTTAGAATCCGGCCTAATATCGGCTGGTCTGATGAAAAAAATTATAAATTTTCACGACCATTTAATTCTGTACTCTGATCTACCTACATTCCCGTACAGTAGTGAAACATGTACTTCGCCGTCTAGCCCTAAATCTTTCTCGACTTGTGGTATGGCGGGGTAGTACGCTGAATTCTGTGGTTATACGGGAACCCTTGTTGCCATTACTTAGAGATTATCATGGAAATCAAACAGTAACTGAAAGAATACTATTGGTGGATATGATCTAGTCAAGTTGCACATAAGGACTAGAACTAATAGACTCTGACTGGAAACCCATCAGACTCGTAGTTCAGATTTCTTTCAGTGTCGTGCTCTGCTTATATAAGCAATATCCGAAGCTGAGCTCAGTAAAGAAAGACCACAGTACTAGGTAAAGACCTAGCGACGCAGTATCTACTCCACATCTCCAAGATCCTCTTTTGTCGACATTAGCTTTCTTAAGCTGAAGCTATAGATAACTTCTAAACAACAAGACCAAAGACCATTTGCCCCCGTGATATTCAAACCACAACTCAACCCCGACCGACCACCTCATCCATAATGGGCTTCCTCGCGCGTCTAGTGACATTATTCGGCCTAGTATTACTCACCCACGCGTAGGTCTACAATAAAGTCAAAATCTCAATCTATCCTTGGAAGCTAACAAATCCCAATTGCAGAGGATATTCCGCCCACGAACACACCGTGCTCATCTCCGCCTCCGCTGTCACCGACATCCCGCAGGATATTATCATCGAGACACTGGTAGCTGTGCTCATAGTTTCAGTGGGATTAGTGCTGGGTGCAGAAAAGCTGAAGCCAGTCAGCTGGCGCGATTGGGCTGGTGAAATTGAGAAGGAGGGCGGCGCGCGGAATCCTTATATGCCTCTAGAGGAGCGATATGCGTTTTGGGATATTCGGGTAAGAGATTGTGTTTGTCACCGTTGATCTCCTCGCATTGTTTCCTGGCTTGTGCTAGTGACACTGCTTTGGGTCTTGGTAATAGCATTTCACTTGCGAGCTAGGCGCTGACTGAAAAACAGGCGAAGCGAAAGGAATTTGCCGATTGGATTCGGGCTGATGATGCACTTCTTAAGCAGTGATTGATCCGGCAGGCTACTAGTTTTGGGGAGGAATAGTTTCCAACAAAAAGAAAAGATTTTAGACAGTGGTTTCCAAAGGCTTGTATGATATGCATTATTGTGGGAGTGTGGATTGATCACTATTCAACAACCTTGAAACCTTCCAGCGCAGCTGCAATGCATTGGATACTGAATGCCAGTGGTGTACCTTTCATACGTTGACTTCACATCATGCAACATCGGCCTTCTCAACATCCTCGTAGTTTCTGTACCTCATCATCCATACTCTACTGCCGAGCTGCAGTATATTACGGGGCAATATTGCCGTTAATGCACATAACCATTCTGCACGCCACATTCCAAGGTTGCATTCCACTTTAAAATGTAAATGGCCAGGCTAGGCCAATATTCCCATTGGATCCAAAGTGCTAGGTATGTGTGTTCTATACGAAGTACGTGTGGCGTCGCATTAAGACCGTGGAATCGGATACTCCGTGTGAAACATATCCTCGGCAACGGAATACTCCGAGATCTGTATCGACCTGTGATTATAGCCATAACTACTCAATATTATGGAGTGTTCATACGCACGGACAATATATATTACCTTGATCATTTCCCCATACCTCTTTACGATATTGCCGTGGGGGCTGGATCAAGACCTACGAGAGGCAAAACAAGACCCACATATCACCCTAATGTGATCTTGGGACTGTTTCAAATTCGTAATAACAAAATTGTATTTATCTCTATCCTGTTCAAGATCTACGGAGTAAGGGACCTCGGGAGTATAGTAAAGTACCTGGGTACGCAATTCTATGGTCTACTTATCATTAGCCTTGCATGACTGTTTACTGATTATAACCAAAAATAGTTCCAAGGTTATGTCTGCTGACCTAGATATGGGGTAAGAGCGGATCCTCCTGTTTTAGACAGTCTTTTGGATTAAAGGCTAAGTACAGATATTCCTTGTCTCATCGATACACTAAGACTTGAACCGCCTGATGTCTCACCCTTGTAACGCCACTCACGTCGATGTATTTGTCGGAATAGCCACTTGTTGACATGTTCGAGCTTGGAGTCCAGTCTTCCACTGTTTTAGGGTCAGGATCTGTTTTATAATTCTGTTAATTGAACAATTATTTCAATTGATTTTACAGAGTTTCATTAAACCTGCCCAGGTGAGCGTTGATATTCATTCCAATGTTACTTCATAGATCTAATATGTAGTGGACCGCGGGAGTCTGCAGATATCATGAACCAGTCGAGCAGCCAGTCTCTGGAGTCAGAAATGAAAAACTGTAAACAGATTGATAGTGGGACCACGGGTGAATCATTCTAAACTCGTAAACATCTCATTTACTATTACTACGCACTTCTCAACCATACACACACAGCCCGCAAAGGATTACGTGCTTCTCATTGTATGACCCCAAAAGTAAACAAAAATAGGATGCAGATCTGGATGCTACCATCCCTTCATATGACTGGTCAGATTACCTGTTTCATTTCCATCCATTTGCTCCTTTCAGTACCAAGGACCGGCATTACGTTGCAAGTTATAATTATTGGGGTTTGCTGTATTCTAGTACTAATGTTCCCTCAATTCCATAAATAAGCAGGTCTCCCTGTTCTGCCTTCTCTCTTCAATTGAAAATCATATCGCATTACAACTTTAATCTCTTAAACATCCAACTACCTTCTCACCCAAAACACATTCAAGATGCGTTACTCTATCATCCTCGCTACCCTCTCAGCCTTTGCCATGAGCACTTCTGCTGCAGTTTCTGCCTCTGAAGCCGCTACCACCACTTTTGTAAGCGTCATCTCATATTAACTATATACTCTAGCAATCAAGCTAATCCAACGTCAATAGTCCAACCCTGCTGAGCAATATCTGACACAAACCAACTCCAACGGCGTCGTTACTGGTCAGCCTTCAGTGGTCACATCGCAAGAGGCTGCAGCGACTTCGCAAGAGGCTGCTGCGTCCATCCCTGCCGGTCTCTCATCGGCTGTTGTCACTCCCGCCACCAATACTCAAAGCACTAAGATCACTACTAAGGCGAAGACCGCTACGGACACTGAGATTACCACTACTGGGACAGATGCTACTGCTACTGCTACCGCTACCGCTACAGGTACTGATTCCACCGGAACTGCCTCTAGTGACTCTTCCACCTCCACCTCCACGGGTGTTGCAGCAGGCATGGCAACTGCCGCCCCGTTGCTTGCCGCTGGTGCTGCAATCATTGCTTTCCTGTAAAGCAGCCGTAAGGCATGAACGACTCACCTTTTCCTTACGGAGATAAAATACGTGATTTGATATCAGTATATGATCGAACCAGGGTCTGGCCATAAGGTTCATTGGATGTGGGTCCTAGTCTACATCTTTTCTGGGGCAGTTTCAGATCCACAGGACGAGGGATATGACGGTATTTGGTGTTTGTAACTTTGATTTGGGATAATTTAATAAGGGATTTTGGGATCACTCCCAGAGAGTGACGCTTTTGTTTCGTTTGAACAAGACAGCATACTGGCGGCGCTCTCCCATTTGTATTGTTTTTTTTCCTTCCTTTTTCACCTGGCTTCAAAAGTCGAAGGGGTTCATTTTCCTGATAGTTTGATTCTTTGGTTAATGTACGGTCGAGAGACCACCAATCGTGAATAAAGTACATAAGTTCTATTCCAGGCGCCAGGCATAAATAATCCAGTAATTGGCAAGCCCCTCCAGGCTCTAATATCTAGCTATTTGTATTATAATTTTAAAACTCGTGATCTCCTCCAGGGTACGGGTCAATTAAAATAATGGCCACCAACCAGCTACCGATTTTACTGTACCAGAGAATGCTGATGTTGACATCACGAACTATTATGGCTGACTAACCTATATCAATCTAACGCGTGCGTGACGCGTGTGCCCAACTATCTTTTTGGCCAATGACAGGAGTTGACAATCGATTATGTAATCTGATGATCCACCTTGGTTGTTGAAGTAACGGTGTGTTGTTGTTGCTCTAACAACGCACCACCCACTAAATACTCTGCGGTACTAGTAAAATGGTAAGTGCTCCATTTTTGAGTTCAATATACAGTTAAAATAAGATCTACATGAATAAGACTAACAATGCGATCAAGATTTCCAATTCACGCCGGCTGGCGGCAGACCATGCTGCCCTCCAGAGCTCTAAGCTTCCTCCGTATTACCTCTGGCCTGAAGACAACAATCATTTCGATATAGCAGGTGATCTGTCCCAGTTGACAGTTTTACTTACGGGCCCACCGGGGACTCCATACTCTCAGGGCCTTTGGAGACTACAACTTGAGATCCCTCATGATTATCCACACAGCCCGCCCAAGGCAACTTTCTGCACGAGGATATGGCACCCCAACATGGAAGAGATCACAGGTGCAGTCTGTGTAGATACCCTGAAGAGGGACTGGCAGTCTAATCTTACACTTCGAGATGTGCTTATTGTAAGCTACTTAATTTTCCAAGCGAACTAAGTTCATCCTGCGACTGAAAAGCTAATACTTATATCGTCCACCACTAGACCATATCTTGTCTTCTCATCCAGCCCACTCCGGATTCTTCTCTTAATTCCTCAGCAGGGGCATTTTTCCAAGAAAACTTCGATGCCTTTGCTCAACAAGCCAGACTGATGACCTCCATCCACGCCCCAATCCCACACCACCTCAGTGAAGCCGTCAAAGAAGCGAGCATACGATGCGAAGATCCCACCCCTAAGGCATACCAAATGGATCGCGATCCGCACAATCAGCGTCCGCGAAAACTGCAGCGCATCCAGACCGGATCATCAAAGCGAAGTTCTCGCTACCCCACACCTTTTGAAGACCTGCCACACGCGCCCCGCGACATAAGAACCGCATTCACAACACCATCTCTTATGTCAGAAGACGAGCACATGACCGACAGCGATATTGAAAACTCCGCAAGCGCAAGCAAAGAAAACAACCCATCCTTCTTCTCCCCACCACCTCGTATTACCCCACTCTCACCCCGCAAGAATGCACATGGCAAACGCCCACTCTCTATCCTAGCGATTCCATACCCCGAAGAGCTGGAAGAAGACATCATGCTTATAGACTCAGAGTCGGACAGTGAATCAGCGCCAAAAACTGCCTCCGAGCGGAATATATCCGCTAATATCAATAATATCAAAGCCAGCAACCCTTGTGCGTGTATCTCACCAATGCGCAAACCTCGCAAACTTGCACTAGGCAGAAGCACAATAACACCGAGACGCCATCGTGAAGAGCTTCAAATCTACGAAGATGCTCCGGACCGCATGAACTATGATCTTCCACAACAGCTCAGCGCTGCTGGCAAGGAGAATCGAGACTCGGGAATTCGTGCGCTGAATAGGAAAGATGATCGCGGCCCACAAGCTGTGAAGACGGCCAACGGGCTTAATGTGCCAGCAGGTCAGATGCAGAATGTTACTATGAAGTCGATATCTTCTCAAGCTTCTCAGCTGTCTTCAAAAGTTCCCAAGGTCTTTAGTACTTTAAGGATGGGCGCACTCCCTAAACCGAGGCCCAAGCCTCGAATCGGTGTGCGACGACTTTGATGTTCATTCATTTCTTCATTTCTTTGGGTTTATTTGGATTTTTTTCGTTGATGGGCACAACCCTGTGCATGAGTTCGTTCTACCTCTTCAGCGCATACATAGTTTACGCATTCATTTCTGGAGTCGATCGGGGAAATATCCGGGTTTCTGCTGCAGGTGGCGGAAAGCAAACATTGAGCATTATAAAACATTTGATAGCTTGCTTTGGTATATAGGACTTTATCATATCACTCGAAATGTACTTTATCTACATAACTACATATTTCAACTGCTCAATGTTTTTTTTATTTCTTTTTTCCTTTTTCGAAATTTCAAAAGAAAAATAGCATCCATACCCGTGAACCTACCTGGAGCCCCCTAGGGCTTGGGCTTGAAGTACCCATGTAGCCTCCCGAGGTCTCATGATTCCAACCTCGGAAGGAACCAACAAAAATATCAAATACAGCCGAGACACATATATGGATTGCGTATCCAAGGAAAAAATTGCTTTCAATTATCGGGGCCTCTGTGACACAAATTGTTGATTTGAAGATCAAGATTGAACTGTGGAAGCAGGGACGATGAAAGAATCCACCATCAGCCTAAGTGACACTCTCTGGGTCTGATCATCTTTGAGTTCTCCGACGGAAAATGAATCATCAAAGAGATAACCGTACGAGTAACTAGTATCCCATGATAATATTCATGGAGAACCGTGGAAAGGATGGCTGACAATGAAGAAAAAAGACGAAGCTATCTCGGGAATGAGAGCATTAAGGCAAAAACAACTGAAAGGAAATAGAAATAATAATAATAAGAAATAATCAATTGGCCTTCTGTCTCTTTGAGTTGTCAAACTGACACTTCCCATTTCTTTTCCTTTGACTTCGCTTTCTTTGAGTCGCCAGAACTTGCAATAAGTTTGCCATATTCACAACATTGAGGACCAGTTCATGATCTATAAAGATCGTTTCGAGGAACACTACCAAACTTCTCTCCTTCCACTCTTTCGAAGTTAAACTATCCCAACAGTTTTCCAGTCTAATTGGGCAACTTCATCATGCGAAAGATTTTTGATAGGCAAAAAAGTCACGGAGGACTTGAGGAAAAATAGGAGGGATAGGCGGGAGAGAAAAAAACAAGTGAAAACGGCCCAGAATGAGGGTCCTAAGGAAGGTGATAGGATGAAGGCAGCTCATAAGGCTCAACGAGCTCCGACAGTTGATCCAGTTGAAGTTCTAAATATCGATATAATGAAGGATATGGGTCTAGCCCCGGAAGAAGAAATGCCACCCCCAAAACATGCGGCTCCACCACCTCCAGATAAGACAGATGGTGAAGGTGAGCTAAGTGGCATAGTATTTTCCAATAAAGCATTTTCTAATAAGGAGACAGAATTAAAAGAGCCGAAAGACACACCTAAACCTGTTCCTAAACGAGTGCGATGGTTTCATAAAGGGCCCGAATCTCTTGACGACCCGAAAAAACTGCCCCCAGGATGGACTCATTTAGAGCCTGATATCAATCCCCGAGACATAGATGCTCAAATTCAACGATGTCAGGAGAGAATTGAAGATAACATGATGACCTATATCTTTATTGACAGACTCAAGGTATTGCAGAAGTTCAAAGAACGTCAAGTGTAAGTTGACTTATTATTCGATAACTCTTTCAAAGTTGATAGGTTACTTATGTATGGGTTATTGAAATCAAAACAGGCACAATCTTGCTCCGTATCAAGACCTCGTAGGCATGATTCCATTTGAATCAATCCAACGCATTCAAGTTCTCGACACAGTGAAAGAAAAGTTGATGAATGGGACCCAGGATGAATTTAGGCAACTTTCTAATGTGACTGCCATCATAGAAGAGTACAGGAGTGGGAGACTTGATTGGATGAAGGGGGTTAGTTATTGGTCATATGGGAAAAAGGTTGGCGAGGCAAAGCTGTTTAGTGTGGACCAGTTCCGTAAGTTGAATAGGCAATTTGAAGGGTATAAGGGGTTCTGGGTAGAAGGAGTAAGTACTTGAAGACAAGTTGATAACGATCCAAGGTTGAATATTTGAACTAAATATAAGCTTAAATGACTAGCGTAACAGAAGCGCTTTAAGAATGAAACTGGCGAGACAAGACTTGAAGCTTCCTCAAAGCCATGGTACATATGAATTTAAAGTATGAAAACACCCAAGTTCATAGCAGCTCTAGAGGTTATCACCTCTTCTTCTTTTTCTTCTTTCTGATTCATACTCCTCTTTAGATGAACTTTGACCTTCGACTTGGCCGAGAACTCGGTGATGGATCGCAATCTGGCCCGAGGGCTGGTGACTACCCACAACCGCCAGAACTTGAATTCGAGTTTATAGATGATACAGGAGCCGAGAGGATGACTATCTACAAAAATGACCTACGTGCACTACAAGGACCAATCCCAGCCGCACAATGGCCATGGGAACAGTTGATGGGCGTGACGATCGTATTGGATGCGAACCTAGGCAGCTCTATGCAGCCAGAGTTTCTCATCGAGGCCAACTTTTTCGATACGCCAAAGAGTAACCCACATAGGAGATCTCTTCTACACGACTGGATTCCAGTCTTTTGCAGCGTTAATATGGATCATGATTTTGTACATGAAGGAGACACAGACAGACTCTCTGGCCATTGGTTGCGTCGGGTTCTTTACTTCGCCACAGCACCAGAGGGTCCAAAGGAGAGATCCTGCTATATCAGTACCCATAAAAGTAATCTGTTGAGACAGGCGCCAGATATCATGCCTCAAAACCCGCAACAAATCGAAGCTCAATGGAAGATCAGGCATGAATTGCACGCGACACAAGCAGCGGGCTGGATGAACACTGATACAAAAGGAGTAAAAAAGGTAGTACCCTTGCAGATGGCATTTGTGCGATATCCAGGTGGACCAGGACAAGGATTCCCAATCCCTAGAGCCGAATGGGATCCTGACTCCAACGCATATTATGAGGCAGAAGATTCCGACGATGCGGGAGCTGCAGGTACTTTGTGAGGCATATATGGTGTATGAGGGGGTCCATCCATGTGGGCATATTTACTCCGCTCTAAACTTGGAAAACCCTTCCTTATGTCTGTTAGTCTTCCCAGGTTCAAGTCCTGGAGTACTGCCCATGCGGTCCAACCCCTGCCGCAGCCTCCCATGTGCCTGGTAGTTTGTTGGTTCATTATTTGTCGTTAACTGTTTATCGTTTATTGTTTTCTAAGGTTACTCTAGTTTGCCGTGTACCTAGGTATGGTTCATTCCAAGGTTGTTTACTGTTTGTCGTTTAGTGTTATCTTAGTTTAAATGTTCTAAGCTTCCTTTAATCCTACCTAAAATGGAAAATGCATCGCCAGGGTTATGTTCTAAGTTTGTCGATGCAGTTTTGAAACTGCCTGAAAATGTCCTTACCTCATTGGGTATGGACGGTGAAGGATGATTCTAGGGTTGACTAAAGGAAATTCTAGATAGCTTAAAGTAGGGCATGCTACCTGGACCTATGCGAAACAACATATTTATGTAGATAGCTGGATTAATAGAAAGACTCTGGAACTATCGAACTGCAATCAATTTTTCCGTCTCGAATCTTCAATCCTTACGCGAAATCGCACGTCCCAATAAACAGCACGGGATAGGACTAGTACAGGGGACTGAGAGCAACTTGTTACAGATAGACCTCTTCGAAGAACGACTAAAGATGCTAGGTACCATAAAAAATAATGACAATCGCTACGCAGCACATAACGAGAAAAAAGTTGACGGCCCAACACACGTGGGAAATTTTGCTTTTCCCGATAAATATATGTTCGATCCGAATATTTGGGATAAGGATTATGTTCGCAAGTGCGTAGGAACAAGGACAGATAAATCATGTTCCGCAACGCCAAAAAAATCTGCAGGATAATCATGCAAATAATATGTCCCATTGAAGGAAAAAAAACAGCCGCCATCGAGCGCTTACAAAGCGTAGGGGTTGACGGACCGGACAGTGAGGCATCTGTAAGAAGGAAGGGATCCAGCGTTAGTTTTGGGACAAGGATTTGTAGAAATTGAAGGATAAGAAACGTACGGTGGGCTCTTGCTCAGGTCTGTCTTCAAGATGATAGGAATGCGAGACATCTCGGTAACATCCTGGATGAACATTCCATCCTCTTCTCGCAACTTGAAAAGCTTCAAATACTTCTCCTTGTTGGTCAACTGATTCTCAGGGGCATCGCTGGGGCCCGAAGCAATCTTGGGGTCCGAACGAGTACGGTGTGGTCCCTGGGAGTGGTGGCCGTTGCGGGTAGGAGATGGGGGCATGCTCTGGGTTGAGCGGTCAACTGAGTTGAGAGAGACACCGGCTGTGAGTTCAGTCACCTCATCCAAATCCACATCTTCATCGTCATCGAAGAGAGCATCGACGGCGTCATGGGACATAGTACCGGTTTCGGTCTGCTTGCGCATGGCTTCGTCCTGTTCACGGGCACGTTCTCTGGCAGCCTCTGCTTCACGAGCCGCAGCAGCGGCCTGGGCAGCACGAGAGTTGCCATTCTTGGGGCGCTCATCCTCAGGGATATAGGCAGACGATGGAACGCCCTTCTCCCAGTAGAGTTCGAGAACGCGGTTTTCCTTGCGGAACTCAGCCTTCTTCAATGGCAACTGATCGCAGTGCACGCGCTTCTCAAAGCCATATTCGGGAATAAGAACGTCAAATGCGGATTCGTAAACACAGACGACGATACCCTCGCTGATGAGATCGCCACCAAGTTCGCGACTCTTCCGATCCATGCTTCGGCAGGCCTCGATGTGGACGCTCTGCTCTTGCGCATTGTGAGCCGAGTCCTTCTTGTTGTTGCAGAGGTCAGCAGTTTTCGTCAAGGACTCCACATCTTCAGTGAATTCAATAGCGCCCTCTGAGAGGATGGACTCGAGCTGACGGTGCACGATGATGTCGGCATAGCGCCGTGAGGGGTTAGTGAAGTGGGTGTACACAGGCACATTAAATGTGTAGTGTTGACGCTTATCATCTGCAGGACCAGGCCCAACGAAATACTTGGCACGCTGCATGGCCTTGGAAAGCAATGTCTCCATACCCTGGCGGATATCGACGTCTTGCACCTTGCAGAGTGAGCTTTGCAAGCTGCCGCTGCTGGAGGCGTCAATATCGTAACCAAGACGGTTCATTCTCTCATCAAAGAGAGTAAGGCGACGAGGGTTGGGAGAAGGCTGACGGCGAAGGAATGCCTTTTCGGGCATAGCACCGGCAATCTTACGGGCAACGAAATAGTTGGCCTGGCGGCTGAGTTCCTCAACAAGCTCATGAGCTGGGGAAGAATCAAATATGTTGTATTCAACTGGTATATTCTCGTCATCAAGCTGTTGAATGAGTCGCAGGCTTGGGACATTAGCCACACGGTTGCCGAATCGGGCACCACGGAACTTGTTGACCATAGTCTAGAGAAAAATCAGATTAGTTTAGTCAAGTAATAGGGGAAAAGGGGGGTGCGGAAAATAATCTTACGTTTAGTAATTGAATGCTGTCCGAAGTGATACCGGCAGCAGTCTTGTCTGATTTGCCGGTGACGACTGAGTTGACATCCTCATAGCTGAGACGGCCTGCACTCTTGATGACACCCTTGCCGATCCAAACATCATCATCGATGGCACCTGTTTCGGGGTTTGCGGTGAAAACAACGCTGACAGTCAGGCGGTCTGTTCCGGGAATAAGAGAGCAGAGCTCGTTAGAGACACGGGGAGGAAGCATGTTCATGAGTCGATCAACCAGGTAGACTGCAGTGCCGCGTTTCTTGGCCTCGCGGTCGACAAGAGAGTTGCCCTTGACAAAGTGGGCGATATCAGCAACGTGAACACCGATCTCAACCGTTCCATTGGTAAGCTTCTTCACATGGAAAGCATTTTCGAGAGCCTTAGTATTCTCTGGATCGACTGTGAAAATACTTTCTTCGCGGAAGTCACGGCGGGAGGCCAATGCGTCACTTTCGTTGGCAATGGACCAATCCTCAAAGCCAATGCTCTTGATCACGGCGTCGGAGAAATCGTCAGAACCAAAGTTGTTGTCACGGAGCAGAGCATCTGTTTCAACCCGAAGGTCACCCATCTCACCAAGCTGCTCAACAAGGGTACCGAAGGGGTGCAGGGAAGTGATGGGCCACCTCTTGATAGAAGCGACAAAGATGCGGTTTGCATAATCTTGGTGTTTCTCAACGAAGTCCCGCGGGGCCTGCTCGGTAGGAATGGCAATCAGAGGCACGCGCTTGTCAGTAGGTTTGAACCAGACGATCTTGGGTTTGTCCTGGTGACGATCATGCTGGGATCGGCCATGAGCGCCATCTCTGGCCTGTCTCTCGGCCTCCTGCTTCTCCTTGGTTGCCTGGCTGCTAGGTCGAAGGAGACCCAGGGTTCCAGAGAACATCTGACCAGCGATACGCTCAACAACAGCAACAACATGACCAGCGTACAATGGCTTCTGTTCATCACTTATCTCATCTTCTTCAACCAGGAGGAGACTCTGACCCTCAACCTCGACATCGTCGTTCTTCTTTTGGGTGGGGCGCTGACGAAGACTTCCACGACGGCGGATGCTTCCATCCGGTCCGACCTCTTGTCTGTCACCGTTGGAGTCAGACCGACCAAGCTTATCATTTCCAGCGGTGCTGTTGGAGCGGGCGTCGGTAATATCTTTGCGCTTCTTCTTTTCCTCCTTCTCTCTCTTCTGGGACCACACCTCATCAACGTCTAGGAGCTCGATCGCGACGAAATCGCCCTCCAAGGCACGATTACGATCCTTACTACCACATATGAAGATGTCGGCATCTAAATCGGTTGTGGTAACGTAGGCATCGGAGCGATTTTTCTTGTTAACTCGCAAGACACCTGCCACGAGCTGGCCATTGCTAATGAGGGCTGGCAAGTTAGCTTGAGGCAGATAGGGAGTGAAGAGAGTCTTCCGCTGCTGCTGCTGCTGTTGCTGTTGTTGCTGAACAGACAGTTGCGGTGGGGCGTGTTGGCTTGCAGAAAGGCCGGTCAAACCCTGGCCATTTTGCTGCTGCTGCTGGATAGCTTGAAGTTGCGCAAGCTGGAGCTGATTCAACTGTTGACCGCCAAAAATCTGAGGCGGTGCCATCATGACTTGGCCCTGGGGCAGCTGAATTAGCTGAGGCTGACCGGGATATTGGAATTGCCCGATGGAGCCCATCGACTGATTCATTGATCCACGTGAGCGGTGGCCGGGTTGGAAGCCGCTATTTTGCTGCTGACCAAAGGGCTTTTGCTGCTGGTCTTGTCCCTGGCTCTGGTTGTTTGGCTGGCGCCAGTTACCGTCAAAGTTCCTGGACGCGGATCGGCCATGACCGGACTGACTGCCACGGCGCTGGTTATCAAGCTGACCACTTTCACTGGCCTGGGGGAACTGGAAGCCACCTGCGCCACGACCAGATAGAGAGCCGCGGCTACCACCAATGGCCATAGACTGGCTGCGACCATGTCCACCAGCCCGAAGGTTACCAGCCCGTTGCATACCAAGCCCTTGCGGGGGTGCAGGAGAGGTGGTAGATCCAGGAGTATCATCCAATCCAGACTGGTTCTCAGATCCGGGGGCAGGAGCTGGGAATTGGAATCCAGAAGCTGTGCGCTTTTGCTGTGCGAGCTCGGCAGCCTTCTTAGCCTCAGGAAGGGCGAGGGAGTGTCTGCGTTGATGACCACCACCGGGTGGACCACCACGGCCGCGACCTTGATTGGAATTCTCGTTTCTCTGGTTGTTTTGACCCTGCTGGTTATTGAAGTCAGCATATCCGGAAGCGCCCGACGAAGGAGCAGGAGGTGGGCCCATTGCAAGACCAGGGAGGGCAGATTGGTTTCGGCGGTGAGAGTGTTGGTTGGGAGCATTTAACGGTACTCCGAGCTGTTGCTGCTGTTGAGGGAATTGGAAGGTGCCCACCTGAGGGGAAACACCACCCATACCACCACCGGCAGAGAACGAGTTGACTTGTTGACCCAGTTGATGAGGCTGGAGCAAGCCCATATTGACATATTGTTGGTGGGTAGCTGCAATTTGTTGTTGTTGCTGCTGGAGCAGCTCGATCTGTTGCTGAATAGCGAGTTGTTCCACTACACAAGACACACGAGTCAGTTTGGTTAATATTTAACAAGAGGGGTAAAATGTGACTTACTCATCAGAGGGGTCAGCTCAGATGGAGTTCTACGATGAGCAATGTGGAGCTTGCGCCCACCCGGGCCTGTACCCCCGGATTGGTTTTGTTGATCCATGATTCCTGATATTGGAGTATGGATGTATCACTGTAGAGTGCGAAATGACGGATTGTGGTCCGATGACGAGAGATGGGTATTGCCTCTAGAAGGCAATCAAGGCAGTCCACGAATCAAATCAAACGTAGTTGTTCGTATTTAAGTGGACGATAGTTTCTTGGTATTCTGAAGGAAAAGAAAGTGGATCAGTAATGGAGACGGTTGAGTTGAGGAAAGGAAAAAAAACCCAAGCAAAGGGTGAGAAGAACGATTTGAGGAGTGAATGAATGAGAGCGGGAGAGCGGGAGAACGGGGAGAGGCGAGGGGAGGGTCCAGAAGGAAAGAACAACGGTTCGCCGGGCTCTAGTGCGGGCGGAGAAGGCCAGGGGTTTTATGGACATCACGAGGTAGTAGGGTAGGCAACATGTAGGCAAAAGGCAATTTGGGCCATACAGGAGAACAAACACACAAACGAAACATTACACAATTCCAAAATTGTAACTCAATGAACTTGTAATATTTTTCTTACCTGCGAGAGACACTAATGACAACGTCCGAGCTCTGGCATTACAATATGACGTCCGTAATGTCCAGGGTGGGATGAAAACTGCCTGAAGACAGCAAAGCGTTGACAGTCACAGCAGGATCGGATAACGGAGGAGATTCAAGAGTCGAGTCAATTGAAAGCTCAATGTAGCTCAAACCACTCAAGTCAAGGATGGACTGGAAAGGGACGACGTTGGGACGATCCGGAATAGGGAGTTGGGAAGGATTGAGTTGGCAACTGAAGCTGGTGTACTTATAAGGCACAAAAGCGACAGAAGGGCATGAAAGAAGTGGGAAAGGAACCAGATATAGTATCCTTAATCGACTACCGAAATTATCGAGCCTAAATGAGCAATAAGAAAAGCTGAGGAAGCTCTACTCGTTGCAAATGAATGACCGTATTCTCCAGAAAACGGACAGCAGTGTGTTGCCTCAAAGAGAGTGACAACGAAGTGTGAATATAGGGAAGCAAAGAATAGGCGATGCAAGCATCGACAAATTCAACCCGAAGGAACGATGGGGGGAAGAGAGAGAGAGAGAGAGAGAGAGAGAGAGAGATGGGGAGATGAAAAGGGAGGAGGGGGAAAGGAGACGAGGTGATGATGGGATCCATACAAAGCCGACAGACATGTGGGGAGAGTGTACTGAAAATTTCAATACAGATGGTTAAATACACATATTAATATATTGGTTTAATACCGTCAAGAGTTGGTCACAATACGGAAGCGGAGGCGTCCATGGAATGATCTCCATGGATCCCGACCACCTCATCACGTATCCCCATACGTTTATATGAGTATCTCATCATTTATTCTTATATAGGAAGAAAGTAAATAGCTCAAGCTGTGACCAGCGTGGGGGAGACTACTAATGATCTACACAAACTCCCAGTGATTGGAGGTAATGAGTTTGGGGGGCTTTTAGGGCATTAAGCTAGCCAAGTACTATTCCGTACTAACACTCTGTTCTTAATCGGGCTTAGTGTTTCTTAGTGTATTAACTCCACGTCCTATTTTCACTTTCACCCTTTTTTCAATGCATTCTACTATTGCTTTCAACTAGATCCACCATCGGATCTTTGACCTATATTACTCGTTGATCATCTCAAGCTTTTAGATACCCTCGATCAGCTCAAGCCTTCCATGCCCAGCATGTGATATGTCCTTATAGGTGGATACAACCTACGGCGTACAGAATGTGGCTAAATGATTAAATCCATGCTGGAGATGCCTTGATACCCAGTCCTTTGCCACGAAGCGAACACCGGACTACCTACGTACCTAAGTAGACAGGGTTGCTCAATTTGAAACAGCAGGGAAGTACTCATTTTCGAGGGATCTGCACACTCAATGGCACCTCAGCTTCAAGTTAAAAGTACATATCTAGGTAGGTACGTGACCGACTATTTATTATTCCATGGTTTAATTGTGTGTATCTTTGAACATAACATACACCTTGGCAGCACTCTAAGCTGCGTCGAATAGGTAACAATTGAAGATTATTATACGAACTAGATCTAACTTCAAGCTTAGATTTCGGAGGTCCAGACTCATGGGTATGAATTGACTACTATAGAAAAAGCGGGTTGATATAAATATGGCATATTGTGATTAACTTGGTGATGAATAGAGCTATACAGCCCTTGGTTTCATAGTTCCAAGGTTTCGATCTCATAATACATAGGTATCAGGTAGAGAACATATTACAGGACCTCCATGTTATGATTTATAAGTATTTAGCTCTCAATGCAGTTTTTAGAACATTTATCATTCTTTGGTGTCCCTCTTTGTCTGGATTTGCTATTATATGACTTTTTGGCCTTGGGAGTCTTTCTAGAAGGTGAATGATCAACTTCGGGCCTTACTTCCAAAGACTACCGACTTAGCTGTGGATCCTGAATTGCAAATCCTTGAATGCAAAGATACACCGACTATTTGGGTTGAAGGTCGTTCAAGGCCACCAATACTTGCCACATCAGATTAGCTTGGCTATCCCTCTATTCTTCGTACGTCAACTAGACACCTTGAATTTATGCTCCAGGTAAAATATATTTTACAAGTAGTTTCAAGTTCTATAGACATCTTGAGGCCCATTCATAGTTTCTTTATATTAGCCAGAATAACCATGAAAGGTGGTATGCCGACCAAGTATGGGAGAAATAGCTGTCATGTGACCGAGTAGTATTAAAACCACTACATGTACAGGTATTTAAGTGTACGGTTAGATAAACGGAGCGCTTAAGCGTAATTCAATGCAGAGATGTACTCGATAAGTGGAAAAAATCTTCGTTGGATCAGAATCAGCTCTTTTATCGGAATCGTCTATAGCCGACACTTATGTTTGATGCTTCCGAGACTTGAGACTTGAGTAGTGACTACTTAGTTAAAGTATCAAAGTTCAATAGACCAAAGGAAAAAAAAAGGCAAAAATAAGTTGGAATAGTGGTATTGCTGAGTCATGTAATTTATCATCCAAGGACGACGATAGCATTTCCGCGTTTAAATTCCTCAGATCATTGGCGTCATCCAAATCCAAATATCGGATAATGTTTTAGCTACTACCTTTTCCTATCATACGTCTTCCATCTTCTCTCTTACTCCCAGATCGGCCTAGAACATTCACTACTCCGAGTTCCACTTTTGGATCATGGATTGACCGCATTGGGTCTTTTATTTTTGTCCATTTCTTGCCCTTATTTTCTTTCAACCATTTAATCATCCAATTTCTTTTACAGCCACTTTTCCATCCTTGACTTGCGAGCTTTTTATCTCACCCTCGATACCCACAGCGTTCAACCCCTCCACTCTTCATAAAGCTCCCTCGAGTCTCGTTTTCAACTCTTCGAACAATCACCCTTCCATTCCATCTCTACTTCGCAGATTGGGACAAATTACTCATCATGACAATCCGACATATCCACCGTCCTCCTATGGACAGTCCGTCCAAACAGCTATTTCTCGAGCTCGCACGTGATCTTGAGCGCGTTCGTATCTTCGATGAGGACCTCAAGAAGGTCAAAGCATATGAGCGCAAGGCATACTATGACAACCTTGATCGTCTCGACGAGGAAAATGCACGTGCACATACTGCAGCTCTAGATGCAGTAGTCGCGCTTCACGACCAAGTCCGACACCAGGCAGAACAAGTCCTGGAAGAGCATAACCGAGTGGAAGAAGCAGAGCGTCAACGCAAGCAAGAGGCCGCCCGCAAAGAACAAGAGCGTATTGAGCGTGAGGAGGCCAAGAAGTTGCGACTCCAACAAGAAAAAGCTGCACGCATCGAAGCTGAGCGCAAGGCGAAGGAAGAAGCCGAAAAGAAAAAGGCTGAAGAGGCTGAACGAGTGCGGCTGGCCGCCCAACAAGCTAAGGAACAAGAAGCCCAAGAAGAGCGCGAGCGAGTAGAGGCCGAGAAACGTCAACAAGAGGAACAAGCTAAGAAGGCACAACAAGAAGCTCAGCAAAAGGCGCAGGAACAACAGCAACTCGCCCAGAAAAAGCAGCAACTCGCTGATGAGAAACTACGTGCTGAAAATCAGAAAGAAGTTGGCGGTACTCGCTTGTCAAATGACGAGATACGAGCACAAGAGCGATATGTTCAACTGCACAAAGATTTGAAAGCCATGCGTGCCAACATGGACAGTCTCGGAAAGCAGAACCCAGATTTCAAAAAATTCAAGGGTGATTTGCGCCGTTCTATCACCAAGTTTGTTGGTCAACTTCGAGAGGGTAAGGGTGCAAACAAAGTTCAGGTAAGCTTTTGATTTAACTCCAGTGATTATGGCTGCTGCATGACTGACCTGGCTCGCTACTTCAGACAGCGGAAATTCGATCGCTACTTGAGAAAGCCTGCAAGTTTTCAGAGCCCAGCCTAGACATTCGTCCTTTCATCGCGTTCCCACCCGAAGAAATTGCAAACACAGAGAACAGGGTTCCCGCTCTCCTTATATTTGGTCTGAATATTCTTGCCAAATGCATCATCAATGCTCTTCTTAACGAGGCTAGCATCAATCCTTTGCACGCTGAGCCTGTCGGCGTCCTTGCAGCCCAGATCTTCTCCACAGATACATTCATCTACAAGGGTATTCCCATGTCAGATATTCTATGGGCAAAGTATCGAGTGGTGTGCCCTGCTCTTTGGGGTTTCACCGGCAGTGACAAGACAGCGGCAGGTCGACGTGCTCTCGGTTGGTGGCGTGAGACACCAGATGGCCCGTTTGTCAAGGAGCAAACTCATGTGGATCGAATGACTGCTTTAGGTGCTGGATTCTCAGCATTGACACTTCGTGACTTTGGCAAAACCACACGCCAAAACCCCTTCCCCAATCATATTTTCTGGGTGTCCCTTCAAAAACTGCTGTCGATTCCCACCTCTGAGTTGCAGGAGACTCACATTATTCTCCTGCACTCAATGCTCCACCACTCAAGCGAGAGAGTCCTCAGCTTTTTCGGTCAGTTTGGTCTGGCCATTCTTCGCAAGGCCATCGTGGACTTGCCTCGAGAGGTGGAGCAGAAGTCCATGCCATTAGGACAGTTGAAGCTCCTACGAGAGGTTTATTTGAAGGAGAAGAACATTTTGCTGTAATAGTACAGCACAATTTAGTTCAGAGCTGCGATTCCCATCTTCCAATAAAGAATTTTAGGTATATAATGTAATCCACAAAACCCTAGATCCACAGTCACTATAGCCTTGCATTATTCTTAGCACTTCAATTGCTTTCATACCTAGGTCACTAACATGTAATATTTCACATGAATAAGGTTCGAATTTCAAGGTTGAAAGCCAAAATAAACTAATAGTATGCCTAGCCAGTCTAGCAAGATCAATACCAAATAAAACCTTTGAATTGAATCAAACTTTCCAAGGTTGGAAGCATTCACCTAGGTAGATGTCAGTGAATGTATTTTTTTGGAGTCGCCTGGGGTACAAATACTCCATCCACAGCTTTCACTATCCTCTCTCATTCCTCCTCCTATATCCAACTGGGATGGACCTGCCGATCTAGGTAGACATATAGATCAATATGTTCATTTGTCCAGATCTGTCTGACTCCATATCCACGAACTGATTAGGTGCCGTAGATTCCTACCTCTTAACTACAGGAGACTCGCATAAATCTCCTGAATTCAATACTCCACCTCTCAAGCGAGAGATACCTGAATCAGATTGGTCTGGTACTTCTCCGCAAGGTCATCATGGACTTGCCTCGGGTGTTGGGGCAGAAGTTGATGCCATTGGGGCGACAGAAACTCCCAACAGTCTGCCAAAAAGGCATTAGCGTCGTTGTCATGTCCTTGGAAAGTCAACGGTTACAACTACTGCCATTACTCAGTCACAGCCAACGAGACCGCCGCAGCCGTCATTGCTTCTATCACCGAGTCCATTGCATCTAAAAGACTCGGGCGAATACAATACTGGAAATTTTGATATTGGAGAGGCCAATTCATAATTTCACTATCAATTTGAACCCCAGCAAAATGAGCTGGACATTGTGCATGTGCCAGGTCGCAGTGATATTGTGGCGGATGGCCTTTCTTGTATCATCCACCACGACCACCGGTTATACCCATAGTGCCGCTCGTTCGTTCCATCGAGGCTGGCAATGCAGAGCACTACCCTCTCTCACCGTATGAATCCTAATACCTAACTACCTGCCAAATCGCCGATAGAAAGGTCTTCAAGAGCGCGCTCATCCAGACGGGATTTTTCAGGTTGGAATAATTGGTGGTGTACGGCATCGGCCACACCTATTCATTGGTTCAAGAAGAAGCGTTTCACAGAAGAAGAACAGAAGAGTGAGGCCAAGAAGAATGCGCTCAAGTGGTGATGTTTTGACGACTAAAAATTTGGATTTATAATGGCGGAGAACCGAACATGCATTGGACCGTTTGCCTTGATTTTTCCTCTCCAGTAACTGCTGAGCAACTGACAGAAAATTTGGAACTGATGTTGATTCCAAAAGACTAATCCTATTGGCCTATACACAGACTCAAGGATGTGTATCTGAAAGATATAAATATCTTGCTGGGAATGCAAGGAGACTCATATCAAACAGAAGTGAATCGAAGCAAGTGCCCAAATATGAATCAGCTGGACCTCGAAATTGTCACTAGAATAGTACGATAAAGTCCGGCTGGGCCTAAATGACAAGTCCTCAGGTTTCTAAGCTTCCAATTTCTCAACAGAAGCTAATTGAAAATTGACTCAATCCTACTACAGTTGGTGCAGACCGAAATGGTATCTAGAGGACTATTTCTTCAAGACGAAACCAAACAGCGAGGTTTCAGTTAAAAGCTTGCAAATAGAAAGGGTATTTAACGAAAAAATATCAAGGCAGGTGATTTCTACCTGAACTAGACCTCGAATTTCTTTACACATGACCTTATTCTAGGAGATCCACGGGTATTCACATACCTATTTCAAGGTTTCCACTGCGAGGAAGGAGATATGGTACTGAAATTTCTGTGGAACAAGCTGAATCGCTAGCAACAGATTTTGAGTTGTCCTCCCTCCATTGCCGACTAAAGCTTTTTCCGAGGGTTATTTAGTGTGTGGTAGACACAGGAAGATCAGTATATTCCTTCGGGATATGTTCGCAATGGGCAATTTGATCCCAGTACCCCCCTCCTAAATGAAATTGATATCCCACGCTTCTACTCGTACTTGAACAGCAGCACCTCAACTTCAGTTTTCTCAGTGATCCTTTCTTCTTAAGAGCTGTGCGTGTGGCTAGAGTGGCCGCTGGAACTCCGACACCAGCTCAGCAATTTTCGAAGATGATGAACATCTGACCACAAAGGCAAAGCATTTGATGGATATGCTAGGGAAAATTGCCCTCTACATCGATATTTTTCTCTATTCGTCAGCTTTTCTCTTTGAACACGTGTACTGGGTGGAATCTCGTCTCTCCAAACTCCACCACACGACATGAGAAATCCTAGAGCAGTGACCATTCCTTCTCCCTCGCATTGAGTCCTTGCTGGGCAAATTATCCCGTCTGCATGATGAAATGAATAAAATTCTCTCGCGACAAGCCAAAACAGAAGAACCCAGACACCACTTTCTGTCAGCCATTCGGCCTCACATCGAACCAATCCCTAACAACGAAGGAGAAGCGATATCCATGATTCATCCTTGCTATATGATGCGATCCTCGATATTAGATCCTCGGCATTTTGTACTCAACATTGTTAGAAACTTCTTAAGAGGAAATCGATTTAGATATGGTGCAAGTGTGTGACAGTTAAGAATTTTCTTACCCAATTATGTCCCTCTCATCTTCTTTCTACCTTGTCATTACCTTGTTATTGCCTCGTTGTTGCCTCGCATTTGCGTTATGGTTGAGCTGATGCTTTATAGTTGTGTTTTCGGGAATCAATGTTGATATATTGGGATTTATATAGATCCACTTGCATGTATTTGAGCTTCATGGGTTGGGAATTCAATTTTGAAAACAGGTTTTTTGAATCTTCAATGATTACTCTTAATTAGCCCCAGCATTGTCGATAAGCATGTCGTTATGAAGTATAACTACTTTAACGACCTAATAAGTCCTAGCAGTCGGTATTTACTCACCACTGGAAAAAGACTATGCTGCATAAGTCTAAATTTGGGCCCTATTTATGGACGTTCATTTACTTCCAGTAGACAATACAATGTCAGCCGGGTCTTAAAAGTAGGTGATGTGTTAAAGCACCATGGACAGGAAAGGAGATATCATTTGAAAGTCTCGGTCTAATAGTACTAATGAATAAATGAGAAACCTATTTCATAAAAAGATGATCAGTTTCTACCCACAAAAAGTCTAGCTGTAACTATAGTTAAATTCCAACTTTTATTCTGATTTCAGCATCCAGAATCACATATCAATTCCTTGTGCGATACTTTTAATTGGCAGACATTTATAGTCGCATGAACCTACAGAAAGCTGGTGCTTCAAAACTCCTCCACTGGCAGTCTAAAGCATTTAAGCTAATTCTCTTCGTTGAATACGCATGATACGGCCCTAGATTGAAGGTCATGAGTCGGAGATTACCGCCGATGGCTAAATAGTGTTCTTTATGCTCTCACGTATCCGAGTACTTGCACATACTAGTCAATGGCTATAGCCTATAGGTGCTTTGGTACCCTCTATATGATGGATGAAGCTCTACCACACATCCATAAATAATAAGGCTCATTTTCTGTTTCTCGATCCTTCCTGATATTATCATACATTAATTATAATTTCAGACAATGGCATGGAACATAGAAGAACTGGAAGTTCTGGATTAATGTGGGGCCTTCCGGAATTTGAGCATTACTATTGGTTCGCAAATACTTGCCCTCTATTACTAACTATATAATTGTCATCAAGTAACTATCTTGGGTGCTCAATATTGCTCTATAAGACTATAAATATTCGTCAGTCGCCGAGTTTCCTAGTTCTAAGCTAATTAACTCATTCACTGAGCATTGTTTCTATCGATATCTTGGTATTGAAACCAACTCCATCGCACCACGACTTGACCATGCCTTCCTATCTTGTTACTGGCGCTAGCCGCGGTCTTGGAGTTAGTGGACTTGCTCTAATACTCTTTTATGATACTAACATGATTAGTTCGAATTCGTCCGCCATCTTTCTCAAAACCCAAATAACACAGTGATCGGACTAGTTCGTGATAAAGCTGCAGCGGACGCCAAAGCCAAGTCCGAGGGCGTGACTGTCTATATGGTTGAAGCCCAATACACTGATCTTTTATCCTTGAAGGTCGGGATCTACTTTTGGTTCCATATTTTGAGTTTTTAGGGCTGACCAACTTCAAGAATGCTGCAGAATCTGTCAAAAGTATTACCGGGAGAGGTCTAGACTACTTGATCCACAACGCCGCTGTTCTTTCGCACATAAGTGCTCTCAAAACCTTTGGTGATTTGTAAGACATATGACCCTCAACAAACAAAATGATGAAACACTGATAAGAAAAAGTGATGATGACTTCGAGACTTTGGAAAAGGACCTCTTGGAATCCCTAAATGTCAACCTTCTCGGATATATCAAAACGGTGCAAGCCTTTATTCCTCTCATCCGAGAGGGCAAAAAAAAAAAGTTATCGCCCTTTCTACCGGCATGGCGGATATTGATTTCATCAACAATACCCAAATTGCTGTTGCTAGCTCCTACTCTATAAGCAAGGCTGCTCTCAATGTGGCCGTTGCCAAATACAACGCCCTGTATAACCAGGACGGAATCCTTTTCCTCGCCATCAGCCCTGGAGTTGTGTCGACCGAGCGAAGTAGAGGTGCGTTAAATGAGGACCGAATATGGTAGAACAACGATACTAATCTCATTTTCTGACCACAGAGACGAACCCAGAGGATGCTGAAAAGCTTCAAGCGTTAGCGAGCAAGTTTGTTGCGTATGCACCGCACTTCAGTGGACCTATAAATCCTGAAGAATCCGTCTCTGCATTTCTTTCTGTGGTTGATAAACTCTCCGTAGCTAATGGGGACGGTGGTGCTTTTATCTCGCATCTGGGAAATAAGCAATGGGTGTAAGGAATCAAAGGTCTTTCTGCCAAATTGTTTACGCAATGATGTCCAATCAACTTGGCATCACGCTATTAAAGGCAGCACGACGAGGTGTCTGTCAGAAGCATCAACACATCCTATTATAATATAGGATCATAAGGGCTATTAATTATGTACTTAGTTATGTTCTAGACAGTTCAAGGCAACAAATGAGTCAAATGACATGAATTTTACAACATTATTACCACAGTCACTGAATTTTGAATGACTTATTCCTCACTTCTACACCACACCACCTTACCCAATCACTGAATCCTCCCAGGAGCGCCAGGTTTAAATAGATACCGGTATCATTGTTATTCCGCAGTGTTTACTTCCCACCATATCAACAAGTCATCACTCTTACTGGAACCAGATCATGACTCGGATAAAGACACTGAATCAACTGATAATCACAGCATCGCAGACCACCACTCCCTCCTCACAATCGAGTAAGAACGGCATTTACAGCAAGTTCAATGATATCTAGGAAGAACCTGACGAAAGAGGTCAAGAATTCATATTTAGCCTGGCACACCATCTGATACTGAGCGATATCTCATGATCAGCTGTATGCCTCTGCAGGAGACACTAGTTTGAGACTTGAGAGGGGAAGGTGCAGTGTGGGGTGAACCCTACGGGCGATCCCCCATCCCATCAGCTTCAGCGTGATGGACATTTCTTTTATACCCTTCGCTTATACTATTTCGGTCTTCCCTCGACGCCGATACTAGTTCTGCCTGCTGATCTGACTATGGCGGCCAAAACTCCAGTGATAAAGTAAGCCAAAGTAAGCCGATCATTATTCAACTTGCAGTCGTGAATCGCCCTACTGTGGGTGCATCAAGAACCCTCATTTTCAAGGACTAACCACGACAGTGATCAGAAATAAGTGTGCAGCTGCTTCACTCGTCGTTGAGATATCGAGAATGTATTCTACAGAAGGTGGGGTTCCCCTGTGCTATTTATGTGGTAACACATGTGGAGGTCACCTAATCAGGGGGTTTCATGCGGATTGTGGCTCTGGAGTTGACATATCCAGTAAATCTGGGACTGGGCTACCTGGGTGATGGCGGCCAGAAACGTTATGTAACTCCAAAACACCTACATGTAATGACCAGCACCATTACACAGCCACCATATCATCTCAGTCATCGTTCGAATATCTGACCATGACACAGTGAAAGTGAGGTTTCTCAAGACAAACCAGTAATATCTTCCTTTCTATAAAGTTCCTGCGTGTGGCCACCTTTGAAGATCTGCAGGGAGGAGCGTCCAGACCTGAGTGAACCGCGAAAGTGTCATCGCAGGGAATACCCATAGTATCATAGTATAGGATCTGTTTGATCCAATCAACTGAGTCAGCCTTGCCACTTCTCCAATAATCTCCACAACCTCCAATAATCCGATGGTTCAACTCGATCTAGACAACCAATGTGACATCACCACTCTTTCTGGTAGGGATCTTGGCGCATGAAGGTCTCGATCATGGAGTGGAGACGACATAAAAACTCGAGCACTCTGTAGATCCATTACAATGTAATGCAGAAGTAGAAACGGGAAGTGGAGAAGACCCTGAGAAGGAATTGGATCAATCGATGGGGCTAAAATAAGTAGAATTGGAGCTTAGGATTGGTTGATACACCCCCTGTGGACTCAGGGACCAACCCCGCCTAATTTGATCCCTGTTTATGTCGATTGCCTTCAGGCGTTTTCTCTCTTTCTCTTCTCCAAGACGTTGTTTTCAAAATCCACTCTTTTTAATAACAACTCCCCATCACTCTCTTCGATTTTCTGTTTTCTTTTTTGGACTCAGCCTCACCTTCCTTTTTTTATTATTTTTTCTCTCTTTCTCTTTTTCTCTTTTTGTTCCCCTTTCCCATCGATCCGCTGTTCAGAATGCGTGTTTCTGGATTGCTCCCTTTCATCCTGGCCGCTGTCCCGGCAGTGGTCTCAGCCCGTGGTACTCTGGGCTTTTCTCTCGGTGACAAGAACGCCGATGGAACCTGCAAGTCTACTAGTGACTACGAGGCCGACTTCGACGACCTGAAGGACCTGGCTACCCTCGTCCGCACTTACTCTGGCACCGAATGTGATACTCCTCAGAACATCATTCCCGCCGCTAAGAAGAAGGGTTTCAAGGTTGTGTTGGGTATCTGGTGATTAACCTTCCTCCTCATCATTTTGAATACATCTTAACCCCGGCTTTACAGGGTTGGTGCACAGGACAAGAGCGATATGGGAACCAACGACGCGTCCTTCCAGAAGGACTTTGCCGCTCTCCAGAAGGCCATTCCAGGCAATGAGGATGTTGTCGAGGCTATCACGGTCGGCTCTGAGACCCTTTACCGCGGCGACTTGACTGGTCCTCAGCTACACAACTACATCGGTGTTGTCGCCAACAAGTTCCCTACCGTTACTGTCGGTACCGCCGATAGCTGGAACAAGTTTGCCGACGGAACCGCTGATACCCTGTTCACTACTAACACCAAGGCCAACCCGCTTGTCAAGTATGTGCTCGCCAACGCCTTTGCCTACTGGCAGGGTACCGCGGCCGATGAGGCCCACAAGACCTACTTTAGCGACATGTCCGGTGCTATTGAACACATCCAGAAGGTTGCTGGTGACAACGCTGACAAAATCCGTATTATCACCGGCGAGACCGGCTGGCCTACTGGTGAGTTATAGATCTTCACTAGTGCTTTTTATACCTCTCGATCTATTCACTGACACATTCCTTCTAGATGGTGGCTCCGACTACGAGTCTGCCCTTGCTGGTACCAAAAATGCCGAGACATTCTGGAAGAAGGGCATCTGTGGCATGCTTGCCTGGGGCACCGATCTTTTCTACTTTGAGGCCTACGATGAGTCCTGGAAGCCTGACAGCGTTGGTGACAATGGCAAGGCTATGGATGAGAAGCACTGGGGTTTGCGCACTGCATCCCGCCAGAGCAAGTTCGACACTTCGTGCCCTCACTAAATCTGTTCTCCTACGGTTGACTCGCCGTTGGACGAGTAGTAGAATTGTCATATCTTCAAATTGTATTTTATTTTTTATTGATCCCGGGTCTTACTTACAGCTAGCTGGGGAATTATATTTTTGACCAGTCTTCAATGTCATTGCTAATGCGTATATGGAGAATTATATAGAATCTGATGTAAGGACTTGGGAATGATGGTAAGGGTCTGGACCCGTCCGATGTAAACAAAAGAACTAAAGTACGTAATCTAACGAATAGAAAAAGCAAAGACAAGTAATTTTGTCTCATTTTATAACCTGGTACTATGTACATAAGTACCTCGAAGAATCTGTGAACTAAAACCCCTAGTCAGTTAGCTACTCAATCAACTGAGATAGTAGTGGAGAGTAGGACTCAAGAACCATGGTTCATATACCCCTGAATCCAATACCTACGAACCACATTAATACCTAGGTAAGCTAAGCATTGTTTATTATGTAAAATTCAACCTTTTCAGATGTAAAGTAGAAATCTTCTACATGTGAAACGGTTAGACCAGCAAGGGGAATAAGTTGTAATGTGGCGGTCAAGCCAATTACTCCTCCGTATCTAGTGTAGTCAAGCTTACGAAGTACACAGTAGACACGCTAATGGCAATGGTTGAGTTCAAAGGTGGACTCAGTACTGAATACATTGATTTTTACTAAAGTTCACAGCCATTAAGGAGGTACCGAGTACATATGGGTCTATCCGTGGTGACATAACCTCAACTTTTTCCCCTTTCCGCGTCCTTGCGTCTTTTGATACTTTGAACTCCAACATTGTGATCCCTCTCTCTCTCTCTCTTTTCTTTTCTTTTTCTTTCTTTTTGCTTGAGCTCTCGTACTTCTGAGGAGTGAATAGCATATATTAATTCTAGATAAATTAAAGAGAAGGGAAGATCCAGAAACACGTCTCCCCCCTATCGCCAATCAAAGCTCCTCTGCCAGGTGGTCTTCAATTCCTGGATTTTGGATTTCCATGCGTCAACATTCTGGACATTAAACGGAGCGGCAAGCAAGTGCTTGCTGCAGGAGTCGACACGGCAGGTGTGTGAATTGATTCAAGTGAATCCTTTTCTTTCTCTCTTCCTTCTTTGGTTCGTGTTCGTGTTCGTGTTGATAATTGGGCCTCCTTAAACGGTGTCTGCCGCCATTCACTCGAAGTCGAAGTCGCCTGCTAAACCACCTGAATCATCTGCTAATCATCTCATTTCTAATGGACGATCAGGCCTAGATCTCTCCTTATCTTCTGCCATTTCAGCGTCTGTTCCTTCTTTATCTCCGAACGACGTGCGCATCTTGCATCACCAATCGCGCTTGGCTCCCTCTTTACTATTGTCTTCTCCACCCGGAGATTCAAGTCCATCCGACTCAGCTTCCCCGAAACAATCCCCACGAAGCATTGCTCTCGAACCCCCACCACTTCCATTCCTCCTGAACTACCGCGGGCAAGGGGAAACCCGTGCATCGTCACCAGAAAACCGGAGGCCAGAAAGCAGCGTCTACTACACAACTACCTGGGGTTCTCCGTATGCAGCTCGCAGTTCTCGACGTTTGTCGTTAACCCTTAGTCAATACGCCGGTTTCGATCAACCTTCAGGGGAAAGCTCACCAGACTTGTCAGAACTAAATCAACCTGAGTTCCGCAGAGCAAGTGTGGCCGTTAACTCGCACGATATCGTCGGCTATCGAGAAGGAGGGAAATTGACTGAACGAAAGTCTATTCGCGACTTCACACAGGATTGGATCGACCAGTACCTGTCTGGACAACCGAGAACTGAGCGCGGTAACTGGTTGAGCGACGACTCTGGAAGTGAGACGCCTTCGTTCACTACTGCTCTTAATCAACCCGCGGACGATCTATCGGATTGGCTTGGACTGGAGGACGACATTCGTGACGATAAGAGCGATATTTTGAAAACACCAAGACCATCTGATTTTGCGAGTCGGAGAGCTGAGAAGAAGCCTTCGCATAAACGCGCGGATACACTGCGTCAGGCGGATTTTTGGGGGTTTGCCTACGATAAAGAATCGCCTAAGAATATGTCGATTTCACAGGGGTCTTTCCCCGACCACGAGGTGATTCCCGCGGGTGAAAATCCATTTGCACCGGTTGAGGTTGAGAAACTTGTTTCGCCGACTGAGAAACCGCTGCCACTAGTTGAGACCGAGAAACCACTGCCACCAGCTGAGACCGAGAAACCACTGCCGCCAGCTGAGACCGAGAAACCGCTGCCACTTCCTCCAGCCGATGAGGCGGAAAATCTACAGAGTACAGAGGAACACGTGCCGCAAAGCCAGACCTCAAAAATGACTACAGCGATTGCCAAAACTCCGAGACGCCGGAAGAAGATGGCTTGTAAGGGCAAGGTATGCATTATTGACCTACCAGTGGATGATATCCGAGGCTCGGCTGAATCTCGATTGCGTCTCTTGACTCCTGAGGATGTTGAAGAACGAATGAGGGCATGGGAGGAAGAAGGATATGACGTTCGTGGATTCACTATTGGTTCAGAAGACGATCCCTCTCAATTGACAGAACTGGGAAGCCTGAGCCGTCCTTTGTTCCCTGATCCTTTTGAAGTGTACGAGGAGACGAAGGGCCAAAAAGCTTTCATTCGTTTTCCGGACAGAAGGGTCTGGGATGCTTATGTTCAAAATTTGCAAGAGGAGAAGCTTCGCGCCCTTGGCGTGTCTTTCGGCGACAATGAACCTGTGCCATCCATTTCCCCTGCCCCTGAGATGAGAAATCAACCTCAAATGCCATTTGGTCTAATTGGGTCACCACCTTTACCCACTGCATCAGCAGCAGGCAATCCCCTCGGACCAATTCACAATTTCTCCCCGGCCTTTGGCCAGTCAGCTGGAACCTTATCTGGTGGAATCGGGTCTCTGACATCGCCTGCCTCTCAATTCAGCGTTCAGACCCCATACCTGGGCGTCGATGGACATAACATGCCTAATGGAGGATTCCCCTTCCAGTATCAGCCCACACCCCCTGCCCAGGGCGCTATCACTCCCCAGAGTCTTATCAATCTGCGACAAGGGAACTCGTCTGTCGGTCCAGGAGGATTGTCCTACAATTCTATGCTGTCCCCTATATCACCATTACATGAGCAAACCTTCCACAATGGGTACTACGACATTACGCCTCATGACAAAAATATCCATGATGGCCCGCCATTCCCAACACCTCAGACTCCAGTCAATGGGGACCAATTCCACACTTCTAACATTGAGATCGCTCACCCAACACCCAGGGGCCACGGCCACAACCTGAGCGAAAACCTCCAGCGAGGTCTTGATCAGATGACACACCCCGAATACCATCTGGATAAGTCGACTGATCACCATTACAACGAAGGAGGTCACGATCCAAACCATAATGCGTTGAACGCCAACCTCTACAAGTCACACTGGACCGGTCAGGACCATCAAATTCAGGATCCCTCTCGTCGTCCTTCGCACGTATTCTCTCAAACCCCTCAACAATTCTTCCCGGAGCAGTATGGGCAACTTAATGCCCACGAGGGCTCTGACTTGGACACAAACCCTAGCATTTCTGGAACGCCTCACCCTCAGGTCATTCCAAACCAAGCACCGTGGCACGAGGCAGTCACAAGTGCCGGCTCCTACCAAGGCCATCACCCCAAGAACTCCACATCATCTCTCAACGTTGAAGCTAAAGAATTTGATCCGAGTACTTCCTTCGTACCCCAGCCCGGACCGTTTGGTAATGGATTCAAATTTGGTGGTGCGGCCCAACAAACGTATGGTTTTGCTCCAAATGCAGCGTCATTCCACAACCATTCAGCCCCCGAAAATCCACTGGCAGCCACTCATACCTCGCCGCAACCTAGCAGCTTCAAATTTTCTGCGGCGTCGTTTAATGTAGAGGCACCTGTCTTTAACCCCACTGGCAGTCTTGCCTCTAATATTAGCTCCGAGCAGCCATCGGCCAATAGGACCAAGATATTTGATGAAGTTTCTCTCTCTGATATTTCAAAACCTTCCAAGGCATCAAAGGCAATTCCTATTGTGCGACCGGATGAGATTGAGCTTAATCATCAGAAGGCTGGCGGCGAGGAAGTACGTGATGATAATGAACAAAATGGAAGAAGCAAGCGTAGTCGCGTTGGCCTCGGTCATGTTCAGGGCGAGGCACGCTACAGCATCTCGACCCACCCTCTGGGTGAGACCGGAAACGTCCAGGCGCCAAGTGCTCTCCATGCCGTCGCTGAAGGCAAGGAGAATGCTCTCCCCGAGCAAGATTACGTGGAACGCCGTGGTACACCGACGAGTGAGGCTGATACCTGGACTTTGTTCGATGTGGAGCACAAGCATGGGGGTAGATCAAGCACAACGTCACCATTGCAGAAACTTGCCGACTTCAACAAGAGAGGCAGTCTTGCTGCCATTGATACAAATCATGCCACCAAGGATAAAAGCACAATTCTATCGCCCACGGCTGCGCCCTTCGAGTTCAAAACGGCTGTCCCTGCTTTCGTGCCAACGACTGATCAAAAATCGGCTACCGAGCAAGTAGTAACCTCTCCATCCGTTCTTTCCCTCGGTGGCCTGATGGCGTCTCGATATGCTACTTTACCAGCGACGTCACCATCCCAGCAGCCTGCTCAAATGACTACACCGATGAAACTGCCGCAGTCAGCTACTCCCCAGCAAAAGCTAGAGTACTACCGCGAATCCGCCGAGGAGTCGCCGGATGACGACGAGCTCAATGCTATTATGGCGCAACTCAATGATGACTCCGACGTTGGTATCCAAAGAGATGCTCATACTACTCCCCTTCCCTCAAAGTTCGTCTCAGAGTCCGGTGGTGGTCCCACAAAGGAGAAGCCTTTCGGCCCTGCAGAACTCAGAAGCGAAGCTCCTAGCCCCAGCCCTGGTGGCGGTCATAAGTCATACAAGCTCACTATTCCTAATCTCGGCTCGGACATTGACATCCAGACCAATGCTACCTTCTCACCACATAAGAGCCTCATTACTCGTCTTCAGTCGCCGGTTCGCCAATTCATCAGTGAAAACAACCATGTTAGCGATTGGGACGATATGATCTCTTCCGGTGAGGATGAAAAGTTCCTCAACCGTAATCGCTTCTTCGATCGTCGGATCAATGACATCGTTGGTTCTGCAATTGATGATCGCTTTACCCCGATGGAGCGCGCTTTAGCTGTGATCCAGCAGTCTATCGCATCGATTGCCTCCGGGACAGCCAGTCGACGTGCTCTGCGCAGTACCTCTACTGAGATTGAGATGGAGGACAGTGATGCCGACGATGAAGATGATAATGAAGATGTGGAGGGATCTGTAAGAACTCGTTCGCCCCCTCATAAGCGGACACGGGACCGTAAGCTCGATATGCTGAAGGGCGTTGTTATGGAAGCTTTGGCCACACAAGCTCTACCTCAACGCAACGCTCATCACTCTAGCCACTCTGAAATGGCGCAGCTTAGGGAAAGTGTCCTTGAACTGCAGGCTCTTACCATCAAGAACCTTGCCCAAGACCCTGTCGGTGATATGCGTGAGATTCTAGAGCAGAGTTTGATGAAGCAGCTCGCCCATCAGACTGCTCAGCAGAGTCCACGTCTATCTGAAGCCGAAGAGATTGGTGCAGATAGCTTGATGTTACAGATTGATGGACTGAAGAGGATGTTGCGTCTGGCCGACGAGCGTGCCGACAACGAGTATAATGCTCGCCGGGACGTCCAGGACAACATGAATACCCTCCAGCATCTCTTGAAGGTTGCTGAGGAAGATGCCGCTCGCCATAGTGCTGCTGCCGAAGATGCTGAGTCACGTCTTCTCCATTTCAAAGAAGAAAAGATTCCTCACCTGGAGAAGATGCAGTTCCTTACCCAATCTCTAAGTGAAGAGGGTGAGACTCTCAAACTTACTATCGCCGAGCTTTCGGCTAAGAATATCGCACTCGAAGGAACATTGGACGAGTACCGGGTTTCGAGTGATAGCTTCCGTCGTCGACTGCAGGATAGCAAGGAGGAGAACAAGTCCCTTCATGAGACTGTTGATCACCTGAGAACTCGCATTGAGGACAGCATGGTGGCCCGACACAACCTGACTGAGAAGTTCGACCGTCTCCAAACTGATATGGAAACAGCCACTGCCGATATTATTCGCGATCAAGCCACTTGGCGCCAGAAGACGGAGGCGCAGAATGCCAAGTACAATGAGCTGAGTGCATCCCACGCTCGTGAAGTCGTTTTGCGCGGACAACTCGAGCAGGATGTCATTGCATTTGAGCAGCGCGAAAGGGAAGCTGCCAAGCTCAAGTTTGTGCATGAGCAAACACTGCAGGAGAATGTCAGATTGGAAGAGGTGATTGCGAACCTGCGTAGCGATAACCATGATCTCGAGCTGAAGTCCGCTCGCTTTGAACGGGAGTTCAATGAGGCTCGTGAGAGCAGTCGTATGGAGATCCAGCGTACTCGGAACTCCATGGAAGCTGATCTGGAGGCCTCTAACAGTCAAGTGAACTTTGTTCGTGCAGAGCTTGAGGCTCAGATCATGCGTCTTGAGAGCCAGTTGGACAATGCTCGCATGGATGCTGACACTTCACGCGAGCGCTTTGAGATGCTACTTGAGGACGCCAATGAATCTAAGATGACTGCTGTTGCTTTGGCCAAGGAGTCCCGGGATCTCGCACTGGAGGAGCAGCGTAAGACTCACGAGCGTGTCCTCAATGATCTCCGCGAACGCCACGCACGTGCCCTTCACAACACTTCTGAAGATCGCCAGCGTGGCGAGGCAAACATGGAGGAGCGGATGGCCATAACCAACGAGCGAGTGCAGCTCCTAACAGAGAAGCTGGAGATCGCGCAGTCCGCTGCCCGTGCTGCTGCTCAAGCCGCCCGCAGTGGCAAGACCGCTCCATCGGTGCCCACACATTCATCTGCACCTTCCATGTCCTTCAACCAGGGATCTGGACCAGACAAGATCTCCCCACAGGCTCTGCGTGAATCCATCTTTGTCCTCCAAGACCAACTCCAGCAGCGCGAGACTCGCATTGAGGAGCTTGAGCAAGAGGTTTCCACCTTGGACAAGGACGCACCAAAAAAGATCAAGGAACGCGACAGTGAGATTACCTGGCTTCGGGAGCTCCTCGGCGTTCGTATGGACGACCTGCAAGACATTATCAGGACACTTTCCCAGCCCACTTTCAACAAACACGCTGCCCGCGATGCTGCCATTCGCCTAAAGGCCAACCTCCAAATGCAGCAGCAAGAGCGAGACCGTGCCGTGGCCGGCCAAAGCTTCCCATCCATATCCGATCTCGCCGCATCACCGCGATCACTCCCCTTAGCAGCAGCCGCCGCTTGGGGTAACTGGCGCAAAGGCAGGGAGACCGCTAACCCGGCTTCAGACCAGACTCCCTCGAAACCAAGCAACACCAGCTCCTTCCTCTCAGGACTCCTAACACCCCCAAGTTCCCACGTCCGACAAAACGCGCCTAAACCTACTGCACCGGGGCGGTCTTTTGCTGAAACCAGGCCGTTGAGAGGAATCAACCAGCAAGTTCTTAACCCGCCCCAGACACCTCCGCTTATGCGCCGCTCAAGCTATGATCATGATGCCGAGCCCGGCAACTACGAGTACAACAACTTTACTCCTGATGATCTCGAGAGCACAGTTGACGGCATGGTATCTGCATCTCCTAAATCGTCTGATGAGGATGGCCCATTTGGCCCTGAGATACTCACTCGAGAAGAAGAGGAAGGAGAAGAGGAAGAGGAAGAGGAAGAGGGAGAGCTGTAGTCTCCCATGTAGTTCTTATCCCAAGTCTCTGTTACTATTTGCTTGATGTCTTACGTCGTATTGCGATGAAATCAGACCGGTCTTTCTATCCTGTTCTCACATCCCCCCGACTGACCCACCTTACACACTCTTTTTCCCGCCCTATACATATTTATCTCTATCTCCCTTCAACTTGATTTTTTTTGATGTTCTTTTGGACTTGATACCACCCCGTTCCTGACCTCCGCTAAAACTTTCCAGTCATTTTCGAAATGTACATTGAATATTATCGCATATTGATTCGACTCCTAATCAACTATTCTATCTTTCACATCTTTACTTTAACTTATTAATTGTTTAACACGTTCTTTTTCCTTCTCCAGAGTCTTCTACTTTCAATGCTGTGATATTCTAAAGGTTCAGCCATAGTGCATGGTATTATTAAAGTCAAAGTCAGGCTCTTTTTGTCAAGTCCATTGAATCCAACAATCCCAGAGACCGGGAGTGGATTCCACCACACTTCAATCATGACTTCTCCATTTGACTCAAATTATATCTCCCAGCTTGAGATACGCTTCCTACCCGTTTCGCCGCTTGTCATATCGTCGGCATCCTTGATGTTTAGCTGGTCACAGGACATCTCCTTTGGTGCTTTCTTACACCCATCCATACGTAACGACGTCGCCCACCCTAACGGCAAGTCCCTCCCACGATACCTGCCTGCTTTCATGGGTCTTAGTATCTGGGGCATTGGGATAACCTACCCCTCTGCCACTGTAATTTGTGTCCTCAATGGTTTAAGCCAACAGAGTTGGGAGGCTTGCTACCTGTACTTGACCGGTGTGCTCTTTAGTATCGCTCCCGACACCGCGTACAAACACTGTGAGTGAATATTCCAGCCTTTCTTTGAATATTTACTGTCACATTTATCACCGTCACGGAGGGTATTTCATGAGGCTAAGATGCCTCGCTGAGTTAGTAGTCAATATCGATCTCAGTAACTTCCGGGCCCACTTTATTCCGCTCGATCTGCCTCATAAGTTTCCGTTCTACACCGCTATTTCACGCAAGGATATACCGCCTTCCCCATTAAAAGTAAATAACCGCGTTGATATGAAACCAGTGGCTAGCTTTCACATTTTCTCTCTCCTTTTTTTTTTCTCTTTTCTCTTGTATCTATTGATCAACTCTGAGCCTTGATATACTAGAGAATCTGGCTAATAGCATGCTACGTAGAGTGGCTTCTGTGGTTAGAAACCACGGCTAGCAAACTAAGTATTAGAAGCATTGAGAATTGAGAAGTTTCTGCACGGCAGTATTTTTCTTGGCAGAAATGGGGTACTGGGGTCCAGGAACTTATGAGACAGCACTGTATCTTGTACATAGCAGGAAAGAAGAGCATTTATCCGATTTTGTTATTTACGTCAAGTCCTATATTTGGGACTGACTAGTCAGAAGGAGAATTGCTGGTTGGAACTTAAAGGGGTCAATAAAACTTCCAATATCCAACTGAAATTGATCTGGATATCTTCTTTCATACAGAAGTGGGTCTTAGTACAAGACGGCTTACTGGGAGATGCAAGGACCTAGCAAAGTCACACCACAACATACTCATCCGAAAATTCCCCTCCCTCATCTCCTCGGACTTGCGGCAACTCGAGTAATCAGAGCTCAGCTTCCAAGTCTTGATAATGTCTGATCCCAAGAAAAAATGCTCTGGGGCTGATTGCGAAAATGAAGCTGGAGCCTTGCAATGCCCAACATGTCTGAAGCTGGGCATCAAAGACAGTTACTTCTGCACGCAAGACTGCTTCAAGAGGAATTGGGTAGGCGATATCCATAGCGACAACTTTTCTAGCAGGAATCCTCATATTGACATTATTCAGATCACACACAAGGCGATTCACAAGACACAAAATGGTAATTACTTCATCCCGGTTGCGCGCTCCGGATTGAATGGGCTTTCCTGTCTAATAGTCAAATAGCAAGCGGACTTTACAACCCATTTCCGATATACCCATATACTGGATCTGTTAGACCAGTATACCCTCTCTCCCCGAGACGACCTGTCCCCAAATCAATCAAGCATCCTGACTGGGCCAAGACTGGAATTCCAAAAGGTGAGATGCGGTTGAGCAGATCAAAGTGGGATGTGTTAGATGCAAAGGGTCAGGAGGCTATGCGCAAGGTGTGCAGACTAGCTCGAGAGGTACTCGACATCACTGCCGCGGCGATGAAGCCCGGTGTGACCACAGATTATCTGGATGAAATCTGCCACAACGCTTGCGTAGAGAGAGAGGTGAGACCCTACAAAATGTGTTCAAGTTGTTTTTTTCTGCTAAAACGAGACATAGTCATATCCTTCTCCACTCAACTATAATCACTTTCCCAAGTCATTGTGCACCTCTCCGAATGAGGTTGTATGTCACGGCATCCCCGATCAGCGAATTCTTCTTGATGGAGACATCCTGAACCTTGACATATCTATATACCACGGTGGATATCATGCAGACGTGAACGAAACATACTACATTGGTGATAAAGCCAAAGCGGATACGGACTCGATCAGACTCATTGAAACGACGCGGGAAGCCTTAGACATGGCCATTGAGGTTGTCAAACCAGGAGTACCGATTAGAGAGTTTGGCAAGATTATTGAGAAGCATGCAGCCTTGAGGGGCCTTGTTGTTATCAAAACTTGGGGCGGTCATGGTATCAACTCAGAGTTCCACCCACCTCCTTGGATTCCTCACTACGCGAAGAACAAAGCTGTGGGAACATGTAAAGCCGGGATGACATTCACTATTGAACCTATTCTGGCTTTGGGTGGCAGCAAAGAAGTGTACTGGCCAGATGATTGGACTAACGTTACAGTTGACGGTAAACGAACAGCACAATTTGGTGCGTATAGACCGTCCAAATATCAATTTTAAGCTCAATTCACTAACTTGAAATTCGATAGAACACACCTTGCTTGTTACAGAAACAGGCGTTGAGGTTTTAACAGGGAGACTGGCCAATTCCCCTGGAGGGCCAATTCCCATACCAGAAACTGCGAACGCAGGTGGGGATAAAAATGGAAAAGTAGAGCAATCATGATGGGCTAGTTGAGGCTCGCGATAAAGGGGCTATCGATTGCGGCCATTCGTTTGCTTCATATCTTCATACCTTGTGCAATTGAAGCTGTGCACCTTGTTGCCATATCCATTTGCTACCGCTGTGTTTCATAATCGCTCAGTTCGATCAGAAGATTTTCAATACACATACGGGTGTTGATCAATTTTCATCGGTTCATAGATTTTAGATCTACAACAGGAGTCCATCCTCACGTTATACCCCCTTTTACCCACTTTGTATTGAAAGACTTCAAACCCAGTTGTATCAGCACTGACAAGGCTCCCCATCCAGTCTGCCGTACTATCTTTGCAACCGCTGACCTTCACCTCTCTTCTCTCCAGGGAGTTGGATAGAAATTTATATACCTGCTCTCATATCTACGATATTTTTGTGATAAATCTCTTATGAAAGATACCCACATGACCAGGGCTTGCTTCCGGCTGAAAGTAGTTTTTGATCGTCGTAAGAATGGATTTGAGGGGAAGAGTTGCAAATAAGATTGCCGCTTAGTGGAAGTGTAAGAATGCGCAGAGGGCTATCTTCCTAGGCAATATTGATCAGATTGGAACTCCTGCCCAGGTGGAAGAAATATTGGTACCTCAGGTAGAAGTACTTTGTATCAAGCTCACACAGCTATAACTTCAATTCCAACTGAACCTATCACTCTTAATAGACCCGTATCAGATAAAAGCGTCGATGTCATTCTCGTGCTACGTCTTCTAGCGTTAGGATATTGCAAGGTTACAAATCCTGGAATGTTCTCGGTCGAACTCGCTATATCTTAACTGTCCGCTCTCTACACATTTTCAGTAGAAAGATTCCCAGTTTCTTTTATCGGAAACTATCTGACAATGTTCAGATTGCTTATGAGGCTGTTGGGGAGCTGTCCCAAGCGTTACGGCATCTTTGCACGCTGAAAAGTGTAAAATGTCCTGCGTGGGCGGCTCCAATATCACTATCAATGTGGATTGCTACATTGCTGCTATAATCCTTTACTTGTTAATCTACTGACCGATCTCAGACGTGGGATCAAGCTGCTGACAGATACGCCCGAGGCGAAGGCGTTTGTGTCTTCTGCAGGCCTTACGAGATAGAGATCGAATCGACGCAATTCTTCGAGAAACATGTATCAACTCAGATGGCCGAACATAGGGAATTACATTACTTAGTTCTCAGGCTCAAGTCTCATGAAGGGTGAAGGAATCTGAATTTATAAATTTTTGTTAAATCTGCAGGTTGCGGAAGTTCGTATCCAGGCAGAGATTACCAGAGATTCTGCAGCTAAGTGGAGACCGCCATCAGATCTATCTTTGAAAAGCGCTTAAAGAAAAGTCAGATCTTCTTCATGAAGCCAATCGCAGAACCATACCTATGTGTATTACTTGATATGTCTCATTCGTAGTAATTTCAGGATACCCCCGCTAAAACAAGCTCGCAAGCCTTGCCAAGATTAGTTAAAACAATCCTCCCAATAGTTATCGATCTGCTTCCCGCGTGGAGAAGGTCTGAGCCGGGCTGTCAGTCAAATTACGTACTCCGTACCTAAAAGTTGAGCTGTAGCCTGCGTGTATTCAACCCACTCGACCATGAAAATCTACGATACGGTCATACCGCTTGTAGAACATTCAGTTTAAATACCAGGATCGCTTTACCTCAATTACGTAACTTGAAACAGGCTTCGCAACCAGACTTCAAGAGCACTCGAGATGCTATACCTAGAATTTCAGGAAACGGCCACTTTATGTATGAGGTTTGTACTCGTAACTACCTCCTAGGTAAGCAGTTGCCCAGGCAAGTCACTAAAAGTGCATGTCAGATTCTGGTTTAGCTTGCGTAAACAGTATGGAGTAATGATTGATCTACATAAAAGCTTGGAATACACCAATGAGCTTGCCATTAGAAGTAATATTGTACAAAATGGTCGTGAATCAGTGCTGGATGAGATGAAGCCTGAGTTGAAGCCTGTGGTTATTATTGATCTTCTCAACTATCAGTGGAACATGTTACCCAATACTGGAGGTGCAAAAAGATTCCAGCTCATGACTTGCTTGGTATCAAAGTTCTCGGCACACTCTGACAGAGCCCTTCCTGGTACCGAATGCTGCGTTTATCAGATTTGTCTTGGCTCCGAGACCACAAGATTGGATCAGAGATACTCTTTCCCGCTGCTGGCTATATAACCATGGCCACGGAAGCTGTTCGCCAGACGGCTTTTTGACAGTGACAAGTCAAGATAGAGATGCCCTGAAATCGAGAAGCTACAACTGTAGCCTTCGGGATATACAATTCCTTTGAAGGTTAGTGCTCGAGGGTGAAGTCGAAGTTCACGTCATGCTGTTATTAGTACACACAGCTTGGTTTTGGGCAACCCGACGTCTAGACAAGTGTGATAGAAGTCTATGAGAGATGCCGGATATTCCTATGGTCCTGACTTCCAGAAAATGACAGCAGTCGAGTGTATGGAGGGAAAATCAAGCTTGTGCTCTCTTATCTCTCTGCGGAACCTTGGTAGTTAAGGATTAGAACGTAAGCACCTAGGTATTCTAAGGCTCAGTTAAATATCAAGGTTGTACCTAAGATATGTCAGCTAGTGGTAAATAATATTTATCAAGGTAAAGTGCTTTGGTAAATTATTAAGAAAAAGAAGGTAGTTAGCCTTCTACAAAATATTTTAGTACATCCAGCGTGTAGATTGTAGCACTTCAGGACTAGAAGGAATTTGAGATTGATTCAACTGAACATCAAAATATTAATAAAAATTCAAATGATATATCATACCTTTCTATCAAGAGGAAATAAGTAGAATACCCGTAGGGAGTAATATCAAGCTCCCCGTTCCTGTTTACAGAGGTGGCCCGAGCGCCTCCACTTGACACCTTGCGCGTTAGCGGAGTCCAAGACTCTCTTCACCCCCCGATTCCCTTCCTCAGCCGCCAATTCCACCAAGCCAGCAGGAGTCTGGTTCAAATCAAAAATGCGCTTCTCCGCCGCTACTCTCATCGTATCCGCGCTGGGGTGGTTCTCTGCAGCCACCGCACACACCATTCAGCTTAAGTCTCACTCGCGGGAATGCTTCCACGAGGCCCTACACCGTGATGACTTGATGACGGTTACTTTCCAGGTTGGCGATCGGGAGTTTGGAGGCAGCGGGAACTTGGATATTGATTTCTGGGTATGTGTGCTTATGTTACGGGGGTTTCGTTCCCCTTTATATTATTGTCTGGTTTAGTTGCTCGGAGATACGGGTTGAGCTCAACTGGGCTTTTGTTTGGGATATCGAAAAACCCGGAACTGGACTGGACGGTGAATTTTTACAATATTTTGAATTTGTATCGCTGACTGTGATGTGAATGAACTAGGTCGAAGATCCCCTGAAGAACCGCCAATACTACAAGCAAGCAATCTCGAATGAGGACTACTCTTTCAATGCAGTCGCCGACGGAAAATACACCTACTGCTTCAGCAATGAAGGTTGGACTTCGAACTCGAAAGAAGTCTCGTTCAACGTCCACGGCATTGTCTACGTCCCTGAATCGGAGATGTCGCAGGACCCATTGGAAGTCGAAGGTAAGCTTGAGATTCTGATCCGAAAAGCGAGAAAGGCCGATATTGAAATTTAAAAAAATGGGGGCTGATTTTCTGGAACAATTGTAGTCCGCCGACTGTCTGAAGCTCTTGCACAGGTTAAGGACGAACAGGGATACATCGTTGTTCGCGAGCGCGTGCACCGAAACACAGCAGAGAGCACGAACGGCCGTGTGAAGTGGTGGAGTATCTTCCAGCTTTCAGTAGTTATTGGGGAGGGTGTTTTCCAGGTGTGGTGGCTGAAGCGATTCTTCGAGGTTAGTATCGTCAGTATCTTTGGATTGTCATGAAACTCACCTGTTGTATAGGTCAAGCGCGTCGTCTGAGTCTTGTTATGATCCTCCTCTTCCTTCCCTCTAGAATTACAGCGGACAAGAAAATATGATATGAGATGTACGGACAAATAGGGTCTAAATGTTGATGGAATTGCCCAACTGTTATATCGTTCCTCACATGGATCGAAGGGCGTTCCCGTATTTTCTTGCTTTCACTGATGGTGTCATGAAAACAATTCCTTTTCATAGTTTAATATAACCTGTACTACCAATATGCGTGGATCTATTCAGACGAGAAGTAGGTATACAAACTAGCATGACTGCTTCGGAGAGCGAGATAAGACTAAATTGGCCTACGCCCATAATGGAATGTAAACCCCGCAACCTCAAAATTTTTCCTATTTCTATTTTCAACCTTGGACTTTGATCCCGACTCTTCAAACGTAAGGGGAGTTCAAATTAATGAATGACATGGGATTATAAAGTGTACACGATCACACACGCCTTGCATATAAACCAACCTGCAATTAGCAATTTACGTATACGAGAAATCAACATGGATGCCACAAGAAACTATAGCAACAACCCCCTACACCCACTCGACAGTGGGGATCCGATGTTTAAAATCTGTTGGGGTAGGCAATCTTGCTCACATTGTCTGTCCGGCGATGTTGGCTGCAGCTGGTGTGCGATAGTAAGTGTACCCTATTTCAAGGATATTTTTGCATGTCTACTGGTACATTTTTCTTGATGATTTTCTTTTTACTTTATCTGCTACGGTTGCTTGTCTATGATCCAGCCACTACATTCCTTGCGCTTTTACGCGCCACTCAACTTTATATCCCCTTACATTCCCATCTCTAGAATGATGTTTCAAGCTCCCATCCACACTAGCCCTGATCATCAATGCAGGATGCGCCAGCCAACTGCTAACTTTGCAACTAGTCCTCCACATGCGTTCCAAACCCTTCGCGACTGTCCATCTTGTCTCCTCTCAGATCTAGTCAAATTTGTCCACTAGGAGCCAAGGAAAGATGGGAGCTACGCGCGTCACCCACAGGATGTAATGTGAGCACTTTGACAGTACTGGCATGTGTCGGTGCTGTTTTAGGCACGCTTGCTATCATCATTCTTGTATTTGCTGCTGTATGGATTGTGCGGGTGCTACGTCAGAGGTGGAAACGACTGAAATATGAAAATGTGGAGAGTGATCAAGAGCAGACATTCTACAGCAGAACTTTGGGTTTGATCTTCGGACAGAGGCAGGATCAAAATCCAGCTTCGGTTGATGAAGAGTTTCAGGGAGAGCATAGGCCATTGCTAGAATGAGTGGACTAATGAGTGGACTTCGATGTGAATGAATTATGAGAAATTTCCGGATCATACACAATTCAAGTTAAAAGAAGCAGCTGAAGAAAGGGCTAGAATATCAAAGTGTTCAGTAATAGATATCAAGTTTCATGTTACATGGATGAAATGGGCTAAAAAGGCAACAAAAAAAGGGTTCAAGTTCAGCAAGACAAAACATTTCCAAACAAAGCATCTGAAGCAGGTGGATAATGTCAAAATGAGATACACAGAGAATCGAAATTTTGAGAGAATATCCACGGGTTCATCAACAGACAGAGACGATCATGTCCCGTAGAACAGTACTCAGATCATCGCAAATATGCTTGGTTCGTGGGATAACATGGCCACTTCCATGGTCGAAAAGATCAGCTTGGTCGGGATCGCACAAATTATACAGTGCCATTGACGCATCAAGGTAAGGATCAGCCGCTCCTACAACATGAAGAGTAGGAATAGTGATGACGGCTTCGTCGCTGTCTTCATCTGCCAGAATGATCTCTCCAGTAACTGGGTCCTTTGGAGGCCAGCCGCACATGAGGACAGCACATTTCAGACGAGGGATTCTGCCATAAGCCTTCCTTCTTCTATCTTCTTCTAAAATTAGCGACCCGGCAATCTCTGCACCTTCAGAGTACCCGATAATGCCTTCAATGTCGCCTTCTCTGTCCAAAATATCGATCAATCGATCGACTACTGAGGCGATACTGGGGAAAGCAGGATTTCCTGCCTTGTCTATAGCCCATTGCATGGTGGCTTCTGGCGTCTCCCGCTTGGGAAAATCCCGCATGTTGAAAGAAAGGAGTTCGGGGTCATCTACCCGGCCAAACGTGAAGTTCGGAGGTGGACCGAAAAAGCCGGCATATTCAGGAGGACATGTCACTGGCGTGGTTCCTTGGGTGAAGAAGAACGTGGCATCTCCAGTTGATTGAAGTGATTCGCAAAGTGGACCTATACGCGCCACCATAATCGTTAGTGCTGCGCATATATAGACCGTTGCTGCAGGCTACTGCTTACCCATCTGCGATTGAAGAGCCTAGTAAGCACAATAAATGGTTAGAAAGATCTTCACACTTGCAACATAGAGCGTTGAACCTACTTTGGCATTGGAATAGCCACCGGGCAAGCAGAGAAATCTCATAGTGGGCGATTTTGAGTGAACAAAAGCTGACAGTAGATCAACAACGAGATATGCAAGAAGAAGAGAGCTAAGGCGACATAAAATCCACTGATTTAGTGACAAGCTACGCTTTTAACAAGCCTACCCCTACCTAGATAGGTTTAATGCCACTGGAATCTCTGCGAGGGCCACACCAGGGAGTTTCGCCCCTGTGTTGGAATGCACCCCTACTTTAGCAAGGGTACCAGGCAGAAGTCTCCGATAGGACCGGGGAAGTACTTGTGTAGTGTGATCAGATCACTTTATCTGAATCAGTTCTAATCATTGATTACAGAAGAATTACGATGTAGTTGGTGATTCACTGTCTCCGCCAAGCAGGTACCACATTCTACTGTGTGACGAATTACATTCAAAGTCTGTCCATGAAGAGAGTCTTAACCTATCTTATCCCCATGCCTGATAATGTCCAGGTATGGGGCGGACAATAGAAAGATCGCCGGAAGTCACCACTCAATCGGTCATGCAAGGGCGTCTTTCATGCCATGAATTGTTATTGAAATCCCCCACCTCTACAAACCGATCTCCGTAGATATTTTACGAGAGAGTATCTTTCAAATCTTGATCAAAGCTTATTCTTGAATATACTCTGGTATATAACCCAATTTTGTTGTCAACCTGGGATATCAAGTCTACCTCACCTGTGACACATAACGAAAAATTGAGCTATATTTGACCTATACGACTTTTATTCTTGCACATTCTATCTCAATCCATATTCTCAAATAATGCGTCTTCAGCCGCCATCCGGGACTGGTACTCCCATCGTCGAGAGCAAACCAACGATAGAACAAAGTGATGTGGAGGATGTTCCGAAGCGGATGGCCATTGTCGGTATGTCCTGTCGTCTGCCCGGACAGGTCTCGAACGTCGAAGAATTCTGGGACCTATGTTCTCGAGGAAGAAGTGCCTGGTCTCCAATACCAAAGAATCGATTCAATGCAGATTCCTTCTACCACCCGAACCATGACCGACCCGGATGCTTCAACGCTCAAGGTGCTCACTTTCTCGATGAAGATGTTGGGTTATTCGATGCGCCATTTTTCAACATGACTCGACAGGAGGCATGTTCTCTAGACCCACAGCAGCGTATCATGCTCGAATGTGTATATGAAGCTCTCGAAAACGCTGGAATACCTAGCCAGGATATTGTTGGAAGCAACGCTGGTGTTTTTGTTGGTGGTTCATTTCCAGACTATGATATCAACAACACGCGAGACCCCGAGGCTATACCAATGTTTTCAGCCACAGGAACTGCAATTGCTTTGCAATCCAATCGCGTTTCTTATTACTTTGATCTTCACGGCCCAAGCATAACAGTTGATACGGCGTGCTCTGCCAGCTTGACTGCACTCCACCTGGCTATTCAGAGTATCAAGAATGGCGAGTGCTCAATCGCTATTGTAGGAGGATGTCATCTTAATCTTTTACCTGAAGGATTTGTTTCTATGACTCGCCAGAGGTAGGCCAACTTATCATGATACTCATACTGTGATCATAGCTAACTAAGTTACCTGTAGACTTCTTGGTGCGAGCGGAAAATCATTCGCGTTCGATCATAGGGCATCTGGATTTGGTCGTGGTGAAGGCGCAGGTTGTATTATATTGAAATCTTTTGATGATGCGGTAGCCGCTGGCGATGCCATTCGATCTGTGATCGTCAACAGCGGCATCAATCAGGATGGTAGGACGAGAGGTATTGCCATGCCGAATGGTGAGGCGCAAGAATCCCTGATTCGTGCAGTTTACAAGCAAGCTCGTATCGATCCATCCTTAGTGGGGTATGTCGAAGCTCACGGAACTGGGACCAAGGTTGGCGACCCCCTCGAGGCAACGGCCTTAAATGCAGTATTCGGAGAAGGACGAACTGCAAGATATCCTCTCTTGGTAGGTTCAGTAAAATCCAACATTGGCCATTTGGAGGGATCTAGTGGTCTAGTCTCTGTTATAAAGACAGCCTTGATGCTTGAACGGGGATTTGTGCTACCCAATTGCAATTTTGAGAAAGCCAACGAAGAGATTCCTATGGACAAGTGGAATATGAAGGTAAAGAGCTTTACAATGAAAATATCACATTTAGCTAATAATTATCACCAGGTTCCCAAAAAGTTACAGCCCTGGCCGCGGGGTAAAACATATGCCAGCGTGAATAACTTCGGCTTTGGCGGGACAAATGCCCATGTCATCATGCAGCGGGGTCCTAGGCATGAAGGAGAAGCAGCCAAAAATACTGATCCTCTTGCCCAAAGACTTTTTGTCCTGTCAGCCGACGACAAGAGAGGAGCTCTCCAGATGAGCAAAGACCTCGGTAAATACCTCGACCTTCATCCCTCTATCTTCGAAGAAAGTTTGGCAGATAAAATTGCCTTCACCCTTGGTCAACATCGAAGCTTCCTTCCGTGGAGACTGGCCGTATCAACTGATGTACATAATGGGCTGGTCCACTATCTTGCCACGGACCCCGAACCTGTTCGATCATCTCGGGAGCCAACAATTGGATTTGTTTTCACCGGTCAAGGCGCTCAGTGGCATGGAATGGGAAAAGAGCTTTTGCACACGTATCCGATTTTCCAGCAGGCCATGAAAAAAGTTGACACTCTCTTGCAGACTCTCGGTGCCACATTCTCTATAATAGGTAAGAACTTCCAAACAGGAGCTATCAATGGGCGTACTAATCAGTGATGTATAGACGAACTACTCTTGACTGATGCCACTGCCAGCTCTATCTCTGCTGCCTACATGAGTCAGCCGGCTTGCACAGCAGTTCAATTGGCACTTGTAGACCTGCTGGCTTCATGGGGGATCCGACCAAAGGCTGTGATTGGGCACTCTAGTGGAGAGATTGCAGGAGCATACGCAGCAGGCATCTTGACTCTTGAGGAATCTGTCCGTGTTGCATACTTCCGAGGCGTCGCAGCAAACATGATTGCAAAGGACAAAAGCGTTCAAGGAGCGATGTTGGCGGTAGGAGCCAACGCCAGTGAGATCCAGCAAATCCTAAATGCAATGCGAGGCCAGAAAGCTGTCATCGCTTGCGTAAATAGTGAGTCAAGTGTCACAATTTCCGGTGATAGAGAAGTCGTTAGTGAGCTGCAGACTGGATTAGACAAGGAGGGAATTTTCACTCGCATGCTACATGTCGATGTCGCATACCACTCCCATCATATGCAACGAGTTGCGCAGCAATATCAGTCCTTCATCGGAAGAATCGCACCTCAGTCCTCAAAAATTCCTTTTCATTCTACTGTCCATGGCAAGCTTATTCCAGGAAGCACCCTTGATGCGTCTTACTGGGTTGCAAACTTGGTGTCCCGTGTGGAATTTGTGAAGGGTCTACAGAGTCTCTTAGCAACGGAAGAAGTCGATGCCCAAATTAATACCCTGATCGAGATTGGTCCTCATCCAGCTCTCCAGACCCCAACCAAGGAGATTGTTCAAATATACGCCCCAAAGCGCACCATTCAATTTGCACACACATTGAAGCGTAAAGTCGAGGCAGTTGAGGCACTCCAACAGCTAGCTGCAACCTTGTTTACCCAGGGTATGACAACTTTGAACTTTGAGGCCATTAACTTTCCAAATCTTGAACAGATGTCAAGAAAGCCTACGCTCTTGACCAATCTTCCCAAGTATCCATGGAATCATTCTGAGAGATACTGGTTCTCCTCTCGGCTTGGTGACAATCATTTTCACCACAAATTCCCGCGCAGTGACATTCTGGGATTACTTTGCATGGAAAACATCGACTCTGAGCCCCGGTGGCGAAACATTATTCGTGCAGAAGATCACCCTTGGATTCGCCAGCATCGAGTTCAAGATAGCAGTGTCTACCCCATGACAGGATATTTGGCCATGGCAATAGAAGCCATCTCCCAACAGGCGCATCTGAACAACCTAGTTCCCGCGAGCGTTCAGCTTCGCGATATCTTTATCAGTCGTGTCCTTGCTATTCCAGACAATACATCGGTGGAAATGATGCTTTCAATGAGAGCTAGTCGAAGCGAGGTCTCCGGGAAATCAGCATTAGCCTGGCATGAGTTCAAAGTATTTTCTTGGGCTGAAGGCCGTGGCTGGGATCAACACTGCCGTGGCTATGTCAAGTTCCAACAAGCCAAAGACGCGAACCCTGTCGATGGCTCCCGTCAGCGTACTGACGCTGAAGAAGAAATCGTGAATATAGCAACTGAAACTCGTAACGCCTGTACCGAGCCCGTGGATAACACATTCTTGTACGAAAACATCGCTAGTGGAGGTGTTCAGTACGGTTCGCTATTCCAGGGCCTCTCAAACATTTCCACAAGCAGAGGTCCACATGCAATGGCCACCATATCAGTGCCTGACACGAAGACTAGCATGCCGCATGAACATGAAAGCGATTGCATTATCCATCCTGTGACTCTCGATCTTTGCTCCCAGATGATGTGGTTGCTCCGGGGCTATGGCCATCCTGGGCCGCAAGTAACCCATGTACCCTCTCATGTTGATAATATTTCTGTTTCTCTCCAGCATGACTTCAGTATTGGCACCACACTTCAGCTCTTTGGTTATGAAACTGGGAAGGAGACAAATGCCAACCCCAAGAACAACAGAATTATTGTGACCAACCCTGCTAATTCAACCGATGCCGCTGTTGAAATCCGTGGAATTACTTTGGTTCCCGTATCAAACTTCATCAGTGAGCACAAAGACAATGCACCCGAACAAATTTGCTACAAATTGCATTGGGAGCCATGCTTCGAGTTCCTCTCTGAGGAAACTTATCGCCAGCTACCCCGGAATCAGGTCGGTGATGGTAATGGAAACAGCAGAATGCACCAGTTGAACAAACTGGGTGAGCACTGGCTGCGTCGAATGCTTCGCCTTATTCCGGAGAAAGATTACCATACCTTGCAGAGCCATCACCAGAAATTCTACCGCTGGGCTCAGCAGACATGCAGCAGTACAGACTTTGTTGATGATGTATCTGCAACAGTCATTGAACAGACCAGGAACATGAACGGTGCAGGAAAACTCAACTGTATCCTCGGTGAACTTTTGCCTGAGATCCTCCTTGGTAAGGTCGATACCTTGGGCATGATGCTTGAGGACGACATGTTGAACAATTACTACCGAGATATTGACGGTTTACGTGAGTCATACACAAATGCATCTCTGTGTATGGATAAGATGGCACATCAAAATCCAGACCTCAATATCCTTGAGATTGGTGCAGGAACTGGAGGTGCCACATTGCCGATTTTGAATAGCCTCGGTGGACATGAGTTGGGTTCCACACCAAGGTTCTCGCAGTATACTTATACCGATATCTCCCCTGGTTTTTTCGAGAAGGCGAAAACCAAGTTTGCAGACTGGGCTCACCTCATGGTCTACCAAACTCTTGATATATCCGCTGACCCGGTGGTCCAGGGATTCAGACTAGGAGCATATGATGTGGTTGTTGCCTGCAACGTCCTACACGCTACGCCTGACATCAATAATACTATGGGAAATATCCGTGCCTTGTTGAAGCCAGGCGGTAAGATCTTGCTCATTGAGGAAACCATTCCCAAAGCTACTCATTTCCCCTTTGCTCTCTTGCCTGGATGGTGGCTCGCCAATGATGGGGTTCGTCACGATGGGCCTCTTCTTACTGTGAAAGGTTGGACTGATGTCCTGAAAACAAATGACTTCTCGGGAGTGGACTTCTGCGTTGAGGAATATCCCGGGGCTTCTTACCAGTCTGGTTGCCTGATGATCTCGACGGCAAACTATGTGAAGAGTGGTCCCTCCAGCCCGGGAGATATTGTCATCATCGGCACTGAGTCCATTGGTAGCTTGTCGTTGCTTAGCCTCGAGAGTGGCCTAAGTAACGTCACTGGGATTGCCCCGACAGGAGCTTCGAATTTCGATACCGCCGATGTGAATGGGAAATGGTGCATCTTCCTTGAGGGTATGGACCGAACAATCCTATCTGAGCTTAGTCCGAAGCGTTTCCAGGCTCTCCAACAGCTTTTCAGTCGTTCCAGAGGTCTTCTTTGGGTTGTGAGACACAGAAAATCTGATCCACAGTCTCTTGGTGGGAATATGGCGATTGGTCTAGCTCGTACTGTGCGATCGGAGACTGGTGTCCAATTTTCTACCTTGGACCTAGGTGATAAGGATGCAGTCTCAGATGCCAAAGCTGTGGAGTATATCATCCAAGTTTTCGACAACGTGTACTGTAAAAGATCTCAGCTCATGCAAGGTGATATGGAGTTCGTTCTTCGCCATGGGCATATTTCCGTACCTCGCCTTGTCGACAACCATGAGCTCAACTCAAGCATCCAGCTAGAGACACCCGACGCACCACCTCAACTGCAAAAGTTCAAACAGCCTCGTACTCTCAGACTTACCCCTGGTGAAAACAATGGCTTGGACAAAATGTACTTCACTGATGATTCATCCCAGAGTTTCCCACTACTAGCCAACCATATTGAAATCAAGGTCCAATGTTGTGGTCTCAATTTCAAGGATGTATTGATCGCTATGGGCCAGCTGCACGGCGCCGGTCTTGGTCAAGAATGCAGTGGAATTGTTACTCAGGTTGGTGCAGAAGTTAATGATTTCAATGTCGGAGACCGCGTATGTGCCATGTCACCGGGTTCTCTTTCAACATTCACCCGCTGCCAGTCTTCCCTCGCTTGGAAAATCCCAGATGCGATGTCATGGGATATTGCGGCCTCACTACCTGCAGTTTGGTGTACAGCATACTACTCCTTGGTCGACCTGGGCCGTCTGGTTAAAGGCGAGAATATTCTCATCCACGCAGCCGCTGGTGGAGTTGGTCAGGCTTCCATACTGCTTGCGAAAGCTCTCGGTGCCAAGATCTTCGCTACTGTGGGAAGTGTTGAGAAGAAAAATTACTTGATGGAGACTTACCAGCTTGAAGAAGATCAAATATTCTTTAGCCGTGATACATCCTTTGTTAAGGGCATTCAACAGGCTACTGGTGGAGAGGGGGTTGACGTAGCTCTCAACTCACTAGGAGGAGATGCTTTGCAAGCGACATTCGAATGTGTCGCTCCCTTCGGACGTTTTATCGAACTTGGCAAAAGGGATATTACACAGAATGCTCGTTTGGAAATGGCCCCCTTCAACAAAAATATATCTTTTGCTTCAGTCGATCTGGGACTTGTCCTCGACCAGCGCCCCAGATTAGCACAGCGATTATTGCGTGACTGCTTCGAACTTTTCACAACCTCTAACATCCTGGCTAAATGGCCAGTGACCACGCTGTCTATTTCCGACGTGGAAACTGGGTTCCGCTCTCTCCAGAGTGGACAAGTGATTGGCAAGATGGTTCTTGAGATTAAAGATGATGCCAAGGTCAACGTAAGAAATATGAGATACAAGATTTTGAGCAATTATAAGCTAACTCTCAATCAAGGTCTATCCTGCACGAAAGAATGAAATGTTGCTTAACCCAGACGGTACTTACATCGTTGTCGGTGGAACCAGCGGAATCGGTCTGGATCTGGCAAGCTGGATGCCCCAAAAAGGAGCCCAGCGCCTTGTGCTGGTTTCAAGAAGTGGTGCAGCCACTGAAATTGCTCAGAAAACTATCCTGGACTTGATTAGCAAAGGTATCGAGGTTCAGATTTGTCGCTGTGATATCTCCAGCGCACAAAATGTAGAGCAGAACCTCATCCCAGTACTAAACCGAATGCCACCCGTCCGAGGTGTGATATTTGGTGCAATGGTTCTTCGAGTAGGTCCACACCGTTTGCTTTCTAACACAAGCTAAGGAACTAATCGATTATAAAGGATATTCTTTTTGAAAAAATGAAGTTTCAGGACTACGAATATGTTATGAGACCCAGAATCCATGGAATCTGGAACCTACAGAACACCCTTCAGAAGTTGAACAAAGCGTCTAGTATTGACTTTTTCATCACGTTATCCTCTGCTGCTAGCTTTGTTGGAAATATGGGCCAGTCGGCATACGCTGCCAGTGGAACATTTATGGCAGCACTTGCTCAATACCCCGAGGTCGCCAAAATGCCCTGCACAACGATCGATCTGCCAGTTGTACACGGCGTTGGCTATTTAGCAGACGACTCTAAACGTGAAATTATCACCTCACAGCTTGGAACTGAGTCCATCGGTGCTCCAGAAATCCGAGCTCTCGTAGCAGCCGCATTCCGAAATGAAATGCGAGATAGTTGCAATAACCACTGCGTCGTTGGATTTGCAGGGGTCAAGTCAACCCCAGCCGTTGAACAGCCGTTTTGGATCAACGACACGAAGCTTTCGCATCTTTTGCGTCTGTCTACTCTGGCGGGGGCAGGTGCTCTCGGTGATACTCAAGCAAATAATGAGATTTCTCCATCAACTTCTATCCGGGCCTGTCGAGGCCGCGAAGGTGCCGAGGCGATTGCCGGCGTTGCTTTGATGCAAAAGCTGTCGAGTATCTTGATGAGGCCGATTGAGGAGATGGATCCCTCGGCTCCGATTTCAGTTTATGGGTTGGATTCCCTGGTTGCTATTGAGATTAGAAACTGGATCACTCGAGAGCTGGAGGCTAATCTTCAGATCTTGGAGATTCTCACCAGTGACTCCATTCCCGCCCTCTCTGAGACGATTCTTAGAAAGTCAGGAATTCTTACTCCGGAAATCAAGACTGAGTGGGGACTTGATGTCCAGGAGCAGAGAGTGGCGGCTGCTTGATTTTTCCCCTAGCTTTCACTGTGTATTATTAGATTTATTGCTAGCACAAAGACTGAATTTTCGGCTAATAACATTCGTCTGTTTCCAAGAATAACCTTATCTATCCATCATATTGAGAATTGAGGAGTGATGTTATTTCTTAGAATATTGGTGCTTTAATTGAATGAATTTCGCCTCACTCTTAATGCATTGGATTAGCTCTCAGATACCAGCGCTAATGAGCATTTGTCTTTAGGATCAGGGATCTGACATGCATTGAGATCTTCTGTTAAGATGAAGATTCATTCACCCTCTCTCTCTCTCTCTCTCTCTCTCTCTCTCTCTCTCTCTCTCTCTCTCTCTCTCTCTCTCTCTCTCTCTCTCTCTCTCTCTCTCTCTCTCTCTCTCTCACCTACTGTTTCCTGGATTCAGCCAAGAAGTTGGTGATGTTTTATAGCCGATGTGCTTAGAGCCACCTTTGACAAGGCACAGGTATTTGGTCTTGTCGGAGGAACATTGGGTAGAGTATCCTTCATCATCCTCCTTGTCGCGCTATTTGGCTCAAAAATATGGCATCGAATAGTCTTACCGAATCTAGTTATTCTTCAGCTAATTGCCAACTTAATGTTCATCACCATAATTTTTGTTCGATGTCCGGGACATGCCTTGGCGATCTGGGAGCACTCTGGGGAGTCGAAATGCTAGTATCCGCGAGTACAGACGTACTATGCTTACTTTCAAGGAAGTAAGATAGGCACATTTCCTTGTTTTGAAACACAAGAAAGGAAAGGGATTTCTCAATCTAAGCGTTCTGGAACTTGGACTTGAAGATACGGGTAAAACTAAGCCTTGTGGCTTTACTTGGCCTTGGCTTATTTTTTAGTGACTAATTCAGTTCCAATGTTTGGGTATTCGAAGACATGAATGCAGCTAATGCAATCTTCTTCATAGTACAATGATCGCTGCCATTATCAAAACTGTTTAGACCCCAAATGCCGACAATAACCCGACACTTGCAACAATCAAGTACGATCAAGCAAAGCTCGGCCGACAAGATGCACATACATATATGTTTACCCTTCGATGTGCGGTCAAATTTATGCATATTTCAAATGCACAGCGAGCCTCTTCGGGGATACAACATTGCATGCTCCAGATGACAACTGCAATTACTATGACTTGACAAGGATGTTCACGATAATATAGATGGGCTGGAATAGTCCGAAATAAGCCGTAATTCGGGTTTAGCTTGGTTTATATAGGTTTTTCAAAGTGTGCTTTGAAAAAGGTCCTGCATAATTCTGACAAAAACCTGGAAATACCCCCGAGGCCAAGTCATGAGCGGACAGATGTCAGATTTATCCATGAATCACAGCGCTTTGAAAGAATATTCTTGGCATCTAGAGGCCTGTGCATCTATTCCTTGGACACTGACAGGCCCAAAAACTATGATAGCCGTGATTAGATCCATTTTTGAAACTCTAGATACCTGAAATGGACGTTGAATGGACGGAAAAATCCAAAAGTCAAACAATTACACTTCCCCACTCTCTAACCCCAGAATTCCCCGCCTTTTTTCCCGAATGCATAGTTATACTCTAAGCCCATTGTAGGTGTGGCATTTGCGTAGGGCATTGCTTATAATTTCACGGTAAACTGTCTTTGCCCATTATAAAAGGAATCTCCGCATTCTTGACCATCGTTTTATACCGAAGAAATACCTAAAAAGAAGTCAATTTTGGCAATTACCTTTGACGTTTTATACTCTTTGCCGTAATGGCACCAAATTTTCTAAAAAACTACCGGGTATACGTACTCACCTCTGTTGCATACCTGGGTTCCTTGCTTTTCGGTTAGTTCGTGCGCTCACACTTCCAAGGTGCTAATGATCCAGTTGAATTTGGCTCTGACTGATGAACTCTAGGCTATGATACTGGTGTTATGGGCTCAGTGCTGGCCCTTGACAGCTTCAAAAATGATTTCGGCCTCCCCCTGGGCAATACTGGGTTTGACTCCGCGGCCAATTCGAAAATCTCCTCGAATGTAGTCAGTTTATTGACAGCCGGTTGCTTCTTTGGGTCTATATTTGCAGCCTTCATCAACGAACGCATCGGCCGCCGATACTCTCTCATGTTATTTTGCATGATCTTCCTGGTCGGAGCAGCCGTTCAAGTCGGTGCTCACCACTCAATTGGGCAGATCTATGGAGGTCGCGTCATTGCTGGTCTCGGTATTGGAGGCATGTCGAGTATCACACCAGTTTTTGTCAGTGAAAACTGCCCTCCAGCACAGAGAGGGCGGATCGCTGGTCTTTTCCAAGAGTTCTTGGTCATTGGAAGCACCTTCGCGTACTGGCTAGACTATGGTGTGGCCCTTCACATCAAGTCAGGTACTAGCCAATGGCGTATTCCAGTGGCCATTCAACTGGTACCTGGTGGACTAATGATCATTGGTCTCTTCTTCCTTAAAGAATCTCCTCGTTGGCTGATGAAACAAGGCCGCAGTGATGATGCTCTTAAATCCCTAGCGTACATTCGTAACGAGAGCGAGGATAGCGAAGAAGTACAAAGGGAGCTTGCCGAGATATATGCCGCCACCGAGGAGGAAATTGCCCTCGTAGAGGGTGTGACATGGAAAGAGTGCTTCACAAAGAGCAATCGTTACCGTTTCTTCCTGGCAATTGTCATCATGATCTCACAGCAGCTATCTGGGACAAATGCGATTGGATATTACGCGCCTCAGATCTTTGAGTCGATTGGTGTAAGCTCCACAAACTCCTCTTTGTTTGCGACTGGAATCTACGGTACTGTTAAGGTTGTTGCTACGGCGATCTTCTTGATCATCGGAATTGACCGTTGGGGCCGCAAGAAGAGTTTGATCGGCGGTTCCATGTGGATGGCGAGTATGATGTTTATATTGGGTGCTGTCTTGGCCACTCACCCTCCCGATGCGGATTCCACTACAGTCTCGCAAGCATCCACTGCCATGGTTGCAATGATCTATCTTTATGTCATCGGTTATTCTGCCTCCTGGGGGCCAACACCGTGGGTGTATCTTGGTGAGGTATGTGATGTCCCACTTGGCTTCAGTTATATTTGATTTCAACTCCAAGGGTTTCAAATGTGCCAGAGTTAATCAGTGAGTTAACTCATCATTAGATCTTTCCAACCCGGCTCCGTTCTTACGGTGTTGGTCTCGGAGCAGCCACACAATGGCTCTTCAACTTCATCATCACTGAAGTCACTCCTCGCGCCGTCAATCAGATTGGCTGGAGAACCTTTCTCATGTTTGGCATTTTCTGCACAGCTATGGGAGTATTTGTCATCGTTTTCGTCAAGGAGACCAAGGGGAGAAGTTTGGAAGATATGGACCTGATTTTTGGTGCTGTTGATGAAGAGCTGCGTCAGGCGGATGTGGAGAATACTTTGAACAAGAACGAGGCCACACGAGAGCATGTAGAAGTTGTTAGTCATAAATGATAGATTACAATAGCTAGTTAAAGGTCATTGATATATATGCGAAGCAAGACTTGAGAGACGGTGCCTCGTCCAGGAGGAGGAGGAAGAAGAAAAAACTTCTAACTCCTATGCAACCTTAGATAGGACCTTAAAATGAGCTTGAGGGTTACTGCAATCAGCTGGTGGGTAGTTAAATAAAGACTTCAAAGACAGCTATTTCAAACAGGTCGAGTCAACTGTTGAGCCGAACTCGCGAATTTGATTATATAATCATTTGAAGCCTGAGTGGTGGAATGGCCTTGCACAGCCTTGCTTCGCCTACAGCTGCTTTCAAATTTGTGAGCAACAGCATGATCATAAACATTTCGATTCCAGGGGCTCATGATTTCACTATCTCAGGAGGTCGAAAACAAAACTCCTGCTCAAATATGTGCCTTGTATGATGTTGGTGGAGGTGTGGCTTTGGGAAATTCATTCGCAATATATTCTGTTGCCGTGCCGTCACCAAATTGGAACCGGGATATCTTTGCCTCAGCGGTATATGAAGAGCTACAAACTGCTGTAAATGTTGTTGCAGATCTGCTCCCTATATTCATGAGCCTCCATGATGCTCCTTATGATCTTCTTGTCTCTCTGCCCTGTCCCTTGCGCCGGCAGCCTGAACAGCCTGGAAGCAATGCCATGCTTCGTGACCCTCCATGGTTCCTGTTAAATGCAGCGAGATATTCCCAACACTGCATATTTGGCCAGGTCTCTATCTTAGACTCTCTTCTCATGGTTCTTCTGCGACCGTGGTGCGTTCTTGAGCTCTGCTGTTGCGATACACCAATATTGGCAGCAGTTTACTCATTTGCACTACTGGCCAATGAAATCAACTCTGCTGACTACAGCCCTGCTGCCAAGCTGCTATCCTATGAGTTGAAGATCAGGCGAAAATTAGATGCCGAAAGCACTAGATCTTGCGACAGCCTGGGTCTTTTTCAGCAGTATACCTTGAATTCCATATCGGATGCAGTTTCGCTATATGTGGATCTATCCAAGGGCCGTTTTCGATCTAGAAAGTCATTTTGGATGGGTATGATCTCGACTTGTGCAGTTTATCTAAATGTTGCTTTCTCGGACCTGGCGTTTATACTCGCTGGGATAGACCCCTACCGCCTCCCAATAAGTAGTTGTGAATTCATGAAGAAAACACTGCAGATACACAGGGGATTGAGGTTGAATGAAACAATGCTTGAGCTCTCCAGACTACGGAGTAGTCACTCTGAGGTTTTCAATCGACTAATGAGCTCCCTCAGTGATCATATATTAGAATCGAGGAAATCTGGCTTCGAGCAGGATCTGCACGGAGTGGGCCAAACAGTATTCCATGAGGTCTTTCTTGATATGAAGCTGCTGAGTCTTTATGAAGGCATTTTGAGAAGAGTCAGGGAATATGTTCTATGACCACATCCCGAGGTCATTGTCTAAGGTTGGAATAATCTCGGCCCTGTATCACATATCCCGTCTCTATCCCATTGCAAACATTTCAGTCTTTGTTGGCACTGTATAAATAATAACGGTTGAAATTTTATAGATCTTTCAGGCTAGGTCTTCCTAAGGCTTTTTTATTCACAGAGTAACTTTGGAATTGATGTTAAAAACATTTGGTGAACATATCAATATCGGCCGCGTCAGCGTAAGAGCCTCGTACAAGCGAGAGTGATAGCGACGACAGCGAGCCTGTGGAGAATGATGGTGATACTTAGGCAATTGGTGACAGGGTGAACGAGATCTACTACGCAGCGAACCAATTTACGACATTCACCGGCCTGATGCTCGGCACCTCCACAATTACAACATCATTCTGCGTGGCGATGTCTTCTTTGAACGTGGCCCATCCTCACTTTCACTATCTGTCCAATGGTGATTGTTTGTCTATTTGACTGAGTTAACTGACAGGTATCCCTAGGGAGGATATAGTCCCTGAGTAGCCTTAGCTCACCTCAGCCGTCGCATGGAGAGCCATAGTCATGGGAGCTGTCTAGGTCAACTACAGCTCCCACAATAATGCAAGAGACTCGAATTTGGTTCTAATCAATAAGCAATAATTCATCACAATATCCGATAAAGGGGCAATCATACATTGCGATGGATATAAGCTCCGTGAGAAGAAAGGTCAGTGATGAGAGTGACGAGGTCAAGTATATCTCAGGCCTGGAGAAGAGATAGCAGGGGCGATGATTATGTGAAAGAAAGTTTTTGAAGCGACGATAACATGATAGAGGTAGTTTTTTTCAATAGTCAGAAAATTGGCAGAGGGTTTCTGATTTGGAGCATCCCGTGAGTTGAGATACGTATATACGCTGTGTTTAGTCCATAAATAAGGATAAAGGATATGTAATGGGAATGAAAGAAGGAAAATTTGGAAACGGGTAAAGACGGGCTTAAACACGTAGCTTCAAGAGAGAGCAAATGGCCGTGAAAATTAGAAATTATGGTCAAGTACGGAGAAAGAGTGAATCTTGAAACTGTAAGTATGTAGCTTAATTCAAAGTAAACCAAAACCTAAAAGTAAGCCGAAATTGAGTTGCTAATACCTAGGTAAGCTTAGACTGGACCAAAAGTAAGTCGAATGCTCGATTTCAGTCCGTGTAGAGTAGATGGTATGTAGAGAGTGGTTATAGATATGATTGGCCTAGCGAGTATGTTGAGATGAACCAAAGAGGGCACTTACGAACAATATGCTCGATGTTATATAACTCCCTTAGGGCTTCAATGGTGCTGTGCTAGCTGGGTATAGGGTTTCATATACCTCATCACGTATCCTTCTAGCCAACGGAAGGCTCCCATAATCCTCGATACTCACTGCGTCCAGAAATGCATTAAATTTTAGCTCAATAGCTGGCCTCTGAGATTCATTTGCAGGAAATGAGAGGCTTCCATCTTCCTGCATTTCGCTTAGTCCCTCAAGAAGATCTTGCATTTTATGGAAGACAAGCATAGGTGGAAGCAAGCCCATCTTGATCCAGTTCAAATTTCTCAGTCGACACTCTGGAATGACCTCGAGAGTTGCTCGTATGATGGCTCGCGAACGGCTTTTGTTATCAAGTACCTCAGCTTTGAATATCGGTCCGTGTGCCTTGGTTTGAAGTATTCTTGCAACACGAGTCGCCACGATCTCAGCAAGCGAGGAGTAAACCAACACGCCTAGAAAGGCCAATTGCATGTAACCGTACATATTGACCATACAAGCAACTGATGCTATTGAAGACATAGTTCCAGTGAGAACCCAGAGCCAGTGCAAGAAGTCCTTGGTCCAAGTTCTCTTGTACTCCCATGTCGATCGAGCCCATTCTTCGAGATTTTTCTGAGGGCCTTTGAAAATCACAGTGCCACCTTCTTCTCTCTCATATACGGCGTATCGATGAGTTGAATCGTCCCTGATTGCCGGAACGTGAATCTCAACCATTGTAGTCAACGAGATGAATACAGAAGCTAACCAATGGCAAACGTAGAGAAGAAATAGTGTGAATGCCCAGATATCTGCCACCAGAATTCCACAGACCATGGCAGCTAAAAGCATGGCTCCATTTAGCAGACACATCAAATCCAATCCCCATTTGCCAACACGCCACCCTATATTGCCGATTTGAGCTCGGACATAGTCTTCTCCGTCTTCTCCTGACTGGTGGACCGTATCCACCCAGACAATTGCAAAATCATTTCCAGGCTGTTTTGAAGTTTGGAATGATATTATATCGCTAAGCCATAGATTGCTCAGGTTCAAGGGTAGCTGACGAAAGACATTTCCTGACACGTCAGACCGAACAGGGAGCTGGGTGGTATCTTTCGCACACATTTTTATCGCCGGGTGAATCCATTTAAATACGCTTACGAGGCGCTCGACCAGCATCTCCAGTGGTGGAAGAGTCCCTCCGATCATGGTCATATGTGGCCAGGTGAATAACTTCCGATCATACTGCGTATAGAGCCTGGCAGCACTTTTGTCGGCGCGAGGATTGTAAAGAACTGCGGCCACACCGAGAGGGTCAAAGGTGACTCCATCATCCGTCTTTAGGTGCGCATGGGCTTCTGAGAGGGGGTATGGGAAGTTGGATTTTGCTTGAACAAAATTAGCAAGAGCCAGGATGCTCAGAGAGAGGGAGAACAACGAAGCCATGTGAGGCTGGTCCCTGGTGTCAAATTGCTACTACAGTTCAGAGGTTTGGCTGGGATTTTAATAATAATCAATGGTGGGGTCCATGTTGACAAGTCGTAGCACCATTTGGGGTATAGCGCACTGGGCATCAGCTGAAGATCATGCAGCCACAGAACACGAGCTGTATCTCAGTACCGACAAATTAAAAAGCAAGTTCACTAGAAATTTTCGTATATTAAAAAGCTATACGGAGTACAGGTACAATTTTAACATCATCTAAGTATCGTTGGAAATCTTCATGAAAATCCATTGAAATATTATCAAAACTTTCTGGGTCGAGTATAGCGCTGGGCTTCCTGTCTTTCTCTAGATCAATCCAACATGATTTTATCGAGATCACTTGGTCCTGTGTTCCTTATTGAACCCTTCAATGGAAATATCAACACTAAGGCTCGTATAAGTAAGGAGAAATATGGATGTGGTAAATGTTGCTACAGTACTCTGTACTATGGCTGAAATGGCCGACTCATCTAAAAACCGGCAGAATATAAATACCTCAAACGCTAGCTACTTTAGGACTAGCTGATCTCGGTCCGTCCTAACTCCGCTCGAAGGGTTCCGAAAAGTATAAAAATCAATCTCCTGAAGAGTCTAGTTTGGAGAATGAATTATCCAAGTTGGCTAATATGGCTATTGAATATAATATGTCACTGGTTCGCTCGAATTTCATTATCAGCTTACTACTAAATGAGCCTCTCTCATTGGCCAATAATTCAGAAATCCTTTATGATCTGCTGAGCCTAATGATTGGACAATATAACATGCGGTATAGAAGGCGGTCAAGTGATGTTGTTAGGCGGTCTTGACAATTGATGACTAGAACGACTACAGGAGATCGAGCTTCTACTTATAAGGAGGCAGCATAGCTTCTGTTATAAGTGAGAAATTATAGGGCCAATCAGCCCTTATAGTGAATATTTAGTATGTAATTACATCGGGAAATACTAGAAACGAGAAACGTTTACGGGAGAGTTCTCCAACCATGCCCATTCCATCGTTACCCTCCCAAGATCAATGGCAGCTACCTTTTCAAAAACTGATTCTGTCACGTCTAGATCTGTTTCCTTGCACCCAACACATCGATCTACCACTTTGACATCCACGCTCGTCCCGTCGCGACGAAGTCTTATCTTTAGTCCACACAGTGGATTGTCATTCGGGTTCGATCCAGTAGAGGCCGCGTCGAACAGAATATGCGACACGGCGCATATGGAATCGGATTCGGAGCTCGTAATGCCACATGATCCCAGTCCGGGGTCATAGTAGGTCAGGTCTCCAGAGTATGGGCCACCGTTAGCAGTTGGCAGGGCCAGATTCGAGTGTCTGTGTAGAACATAGGTTAAATATTCGTCATCTATTGCGCATTGGGTTGTCCTACTTATTTTTTCCAACGGTCAGTCCAACTGCGAGTCCGATGATCAATGCGATCAGTACGATGGCAGCTATAATTCCCAGAATAAGAAGTTTGCGCGATCGCTTCTGCGCGGAGAATGAGGCGACACCAGCAAATGGCCATCTGCGCTTGATTCCAAATCGACTTTCTTTGGCATAGTAGGCGGTGGTAGAGTATGCTGGTGGCTCGGCGGTGGTAATTTCAGCGTTGTTGAGCTCGGGTGCAGTGGTCGGTGCGACTGGAACTGGGGCAGGGACTGGTTTGCGCTTTAGCACTGAAGCAGAATTGCGTTGCGCATCCTGTGTGATCATTTCAATTTTCTGTTCTTCAGAAGGTACTGCGACTGCTGATGTCGTAGGATCGTGAGACATTGTTGGCTGGCTCTTTGATCGGATGCTTCTTAGATGACTATCATCACGTCATATATTCTTAAATTGATCAGTCAGCCGTAAGTACTAGGCTCATATATTCGATTCCAATAGACCCAAGATCTATAGATCAATGAAGTTGAAAAGCATCGGTTTCAATCAGGGGGTTAGTCTCAATTGACTCCAAACGGCGATAAGGCTAGCGTAAACCATGGAAACTGGAAATTGCAAAATTCTGCCATTGGCCCCCATAGGCCGGGGATTCCCCATGCTTTTTCATCTCTTTAACCTCATATCTCGACGCGAGAAGGAGAGAATTACTGTTATGTAGTTCCTAATTTGATCTTCATCTCCACAGCTCTGATATTGATCGTCACCAGTGGATCCCCCACCATTTCTGTCTCAAAACAAGGAATTTGCCCCTCTAAATCTTCACTCTGCAATCTCAGCGTCTTCAAAAGTGGATTGGGAAACGTCAAATCGGTTCATTCCCTGCGATATGCACGTCGCTGATCAACCGTTGCTCGACTTAGAATCTTATATGTGAAACAGCAGAGTTGTACATACTTATCAAGGTTGTGCTGCGTAATGGCGTCACCGGAGAGATCGCAGGACTCGCCGAGTCTATCGCGGTTTGAAACTAAAACGACAACAAAGGAGAAAAAGACACTCAAAAGTCTGATTCTGAAAATATGGAAGAAAACTGGGCTGGACGGGCCAACGCTACTGACGATGGCAAAAGGCGGTTTGGCTCCCACGATAGCAGTGGCTATGTACCAATCAACTGGGGTGGCAGATGAGTATACTACTCTTGGTTATCTCGTCGCTATTGTTTCCATATTTGGATTCCCTATCATGCCTCGGGCCAAATTTATCCAAATGATGATCGCAGATGTATTGGCAGTATGTTTAGCTTGCTGCCTAAGTCTATTGACCATGTACTGCGCTGTCAAAGCTCGCCAGCACTCCACAAACAGCCCCGAAGAAGAGACTGCAGCATATAACTCATCAGCCGCAGCGGTGAGTGGAGTCTGGCTCTTCTTTCAGATGTGGCTGGTTCACACATTCCGGGCCAAACACCCACAGTTCCAGTTTCCTGTCGTGATTTACTCCATCTTTGCCAATATTGCAAGCATATACGCCCCACAGATGGCAACAGTAACCCGTGCCATTTCTCTGGTTATAAGGCTTCTCAAAACAATGCTCACTGGATTGGGTCTATCAACAGCGGTCTCACTCTTAGTGTTCCCTATGACGTCGCGCAAGGCAGTCTTCAAGCAAATGAGCGGATATATTGGCTCACTTCGCACCGCTTTGGGCGCCTATGCTGTGTACTATCAATCATTAGAGAAAGATGATATGTTCGGTCGTTCCGAAACATACGATGATTCCCGCGAGAAATGGGATGAGAAAGGCAAAGTCTACAGCCCAGAGGCAGCAGCAATCCGCAGTGCTATCCGCGCAATTACTGATATACACGGAAAACTTCATGGTGATATTGTCTTTGCCAAGAGAGAGTTTGCCATAGGCACGCTGGGCCCTGACGATTTGAAGAACATCGCCAAGCACCTACGACTGATTATGATCCCAGTTGTCGGTCTTAGTTTCGTTGTTGATATCTTTCAGAGGCTATCTGATTTTAACAGATGGAATCAGCCTCTCGATCCGACTGCTGAGCCGATCCAGGACGAGCTTCGTCAGGGCATTATTCATGACTGGAACGACATCATGCGAGCGGTGCATGATCCGTTCCAATCCATGATTCAAACCATCGATGAGGGCTTGCTGCATACCTCCTATGTTCTTCGACTGACTAAGCCACCAAAGCGTACGGCTGCAGCCACTGCAGCAGCTGCGATGAATGCTAATTCTGAGCAAAATGCAAAGGATGTAGAAGCATCCGCTAGCAGTACGGCTCCTGGGGAGAAAAACTTTGTGTCACACTTCAAAGAGAAGCTGGGTGAGTTCCGACAAGCTAAACGACTCGCCTTGGAAACTTGGGCCGCAGATAAAGGAATTAATCTGCCGCGCGACTTCTTTGAAAATCCTTCATCGGTTGAGAGCTTGAAGGGTGATTTCTTCTCTGCCTCGGCTTCGTTCCAGGATCGAGCCAGACGGCAGCTGTATCTTTTCCTTTACATGCAGCAATTACTTTTCTCTACAGGTCAGACAGTCCTGGAATTTGTTGAGTATGTAGACAGTGTCGCTGCGAAGGACAAGCTACAGCGGAGTCGCCTGATCATCCCTGGTGGAAAGCGCCTGTGGAAATGGGCGAAGAGTGTTCTGAAACCGGAAGGCAGCCACGAACATGATAATTTGGGAGATTTCAATGCGCAGGCAAGCCACCTAGAACTCGGCGAAGCGTACAGACATCGCAGGGATCCAGAACACTTGCCGCCGGCAACCACTTTTCAGAAAATTGGTGACAGAATTCGAGTCTTCCCGACGTTTTTGCGTTCCTTCGAGTCCACGTATGGGTTCCGAGTCGCATGTGCAACGATGACCATCGCTGTCATTGTGTTTTTGCACGACACCCAGAGTTTTTTCCTCAAGCAGCGCATGGTGTGGGCCATGATTATGGTTAGTCTTAGTATGAGTCCCACAAGCGGCCAAAGTATTTTCAGTTTCGTCCTCAGAATCGCAGGAACTGCTCTCGCTATGGTAGCTAGTCTTCTGGTCTGGTATATTCCAGATTCAAAGACCCCCGGTGTGATTGTTTTACTCTACGTCTTTATCTCTTGTGCATTCTACGTCCCCATCAAAATGTTCCGCTTCCGCGTCATTGGCGTCATCAGCATTGTTACCACAACCATGATCATTGGCTATGAGCTTCAGGTTCGCAAGGTCGGTGAGGTAGTTGCCACTTCCAATGGTCAGGCTTACTATCCTATCTATGAGCTTGCGCCCTTCAGGCTGGCTGCCGTTGCCGGAGGTTGCTTTGTTGGTTTCATATGGACCTTTTTCCCGTACCCTATCTCGGAACATTCAGTGCTTCGTCAGAGTCTGGGGGCTTCGTTGTACCTTCTGGCAAACTATTATTCCATCATCCACGAGACTCTCATTGCTCGTATGCGTGGCGATGCTGGAGACATGTTTCTTCAGAGTTTGAAAGGGCGCAAACTCGAAAAGGCACGCCACAAGGTATTCTCCAAGCAAATGCTCATGCTGAATAGCTTGCGAACTTATTCTGAGTTTCTCAACTGGGAAGTTCCCATCGGTGGTAGATTTCCCAAGGAGCAGTATGACACCATTATTGTTTGCGTGGAAAAGTATGGTCTCGCACCCTGATTGTTCTTTTGCCTCGATGCTGACCTTTTTATAGTATTGTGAGTTATCTGAGTTTACTCGGATACGTCTCTGATACCTTCTTGCGTCTGGAGGAGGACGAAGATGAATCGGGCTCGGCCTGGATGCAGGATTTCCGTCGAATAGTCGGCACCGCGAAAGTGACCACCCACGAAGTTACTTCTCTACTCTGTCTTCTTTCAGCCAGCATTACAAATCGCCAGCCATTACCACCTTACCTGAAGTCGCCCCGACCGTACAGTTTTTCCAAGCGTCTAGAAGCTCTCGACAATGATATCCTCAGCATTAAACACATTGCCGAGCCCGGTTTTGCGGCATTCGCCGTCCTTCAAATTTCCACAAGATGCATCGTGGGCGATGTTGAACAACTTTTGAAGTAAGTCAAGTCTACACCTGCATAGCGTTGGGTAAAAACTAACCGTTTGTGAAATATAGACACGTGAAAGGCTTAGTTGGAGAACTGGACTTTTCTTTCCACGCAGTCAGCACAACTGATCCAACCATTACACACTCCAGAATGACATCTAGGGCTCCATCCCGAGTGTCACTCACTGAAGTCCAAGCTGCTGATCGTCCTGATCGTCATAAGACGGACTGATGCATAGTTTCCAAAAATCTTAAGTTTTCTGGTGAGACTGGTTTTGCTTTTGTCGATTCTCGAACTATATGCCCTTCAGTTTACGATTTAGCTGTCACTGTACCTCACGAGTTGTCATGTATTATCAGTCAATGTAAATTTGTCATCGTGTTGCATTAGATCAACATGAATGTCGCCGTAACCCCGCAGTACATATCTTCCCCAATTCTTCACCACATTTCCAAAACTTCATCCAAAGGGAAATTGAAGTTAAAGCCATCAAGTTCCAACATTAAGCTTGAATAATGGCCAATATCAATATCCCACACGAAATATTTAGCAAAAGTGCCAATAAAACCGTTCTCATAACCGGAGCAGCCCGCGGCATAGGAGCCGAAACAGCCCGGCTCTTCCATCAAAACGGCGCAAATGTGGTCCTAACAGACCTAGAAAGATGCCGCTCAGCAGCAGATCAATTCATTCTTTCAAATCTAGATCCAGAACGAGCGATTTTTGCTGCGGCGAATGTGGTCGACTGGGCACAATTGACGACCGCGTTTGATCACGCTATTGCTACATTTGGCGGTCTAGATATCGTAATCGCCAATGCGGGGATTATGGAATCGAATGCTGTTCTTGATGTGAATGATGTGGATGAGTTTGGAAAATTGAAAGAGAATCAAGAGGCGAATACGATATTTGATGTTAATTTGAAAGGCACATTGAATAGTTCGTTACCCACTCGACCTAACCATCCTATCCAAGTGGTTCTATATACCTAGGGGAATTTTTTACTGACGAGGGAAACCCCCTGTACGGATACAGCGCTCCGACTAGCCCTATTCTGGTTGCAAAAATCCAAGTCAAAAAATGAGGGTTCAAAATCCATCATCCTCATCGGCTCTACCTCTAGCTATTTTGGCGGGACAGGCGTTGCTGCTTATGTAGCCTCCAAACATGGCATTCTAGGTCTCCTTCGAGCAGCGCAGGCTTCATCGCAGGAACTAGGCGTTCGGGTGAATGCCGTAGCGCCCTTTTGCACCCCGACGTATATCACAGCTGGATTTGCGGAACGATGGAGTGAGGCGAGGTTAGAGCAGAACACGGTTGAGGGTGTTGCTGCAGCTATTGCGTTTCTGGCTTTGGATGAAGGCAGGAGAGGACAGTGCTTTTTGGTAAGCTGTGCTAGAATTTTCCATGGGTACTTAGGTATCGTTCCAAGGTTCGGTGGAAAGCTAATGAATTTTTATGAGAAAGGTCGCAGGTAAATATTTACGGGAACTTGAGGCGTCGAGAGCGTCTTTCATCTCTTCTTGGATTGGAGGGGATGTGACCGATCTTATTGGGAAGGCTACGAAGTTTTTTGCTGATATTGGTGGGTACGTACTCCCAGGGCAGGACAGGACTGAATAATTTGAGATGAGGTCCCAGAGGGATTTTTCAAATTATTTTACACTCATATAGAGCTTATATCAAGGATGAAGAAGTATATACAAAAACCGACGACAAAGCTGGTCTCAAACAAGGAAAGATATCAAAGGCTGGAGAAAAATTGGCTTTTCTATTCCCAAACTTCGGCATTAAGCACATCAAATCGGATTCATCATGGTCACATTCGGCACCGCGGGTTCCACACTAGACGTTATGGTACCAACGGGCGTAGATTTGGTAACAGTAACAGGCGAGACAGTCGTCTGCACACTCGTATCTAGACGAGATTGACTGAAACTACTCCGGGTCATAGACCGATCGACACGGGAATCACTGCTTGCAGCCGTACTACTAGCAAGTGTCCTACTTCGCTTGGCCATTTTACCCAAGACGCCTACTATTTCGGCGGCGTCTTCAAAGCTTTCGTCGTCCATACCTTCCTGGGATTTGTACACGTCCGAAATGGCGTGTTTGGCGAGATGGCGGCAGGCGATTGGATCTTGGAGACAGTCGTAGAGATAGGCGGCGTATTCGAGTTTAACAGACAGGCGCAGAGGATGTGAGCCCGGGAGAAGTTTGTCGGCTAGAAATGAAGCGTAGTTGAAGCATGCTGTCGCGGTGGCGGTGTAGTCGAGTGGAGGTAGGAGGAATGATGAAATGGGGTGAACTGGTTGCACGGGGGCTAGGCCAGGTGGATGCGCAGGTTGGGTGCTGCCTGCCTTCCCCCCAAGAGCTACTAGGGAGTCCGGGCTGTATATTGAATCATGCCTGGAATTGGGTGGTCGTTCTGTACTGAGGTTTATAACAGGCCGATTGTGGAAAAGGACGAAAATGTGATAGAATGAGGCGCGAAGTTTGTGTGCTAGAACTTTCAATTCGACCAGCTGATCCACCATTGGAATAATATATCCTTCTAACAATAGTAGGCCTTCGCGCGACAGCCATATGATGTGGTGATATAGTTGTAAGGACTTGGTTTCGCGAGTGGTGTCAAGTCGACGGAGTCTTCGGGCGCGGAGAAGTTTCTTAGATAGCATGACTGACACCCCGAGGACTTTATATAGCGTTGCTGATAGTAATGGGCTTTCGAGGGCTGTACCGGCTGCGAAATTGCCAAGGGCCTTCTGGTCTACCTCGGAGGAGGCCATCCACAAAGCTAATGGAGCGGAGGCTGGAATAGAACCAATGCTGTTAGTCATTTTGATGGCTTGAATAGATATAGAAAAAGGACGGCTTGAAGTTGCAGAAGGACATCGGAGAATTTTAGCTAAAGAATAGAAGTAACTTACCCAGCGCGCAAACAAAACCTTCCAACTCACAAATGCAGCGCGTACATGCTCCAATTGCGTACTTCGTACAGTATACCCACGGATTGACTCCAAAGTAAGCTTGGCGCTAATCTGATTAGTCTAAATCGCACAATAAAACCGAAACAAAAACAAATGATCCAAGGATCGAATGCAAGTCTCAAGTCTTAAGATATGCTCGCGGTAAGGTTCGAGGATGGCACAGCAGGATCTGAATCGTTCTAGCCAATGGACTCTTAGGTCAAAAGTACCCTCTCAAATGATGAGATCTCCCGTTATAACGCAATATATGGATCAGATCCAGCAACACAAGTTCTTGATAGCGGCGAGAAATGGAAGCTGAAATAGACAGGCACTCATCGTGTTTACTCCATATGAAGTACAGGCTTGGAATTATATGGGTTTCCCCGCTGATCCGCCGTTTCTCGTTGTTCCCGCGTGGAGCAGGGAAAAGAAGCTTGGTTATGAATGGGGTAATATAATGTACGGCGTAGCTAGAGGTGAACGGGTATAGCGACTCTATTCTTGTCAGGAGTTAACAGGTCACATACAGTAGACGGAAGAGATTAAAAGGATAGCATGCAAGGGCCGGGCATCAAAGTGCCCTTGTATGGCGCATGGGGCTAGACTTCAAGTAAATTAACACTGTGATTATACTAGTTCACACAGCCTCATAGGTAGCTACTAAAGTCATCCCACTGGAAGGGACTTATACCTCGAACATTCCATCAGGGCGAAACTCGGAGCTGCCCAACTAGTGGCAATTGTAACCGGCCTTAGAATTGTCCATGATGTATCCTTGTGCATCAATTCCCTTGTTGCCTTATGCATGAACAAGAAATCAACAACTTGACCAGTAGTAAATGAATTCAATTGCGGGGCCAAGAACACGTAGAGATAAAAGAATGAAGCTACGTGGCAGTCGATATTCTTGCCTTGTTGGCCAATAGGCGGTGTGACAGTTCAGTGAGACGCGGAATAGAAATAGAAACTAGACCCTACTAGTTAACTCAAGTACTTATAATAGCTGCTTTTCATAAATTGATTCCTTTAGGAAATAAGGTGGATTTCCAACTGTATTGAATCTTCATCGGTGACTAGATCTAGGCGAAGTAGTGTAGTAAATGTGCATCATTGGTCCCAATATGATGAATTAATCTAGGAACTAGTTACCTATCCTCTCCTACAAAACATGGGTTGATTAATATAGGCGGGCAGATATCGGTTAAATATATGGTATGTTTGACCTCAACAACGTCTATATTTCTTGTTATTACAACAATCCTATGAGAGAAAAGGTAATATCCCGAAATCTAAAAATAAAAAACGCCGTTAATGCAAGATGCAACATAAACCCACAGAATGCAAACTTCCATCCCGTCTGTGGGGGCAATGCCAGATGGGTGCTTCATTAATTATCGTTATCCAAGTCGTGAACATCTATCAGTCCAGTAAAAGCGCGCGATAAGAAGGCACTCCAAGTTTTGTTGACTTTCTTCTTTTTCTTCGCCACTTCTGCGTCGGATGGAATGCTTTTGCTTGAAGGCTTGCCCTTCCGCCCTATTCGTACGGCCAGCTGGAAGAAGCTGCGCACGGTCAGATCCTCCATCTGATAAACGTCATCGTTCGTGCTGTATTCGACTTCAAATTCAAGCCGAGGCTCCTTCTCCGCATGGCGGTCAACATCCTTATTGATCCGTGTAATATTAGCAAAGTATTGTGTATAACTCAGCCAGGTCAGGGCCTGGTTAGAATATGCAGGGCCCGGGGGGCTGGCGGGTGATGGAGGCTTTGGAATTGTGAAGTGTGGCTTCTTCATTTCGTTGGTCTCTCGCTCATACGAAATGACATTCGATTCAAAGTTCGTGGACGTTAATGTGTCATCGTAAAGCTTCAAGCCGGTGATGTTGTACTCCATCACACGAAGAGTGGGGAAGAAGACTGGTACCAAACTTGGTGGAACTAGCGACAGACTGTATCGCTCTGCCCAGGGACCACCAATCTTTTTCAAAAACTTCTGACGTTTCTTCTCCTTTGACTCCTTCTTGTTCTTTTTGCCTTTCTTCTTCCTTTGGTTTTGTATATCGTCTGCGCCCCAGTCATCCTCAATTTCATCTTCGTCGTCCAGAGCTTCAAAGACGCCCTTTGGAGGAGAGGGTAATTTTGACCATTGGTCACGCAGCTCATTGACATAGTCTGACTTTGACGTTGGAGAAACGTCGCCTGTCGATGTCTGAGCAACGATGTCGACATCATGGTGATCCTGCAACATAAAATGGTCGACATTCATATGGCCGTAAAGGCTGCCCACGACAACATCGCGATAACGATCCATCCATAACGTATACTTCTGCCAGCAGCTCTCATCCCAGCTTTTCTTGCTCGCCGTGCGCGCAGGAGGCACATGGCCCATAAGAATGGCCTTCATGTTGCGAGTACGCAGAGTTTCTAGCTGAACCCGTAACCACTCCATATGTTCAAATCCTGGCTCAGACTTGTCTTTGCATCCGTCCACCGCACTGTTGGAGTCGAAAAAGTACATGGTATTCAAGCTGATCACAGCCAGATTGTCGGGGATGACCTCAGATACAAACCAGCCACCGGTGACGAAGCTATGTCGCTGGGCTTCGGGGATAAAATCGTGCCAGATTCCCGCATACTCCTTTGTCCACTTGTTCGGGCCCGGCATGAAGATGTTGTGCGGCGCAATGTCATTGTTGCCGAAATTCGGCACGACGGGGATTCGGGGTACGCCCGTCAGTCGTTTGGAGTGTTCTCGGGATCCGAACAATGATATCCATTTTTCGGCTACATATTCGTTGAGTTGTATGATCTCCTTCTCCGTACGCGGTTTACGCTCATCATTGTCGTGACGGGCCGAGTCACCAGTCCAGATCACGAAATCAATCTCATCTTTGAGATTCTCTTCTATCCAGCGGAATGTCTCGTTGACTAGGGCATAGGGCGAATCGCAATCGGAGCCCTCCTGTCCAAAATAGCCAGCGACCCCCTTGCCGCGGTGGCAGGAGCCATCATCGATTGAGGCGCCGTGTTTGTAGTATCTGTCAGGATGAAAGTCTGCGCAACTGATTAGATATGTCATGCCACTGTCAAGAGTGTGTCTAACCTGTGATGTGAAGAAAGCGACCGTGAAGGCCGGATGACGTGGATATCCCTTCCGCCTGAATTTGTTCAGTCGGATTTGCGAGTAGCTGTTGATCAAGCGCGCTAGCTCCAATGATCCCCGCAAAGAGGTTTAACAGGAAGACGGTAGACCGCATCTTCACATAGCAATCTTGTCTAATCCATCAACCTTTTGGTGGGAGAAATAGAATAAAAAGATTAAAAAAAAATTTTTCTGCCTTGAAGCTTAAGATCAATGTCCAACGCGCTTATCTAAACCAGCCAATCATGAATGGTTATATGCTTAGTCAGTGCTCTATTGAGTTTTATTTGTTTTGGATAAAAGCAACAATTAAAAGGAGGCATTAAGAGATATGTCAACATATAAAAATAAGTATAGATTTCGAAGCTATAGTGCCCCGGCGGTTTTTTGAGGTCCCATAAGGCAGGGCTGAGTTGCCCTACGCCGGTTGCCCTGGAGGCTCAGACTTACTCATCCAATAGCTGCAACACGTGGGATTTAGGATCAGCGTTACATTCAAGATAACCTTAAGTCTTTCTGATGGTTTTTTCGATTACCTACTCTATACTCCGTACTCTGACGAATTGAAAATCCCTGGTTTATGCTGCCTAGACACGCGCTTCAGTCAAGTCGTGTAGAATCTTGAATCTTCAACACTGAAACAAAGAGATTCTTTGTCAATGCGACAATATACCATTGTCTTCGGTTTTACAACAACCTGGAATCGTATCCATTGGACGAGATACTGAGGCCAAGTTAGTCCTTAGTTGGACGACGCTTTGTCTCCAAACGACAATGCACAGATGAGATGAAAGAAACATTTGTCCTTACTGGGATAAGGAGCTGCATTCAAAGATAAAGGTCAAGCAATCGCATCGTTCCTAGGGTTCGACAAGAATGTATAAATCCCTCACGAGGTCTAGTCTGCCTGTCGATTTTGAGATCACGCCACAGATATTCACCTTAGAACATTGAAGCCTAAACTCAACTCAAATATTCAGAAATCAAATTTGCAAATGGTTACTTCTCTCCACCGAGAACCGCTCCATAAAGATCATACAGCCGATGTCCAATGGTACTACATCTCAAGAGCTAACGTGCTCGATTTCATAGATCAACACAAGCAGCTAATCACTCAAGATGGAGCAGAAGACAACATTCGAGCCTCAAAGCTCATCCAAAAAGACGTTTGCTCCATTCTAAAACAGATATCAAATCCTAACTATGCAAGACTCGCGAGTCCTAACTTTGCAAATCAGATAGGCATGGTGGATTGTGCTTACAGGAGAATGGCAAAAATCAGTAAGTGCCTTGATCGTGTGATCAAATTCCTCACTCAGAATCAGGGTTCCCCGGCTGCGGAAATACTTGCCATGATCCATATTCAGATTAGTCGGATCAGGATCAAGGGTCAGAAAGATCGCATAGCGGACAGGGCAGATAAGAAGGCTGAAGGTATGTGGCACAAACATAGATCGGCAGGATTAAGTTGGATAGCTAGTAACACTTCTAGCAAAGCATGGCATGAGTTGGATACTACTTTTGAAGGCTGCGATTGTGGGATTTGTTCTGGGATATAATGCCAATATCAGCATCAAGGGCTTCCACATTCATTCGGAGGTACATGGGTATGAGGTATGTATGTATTCGTCCCTATTTAACTTGGTATAGAAGGACCTAGGATCAGAAATTGAAAAATCTCTCAGGTTTTCTCATATCACAAAATTCCATGATTCTAGACTTTTAATTTTGATCGCTACATGGGTAACTTGGAACCCCTGGGGCTTGAACGGTAAATAATGCATAAATACTAAGTAATAGAAAATAAAAGTAACAGTCATATCTGTGTCAAAATCGATCTGTACGTTAAAACAGTCCTCCTTATATACAGCGATTGATGTGTGTCTGTCATATATTGACAAACGGGGCTCAAGGCCTATTGAGCTGCTCTCTACGGTAGAAAAGAAGGAAACCGAAGCTGCAAAGATAGTTAGTAAAATGCTTAAACATCAATATAGTAGTATTAATAACTCACCTGATCATAAGCTGGAAGAAAAGACCGATCCAGAACCACGCATTGCCAAGTTTTGACAAAGACGAGCCTATATCTGGCGAAACACCCGCAGGTCCCTCTTTGTTGGGTGCGAACCCACGAGCAGCAATTGTTGCAATAGATCCAAGAGACTGCGCCGCTAACAAAACGAAGCAGACGTGAACTCTCGTGAGTGTCTGGAGTAAAATCATTCCTAGTCCGACTGTCTGGATTTCATCGAGGACACCGAGCCACAGCCAGAGACATCTTGATACGAGGGCACCACCGACCAGATTCTTTCCAGCCCATGGAAGATAGTAGCCAATATTAGAGGTTCCCCACCAGATCTGCGCCCATCGTGGTGCGCCCATACTGAGGCCGAACACAGGTAGAATCCAGCTGTGCTCCTTAGACAAGAAGCGGAAGATAACCATCACTATAACCCAAAGGATAATGAAAAAGAAAATCACCAAAATGAGTACTTCCCATGACTTGGCATGTGAAGAAGACCAGAGGAATGACCAGTTTCGGCCAGTTGCTGCAGCGAGGAACCAGTTCTGGATAACGACAAAGAAGCAGAACCAGAGCACAATGCGACGGCGGAAAAGAGAGGTATAGAAGAAGAGAATCTTTCCGGGAGCTTGACGATAGTATTTGGGTAATCCTAGAGCAAGGAGCACACCAATGGCGAAGCAGCATGCGGCAATTGGCATCGTCACAGCTGTCAGTCTCCATGAGTTCAGAGCCTCTGTTGATACACCCTTGACTTCCACTGCCGTTACCTTGGAACTCCAATACCACAGAGCAACGGTGTAAAGCTGTTGGATGCCCTGGATAAGACTTGCGCGGAACATCCAATCCTTCACAGGTACAGCACCCTGATCACCGAAATTAAGAGCAAAGAACAAGGAACCACTAGAAGATGCAGCAGCGTAGACACCCGCAGCAACGTTCTGAGTCCATTCTCGACCTAGCTCGTTGAGTCCGTAAGGTGAAACACCAATGCAAATGAATGCCATTGTGTAAATGAACCAAGGGAGTGAAAGGACGATGACAGACGGGAAGCGGTAAAACAAGAACCACCAAACAATAGAAGAGACGCAGTAAATAGTTGCAATAATGTAGAGCTTCATTGCAGTCTCACCAATCTGACCACTGAGAAGGGTTATCTGCGATGAGTTTGTCGCGATAATTTGTCCTAGACCCAAGAACAGAGAATATACGGGCCAGTTCCCAACACGCCATCTCATAAATCGCTGGATGGCAATAGGTCGTTTGTATCCTAGACGAGCGAGCCATTGATCAATGTCATCTGTTCCCTTTGAATCTGACTCGTCGTCATGCATCTCATGACTCAATCCAGATCCAGTCATAGGACGTTCTTTAGGTTGCTTCTTCAACTGTGCGTCGGTATACATGTCGAAGAACTTCCGCTCACTCTTCATCAAATACTCTTCGATGCAATGATCGGAGACTGAGTTTTTCTTGTTTAGGTTTGAGAGCTGCTGCTCGAAAGCCCGGGTGAAGTAAGCATTGCTGTCGGTAAAAGTCGGGTCAACCTTTTGCAGATTGAAGACAGATTGGTCGTGGTCCCCAACCACTGACTGCAACGAAAGAACGGATACATTTCGGGGGTGAACAAGAGGCGTGGCTTCAAGAAGATCAGGAGTCCTTATCGGAGAGGAGTCCCGAGAAACAAAAGATGATTCCAAGGCCGATGAATCTGAATTCGAAGAATGACGATTATGAGGGTCTCTACCACGATTACCGGCACTCAGGAAATCTTGAGATGCGAAAGCTTGATTGACTGCCGCCAATGCCTCTTCGGGAGAGATGTAGTTCTCCTGTGCCATGGAATAGCCCTCCTCCTCCATGTCCGTGACTTCACCGTCATTCGTTCCATCGAAGACTCGGCTCTCGCGCAACACCTGGCTATCTCGGATTGACTTCTTCACGAGTCGATTTCGTCCCTGTCCAGGTCCCACCCGTCGACCCAGCGACAGTTTCCGACCGAGAGTACTGGTCCTGCTATTATCGCCATCTGCAGTCCCGTTGAGTTCAGCTGCCTGTAGCTCTAGAAGTGAAGGCTGAATAAGCTGCGATGGTCTCCCTCGCTCTGTCTCCGGATCCGCCAAAGAGAGACTTGAAAACAGACGGGAGACGTTCGCCGAAAGCCGCATACCCAGCATGCCTGACTCTCGGATCTGGTAAGGCCCCGTGGACTTGACATTTTCGTTATGGATTGAAATTGCTGTTCGCTGTAATCTTTCAAGTTTTCCAACCCACTCGAGGACGGGGAATCGCTGTTTCGCGGAGTTAGCACGCATTTCCTCTCGCATCTGCTCAGATGAATCGAGAGCAGACTCCACTGCGGTCTTCAGTTGGTGCAATAGATGTTGAGTCGAGTCCGATTCAACCGTATACCACCAACCAGGCATCTGGCCAAGTCCTCCAATGCGAGAACCGATTCCAAGAGCACCTTTACGACCGAACTCGACGGCGACCAAACCAAATGGCTCGTCTCGAGAAGGAATTAAGGCAAAGTCAGCACCGGAAAACACATAGGGGGGAAGAATCGTGAACTCTGGCTTTGAAAAGACGCGGCCTGGGTACAATTCCATGATCCGCTGTAGCTTAATTGCAGCCAGTCTACCATAAAGGTCGACCATGGGACCTATGCAGATCAATTGCACGTTAGGTCTAGCAGATAGAATGGCCGGCATCACATCTGCAATAAGATCCACTCCCTTCTGCTTTGACCATCGTCCCACAAATACTAGCAAGTCGGCGTTGGCATCCTCGATCAAACCAGCCCACTGCTGAGCCTGAAGCTTAGGACTGACAATTTCGATATCAGACTGGGCTGCAACTTGCATTTCTGGGGCTCTATCTAGAGCGCCAGTGTCGGAGGGATCAGGATTAGGAAGACTGCCAATACTGCTCAAACTCCAAAAGATGGGATATCTGGCCCATGAACGCTTTCCATACTTCTGAGACACACCAACTGCACCAAAACCGCGCTGGTGAAATCTCAAGTAGCTTGCACCGGTGTGGAGTAAGTTGAACACGTTTCCGAATTGGCAGTATTTTGTCGCGACTTCAATCGGGAGATTAAAGACGGAACACACTTCTACCTTCTCTTTTTGAGTCCTCAGAGGCCAGAGACCTTGAAATTCGGCGTTATGCAAGGAGAGGCAGACAGGAATAGTTTGCGGCAGTAGGTATAGCGGTGCTACACAGCCGTGGAAATCGTTGATATGGTAGAGATCGATCTCTGGCGTTCGCTTGATTGTCTCTGCGATACATTGATTCCAAGCCGAGTAGTAGATTGCACTTTCAAGATCGTCCATACGGGGTGGGTAGGGCTCCGCCTTGGTCTGGTATCGGAAAACTGGTGCATCGAGGAGAACATAAGTGATGTTCTCAGAGACGTGGTATTGCACTTTGACAAGGTATGGCTTATCCAGAACATTCACAATGAAAGGCTCAACGGGTGTGTCCACAGGGTAATCAATATCACCGACACAGGGCACAACCCAAATGAGATTCTGGTGCCTCAGGTTCTGGCCCATGAGCTGAGCCATTACTCCCAGGCCACCAATCTTGACTTTAATCTTCCAGTCTTGTATATCGTATTCCATCGTGGCAATCAATACTGTACGTCGGCTGTCGACTGCTCCTGTCACAGCCAAGTCTGCCGAAAGACTTTTTTCAAGGTTGAGCTCGCTGTGTCCGGAAATCTTGTCCTTCACTCTATGCCAAACTACCACAGGAAGCTTATCGCCCTTGACAACGTTACCATCTGTGTTGAGTTTGATGCGATAGAAATATTGAATGAAGATGAAGACGCCAGCCAATCCCATAATGATCGGAACAATCCAGAGAAGAATGTAGAGAACGAGCTGAGCCCATCCAGAGCCGATGGGGATCAGTTCATACCTTAGGTTGGCATCATTGAGGGAAATCCTGTAGCCAAGATGCGGGAATTTTGGTAAACTGGTGATGTTGATAACGTTGGATGAAAGATAGGAGGGCGGGAGCTTCTGAACTGCAGATGAGTTACCAACATCACCGTAGACCTCCGTAGTATCAGGAACACCGGCCTTGTCCACACCCCAGACATTCAGCTGTCCAACAGACGGCCATTCATAAACAAAGTCATAAGTCCAGCGCGAGCTCTTGGTGTCGTACTTCATTTCGCTTTCCAGTCCTGCATCATAGCCATATTGGTTGTACGGGCCGTTGAACCATAGATGGGGGAATCTTCGAACTTGATTGTCTTCCCAGCCGTAGTCACCTTCTTGAATGTAGTCGCTACTTCCAGTGAGTCTTGAGAAGTATTGCACGCGGACATGAGTTCCCTTCCACTTCTGCTTTTTCGTCTCGGTTGATGCGGCCATGGTCACTGTTGTCTTGCCACCATAATATTTCTCCCATGAAGACCAGGTGCTACCAAAATCAACTGAATAGCGGAACTTATCAGCACCGGCAGCATTGTGACGGATGTAGAAATTATCGTCAAACTTTTGTACCAAGGTACTGGAATAGTTGGTCAGGGGTGTTATCAGAGGATTACTCAGAGAACCGACGCGGATCAAATACTTGTCGGTCGCATTGGTATGAAGGCCAGATGAGCTGGAAAGATTACCGACGGTTAATTGGTGAATTCCGTGGTATACGTTGGTCAAATTCGCAGACCATGTCCAAACAGTCGGGATCTCTCCGACAAATTTATTGTCGGTCAACTTGGCAGTGATGTTGGTACATTTAACACTGCTTTCATCAATAGTGACTGTATGGCCCTTCTCTGTTGTGGAATTGAGGGAGATTGCCTTTGTAACATCGTCACAGGTCATTTCTTTGGAATACCCAAGTTGAATAGGATATGTTGCAGCAGTGTCTTGATTTGACACCAACCGAGCATCATGGCCAGGATAGAAAGATGTGACAGTAGGGCCGGGCTCCACGAAATCTACGCTCCGCACATAGGCTCTGTATTCCCATGGGTACAGCTCCAGCTTGCTAATGCATCCATGGTTGTCTTTTGGACCATCTTCCACGGTGAGCTCATCGTAAGGATAGAAGAGGTTTTTCAGCTTGGTGCCCGAGTCAAATGGAGTTAACAAGGCAGCACTTTTATTGCTGCAGTCTCCTCCGAAGGTTTCAGTCTCATTCCCATTCTGGTACACTAGCCAAAGAGTCTGGTTATCCGTGACTTCTGCTGTTTGGGCGCCAGGGTAGTAGCTTCGCAAAACAGACCACAGGCCAGTTACTGTAGGAGTGTAGGTTGAACCAGGATAGTAGAGGTTTTTGGTCAATTGAGAGAGCGTTTGAACATTGAAACCATCGTTTGCCACTGGATATTGAGTTCTGATCTCGAACATTCGCTTCATGATGTTGCGAAGTGGATGAGCAGGGTTTCGCTGATCATATGTCACGGTAATATCGTTACAACCATTGCGGCCTGAATCAATGGGGAAATCGTAAAACTTTGATGTGTTCAGATTGAAGCATCCCTGTGTCCACCATGCAGTCTGGTATGTCATGGGCTGGCGACCAAACATGTAGTTCGCTGCAGTGGCATCAAACACATACATTGCCTGCTCCTCACCCCATAAGATAAGAGGAATTCCGGGCAGTTCCAATGTCACAATGTAAAGACCAAGAAGGTATTTCATTGTGCCATTCTGGACTGCGGGCCAGCGGAAATTATCTTGGTTCGAGACACCATACATATGTCTAGGATCCACCTCGCCAGTGAAGGCATTCAGGAAATCGTTGGTGATGAGCATCTCATTCCAAGCTTCGATAAAATCTGTTGGCAGATCGAATCCGGCAACCAAGTTACCGTCCATTCCCAGGAAACGGGTCATTGAGCGGTAAATTGTATAGTGGAAAGCGGATGCATCCAATGCTTGCAAGCCATCATCTCTCAGGAAATTATCCGAGCTGTTGGTTAGCTTGATGCCGTCGTCGCTGGTCGAGGGCCACTGATTTGGCTGACGTCCACGGCCAAGATAAAGACTGCCGAATCTATCTCCTGACGTGATCTCCCCTGGGAGGAAGAAATTATTTTTGTTGTACTTCTTCGCACATTCACGATAGACATTAAGCATCTCACTTAGAGGCTCGAGAGTGGCTTGAACAGACTTATCAAAACGGAACCCGTCGATATCCAGACTGGCGATTTGGAAGCAGGAGTGTCGAGTGATAACGTCGCGGACCGGCTTGTGCCATTCACGAAGGCGATCCTGCACAGATGCGAACTTGGTAAGCTGACGCTGCCAGTCGGGGAAATTACCAAATGCCTCCAGTTCTCCGTGCTGGTCGAAATCACTGTTATAACAACCCTTTAGATTCTGTACACCATCGGTGGTCAGCGGGTAGCCGGTCTCGTTCCAGAATTTAGGATAGTTGCAGGTTTCGTTGTAGTCGTTGCCAAAGTTGAAGTCAGCATATTGCCTATCTGTAACCCACTCGACCTCGTACTCGTGTGCGTTGAAGTCGGCTGAGTCGTTCAGGTGACCTTTGAAGCCGATAAGGTTGCTCATTCTGCGGTATAAAATGAGCCTATGGGCATTCCCTAGAAATCAAAGGGTATTGACTTACGTTGCAAGAGTATTATCCATTAGGACGTACATATCCCGGTCATGGATCTCTGTGATAAGGTTTCTCCAGTCGTCCAATGTGCCGTAATGTTGGTCGAGAAGAGTGGTATCGGTTGGTGAGTAACCATCGTAGGCCCAGGGTAAGTTCATCAAATAGGTTCCGGCGAAGTAAATGGCCTATGTCAATTAGCTGCTGGAAAACGTCTTGAGTTCAAGTCAACCTACCTTGAAACCCATGCCATGGATATAGTCCAACGTGTCTATCAACCCCTCCACGTCGCCGCCGTGGCGCATTTGATTTGAGTCCACAACATGCTCGAATTTGGTTCCGTTGATATCATCATTAGTTGGGTCACCATTGGATATGCGATCCAAGAATATAGTGTAGATGGGAAAACGCCAGTTATCTGGCGACGGATGGTATGAATGATCTCCCGGCCATTCTCCCCAATAATCTATTGGGGTTTCAGCGGACTCGTTGGCGTTGAGATTATAGTCAGCGAGTGACTCGTCATAAGGCCAGCAAAAGGCCTGAATGCTCAGAAACGAAAGTATGAGAAGCGCTGAGTGACGCATTTCTTATCCAGCAAGAGCTTACTGCCGGGAAACTGCGCGACACAAGCCTTGAGCGAAAGTGATATAGTAGTATAAGAGCGAGGGTGTGAGCGAAGGGACAAGTGAATTCGACCACTTTGAAACATCCATGGAGGTACTTAGAGTACAGATTACGAATCAAAATATTTTTAAACGAGATTTACTATTCCGGGACCTTGTCCAAGTTTTATCGGGCCGAACTGATGGATAGCTGCGGATGTACTTCGCTAAGTATATTGCTTCTATCAATGTACATTAGACCCACTCGGCTAGACTTTATCGATCCTTCACCGATGCCTTAACGTATGACTTATGTTTGAGGGCCCTTGTCTCAAACAGATCCAACGGAGGACTCCACTATTACAGCATCAACAATCGTTCGCATTGTACATCTGTTTTGAAACGGCAGAACATTATCCCTCGGCGTTTGGTCCACAGCATATCTTTTTTTAGCCCTAAACACGAAACCTTTGCCCCATCAAAAATTATCCAATCATAAGATTTCAAGATGTTGTGGATTCCAAGGTTCAACAGATATTCATCACTTTCTTAGTAGACCGCTAGGTGATTCCAATATTGGAAGATATACCAGGCCGTATTAAGGGTAATTTGATTTCCACTACAGAGTACTACGTGATTATACTATGCACATTTGATGTCTCCACTCTGAACCTTGGAAGGTGATTTTGGCTGCATCACCGGTGGAGCCGGCAACATACGGCAATATCTGGTTCAGTCTGCATAATACCTTTTGTGATTATTCCACAGTACTACCGTGGTTCAGCCATCTACTAGAAGGCTTCTAAATGTCAAAACTTCCGAATAGCCGAGAAAATATCAAACCTCTACTTTATCTCTGGTTTTCTACCTATCTCAATCTTGCCATCATGTACGCATCATAATACCCATTTGAGTTCTCACTAGGTCCAAGCGTTGCATGTATTTACTATACGTCAAAGCTTCAAATTAGGCTGTCCCCTGAGCCTACTTCATATATGGATCACATTTAGGTCTGACCCCTCGTATTGTTTTGATAGATAAGAAACTGAACTACGAATAAGACAGAAGCACCTAGAAATTAGAATCTTTGGACTTTGACCTCGATATACTCCAATCAGCATGTTTTGCAGGTGAATCAAGCACATGGATTCCGCATAACACCGATACCTCAGTAATTGTCATTTTTATCGCGTCAACTGGTGGCTTAACTTACGTAGGTGTCAACGTTTAAAGCCACGTATAATGCAGCTATTACGGATGATTTACCCAGCGCATGTTGTATTCTTTATCTTTCTTCCGTCAAGAAGTCTAGGCAGTAGATGACTAAATCCTATTTTACATGCCAGGGCCCATTCCTGTAATTTTTAGTGTCGTGCGAATGTAACACTGTGGGACTCAAATGTTCTACGTACGCTAAATATAGCCTCACTCGATGGGCCTGTACTAATGTTTGTTGAGATTCGGTGCCCACCTGGGCACACCTAAGACACGATATCTGAGACATCTGGGGACCAGCAACTGCTTATGGTTAAACCCTTAAAATCTCATGATAAATATGTTACAATAAGAATATTGATACTGAGAAATCCGTAAGCACTAATGAGTGCCGGAAAACTATCAGAACGTCAAAATTTAATTAAGAACTACTCGGTACAGATAAGTAAACTACCAACAACCCTGCACGCCTAGAATCTTGGCTTTTTCCGTGATCGGATGCGGATGAAAATATGGGGCAGTGTGCGTAATTAATGGTACGTACCTGAGTACCTGCAACAAATCCTCTTTTATCCTTTGCCACATCTCAAGATTAATAAAAAACCATAAACGGGGCTCGGGTTCCGCCATGTCAAACAAGAAGTTTAACCAGTTCGTGCTTCGAAAGAGAAGGTTCCTACATGTTGTAGGTGTTGAGAATATAGACAGGATACAAGTTCATGAGCAGATGATACTAGGAATACCACACCTCTTGTAATCTATTATTTATTTCCGGTTAAATACAGACCTTGTTCTGAAACTTCTCAATATTTCGAAATGAATTAACGTACATGATCGATAATTCAGATCACGTGAATACCAAAACAATACCAATACTGTATTTAGCTGAATCAAGGAAGTGGATCGAGTAACTGTCAAAACGTCGGAGGCTGAGTGGAATCTAGAAACATTTTCAATTTCTTTTAACCAAGCTTTTCAGTTCCCGATTTCGGTATTTGAATATACAAGGACTGGGTATTTACTAGCGCTGTTTCGAAGGGTTTGATAATCATGAATTGCGGAGATTTCTGCCTTATCGCTTCGTATAGATTGCCCTCAACCTTCTAGCAGCGGGCGCTATCTCGTGTAATCATTGATAGTCACCTACCCGATATCCAGCTTCGTACAACCTGTTCAGAGCTTTAGAAGTTTGTTTGTGTATCTCAGGCCCCAGGAGACTAGAGTTGACGATAATCTTATACAATGTACTAATTAGTGGAGAAACCAAACCAGACCTGCGGTGCATTTTCCGAGGCACTATCTTCTATCGATCCCCCTATACAGGACTATCCAAGTTAGGTTAGACATAGTTATATTTGGCCATAATCTTTGATGGCGCGCTATAGATCAGATTCATACAATATAAAAAGATAGGATATGACTACCGATTCTAATACTGCCTAGGGATCGTCATGGCTGTGCTTTCTAAACTGCCCAGGGGGATTGCTTGTTTTTGTTGAATGTGGCGTCGTAGATCGTCTCTTGTCATTTGCTAAAGTGCGGAGTGCCCGGGCTCACAACCTTGGAATTTGCGATTGTTTTCATCCTTGGATCTGCATATGCTCAATCTCTAAGAGACCTTGAAATGTGACTGGCTGGAATTGGCAGCATTGCATACTGCACGTCGTCAGGGGAAACGTCAGGGGGAAAGTCACCACCGGAGTCTAGAGTTCATGTAGTCACTTGTGGCTATGTATGCGATGTGGAATGTGCTCAAATCAAGGCCTGGAAAGGAGCGACGGATTCTCAGTAATTTAGCCTCTATACAGGTTGCTCTCAAACGATTTGACAACGGATAAACGATAAATATATCAGCCTTGGTGATAAGACTAGCCACGCTAGGCGCACTGTCTCATGCGTACCTAGGTAGATATCTTTAAATGGGTTTGGACTAGTCCCTCCAGGGCTCCCGGTAAAAACAGTGGAAGATTTGGTAAATTTGGTGCCTGAGGCTACAACTTCAGGTCACTCTGGTGCCCCAGGTACAATCTCATTCAACTTTGAAACCTTGGAACCGTGACATGCCTATGTAGCTGCCCATTTAAAAGTTCCGAAGGACAGCCAGTAATATGAGCCCCGATGATACCGGCATATGTTATTTTTTTTCTAAATGTATACTAGATTCAAATCGCTGGCTAATACTCATCGACAAGAGTTCACAGGTACTTGATAGGTACAGTTGCTAGGTACACAAGCCCGTCACGGCCGAGAAGAACCCTTGTAAGTCTGGGGTATCTGCACAACTGAAAAGCTCGGACTGAGTAACTGAGACAATCAAGTTCCGATTGATGAAATAAGGCAGCACTTGATGGGAGAGGTGACAAGATAAGGTACCTAATATTAGCGTCAGTTCACCTATCTATTCTGGAATGTGGATATATACAAATGATCAAAGCCTCCAATGGGACACATGGACAGTGTTACCGAGTTCTAACAGGGTTCCCTGCATATGTTTCCTTGGTTAGCGGTAAAGAAAGCTGCACAATTACTTTTCTGTGCACTTTTCTGAACTGATCTATATGACTCAATCGACTAATCTACACGACACTAAGTCCTTGACATCCACTTTACATTAGGGTGGGGCTTCTTAAGCCCTAGATATTTGCCAAAGGGCAATATTCCACCTTGGGTTCATCAGACCATGACTCGCGACGTTGGCAGAAGTGATAAATACTGATGCAACTTGTATACTTGTTCATAGTTCTTATCGGTGAAGCTCGGGCCTCTGCGCTGTTCCAGATGCTCATGGCTTTTTAGAATATCTTGAAAATATCCTCTCGGACTAGGCCAAAATTCGGTGAGAATGCGTGACTGAGGCTGTATTCCTGTTGTGATAGCTTTAGTATGCGAGGATGTGAAGAAAAGTAGGTATGCTGGCAGCCGAGAAAGCAGAGGTAGAACCGGATTTTGTCATTCTCCTGATTCACTATGTTCAACCTACAGGAACAACCTTTCCAGTCACACATGAATGCACTTTCGGTGATGCAGCGAGACAGGAACAGATTACATACAAGATTGACCTTGTCTGTTGTGCCTGGCAAATTGAAATGACCACTCAGCTATCCAATCAACTAGCAAGGTTCGAGATCTTTCGATGACAAGAAACTTTTAATCTTGGAAGACAAAATACTCATTGATATGGGTGAGTTACAAGGTTGATATCACGGCACAGCATGCTTTCAATGTTGGGAAGGCTGCCCAGATGGTGAATTCACACGTGGACAGTGAGTCAAATGGGATATTTTCTCGCTTTCCCTTGATAGTCTCTCTTTTTGTTTTCCTCCCGAGCTTGAAGTCACTCACTATATTTAATGAAGGCTAGAATACATATTCTTGCAATCAAATTTCAAGTTTAGTGCGAACATAAAGCTGGTTCACTTGGGCAAGTGATGGATTACTTCAACATATCAATATAGGACATATATTCCTTCAGATGCTAGAAATAAATAGAGATGTTTATTTTGGAATCTTAACATGTTCGAATAAGAACAGTTTGAACTCCTAATACTTAGAAAATCGAAAGTCTTGGAGACCGCATTGTTTTGAGTGGTGATTTGCAAGAGTGAGGTGCGTACTTGCCATCCACAGTTGTATTGAGTAACGATTGATGTCTAGACACTCACCTCAACCACAACACCTGGCCCTCTGGATTCCCTTCACCAAAGTTGAATCGCCTCTCTGAAAATTTGAAAGAATCTTCTTCATACACTCCCTTTTCTCCCAACAGCTAAATCACTTACCCAACAATCTCTCTGTTCGCCGCGAGTTCCAAAGCTCTGGTCAGTATTCCACCCACCACCAAACACACCCACAGAATATCGAGGTAAAATCTCACTCCCATTTATCCCACTAACTTGAAAAAGCTGCGTCCCAGTCCACCCCAATCCAAAAAACCATCACTGAACACCAACCGTCCAAATGCCTGCTATCACCATCATTAACAGCCAAATCCCCGCCGGCCTCCATCTCCATGCGATGGAGAGACGAGGCAACTGGGCAAGCCAACACCGTGGCATTGTGCTTGTCTTCTGTATTCTGTTCCTTGTTGCAATCGGTATCGGCGGTTCCTCGATTTATCAACGATACATGAAGAAGAAGGCTAAGGAGGCTTCCCATATTCCGCCTCGCTAGTCACAACTCGTGCTTCATCACAGAGCTCTTTCTCTCCATCAGAGAAAAATGTGATGCAATGGAATGCGATGGTTTCACTCTTACCCTGGCCTGATTTTTTCTTTATCGGATGGACGACGCTTCTCACTTCCATGATACAAGGTGCCATATCAATGATTGAATGAGACCTTTTCTAAATAAGTAGATCAATCATTTCAAAGCATGATGGATCATACTGACCGAATAGATAGTGCATCCCTATGGATACTCAGAGACTGCAGTTGAGGTCTTGGAATTCCATGGTGGCAAGGACAGGTAGAGGCAATCTTCCTGTTGATGGTGATATGGAAGGGCCCGCGTTACTCATCGACACCCTCTTTACCTTCTATATCAATGAATCCATAATATGTCTTCCATGGGTGCTAGTCTTCTTTCAAATATGTTCATGCTACCAGTCCGGTTTCATATACAACGTTAAGGTAAACTCGTAATTTTGGTAATAGAGAATACTGCGACCTGAGTGACACGTCTGCACAAATTCCCGAATTCCTAATGCAGTACACCTGAAGTGTAACATCTCATGATTCAAAAATTGACCAAAGGCGTACCTTGTCAGGGACACTTTTGACCAAGATTAGTTGTCCTGTTATCTCGCGGTGCCATAGTGCTATAGACCAAGGTTACAATAACCTTAAATCAACGCATAAAAACATATCTAGGTACGGATTGTTGCAGATTGACCTTCAGGGCTCCAATATCCCATCAATTTGTTTCGTTTATGACCACCGGGTTGTATTTCATGATTTCCCAGTCAGCACGGTGGTTTAAAATCCATAGCGTCGAACCGGGATACGTAGGTACCATAGTGACTAGGTAGATAGACATACCCAAGTACCTCACAGAATTGCCTTGAATGGAAACAAATATTAAAATAACATCTCATTTTTTCTAGACAGTTATACTATTATCAAACACTAAGCAATTATTTAATTTCAGAGACTTCATGCAAGCATATGCACATAGTATTATGCAGTTTTCTCACCCTCTTCATCGGAAGAGATCTCCGGCAAAGCAGGTGCGAACTTGGACTTTTTCCTGAGACGGGGACCAATCTTGATAAAGATCAATGGAATAGGGATCATGATAGCTGCAAGACAGCCGAGGAGGGTACCGGCCCATTGTACGCCAAGATTATGGAACATTTGTTTCGAGAAGAGGGGGAATGCTGCGCCGACGGCTGATCGGATGATTGTATTGGCGGCGAAGACGGAGGCAGCACTGTCCAAGAGTTAGAAAGAGATGAACATTAGAAGACAGTAGGTCAGATTTAAAACTCACAAGGTCAGATATGAGTCGATTAGGTAGTTGAAGCACTGTAGGAAGATAACGTATATTCCGAAGCCGGTGACTATTCCACTTGCGGTAGGAGCCATCCAGTGGATATCCTTTGTGAATCCAGTCCAACCAAACCAGAAGAGGCCAATGCAGAAGAATAGACCACCGAATATCGCGGGAGGTAGACGCCATTCCGGAATGGGTACGTTGTTGTTGGCGGCCAAATTTTTCGTGTATGACTTTTGATCGTACAGGATGTACATGCCTGCGAAGAGTTCGCCGATGATAAGGCCGATGAAAGGGAGACTGCCCACGCCGATGTTCATACCGTGAATTTCCATGAAGACGATTGGGTAGGCGCTGAGAAGGGCGTACATCAATCCGTATACGAAACTCATCCAGAGAGAGATCAGGAAGACTATTGGTTCGGTGAAGAGCATGCGGAATGGACGACTGAAGTTTATGGTGATCAGTTCGTTCCAGTCCACTTCAACTTCTTCTTGTCGGGCTCGGATACCCCAGTTGTGTGTCTGTCTACGGAGGGTGATGGCTTTCTCCACAAGGACGATTGGGGCGTAGGTCTCCTTGAGGAAGAATAGACAGAGACCAGTGGCCAAGAAGCCCATGATACTTGCGATGTACATGGTCCATCTCCAGCCCAGGTAAGACATTGTGATGAAACCTCCAGTAAAGGGTGATGCGAATGGACCGACGAACACAGCCATGGCGAACATGGCAATGGCGATACCACGAGTCTGGTTGCTGTATATATCAGCAAAGACAGCGGGGACAATAGCGATGGGACTGGCTGAGCAGAAACCAGCAAAGAACCGAGTTATCATGAGTGTTTGGACATCCTTTGCCGTGGCCGAACCGATGGTGAAGATCGAGTACATGAAGACGCCTGCTATAATAGGCCATTTCCGTCCGATCAATTCACTTGCTGGCGCCCATAGTGTTGGACCGGAGGCAAATCCAAGCACATAGAGAGTCACACCGAGGATTGCAACCTCAGAGCTGATGTGGAAGTAAGGGCTGATGTGGGTGATGGCGCTGGAGTAGATAGCAGAGGCGAATGAAGAGACGAAGGTGGTGTAAGCTAGAGTGACGGAAATCACGATCTTTTGACTCAATGACCAATTCTGAGGGTGCAGAGGGTCATCTACACCAGTAAACTCGACGATGAACTGATCTGGATCTGGCAGTTCTGGAGGATAGGGCTTTCCAGCTCCCATAGGAAGCCAACTGTCTTTCGGAGCCTTTCCAATTCCTGATCCAACAGTCGACCTATGTTGGAGTCGATAAGTATTGATACGCTCCAGCTCGACCTCGTGAAGGGATTCACGTCGACTCATAGGCTGTGATCGGATTCCTTCATATCGTGTTTCGGCGTTATCTTCGCTGGTAGGGATAGCTGCTAACAAGTCGCTACGGTTGCTTAAACTTGATGGTGCTAGGGAGATAACAGAGCTAGTCTGCTCCATAATTGAAGTATTAAATAATGTATTATTTATCTAGACTAGAACGGTGAAAATGAATCCTTTTAAATATACTAGAGAAAAAAAAAAAAAAAAAAAAAAAGGAAAGATCTGTGATATCAAAGACGTCATGATCCTATTCCGTCTTGGGTTATTTGCTCCATAGACTACACGGTATGGATCTTTCGGATCAGGCGGGGAAACCTTGCCGGAAGCATCCATTGCCCATTTGAGGCGTTTTTCAATTCTTTGATAGTATTTGAGTGAAAATTGTACCAGATAACGAGCCAAATATAGTCACATGAGTATGATAATGTAGTATAGATAAAATAGTGCTCTGTTCTATTTGCCTTGATATGAAGAACGTGGCGGGAAGGCGCTAAAGCCACATGGTAGCCAAGACTTTTGAAAATCTCTATTTAATATTAACGAGAACCGATCATGATTAACATGAAATGCATTTTATTTGAAAGATCTCCCTCGGAAAGAGAAATGCCGTCTTTAAATTATCAACATTTCTAAGCTCATCCTCTCATGCTGGAACGCTGAGATTGATATCTACACTACGGTTGAGATCTCCAGCTAACTGTTTAATTTTTAATTTTTAATTTTTTTTTAATTTCAGAAGTTTATTATTTCATCATTTTCTCTTTTTATCACTTTATGACTTCTTTATTTCATTATTTTATCACTTTAGTCTACCTTCAATTCTATAGATATTCCTGATGTTTGATGGAACAACCAAGATCGACAGTTCCCTTTCTATTATCCACTCCGTCAGCACTAACGCACCAACTATAGCGCAGCTCGTATGGACAACCGCTCAAGACCCATTGTTTTAACCCCGCAAAACCACCCGATGGATTTTCTTATGAATCGATTGATTCTCCCTTCAACATCCCACGATCATCGCCTAGCATTTTCATTCCAATTGAGTTTTCTCAATCGCAGCGAAACGAATTTTTTATCATGGCCGAGACACACGGCCACTGCGACCCCGGTTTTGAATCCGTACGGGAGCTCTTGAAACAAAGACTCGAGCGTGGTAGTGAACTGGGGGCTTCACTCTGTGTCAACATCGACGGGAAAAATGTGCTAGATATCTGGGGTGGACATATGGATACAGCGAAGACTAAACCCTGGGAAGAGAACACACTCGGCGTCGTCTGGTCTTGCTCAAAGGTCGTCACCAACCTTGCAGCACATATCCTCGTTGATAGAGGCCTGCTAGACGTGAACGAGAAAGTCGCAACCTACTGGCCGGAATTTGCCGCAAACGGAAAGGAGAGTATTAAGGTGTCCCATATTTTGAGCCATACCTCTGGACTCTCGTCGTGGGACGCTCCAATGAGTACGGACGATATCTGCAATGTCAAATATGCCACGGATAAACTGGCAGCACAAGCCCCCTGGTGGACACCGGGTGAGCATTCCGGCTATCATCTCGCGACTCAGGGACACCTGGTTGGGGAGTTGGTGCGTCGCATCAGCGGGAAGTCGCTGGGTCAATTCATCACGGATGAAATTGCAGGACCGCTAGGTGCGGACTTTCGTCTTGGCGTTCCGGAAGAAGACTATTCGCGTACGGCGGACATCGTTCCTCCGGAGCCTATCTCATTTGAAGGACTTGACCCAACAAGCGTCGCAGCTAAGAGTCTGCTGGGTACACCTATGTCAGCTAGGTTATGTATGACTCCTGCCTTCAGGAATGCAGAGCTGGGCGCCTCGAATGGATTCTCGAATGCGCGTGCTTTAGCCCACATTGGGTCCCTAGTCTCGCTGGACGGCACCGTCGATGGGAAAAAATATCTCTCCGATACGGCGATCGATAAGATTTTGGAGGAGCAGATTCACGGAATGGACCTTGTCCTTTTCACTGAGTCGCGCTTTGGTCTTGGTGTCGGTCTTCCTACGGGGCCGATGAGCGCCTTGTTTAATGGTGGGGATGAGGGTATCTGCTTCTGGGGAGGTTGGGGTGGTTCTATACTTATCATGGACAGGGAGCGCCGCATGACTATCGGCTATGTCATGAACAAGATGTTGGGTGCTGGCACGGTGGGCAATGAGAATACTTTTGCCTATGTCCAAGAAATATACAACCTCGTCAACAAGCTGAAGAGTCAGTCTTCTCTATGAGGATGGAAAAGGTATTCCTCAGGTTGATAAACAGCTAGGACAAAGTTTAACTAGTTTGATGAATTGCAAATATACTACAGATATAATTTTCTCAATCTATAAGTCATGGTTGATGATGCATTATGCAAACATCTCTAGGTCTTCTACTTGGTGACTAGGGTTGAATTAGAAATTAGCAAACTGATGTTCATCGAAGATGATAAATACCACAAATGGAGCTGCAATGCCATGATTCCCCTTCCTCCACGACTCCATCACAATAAGGTCCATGTCGCGCCGAAGGAACTGGCGAGTCTGTAGAGAGAATTCAAAGCTTTGGCCAAATTCGTAGAAGAAATTTCTTAGGAAAGTCAGAATTTGGTCGAGAGGTTTGAATTCATTATCGGTGCGATGCTTAACCGGAGCTGGGCAGTTACCGCAACCCAATTCATTGAGAACATTAACATGTACATGGTAGGGGATTACGCATGATGCTAAAGCACTCAGTGAGAAGAAATAGTCTTGATCATTTCAAGATTCTCATCGATCAAGTAGGGAGAGGTGGACGATCCTTGAAAACCTGCGGGAAGGAACATCTTTCACGCTAGGTCGTACTTATAACCGCGCAGCAAGTTTCTAATGCGAACAGCCTGATAGGACAATTTAGATAGAATATTCGGCAAAATGAATTCGTATGTTTGGGACACAGATTCGCTCTATGGGGCTCACAAGATAAAAAGAGAAACCTCCAGGGCTTGGAGCCCTTCAATGCGCTGGAGTTAGACCGGTCACACTGATCTGCTATGTACCGAGGTAGTCTACATCCACACAACCCTGCAATCAATCTGTGATAGTATGGATGCTTTTTATGGTATTATTTCAAAAAAAAACGACGCCTTCTCCATAGATACTTCCAGCTAATAAGCAAAATAAACCGGTACACCACAGAAACTGCTATCCAGACGCAAAGGAACTTGAGATATGCTCCAACCAATATAAGATACATAAGTAATTTTCATTAAAGCAAGCCTTGAGAAACAAGCCTTGAGAACGTCTCCAAGATATCTCTCTTCAAGACATCTTGGCCATTTCAAGAGTTTTCATAAGCATTGATCAATGCTATGCAAAGTTCAACCTACTCCGAGTCAACAGCGCTCTCACTCTGGCTTTCAAGCCCAGATTCTACCCACCCGTCAAGAATGTTTTTAATATTTTTAAACGCCACCGGCTTTGTCAAGAACATGTCCATTCCAGACTCAAGAGCTTCAGATCTATCGCTCGGACTGCTCAGGCCCGTTAATGCGATGATAGTGGCTGGTTTTCTATCGCCGCTTCGCTTTCTTTCGATGGCGCGGATTGCTCGTGTTGCTTCTATACCTGTCATTATTGGCATTGAGATATCTATTATGGAATTAGCTTTTGTCATCTTCTTATTTGGAATTGTACGATGACTTACCCATGAAGATAATGTCGTAGCCTGTTTGTTCTTCTTCGACGGCTGATACGGCAAGTTGGCCATTCTCTGCTGAGTCTAGGATTGAGGGTTTTCGTTTGTTGAGGAATGCTAGCATTAGATTCAGGTTTATTTTGTTGTCTTCGACGACGAGGATGCGAGCTTCGCGTTTGCTGCTTTGGTTGGATCTGAGACTGTCGGTTTCCGAGGGTGGTGGACTTGGAGGGGTGATATTAATTGTTCGTTCATCGTTTGAGATTTGTTGTCTGGTTCGTTCAGGTAATGTCGTCAATGCTTTTGTGAAAGATTGTGGTGGTGGCTGCTTGAGACTCTTTTGGATAGAACGTCTAAGCTTGTGGGGACCGCATGGTCTGTTGATTATGTTCACGAATTTGTTGCCGAAGGGGGACTTGACTTCCATGGAGCGATTGCTGATCCAGCCTTTAGTGAAAACGATTACGGCGGGATTTGTGGTGATGTTTTTGTTGATGTCGGGTTTTGAAGGCATTTTTTCCGCCATTATAACGTCCAAAGGCGTATCAGAGGATGCGGAAACCAAGTTCATACCATACCCATCAGTGAGGTAGCGAGACAGGTCTTTCCAAGTCGGATTACTGGGGGCTTCTTCTGGTTCAACGTCCAGTATAGCAATGTTCAGTCCAGAAAGAGTCATCTCCGTGGTGCGAAAGTCATTTGATACAACACCTCTTTCGTTGGATGAACAAAATGAAGCTGGACCAAGCATACCATCGCAATTTTCCGACTCTGGACGCGCAAGTGAAAGCATTACCTTGACAATTGTGCCTTTGCCCAGCTGACTCTGAATGTTGATAGTACCACCAAGTGACCGAATGAGGCTGCGAACAATAGAAAGGCCAAGACCAGATCCACTGACCAGGCTATCCTCCTGCAAAAAGGGAGTGAAGATCCCGCTTCGCAAAAATTCTTCTGAGATTCCCTTGCCGGTATCAGTTACCGTCAAAGTCACAATGTCGGTGTCGGTAGTTTCGGATGACTCTTTCGCGTCCAATTTTATAGTAATACGACCCTCTGATGTATACTTGAGGGCGTTGCTGACAATGTTCATGATGATCCGTCGAAGGGCACCCGGAGCTGTGTGATAGATCCAATTGTTCGATGAAATATCTATATCCACGTCCACTGGTGGAGTTGAGTCTCGAGTGGTGCTCTCGGCATCTGAATCGCGTCGTAGGGAGCCCGAAGTGGTGGTAAGTTGACTATGAAAGTGACCCAAACATAAACCCTCTATCACTTCTTCCGCCAAAATGGAAACATCAGTTGGGATGTGTTTATCCAAGTGGGAAGCAGAGCGATGAAGACTTTTCTTGTCATCTTGTGACAGTCTTTTCTTCCTATTTTTTGAACGCCTGAACTGTTTTTCGTTGGACATTATCTTGCTGAAATCCAATACTTGATTCATTGTGTCGAGCAAAGTCCGACCGCATGCATCGATGGTTTCCATAAGCGTGACTTGATGGGGTGATAGTTCTGTTTTATGAAGGAATTCTGTGGCCGCTAAAATTCCGTGAAGAGGGCTGCGAAGTTCATGACTAAATAGAGATTAGTCGCCTTGTAATTATAATAGATGTGGGTTGAACCCACGAGATACTGCCAAGGAAGTCGGCTTTTTGTCGATCAGCAATGAGAGACTCGATTCGATTGTATTCCGCCATGATAGAAGTTCCAAATCCAATCAATGAGCTGAGCTCTACTGTAGGGCTGAAGACAAGACTTTCAACGGAGTTCCAGCAGAAGAATCCACCAAGGTACTGGGCATTAGCTGCATTCCACAGAGGAACGAAAAGTACCTGTGTGGTACCAGGGAAACAAGCATTTAATGTCAAGTTCTCTCTCAATTTCCACTTCTGGGTCTTGGATCGTAAGGAGGCTGGTCTTGCCCGAGCACGCCTTCGGCGTGGTAAATCTTCGCCTTCGGAACTAGACAGCATTCCATCACGGTGGAAAGACCAGATGTTGCCTTTCTTATTATATCGACGCAACAGGTGGCGCATAAATTCTTCGTCCATATTTTGCATTGCACTCGAGATGGAAGTCTTCTCCTGGTCAAAGGAATTTTCTTCGGTGGAAATTGCCAATACAGAAACTGGTTTCGAGTTGTCTGTATAGCTTGAGGAGCTTGAGATGTCGCTGTCAGAACCACTATTAGACACATCGTCGCGGCCAGCTTCCACGAAAACGACACCATCATCTCCTTGTAACTCGAGACTTTCTCGAATCAAATTTGCTGCTCGTCGAAATGTCCATGAGTTTCCCTTCGTTCCCTTTGCATCACCAGTCCTAATGCGATCCCATTCATTTTGATAAGCTACTTCGTAACTAGATGAGACAGATGCTTCGCCCGAGACATCAGAGGCAGACTTGAAGGAGTGTGTACTATTGCCGCGAGATCGAGATCGCTTAGGTGAAGCATTGCTGATGCTAAGGTGATCTCGAGTCTGTGAGCGGGCCTTTCTTGCCGGGGAAGAGACGCTTCGTTCGTTAAAGGGCTCTGAAGCTGGATTCGCCAAACCTGGGCTCTGACAGGCATCTGAAAATCGCGCATTACCTTCGACAAAGTAATTGAGACCAAGAGACAGTCGGGATGCACGGCGGCCCTCAGAAGCTTGACGACTAATCTTCAAAAATTCCATAATAAGAATAGCTATTTGGCCCATAGTTTCCTTTTCAATATTCGTGAATTCGGCATGGGGTTTTGTGTCAAGAGCGAAAAAACAACCGAGGTTGATATTACTGTCGGTGGTGATTGGTGTACCGGCATAAAAGCGGAATTTAGGGTCTTTCTGCACGAGTGGCAGATGCTTATATCGATCATCTTGGCTGAGGTCGTTTGAGATGATAAAATTTTGATTTCCTTTTGTGCGAGTAGATGGGGGTAGTGCGACGGTATCCTTTGCAATGAATCAGTTAGCTGAAAGATTCAAGAGGAAGACCCCCCGGAGACCTCCCCCAGTAGCCCTACTTACTTTGCACATAATCCAAGTCTTTGTATCCAGAGTTGAGGGTCCCGAGTATAGGCCATCACATAGAGAGTCGTACTTCGTGTCACCAGCTGTCTGTGCAGCCTGTGCTAAAATAAATTGAGAATCACGATCTGATACACTGATGGCTTAGATTAGTATACTTCGCTCACTCTTGCACAAGTGGACGGAGGCTTTTTTGCTTCATACCTAATGAACACTCGGTCTACATCTAGGCGTAGCGCGGCAAGTTGGGCAAAGGAATTCAGTGTCGAGCTTGAGTCACCAATTATCATAGAATTGAGCGTGGATGGAGTAGAACAATGTGAAGATTGTGATATATTCGAGTGCGGGGAGCCAGGTAGGTCGAGGTCTGCCTTTCGAGAATATGAAGCATCTCCATCGATTGGCGCTAACCGCTCAGGACGAAAGAAACGGTATACTTCGCGAGCTCTTCGACCAGCGGAGTGATCATCCGGGGTGATCAAAGGTGTCGTGGATTCCATAATGTAGTGAATGGAAAGAAAAAAAGATTAAACCAGTTAGATCAACATAGGTGAAACGAATCAAGTGCAGCTTATTCGCTGCTAATACTAGAGTACAGTTAGATTATGCAAAGAGGGCATAGATCCAGCCTCAGGGTAAGCGTGGTAAGATGTAAAAAGATCGGAAGAAGAAAGGGTGAAATATCATGAAATTAGATAAATGGATAAATTAGCAAAAGGAGGACAGTATGTGGGCTAGACCTAGATCAAGTTTCTCAACTTCGGGATCGTTAGAAGGAGGTCTCCTATAGGCTATAAGACCATCTCACAAGTCCCCGTGCCAGCCGTTACCCGATCATGTTAATGGTAGATGAAATGCATTGATATGATTGGCTGGAAAGAAGGGAGAAGAAAAGAATCAATATAATTGGTGGGATGTAGCGAGAAGAATGTGGAGTAGAAGAATCAGGGAATAGAACTGAAAGGAAATAAACAGGGGATAAGGGAAATAGAAAGGCGGGCAAGAGATAACTTTGTTTGAAGTCTAGATCAAGATGACGTCATGCTGGAAATAAACTTGAATTAAATCGAATATAAATAAATAGATCTTTCCAGATCAGGCTCAGGTGGGCCCCTATCCGGCTTTCAATGCCGCCAATCAGGACCGAGTAGCAGTAGATCATCTCTAGTAAATTAGAGAACGACCCTCAATTTAACCTTGACGACGAAGTAGATAATCAGGAACTAGTGTAAATATGTGATCTACTTAGTACGATTATTAGCAAAATACTAGATGTTTCAGCGTGGTCAGATAAACCGAGCTCAGCTTGTTCAAAAAAAACAAAAATAAAAACCTTAGGAAACCTGTTTCTAACGAACAAATCAAGTAGAAGATGTTCTTTCAAGATGAGTTATAGCCATTTAGAACATTTAGACTGCTTATTTCAGCTCATGCAACCTGGTTCCAGGACTGTGTTTCCTTTAAAAAAAAGTAGTTGTCAAAAGCATGGAGCACAGGAACGCCCAGTCCGTGTGTCCATGGGCTTCTGGACTCAGATTCTGCCAAATTTCCGCCGCAACGGATCACCCCTCTTACCTATGATCAACCATGTTTTTTTGAAATCTCAGGAACTCAAATCCCCCTCTGTTGCTGAAAAGTGATCACTATTTTGTATTGTAGTGCTCTCACTCGATTCTTTTACACTGCTATCATCTCTCATGCATTGACTCCTTACGGGCCCGGTACATTTATTCTCGCTAACATGGCAGAATTCACGGCCAACCAGGTAATGGGGGTAACATTCGAAATCACATCAAGGTTCATTTCACGCGCAGTCTTAGGTGGCTTGGTACCTATTTAGCTGATACGTATATCGCAGGTATTCAGAGCCACAGCCGGTGGAATTGGACACGTCGGGGTTGATCTGGTAAGCTTGCCAACTCTCCAATGTGAAAACAAAAAACATTATATCGGTATTGACAAGGTAACATGAATAGCTCTGCAAAAGATCAGATACTGCAAAAGCTGGTGGCTGTCAGGAAGGTCACTAAGCCATTTGGATCTTCAGTGCTCTCGAAGCAGGCTCTTCGAGAAATTAAGTTGTTGAGATATCTGCAACATGAAAATGTCGGATTCCATATATCTACAGATACGTGAACTTCTCATGTTAACCTTGTGTAATAGCTCGTCAGTATGAGTGATTTGTTCATATCCCCAGCAGAGGACCTGTAAGCTACCCAGGCAGCGATTGAACTTGGAATTTACTAATTTGAACAGTTACATTGTCTCTGAGCTCATGTGGACCAATCTCCAAAGACTCATCAATGGAAAAGGGGCCATCGAAGATGGATTTTCCAAGTACTTTCTTTACCAAATACTGGTATGACCATATTCACGCCCTGTCAACATAACGCTTACAATTCATAGCGTGGATTGAAATATGTTCATTCAGCAGGAATCATACATCGTGATCTCAAACCAAGCTCTATTCTGATTAACGATAATTGTGATCTGAAGATCAGCGGATTCGGAAATGCCCGACTTCAAGGCCCACAGATGACCGGCTACGTCGCAACAAGGTTCTATAGAGCCCCCGAAATTATGCTGACCTGGCAAAAGTATTCTGCAAAAGTGGATATCTGGAGTGTGGGGTGCATATTTGCTGAAATGCTATGTGGCAGACCTATTTTTCCTGCTTCTAGCCATGCAGATCAGTTTCATCAAATCGTGGATCTCTTGGGTAGTCCACCGATCTGGATTGTGGATACTATTTCGAATAACCATGTAAGTTCAAACTTCATTTTCTGTTGATAGATAACTTACAATTTCTATCAGACCAAGAATTTTGTGGAATCGTTACCAAAATGCAAACGAAAACCTTTGCGAGAAGTCTTTCCCAACATTGATCCAAGTGGTTCGTTGCTCCCATTCTCACAAAAAGAATCCATATTAACTTCACCAGCGGCCGATTTACTCGAAAGAATGCTTGTGTTTGATGTTAATGAGCGAATCAACGCCCGAGACGCCCTTTCACAACCTTACCTGGCTCCATATCACGATCCAAATGACGAGCCAGTTATGAACGATGAATTTGACTGGTCCTTTGACAGCGACTCCGAAACCCCAGATACCATAAAATCCATGGTGTATGTAGTCATTATAATCCATGATACTATAGGAACTGACCGAGAGCAGGTTTTTGGAAGTTTGGGCCTTCCGAACGCAAGAAAGGGAGCACATGATTGAAAGGAGCGGCGCAAATGCTTACCAGACACCTGTCTCTTCTAGGACAAACTCGGACACCGATCTGCATGTACGGCTGGAAACTAATGATGATCGTGATGATTATGACAAGCTCATGTCTACATTCTGTCAGAATTTCGAGTGTGGCAATTAGGAATCTAAAATTACGTGTTTACAATGAATGGATTTGTGTACGTGGTGATCTTATAGCCAGTGGTCATAGGAGGAAAGTGCTCAAGTCAATAATCTGTCCGGGTGCGGAATGGAACCCTAGCCTGTTATAATCACAGAGTTATGATCTTCGAGATCATAGTCCCTGGTTCTGGCCTGTATCCGCCATACTTTCAGTCACTTTTGCCGCGCATGCCACAAGTAGGTAATCATGCATCCGTTGGGTTCTGATACGTTCCAAAATGGATATGATCAGCAAGAAGGTCAAGGAGGTTATGACGTGGCATCAAGCTTGTCGGGTCCTGGAGCATTGGCTGGAGCCCGATCTTACTCTCCCATCAGGTCTGGTGTCCGTAAAATTGAAAAGCGGAACTTGCTTCATCGGGAACTAGATGCAATAGGGCATGTGCTACCCTACCCTTGAGCAATCTATCTCACAATCCAGAAACACATGAATAGTCCCTGGAGATTTAAACGCTTGGCAGCAGTCCGTGTCACTCGAATGTGCGGAGAATGGATTATTTTGACGGATTTACCAAAAATATAAGATCTTCGATACTGGATGTCGACACCTTCAATATGTAAACTCTAGCCAATGAGGTCAGAGTATGGTACTGGGCCTAAGATCGATTCCAAGAAGACAGCTTATAAGGCCCTCGGCGCACCGAATTTCCCCTCGTATGGGGCGTCTAGATGGCTTATTATGATATTGTTGCCCGAGGATGAATAATAGGGCCGTGGACCTAGATGAAGTGGGTGACGGTAAAAGCGAATGGGTTGTAAGAGGTCCGGGAGATGGATCATGTTTCGGCTTCATGGACCTGACGCTGGTGATCAATTGACCCAATTCAAGGGAATAAAAAGCTGAGAAACATGGAAACATAGAATTTCGGATGAATCAAGGTCAATTGAGAGAAATTTAAGAGCATTGATAATCAGTTAATCAAAGCCAAGGAGTCTGGAAGAGATGCTTTGACTTTATGAGCTCTTTCCGAAGGCCAGGAAGCATTTCTGTAAGGCCGTATACTCCCACCTAATCAATTCCAAAAAAGATCAAAATGAAAAAATGAAAGAAAGAGACAATGGAGACAAACAGTCCGTCGTGGTCTCAGCTGTAGCAAGTTGAAAGAGTTAGTTGAATTTAAGCAACCGTAAAAATGGCTGACACATTCTTCCAGACCGCCCACCCAAGCAAGCTACAAATTTTACTTTTCCCCACTGTCCTGAAGCTCCAAGAACCTTATTGATTTTACTTCTCCATCTCTCTCCATCTTTGATTGGATGTCCACAGCATCGTTGATCTCTTAGATTGCATGGGACAGGCATATGCCTTCCCAATAACTCTTCCAACATGCTCAGGGATTCTGATATAGATTCCTTGAACTTGCACCTGACATCCTTATCGCGCGAGAATGAGCGCCATCAGCAGAACCTCCAGGATGTACTGGAGCAATTCAAGACTCTGCTTGAGGATTACAGTTCCCTCAAAAGCGATTATGAGGAAGTGAAAGAAGGGCGTGAAAAATACAAGAAGCAGGCTCGTGGCCAGGTACGAAGCCAACCGCGGTCTAAACTCCAATCCGAAACGTTACTGATCGTATTCTAGGATCGCAACCCCTTCGTGCTGGTTCTTATTGATGGCGATGGGTATCTGGTAGGATCAAAACTCACACGATCTGTCTTATTACTAATTCGTATGTTTGTTTTTTAGTTCAAGGAACACTTCCTCAAGGCCGGTAGCGAGGGTGGCATCAATGCCGCCCGTGAATTAAGTGACTCCATTCGGGAGCTTATGCACTCTACAATGGGCATACAGGCCGATCAATGCCGAATCATGGTCCGCGTCTACGCTAATATTCTTGGGCTGTCGAAAGCTCTGGCGCGGGCTGGATTGGTTGGTCATGAAGCCCGGTCTCTTGCACCCTTTACTTCCGCATTCAATCGTGCGCAAGACCTTTTCGATTTTGTCGATGCTGCCGAAAAAAAGGAGGGCAGTGACTTCAAGATCAGAGGTAAGTCCGAGACATTCTCACGATATCGCTTAGAGTCGTAAATGTTCTAATTGATTATTCGGGTGTATAGAAATGTTCCGCTTATTCTCAGAGATTAACCAATGTCGTCATATTTATTTTGCAGGTTGCCATGACAGTGGCTTCGGTTCTTTGCTGACCCCATATAGGGGTAGAAGTGACCGAATCACCCTCATTAAGGGTCCTCAATTCCATCGCGAATTTGAGTCATTGGACTTGCCCATCAGAGAACTACCCTCGGTATTCATGTCAACCTCGTTGCCTGCCCCAAAATTGGTTGCTCCACTCTGCAATATCACCACCACGACTATCAACACCAAGGTGACCAGTACCGCAAATGGCAATAACACTAAGCCTATCGTCGTCTGCAAGCACTTCCAGAAGGTACGTCTCGTGTCATTATCTCGTCAATATTGAAGCTCACACACAACCAGGGAATTTGTAAGTTTGGCAATGGTTGCAACAAGCAGCACACCATGCCAACCCAACAGCTGTCTAAGCCCGCAATTGAATCTCCAAAGCAGCTGTGGTCTACTCCAACAATTACGGGCCGTTCTCAGGATTTCCTCGCCTCTGTCTTGCCAGAGCAAAGCCGAAAGTCCGAAGATTTTATCCCTATCAATCAGTACGGTGATCGCATCGATATCTACTGCCCCCATCCGCCCCCGGAAGCTATGGATGAATATCACCGCCGTGCCAAGGAGCGCAAGGTCTGCAACAGCTACCATCTCTCTGGTGAATGTGGCGATATGAGTTGCCAATTTGACCACAGCGACGTCTCCAATACAATTGTTGATGTCCTCCGGTATATTCTGTTGCAGCACCCTTGCCCTCAGGCCGGAGCCTGCCGGTCTATTAAGTGCTATATGGGACACATATGCCAGAAGCCCAACTGCAAGGCTGTCAAGAGCTGGCAATGCCGCTTTAACCAGCGCGCACACTCCCTCGACCTTGAAATTTCTCAGTGGGTTGTACCCATTGAGCATGTCGATATCGAGCAGTCGTCATCGAGCGGTGACTCTTTTGAAGGAACCTCCCCGAGCACTATCTTCTTCAGTTAGTGATCCGGGGATTCCACAGAGCACCAAAATAGTTTCTTAAATTAACTTACCCCTGATCAATCAACGTGGACCGTATTGATACTGGGCAATATATCGAGGCAGTAAGTGGAGTGCATCTGACTAAAATGTTGGATTTTCTTTTACTTTAAAGAAGCAGATTTGATCGTTGCCTCGAGATCGATAAAGGTTTGGGACTCGAGTTATCCCTCATTGGGAAAAAGAAAGATCAGATTGATTTTCATCCCGGTGTAGCCATAAATTCTTGTTCTTGGTCTGCTTTTTTACCTTAACCAACAAAGTTGTAGGGTAATCAAGCATCAAGAGTAGAGAGGGTCTGCATGTTCTTTCATTGAATTTGTCCTTACCACATGCATTAAACCAATCAACCCACATTCATTTGCTATATCAGTTTTGACTTACAGGTTTCCCGAATCTAAAGATGTAACTAACTCTAGCAATAACCGTTAGTCTTTAGTGGTAGGTAAGTAGCATTGATTAAGATTCCAAATTCAATATGGCGCCTTGGTCAATACTATCATCAAACAATTCAAATATTGTAGAGAAAAACGTTATCTGGTTGTTTTTATAGCTCCGATATCAGGAGGTTACACGTAGATCAACATCCATTGATGGACATCTTTGTGAACAAGAGGTATCGTTTATACCTCTGGAAGTCACATTACTTCCCTTTATGGCCCTGAACCTTCTCATATGCTTCTTGAACTTCCTCACGAGCGCCCATCAAGCCAAGCCACTTTGTAATCATGGGATATTTGTTCAACGAAAGTCCAGCAAATGCATACTGTCTAACCCATGGCTCAAAGTGATAGTCAACAGCAGTGACTCGACCAGGAAGAACACTGTCACCCCCAGACTTGACTAACTGCCCCTCAAGCACATCATAGCAGCGGTAAGTCTGCGCAGTATATCTATCCAAGGCATCCTCGTTTTTCTGCGAGTTGTAGTGCCTAACCAACAATCAGTGACAAATCTCTATTCTCAGATCAATCCTCAAGATATATACGCACCTAAACCAATTGGTCTGTCCAGTCATCGGGCCGAGCGTTGACAGCAGAAAATACTCCCACTTATCGAAATCAATCAAGTCCTGTGCCGAGCTGCCAGATGGCCCAATCAGGTTTCCCATGTCGTATACTCTACGAACATAATTCATGCATGCGCCAGACTCCCACGCCACGACACCTGTATTTGGGTCCTCAAGCGCAGGCACACGGCCATTTTCATTGATTTGCAGGAACACTGTACCTTTTACGCCTTTTTCGGAATCATCGCCGAACTCCCAGAATTTTACTGTGAATGGGACGTTGAGCGCTTCTAACGCGATTGCTATTTTGATTGGGTTGGGGCCCGAGGCGTGGGCATGTAGCAGAAGAGGTTTGAAGTGAGTAGCCATAATTCTGGTAAATTGGGATGATTGTCAGAGATGTAAGGTAGGAGAACGTGCCTTGAGGTTGGGCATTAGTATGATCTAGGGGTGATGTCATGGCCGTGCTGAAACAAGGTAAATAAGGTTGGCAGATCCAGGTCTATCTCACTTAAAAGTGAACAGCTCAAGGTCAATTTCATAGACCTACCTCGACCTGATTCCACTCCTAAGTTTGTAAAATCACTAGAAAGTCAGAGTAAAAGCGTTCTACTATCTTCCCTCGACTATGCGACGACATTTTGCGTACAACATCTCCAGGAAGTCCCACTAGAGGTCATAGCACAAAATAGGCTCATTAAGGAAGGGCCAGTTGGGTTATTCCCATACACAAAACTTTTAGAATGGCTAGAATGCTTCAGCTTATTAGACAGGTTACCTAAGGCCCTTGAATAAATCAGAGCCCTACTAGATATTACTGTTGATACTATGGACTGAAAGTGGTTTTCAACCACGAGTGGAGCCCAGATTGACTACTGCAGTAAATCTGTGGCACCTAATTGGTTTGTTGGTTAATAAATGGGGCGAGATCCACTTTAGGCAGTCCTGGAGAGACTTGAACAACACACCTCTTACAACTCGCAACAATACATTTACACAATAGATGCATATGCACCAGTAAGACGCGTCAATATTCCGACAATTACAAAGGTAAATATTCAATATTTCTTGATCTCCACTCTTTACTGACAGTCTATCCAAGAGGGATTCGTCAACATTCGCCTTGATGCAAGACGCTACACATTTTCTGCTACGACATTTCTATAATATGGCTCATTGGCCGTTCCAGATCTATAGCTCTGCTCTTATCTTCAGTCCTGAAACAAGTCTTGTCAGGATAGGAAACCTAGAAAAAATTCCAAAATATCTCAAATGTCTTCCCAGCATGGAAAGCACTTGAACTTCTCTTTTACAGACTCTCGAAGACCACTCAGGCGGGGTCCTGACTATGGCGTTTTCTCCAGATGGCAAGCAGATCGCCTCACGCTCTTCTGATAACAGCACCAAACTTTGGGATAGCAATCTAAGGGACTTTGGGAAGACATACCTAAACCATTCAGCCTGGGTCCAGACTATGGTGTTTTCTCCAGATGGCAAGCAGATCTCTTCAGACTCTTATAAAACTATCAAGCTTTGGGATAGCACAACAGGCGACTTTCAGAAGACACTCAAAGGCCACTCAGACCGGGTCAATACTATGGCATTCTCTCCAGATGGCAAGCAGATCGCATCAGGCTCTACTGATAGGACCATCAAGCTTTGGGATAGCACAACAGGCGACTTTCAGAAGACACTCAAAGGCCACTTAAGCTGGGTCAATAATGTGATATTCTCTCCAGATGGCAAGCAGATCGCATCAGGCTCTGATGATAGGACCATCAAGCTTTGGGATAGCACAACAGGCCACCTTCAGAAGACACTCGAAGGCCACTCAGGCTGGGTCAATACTATGGCATTCTCTCCAGATGGCAAGCAGATCGCATCAGGCTCTAGGGATAACACCATCAAGCTTTGGGATAGCACAACAGGCCACCTTCAGAAGACACTCAAAGGCCACTCAGACCGGGTCAATACTGTGGTATTCTCTCCAGATGGCAAGCAGATCGCATCAGGCTCTGATGATAGGACCATCAAGCTTTGGGATAGCACAACAGGCGACCTTCAGAAGACACTCGAAGGCCACTCAGACCGGGTCAATACTATGGCATTCTCTCCAGATGGCAAGCAGATCGCATCAGGCTCTTATGATGACACCATCAAGCTTTGGGATAGCACAACAGGCCACCTTCAGAAGACACTCGAAGGCCACGCAGACTGGGTCAATACTGTGGCATTCTCTCCAGATTGCAAGCAGATCGCATCAGGCTCTGATGATAACACCATCAAGCTTTGGGATAGCACAACAGGCGACCTTCAGAAGACACTCGAAGGCCACTCAGGCTGGGTCAATACTGTGATATTCTCTCCAGATGGCAAGCAGATCGCATCAGGCTCTGATGATAACACCATCAAGCTTTGGGATATTGTAAAGTCTCACAAAACCTCAAGGTTTCTTCGCCATCTCTTAGGTAGTCGCCTTAAACTCCGATCACGAAGAGAAATCGAAACATCGGAACCAGTGCACAATCTCAAATTCTCTGCAGATAACTTATTCCTTTTAACAGATACTGAACGAATCAGGCTTGAAGATACTGCGGCAGAAGACCACGATAGGAGTCCACATTCTTTACAAAGTTTCATTGTGAAAGACCAGTGGATATGTTATGGAGTGATGCCTTTTCTTCGGCTATCATCAGATATGCAGTTAGCATGCCACGATACGCTTGATGATCAAGTAGCTATTGGATTGAAAAATGGTCAAGTATTGAGGATTGGATTCGACCGAAGTACTCTGCATTCTATGCTAGCGCTAGGCGCTGTTTAAGGTTTAAGCCTAGGAATCTTTAATCAATACATACATGCATATCATCCAAGGCCGAGTCAGTAGCCACCTTTAGGAACCAACTATATATGCTATGATGGAGTGAGATTGAAATAATTTTGATGTTCTTTTCCTATACCATGCTTTCTGGTCCAAAAATGTCCAAGAGAATGTTAGACTGGCCCATTAGTCTGAAAACCAGCTCAATTTGTATTTGATGTTCTGATTTATATTTTTTTTTCCCTCTACAGTCTGGATTTCCTTGAAGCTGCATAACACCCCGATTAATACATGACTAGCTTGATAGGAAGCAAACAGATAATTTACGCTTAATCCGGTTATCGAATACATCAGTACGTATTCATACATGTTTTGGTAATATAAATATCATTCGCTACGCTTAATATGGATCAGCGGTCCTTGGCATTAGGGTCCAAGAAAGAGTCAAATAGTGTAAGTGGTGACACCGGTTTCCGGAAGTACTGTACGGATACACATGCTACGTGGGTCATCTCTGCGCTCGGCATACTCATCTATAGTCCATAACTAGTTATTGGCTAAATCTCGGTTCAGATAACTGCTACCCTTCTTATCATATAAAGTAAAGCTAGTCTATTTAAATATTCTGTGTAAGATTTAGATCCAGTGCGGTTGGCTGACCATAAGCAAGAGGAGAACGATGGTTAGAATGACTCTTACTGAAAGGAGGATACCAGTAGGTTCGGTAGACAGTGGGGGTCGATTGATATTGATGACCACTCTTGTGAAGATCCCTTCAAGGTACGGCCTTAGAACTAAATACATGAGAGGAGTGGCGAGTCCTAACCCGGGTCTCCTACTCTGTCATTCTGGTCCTGTATGGATTCCCAATCCTTCAGGCTTCTCAGTGTAGCAGGTTGATACCCGATGATATGCTTAGCCCCAGATTTGTCTGCGCATCTGGCTCCTATGCGAAACCCGACGGAACATGTAAGGCCTCTAAGATGGAAGATCCTCTCTGTTCCTGTTGCGACAGCCGTATGAGAAATAAGGCTGTCAATATACGGAAAGTATTTCGGCCGAAAAGCTTCTGCTAAAGCAGTAACTCTCGGTTCGGAATAACCACTCGGAGGAACTACATTAGTACATCACGGCATCCTTGAACGATATGCATTCATCGCAAGACACCCTTGAGAGATGTGCATTCGCGACAGTGGTGTCCCGTCTTCACCTTCTCTTCTATCTCGGACGAATGGTTACATTCGTCCAGGACAGAGGAGCACCCATATACTATAAGTAGCTAGTTCTCTCTATCAATGAAACGACAGACTTCACAACAAATACAATATTCAGTACCGTAGAGACCACTGCACTTGGTAGTTTGTCTACGGTGTTGAGTAGTGGTTTGTTGGAGCTCACAACGCTTACTATTCTCAGTATGATATTCGAATATCGCTCTCTCGAGCGACAGTTCCTTAGTTAATCCTTCTTGAGCAAAATCGAACATCTACAGCGACATTCCTTTATTCATCCCGTACCATTAGAATTAACTCATCCTTTTCGATACTCCTTGATTCCCATGTGAGGGTCGGATATCGTGCAACGTGACAGAAGCCTCAGACCACATCGGTGAGTCTGGCTGTTATATACGAAGACGACTCACGCCTCGGAATCACACACGATAACTACGACGACGACGATTGCGTCCAGTAGGAACATGAAATTTGTGTTGTCATCCTTGGACTTAGTAATACTAACGCTAGCAGGATTTCTGACCAAACACTGATGATGTCCGTTTGGACCATTAATCGAGAATTGGTCAAGTAGCGATGCAAAAAATCGCTTTCCAGCATGAGCAATATCACTCTTTATCAGATGATGAAGGATTTTTACCTCATGGCTATCTCACGATACTCTTACAGTCAGTATCTTGAGTGATACGTATCGCCAACATGGCCGATCCTGGGCGAGCCAAATTGTTAAATATCCACAAAACCCAAGCTTGTGAACGATGGTGTAGCAGCCATTACAAAGGCTGTCTCCGATGGGAGTTGGGTTGTACCCCCCGAGCAAATAGTCCTCAACATCTACCTCAGGATGCATGTTGTCTTCTAATCAGTTACTGGTAGATATGATAAGTCAGCCATGACACAAAGGCATCGAAATGGGTGTGGGGGTGACGGAGAGACGCTGCGGTGACAGCTGGTCTTGTTGTGAATAGAGATCGGCACGAGAAGATATCCTGATTTCTTTGACAGAGAGTGACGAGTTGAGAAAAGTGGGTGACGGAGTCTCCCGTGACTCCGGAATGAGATGAACCTATCATAATATAGGATCAGTCATTACCTGCCAACCTCACCGATCGTCAAAAAGCTGCCTTTGACCCCTTTTCGTACGACCCCCGCGCTTGTGTCGGCCAGAATGTCGCTCATATAGAGTTGGAACTTATTTCCGGGACATCGTTTAAGAGATATTATTTCTTACTCTATCAGGATGAGTTGGTCTCACATGAAGGCTTTCTTCAAAAAACCGAATAAGTGTTAGGTTAGTATTAAAAGGAGTTTAGATTTCGGTGGTATGATAAAACAATAATAAAATCAATCTTTCTTCCTTCCTCCCTTTTAATGAAACAGGTTGAGCTTTGTGATCATCTGTCAAATGTGCCGTTGTAGAGTATACGTGGTTATATAAAATGAAAAATGTTTTTGGACAAGTTGAAGGGAGGGATCGATATCAAGTACGAACGAGATATGTCTTCTCCATAAGAAAAGAATGGGGCATTCAAACTTCACACGGCTTGAGAAATGTTGAAATACAAAAAGATATAGGCTTTATTCGTCTAATTTATAAAACGACGGGGGAATATCTTGCCTATGTACAATTGGCTTTCAAATCATCTTCTTCATTGCTTTCTTTTCTCTTTCAAAGCAACTCTTGCTAGAGAGAAATAGAATGAGACGTCAGTCTCTTTGCTTCCTTCTTAATATTTACTCCATAGACTTGAGCTCCTTGGCAACTACGAAGGATGCGTCCGTCTTCTCCTTGACCTCTTCGACGGTGACGCCCTCGGCGAGCTCAGTAAGGGTCAATCCGCCGTCGATACGGTCAACTTGGAAGACACACTAAGACCGTAAATTAGCATATGAAAGGGTAACTCGAAAGAAAATAAAAAAAACTTACCAGGTCGGTAATAATGGTGCTGACGACGCGAGCACCAGTCAGAGGCAGGCTGCACTCCTGCACAATCTTTGAACGACCGTACTTATCCTGGTGGTCGGTAAGACAGACAATCTTGGTCTGGTCTGGGTTGGAGACGAGGTCCATGGCTCCTCCCATACCCTTGAGGACCTTGCCAGGAATCATAAAGTTGGCCAAGTCACCGTTTGCGCTGACCTGGAGGGCACCTAGCATCGACACATCAATGTGGCCACCACGGATCATGGCAAATGACTCGGACGAGTCAAAGGTTGAGCCACCAGGAACAATGGTGACAGTCTCCTTGCCGGCATTGATGAGGTCGGCGTCGACCTCAGCCTCCGTAGGGTAGGGACCCATTCCAAGCAGACCGTTCTCCGACTGGATCCAGACCTTGATCTCGGGGTTGAGAAAAGAGGGAGCGAGGGTAGGCATACCAACTCCGAGGTTGACGTACATGCCATGCTTGAGCTCCCTGGCTGCTCTCTTGGCAATCTTCTCTCTTCGGAGCTGTGCAGGCGACTTTTCAGTCGGGCTGCTGCTCTTTGCGCCCTCCTCCTCGCGAAGCATCTTGATTTCGACAGCCTTGTTGGCGGTAGCTGGGACGATACGGTTAATGTATATTCCGGGGAGGTGGACATCGTCGGGGTGAATGCTGCCAACAGGCACAATCTCCTCAGCCTCGACAATGCTGATTCTTGCGGCCTTAGCCACGAGGACACCAAAGGCCTGGGTGGTATAGCTGCACGAAAATGTTAGGCTAAGAAAGGAAGAGGAAGAAGTGTTTAGGCTCACCGGAACCTGCAGTTTCCTGCCTCATCAACCTGCCATGCGCGGAGGATACCAACATCACCCTCAATGGCGTGCTCCATGTTGTATTTCTTGCCGTTGAAGACTCTGGTCTCACGCTTGTTACCGTATTCAAGGACGGTCAATTCCTTGGAGCCATCCTTAGCCGGACCGAGGCGAATCGGGATTTCTCCCGTCTCAATGTGGGTGTTGACACCTGTTGGAGTGTAAAAGGCGGGAATACCAGCACCACCAGCGCGGATCCTCTCGGCCAATGTTCCCTGTGGGCAGAGCTCAATGGAGATTTCGCCAGAGTAGTACTTTTGCTCGAGGGCCTTGTTGTTGCCGAGATATGACTGAATCATCTTCTTGATTTGACCCGACTTTGTGAGCGAGGCCAGGCCACCATCTCCTGCTCCTGCATTGTTCGAAACGGCTGTGAGGTTGTTCAATGAGTCGACGCCTCTGCGGGCCATAGCCTGGATGATGGTTTCTAAAACATTGAATTGTCAGAATAAATTAGTCAAAGTGTAGGCAATACGGAGAAAACATACCGGCAACTCCGCAAAGACCGAAACCTGAACTGAGAATGGTAGAGCCACTCTTGATGTCTGCGACTGCCTCGTCGGCATTCTTGTAGAGCTTTGATTGCGAGCGGTCAATCTTTGGGGCGGCATCTTGACTTTGCTTCTTGATCGAGGCAGCGGTGCTCCCCAATCGCCGGCCAGTGCTGTGAAAAAAGACACCAGACTTGGTTCCACAAGTTGCGACTGTGCGTGGGACCTGCAATCCCGTCCTCAAGACGACCGTGACTCGGGAACCTCCCGCAAGACGCTGCATTGACCTGCAGATGGAAGCCATACTATGCTATATAGATCATATAAATAGAAAAGAAATGGGAAACGAAAAAAGACTGGAATAAAGTTAATAAGGGTTATCTTAAATCAGTGTTGGAAGAAGAGAAAGGGGATTGGATATAAAGGAGAGAGCTCTAGTCCAAACAAGAAATGACCCTCTCAAGGCTGAGCATTCGGTATGACGTTTCAGCGAATCGCTTTTTCTTTATGTTCCGGCAAAATCGGATTCGGTAATTTTTCCCAAAAGAACGACCGGGTCTCCACGAAATGCCCCACTTTGGGGTTGAAAGAGTCTCGGATGTCAAATTAACAACCGAAACCCTTTCCATGAGATATCACACATCCTTGTCATGGCCAATATAGAGTCTGATGCTTATGGGATCGATTTGGATGTTGCTGTCGCTGTCGACGCTCCTGACGAAACGGTTGCAGCTGCTATTCCTGCAGCTGCAGCGGGCATCAAACGAGCCGCATGTCTGTCCCGCCGTAGTATTAAAATTAAATGCGTGCGAAGCAGCAGTCAGGCCACGGTCTGTAATAGATGTCTGAGTAAAGGTGTCAAGTGTAGCGTTCCAGACTATCGAGTGGGAAGACGAAAGGGAGTGCCAAAGTAAGCAAACATGACCTTTTTAATTCTCTTCTGTTTTTCCGTTAATCGAAGGAGCTATTTTGTTGAGAACCTGCCAGAAATCAACGTCTCCCTTTATGAATTAATCTCCATACAGACAAGGACAGTCAAATTTTAGACTGGATGATCCTCCGAGTTGTGGATAGACATTGACTACAATGTAGACTAATTCTGATCATCTAGTAAGCGCAGAGGACTCGGCAAGGCCATCCATCAGCTACAGCAAGCCTTGAATGATCCAAAGACGCTATGTGATGGTCCCGACAACAAGAGTGTCCTGCGTCTTCAACGACTGCTAGGTGAGGCAGGAGCAGTCATCAATCATCATCATCATAACAATGAGCCAAGCCACTCGACAAGAAGCACTACAGCCTCTGCGTCCAACGTGCCATCTCCGTCCTCGAATGTCCATGCTACCTTCACTGCATCATCACTGGTCCATGAAGAAGGCTCATCATTGCTTTGTCAAGAAGACACTCTGCTAGAGCCCCTTTTGGTTGAGGACACCGAAAACCCTTTGCAACTGCTTGCTCACGCTACAGAGCAGTGCCTGCAGTTACCAATATCGTCTGACCACCCATATGGGCCACTCGCTTCTCATCAATCGAAAATACATGGTCGAGATGATGGAGCAGATGATAATGGACTACGTACATGCATCGTTCTATGACTTCGCTGTTCCTCATCAGTAGGAAACGAAGGAATTTTGTATCGACCGTCTTCCTTTCGAGTAAATTGCAGTCTGCCAAATTTCCACCATATTTAGAATAATTGTTGGATTCTCGATATTGTCCCACGCTGCGTGCATGGGCTGTCAATTGAGAATTTGTTTCACATTAAGCATGGTGCTTTGTACTTCGTAGCTTCTTTGGTCCCCCGAAGGTGAACCTGGATGTCGCCCCGTCACTCGATCCCATCAATCTAGGCCTTGTAACTGCTGTAGAAGCAGAAGATCTCGTTCTTTAGTATGTCTCTCTCTTCTGCAAAGTGCTACTCTAGCTGCAACGTTGGAAAAAAAAAAAAAAAAAAAAAAGAATGATCTTTCTTTCCTGACATACTCGCTCTTAGTTTCCATTATAGTCTTTCGCATACGAGATGGAGAATGGATCCCGAAATTCACACTCCCCAGTTCATCTGACAGCGCTCAGCTTTTCTCTTCACCACTGTCATGGCAGCCGCTGCGAAATTCATCCCTACCGCTGCCGCCCTTTCGACCAGACTGAGCGTTCACTGCAAAACCCTGGCCAATCACGTCATGAACAACCGGAATCGCTCTTTCGAGATTGTCATTGCTTTCATGTTTAGCGTGCCCTGGCTGCCGGCTGGCGAGCACTGGGAGGACGATGAGGGGGATTGGGCAAGATTTGATACCCATAACAGAATAACGATGCAAAAACAGTTGAACAAAACCTGGGTTTTCTCTATCGTACAATAAGCAAAAGAGAGATGATTAGATACGAGAGAGTTTGTAATTGTATAAATCGGTTGCTGTCACTCCCCACATCTCGGGCATTCCGGGAATTAAAAATGGACCGTGAGACTGACACAATATACTGATTCTTTGACTCTTGACCATCATAATATTCGAATATTACCCTTGCGAGCGACATTTATGGAATTGTCTATTTCCTGAGTAAACAGAAGATTATTGCGGTCTTTCTCTCTAGTGTCCTCAGCCATTTACGAACATTTTAACAAGCTACTTTTGTGCAAAAAGTGCGACACTAACACTCTATGTGAATTTCTGCTGGTTAGAGGTCGGCACGGTTTTACGGATACGAATAAAATCTCTACGGTTACGGTTACGAATAAATGCCCTCTATCCGTAATATCCGTAGCATATATCACGTGTCTAGAACCACCTACAGTTCTAATATATATTTCCACATCTATAGAGTTATAAATCTCATGTAATTCTCAAGTAAATGAAATTTCAATTAGGAATCAACATTTTATACATCTCTTAACAAAACTAACTCTCTCATGGTCTTACTGTTCAGAGATTGTCGACGAACACCCAGGATATCTCTTACAGAACTGAAAAGTCTTTCAACTGAAACCTCAGCTGATGGAATACCAAGGTAGTCCCTTGCAACTGCTGCCATCCTGGGGTGTTGATCATTATGAGCGTTCCACCATGAAAGCAGCCACTTAGAGTCATCCTGGTCTTCTATTAATCCTTCTACTTGAATAGGAGGTTCATCAAAATAGCGATCAATATCAGAAGCCCGAGATACTTCTTGAGAATGTACTTTTTGTAGAAGACAAGCTCTCATACCTGGTCGAGCAGGAGGATCCATAGTTCTAGAAGTAGAACTAGAGATGGAGGTAGCCAAAGGGGGATATTTCTTATGAAGAAAGACCTTAATGCCCTGAATGATTCCTTGGATAACCCCATCTTCAAGCTCTTGTTCCATTTCCTATACTTTTGCATTCCAACCAAGACAGCAGAAGAGATATCAGGACTAAGCCCTGCAAAGTCGCCTTCAAAAGAAGCTGCTTCTATAAGGAATATTGATAGTCGCCAGACTCGGCGTGGTAGGAGACTTATTCTATCAATGAATGAATAACTATTTAGATATCAAATTAGGGACTTGGGATGATAAGTTTCTATCGTAGTATCGTATGATTTATTTAGGCGGTGGCATAATATCACGGATATAAGCTCTCGACTACGGTTACGGATACGAATAATCCAAAATCTTACGGATATGCATCCGTGCCGACCTCTACTGCTGGTGAAGCTACATTGGAAAAGCGATAGTATGCTCGTTTGCTATGAGACATAAAAATATGCAAAAACAAAAATATACAATATTAGGATTTATATGATCACCCACCATACTACAAACTAACAGGGATGTGGCTAATCCACAGCCAATTGGCAATAGTCGGGTAGGTGTCGGCTGGGTGAGTGATAAGTGAGTAAGGTGAGTGCACAATAAACAGGGTGAGCGCTAGATCAGATTGTCGAGACAGCGTCGGATCACATGATCCGATGTAGTTGATCCTGATTGGTCCGGAAGCACCATTTGCTGATGTACTAGTCCCTATTTGGTTAGATCCCGGCATCACCTGCCAATAATACATTACTTCGTACTCTGTGCTTCACCTCATTTACCTCATCTACCACCCTCACACCAGCTGACAGAACGACACAATGTCACGGTTATATTCTTCTCCGAGCAAGCGCAAGGTTACACCTTCGTTCGAGATGGACCAGGGAACCTTCAAGCGGAAGCGGAGGATCTACGTGACCAAAAAGAAGATCGTAGATAATACGCCGCTGACCCACACCCACCCTTTGCCCCAAAAGCAAGAAGAAGTTGAGGAGGCTTGGCATTGTAAACACATTGCTTTACCGGTGGATTTGCAAGACTTACAAATCGACCTCGATCGGAGTGACGTCAAAGCCTTGCTTCATTCCATTTTCCCTGCCACTCTCAACGTTGCCGAGGCGAGAAACCGCTCAAATATGATTTTTCAGTTTGAAAAACTTCCCAGCCCACCGTGGCCACTCACCATTGGAGGCATACCAGTGACTCTTTTAGGAGGAGATACCTTTGGACGGACCTTCCTGTTCCCGAAGGAGACCCTGGGCAATTTGAAAGTGGCCATCTGCTCCGCTCATGAAATCGGTACACAAATCTCCGACTGTCAACTACGAATCCTGGCCCAAGAAGTTCAATGTTACTTTCAGAACCACCTGCCTGGAGTTGAACTCGTGGAAATCTTGTTCTCTAATGCTTATTCTTTCTACGTCGTGCTTGATGATGGTATCAAGATTCCAGATATCCTTATAAAGCTACCTGGAAAAATTACAAATCGTCCGGTCTACTATCTAAACGATCAGGACCTTCATCGCCCGATGTGGGCTGATCTCCCGGCTAAACGTCACATGATGCTACAGCCTGCACTAGGTATCCCTGATGATACACCCTACGACATCATTAGACCAGGAATCATGATTTGCAGCAAATTATTCAAGGAACATGCACATCCAGCATTCTTTTCAACGACATCAGGTGTGTTTGTCCAGAATGCGGCTGGTGAGACCTTCATGACTGGTGCATCTCATGGAATTGGGGAATCCAACAATGTTTTTCAACCAAAAAATCCAGATATTGCGGTTGGCTATGCAGCGATAAACATTCCACACACGGATATTATATTAGTCCGCCTGAAAAAGGGACTTCTATTTGATCTGGAAACATTCGAGGAAGAAGGTGGAACTACACCAAAGTTCACCCGCTTGGCTAACTCCAGTGACAATAAAAACCTCCTCTTCACTAACCTCAACAGCCCGTTTACTGGGAGAATGGATGGTGTCGTTATCGGCAAGTCGGTGAAAATTAAAGGTTCAGGCACCGCGTATATTGTCTACGATTGGTCTTATAGTGGGCAAGTAGAGGACAACAGTACGGTGCAAGCACCTGCAGACGGCGTTTGTGGCTCGGCAATCTGGGATGATAATGGAATCGTATTAGGATTTTATCACTACTACATCAAGGAGGGAAGATGGGCCGGATTCTCGGCTTCTGTTAGTGCAAGCGAACTGACCGAAGTGGGATATACTCTGGCACAGCCCGGTGGGAAGCTCTTGGAAGCCTTGGAGCTTGGACAAAAGTAATAGCGGATTACATGATTAGGCTGTCCTGGTATCCATAACTCCACCTTCATTAATTAGCTCTTATAATCCACATATTATGGATTTTTATACTCGCTTCTCCACAACAATGAGTCTGGCATTGGCGAAAGACTCTTGATTTTTTACAAAGGACCTCGCCTAGCTTTCTCCGTGTAGAGTTCTAGTGATACTGAAAAGACGAAGAAATCAAGAAGAAGAGCATTCAGAGCATTCAGTCAACTATTTCTATGTCACTAGTTTAAAATTATGAGTTTAATATGTAGAAGCTGTATATAAAGTTGAAACCACTCGATCTAGAGCACGAGTATTGCTAGTAAAAGGACTAACTGTCACTAAAATTTCTTCAACCGTGCCAATCCAAATGACAATTCTCGAAACCAAAAACGACATATAAGTTTTGCAAAAACACCAAACCCAACAGCAAAACTAGACATGTTCATTGGGTTGGGTAAACCCATACCCAACCCAACCCAACCCACAATGGGCTGGGTATGGGTCAGAAATTTTACCCAAAACCCATATGGGTTGGGTATGGGTTTGAAGTAAAACCCACACCCAGCCCATAAACCCATCTTTTTGCCAAGACTTTTATTTCACGTGATATTTGTCACCTAGTTAGTACTAGATTGAGGCAAAAATTAGGCACTAAGGCACTAATTACCCTAATTTAGTTTAGGTTGAGGCGAAAATCAGGCATTAAGGCATCAAAAATACCCATATGGGACCCATACCCAACCCATACCCACGTGGGTTGGGTTGGGTATGGGTATGGGTTTACCTTACCTCTGATGGGTTGGGTATGGGTATGAATTTTGACCCATACCCAACCCATGCACATGTCTAAGCAAAACTTTGCCGTCTCCCTCCTTAACGTCAGTATAAGACCAGAGATTGATGTTCAAATATCATTGCCCGGTTGCATCGAGTTTCGGGACAAAGTCCTGTGGTCCAACTGTATAATTCGCGCGACCGTCCAGCTCGTAGACAAGAGACGGAAAATTATCACTTAACTAGCTAAATTTATACACATCATGCTTAGTCAGGTTACACCGCCACTTGTTTGCCTCCCCACTACACTAGGTAACATCCTAAGTGTGGATTATAGTACCTAGATACCACCTAAGCATATGTAGATATGGCGATTAATCAATATCCAAGGCCTGCAGATGTGTCAAACTTTTCTATTAAAAAAGACTACTATATATAGAGGAAAAGAGCTACATGGAAATGTCTGCGAAGAATCTTCCAAGGAACTGCCCAGGTGAGATAATACAAAAATGCATAGAATTTTCTCAAGTGCTTGTTACACAGCAATGGCTGCGATCAAAGCATCCATTGCTGAGCTGTGGGTAGAGGCATCAGAATTGGAGTATGGACCAGACCAGACAACACCAAGCTGATTCTGTGCATTGCGGTCATTTTGCCAAATGCTATTTGCGCAGCTGTTGATGACCTGCGTATAGGTATCGCTCGGTGATACACTCTGCAGCATTTGCAAGTTGCGTATGAAAATCCCCTTAAACTGGACTGCATCTGGCTCGCAGTTACTTGGCTCGCATGATTCGTGAATGACCATGTTAAAATCGGCTAAAGTCTCAATTGCGGCTACGGCAATCTTATTCGCGTACTCGAGGTACATATCATTCGGTGCTGCTTTGTTCAGCTCGACAAGACCTCCGAGAACAACGCCTTGGTTGTACGACCATCTGAGTAGTTTGTTAGAAGGATCATTGTGTGGTTGGTCAATATCAGCTTACACTGTGGCACCATTATTTTGGCAGTTGTCCAAAAGACCGTCATTGATAGTGTTGTTTTCTCCAATGAATCCTAACGAGGAAAACCAGTTCCATTCTTTCTCTGCCCATTGAACGTAGTAGTCCTTGTTCGAGCTCACACGGTTTGCCAAATGTGCTGCTACCGAAAGGAAGAGCTCGTTTGTGATGGCATTCACATACTTGTCTGTGGGATTCCATGGAATACCGCCGCCATCTCCGCAATTAGTTCCCCAGGCTGCTGTCTGAAAACAGGTAAACATCAACAGAGAATCAAGTCCATTCAATGGCACTTACTAGGCCCGAGAAAATTCCCTCTGCTACTGACAGATAGGTGCTATCCCCCGTAACATCGTATGCGGCAATCCACGCAAGAGCCCACCACCCATCATCGTCGTAAGCCGAATCTAGCCATTGAGATGCATTTACGCCGCTACTCTGACGTGGAATAATCCCATGACTGCGCCTGCGTCGCCTGTAATTCGTCTTGACTTCAGGTCCTGGATTGGGATTGGAAGCAGGGGCCTTGGTAAGGGTGTTATTAAAGACATAGCTAGCAGTGGCTACCACCGATGAGTCCAGCAATGCTAGATCTGCAATAGAAGTCATGCAATTTGCCCCATTCCACCATCCGACGGAATCCCATAGCCCAGTCGCATCATTGTACCAAGTTTGCAGGGCATCTAGGGCAGTGACAGCCCTTGATGTCGCATCATCAGCAACTGAGTTTCCAGACAGAGATAACTGAATAATTGCTGTAACCAGCAAGGAAGAGGGGAACAACATGATCGTGTTATTATAGTCTAAAAGAGACCTTCTGTAATCTAAAGTTGCAGGCGTAAGCCACTTAAATATGACAGCTCTGATGTCCAGGTCCCGTTTCAGGGACGCATAACTAAGAGACAAAAATAAATTCCCATTGCCGCTGGAACCCTTGATTGGATAGGCAGCTCATCTTATATATCAATTGGTCCACATCTTATCCGCTGATGCTCCAATGCGAAACCTCAGATCTGCAATATACGTGAATTGTAGGAACAGCAAACCTGGTTTCAAGTGATTTGTTTGCTGGACCAATCTTTTTCTTCGGCTATGATTGTTTTGACGATCATCTTGACAAGTCACATTGACCTCAGTAAACTTTCGAATCCCCATCAAGGGATGTTCACTACAGTTTCAAAAATTCAAGGTTGCAAAGCTGTATGTGATTAGTGTTGGATTTTCACAGGGTTAAAGCCCCTTGCAAAGCTGACCCACCAACTAGCCGCCCTGGTTGTACCTGGTAGTCTACTCCGAACTTCGGATGTTCGGGTATCCGGAACATTTCTTGCAGAGGATAGCTCGGAATTATAGATTCGTGAAATTAAAATCTCCATTTCCAAGATTCAGCATCTTAATGAAAAAATCGCTATCAATTTGATGGTTTCGTTGTATTTCAGTTGCTGGTAGAGTTCATGGTGGCTGGAAATCCTACCCTCTGATTGGCCATATGCTTGAACTACAGAGTATGACTGAAGTTAAAAGCACTGACCAGTCTTCTGGAATGTGCGGATTTTTCTCCGTATTTTATGCTTGAATAACACGCCTTGATAGCGTGGTTAGATGTGTGAGACACACTTCAAGACTCAATTGCAACATAAGTTCAAGTTCTGATGTCACCTAGCATATCCATCCATCTGAACGCTGAATGTCTCAACTGCATGTTAGTCTTCAACCCTGGAAGTTCCAAAGCTCTGTAAACTCCATTTTCCTCTTGACAGGGCATTTAATGTCTTGGATTATGGATCAGGCGGGTGTTGTTTCCATGCGCGATGAAATTATATGTGGTTGAAAATGAAGAATGCAAGACGCTAATATGTGGTATTATTTTGATTCCTGGGGAGTTCTGCCGACAGATAAGTGGGTCTCAGCTGACTAAGTTAGTTATTGGATTTCGATTACTAACCTTGATTCAGGGTTCCTAGCTAACTAGTTGTTGACGGTTTTTACGGAGTACACTCTTAGATCTCAAGCCTCAAGTGATTGTCCATTTTGATCATGATCTAAACCTCCTGTTCTACCCTCTCGAATTTTGAAAATTGAAATCTTGATACTCCGAACCCACGTCCTGTCTTTAAGCGCCCTTATCCAAACACGCAATGGCCGGTGTAAGCCCCATTTCTAGAAATGGAGCCATATCTAAAGCAACAATGGAGGATGTACCGATAATCAGATCAATGGTTGATGCGGCATTCTCCAAATACATCGAGCGCATTGGCAAATCACCAGCGCCTATGCTAGCAGATTACAATGAAGTCATCCAAACACACCCTGTATTTGTTCTTAAAGACCAGAGCAGCAGAGTTGTTGGGTCTATTGTCCTTCATCTCGATCCAAGTTCTGATTCTGTTGAAATAAACAATTTGGTCGTGGACCCACAGGCACAGGGCTATGGTTATGGCCGGGTTTTGATGGATTTTGCAGAGGAGTTTGCTCGATCACAAGGCTTCTCTGCTTTGACACTCTATACGAATGTGAAAATGTATGAAAATCTCAGTCTATACGTCAAAATGGGATTTTCGGAGACAGGAAGAAGGACAGATGATGGATTCGAACGTGTTTTCTTCTACAAGAAGCTATGATAGGACATGTATCAACCTTGAAAGATGTTCAGAAGAATCAATTGGTTTTCAATTTCAATTTGAACTTTTGTATGAGATCACAATAAATCTTTAGCATCATGATGGACTAGAAAGGATCTAGTAGCTTAGTTTGTCTGATACCAAAATTGAGTGCACATAAGCCGAGAAGGCAGGGCAAGAAACACTGATATCGCAAGTTAGCCCCTTGAAAAAGAAAAACAATCTGGCTCGAAGTTTGCACTTACGCAGACTTTGGGGCCTGTGGGGTTTAGTAGTGCTGGACAGACAAATGCCGGGTCACAACAACCAGCGTTGGATCCAATGGCAATGCATGTGGATGTATTGGGACACTAGGTTAATTAGCACATCCAACAAAACATTTCAAGGTTCCAACATGTAACTCTACAACTTACACATGTGTTCGTAACATTGCAATATGTCGTTCCGACTGCGCAAGTTCCGCAAGTACCATTGATACAACTCTGAGATACGGCGCACTATTGAAGATTCCTCATATCAATCGGCTATACAACTTTTGAGTGCTTTTGTATAAACTTACGGTTTTGCCACATGATCCGCAGTTTTTGGCATCACCCATAAGATTGACGCAAAAGCCTGAACAGCAAGTGGGCGTTGTTGCCGGGCACTATTATGAAAATGGATTAGATTTTCGCACTTATCCGATTCAATTCAACGAGAATTACTGTTGTGTTGCACGATCCACAGGTTGACGGGTTGGTATTTAGATTAGTACAAGCTCCTCCACAACAAGTTGGCGATAAAGCTGGGCACTAAGAATATTTGAATTAACGCTGTGTCAGATAAACGGGAAAGAAGCTATTCCATCGCATATCGATCAATGTGGACATACTATTTTGTTGCAAGCTCCGCAGTTGACGGCTGAAGTATTCAAGTTATTACATACCCCAGAGCAACAAGATGGTTGGTTTGTGGGACACTAAAAGTATATTAGAATTATTCTAGTCAGGTCTATGATGAGTTATACCGTTGTTGTGCATCCGCCGCAAGTATTAGGGTTGGTATTCAAATTAGTACAGGTCCCCGCGCAGCAGACCGGTGATGTTAAAGGGCACTGTGATTGTTAGTCTTATAATCCATGGATGATATAAGATCTTTTTTTAGCCTCTAGATACTTACTGAGACATTACAAGCTCCACAACGGGCCGCTGTGGTATTTAGATTAGTACATATTCCATTGCAGCACGTTGGAGTAGCAAAACCACACTATTGGTAGACTCGATTAACTTCGGCTCGACTATAGTAGTAGAGGGTTATGTGGAAAACTTACAGCGACACTACAGGAGCCGCAGCGAGACGGATTGTTGCTCAAATCAGCACAACTGCCGGAACAGCATGCTGGGGTTGTGCCCGTACATGGGCTTGCTGAGCAAGACCCACACCGAAGAGTACTTGTTAGAATATTCGTACACTGTCCAGAACAGCAAGTAGGTTGGGTTATTCCACACTGTCTGAGGGTCAGAATCAATACTAGAGCACAGCCTAATCATCAATACTCACGTTTATACTGCATGAACCACATCGTGTAGAACTTGTATTCAAGTTCACACATATACCCGAGCAACACGACGGGTTTGCCGCGGGACACTGTAATTGTATTTTGAAATTAGACATTTCAACTCATTAAGAATAGTAAACCTACAGATATGTTGCAAGAACCACAATGTGTCGGGTCAACTGTTATATCAGAGCAGACTCCACTACAACAGGTAGGTAGAGTTCCAACGCAGGTAGTATTGCAGGTTCCACAGTTTTTGATGTCGGTACTTAGAGCTGCGCATGTCCCCGCACAGCACGTAGGTTTTGCTATGGGACACTATCAAGAAAATGTAATTATAGATTAGTGAACCTTGAAAGTACCCACAGGACCTTGATTATCTCTCTTGTTATAGGTAATACTCACGATTGCGGAGCAAGATCCACAGCGGTTTGGATTTGAGCCAATATCGACACATGAACCTGAGCAACAGGCGGGAATTACACCGGTACAAGCCGTGGTACAATTCCCACAGTGTCCCGCGTCAGTATTCAGATTAGAACACACCCCAGAGCAGCAAGTAGGCTGCAGAATGGTGCACTAGATATATTTATATTATTATTAGCACCAGAAAAGTGAAGAAGCAATTCAATTCTTGTAGTATTAGAGACTTGGAACACTCACGGTCACGTTGCATGATCCACAACGTAGAGCGCTGCTGGATAAGTCGGCGCAAACTCCAGAGCAGCATGAGGGTCTGACTCCTTGACAAGGAGCAGCTGTACAAGTGCCACAATGGCTCACATCGGTATTGAGATTAGTGCATGTTCCTGAGCAGCAAGACGGTAGCGCTAAACTGCACTGTAAAAAATCAGGTCAGATTACCTTATAGAGCATAGATTTCGCCATAGATATATGACTTACATTGTTGCTGCATGATCCACAGCGCCTTGGATTGCTCATCAGATCAGCGCAAGATCCCGTGCAGCAGGCAGGCTGTACTCCTGTACAAACGGCAGCCGTACACGATCCGCAATGATTTGGATCAGAAAGTAAATTTGTACATGCCCCAGAACAGCAACTCGGATTATCGACACTACATTGTGTGTTGCATCTTCCACAGTTAGCCGAGTCGGTTTGAATATTGGTGCATGATGATTGGCAGCAATTGCGCGCTGTAGGTCCACACTATAAAGAGAAGAACCCCATTAGTATTTCCTTTCAAGATTAAGCGCAAACACCGAGATCAATATCCATGGGACTTACTGTTATATTACATGATCCACAGTGTAAAGAGCTTGAATCAAGGTCAGTGCATAACCCTGAGCAGCATGCGGGCATTACTCCTGGGCAAGATGGCTGGTTGCAAAGTCCACAGTGGTTCGGATCGTTGTTCAGGTTTGTACAGCTACCAGAGCAACAGGCAGGTAGATTTGCGCCACACTATTTGGTCCTCTGCTATTAGCTGACTATGAAAGTTGACACTATAATCTAAGATTTTGGGGCCTGCTTACTGAGTTGTTACATGCGCCACAGTTTCGAGGATCGAAGGCATAATCGCGACATCTCCCATAGCAGCAACCTGGAAGTGTACCAGAACACTATGGTATTTAGTCTGTCAGATGAACTTGAACTTCGCAATGAGAGAGCATAAAGGACAAGTATTAACGAGGGGCCTTACCGGAGCAGCTTCACAAGATCCACAGTGAGTAATATTTCTGTATAGATCACTGCATGATCCATTACAGCAATAGACGTACTCTCCAGTACACTTTTTCCTATATCAGTATTACAGGGTCAACATCACTATTTATGTCAGGGCTTGAATCTTACAGAAGCGCCACATGCTCCACAGTTTGAATTGTTGCTGGCTAGGTCAATGCAATCCCCAGAACAACAGCTAGGTCGCTGGGCAGGGCATAGATGGTTGATACAAGATGTTGAACAGCTACCGCAATGATCCAGGTCATTACTTAGATCTGCGCATGTTCCTGAGCAACAGAGTGGCTGGGTACCAGTGCACTATGATAATTCGGATTTGTTAGAGAAACTAGCATCAGGTATCAGGGTCCGGTCTTTCAATATACCGTTGTATTGCAGGATTGTAATTCATTTGAAAAGGGCGGCGATTCGGTGACAGAGGGTGGGCACTGCAGACTGCTATTTGGAATAAGATCCAAGGGGGTTGCGTATATTTTGGTCTCTTGTAGATTGCCGAGGAAAATTGCTTCAAGATGGTCAGGTAAAACTCAAACTCAAGTAATAACCTTGGAGAAAGGTATATGGAAACGGTTGAATCGAGAGATTCATACCAAATATAAGCAATGGAGACAGTAACACTTTGATCATATCGAATTTCAGCATAGCGGGCGGCGATGGGACGATCTTAGAGAATGAGTCTTCCAATGAGGCTTAGTGTAGCAATTTGGTCTACAAGAAAGTCATGAGTATATGGAGGGACTTGACACTCTGAGAATACTTCATCCGACATACGTATGTGCAATATAACGGGTACACTGAAAAGCAGACTCTATCTCCTGGTGTCACGCATTTCTCCTAAACTGAAATGTAGTTCATATCAATCCATTCCAAGCTTCTGACCTCCAGAGTAGGCAATGGTATCCCTAGCTAAGTAGCCTTATAATGTGATAATATTTTAGAACCAAGACAAACAACGATGAATTGCTGGCGACCAGAAGTTAGATTATCTCCTCCAACCTGTGAGAGTGAATAATTTTCCTCGCCCTTGGGACCTTCTTGAAGATTCTAGGTAATTTTCAAAGGAGATAGCAACCTTGGAACGAAACCTTGAAAGTCAACCATCTAGGTACATATGCGCACTGTTCATTAGAAGCTTTGAAAAGTGTTCGGGAATTTACTGTTCCAACTTTATTCCCTAGGTCCTCCCATTAAACAATCAAATAAGGTTGGATATGCATATTTATACAAGGTTTAGTGCTACCTTTAAGGCTAGGTTTGGCTGGGCCGCCTGGTAGCTTCATATTTTGTTGGATGGTGCACTTCGGCAGATCAACGTTGGTAAACGTTGATACCGCGAGACCAGGTCAAAGTTCAGCGGTGATCGAGATATCGTATTTTTTTCAACGAGTCACTACCTAACTCTAGGTAGATTTGCAGAAATCTGAAAACAAGATTTCCCCTTGTCATCCTCCACTTCATCGTGTGCTACATGAGAAAATAACAAATCAACTCTCCCCCGTCACAACGGAAGTATGTCCAGGTAGATATGTTGGTGAATCCACCAAGATTGATACAGGAAAATGCTCAAGAAACAGTATATAACAATTCAACAGACATTGGAATAAGCCGGGTATTTTGAAAATGAAAAAACGAGAAATGAAAATCGTCACGTAAAATATCAAGGGGCAATACGATGTGATAGATGTGCTGCCTCCATAACAACCGATTGCCTCCAGTAATGGTGTACAGGAAGTTTGAGTGAAACAAGAATATAGATAGGCTGACGATGCACACGTGTGGGTTGGACAGGTCGGCCTAAGTTGGTAATGATAACTCGTTCGCTGGAAGGCCACGTTTCCAGGTGTAGATTGTGTGAACGCAATCTTAAATCAGTCGTCATTGGCAACCAAACCATCCTCCTTTGTCCCATTTACCAGGCGAGTACGTGATTGCCTTTCTGGCATTGAAGTCTTCGAGGCCACGCAGCATGTCATTCAGTCGAGCGAAATCGATTGGCTTCATAACCCAGCCATCAAAACCGGCATCAATGTATCTGGATCTCTCTCTCTCCAGGAGAGTGGCAGAAACAGCGAAAATCGGAACCCGAGAATTGCGCTCGATCTCTTTTGACAACTTTCTTGATGAAGTCCTGGCTTCTAACGCACGAATCATTGCGGTGGCGGCGTAGCCGTCAGCGATCGGCATCTGTGGATTTGTTAGTGTGAATAGATAAGAAGAGATTAAGTAACCCTTACCTGAATATCCATCAAGACGATATCAAAGGACGAGCTGTCAAGCTCGTACGCATGTGCGCAAGCTTTACCGTTGCTGGTGAGGTGCACTGTATGCCCGATATTTGTCAAACGCTTCTGGATGATCTTGCTATTTATGATATCGTCCTCTGCTACAAGCACGTGTAGATATTTTGATTTTCGTGGGGGTGCTATTGCCATTGGTGAAACGAGATCTTTAGTCGATTTGAGCTTTGGTGTTTTAGGTTCCCCAGCAGGCATCAAGGGGAGGGAAGATGTCTCTTCTTCGATCGGCATCATTGGAAAGTATGACGTTCTTTCCGTGAGTCTAGGTTGGCACTTGACGTCTTGATTGGAAATTTGAAGCGAACCCATCGGAACACCAGATCCTGTGATATTCTGTGTGCCTGGAGTGGGAGGGGTCTTGAGCGGCTGCAGTCCCATCGGTGAGGGTTTCTTCATGGCCGAAAGCCCGCTAAAATGACCATCCGTGGGGTTTCCTGACTTAAAGACCAATGTAGGTGATGCCAACGGCGACAAGACGTACTTAGGACTTGAAGGGTTGGTTGGTTGCGTGTTTTGTATCATGTCCGAACCTCCACATTTAATCAATTGATCATTAGAAGATTCCTGCATAGCTTTAATGAGTCTATCAGCATGGTTGAGGATTCCTCGGCTGAGAGAATTGCCTTCACTGCGAATACTGTCAATGTTCTGTCTCCGCTGTTCATGGATATCATCCGAGATTCCAGGATTTAATGGGAACTCGTGGTCTGAGTCAAGTGGCGTGGGCGGCATAGTGGAAGAAGTAGGTATTGGTACTTCATGGCTACCGTGTGAGGCTACAGTATCCCAGGTGAACTCATGGTCCGAGGTGAGTGGAGTGGGTGGCATAGGGGACTGAACAGGCATTGGCACTTCAAGGTTGCCGTATGAGGCTCTAGCACCTAAGGTGAACTCATGGTCTGAGACGCATGGTGTGGGCAGCATTGGGGACCCAACAGGTCTTAATTCCTCGTGGGTTGCTCTTGTAGTGCTGTTGGGTAGTTTGAACTGTAAAATAAGCCTAAATTGACTGCCTCTGCCTTCTACAGACTGGACACCAAGCTGGCCTTGCGTATTGTGGATGATCCTTGCTACCAAAGCAAGTCCAAGACCCAACACACGCTTTTCCGGCACGTATTTTTCATATTCATATTCTGAAACTTGTTCAAGTTCCTGAAAAAGAGCCTCCATTTTAGTTTTAGACATACCAACTCCAGTGTCAACGATCACGGCCTCGATGGCGACGTGGCCAGGTAATCTCTGCTGCGTGATTGAAGGCCACATCTCAACAGTGACAGCACCTGAATCAGTATGCTGTACGGCGTTGGAGATCACATTCAAGAACATCTGCCTTATGCGCCTTTCGTCGCCCAGCACAGAATCGGGAACTCCAGGATAAACTGCTACCCTATACGAGATATTCTTCGTCTTGGCTTCCCCGGCCATCATATCTGCAGCGTCCTTAAATGTTGCCCGAAGGTCAAATTGCTCATCTTTGACCAAGTTTTGGCCTTTCTCCGTCCGTGTTAAGTCGAGTAAGTCGTTGATCACGTAGATGAGGGATTTTGACGCGGAGTGTGACTTCATGAGACTTTCACGAATTTCAGGATCCAGGTTGCCCTCTAGAGTTAGCTCCAAGTAATGGATAATGGCGTTCAGTGGCGTGCGAACTTCATTTGCGGAGCAGGCCAACATCATGCGGGAGAGGTGGGATTTATTCCTTTCATCCTCCCTTTGGCGCCAAATTCGGATGAATTGGCCGTATACAAGACAAAGTGTAGCTGCAGTATCTATGTCAGACTCACTCCACTCACGAGCCTGACTGAGGATAGTCTCACGCCAGGGAGTAAAATCGTCACGAGGGTTGAGACCAAATTTGTAGGGGTTACCAGCCCACTGGATTTCTGTAAGATTGGCTTTCCGGAACAAGCAGAGAAAATCACTGCCATTTTCTGATAGTGGTGCAAAAAGTAAGCCTGAAATAGTCTTTAGGCCAGTACCATATTGTAAATCGGGGAAATCCCGAGTAATGCTATGGGTTGCAAGGACAGAACTAAGCGGGCGCAATCGCAAGTATGCTACAAGGGCGAGTATTTCCTGGGACGACTCGCTGCCATTGCCAAGGATATTTGTCTCATCGTTGATACAGAGTGCTCCACAGTCGGCATCGAATAATTGGAGCAGTTCATGAGAGGAAGCAACGATATAACCAGACGGATTAGTTTCTGATGGAACAGTATTGATCAGTTTTCGTGCCTGTAATCGCGAGGTATAGGAAAGCCGTTCTATACTTCGTGAAACCGTATCACCTAATAGATAGCACATTCGTCGGAGAGGAAATGAAACACGCATCCCTACTGTGCCATAGGAGTGACATGATATTAAGCCCCAAAGACCGTTGAAGGCATTGACACTGATTGACATGGATGAGCGGACGCCCAAGTTGCCGAGGTATTGAGCATGAGCAGGTGAAAAGGATCGTAGATACGCGTGGGTCATATCTAAAGGCGCTTCGAGATCCTGGAGCGTCCGACAGACAAGTCGGGAGGTTACTTGGTCTCGATCATAAAATGTTCGGACCTTATTGATTCGATATAGCTCCCGGGCTTGAACAGAGATGTCGGAGGCCGGAAAGTGAAGTCCCTTGTAAAGATCAACAGACATTCTGGGGTCGGATACTTCAGCCACAACTAGGCTGCTCCAGTTACTGTCGAATTGGTAGATCATCACTTTGTGAAACCCGGTGAGCTCTTTAACCAACCCGGCCGTTATATTCAGAAGATCTTCTAAGTTATCAGCGCGCTCAATTTGCTGTTGGATCTGGAAGAGAGCGCTGAACATCTCTGTTACATTATCGCCCGTACGTCGTCTGGCGCCACGGAAAATTCGTAATGGTTGGCTAATACTGATGTTACTGATGGCAAGTTGTTCGGGAGTAGAAGATTGACCCATTGTGTTGACTGGGGTAGCAGGAGTAAATACGTCGACTGGGGTGGCAGGGGCATCTTCTCCTGGGTTGTTTAGCGGGTTGACATTGTCGACTTCTAGCTCAAGCTCGCAAATTATAATGTCTTTCTGAGATTCGCTGATATGAGCCGCACACCAGAATCGATTGATCTCGCCAGATGGTGTGGGAATTGACAAAGGGAAGACCTCCGGACCTGTAGTGCTAGGGTCATACGCGTCATCGCGCACAAGTTCCAAATGATCAAGGAGCGTATCGGACTGGCTCTCGTTTAAAATGTCGCAAAAGTTTGGCAATTCAAATAGTTGTTTTGGCGTGTACCCCAACAACTGCTCTGAGTTCTCACTGGCCACCCGCACCACTAACACATCTGGCGCCTCTTCGCGCATGGCGATCATTACCCCGAAGCTCTGGATAGTACCCGGAGTGCGGATTGGATCGTCCCCACATCGAAAAGAAGAGCTACTAAGTCCCGTGATGAGAGCGTGTCCACCATCAATTATCTCGTGCTTATATTGATGAGTGACAGATTCAGTGTTTGGCTCAGTTCCTTTCTTGCGCTGGGCGGAAATCTCGGGTTGTTGCACCCCTGGTGTCGGCATCGATGGTGTAGCACACCCAGTCTGTTGATTCTCGATATAATGATCATGCAGTTTAGTATTGGTAGGTGTTGTAGGGTGTTCATTGATAATTTTGATCTGCTTGGCTTCGCCTCCCCTCAGAAAAGGCGCAGACCCGCTCGATGACACGACAGAACGAATAGGAAATACTCGATCCGTGGATGTGTCTAGGCCAGGAAGGTACTTTCTATCATGATGCGTCGTAGAGTACGCGTGACCTTTGAACTGTTCTATCTTTTCCTTGGCGAGACTTTCTGACATTATTCTAACAATTTTGGGGTGGTCGTTACTCGAGTCCATAATTGGACGGTATCAGCAAGGCTTGTCTAAAGAGACAGTTGATTTATCCGAGTAGGTAGAGCAGGGCTGGGCGATTTCGAATTTCGCCTATGGAGCGATATCATCTTCGATCTAGGCTCTGACTATGCCAATCGACCAGGTTGAATGCTCTCATTTGTAAGATCAAGGATGTCAGGTAGAGGAAGAACAACAAAAATTCAAGGGGCTTGAAAAGTTGGGATGGCCATAAAACTAGAATTCAAAAGTTGCAAAAACAGCCATGAAGCGGTCGATCAATCTATCTAAATCGGGATTTGGGAGCATGACAGAGCCATTACCTGTAATATAACCTTGATATTTTACACTCTGTGGGACGTAAAGGACAGGGGGATTGATGGATATAATCTTGAAATCACGCCCCACTTCCAAGTTTCTGAGCTTCAGTGGAATGAAAGGGTTGAAGGTTCCTACTTAAGTAGCTAAACTATAAAGAACAAGAAAAAAAAAAACATAACATTGGTTAAACTACTCGTATTGTCATTCAGACAAACGATAATAATCATGGTTCAAGGGACAGGTGGGGAATTCCTAACTCTACTTTGTAGTCCTCAATCTCCGTATCCGGTTTAGCCGGCAGCTAACTTTTCCAGTTGGTAGCGATTAGAGAATAGATTGCTGTTCAATTAAAAGTGGACAGCACTGGCCCCACCCCTTCTATGCTGGCAGAAACATTTTAGAATGATAAATAATCTCCCAATGATAAGAAGCAATATATTAGTAGGGTTGCAGTCAGAGATGAAACTCAGCACGTATTACCTACAATACATAAAACAGCTCTAAGAAGATGCCAACATACGATAGTTAAGTGGTTGTTTGTCATTCCTGTGACTAATATAGTAGGCGGTAGTCTAAGGCGGTAAGAGCCCATGAGGCCACTTATATAGAGCCCAGCTTATGAGGATGCCCTTTTGGACCTCGGCTGGACACTAAAAGGGAAAGTAAACCTTTCATTGGTCTTCAGAAAGTCTTTAGTGCAATCAGTGGTCCGATCGATAGTTGATCCATGTTTTCACTTCTAGGCAGTTCCCCCGTACAGCTTTTTGTTGACTGGTTCGTAAATGAGACAAATACTTTCCCCAGTTGAAGCAGACTTTTCATAATCTTTCGGAATTATCTTCTACGGAGAGAATCTGTTTCTGCTCAAAGAGCTGCGACGTTGGCAAAAAAGAATGTTGCTACAATTCATTCATCTGATCAGGTAATCTTTCCTTTTACGTGTTGGAAAAGCCCTCATTTAAGACTTTCTTAGCTACGGAGTACTGCTCGGGAGCCAATTTTTCCAGGTAGATTAAGTTAGGTTTATCATCTCTCAACCCTGAAATTGACCGTTCGACAGACTTTCTTTAATGGCATTATTGCCTTCAAGTCTTTGAGTAGACCGGCTTTTGGGATTCACCAAGCCGCAATATTTCCGGTCTACTTCTCCTTACAATCTTTCCTCCCAATTCTTGTCGCTTTGACTGGTCTTAAAAGTTCTCAGTCCGCAGGAGATGCAACGAATATCCTCAGTCATCTATATTGGTGTATGGCAACAGTCTCTATTGCTGGCTTGATCAACTTAATCATATTCCGGCCACTGACAAGAAATGCAGTTGAAGCCAGAAACTTGCAGGGTATGTATGCCAATATTCTTTTTTTTTTTTCGCTTGGCATGAGAGAATAAGCTAATACCTCCAAGGATTGATGGATCGACGAGGAAACAACCCTCACTTTATTTCTCCGGAGAAGAAGGCTCTCGACCGGCGCTTCAAATACATTCATGCTACCTCTATTTGTATAAATTTTGGTGGATTAATTGCCACCGGTCAGTATGGCTCAATACTTGCTAAATTGCTAGATTGATTTCCAAAAGTAGCCTGTGGATTTCCTGGGTATTAATTGTATAGGATTTCAATTGTGCTAACAATTCGAAGTTGTATGGCATAAGGCTTTAGACAGATAGGGTGGTTAGCCCTAACTTACTAGAAAGGCACAATTCACCCTCAATTATACATACTTGGTATGCTTTATTAATAACGTGGTTTCCCTTTGACAGGCCAGTACCTCTACCTAGTAGTTTAATCTCACTCTCACTTTTTCTAGTGTTACCCTGCCAATTGTCATAAGTTACTAAGATATTACTAATCATTAACGTGATAGTTGTAGTTAAATAGTAGTCTAGACGCCCAATTATTATAAAATCTGAAACCTTCTATTAGTATTACGGAATAACATTCTAGATATTCCGAAGTTTCCTTTGTATCAAAATTACCAAGATACATTGTGGTACACAGCTCACGATTGATGTTATTTAAGCCATATCGGTGGCGCATGCAGGCCCGCTCGCAACACAAAACAGGTATTTAATGGATTTAAAACCCCAATTAAATCATAGTTTGATCGGTCTCTTTTCCGCCCAGCGATCGATCTGTAGATTTATTAATATTATCCGATATTTCCCTGCTTTTTCATTCAATTTGCACTAGCCCTTAATAGGGAACCTTGGATCAACTGTCGCCACCGTTTCCGACCGCCACTGCACTTTTCTCTTTCTAAGACTCTATCCTAGATGTCACACCCTTGATTTAATGATTGAGTGACTGGTGTAGCTGGGATGCAGCCTTTCAACCTTGCAAAAGAAAGAGAGTTCTACCGGTAATTATTGATCTCGAGTCGTTAATTATGTATTCTGACTTTTACAGGTATCTACCGAGCGATCACTCGGTCTATCCCTTTGCTCCATTCGACGATGAAAGTCAGAACAAATTTATTCCACAGCCCTCCCAAGACCATGCCTTGCTCACTTTCGCCGAAATGGGCGCCATTAAACTGGGCGCCCAGCGTGCCATGATTTCGCTCTTTGGTCCCACTCATCAGTATGTCCTTGCCGAGGCTACTGGGATGTCAAATCTGGACAACCACGACAACTTGTGGCTAGGATGCTGTGTATTGCCCAGGGAAAAGGGCATCTGTAAAGTTGTTACAGACCTACCACTATCAGAGCCTTCAGATAATCCAACAATCATTGATGGGAGCGCGTTGGTGATGCTAGATTTGAGGAATAACAAATACTTCAATTCTTCAGAACTAGCCCCCAACCTTTCTCAGACAAGGTATTTTATCGGAGTCCCGATAATAAGTCCCAGGGGAATCACAATCGGATCATATTGCGTATTGGACACACAGCCAAGAGAATTGGGACCCGACGAGCCATCTCTCACGTCTATGAAGGCCATGGCGAGAACTATCATGGGATATCTGGATACGGTGCAATCGAGAAATCGAAATCGCCAGGCAGAAAGAATGATCAAGGGTCTGGGGAGCTTTGCTGAAGGCAAGGCCACGCTTCGCGACTCATGGGATGAATCGAATACTCAAAACGTCGCAACAAAACGATCCGGTGAAACTGTGGAAGGCCAGCTCAACCAAAACCAGCAGGATTTGCAGGAAGCGCGCGATCATCCCGAACATCGACAACTACCCTACCGCACCTTCAAAAAGGACTCTCCACGGCCTCGTGTCCATTCGAAAGATCGTGTCCCCTCGAAAGAGCGCACCAAAGAACCCATCTCAAATGCGACAACTGCAAATCCCTCATCAGTAATTTTATCAGATGAGTCAGTTTTAGATTCAAACAAAGACCGAGTAGATAAGAAAGACGTGCATGAACAACAGAGGCCTTCTCTCAAGGCCTCTATCTCAGATCACAGCGTACCGACTGAAGGTGTATCAACTGCTCTCAAAAACTTATTCTCACGTGCGGCAAACTTGATCCGTGAGTCCATTGAAGTGGAAGGAGTTGCTTTTTATGATGCCAGTATCGACTCTTTCGGCGGGCTTGAAGACGGAAACCGCAGAGCGCGCGAGGCGTACGCGAGAGGAGAACCGATGACATCCAGCAGTGACGATAGCACTGACGGTGAGATACCCTTCTCAAAAGCCAAAATCGATGACACCGCAATTTGCCGTCTATTTGGCTTATCAACTTCAACTGCCTCCAGCATTGATGGACCTATAAAGTCGAATAAGGACTTTTCGATGCGCGAGTCATTACTGAAATCCATTCTCAATCGATACCCGCATGGGAAGATCTTCAATTTCAATGAAAGCGGCTCTCTCTCCGATGATAGTAGCACCAGTGGTAGTAACTCCTGCAGCTCAGTGAAATCTTCTAACTCTGGAACAAAGCTCAAAAAACGGAAGCCGAATCACAGACAGGATGCCAATGAATTGATAAAAGTCCTTGTAGGTGCCAGAAGCGTCATCTTCTTACCTATGTGGAATTCACACAAATCCAAATGGCTTGCTGGTGTTCTAGTTTGGACCAATACTCCAAAACGCGTCTTCACTTCTGAGAGTGAACTTACATACCTGCGAAGCTTCGGCAACAGTATCATGGCGGAGGTTCATCGCCTCGATGTTGAGATGGCAGAGAAGGCTAAAGCCAATTTGATTAGCAGTATCTCACATGAATTGCGAAGTCCGCTTCATGGTATATTAGGAACTTCCAATATCCTCAGTGACACGGCTTTGAACGCCCTGCAGCATGGAATGGTTCATACAATCGAGTCTTGCGGTCGGACCCTACTGGATACTATCAACCATGTTCTTGACTTTAGTTACATCGACAAGTTCAAGAATGGTTCTGCCCAACATAAGCACGCTGCTGCTGGAGATCAAGACGATGAACCAAATTTACCAGAGAACACGCTTCAAAAGAATACACCGACTAGCAGTGATAATTCTTATCCCTCTGTGCAGCTTGACTCTGTTCTTGAAGAGGTAGTAGAGAGTGTGTTTGCCGGACACAGTTTCTACAACGACCCAATTGCACGGAGTCGGGATGGGGGATCATCGAAAGTCATCACCTTGTCATCAAAGCCAATAACTGTTATCCTTGACATCCACGAAGCCGCCAATTGGGCATTTTCTACACAAGCTGGCTGCTGGCGTCGGATTCTGATGAATGTCTTTGGCAATGCCCTGAAATATACACCTTCTGGATTTATATACCTGGAACTGAAAGTATCTCCAGTACCTCAAACCAAAGGGCATGACTGTGACGATATAAAGTCTGCTGAAGATTACACCAGTCAGTATTTGGTCAGACTAATAGTCAAGGATACCGGAAAAGGCATTGACGTGAATTATCTGCGAAACGACTTATTCACAGCCTTCTCACAAGAGGATTCCCTTGCTCCTGGTAGTGGGCTGGGACTGAGTATTGTTCGCCAAGCACTCATTTCTCTCGGCGGTACTATTGATGTTAGTTCCGAGAAGAACCACGGCACAGAAATAACAATTGAGGTACCTCTCTGTCTCACCCTTGAGTCGGATAATAAGTCAGATGACTCTTCGTTTGATTCAAATGAGGCTTTCAACTCGATAAGGAACCTCACGCGAGGCAAAACCATGCGTTTGATTGGACTCTCTCCATCACCTGAATCAGAGAAGGATCTAACTCTTCAAAACTCATTGGAACGTCTATGCCGAGATTGGTTCCATCTTACCATCGAATTGGCTTCAGTCGAGTCAGTGTTTTCAGCAAGAGAGAAAACTCCCCCAGATTTCAACTTGATAGTCCAAACAAGTTTTGGTAGACCAGATTCCAAAGAAGACGAGCTGCATCATTTCGACCGGCTTACCAAGGTAGAAGAGAGTGGCATATCGCCCTTGATTGTCATTTGCCACTCGCCCGAAACAGCACATAACATGTTCGCGCGTGCAACGAGTCGAAATGGAAAATCAGACGTTCATTTTATAAGCCAGCCATGTGGACCACGCAAGTTAGCGAAAGCTTTGAACATGTGTATGCATCGTCAAGAAGACCAATCACATGGGGCGCAAGATGATAGCGAACCTACTCGCTGGGTTGAAATGCCAGAATCTTCATATTTACCGCTTGATATCGGGCCAAGAGACCCACCGAATGATAGAATGAAACTTGGCAAACGACCGACGGATACAGAGATAAGTATGGAGACTATGGCGAAGCAAACCAGCGAAAATCAACAACCCACATCTGCTTCAGAAAAATCTTCGCCTTCCAAAGCTACGGTAAAGCAGATTCCCGACAACGCCCAGCCATCAATATTACTCGTCGATGATAATGAGTTGAACTTGAAAATCCTCGTCGCATTCGTGAAGAAAGAAGGGTGGAGCTACATAACAGCAAATAATGGATTAGAAGCAGTAGAAACATACAAGGCTCATCCCGGAAAGTTCGGAGCAATCATCCTGGGTAAGTCCCAAAAACTGAAGAAACATATTTACCCACGACTAATAGAACCAGACCTCACTATGCCTGTGATGAACGGCTTCGAGGCAACTCAGAACATCCGCTTTTTCGAGAGGAAATATTGGCTCAATAATGAATCCTCGAAACCTCCTTGGCACCCGATTACCATTGCTGCGTTGACTGGGCTGGATAGTGCTAATGTTCAGCAAGAGGCTTTTGCTTGTGGAATTGATATGTTTCTTACGAAGCCGGTTACAAGGCAAGGATTACGTCCTGTCTTTCAGAAGGTTAGGAGATAATGGATATACGTGCTACGCAAATACTTAATTACTTAACGCATGATACCCAATGAACAGCTTGAAATTAAAGAGCAGTTAATATATCACGATTTGTAGCTGCCCAGGTGGCAGCCACCGTCATGAATCAAGATCATGATCACAACCTTGTAACCTTCGAAAGTTGGAAGCGGGTTTATATTGCCATCAATCTACAATAATTTATTCGCCATCATAGCAATATTTGGGCGCATCCTGAGCTAATCTTGGACTGGCCGAAAACCTTGGAAAATAATTTTTGCTAGTTGAATTATTAGTTGATACATGGTATCCACTCCTCTTGAAAGTGAGGCGTTCGCACATTTCAGGTAGCTATAACCGAGTATATATTAAATTCTCATGTTTCACCATCGCCCGGTGCCCACCTAAGAAGGCTGGGGCGGGGCCTCAAGTGTCCACTAAAACAACCTTGGGAGATTACCTAGGTATATATATACCTGGCATCTTGTTGATCTTCTCTATAGTAAATATCGAGTCTATAGAATTAGATACATATCAGAATCCCCATTAGTTGCACATAGCCTGGATGATAAAGATGAAAAAGCGCCATTGATGCCCATACGTCCACGGGTGTCAAAGCATTGAAAGAAATGAAAGGAAAAGACAGATAAGATGTAAAATAGATGTTTAGCCACACCTGGCAAAATTCACGAGGTCATTAAGAAAGGTAAGAGAATCGGGGTACGATATAAAATTTATCGTAGGGAATCATTGATGCACGCTCATAAGATAAAGATGGCAATGCGAGATTTCCACCATCATTGGTGGAAATTGTTAGACATTGCATAGATCGGACAGGGTAATCGAGTTCCCATTATCTCCACTTCTTGGCAAAGTCTTCACGGCGAGGTTCAGGGGAGTTGTCGTCTTTGCTAGAGCATTCGCTGGAAACTTCATCTGGGTATCCAGCAGGCTCGTGGGTGATTTCGATGGTAGTCTCTTGGTACACCTTGCCTATGGGGGCCATTTCAATATCGGAAGGGACGATGTTGTCTGTTGAACCGTCACGGTCAGTTTCGTCGATAGCTGTCTGCTGTTGGTTGGGCTCAGCCGTAATGGTGGTCAATATTTGATCTGCGCGTCCTTTGCTGAATTTCCTGTTGTAGGAACGATTTTGACTGGGTTCTTCAGAGTCGGTCAGGAGGTGTTTGCGGGTTAGGGTGTAAAGAACGACATCAATAAGACCGGAACTGGTCATGAGGGTACCTAGAAAACCAATCAGCATTTTTGTAAGGAAAATAGTGTATCGGAATCCGTATATCTTACCAGCACCGCAGAAGAAGGCGTCTGAAGGAACTTTGCCATTTGCCGTTGCCATACGACCTGCAGCGAGAGGGAGAGAAAGGACAATGTATACAATAGGATAGATGGTCATGTATCCAACGACACGTCGCAAGCGGTGCAGACTTTCGAGCTGAGAGTTTCCAAGAATTGTAGATTTGGCAATTTGTCTCCTGAGTTGAAGGAACATAACAGCATACAGTGACATAGTGCCGAATTCGGCGAGGAAAATCCAGATGTAGTGAGTCCAGAGACGAAGGGTTTCGAATTCTTCACCGATCCAGCACCAAGCACCAGAGGGGACGTAGATGTTGCCACCGTGTAGGGCCAGTGGAATAATCACGATGAGAGCAATGATGCCCCACACGCCAATTACGAAAATATTGAAAACTGTGTATGACATTTTCTGACCCCACACGACTAGCAAAAAGGTGTGGAAGGCAATGGCAAGCACAAAAAGACCACTTCCCGGATCTCCGATCTGGAGCCATAGACCTTGGAGAAAGCATGCCGCTGTGCCAGACTTCATCTTGTCGGTAGCAATCCATTTAAAACAGATAATGAAGGCGAGAGATTGTTGGACATCTGCCAAAATCAAGTTGAAAATCAAGACAATATACTGGTTGTAACCGATGTAGTGTTTGTAGCTTCTACGCCAGAAGATCAGACGGTAGATCAAGAATAGTAGCAGAGATGTTGAGGCGATGAATGAAAGTAGAGCCATGATTGCGACTGGGATCAGACCTCGTCGTAGACCACTTGGTAGAGGGTCGATATCCTTTGTCATATCACTGGCTAGTCGGCGGACCAGACTGTCGGAATCGTCTCCGGCCATCATCCGTAGAAGGAAGGTGGAAGACATATTGAGATAGCCTTGTAGCAGAATCAGACTATAGGCTTAGTATCATAAAACTTCAACCTTTGAAATTATGAGTAATGACTGTAGTCATGCCCCGTGCACGAGTATGGAACATTAGAGAGATATACAAGGATGACGCGGGATATTAAGGCCTACAGATGGAGAGAGGGGCTCAATCTGAAGGGCACAATGAACTCAAATTTCAATTCATGAACTTCCGGTGGCAAGACAATTGTGCTCTCTTCGGTTTTTCATGACGGGACTGAATCTGATAGAAAGGTCCACAGTGGAGGAGCTAGTCTGCATGGTGTCAGCTTCAAAGTATGGAGTACATTAAAGTTCCACTAGAACCGCCGCACCTGAATAGGGGGTTAAGCTTGAATATGAATGGAAGATGTGAAAAGTTTAAAGGAAGCTATCAAGTTTGGGAAACCCCTAGTATGTCGTTTTGCATCTTATATAAGATTTGAGCTGTGAGCCAGATCGTCTTGAAGGCAGCAAATAGACTCAAACATTGGTTCAATCATGTCTATTACGTTCACATGAAAGGAAAATTCATTGGCTTCCAAAGTTGGTTAATCCCACCTGGACGCCATTTCAAATCCCGGAAGACTAGTTACCCAGCCACGGAGTAATCCAAGATCCATAGATCGCGTGTTCTTTAGTACCCATCCAGAAGGAGACAAATGGGCAGCACATATATTTTCCTCTCATGCCATAGGGGCTACTAGTTAAGTGCATCAGTTCATATTGAAGTGTCAAACTAGGTTAGACACCGGTAAAACCTTGGAGCTCCTTTCGGGGTGCTCCGAAGCTGCACAAATCCTACCGATATCATTGGAAGCTCAATTTCTTGTTTCAAATGTATTTTCCAAAAGGAATATGGATATGCAGAAATCCGAAGATAATGGCAGGGGATTGGCTTGAAATAAGGTTTAGACCACATATAGTGAATATAAATTAGGAAAGTGGGGTTTAGGGATCATTAAGACTCCGAAGAAAAAACGTTCTAAAAAGCATACAAAGTTATTTAGGTGCCAGCTAGCTAGTAGTGATCATAAGAATGAAATCAACGCCGATCCCAATTTTAATCGACAAGCATATCCATGGTTCTCTCATTCTTCTTACGAGTGTTGGATCCTCACTCTCTTCTAAACTCCGCATAATTTCCGCTAATGAGAATTCTCCACTGCGGAGAAATTTAGGAAGAGATTCAAACTTCAGCTTAGCGCCACCGCAGCACACAAGCATTGAGCATGTTCACTTTTGTTTTTAAGGTTGAAGTATGATCGCGGTAGATGGACCATGGTTATCACAAAAGCTAATGAAAACTCAAGACGGCTTATAGCTCCTCAGATATTGGAATGAAAGCACCGAATCCTGATTTAAAGTTCATAGATACTGTGAGTATGCTAAGAAGTTCAGCTATACGGAGTACACTGGTACAGATTCGATGATCACACTTACCTAGGCTGCAGAATCTCCCGGTCAAATTCAAGGGTACCGAGGTCGTACTAGACTGTCTCTGTAACCTTTGAAATGTTCGGACCACAGCTTCGGAATATTTCAAGACCTAGAGCCAGAGTAAGGCTGAGGAATCACAGAGAAAGATTGGCTGGCATGAAATTCCTGAGCTAGCCTATTTTTTGTGGCGAAGCCCTCATCCACGGACATCAAATGGACTAGGCCAATAGTCATGCAGTAGAGCTGTGTACTATGTCCTATTTGAGATAATGTGGATACTACTTATTTGATCTGGAAGCGCTTGGAACTTAAAATGAGGTTGAACATAGTTAACCCAGGTACCTGGGCAGCCTTCGCGGAGAATATACTTCGGTAGATAAGTCACATACAGCACGACGTCAACTAATCGGAACTCAATAGCCCTGGTTTGAAAGTAGCTAGGAAAGTCAGATAGCACTTATTACAAGCAATAGTTTTTTTTGATCTTGGAAGTGGTACCTAAGGTTTATATTCGGATTTTGTATTACTTGTTCTTCCACTCAGGTTGTTAATTGTCGCAAATGGTATTTCAAATCCTGAATGTTGATCAGAATACTGGGAACATATGGTGACGATCCATCTTCCGACCCTTTCCGGGGTATATCATTGTAATATCTCAACAGTTTCAAATACATTCACAGCACTGATTAGCGATTCATGCACAGAGCAAGTGTTCCGGGCATAAACAGATCATCAAGTGAACGGGCAAATCACATCTAAGATATCATAGCAATCTAATCCACCTGATTATTATGATGGATCCTACAGGTCCATTCCAACGGTAACTACCGAGGTACAAGGGCCTCAGGAGGATCCACGCGCAAGGGTTCACATCGATCTTCCATCGCCCTGTGGAGGCTATTCTTCGATATAATTCACTTGAAATACCCCGTAGTACCTTAGTATCCGTACATAGTTGAAGCCCGTCTATTCAAAGGCTCACCTGTACGTCAGTTGTGGTATATGATAATGCCTAGTTGTGAACAGAAATGCCTCTAAGATTAGAATGCTTTGATAATGCTAGGTATTACCCCGACTATTATCGTGCCCCACGTAAGGCATGGTTCAGATGATCCAAGATATGGTTACTAGTATATATTACCGGTGGAAGCTGACATCTGTCTTGTAACGAGACCGAGATAACCCTCGGTAGTGCCAGCGGTGGAGAAACACTGTATCCAAAATTCAAGCTAGCATAAAGCTAGCATATAACTAGTTACAAGCTCAGATCATAGTTAGATTTAGATTCGAGCGGGTCTATCCAAGTTTTTTCTCAGGGTTCAGGTCGGTTCAACATCCCCGTCAAGGCAGTGGAGTTGCAGATCGCAGCCCTTCAAGGGTTGTAGATCTCAGCCCTTCAAGAGTTGCAGATCCCAGCCCTTCAAGTAAGGTCGTCGGCATCCCACTCGGTTGACAAAATTTAGCACCGGGTGTCTATCGATGCGGATCCGGGCTCGTGCGTCGATAAGGCAGGAGGATAAGCCTCCGGGAAAAGCTTAGAAGCCATCTGTGAAGGTTTGCTCGGAGACTTTTCAATGTAGGAGGCATTCATGGTAGCTATAACGAGCTCCATTTCGGACATCTTCCTCCTCAGTACTCCGTTTGGTAAATTGAACTCTACCTACAGACTAGTACTAACTCTATGTAGTATAGTCAATAAAGTGGTGAGGGACAAGACATGCATCGAGAGATCATGTATTCCTATCTATACATGAAAACTGAACCTGAAAAAAGGAATATCTCATAAAATCATAAATCATAAAATAATCAGGGTAAAGGCCAAATTCAACAGACAAACATGAAAAGAAATTATGGATGAAAAATTGGCAGCATGTTTTAAGTCGTAGAATCGGACGAGTAGAGTGGGTATCATCAGTCCATTAACCGACTTCTGTACTTTTTTTTTTCTTTTTTTCTGTTTTTGGGGTCGTGAATATCGTGGTCATATCAGTCTATCTCCGCCTTGAGTTGCGTTCACGTCGACCGGACTGGGAGTCTTCTTCGTCTTCTTCCTCGACTGGTGCGGGAGTGCGTCTTTCTGAGCGTCTCTTTGGTCGACGCCGGCGGTTGGAGCTGATGTTGCTGGCCGAGTCATCTGGAGCCAGGGAGCCTCGGTCGTCCTCTAAGAAGTCGTCATCGCCGCTTTCCCATGGGCCTGCTCCAGAAAATGGTGTGCCCAGGCGTGCTTCGACATATGAGCCACGCCGGCTCTGGTTGGCAACGGACAAGCCTGCACCACGTTCTCGTAGTGCGCGGCGGACAACCTCAGCTTTGAGATGGAGCGCCTCGAAAGCATCTTCTAGGGCCTCCATTCCTAGGAAGATATCCCGTTCAATCTCGGCTAATGCTGCTATTTCTGTTTCCTCGTCCAGGGCGATAGGCCCTCCATAAGAGGAGGGGGACGGCGGGCCACCATTTGGCTGGCTAGTTGGTCGGAAGCTGGAGTCCATATAATTAGGTGTTGTACCACGGGGAATAGCTCCATTGCCAGGGGTGGTGGAGCGGGATCCGGTCCAGCGAGGGTTCGAAGGAGGTAGAGAATCTTCAGCACCACTGCGCAGGAAGCCATCGAAGCGACCAGAGATGAGAATGTCCCACTCATCATCGGTGATAGCTGCAAGAGTAGAAAGAACGTGGTGCAAATGATGATTATTCAACATGAACATAGCAGTTTCAGGATCGCGGGGAAGCGATTGTAGCCTGTACAACCGCTGAATAGCTAGCGAAGATGAGACAATGGCAGAGGGCTTTGTTCGTGGTGCTTTGTCATCGGATCGAGGAACGGGAGTTGCCGAATTGATGCCGAGGAGGGCGCAGAACAAAGACCGTTGATAAGACTCCAGGTAGGTAAGCATGGAAAAGGTTAGTGTCTCGTCATCCACTTCGTGCGGAGCGCTGGTAGATTGTTCGGTTGTCTGCTCGGAGAGCCATTTGTCTACGGCAACCTTGGTTTTACGAGATTGTCGGATGAAGTGGTCGCGATATTCCTCGGGGACATCGACATCGAGCTTCTGCATTGGTATATGCTCTTCGCCCGACATATCCGCATCTACGGTTGATGCAGCCATTTTGAATGGCGGCCACATCGGTAATTCACGACGACCAGATACAAGCTCTAGGACCTCTCCCCAGCTCACTCCAGATGGGCGCTCTTCTGACTCATCATGGTCACACATTTGACAGTTGCAGGGTTCTGAGGATATGTCACGCGCAAATACAGCTTCAAGACGATCTAGAAGCCGACGTGCGACTGATCGATATCCAGTTGCTACGGCAAGCGATCCGCTCTTGCCCATAACCTTCGTGTAGTCATCGAGAAGGCGATTGAAAGGGTCAAATACTTTAGCAGCTGACTGCTGAGGCTGAGTGCCCTGCTGAGAGAAAGGGTCGAATGTAGAAGGTGGAATGAGGAGGGTACGCGGTACTCGTTGCTCCAGTCCACCATATTGAAGCAAGTAGTCAACTCTAGGGATGGAAATAGGTACTTCGGGCGGGGGTGGAGGCGGGGGCGGTGCTCCGTATGATGGGCCAGACGTTGTCTGTCTTCCATACTCGATTGACTCCTCACTAAGGGCGTGGCGATGGGATGCTGCTGAGCGTGTCTGATTTCGGGACGGAGGTTTTATCGGAGGGGTAGGGGGTTTCCGTGGCAGGTTATACTGTTGATTTGGAGCGATAGATGTGGCATCAGATCCATTTATCGATTCCACAATTATTTCTCGGGCCGTCACGTTCGATGCTGAGGGAGAGACGGGTGATATCGTTGACCGGCTTGATCGTTTCGGCAATTTCTTCTCGTCCGACAACTTGGATTTGGATGGTTTATGGCTTGCCCGCGGTGACGACTTTTCTTTTTCGGCCTTTTCCTTCTCTGTTCTGGATGACTTGGTCTTGGGACTATCTGTTTGTGATTTGCTAGACTTGACACCGTCGTCCTTCTTCGACCGAAGGCTGGATGACGATCGGTTGACCTCTGTTGTCCGTATCTTGATGTTTGTCTTCTTCGTCTTCGTCTTCTCCTCCCGCTCCTCTACTGGTGTACCCTTCCGAGACGGTTGGTCAGAGAGACCCGTCAACGGTGGGCTGGGAGGAGGAGCATGGTGGTTCTCGCGATTCTGACTCACGCCATTTGTTTTCCCACTCGTCTTCGGAGTCTCGGTCACTTCCGTGAGGTCCGTTGGGTCGGGGGTGGGAATTGTATGGCGCACATCCTCCTTACTATGTGCCTTGGAGAAGTTTGGATACGGCAGACTTGACCTCGAGTCGAGGAAAGAGGCAGTCGCAACAGACCGAATGGTGGTGTCAATGCCGGGCATCGAGGACCTGCGTGGGGTAGTGCTGTGCGAGGTTGAGGTCGAGGTAGATGAGCGAGCCGTGGTTTCGAGTTCAGGGTCCTTGGTAGAAGACAGGGCGGACCGCCGTTTTTTGTTTTTGACAGAGGAAGATTTTGGTGTCCGAGTCCTGTCGCTATTAGGCCTCACCGGAAAAAACATGGCTGGGGTTCTCAAAGGAACTTGTGGGCGCAAATGTGGATCCGATCAGAGCCTAGCCGGGTAGTTCATCGGTCGCAGTCCGATATGGATGAGCCTTGTCTTGTCGAGTTTTAGGCACCACTTCGGGAAGGAACGTGAAACGTGATTCCTATTTTGGTCTCCAACTAAGCGTGCTTATGCCGGGCGCCTAGATTGGGCGTAAGATTCAACTGGTTGCAAAAAGCCGGGGCGCAGCGCTTATGTCGATCGATAGAGGGGCTCCGGCATTCCGTTACGGGAAAAACAGAGAATATCAAAAAGCTTCGAGAGAGGAAATAAGCTTGCGCGGTCAGGTACGGTGCATGAAGCTACTAGACAGTCGATGGTAGGAAAATGAGACAAAAGCAATGCGGTGAAGGTGAACTGACCCGCAACTGACGTTCGGTTCTGCATGGAAGCCTGATGGTTGTGGAGATAAAAGGTCACGCGCCCTATTATAGTGAAGGCTGGGTATATGGTATATTCCATGGGACTGACTACATTGTACACTGATAATATTGAATTCATGACTTTCGACATCAAACTAAAGTTAATGCACCGGAATATCTCAGTTCAAGGCTTACAAGCCCAACTTAAGCATCGTGTAATCCATTCTCTCTGCCTTCTTAATTGTAATCTCTGAAATGCCCATTGCATCCCCAATCTCTACCATAGCAACGCGGCCCTTCTTGGCCGCTCGCATCATCTTCCCACTGGCCCGTGTAGTTTCTCCAGTGCCGTGGTTCCAAATAAAGCCCTCCTTAAGCCACATCCAGCTGAGATATGCACATAGCTCCTTGTCTCTGGGCACGACTTGTTTCCACTCGGGTAGGAAGCTAGGTAAGCTAGGTGGCGCACCAGTTCCTTTCCAGTCAGTCGCCTTTCCGCGAAGCTCGTCACGGCAAAAGATTCGCCAGCTGTCCATGGAATATGGGCCAACGCCAGGAAATCCGGCAATCTCCCATGCGAACCGGGGGTCGTACTCATCAAGGCATTCGTCCTCTTTCACATTCAAGCCTTGGTGGAACTCGGGATAGTTGGCCATTCCATAACGCTTTTTTTTGCAAGGAGGTCTCCGTGCCCATTCTTTCGCTAGAAGGAGGCACCGGCCGGCCCGTACGCTACCAAACCCCAGTCGATCAATCAGAGATCGAATATCGGATAGATGTGCCTTCGCCATTGACTCGGGAGTTGGATAACGGTCAAATAGTTTGAGTAAAATTGGCAAGACACGCGAGGCCCTGGTACGGTTCAAAAATATGGTCGCTAGAACTAGATGGAAGGGTCGACGGGCCAGCTTTTCTTGGATAAGGCCAAATTCATCCTTATCAATTGATGGAAATCGAAGGCATGATGTCGGATGTCCCAACTGGTGAGGAAAGTGAGAAGATGTAATTTCCTGAAATTGATTCGTGGACGTTGCGCGACACGCATGCGAAAGTAAGATCGGTGGCTGAGTAGTCCCCAGATCCTTGGTCGAATGTTTTCCTTTCACCGAGTATTTTGCAGAATATTTTTCCCCCACGATCAAATTGGAGTTTTGGGAATAGAGTACACCTCTTCGACTGCTTTCGGGGTTCTGCGTGTGGTGATAGAGGGAGAAATGGTATCTTGTTGTGGGAGAATGAACTCAGGTTGGAAATACTTAGACTTCACCTCAGCACATGGGATTGTCCCTGTAGAATCACTGGTAATCAAAAATCCGAGTCCAATCTCCTTGAATTGAATGAAGAAAGCTTAGATTGTGATTTTGATATTCTTTGTTTTGGGATCACATTGGAGAGATGACGCAGCTCGGGATTTTGAAGTGGTTGATGAGCTGGATTGGATGTGGTACCAATTTCAAGCTCAATCGCCGATCTGCCTTCTTTGCTCCTTTTTTTCTTCTTATCCTCAGTGCGATGTTTTCGCTTGGACTTTTTGGACGAGAAGGCACAAGGAACTGGAACTGGCAATTCTTTTGATTTGGATGCTCTTCCGTCCACGGTTTTCTGAGATGCCTCCGGCACAAACACTGATTCTGTTTGTCGCTCTGTTTCTACCTTGTTTTTAGCTGACCACGGGCTTTTGTGAACTTCAAGTTTAGGGTTAAGAGAGACCTCGCGAGTGTGCGAGTAATCGGCTGCTCTATCACCGAGTCCAATTGGCAGCTTGTAATCTGATTCAGAGAGTGGATCATCAGGAATAGGAGGAGTCAGTCCGTCAGGGAGAGATGTCAAATCAATGACGACAGATTGGTCTTGAAAGCTGTCATTATTCTCCCGACATACCTTGAGGGCACTGGAAGGAGATTCGGTGCTTTTGGCGATTCGGACTCCATCGTGAAGGCGTTGAATTTTTTCTTGACTAGGAACTGGCGATGCTGGTTTACCAATTTGCTCCTGCAAAGAATCAGTCTCTTCAGCAGGCTGCTGTGCTATGTTCAAACCTTCGGAGGAGTGTAGTTTCCCCTTGCTGCGTTTCCTAGAAACCGTGTTCTCCGTGTCACTAAGAATCCTTTTGCGGCTTCGCTGTGGCGAGCTCTCTTCTTCATCATATTCTTTTCCGAAGCAAGGATCTTCGGAACTTGCCGTCACGGGCTCAACTGGAGCGCCTGCTAGCTCAAGGTAAATACGTCGCACATATCCAATCAACATGATTCCTTCGTGATGTTTCATGCCTGACATATAAGCCTTTTCGCGAAGGCTTCGAGTGAAGGCATGTCGAGCGGCTCGTGATACCGGCTGTACAGGTGACTTCATGAAGGGGTGAGATGCAACAAAGTGAAGAACCTTGTCCTCTATAGACTGGTCTACAGAAGCAAATATTGTATCTTGCTCAGTCAAGTCGGGATCTTCTGGCTCAGAAACAGCATTGATATTGTCTCCTGCATGCTCATTCATATTCCTTTTGATTTGAGCGTCGTCCTGGAATCCACTACTTGCTGGGCTCCGTTGTTCATCGCGGCCGTCAATGGCTATAGTCACGTCAGTGATCTGAGAAGCAGGTACCGAGTTGCTTTTAACGATCTCCTCTTTCCCGGCTTCGGAACCGACTTGGTTTGTGATAGATAGTGTCTCCAAAAAGATTTCTGTATTCTGATCTCTCACTTGAGAATCCTTTCCCACTGCGATCACCTCATCAGCAATAGTCTTCTTCACAGTCACATCATCAGTCTGAGAATAGTCTGTTTCTGGAACAGACTCTGGGTCTTCAACAAAATCAACAATCGTGATATTCCGTTTTGCTGGCCGATATCGTCTCGATTTGGTTTGTGGAGGAAGATCAAAGCTGGAGGGTGGGGACTTTTTGGCAGTCGTTTTCACGACAGTAGCTTGGTGAGAGGTTGGAAGACATGGTGAGCCGGAGCTACTTCTATTAAGATACCTGCTGTTTTCCAGCCAATCATCCTCCATTGACATGGACGATTCAATCATTTTCTGTTCACTCAATATCTGGTCTAGAGTGGCATCGACAATCGGGTCAAATGGTTCATAGCTTGCCGGTTCAAAAGACGGAAGTGGTGGAACAATGGATATTTTGTGAGCAGACGTCATGTTTACTGCAGAGCTAGGGTTCTTTGATTCTCGATCATTTAAAGCAGAGCAGATCTGGATTAAGGACCAACCTTCAGCAAGAAGCTGGTCAGTAAGCTCGATTATTTTGGAAGCTCGTCAAGGGTACTTCATCGAAGTGGGTCTTACCAAGTCTCCAAAATGACTTTTACATCATCCAATGCACGTTTAGGTCAAGTCTGCTTCGCTGAGGTTATTAGATGGTAGGTTGGTGTTTAAAGCTTTATGGATGTGGCAGGCAATACAGCCAAGTGGAATTTGGAGTTTAAAGCAGATTCAGAGAACTTGGAAGAGGATCAAGCTGACAAGTGACCAGTCAAAAAAATAAAGAACTTGTCAGTTGTGCACAGACCATAGTCCGATAAGCTTATCACCGGTCAGGAACGGCAGAAAGGGATAGCGTAAACTATCTTAGAAATAAAGCTACATCTGCGGGGTAGTCTATAGAAATTGCGACAGCACGTATTGAAAGATTCAAGATGAAAAGTTTCAAGTTCTCTAACCATTACATATGTACAGTATAGTCTAGACCGTACATCCACTGAAACCTATCAGAGGTTCATCCCAGCTTCGGAACTCGGGAGCTCCCTTGAAACCCTGAAACATGTGCCCCGTGCACTATCTTTCTACCACAATTTATGTGTACATAAATGGACTTCCCGAGGTCTCCAAAAAGTGTCGAGCTCTTCAGAAGAAATACAAATCGAGGAGTCTAGGACCTCTAGACCTTGGCAGTATCAACTCTTTAATAAATGCCTACATAGATAACCGCGTAGGCGCCACTACCGACATAGGTCCACGAGTAGGACATTCCGTATGTTCAAATGTGGATTTCTATAATTCGACTACCTAGCTACCCAGGTAGATATGTATATTTACATATCGAAAGGTGAGACTGTCCACCGAGGCACACCTACCTGGTCAACCTTTACTTAGGGTTGATACCAAGCAATAGCCCTTGGGGGAAATGATCAACCATGACATGTACAATTTTCTATCCTAAAACATTCTCGCAAAAGCCCAATAACATTATAGTCTATACAGAATACCCAGCCGAATTCTTCTGTCTCGGCTCTCCAGCAGCATCAAAAGTACCATTAGGAAGAACACGAATGAGCTGTGCTGTACTCTCACCGGGCGCAACCCAAGTGACATTATGACCAAGGCTCTTCATAAAAGCGATAGTGGTATTGTCATAGTCGTACTCGAATCTAGCTTGGTTCGGAATCAATTGGTCATGCAAGCGTGGCTTGGCAAGGGCTTCAGCTGCACTGAGTCCTTGGTCAATACAGTGGATGATATTTTGGACAGTTGCAGTGATGATACGGCTGCCACCTGCGGAACCTGCGATTAGGAAAAGCTTGCCGTCTGGGCGAGTCACTATTGCTGGGGTACTTGAGGACAGAGACCGCTTTCCGGGGCGGATGTAGTTAGCCTCTGAGGGAATGTATCCGAATTTATTGGATGATCCGGGAATAGAGAAATCTAGTTTGTCAGTGTCAGATCAGGTTCTCGATGTCTGGACTATACAGCCACTTTGGACTTACCGTTCATTTGGTCATTCATGATAATTCCAGTTTCTGGAACCAGAACCCGACTACCAAAGTAGAGGTTTATGGTGGTAATCACGGATATAGCCATGCCGGAGTGATCTGCGGCAGCAATGTGGGAAGTACCTGGACTAAAAATAAAGCAATTTAGTGATATTACCCTATTTTCAAGGTTTGTGCAGAGGCAGCATACGTATCTAAACTCTCAATACCAGATGGGTCATATGCCGAAACATTGAGCGTATGAGAGTCTGATATCTTTCCTCGAATAGCGTTAATAGTAGACTGTTCTAGCATGCCTCGTTCGTACTCAGCCATCCCATCCACAAAGGACGGATCACCTAGTTCAGTTCTCTGCAATTCAGTCAGTATGAATTTTATACAAAGACGGTGCAAATATCATACCATGCCGTATCCAAACCGCATTGCTTCATCCATACGATGAGTGCTGATATTCAGGTCTTGCTCGGAAGCAAAGAGCCCCTTATAGGTATCCAGAATCTTCAGAATACTCATCGCCACGATACCACTCGAAGGTGCAGTTGAGCTTGTCACGGTGTACCCGCGGTAGTTAATTTGGGAGATGTTTCGAACAGCTACTGTATAATTAGCCAGGTCATCGAGCGTCATGGTGCCGTTATTTTTTTGAATAGCATTGATCATGGTCTCAGCAATGGGACCCGAGTAAAAAGTATCGGGACCATATTTAGCGATAGACTCAAGGGTGCCCGCATAACGTCTGCGTGTGATAGTGTCTCCCAAGCCAAGTCGGGTTCCGTTTGGAGCGAAGTCCAAAGCCCAGTTCGGATCCTTGGATAAAAAGTCCTCTCCAGTGCCCACTGCTCCTTTCATATACTTGACCAGGTCTTCAGTCACTGGGAATCCATCTCGTGCCGTGTCAATTGCAGGTTGTAAGAGTGTCGACCAGGGAAGAGAGCCATAATTTCTATGCAAATATTCTAGCCCGCGAACTTCACCGGGGACACCACTGTAATAAATCCATTTAGTCGGTTTAACCACGTGGGTGACCTGTCGTCCTACCTTGCCAAGCCTCCATAGATGGATGCAGCCGTGTTATTGCTGTACATGTCCTGGAATGCAGCTCCAGGAGCAGTCTCCCGGAAATCAATAAACTCGTAGGTCCCGTTTGGAGCCCGTACAAGCATGAATCCACCCCCACCAATACCACTATGATACATTCCTGAGAAACGTCAGCTTCATTCAGTCCACAAGCCAAGCAAGGGCGATACAACACACCAATGACTCCAATACAAAACTGGGTAGCGATCAACTACATTCGACCAGTTAGATTAGGAGACATTCGAATGTTTCTTTCTTGGTTTCGCTCACAGCATCAGCAGCATTGCCACCTTTCTCTAGTATCTTCGTTCCATGCTTTGAGCAAACAGAGCTCTCGCTCGCAACAGCTCCAAGCTTCCCAGGTTCAAATTGGTTATGAAACCCATCTTTGGAATCTTTCTCAGTCGTAGAAAGGGCCAATAGCGATGTAGATGCGATTGGCAAATGTACAGCCAATGCTAACAGAGAAACCAGTCCCAAAAGAGCCATTATCCTTGCTCGAGTCATATGTAGGATGATTTGCGGCCACTTTTTCCGAGGCAACGCCTCACTGCTAGATACTAAAGGTTCTAGCAGCCGCTGTTATATTTTATCAGCACACACATCTTGAGGCAAGAGGGGTAAAATTAAGGGATGTTGTGTACCTTCTCCACATCCTGACCGCTATCCTTATCGCGGCGGAATGTACTATGAGGTAGCATTTAGATTGGGTTTGACAGACCACGTTTAGCCTCGGGTCGAAGGTTTTGAAGATAATAAGCACCGAAAAGAACAAAAGCTATGTAAGTCGTATTATAGTGGAAACAAAAACAAGGGGCATGGAAGCCCATCAACCTAAACCCGGGAATCTGTGGAGCCCAATGATAAATGACTATAGATAACCGGGAATTGTTAGGGGCACAACAACTTTTACTCGGGACACGACAACTCGCATATTCTGGATGCTGATGAATAACTAGCCAAGTTAATAATTTAAGTAAATTTATCTAACAAGTTTGTTGAAGATTCTTGGAAACAATATTCTAATATAGGCTCAAATGCATCTATTATTACTTATTTCTCCTTCATCTTATATGGCCAACGTGTATGCCCTACTTCTGTTTGTCTTGAGGATGCCTTCTAGCCCTTTTTCGACTGTTATCTAGTTATCATCTGGTGAATTGATTCAGTGATAATATACCTCCAGTAACCTCCTTTATCACAACCAAAATGGATGTTTCTATCTGCATTTGACGAGATAGTTGATGGCATATCATTTGGTAGGGCATGCTGGCGTACAGAAGTAAGCAGATGGTCTCTAGATTCGAAAATCTGTTCAGTTCTGGGCTCAATATTTAGAGGGAAAAAGATAAAGATTCTATGTGTGTATGACAGAGATAAAGATGAGAGAGAATATAGATGCTTAGGGTTCAATTGTCTTTGGACTGTTTGCATACCCCACCTGAATCATATATTTAACAGATATTTACCCCCTAATTCTACCACCATGCTTCGTGACTTTACCCGATTTTGGTGCCTGCAAAATAGTTGACATCAACATGAATCATGTGATCAATTTCTAGAACAAGTTGTTGTGTCCCGAGTAAAAGTTGTCGTGTCCCTAACAATTCAGGATAACCCCGCTGATAAGATAAGCTCCGATTATTATTAATCCGGGAGTGAAAATCCACTAGGAGTAATAACATCATATCAGTTGCGATTCGTCATAGTTCTGTAGTATTTGTACAACAGTGGGTTCTCATTTGATATAACTTTTACCTGGAAACCTATATAGGTAAGCTGTGGAACCATGGAATACTACATTATAGCTTACATACCTACAGACCTGATAATTTTCATCTTTCTGTCCTTCGCTCCAGGTTAGAATATTCATGAATAGCTCCCTATAATTCTTCCGTTAAGCCGAGTCGAAACGTTCCAAGGTTGACATTAAGTAGAACTTTATATTATTAAAGACTATTCATCAATTTGAACAGCCTGTTTCATCCAGCGAATAGTTTCTATCCACATAGGTGGAACCTGACCCTGTGATTCAAACATCCCAAGGACCAGTCGACGGCTCCAATCACGAACATACCAACGATTGCACATAAGTCGCATTCCCACACAGTAATATAGAAACAAAATGCGGGCGAACCAATCACCTTGTTGAAGTATTGTTATGTATTCTTCGGTGATGAACAGCGGCCATGCAATGATTCCGCCCTGAACACCGATTTTGGGCCACGGCTCTATTCCGTGACGGAGCAGTTGCAAAGTTGTTTTGTAAAGCGGTGAGTTCGGTCGTGGGTTCATATCGATCATTGCGTTTAGGTTGTTGAGTTGTTGTAATAAATCGCTGTGGTTTTGGTTAGACTCGATTCATTGACTTCGGTGAGGGCATTGCATACTCATGTAGTTCAAATAACTTTTTAGCGGTTCCATCTACTAGGCCACTGTTTGATAAACCGTTAGTAAATCCGAGTTCCGTTCATACATTAGTGCAAAGTTCTCATTACCTGTTTATTTCTATGCCGTCCAGTCTTTCCTCTGCGCCGGGCGCGCAGAGCCAGCCCTTAAGCTCTCCTTGAAATCCAAGCTCTCTCATTCGCCTGAAGAGCACGGCGGAGCCAGAAATCAAGATGCGGAACTCGATCACCTTTTGAATTGGATCTGAGATGGGACCGTCAAACGAGATCACAGGGAATCCAGTTGCAAAAAGCATGATGAATACAGATGAAACAAAGGCTGTCTCAATTTGTGGTTTCTTGAGCTCCGGTAGAGCTTGATATAGCCCCGAGCAGGCTTTGCTCTGATATTTCATAGCGGCATCTATCCATGAGGACCGGTTGTCAGGTTCGACGTAGGCTAAATGCAGTGCTGAAAATGCGAGGATGCTGTCTAGTAAATAAGGAAGGGAGGTCGCTGCTTGTGGAATGCTAACAGAAAGATGATATGGGGAGTGGCCGTCTTGGGCCAAGGTGAGATATGTCGAAGTCAAGTAGTGTTGCATGAGGCGCATTTCCAGCATTCGAGCTGACCAGGGTATTTCGGTTGGCGGACTTCGGGGTCCACTCTCAGCAATACTTGAGCCATTTGGACTGTCTGCATCCACTGGAGTTTGAGGATATATGCATTCTAGCCTGCGCTTTTTGCATAGTGTACATTTGGGAAGTTCTTCATCGCACTATGTGGGCCGAAGTCAGAAAAAGGTGCTGTCAGAGGTGGCGGACAACCACGTCAGGTATAAAGGTATATCAAGCTAAATAGCACCGCTTTTTGCATCGGAAGAACAGAATTGAGAGGTTGAAACCACCCGAAGCCCCCCAGACAAAAGAAAATCAGCCGAGAAAGGGTCTCACCTTGACATGTCTCCTTTTACACTCTTGGCAGCCCTTGCGGGACTTGGTGTGACTGCGACGCAGAGGCATTGGGGTCGAGTTCCCACTAGTAGCGGATGAGGGTTTGCGGTCTGTATACATGTTTGGAGCAGAAGGTGACTCCCTCGAAGTCGATCTGACGCTCTGCGACGCCGATTCTGCAGGGGATGGATACATGAGGTGCTATGATTGGGTACCCATCCGATTATGCATGGGGTATAGGACTTTGTCGTAATCCTCTATTGTGCTTAGTATATAGGTAGGGATTGTAGACAAATCATAGTAGTTTCTGGTTTATAACGGTAATCATGCCAGACGTTGGGCGGGGGCCGATTTGCCGCCGTTCCCGACCGCCTTTCTATGCTTGATTCCTGGTTGGACACGGATGTCTCTTCTTTAGGTCTAGCGTGACAGGTGAGTATAAAGTACTAATAGTACGGAGTAGTGACATAGGTACGTCCTTTCTCTAGTCTTGATAGATAATAGATATCTTGTAGCATTGAAACTGCTATGTCAACCAGTTACCAGGTTTCATTCCATCTCGACCTAACCTACCTCAAAACAAACTAGACATCTCAAATGTTCTCGACTTCCTTTTAAATCCTTGCCGTTTCTGACCCACCCCGGGCGCCCCGTCAAGTGTTACATCGCGTGGCCTTGTTCAGGAAGATCTGTTGCCGGAATTGCACTCCCGGGCTCCCCAGCACGGTTATCGTCATCATGCCTATCCCCGATCGGTCGAACCTGTCCATTTGCCTTCTGCTTTACTCCATAAGGCACCGTCCAACAATGTGGATACTGTTTGAACATGACCACCCCATGAACTGAGTCGTTGTGCAAAAATCCGCTAGGTTTTACAGGGTATAGCAACCGAATTAGACTTACGACGTATGCAGCTACCTCGGACGTGTGCCGAGGCGCTTCAGTATGGAAAATCAACAATTATATCCACTACTAACTAGAAGCCGTTAAGTTTATGTACACTACGAAATATCTCTAGTTGCCATGTAACTTGACGAGTATCAAGTACATCTATAGATGAGATGTCTAGATCAACCTATAACTGATGGTACCCCTTATTGATTTATGTGATGCGTTTGATACCTATTATTACCACCTTCATAAGTTGAAAGACAGAATATGCTCAGGTGGTTTAATCAACATCTGATTGGACAGTTCACGTCGATATTTGCGCCGGGGCCATAAGCTGCCCAAGTGCCCCGGCAGCCGTGAAACCAACTATTAGTCATAGTTCTCAGCGGCCCAGCATAATTGTTTTGCTCCAATGTTTCTTTCTAACCTTGGACAGTTACGAGCAGAGCTAGAAATGATTGAGTTAGAGGATGTACTGCAACACGTCAATTTTATCAATAAAATCGTCCACAGGTACATGAAGAAAAGTTTTCGTATTTCAATTTTTTACTTCGTACCTCACCTGGGCAACGGCGCCCGTGCTGATTTTATTTATGTGTACTTTTTTTTTGAAACATCTCGGTACATTATTCGTCATGCCATTTATGATAATCCGTTCTTTCTAGTTCATTGGCTTCGTGCGCAAGAGCCACCCCCACTCGAACTAGGAAGATCCTGGTATCCAAGGGCTTGGTTAACTAGACGGGAACACACACAGAAAACTTGGACTTTCTGGCCAATCAATGCATTTGTCCAGTTTGATAACCTGGCCTTCTTCTCAATTCCATATAATAACGGAGAATTTCAAGATAAGGATCCATGTATCTACTCTGTATCCGGTTCCTAAATATTATCTATCAATTGGTGCCGTTCAATTGTGACTGCCTAAAAGTAAGCTACTGATTCATGCACCTGGTTGCCACCTATATCTTAGGTCAAGAACATGACGACGGCATAAAGCCTTGGAAGGACCCGGATTTTGTATTGCGGGCCCTATTGAGCATAGGGTGTTCAATCAGAGCCATTTCCTTTTCCAGGTGGCTAGAAGAACCTCAACAATGCCCCACCTTGGAACGCCTCATCCTTACTATGTATTTCCAACCTTGGAAGTTTTTAACGACCCGACAGCGACATCGGGGCTATTAGGCTGGGTAATTGGATGACTTGCCATTTTGTTTGCTTGAATTGGAACTGAATGTAGCTGGCGGCTTGCGTAGGAGCAAACGAATTGTTATTTCGATTTCCGGTACGAGAAAACCAAACTGCCAAGCCTCATACTCGCTAGAGTATGAACGTAGAATATTCAGTTTATACAATAGAACGTCTTAGTTAAAGACAGTCTCGTAAAGAAGTTTGATGGTAAATAAGCTGACTTTCCAATTAGACTAAACATCCAATCAAACAACCTTGGTATTTCAGTCAAGCATGTCCACCTGGAGTGGAGATCGGATCTTCACACGAAAATGATAAAAAAACGCAGTCAGCTGGGCCCTTCACCATGCCACTTGAAACAACTCCCCTCTCAATAAAATTCCCTTTGATTTTTATCTGGGCGGGATGTGATGTACGAAGTAAGTTACCTCTCATAACGGAGGCGAAATTTCGGTGACTTCGAACTAGTCCGGGTCCATTACGTCTAATGCTCAAAAATTTTCCCCTGTGAAAATTCTCAATCGTTAATTTCTTCGAGGGATTGGGTCATCTATTGATTGCGTCCAGTTCAGCATTTCTCGGGACTCTATCCCCACTTTTCGTGATCTACTCTGTAGAAGCAATCTATGATGGGCGTGTATTTGCGGGGCAGTGATGGTGCTACTCGTCGTGTGCTGCAAAAAATGGATTTGCAAATTTCGCATTTGAATCAAATGTCGATATTAGGGGATTGACCTTCTTGGCAGGTTGAAACCAAATACAGTCAGCTGAAGGGGCCAGATAAACTCGCACTCGAATGACTTGATATTAGGTGGAGTAAGATGAAAAACAGAATAACTCATCAAATCCATGAATGTGGCTATCTATAGCACGTCCGCAAGTGTTTCTGGTGATAATTATAGGCGTATATATTCCGAGGTTGATATTCTTCATTATGTGACATATATTAAATGGCGTAGTAAGAGCCGAGCAGTTTGAGCTGTTCGAGTCGCGCGAGTTTTCGCTCTCATCTTCTTAATGATTCTATCTGTCACTCGGATACCAGGTAGAGCCTTTGCTTGGTGTCATGAATTATTCAAAATGGGCTGGTCCTCTCTGCTGTAAAGTGGAATTTGTCTGGGGAAGGACTAGGGTCATCATTCATCATTTCTCGGCAGTAGATCCGGTCGATCCTGGATTGTGTTTCTGATATATCTCATCAACCAAAGGCCTTGCTTTTGAAGATTCTCAACTACCGAAATTTTATGACTAAGGAATGCCATGTTTGACTGAAGTGGAATCTCCAATGTTCAGTTACTTACTTGCTGCTCGCCTGGGTCTTGAAGAGTGGGCGCAAGAGCCGTAAATCATAGCCCTCATGGCAATTGATCTTCTTTAGATTCTGCGTCATAGAATTTTCGATCTGGTTCACTCCGGAGGTCCGCAGTATATTGGTACCTAGAGGTTGTGCTTCTGCCTTCTGCCAGGTCTGAGTGGATCAATCGAGCACAGATAACAACTCGTCCATGGCACATATCGACCAATACTAGGAGAACTTGAATTGTCTCCCGTAGCCAGGCAGTGTTTAGGAAAGTCAGTGGAGCTGGTTTTCATCAAAATTTGTTGATGTTTTTCCACAAATTACTGGATATCCTGATCGTATATATCACAAGTAGTATACCTACGTAGGTTATTTAAAGTCTTGTAGGAAATAATAAAGAATAATGTTAAAATCGAGATTCTACCTATGTACTGTTTCCAATATGTAGGGAAACAGAGTGAAGCTTCCAAGGTTAGGTGATTAAGCCCTACCTAGGCATATATCCTCCAGAGCTTCCATTGAGTAATACAAACCTGGGCCACAATTTAGTATCTTACTGACACCTTGATAGACTATGGAGAAAGCCATCTTGAAATTGTATGATACAACAAGCCCCACATCCTCTCTATATCGGCAGTTTTAAGTCGTCGATCCCGATGAATTCTCCATCTCCCCGCATCCCCGCAAAACCCCGCCCTATAAAGAGTGGGGCATAATTAGGGCATCTCATTTTAAAGACAAATATTTCATTCAAGACTAACCCTCAGATTTAAAAAATACCATCAAGTAGCTACTAGGTAGGCATGGCAATCTCCGCTGTACTCGGTCTTTATTCTTGCCTTGATTCATTATCAAACCTTTTCCCATCGCCACGCTATTCAATAGGAGTAGCTGTGATCCTTGTACCATTCCTCTCCGTTCTTCTCTATGATTTCATACTATACCTCCGCCTTCCTCCAGGCCCAACACCTCTTCCGTTCGTCGGTAATAAGTTCATAATACCGACATCGTCACCATGGATCCATTTCGAAAAATGGGCTAAAGAATACGGCCCAATCTTCACTCTTTGGATAGGCCGCCGTCCCACAATCATCATCTCGGACCCAAATGTAGCAGTCGATCTGCTCGAAAAACGAAGCAACAAGTTTAGTTCCCGTCCTCGATTTGTCGCCATGGGCGAACTTTACTGGGACAACTCTTCCATCTTGGTTCAGCCCTATGGCAAAGAGTGGCAGATCCGTCGACGTATGCTGCATCAGGCACTGAACCCGTCCGCACTGCGACTATATAAACCCATTCAAGAAGCTGAGGCAGCTAGACTCTGCGGGGCCATCTTCGACAATCCTGCATCATACGAGGGACATCTCGATCGCTTCACATCTAGTGTTGTCTTCAGCATTGCTTATGGCCATCGAATCGATTCTATGAAATCAGAAGTTATTCGGCAGAGACTGGGTTTTATGCAGTATTCTGCAAACCTCAATGTACCCGGTCGCTACCTAGTAGAGTCTATTCCCTGGCTGAAATATATTCCCAACTTTCTGGCACCATGGAAAGCAGAGATCCAACGGCGCGGACGCGAAGAAGCAGCTACAAATATGGAATTGCTGCGCCGAGTTCAAGACGATATTCGGAACGCAAAAGTCCCTTCAGACGTCCCTGACTCCCTGTCCAAGCTACTTCTCGATGCAAAAGCAAAAGATCCAAAAGCCTTTGGCGACATTGGTGAAAGGGACTTTTCATTCGTGCCCGCTTCTTTATTTGGCGCTGGAAGTGATACTACTGCTAGTACGCTATGCAGTGGGCTACTCATGCTCGTTACAAACCCAGAGGTGCAAGCTGCCGCACACGCAGAACTGGACCATATCGTTGGAGGATCACGATTACCCACATTCGACGACGAAAACCAGTTGCCATATATCAAAGCTTTGTGTATAGAGATACTACGGATCCGCCCAGTGGCTGTTCTAGGCGGTACGCCTCATGCAAATTCAGTCGCTGATACATACTCGGGGTATCTGATCCCGCAAGGTACAACAATCCTATGCAATTCATGGGCGATCAACCTCAATTCTACTTACTACCCGAATCCGCATCATTTGAACCCGCTACGATTCTTAGGTGTTGACCCGACTACATTGTCGTACCTGCCTCGCTTCTCGGCTGAGGATCTGGCCGAAGTGTCCCAAGCAAAGCCACACCCTTCAAAGGAAGGACATAGCTCATTCGGCTGGGGCCGACGTATCTGTCCTGGTTCAGGTTTGGCGCAGAATTCATTGTTCATCGCATTGTCGCGTCTTCTATGGTCATTTGAGTTCAAGCCTGTTCGGGAAAAAGATGGGTTGGAGCGTGTCTATGATAATCTTGACTATACACAGGGCTTTAATATTCGGCCTAAATCATTTGAGTGTCAGATTCGTCTACGAGGAGAAAGGGAGAAGACATTGAGGGAGGAAGTTGTGAAGGCTGTACAGGTGATGAGTCGATTTGCGCCGTTCGAGGAATAGGATTCAACTTGGAGATTGTGTTATGGCTTTTGTGTGAGCATCCCGAGACAATCATCTAGTTCATTAGAAGTTCATGATGAAAACAGAGCGTCGCTTGATGTTAATGAATTTTCAGAATCCTAGGGGAAATAATTACCTGTAGCCTGGCTCCAATTTTGGAGTGCTAGTTTTGCCACAACTGTTTTCTGAGTCATCAGTTAGAACCAAGGAAAGCATTGGAAAGGGGATGATGGATTTTCAAATCCTCCTTGGAAGCGACGAATAAGATTTTTATGGGGCACGAAAATTCTGATCAGATTAGATGAGCTGATTGATAACACTATGAGCTGATTGATACTGGCCCCCATATGTTTCGTAAAATTTTGCCCTATGCGCTATTTATTAGTCAAGAAGGATTATACCGAGTTGGTGTCAAGCCTCTTCCAGGTAAAAGCATCATGGCTATGTCCGAAAAGATGGATGACCGACAGGAAGCCGAGTTTGCCGCATCCAATCATGAAGACAAGTACAAGAATTAATAGCGGTAAATTTATCCACAGCATAGGCCTGACCAAGGTCTATTTGACTTTCAGGATCAGTCTTAGAACAGAGATTGGTCAATGGTGGGGCACTGAAAATTTAGTATGCTGCATGGATAGCTCCACATAATGAGTTCAAAGTGTTGTCTTCAAGACTATTAGCATGATGGATCATGGAAGTAACATGGGATTGTTGAAGAGTTTATAAATTGGAGAGATTGAGTGAGGGTAGATAGTTATTATAAAAGCGTGGTTAGATGCAAGCGGAGACTCGAAGCTGCATATCACAGTCACATTGGGATGGGTCAGCACTAGTACATATCAAGAAATTTATTATATACCCAATCAGATCAGCTTTTTCAATAGGGGTTGATCCATATTTCGTTATCTGATTGGTTAATTACCCCACTTGTGGGTATTACCGCTTATCTGATCATAAAGTATCCACCTACAGTGTGACTGTCCTACTTTTTATCGTCCCACTGAAGTTTTGGCGGAGAATTAAATTCGTTTCATTCCCTCTGCTTTCTTCCACTCCTTTGTTTTGTTTTCACACCTGCAACTTTTATTAGTACTCAAGGCACAATGGGTGTCTTTGACTCTATCCGAGGTCGAGACGACAATGCCAGACTCACGAAGACTGTGGTCAACACTGATGACCTCCAAACTGCTCAACCTGCAACCCAGACCGTCAATGTTGACACTGAAAATCCTGAGAAGCACCATATGCAGGTAGAGAGCAAGGATACCCACCCAGACACTGTCCCTGTCGACAATGATGAAAAGAAGCACCTCGGAGAAGCTACCAGTGATTCTGATACCTCTTTCGGAGTCAATGGTGTTGACGATGATGCAAAGGAAATCGAACGTAACCCCGAGCATGTTACCAAGCAGGCCGGCTTGGGTCAGCAGAAGGTCGAAGCTGCTGCTCTCGTTTGGAGCCGTCCTGCAGTTTATGCCCTCTATGCATGGTAAGTGCTGTACAATCTTTTACTTTTAAAATTATCCTCTAATATTTCGGAATCACTAGGATTTGGGTCTGTTTCTTTATGCTGGCTCTGCACTCTGCCATTGGCAGCAATTTGATCAATTACGTTTACTCGGACTTCTCCCAGGCCCCACAGATCTCCACCTCCTACATCCTAGCCTCGATTATCGGTGGTGTTCTCAAACTACCTGTTGGAAAGACCTTGCAACTATGGGGCCGTGCAGAAGCTCTGCTGGTCTCGATCTGCATCTATATCCTGGGCATGATTATTCTTGCGGCTTGTAACGGTGCAAATGCATTTGCAGCCGGATATGTGCTCTACTGGATCGGGTACTACTGCATCTACCTCATTCTTGATGTCTTTGTGGCCGATACATCTGGACTTCGTTCTCGGGCATTCGCCTTCGCATTTGCTTCGACACCCTTCATATGTACCGCTTTCACAGGCTCTCTGGCTGCAACTTCTATTCGACTTAGCTCTGGCTGGCGGTGGGGCTATGGCATGTTCTGCATTATTCAGCCCGCCGTCTTCTTGCCTTTGGTCATCGTTTTCAAGTTTTACGAGAAAAAGGCTATTGGACAAGGTGTTTGGACCCGCACTCCGAGTGGTCGTACGACAATTCAGTCAATCATTCACTACATTCACGAGTTCGATGGTAAGATATCATTTGTCTCCTTTCTTCTATTTTCGAGTGTCTCCATGCTAACATTTTACCAGTTATTGGCGCTTTGCTGCTTATGATTGCCTGGGTGCTATTCCTTCTGCCATTCAGCCTGGCACAGTACGGTCGCTCGCAATACAAAGATGCCAGCTTTATCGCTCTAGTCGTTATTGGATTCAGCATGCTATTCGTCTTTGCCGCTTGGGAGAAGTGGTTTGCTCGAACTCATTTCGTTCGCTACGATCTCCTCAAGAAGCCCACCATCCTCGGCGCCTGCATTTGCTCAGCTGTGGTTTATTTCAGCTTCTATCTCTGGGACCAGTACTACTACAACTTCGTCCTGATAACATACGATTTGAACTCCACCATGGCTGGATACATGGCTCAGATCTACAACGTTGGATCCTGCTTCTGGTCACCAGTTCTGGGCGTTATCATCTACTTCACCCACCGCTTCAAGTACATCTGTCTCTGTTTCGGAGTACCCCTAATGATCCTAGGCTCAGGTCTAATGATTCACTTCCGCGGCTCAGACTACGGCATCGGCTACATAGTCATGTGTCAGATCTTCATCGCTTTCGGAGGTGGCACTCTAGTGATCGGAGAAGACATGGCCGTCATGGCAGCTGGTGGCCGCGAGGGAACTCCAATCATGCTAGCATTGATCGGTCTATTCTCCAGCATTGGCGGTGGTATTGGTTACGCTGTCTCCGCTGCTATCTACAATAACGCCTTCGTCGATGCTCTCACTAGCCATCTACCCGATGACCTAAAGGCAAACGCTACCCAGATCTACACTGATGGTATTTCCGTGCAGGAACTCTACCCTGTCGGAAGCGAGCTCCGCGATGCTACCGTCTATGCGTGGGGTTACGCTCAGCGAATGAACTGCATTGCGTCGACCTGTCTTCTGATCCTTCTTATCCCAGCTGTTGCTGTTTGGAAGAATTACGATGTGAGCAAGAAGCAGAACAAGGGTACTATGGCCTTTGAGTAGGAGGGACGCTTTGCATGTATGATTTAATGGGTTGCGGTGGGATAATTCCAAGTCTCTATAGACACTCTTAATGCCTTTATTTGTTGATCGAGGCAAAAAAACTAATTAATTCCTTCCTAGGCACATGATGTCCTAGCTATCAAAATATTTCTTAAGAAGTTAGTTAACTAGCATAAAAAGCTCGCATGACTAAGCAGTAGTTATCACCTGATGTTAAACGTTACCTACCATATCAGTTTCGGCTCCTACAACTAAATATGTATGCCTTATAGACTCCATATTATAGAGACTGCTATTTATCGCCTGGCTAAGTAGCGTACCCCCTTGTAAAGGAGAGCAATTATCAATATCTATTGATTTCCATCAAGAAACCACTATAATGGGCGATAACCAAGCTCTGGCGATATTGTATGATGCTCAGATTACGCCTATTCTTGATATAATGGATAGTGACGATGGCGACTATATTCGCTGCAAATTTACTAAATTTGGCAATGCCTGCCTGAGGCAAAAATGCTTTACCGAGCTTCAGAAGAAGGTTTGGGCCTGGCCCTCATACGAGTTCTTTGTGAAGAAGCGCAGTAATAGACAGGCTGTGATTAGCGCGCAGCAGGCAGATAAGCCATATGATGTCTATTACTGCGCTTCTTCACAAAGAACTCGTATGAGGGCCAGGCCCAAACCTTCTTCTGAAGCTCGGTAAAGCATTTTTGCCTCAGGCAGGCATTGCCAAATTTAGTAAATTTGCAGCGAATATAGTCGCCATCGTCACTATCCATTATATCAAGAATAGGCGTAATATGAGCGTCGTAAGAGATCGCCAGAGCTTGTTTGTCGCCCATTATAGTGGTTTCTTGATGGAAATCGATAGATATTGATGGAGGTTGATAGATATTAGGTTATGGAGAGGGTTAAGGAAGAGGTTGAAGAAGTGAGCTTTATTAGACTTGGAGATATTTATTAATCAAACACGCTTTATAAGATATTGTAAATACGAGATGGGATGGCCAGAAAGCGACTTTGACTATTTGATTGTTTGCCTTGACTGCTGGTGTGAAATTGGGTTGGTTGTAGTCCTCGTACGAGATTATATTGATCTTGAAAATTTGATTATTTGCCTTGACTTCTGGTATGAAATTGGGATAGTTGTTGTTCTCGTACGAGACTGTATTTATTTTGACTCTTGACAATTCGACCTCTGACTCCTTGTATAAGACTTGATTCATCTCAACTCTAGATCATCCTAACTCTTCATCACCCAACTCTTGATTACCCAACCCTTATTTATCCTGACTCTAACTCCTCGTATAAGAGAGGAAAAGAATAAATATCATTATGCTATCTTTCTTATCATCCTGATAACCACTCTGACTTGTTCTTTTAAGTCCTCTTTATCTATGTCTTCGTCTTCTTGGCGCTTCGGATGTTATGTTAGCTTATATCTTGGCTGTTATAGATTACTACCTCTATTGTCGATGATAACGCTGAATGGTGGACCTTTGTCTGGCTGTGCATTAGGCTATGTATCTGGTGGTATATCGGTTTGCTGATCTTCTTCTAGGAATGGCTTAACAATAGTTATACGGAACGATCTTAGGCCTTTAATACTGCTATCGACAACATATATGTCTCCGTCGATCGAGAGTAGTGGAATGGTCCTGTCCACTTCAATCCCGAACAATTGAGCAGTTGTCAGCAAGTTGCCGTCGAAAAATGATGTAATCCAGCAAGTTGAGCCAAACCCCCCAGCTCGTCATACTTTCCAGTAAAATCACGAGGACTATCGTCAGCTAGACCGATGACAGTAAATAGCAAGCCTAGTGTTTCTCAGCGTCCAGTGATGGAAGACACAAATTCTGTCCATGCTGTCTCTGAATGAAAATTTAGCGGTTGTGTCTGTTTCCTAAACAGACTCCTGGATAGCAAGAGCGTCAGTCTTGTTTCATCAACTTCTTTGTTTTGGACAGAGTTCCACATCTCTTCGGTCTAGCTCAGGATAATACGTGTTATTGGCCAGTCAAGTATCCATCCTTACCAGATTTTATAACGGGCAGTCAATATCTCCCGACATAAAGAAATATTTCTTAGTAAATCTAACGCCCATGCGCCACTCTGAATATGCTCTGTATCTACTAGAAAATCATCTAGCGACGACGATAAGCCTTTAAGCTCTAGTCCACTATTGCTATTCCTAAACGTATCTTAGTAGCTAGCGTGACCAAGAAAACCTGGAGTAGCGCTAAGTGGAGGACAAAAACAGCGATTCGTAAGTTTATTTTTGTGTAACAGGTTGAATCCTGGTGAACTATCACGTGGTTGTACCACGTGACCCACCAACCGCATACCTCACGATTCCACCCCGAATTGTTCACGTTCTTCAAGGATTTTGTAAATAGCATGTGCCTAGCTAGTTCTGAATTCAAGATTAGCTTTAGCCCTTCACATACAAAATCCTTCCTCTAACGAGAGTAAAACCCACGACCGACGATAAGAAAAGCGCTCTCAGAAAGTATCTGATCGAGCCATATACGACAGACGAACGAATCGCTCTCGGAAAGAATCCGATCGAGCATACCAACGAATACGAAAAGCTCTTAGAAAGTATCTAATTGAGCGTCCTACGAATACGAAATCGCTCTTAGAAAGTATCTAGTTGAGCATCCGACAAACGAATTGAAGACGGAAAGCATCCGATTCAAACACGAGAAGAAAACGAATATCTTCATCATCATGACTGCAAGCGAACCGTCGAGCCCACCCGAGTGGGCCAGGACGTTGATGCAGCACATCAGTCAGACAAGTATTAGTACCGATGAGAGAATTAGAAGACTCGAAGAATTAGTGGTTCGGTCCTAGGAGCGAGCCGCTCCCGAACCACCCACGGAACCACAAGGGATACCAATCGAATCAACCAGCGATAATAACCAGATTCGACGACCTCGCCCTCGTCTCCCCGACCCCGCGATGTATGCAGGAAACATCTCTGATTGGCCAACCTGGAGAATCTCGATAGAGAACAAATTGCTAGTAGACGGAGCTGCCATCGGTACCCCATAGGAGCAATTCCTCTATATATTTTCCCGCCTAGAGAAAATAGCCGCCAAGAACACCGGAATGTTTGTGAAGACATAACGAAGCGAAGGCAACCTGTATATGCTTCTGGAATATCTTGAGAGGATGTATGGGGACCCTAACGCTTGGTCACGAGCAGCTCGGCGTCTATATCAGCTTAAACAGAAGCCCGACCAGCCTTTTTCACGATTCCTTCCCTAGTTAGAAAGAGAGCTCGCAGATGCTGGTGCAACCGAATAGCACGACGAAGCAAAACGATAACTCTTACTAAATACTCTTAACAAAGATATGACGAATTCGCTTATGAATCGTGGTGTTCCCTATGATTTTATAGGTCTTATCACACGGCTCCACGAAATCGACACTAATAGTAAGACACTGAATATCGTATTAGGCAGACGCCAGTTATCTACTTGCCAGCGAATCCAAAGAGATCAATCAACCACAGCCATAGAGGATAGGATGGACTGGACTCTAATAATAAACACGAACACCATATAGACGAATTCGTCCCGATTCGTGAACGAAAAGGGATAGGTTCGTAAAGAGGATCAATATCTTGTGGGAAAACATGTAAAATGGGTCGAGAAAGAAGAACTCCAACGTCGCTGTATAGAAAAGAGATGTCTACGATGTGGTCGAGACAACTATTAGTAAAGCGTATGCCCTTTACTACCCGCACGGAATCCGAACCAAGTGGTGGTATGGAATGCAGCAGTTGAAGAACCAAGATCGAGCCACCCCCGAAGAAGGGAGTATTCGCTAGCGATTGAAGAAGAGGAAGCGGAGAATGATTCGGGAAAAGATTAGCTCCTGCACTAAACCGCGAGCAGGAGCAGAAGGGGGTTGAGAAGCTACTAAAGAAAGAGGCGTTATTCTATATCGATGCTAGAGTTAATGGAATTCAATTCGCGAAGACTTTAGTAGATAACAGAAGCGATAGCTATGCATCTATCAGCGGACACCTAGCGCAATCTCTTAACCTTCTGTGTATCCCGATTCCACCGCGAATCCTGAACGGAGTCATCAAGAATCAAGGACGGATCACTCAGGCTATATACTTCGATCTTGATGTTAATGGACTATAATAGCAGAAAGTCTTTGCCTATATCATTCCAAGATAGTCAGACGAAATGATACTTGGGACGCCTTGGTTAAAAGATGTCGACGGAGTTTACGCTACGAAACGAGGGTATTTAGATATCCATTCGAGAAATGGAGAGCGCATTCGTTGTTGGAACCATATCGACCCATTAATCGGTCCAACAAAAGTAAAGAGATTGAAAGTATAGTAATCATCTACGGGAGAAATTAAAGAACTATTCGATAGCGTTTCGTCGCTGGACCACCTCCGAATAGCTAAAGTGACTATGGACGATATCGACAAGGCGCTGTAACCTAAGAAATTCACCGATCTGAGAGCTAAACTTCCCCCATAATATCTCCCTTGGTTAGATGTTTTTAGCCAGGAGAAAGCAGACAAGCTTCCGAGCCATCGCCTAGGGATCGATCATAAGATACCCTTGACACGCGATGGAAATGGTAACGAGTCGACACCACCTTATAGGCCATTATATAGAATGAATAGAGAAGAGCTATTAGTTCTACGAAAAACTCTTACCGATCTACTAGGAAAAGGATTCATACGAGTCAGTAAATCGCTAGTAGCTTTACTGGTGTTATTAGTACGAAAACCTAGTAGAGGTATCCGATTCTGTGTCGATTATAGAGGGTTAAACTCTATAACCATCAAGGACCGTTACCCCCTACCTCTGATTCAAGAAACACTACAAAACATGTCGAAGGCTCGCTGGTTTACCAAACTCGATATTATAGCGGCTTTCCATAAGATCAGAATGCAGGAAGGCGAAGAATGGAAGACAGCGTTTCGAACACGATATAGGCTCTATGAGTGGCTAGTTATACCTTTTGGCCTGACTGGCGCTCCCGCAACCTTCCAACGGTATATCAATGAAGTTCTACGCGAATTTCTCGACGAGTTTGTGTCAGCATATATGGACGATATCATTATTTACTCCGATGGATCGATCACGGATCATAGACGAAAAGTACGCGAGGTGCTCTAAAAGCTAAGAGATGCTGGACTTTAATGCGATATCGAGAAATCTGAATTTGAACAGAGCTCTGTGAAATACCTAGGGTTCATCATACGAGCTGGAGAAGGTCTATATGTAGACCTAAAGAAAGTTGAAGCCATTAAGCTATAGGAAGCACCTACTAATGTCCGAGAAGTACGTGGTTTTGTTGGATTCGCTAACTTCTACCGGACGTTTATACCACGATTCGCAGACGTCTCTGCACCATTGGTGTAGTTGATAAAGAAAGATATAATATTTAAATAGGATAAGGAGAAACAAGAATCATTCGAGACCCTAAAGGACCTCTTTATCTCTGCACTAATATTGGCTCATTTCCAAGAAGACACCGAAACAATAGTAGAAACAGATGCATCTAGATGGGCGACAGGAGCAGTCTTATCCTAAAGATAAGAAGATGGGACGCTAAGACTATGCGCCTATCTCTCGCGTAAGTTCTCACCTATAGAGACTAATTATATGATACACGATAAGGAATTACTCGCTATCATCTATGCGCTATGGGAATAGAAGC